TTTCCTATATTTTAGTATAGTCCCTATACTAACTATATAGCCTATATCTTTTAGATATATCTATTCTAGTAGTTAGATTACTACTATAAATAGGCTATTAAACTAGACTTATTACTTTTACTTAGTATCCTATATAGGTTACTCCTCTTCTAGTTCTAATCTAGTTATCTCTAATATAACTAATTTATAATTATTTATATTAGAATCCTATTCTTCTAGCTTAGTATATTCTTTTACTAGCTAAGTAGTTATCTTCTAACTCTTTCTTTTTATATTAGCTTTACTCTTAGCTAATATATAATTAGTAACTATATTTCTCTTCTCTATTAGACCTAAGTATATATCTATATATTATAACTCTTCTTACTCTTTCTAAGTATAAGTTAATAGATCTATATATATAGATAAGGAGACTTCCTTATTAAGGATCTATTATAACTCTTCTAGCTAATCTAGATAAAGGCTAGTCTACTATAGGGCTAACTATATAGCTATAGAGGCCTATAATCCCTATAGATTATCTATATTTACTTTAATTAAGCGAGATCTATTAATAAGGTTTCTTAGTACTTATCTACTAGATTCTATAAGAGTATATATATCTAATAGGTATACCTATAGTATTTAATAGGGGCTAAACTATTTACTCTTAAATTTCTTTCCTAACTTATTCCTTATAAGTACTTAGCTTCTATTATAGAAGCTTATTTTTATAACTAGCGAATCCTAAATATAATTTATTTAGATTACTTAGTTTAGTAGTAATTTATTTATCTTTATTCTTATATTATTAAGATTCTAAAGGATTACTTCTTTATTTATAACTAGCGCGTCTAAGGAGTCTATATTACTAGAGATCCTAGGGTATATATTATAGACTAGATAGAAGGGGCTATATCCTATAACTAAGTATATATAGATATATATAGAGAATAGCGCTTATAGTAGAAAGAGATCCTATATTTATATTAGCTTATCTATAAGATACTTTATAAGTATTTAACTAATAAGACTATTTAGATTCTCTATTTTCCTATTTATTTATAGATAGTAGAATATTATTATATAGTAATAGGCCCCTAGTAGTTAAATATAATAGTATATAGCTCTAGAAAGTAGGTTTAGGCTATTATTAAATAGGAGTTCCTTTAGCGCGCTATAAGATATAAAGATATTATTATAAAGAAACTTTACTAGGGTCTCTTTAGTTATATCTAGAACCACCTATATAATTAGCTATCTAGTTATATAGTTAATTACTATTATTATCTAATAGTTCCTATTTAGTATAAGTAGAAATCGCCTAATAAGATTAATTCTCTATTATTTAAATAGTTAGATACCTACTATTATAAGATATTATACTACTTCGCGCTTTAGGCTCTCCTTAGATCCCTAAGAGACTTAGTAGTTTAAGTATAACTAAATCTCTTCTTCTAAATCTATATATATAGAGGGCTACTAAGCTTATAGTTTTACTACTCTATCTAATCCTAGGGATCTTAAATAGCTAAATTCCTTATATAAGCGCGTGACTAGATCTATCTAGAAGGGGTCTATTATATATAGAGACTATATACTATCTTTATAGATAAATATAAGATATTTATTTACTTCTAATATCTCCTTCTTTAATAAAAGCCTATCTATATAGGACTCTACTATCTTATATATATAATAATTATTAGATAGGCCTCCTATCCTTAAGAATAGCTTTATAGCTTCTAACTAGATATCCTTAGATATATAATAAACTATATAGGCTATTATTAATATCGCTAACTATATTAGGTAACTTTTAGCTATATTTACTAGGCCTATCTTACTAAAGTCTAGCTAGTAGCTTATTATATTAGATATAATCGCTTCTAAACCCTTCTTATATTTAACTACTAGATTATATTCTTAGAACTCCTTAATCTAATAGGCTAAATACTTACTATATATTATTATTATCTAGAGATATTATAGACTTATATAATCTATAATAACTATTATCTTATAATTATTATTAATAAAGTAGTCCTATAAGTAAAGTATATACTTAATAGCGAGAAGCTCTTTCTCCTATATTAAATAGTTTAATTCTACGCCCTAGAGTTTCTATCTATTAAAGGTAACTAGATAGAGAGTCCCTTTTATATCTTTTTATATTAGGACTACTCCTAAGGCCTATTTAAATATATCTATCTTAATAATAAAGGGCTAAGATAGGTCTAGTTAGATAAGAACTAGGGCCTCTATTAATTATTATTTTAGCCTAATAAAGGTACTTTAGTAGGCGATTATCTATTTAATTAGATAGAATTTATCCTTCTATATAGATTTATCTAGATCCTTTAATAGCTTATATAAAGGTACTATAATATAAGTGAATCTATAGATAAACTAGTAGTAATATATTACTAGCCCTAGGAACTATTAGACCTTATAGATATTTATTAATACTAGCTAGTCCTAAATTACTATAATCTTAGCTAGTATAGGCTATATAGATCTATTCTTAATAATATAGCTATAGAACTCTAGTTTAGTAATTACTATCTTATATTTATTTAGTTTAGCGATTAATCCTTATTAACTAAGTAAGATTAGAATCTTCTTAAGATAAATATAATATTCTTTAATTATTTTAGAGAATATTAGGATATTATCTAGATAGATAAGAGTATATTACCCTAGAATAGATTATAATATCTTATTTATAGTTATTTAGAATATAGCTAGTATATTATATAATCTAAATAATATAGCTAGCTATTTATACTTTTCCTATATAATATTAAAAGTAGTCTTCTTAATAGAGTTCTTATCTATTTAGATCTACTAGTACCCTAAAGCTAGATTAATCTTTAAGAGGACCTATATAGTTCTAACTATATCTAAAAGATCCTAAATTCTTAGAAGTAGATATCTATTTTTAATAGTAACTTTATTTAGGGCCTAATAGTTAATATATATCTACTATTTATTTATTAGTTTCTTAATAAATATAATAGGGAAGCCCTAAGAGCTACTTAATAATTAGATAAGCCCTAATTTAAGTAACTTCTTAATTTATTAGAGTTATTTATCTAGCTTCTCCTTTAATATTAAGTATAAATTAAGATTAATAGATATAGCTATTTCTATATTAATCTAGTATTTAAGTAGGCGCTTTAATAGTAATTTATTTAGTAATTTCTTTTAGAATACTAAAGGGTATCTATCTAGAACTTCTTAGATTCTATTATCTTAATAGTAAGAGACTTCTATCTAGGGCCTATCTTAGCTATAATCTTTCTCTTAGATAATAAAAAGAGCTACTTCTATCTATTCTTTTTAGATTACTCTCTAAGCTTATTTACCTAATATTAGATTTAGTCCTACGCTTATATTAGGGTCTATTTAGGCGCCTTTTAAGGGGGGAATCTAATAGTATTAGTTCTAACTATCCTAAATTATTATATATAAGATAGTCTAGTTAAATTAGGGGTTTTAAGTTTATAAGAACTTATACCCTAGAATAAATATATAGTTTACTAGGTCTAAGACCTATACTTTTATACTCCCTATCTAGCTTCTTATATATACTAGGAGGAAGATAAATATTCTTATCTATAGGTAACTACTATTAGAGAGTATAACTTCTAACTCTTTCTTTTAGATATAGATAGATATATTTACCCCTAATCCTTTTAATATATAAAGGGAAATAAAGGAATATAATATATTATTATTAATTATAACTTAAATAGTAACTCTTAATTCTTTTATTCTAAGTATATAGTTAAAATATAGTAAAGGATTACTTATTATATTTAAGGAGACTTAAATCTATAGAGACTAATCTATAGTAATATCTAATAAAGCGTCTAGTTCTATATTACTAGATTATACTAGATTAAGAGGGTTAATATCCTTTAGACTAGATATATATAAAGCCTATCTTATATAGTTAATAAGGGCTTTTATTAACTAAATCTATTTCTTAAGTAGTTTTAATAAGAGGGCTTCTTTCTTTCTTTTTAGTAGTCTCTCTTAAAGTATTCTAGTTTCCTATAATTAAAGTAAACCCTATTATTTCTTTTAGTCTTATTTATAATTATTAGAAGAGTAAATAGATCTATAGTATCTAGATCTAATTCTCTTATATATTAATTAATATAATTTAAGAGTATTTATCTATATTTAAACTTTAGTTAATCTATAAGCTTATTATCTAATAACTTAGGATCTTTATATAAACTATTAAAGTCCTTTTTATAAGGGGACTAATATAGCGCGCTTATTAAGTATATATATAAGCTAGGGTTACTAAGCTTACGCGAGGGGTAGAAGAGTAGATAAGCTTAACTAGATATAGATCTACTTAATCTATATATATAAAAACTATTAATATTAAAGGTAGTAAATACTTATACTATATTAACTAGAGGGATTAATAAGTTATAGATTTATTAGTAGAATCTAATAGAAAAGATAAATAATATATATAGAAAGAGGAAATATTAGGTTAACCTAATATATAGATATACGTGAAATTTAACTTAGAGGGGTAACTAGGTATAACGTAGTTATAGGTAGGGTACTATAGGGAAGTAGCTATAGAGCGTATATAAATAAGACTTATGTAGTAAGCTTTAGCGATAGCGAGGTCAGAATAGAAGCAACGAGTTACTTAGTAAGAGTACTCGTAAGCTCTAGGCTTATAACCTATGCGAGAGAAAGTAGAAGTAATATAATATAGTATATAGTGTAATATTAGGTAGCGACAAGGAGAAGAAGAGGATCTACGAAGATGAAGCCTAAGTAGTGGGATAGAAGGCACTAGTCCCAATCAGGACGTTAACAACATCGTGGTGCAGAGAGGCTTATCATTATAGCTTAGTCATACTACTATCTTAAAGTATCTATTTACAGCACAGAGGAAGTTGTTTGCTCCCCTCGTCAATAATTTTCAACTTCCTGAGAAAACAGCATGTTCTTCCCTGCTCATTTTGACCTCCCTCATGAATCGATCAAGTCGCCTTACAGACAGTTTCATAAAATGACTTGCCCTGTACTTCAGCAATCTCCAGTTCAAGATCGGTGGGTTGGCGAGAACCGTCGGCACCCTAAAGAGAGTATTTTAGAATGGGCAGGTTGTTCAAATCACTGGGGAAAATGAGAGGGCCACGCACTGCAAAGGTTCCTGCACCCCATGGCGAACCGCCATGCACTTCCACAACATTAGAGAGTAGGGAGGATGCTGCTTTATAGCCAAGAGGTACGTAGATAAATCCGTGGTGGGCTAGAGTGCTCATCATTGCAAGCGCTGTTGACTCTTGCCCGCCACCAAGAGTTCCCGTGGACACAAAGACACCAGCATACTTGCCCCAGTAGCCGCCCGAGTTCCAGATGCCTCCGGTTTTATCCCAAAATACCTTCCATTGAGCAGGTAAGTTTCCAAATCGTGTGGGAATCCCAAAGAGCACTGCATCGTAGTCAAGTAGCTGGCTCGGTTCGAGAATGGGATAAGCGGGCTTGCTTGGCGCATACATCTTCGCCAGAACTTCTTGGGGAAGCGTTTCTGCAATTCTGTTGTGATATGCCTTGTTATTCATATTGCTTCGAAGAAGTGGTGATAACGAATGAAGAAAATGACTTACTGGAACAGGTCCGCCTTGCCGCCAGCTATGACAATACCCCTCGCTTCAGCCTCAGCCAGGGCCGTAATGTGGCCGTATAGCGAGTACTAGGCAACACAAATGATCATAAGTTAGACCTTGAAGTAGTTTATGAATCGACAACACATCCCAATATTCTCACTTACAAACACAATAGCGATTCTGGGTGCCATTCTAACTTCTTGAGAATAACGCTTATAGGAGAATCGCGCCAAATTTTATTCGGGATGCGACCCTAGCCTTTTTATATCTTTCAAGCTCTAAGCTATGTTTGGTCAGTTTTGAAGTGACATGTCTCCTTGTCTGGAACCAATGCTCCGAGCATGTGATATTCTCGCGGAGCATCGTGATGCATACCCGGTATTTCCAATACGAAACCCGAATACAAGGCTAACTGACTTCAATGGATCTGCCGGTCTATAACTTCAATCGTCAGGCTACAAAGTCCATGAAGCCCGCCTTGAAGTGCGGTACCGAGGAAATGAAGTTAGCGTGACTCAACCTAGCATGGTGGGAGGGACAAGGTTGACCTTAGCCCGATGAATCTTGATGTTTATTGGCTAATACCGGCTCGACGTGGAGAAAGCCCGGCACATTTGTGGGTTCGGATATTCGGATTTTCGGACTCGGACTTTTCAATGCTAGTCTCCACGAGAAGAACCCTCCGAACCAGCGCGACCTCTTTATCTCCCATCATCACGATGACTATTTGATGCATCTCTCAAGTATCTCTATGTAACTTGGAGGCATGGACAGAACAACAACGTTTCGATTGCTCCAAACAAGAAGAGAAAAGAAGTGAGAGGCAGACAAACAAAGCTTAGATATGTGATAGTGTGCTATTCAGTAATGCTACAGACCAGAGCGATCACTCGAGAGAGGCCTGGACAGATCCATTGCTGACTTGATTGGCTTGATCCTTGTTTTTGTGTAAGAACCATGCATGTCATACAAGGCTTTTCCACGAACATTCCGAGCATACGAGAATGCCGGCATTCTGCCTAGATCCCATCGATTTGATAGTGCTGATGAAGTCATGGAGCAAGTTGAAATTCCACTTGACTTCTCATCTTGTGAAAGCGTTATTTACTTCAAGAATGCAACTTCGACTGCACACGCCATGGTTGCTACCTGACAGCTGTAGGCGTCGAGGAATTCCTTAATCGGCTCAAACGTTCCCATGTGGTGCCAAGTTCCGTCTGGCTGGGAAGTGATGTTACGGAGATGGCGGAGATGGCCCATTTGAACATCGGAAAAGTTGTTGCATACCTTGAAAGATTCAGCTAAAGCCCGGGAGCTGTATCGATTGTTTATTTTTGATTTTCAACACGACTGGAAGAAGTTGAAGAGAAAACCAAGATCTACACTGTCGAGATCAAGCCCGCTTTAAAGCAAGCACCTGCATCTATTTCTCTTGGCACAGACGCTGCCCCAGAATCTCACTGAGCCGAGGTTGGATATGACTGCTACGAATTCTTTCTCATTCGAAATATCTTGCTTGGGTGCTGCATATTTAAGTGCGGAATATCCCAAGTCCATGGAGGTCTTAATGTAATCTTGATAGCTCAACTGGTTGGCCGTAGCAGAGAATCACCCTAGGATATATATTTTCAAGCGGTCTCACCCTAGCGATTTGAGCATTGATGCCGTTCACCTGGGCACTTAGTCCCTGTCAGAATTGTATGAAAAGAAGTCGGGAGACCAAGAGTTCGTTCCCTGCCAGCCGAATGAAATTGCACGTAAATACCCAAGATAATCAACTGAATCAATGTAGATTAAAGTCCCGCCAAAAGTGGATCGCGGGATGTTGAAGGAGCTGGTGTTTGGTTGATTGGTGAGAGGAATTTGCTGTGTTGAAGGATACGCATCTCAATCAATGACGCGCAGAATGTGAAAGTCCGAAATCCGAAACCCGAGAAGCTTCCGACCTCTGGAACTTCCGACCTCACAAGTTTGTTGGATCTTCATCTCTGCAGAAACCACCACGTTTTACCTACAGTTCTTCCGAACTTGGTTTTTTCTACCATGGCCCAGAGATTCGATCGGTCTCAGATTGCTCGAAAACTCCCTGCAGTAAGCTTTCTCTCTGTCTCCAGCCTGTGACTCCTTGTAATTTGCCCCTAGCACAGACCACCCCCTTCCTGCTCCGTGGAGACCGCAGAATATTGGCTAAAGCTTGCACAGTGTGACCTTTGCTACGACAGAAAGGTATTTGCGTGCCCCACCTCAAACTGTTGCTCACCCCCCTATGAGCTGTTGCCAGCATCGGTTTTCTTTCAAGAATTTTCCAGGAAATACCCTACTCATTCCAGTATCTTCATAGATAAAATGTGACAGACAGCAAAACTGCATGAATTGCTCTAATGTCAAGACTGATTGCGTGCGGTCACGACCATGGCGTCGAGGACGGCCCAAGCGATCCGAGTAAGTCTAAGTCGAACATACACCAGCGAGCTTTCGAAATGGTAAAGGTGACGAAAAAGAGCATTGGGAATAACGATTCTTCATGACAAGACCACGACACCCAGGAAGAGAAGGCCACATCTCGGAAGTTAGCGCCAATGAAAGGTCCGCAGCCAGATTGGCTCGGACCGAGATCAACACACCCCGTGGATATCAAAATCAAGGGCAGACCCCGGAAGGGGAATCAAGCCGTCAAACACCGCTCGATGAGGCGCAATCGCTCTTTGCGGGGGTCTTTGCTGAACATTCACAAAACTCCAACGCAGCAGCAGGGATAAGCCCTGTGAATTCTCGACAGACAGATGACGCGAGAAATTTGTTCAGGAGAGAGCTGGACGCCAATTCGAATCTGCCCCGTGACAGGCGCCAAATACTAGACTCTGCTCTATATCTGGTGACAAAATATACAAATGCTTCATATCAAATTGAGAATCCGATACAAGAGCTCTGTACTGGAGGTATTGAGTCCTCGCCTGATGAACCTAACCCAGAGCTATATTACATGATGCTAAATGGTGTGTATATCTCTACCGAAATCCACGAATAGTTTTCAAAATCTCTAACTGACTAGCTGCGACCTGTTCAAAAATATCTGAATACTGGCCAGATCACATCAGCAAAAAAACCCTGGAAAGGTTCTGCTTGGCACTTGTTCGAAACACCGTAACAGGTCAAAAGAAGTGGCAATTTAAGCTATGCGTTCTTGTCAAAGCAATCCTTCACGTAAGTCGGTGGTTACGAACGTCTTCGGATACGGGACTCTCGGAATCCTTGCATCTTTCATATCAAAAGTATGCTGCAGCGGGTCTTCGATGCCTGGAGAAGATCGATATGATGACCTCTCCTAATTTGTTGATGCTACAGTCTTTATTATCCGGGGTAAGTAAGTAACCATCCTGTCAGAGACTTGCGCATGCAGCAGCAATCTTGATGCTAAATGCTGTAGGCTGTTCTTGTCCAATTACTCGGCGACTCGGCTCGTGCCTGGATGTTGACCGCATTTGCCTCCAGAGTTCTCGTTTGCTTGGGATACCATACGTTGTCTCTTGAAATGCTAGGAAACGATGATATATCAATTGATGTTCGCCATTGCATATATTGGTGCTACTACCTTGATAAAACTCTTAGTACAGTCCTCCTCAGACCATCATCTCTACCAGAATTGTGTCTTGAACCTGCGAAGCTGGTCCCTACTAGCCCTTCAGAGCCCCTGTCAATGGAGGTCAAGATCCTAGTTGAGCTTGCCGGAGTCCAGGATGTGTCTCTTGTACTCCTGCTTGGGGGCAATAAACTGGAAAAGTCTGGGATACCAGAATTGATTCGGTCTCTGCAAGATCGAATGCGGGCAATAGGACATGAAATATCTGAGGTATGAGACCTTGAGGAAATTAATTGTAATCTTAAGCTTGCAAAAACACTGACAAAGGGCAGGCTCGAGACGCTTGGAGCAATGCACCTGAGCTATCCATTGAGATGGATGCTCTGGAATTCACCTACAACTCTATACTCACCACGGTCCTGCGCTTGGGTTCGACAATGTTGCACGATGTAAGGATGCGGGAAGAATGCCTGCACAACGCACGGAAATCCATCATCTCCATGAGGTCGCTACAAACGAAAGTCTCCGTCGCAAATGAGCTTTCTCTCGATGTCATATTCTGGTGAGAGGCTATTTTAATCTCATGATATCATCAGTCCCATACTCATCCATGAACAGGACGGCACTGTTGAACCCCCTTACACCATTTTTTGTGGTTTTTTGCAATGTGGTAGCTACCTCTAACCTTCAAGACCTCCAGCTTCTGCGACAGATAACGGCAAACCTGTCACGAATTAAAGAGCGAAACCCTTTCCTTGCGAATCTGCACAAGTTTCTGCTTCAGTTTGTCAGCCTTTGTGCAGAGTTAGATGTTGCTGAGGTTCCAGAGACTTCGCTGAGTTGTCAATTGCCAAACGAAGCTTCAACATCTGCTGGGACTATGGATCATGACCAAGTTCTCAGGCCTACGGCTGAATTGCGTACCCCAATCTCGGATCAAGCTGAAAGAGTACCTGCTCAGACAGCGATAACTTGGGGGGGCAAGGGACTAGAAACAGCCGTTCACTCCCGACCTGCCTCTCAACCACATGGATTGGCCATTGGAGGACCAGCGCTTGAGCTGCGACTAGATCCTAATTCTATGTGGGACGATAGTCTCATGTGGGATTTATTCAACACACAGCCTTCGATTGAGTGGTGTGACATGAACTTCCCAGGTGAATTCATGGGTTCCTAGTGGGCAAAAGGATAGAGGCACTTTATCGACTTGATCGACCCCATCACATGGGATTTCGGAGTGCACCGCAAATACAAGCTTAGTACACAGTTTAATAGATACCTAAAATTCAAGCTTTTATGAGGCTCAATTTAATAGAACCTGCATCAAAAGTCTGATCCCAAAATTAGGTGTCGATTCTTTTTTCTAAAAAAAAGAGATAGAAAATAATGGAAAAAAGAAATACGTAAAGAAGTCTTGCCTATTCGCTCATTATTGAAATCAGAAAATGGTCCCGCCCAATTCACTAAGCTTTCGTCTTCTAATGGCGTCTCACCTGGTACTCACCCTTATTACCACCCTGGTACGCATCAAAGTATTTGGTCTACTCTGTGTTACGCACTCGCTCTTCTGACCCCTGATCGCACAATGCTTCAACACCAATTGTCTTCTAAACTTAGCCTATGGTATAAATTTACCTACGTTACTATACATACGACCATAGGGTGTGGAGAACAGGGCTTCCCGTCCGCTCAGCCGTACTTAAGCCACACGCCGGTTAGTTAGTAGTATGGTGGGTGACCACATGCGAATCCTGACTGTTGTATGTTTTTGCTTTTCCTTCTTACTATTCACCACAGGACGTGTGCTTCATTTTCACCAGCATGAGAAATATTGAATTCTGTCGCAGCCGACAACCAGTGCTGTCGATAGATGAGCGCTTCTTCCTTTTGATTTATCTTCTCTCTTTCATACCACCATAATTCCATATTGTTCTATCTGTTCTGCCTTGCTTGTAGCAGCAAGATATATTGGCTTGTGCTTCCTTTCTCCTCTGATCCCCGACCAGCATCACGTGTTGGCTAATCCCAATAGCTCATCATGACCCTTCCAATGGGCTTCCAGAAGCGCGAGTCAGAGGTGAACGCTAGTAAGATCTAGGGCTCGCATTTTTCAAGTAGAGGCATGGTTTGTCCAGGCCTCTCCGTAGTCTTGCGAAATCGCGCCGGCACAGATGGAGGTATAGCTTGATCTTGTTTTTCGCTATTACCTATGTTCGAATGTAATTACATGAAGTATAGTTCTTATTGTACCCCCTGGACAGCGCTGAGAAATAACTTGCCCTCTTGAAGTTCTTGACTTTGGTATCAAATATTTCCACCAGACTCAATGACCGGACCATTATAGACCTTCCTCCCGCGAATCAAATACCATACCAGCCCGATAAGAAACTCGCCAGTGAAAACAACAATCGACCAGTTCATGCTCTCCAGAGTGACAGGCATCGAGGCAGGAAAGAATGAGAAGAAGATGGCAATCGTTAGGAAGGAAATTGAGGCAATGTTGATGACAATGCCGAACTTTCCAAGTGTCCAGGGGCCATAGGGAACCGATTCTCCCTTAATCTTCTTTATGAGCATGAGGACGACGGCGATTTCGTAGGAACCAAACAAACCCGCCGTGGTCAGCGAGATGATGGCATTGAATGCTGCGGTTGAACCAACGTTGATGATGCAGATCAAACCGGTGATGAGTGCACAGAGACCAACGGCGCGGAGAGGGAGGGCAGACCGGGAGCTAACCTAGAGGTGGATAGAAAAGTTAGTCACCGTCATTTGTGTAGGAGAAGGAAGTGATAATCAGCCATACGTGAGCCAAGAAATCCGAGAATGGCAGTCCCTTGTCTCTGGCAAAGGCCCAGGTGAGACGCGATGCAGAAGCCAGAAATCCAAACGACGCGCAAATGACCAATGCAGTGGGAATGGCGGTCATCACGGAAGCCCCTGCGTGAGACTTGGTGGCCGCGTAGAAAACTTCAATGAAATCGTAGCCGGTGGCGCTATTCAGGGCGTCATCGACATTTCCGATACAGAAAAGGAAAGCGATTACAATAGCAAATCCAAGCGTGCCGTTCAACAGAATTGTGCCAATCATGCACCAGGGAACGATAATAGAAGCATTGATGACTTCCTCGGCTGTGGAACTCTGTTAGTTTCTCGTACTTCTATCTAGCAACTTCAGTCTTACCCATATGGCAAGGGCCGTCATAACCTGCAGAACATTAGTCAAAAGAAGTCGCATCCGGGTAAAAGATGGATGTCGTACCAATGAAAGGGAGGTTTGTTCCCATCAGACCAATCAGCCAGGTGAGGCCTGCGTTACTCCATCCTGAAGAGTTTTCAAAGGTACCAAAAACGTATGAGGCATCTTTGTGAGGTGCAAGGTAAACGAGAGGGATCAGGACAGCAAAAAATCCCGCGATATGTAGGATCAGAATCAAGCCCTCAACCTGAGGAAGGAGCTTTGCCCCGATAGAATTGACGACCACGCAAATAACCAACGCAGCAAACATCATCAAGGTTCCCTGCCAGCCCTCCGAAACATAACTCGGGTAATTCAAGACCACGAGGCCTTGAGTCACTGTTGCAGCAAAATAGACGCCAGCTGCAGTGTTAGCCCACCATCCGATCATGGCCATCCATCCCGTCACCCAGCTCAGAAACTTTGCCTGACCCTTTGGAGCTAACATTGCCACCCAATGATACTGTCCGGAGGAAGTAGGAGCCCTGTCGTCTGTTTAGCTTTATGTCTTGGAATATTTGGGTGGGCGGGTATCATACATTGAGGCCATCTCGGCTAGCGACGCTGCAGTTACCAAAGCGCCAAACCAGCAAAACAAGAATCCATAGACGAGCGACACTGGACCACCATCAATCATAGCAGTCAAGTTAGCACTGAAGTAAATGTTAACGTGAGCCCAATGAAGCTTGAAAAGCTGAAACTCACAACAGCACAGCCTCCCAAGTGCACATCATAGTTGTCGTAAAGCCTAACATGGACAAGAATCCAAAGTTTCGCTGTTTGCGTTAACTTCGTCTAGACCGAAATATTTCTTTTCCCTGTGAAGCCATACCTGGAATTGCTGTTTCTTGCCTTGTTTTGCCATATCTTCGGCATCGCGGCTCTTGTGTTTGCTGGAGCCCAACTCCTGGATCGCCATTTCGCCATTTTTAAAAGCCATTTTGATCCTGTGTTGAGATATGCCGCAAAATTGGACAATACATAGGAAACCAGAGATAAATCAGAAAAGGGGAGAAAGAAGAAACCACAAGGAAGTCAATCAATTATAGACCGCGCCTAGCAGCTACTTGTCGAATCAGGTTATTATGCCCCGAGAGATAAGTAGAAAGGTCGCTTCGTCCTCGGCGCATTGATCAAGGCCACTTATTTAATATGGAAAATAAATATTTTGGTGCCTCTCACAGGTCGGGTGCAATCAAATTCCCCCTTCGAGACGAAAGCCGGAATGCATATTCTGCAGGAAACTTGCAGAACTATTCGTTAACTGGCCTAGACCATGGACACACTATACACTAGCTCGGTTCTGTCGGTCCAAACTGTACGCCACAAGGATCAATATGGCAGTACCAATTTACGTCCCGCGTGCAATGCATAGGATCGCTCCCGATGCAATAATTAATTTAACGCACATTGGCAGATCAGAGTCATACGAAGGGTTGTACGGCGGAGGCTGTATGCGACCGTTCTCAGGTGCGTTAGGAAGCGGATTTGGCAGAATCACACAGCACACAGTACCACGGAATCACGCAATCACAGAGATCGGTAAAAATAGCTGCAAATACTTTTAGCTTTTAATGCATAATAACCTCTTGGACGATAACAAATACCCCGCTTCTATTTCTACTTATTTATCCTCAAAGCTTTACTTCTTGTATTGATAATATTTCCATGACGACCTTCAATCCTTGATTTATCTAATATGGGTTCCATCATCGACTGGTCCCTGCGTCCGGTCTACTCGCCGGAGCAATTGGAACGGTACTTTAACCGGATTGATCTACCTCAAAAGTATCGAGAATCACCGGTAGTTAGGCTTGGGGCAAGCGTCGACAGTGAGAGCGCTCTAAGCTTTTTGAAAGTTCTACAACGATACCAGGTGGCAGCGGTGCCTTTTGAAAATCTCAATCTTCATTATGCAGTCAAACGCTATATTTCTATTGATGCCCAGAAGCTATTTGAGAAAATAGTAGACTCTGGATCGGATCGGGGGGGCTACTGTATGGAGAATAGTACTCTTTTTGGGACCGTTCTCAGGACTATGGGATACAATGTCACCTCGGTCGGAGGTCGGGTAAATGAGGCGGTCCAGCCCATATCAGCCTCGAAGGACTGGAAAGGACCGAAATACGATGGATGGTATGATATTATTTCAAGCTTAATCTAAAACATGCTAAATAATTGAGCATAGGAATCATTTGGTCAACATTGTTGCTATCGGGGAGCAAAAGTACCTGATAGATGTGGGGTTCGGCTCGAGTGGGCCACATCAGCCCGTTCCATTGATCGACGGGTTCAAGGCCCACAATGTCGGCGACCAGTTTGCACGGCTCATCTATGGCCCTATCGCCCAGCACACGAGAGCTGGTCAGTCCCTCTGGCAGTACGAGATCTGCAATGCAGGTGGGGCGTGGATTCCCGCCTATTGCTTCACTGAAACGGAATTCCTTCCAGAAGACTTTACGATCATCAACTACTATATGAGCACTAGTCCGGAGAGCTGGTTTGTTTCCCACGTGGTCTGCGTACGGATGCTTCTGGACGATGGAGGTGGAAAGATCATCGGTGATCTAACCTTATTCGATAACACACTAAAGCGTCGCCTGGGGGCCACGTCAGAGGTCCTGCAATCCTTCGCCTCCGAGGAGGAGCGTGTGAATGCTCTGCAGAGATATTTTCGCATTACAATTTCAAAGGCAGACCAGAACAGTATCCTCCAGACGGCCTCGGAACTCATGTAGTCTCGTGTGGATTGGCAACTTCGCAAACTCATCGAGATTATAGATAAGCTCTAATAGACTGTGCTTGTTTTGACTGGACATCAATGTACTTAATTGATTGCTTACGTGTACATGATAGTACATTACACCAATCAATCTCTACGCCTCATTTATATGAGCAGCTCATTTGGCAATCTGTGAATGGCAATTCTGGTCCCCACTTCTTATGCACGGGCGCATGGGCCAATTTCCGCATCCCCGACGGGAAACACGCAAGCATAATGCGCACTAAATTATTAGACTGACAGTCGTCGCTTAGCGAAGCCCCCGATAAGCCCCTAGCTCCCGGTAAACTGAATACCTTGCATGCTTTCATTTCCACCGAGGCTTGTTCTAAGTGATGACTTCTACCATCATTAAATCTATTCCACCAATCCGAAAGCTATGGCGCACAAGAGACAGCCACAGTCTAGACCTTTTATATTCCAACGCGTTAGTGTCGCTATAATCAGGATCAATCTAGTTCATACCGCCATATTTGCTCAACAAAAATGAGCCTTAACCCCTGTAAAAGAGTCTAGCCCTGGGCGAGACAATCCTTCCCGTTGTTCCCACGAGGGAAAGATCCCTGTCCGTTCAACCCCCTAATCCGCTTCAGGATACTATTACAGCCTATGCTATCCCGATCACCCCTGGAATATATTGGTAGTTGAACTGAAAAGCTGAAACTTTACCAAAAAAGCGAAGCGGCACGTTCCTTCGTAATGTTGTGCGTACCTCTGTCTATCTACGTATCAATCTATCAACAAGCGAGGTGTAGGCTGTCCTTGAATATTCTCAGTAGTCTAACAGATATCGCTGTATCTCAACCTTTATGAGTGAATACACGAGTCGCTCGCTTTACTGCCTATACGGTTCTTATGATGAATATTGAAAGCTATTTACAGATACGCACAATCGAAAGACGCGCGGACTCTGCTAGTCTTGATCATGGAGATGAGGTCGCCATTGCAGCCTTATACCTCTTGGTCATGATGATAATGGCTGTACTGATCCGACTTGCCTTTCGATTCTTCATGCTCCGGTCATTGCAACGAGATGATGGGATAATTGCCCTTGCATTGGTATGCTTTTCCTACTGTGCCACGCGAGACACATTATCTGGATCATTTCATTGAGTTCGCTAATGCCGAATTTTCAACAAGGGAGCAGGTCTTTGGCGTCGCACAATCCGGTGTCATATTTCAAGGGACAAAATATGGGTTGGGGAAGCGTGAATCTGCTTTGAGTGTGCACCAAGTGATTGACGTGGAAAAGGTGAGTTGTTGCTTTTGCAGACCGAATGGGACTTTTGATATATACTAATGTAAAAATGCTTTTTAGAGCCTATATACGTCCGATCTGCTTTACGTTCTTGCCCTCGGCCTTACGAAGCTCTCGGTCTTGGAATTCCTGAACAAACTCTGCGTCAACAAATCACACAAAAAAATATGCTTTTGGTCATCGATCGCCGTTACAGTCTGGATATGGCCCGTTTTCTTTACTTTAGCTTTCAAGTGTGGAGTGCCAAAACCATGGGAAATGGATGATGGCAAATGCATTGATACAGTAAGCATTGACATCTGACTCTAGTAATTCAACTCATATTGATAACTTGATCCTATAGTTTAGCTTTTGGACAGCCATATCATCCATCGACGTTCTTACCGAATTCATTATTTGCCTTCTCCCAATTTTTATTATCAAGCCCGTCCAGGTTAGCTTTGGAAAAAAAGTCCCCGTTGTGGTCGCGTTCGCGTCCCGCTCAACGTACGTATAATATCTTTCTATCTTCAATTTCCTGGACTTCAACTAACATGGTGCCCAGTGTGATAATAGCGACCATCGTGCGCCTTGTATTCCTGCGCAGTGCCCCTAATTCCACTGATATGACATATTCTGCCTTCGAAACCAGGATCACCACGCAATGTGTGCTGTGTGTCAGCCTTATTACCGCATGTATTCCATGCTTGAAGCCATTCCTGGACGCATTTGACAGCGGAATGCTCGGCGTCGGCCTGCGCAAACGCAAGGGCGGGACTCAGAGTGACTCTTATGGCAACTCATATGCGTTGGCGAGTATGAGCCGTGGGGCAAAGGAGGCCACAACGCACTCTCGATACATAGAAGATGAGATCGAGGAACTTGGAACATCCGCTGCTGCCTTTGCAGTTACCTCTCCTGCAAAGCCACAACAACTAGGAGAGACAAGCCACTCGACAGGAATTCAAAGAACGGATCAGTGGAGCGTGAGGTGCGAGTATGTCGATTCGAAGCCTGGGTCGTTTGGGGAGGGACTGGAAGAGTCGGAGACATACGGTAGCCGAGTTGAGCATTCACTGTGATGAGGACCATACTGTGAATATATTTAGCGATAGACCTTGTCCTTTCCCGCGGTGCATACAACAGACCCTAGGCATGACCACTCATGAGAATCAATGGAGGAAATAGTTAATTTACTACAAAGAATGTAGATGCTTGGATACTATTGCAGTCGTTAATAGCTATTTCTTTGCTTTTACAACTCATTATCGGCAATTGTTTCGCCAAATTCAATCTTCTCCCTTTATGCCCTTTTCTAGGCCAATGCAAAGACAACTCCCCTAGAGGTCTACGTCTACATGTGAGGATGCTAAGCTTTTTTGGCAGCTGCCTTTACCCCACTAGGCTTCCAAAGTGGCAGTGCATCCCCGAAAAAACCTCGGATATTGTACATCACCTTCCAAGATTTCAGTGATATTTACGGGCCTTGGGGCCATGCTAAACATCACGTATCTGAATTATTTCTATTGGCTTGTGTCAGCGCTCATAATTGGTTGTAGGAGTAGCATCATATATATTTGGCGATCGTTTGCGTGCGTTTTGGTCCTCAAGGGCCAACCTTGAAATAGGTACTCGGATATGCTCAACATTAAACAGATTCCCGTATTAACAGCAGGTCGTACGATCTTTCAGCATTGGCCATACTCACATTCGGTTTTGGAACCCTCGATCTAATAGTCCTTCCAGGCGCCTGCTTTTCAGCCTGGCCTTGACCTGATTTTTCCAACCATCGTAGTTCTGATTCTTTTTGAGAAGTGTCTTTGTCTTCAATAGCGTTATACCCATGTTAGGGGGATGATATGCAGGTGAGGTCTGCGGGGGCAAGACCAGTGATTTCCAGTCTTGTGGATCACTACTTGGGTCGAGTAAACCGTCCTTGCTGGTCGTCGTGAACGCAGGGTTTTATTTATGGTAAGGCTTTCTGAAGGACAGCCATGTTCAAAACGATCATGTGCGAAAAATTTTGCTTGTTGGAGTATGAGAGGGAATCACGCATGAAAGACACGCAAGTACTTGAAAAGTAAACATATGAGGCAAACGTATAATCGTGAATTCTCAAGGTGTAGGTAGCAATTATCGACAAAAATCTCCTCTGAGACAAAGGTACGGTATCGTATACTAATCAGGTGTGAAGCCTTGCAATCAAGCCTCTCACGGAAGGGCTCATATCCTGTCAGCGCTCGTCTATACTACAGATATTGGTCACATGACTTATATTTGATTCCAGTCCTCGTTCATGTTGCTTTCTTCACCATTGATACTTCCTAGAAGTCGAAGCAATCGAGACATACTTTTTTTCGCCTCCCTCACGTGGTTACTCGTTCGCGGCGGACTTGCCTGAGCCCCCATCATCCCCATATCTTCCTCGATATAAAGTAATATCTCCCCAACCGCATGGTAGCGTGGCGCAAAGCCTGGCGTGACACAATGGCCATTTCATCTCTATACAGCTGCATATTGCATAATGCTCCGTTCGGAGAGTCACAGCAAGCATGGACTTTTCCTCATCGAGCTACCCATATACCTGTCAGTGGTGAGCTGGGTGTATATGTTACATTACATACCCGTACCTGGCATACCGCTGTACTGAGATCGTATGTTACGAAACGGAACGTTAACTCTCAAATCCAGTTTCATAACATATATATAGTGGAAGCGGTTGGAATCTTTACTTTTGGAATCTTTACTTTGGAATCTGTACTTTTGGAATCTTTACTTTACACTAGAGACCAGATTCTCAGGCTTAAATCAAGGCTACTGTGACCTTACAAGTATTTTCGCTGCTAGAAAACTCAGCTGACTTATGTATCTCACTTATGTACCTCATTCGTGTTCCTCTGTTCATGAAACCAAAGTATGACGAATTATTTGCCGTGCCAAGTGATGCTCTTCTCCTCCAAAAATTCTTCCAAGCCCCAAAGCGCATTTTGTCTGCCCCAGCCGCTCGCTTTGAGACCTCCCTGGGGACCAGTTGCTGATGAATGTGTTAGCATGGATAAGTCTAAACAATCAAGGGAGATCAGAATTACTTACGGCTGACATAGACCGTCTCCCTGTTCAGGTGTACCTGACCGTACTCCAGTTCACGTCCAAGCCTCATGCCGCGCTCAAGATCGCGCGTGTGAATAGCCGCATTCAGCCCATAAGCGGATTCGCGAGTGCAATAGCTTCCTCATCTGTACCTACTATGTAAAGACTGGCACTTGGGCCAAAGGTCTCTTCATCAACGATTCGTAGGTCCTCGGGTTTGGTTGCCGGGTCCACCGCGACAATAGTAGGGACTAGTGAGTTAGGGTGCCCAGATCTATAGGCTGCATCGCCGACGATGAATTGAAGGCCCTTAGACTTAGCTTCTTGTAAGACTTCAAGAGCATGTTCGGCAATGCCTTGAGATACTGCAGTTCCTGCGAAGTCTTGAGCTTCGAGGGCTTTGACAGCGTTAACCAAGGCCTTTGTAAAAGGGTTTGTAACCTTTCTCTGGAAAATAATACGCTCAGTACTGAAGCAATGTTGGAGATATTGGCGGGAATAGGCTTGGAACCGACAATGAGAGGGACGGCCTTGCGACCATCCAAAAGCGTTTGGAGCGGCATATCCAGAAGAAAATCGATGTATAAGAGAGAAGGAGAAAACCAAACACAGAAAACCGCGGAAGGAGGATGCAAAAGGCACAAGAAAACAGATCAGCAATTGAACATTTAAGCTAGGCCATGTGATCAAATTTCGATAGAGTTGATTTTGAAAATACCCCAGGAAGAGCGGCATGAACCTTCAAATGATCCTTTGATCTACATCAATCAGTACCGAGTCCTCATTTTGATGCTCCGGCAAAGCCCGCAACATGGGCCACTTATCCTCTCCTCCCGAGGCGTTAGAGTCGGATTTCCCGATACCAATGGTTTCTATGTTAGCGAAATTGCTTCGGATCAGACGGCTTTTTTCCAGAGATTGTTGTCAATCTCGAAAACCTTTGTCGCAAGCGCTGGGCATCTACATCCTACCTGCCAAATATGTAATACCATGTCCTGCCTGTAATTACGAAACATTGAAAACTTGTATTTTAAGTGGGCCTGCTCAGTTGTGGGGTTGGCTTTTGATCGGCAAGTCGGCAAGTCGGCGTGTCGGCATTCGTAATCTCCGACCACCGTGTATCTTCGGACTTATGGACCACCCCGCACGCGAGATCAATGGTGCTCCGAAACATTTCAAGTTGATACTATTCGACATTCTCTCGCTACGGTACACCATACTCAAAATCAGCCGCCATCATGATACCATTGATCGCTCTCGAAGAGCATTATGTCTCATCAGCTGTTACTCAGGCTCAAAAGGTCAATCGGTATGCCAGCTTTCCTCCTCATATTCCGGCCAAATTGAAGGAGGTTCATGAAAAACGTATTGAAGATCTGGACAATGGGAAGATCTCGCTTCAAGTTATTTCGCATGGTCCTGGTATTCGACCTGCCACACTCTGTGCTGCAGCCAACGATGAGCTTGCATCAGCTGTCTCCGAGAACCCAACGCGACTAGCTGGCTTTGCTATGCTTCCAATGAACGAACCTCTTGATGCTGCGAAGGAGCTTGAGAGATGTGCTAAGGAATTGCATTTTGTTGGTGCCTTGGTGGATAATCATGTTAACGGAGACTTCTACGATGATGATCGTTTCTGGCCGATCTTCCAAAAGGCGGAAGAACTGAATTTACCGATCTATATTCATCCTTCTTTCCCAGCAGATAAGGAGCACTACGAGGGTAATTATAGCGATAAGATTGCACTTGCCCTGAGTGCTTTCGGCTGGGGATGGCACTCCGAAACTGCATTAAGCATTCTGAAGCTATTCGCTAGTGGCTTTTTTGACCGGTTCCCTAAAATCAAAATTCTGATTGGACACATGGGAGAGATGATTCCGTTTCAGTTTGAGAGAATCATCTCTACCGCAGCGTCCTGGGGGTTGAAGCGAGGGTTTAGAGAAGTGTGGAAGGAGAATATTTGGATCACGACGAGCGGCATGTTCGCTTTGCCCCCCTTGGTATGCTTGTTACAGACTACCGATATTAGTCATGTACTTTATAGCGTTGATTATCCATTCTCTTCAAACGAGAAAGGCCTCACCTTTGTTGAGGAAGTCCTAAAAAGTGGCTTAATGTCGGAAGATGACTTTGAAAAGTTTGCGTACCGCAATGCTGAAGATTTGCTTGGCGTGAAGGCTAACTAGGGCTATCAGAAAGAGGGCATCGAAATCCCAGTGAAACCAACTTTGCTGTTAGTTGTCATCTATGTATTTATTCTGATGCATTCTACATTATCATTAGTACAGACCCGAGAATCTCTTCCCTTTCTTGTAAACCCAGGGGAGAAGGTATCTGAAAATTATTATCTGATTTTCACGCGAAGTTAGCATTTCACGTGTCAGCGCGTAGCGTTGGAAATCAGAGGCAAAAATAGCGAAGCGTAAGTTTCGAGCTTTTTTAATTGAGAAGGGACGAACGCACCGCGTTCAAGAATGCTACGGTCTCTGGGGATCGCAGTCCTCTCGAAACTTCTCTATAAAATAACCTCCCTTTCATCCTTTCATCCTCAGTGTCTAAAGTATTAGTGAACTTCAGTACGAATCACTTCTTTCCGCAAACTAAACTAAGATCATCCTCACCTTGAAAGACAATGCAAGACTTTTTTAAAGTCAGACCGCCCTTCCTCTTCAAGGTAAGCTAGCGATATTAACGGAATTATCACGTGGTATTGGCGCCCGCATTGTATGGAAGCTTGCCCGTCGTGGTACGAATGTAAGGAAGAACTTGCTATAATAAGGAGTTTCTCTTTCTTCGATGTGTTTAAAAACGAGAAATAGAAAGCTAAAGAGAGATAGGTATGTATAACGTATGTCTCAGATAACAGCAAAGTTATCGTCGATCAGCTCAGGGCTAAGATCAGCCAACTATCCCAAAAACCGTTCTATACTTTTTACGTAAATAACAGAAAACTAAGTGTTTTACCAAAAAAGGCGCCTCCAAAAGTATTATACCAGAGTTTGGGTAACGTTCAATGCAGTGATAGCGCAGCCGATCATCCGATGATACCACACTGGAGTTAAGCTACTGGTCAATACACAGTGAAGAGATGAAGCTCGCAGGCAGCACGCTCGAAGATGTGCGGGTCGATTCAGCAACAAAACACAACAACACAAGCAACCGCAGGTTATACGAGATATCCGTGGGCAGAATCTGTATGTGCCGATGAGAGACGTGTGGAAGCGTTTTATTCAATACTATCTCGATGTGCTAGATAGACTACCATATAATACCCGTGCCCAGCATATCAGCATAATATAAGAACAGGTACCGCAATACAAGTCGGGGAAAACCTCTTCCAGTCTGAATTGTGATAAAAAGTAACAGGAGGTTCGCCACTATAGTAGGTGATAGAGCGTCACCATTGCAACTCCTAGTGTTTGTCGTTTGATGAGCAGCAACGACCCTTGAATATCACTTGATGTGCCTTAAGGTAACAAGCATAAGAAAAATTCAAACATGAGCTAGATCAAAATCGGTTGTGTCTTATTATGCACAGAATTGCCCCTGGGCAGAGGTATATCCTGTAGTAAGACACGTCCATGTATAATCATGAGAATCAATCAAAACGACGGCACCCACGAGATTGGCACAATCGCCATCTTTGACTGTCGTTTTCTTGATATCAGATGTCACGCCCGTAATAGGGTTATTCTTAGTAGATTCAACCCGACACATCCAGTCATGATTTGGGACGAGTTTCAAGTCATTTTCGTAATCCGACCTCCACAATCCACCTAGTATATCGCGGACACCTGGCTTCACATCACAGACATGCATATGAATTTGTTCTTGCACCCGCGATTTCACCGAGTTGATCGCGAGCGCTTTTGATGAGGTGAAATCAGACAAAGTCTGCCCCCATTCCCAAGGTTCTTCCGACGCAAGTTGCAAGATTCCCGGCATACGCTGCTTCGTCGTAATCTTCCCACTAACAAGCCTGATCCAGGAGCCACTGGTACTAGAATCACAAGTACCTGGATTTTTCAAGCAGGTGCACAACTCTTCAAACCAGAGGTAACAAGAGTCGCAGCCGTAATTGGTTTCAGTGCAGCCTTCATCTCCATGGCCTGGTTCGAGCTTGCTTGCGGACGTTAAAGATTGATGACATGTCCCCAGGTCACGAGTTGTGCAAGTCCCGGAATCTCCTACCATACAGACGCATGTTGAGTGGAGGTCATCATTTTCGATCCAGTCCGAGTGGCAGTGATTATCTGGGGCAGGGCCTTGTGCGAAAGAGAATCCTGTCATTAAAAAAATAACCAAATACTGTCTGATGGAGAATGTCATGATGAAAATGTTTCCAAGATATTTCTAGCTTTGAGAAGATGCGAGGAAGTGCAAGGGAGTTTTTTTTGAAGTTCATTCTCTTGCAATAAATAAGTAATTTTTCTCGGGTCTCGGCCTCTCTATGAACCAGTAGGCTCCGTCATCTCAACCATTTACAGAAACAATGACCTTGTGAACGTTTAAACAGTGGTTTGGTATTTCGTGTTTCGTATTCTGATTTTCTGGGGTTCCTTGGGTTCTTCCCGAAAGCTCCGAGAGCCTATCGAACCTTGATGGCCCGTGGTTCGAGGGCTAGTCTAGACCCGCTTCAAGCCAAGAGTCATTTGACATCAGTCTACATAGAGCTATGCAATTGGGAGCCACTGCCAAGAAGAGCCGCAATCCAAGCCGTGGCAATCTGTAGATGCCAAGAGACCAACTGTTTGGTAGCCCACAAGGACGTATTTCATTAACATGCTCAAGTGCGTTCCAGGCCTTTACTTCACAATACCCACCCATGGTATTTACGGAGGTCTGCTGGGCCCAGAATTCCTCGTGTCTCTGTGATTTAGTGAAAAGATAATGCCAGTTTTTTAGTCATTCCGCCAAAAATGAAGTTACATCAGGAAGCTTATTATTTATGCAACGGAATAATTAAGCATTTGACATGACATACTCCCATATTCGCTCCTACTCCGCACCCAAACAAATCATTCTTTGAATCCTTATAGAAGTTCAGCGTAGCATCGGAATCCAATTCTTGGACAACAAAGAATGTCAGTTTCAATTTTGGTTACCCGAGAGTGAGTTCTTTTCAGCGAGAACTGCGCGATCAGAGATAACTTCGAAGTTGTTGGAGCGGAATGGAGTGACCTTAAACTTGGCAAACTGCCTGGCAGAGATCTTCTTCTCAAATAAGATATCGAGCTCGGGCGCAGTACGTCCCTTGGGCTCCGGTAGACGAAAGAATGACCAGACAAAGCAAATGAGACAAAATGGCGCCCAGATGAAGCCGCCTTTACCCTTTAAGTTCCAAGCAGTGGGATTGAGAATAGGGGGATTGAGGAAGTTGGCTATGATACTGGCAATGTTGTAGCAGTTACGGGCGAGAACCGCGCTCTTGATTCTCAAGCGAGTGGAAGGAATCTCAGAAATAAGGCAGTAGGTGACTGGGCCGACCGTGAGATCATAGGTGAAGACAAACACCAGGAGGAGCGCAGCTGACGAGTAGCTTAATCCGGGAGTGGTATGGCTCGGGATACCAAGAAAGCCCACCAACATCAAGACCGTGAACATAATGCCAAGTCCAGTGACAAAGAGCTTTCGCCGACCGACCCGCTGCATCACAAACCATGAACAGACGGTACCGCACCACCCAATGGCATTGACTCCAAGACCAAAGTCGAATGATTGGTTATTGCTAAAGTTGATTTGTTGGAGGAAGTAGACAATGTTGCCGCCGTACCAGATACCACAAAAGACTTGGCACATCCATACGCAGCAGACAATCTCGGTACGGCGCCGGTCAACTCCCTTGAGACAATCCCAGTAGCTCACGCCCTCTCGCGTTAGCTTTTCGTGGGTGTTGGTGATGATCATAAGGGCAACGGCATCATCGGCATCATATCCAGAGTTACCAGAACGAGCCAATTTAGTAAGTGACCGCTTTGCTTCTTCAACCTTGTCGTGACGGACTAACCACCAAGGAGATTCAGGAGCGAAAAGAACACCAATGATGATCGGAACAGGCCAGATCCACTGAATAGCATAAGGGATTCGCCACCCCCATTCATCAGTGCGACCCAGGAGACCTCGCAGAACACCAGTCGAGATCAGCTGACCAGTAACCCAACACAAGTTGACATAAGTGGTCAGATATGGACGGAGGATGATAGGGCTAACCTCGGCAGCATAGGTAGTTGTCAAGGTTTGAAAGGCACCCCAAGGAATTCCACAGAGCACCTCCCCGGCAAATAGCATTCCAATATTCTTGGCGAAGAACATGATGAATATGAAACCAATGAGCGAGATCAAAGCGCCGAGCATTGTCTTTTTGTAGCCCCATCGATCCGCAATGAGGCCGGCAATGAGAAGGCCCAGTATTTGTCCGACATTGGTTCCATTCTGCAGACCAGTTTGCCAATTGGATGTCACTTGATAGCCACCTTCTTTGGAAGGAACACCAAACCGCTCTTGGAATGTCGGGTACGCGTAAAAGGAGCCGAGGAGGGAGGTGTCGTATCCCTCCATGATGATGGCAAGAGACAAAACAAAAGAAAACAAAACCGCCTTTGGGAATTGCTTGAATGCATCCCAGTTGGTCAAGTGATGCTCAAAATCGGATGCTCGACGGGCCTTTTCGACTAGATTGGCGAAGTCCGGAATCTGCTCGGCCATTTGCAGTAAAACTTCATCTTCAATTCCGATAGTATACTCTCCCAGCGACTGAGAGGGCACGGCGAGGTTATGCTCAACATGAGTGGCTGCTTTGAGGTCCTCCATTTCGATATATCGGGCAGGAGTCCTCTCGGTTTTCCAAAGGCAGAAAAGATGAAAGTCGAGAGCAGAGATATTCAACCTCGATGAGGGATGAGCTTATTAAAAAGTGGCCATTTGAAGAGGAAGATCGTATTTATATCAGCCGTCGCTTGCCTCAAGGTAAGCATTTCTTCCAAAGGTGCAGCATTCTGTGAACCAGCGCTCGATCGTGCGCCACACGGTCGCTGGAATTATTGATTTGCGGGGAATTGTGGGGAAATACGGTTGACAAGCAAAGTCTGAATTTTGCTTCCGAAATTGGCGAATTGACCGGGATTGCGACAATTATGTGTGATTGATTATAGCGAGGGCAGGGTGTGATTGGGTTGTTCCCGCTATCTCTTTCGCTGCGTTTCTCGGTGTAACTGAGCACTGACTGTACGGAAGTCAAGCTCCCCAATCCTGAAGAGTTTTCAAGGTTCGAGGCTTGAACAAATCCTGTGTCTCAGCGCCGGTCACGCTATGTCCTGATTAAGGGTAGCTTCGTTATAAGCGAACCAACTGGGGGTTCCTGATTTTTGTCACAAGGTCAAGGGACTCGGACTTCAACGGAAATGAATATTTTAGTATTGCACTAGTCCAGCCACATAAAGCCCCTGGAAGCGCGACAGAAATTCCAGTAAAGAATATCTTATTCGCTGCATTTCTCGCAATATTTCATGGCATCTGTTGATCAACTGCTACTTGTTCTGAATTAGAGCGAGCCAGGGTAGGCGTTGCGAATATCGCTTGTTTTTTCGGCTTAATCATAGCTTGTAGCCTAAGCAGACTCTCATGACCCTGATTTCTCGAGTTCACCCTTTGTGTTAATCGAATATTGACTTTAGAACTAACATAATCTGGAATTCATCTCCGCATTTTGTTACATTCACGCGGGGGGTTTGTGGGGAATTCTATGCTCCGTGTACTTCGCCATAGTAATAACATTAATAGACACCTCTCTATAAATTGCTTTAGGACGGTTCAAAAGTAGGATAGATACATTTGATATCTACTTGGGATACAGTCATCATTTCACGATCAAGTGAAGCAAATCTGGCTTTTTAATCATGCATCCGCTGCAATTGTTCCTTTTGGGATTCTGTGCCCCATGTCTCAGTGCAGCAGCTGTTATCAGCCAACGCTCAGTGGCCCAAGGTTGGTCGTTGCAGTCCGCCACTTGTCCCAGCGGAACCAATGCATGCAGTGAAGGGGCATGTTGCCCTAGCAACCTCTATTGCTTTGCAGCTCAGACAGATGAAGTCGCCTCTTGTTGCTCATCAAGTGAGTCCCCAGTGTCGCTATATTGATTTAATGCCTAATAATCTGACATCAATCCTAGACTCGGCTTGTGTTGGCGCCATAGAGGGAGGACCCAAATGTGCTGACTCGAGCTGGTCTCTCTGGCGAGGTTTGCAGGGAAATGATTTCTGTTGTCAAGTTGGTCTCATTGGTATTTATCAATCGAACGGGAAAGTCGCAGGAACTTGCGTTGCCTCAGGTCAAGCTGGCACAGCAACAACTGCTCAGCTTGTGAGTTCGTCTAATAACCCCACAAATTAAACTCCAAACTCTAGCTACTCACGCTAATACGTTATCTAGATGTCAACGGGGACTGGATCCACTACAGGCAGCACTACCACAACAACCACTTCTTCAACCACCACACGCACTTCGAGCGTATCCACACGCTCTACTACCATGACTGCCGCACAGTCCACCAGTACCAAGGCTGTATTTGCGCACTACATGGTACTTGACAAATCATGACCTCCATTCCATCTGCGGTTTACCTAATCATGAATAGGTCGGCTCGATGACTTCGGCAGAGGCTGTGATTGACGTTCAAGATGCTATCAATGCCGGATTTGATGGATTTGCTCTGAATACCCACACTATCAGCTCCTCTGACACTTGGAATATCGATGCACTCAATTACCTGTTCGCCGCCGCCGCCGGGACCAACTTCAAGCTATTTATTTCGTTTGACATGAGTTGGGGCTTGGATGTTACACAGCTTGCGGCTTTCATGGCGCCCTACGCTACTCAGGACGCATACTACATGGTCAATGGGCAGGCATTCGTTAGTACCTATACAGGGGGTACTATTTCCAACGCCGCTTGGGATTCTGGATTCATCGAGCCTCTGACCTCCACCTATGGCATCACGCCATTCTTTGTTCCTGACTTTGAAGACTTTTCTGGTTATCCGACCGGCATTTTCAGTGCCTATCCGGTTCTAAACGGTGTCTACAGCTGGGAATCAGCATGGCCATCCCCTGGAACCACTCCAGCCAATGTTAGTGACAGCGTCGATTCCGCTGCTTTGCAGGAAGCACATGCCGCTGGCAGGGTTTACATGATGCGTGAGTGAATAGAGATCGTTGAACGGAGTTCAGGAGAGACTGAAGCTAAGAACAATCTGAGAACAGCCCTATCATCTTTTCAATTCAAGTATCTCGGCAGCGGTCAGGACTGGTACCGTATTGGGGAGGTCAACCTACCTGAGCGCATGGGTCAGGTCCTGCAGCTGCAGCCCGATTTTGTTGAAGTCATCACCTGGAACGATGCCGGAGAGAGCCACTACGTTGGTAATTTCTGGCAAGAACAAATCGCCGGCAGTACCATTGGCGATTATGCCGACGGTTTCGACCACAAGGGATGGTTGCAGATTATCACGCCTTTCATCAAGGCTTACAAGGCTGGTGCAACCAGTATTTCCCAGATCTCTCCGCCCAGCACCAGCCCTGTTGGAACCCTCTGGTATCGAACTCTCTTGACCAGTGCCAGCTGCTCCTCGTCCATTTCCAATTATCAATCGGCACTAGATACAGTGAATTTCGCTGTGATTCTCCCTGCAGCTGGCTACACCATTAAGGTGTATAGTAACAGCAATCTCATTGGCACATTTCCTGGTCAGAAGGGATTGAACTACAACAGTGTTCGGGGGCTTGCAGTTGGCAGTGGGCAGATGATTGAAGTGCTTGATAGTTCGAATAACGTTGTTGCCTCGGCCACGGGAACTAAGAATGTCTTGGCTCAAAGTCCGAATGCAGCCTGCAATTGGAACTATGAAGTTGTTGGCTTATCTTGAAGCAGTTTGAGTGTGGGTTTATCGGACATATTAGTCGATACAAGCTGTGCTCGACTTGTTAAGGAATATGTACACGACTTGGAAGGATAGAGAGGTACCGGACTTGATCAATATTGATACGTAACTTTTGAATCGCAATGCATATACTTGTTTTAGCCTACATCTACCGATAATCTATCTACTCAATCTAGGTGATGCTTTCGATGAACAGGAAGTCCGAGCATTCATGAATATACACAGTCATGTCAAGACCCCGATATAGAGGGCCCCACAGGGAGAGTTTAAGTAGCTGAGTATCACATTGTCCAGGAATGAACGATTAATATTAATCCTATACAATTGCATCACACACCTCCTCCGGCTCAGGAAATTCCAACATAAGGGGCATAGTGATGGATGATGGAATCTGTGACAAGCGCTGATGAAGTAAACATAATCTCTCTGATTTTATCCCTCCGACTTGCGACAATAGCCGTTCAATTGCGAGGACAGCATCCAAAGGCCCAAGGCGACAAATCTGATGATTTAAAACGGTAGGCATACACAACACAACGTCGAGTACGGAGTTCGCGACTTGGAGAAGCTTTATCTCCTGTATGAAGAGGAATGAATTAGAATATGAAACTACAATATCAAAGAGAAGTACGAGTCAATGACTTACCATACCATATCCATGACTACGCAAAGAGTCTATGGATACGTGTGAAAGTGACTCCAAATAATCCTTGGCAATTGATAGGGGGTAGTCAAATGATAGCGGTGCGATGGAGGTGGATGAGGAGAGCATGAAGCGGGAGGCAGAGTACTGCCACAGCAATGTACGAACCCATGCCGAGGTGGTCAAAATATCGACATATTGTATTTCAGATGTAAGTTCGAGCCCAGGGATTCTGACCTGAATTCTCTTTTGAATATCCGATATGCTGTCCCTTGAATATATATCAGTTGGCTCGATGGCTTTGTTTGTTGAGGGCGGCAAGATAAGGGGGCGTTGCACATGCAAAAATAATTGAACAAGAGCGCAGAACCCTGCATATAGGTTCCTTTGGGAGGTATCATTCTTGATTTCTGGAAGATTTTGTATTCTGTGCAGTGTAATTGGGAGGTCATGTTGAATGCAAAATGTCCTGTTCCAATTAGAGCGTGTCCCTTAGGTTTGGATTTTCATATATTGCAGAGAAACCATTCACTGACCTTTCAGTCACAAAAAGAATCCAATAACATCGAAGCTCCAGTTGCGACTGCTCGGACTGCACTGGATCAGACGAAGGGTTGTGACATAGATGCAAAAGGTCTGCATAGGTGATCGCCTCGCGGAGGGAGATGGTAGCCGGCGTGATTTGATCTCGATTGGCGTAGTACATGTGAAGAAAGACGGAGGTGATCAGAGCATTAAGACATGGCTCTTGATGGTAGTGATGTTCAAGTCGAACGCAAAGACATTCTTTGACAAAGTCTTCTGCTGTCACGGAGAGATTCTCTGGGAGCGGAGTCGGTGCGAGCCAAAGGCGAATTTGTGCTAACGTCGCAGCACATAGAGCTGCTGCTAAAGCATGTGAAGTGGGATCACTACTTGGGTTCTTTAGCTGTTCTTTCAAATGCTCAATGTTGGCGATCGGCCAAATATCGTGAAGACGCGCCTGAAAGATATCGAGTACTGCGTGATAAGTCGATAATGAAATCCGGGAACTTGAAGCGTGGAGGACGGGGCTTTCGAGCGCTGGAGTGGATAGTTCTGTTGCCATTTCAACGTCCGCTGCGGCCAGTCGTTGTATCTCCTTGATTTTGCGGGTAGTAGCTGATCGAGGCCCTTTGGGCCCGGGTCTCTTGCGGACCCTCAAATAAGTACAGGCTTGTTGTCTTATCAAGCAAGTTTGACATGGATCCTGCCGATCACATCTCACCCGCCGCACAAAACAACCATCACAGGGGCTATCCATGTTTCTCGGTGATTTTCCGGGCTGTGGAAGCATCCGGGAATTACAGCGAGAATTAAGTCATTGACTCTGTTCGCTGCAACCCCTCGCATTAGCCACATGCCCTTTGGTGGCGTTTGTACAATTGCGGGGAATAAAAGTAAGACATTTGGATTGAGATCCGAGCCACGGCTGACATGCTACTGTGCACAGTCCTTCCGGTCCGAACAAGTCAGCTCTAGTTCGTGTCACCAGTCCTAGCGAAAATCCCAGCGAGTTTGATACGAGCTTATTACCAACTGAGCAACTTACTACAATGATTAAAGGAACATAGTTGAGAGCCCACTATATGAACCACTAATTTCCGCAGAACAGTAGATGAATGAAAATATCCTTCAAAGGTCAAGGTACCAAGCATTTGACCATGCATCGCTATTCCTTCCCACATAGTCCGGTCGCTAATCCCGAGGCGATCATTGGTGCTAGCAATTACCGTTTCACCGTTTTGACTGACGGCCTAATTCGTTATGAATGGGCTGCAGACTGCCAATTTGAGGATCGCGCCTCAGTTCTTGCCATTAACCGCCAGCTGCCCGTACCCGAATTTCGCGTTATAGAGGATCAACACAGTCTTCAGATTCTCACTTCCCGATTCCACCTCAATTATGACAAACAAAGATTTTCTGCAAATGGTCTCAGCGCCGTCATTAAGGGAAACTATGGGCCTCATGTCAGTGTCTGGCGTTATGGAGTCGAAGTTTCAAATCTCGGTGGCACGACCCGTACTCTGGATGAGGCAGATGGCCGAGTTGCGCTCGAGCAGGGTGTTATTTCCAGACAGGGATATGCGACTCTGGATGACTCAACTTCCATGCTCTTTGATGATTACCAGTGGGTGACTACAAGATTGCCTGGAAATCGCGTGGATGGCTATCTTTTCGCGTACGGTCACGACTATCGACAAGCCATTCAGGCGTTTTATCTTCTATCAGGACCACAACCTCTGCTTCCCCGATGGGCCCTGGGGAACTGGTGGAGTCGATTTTATCCTTACACAGCGGACGAATATCTATCGCTGATGGATCGATTCCGCGAGAGTAGGATACCACTATCAGTCGCCGTATTGGATATGGATTGGCATATCGTGCAAGATGAACGCGTCAAGAAAGCCGGAGTGACAGGATGGACTGGTTACACCTGGAATAAAGACCTTTTCCCCAATCCCAAGGCTTTTCTTGCGGAACTCCACGATCGGGGCCTACATATTTCTCTAAATGATCATCCAGCAGACGGTGTTCAGAGCTACGAAGAATCCTATGAGGAAATGGCCATCGCTCTGAAGCATGACATGTCCATGGGTGACCCTATCTCGTTCGACATTACAAATCAGGCCTTTTTGGATGCTTTTTTTGATGTGCTCCACCGGCGATTCGAAAGGGATGGACTGGATCTTTGGTGGGTGGATTGGCAGCAAGGAACACATTCCCGTATCCCCGGCATTGATCCACTTTGGGTACTCAATCATTACCACTTCTTGGACAGCGCTCTTGGAAACAAGAGGCCCTTGACATTTTCGAGGTACGCAGGCCCAGGCAGTCACCGGTACCCTATTGGGTTCTCGGGTGATACCGTAGTATCATGGGATTCTCTTCACTTCCAGCCAGAGTTCACCGCAACAGCGTCAAACATTGGGTTTGGCTGGTGGAGCCATGATATTGGAGGCCATTTCCACGGTGAAAAGAATGACGAGATGCTCATTCGATGGGTACAATACGGCGTATTCTCCCCAATCCTGCGTCTCCACTCGTCGAACAACATTTTCAGCATTAAGGAACCCTGGAATCTTGACCCTCAATATGGGCAGATCATGGCAAAGTATCTGCAACTTCGTCATAGACTGCTTCCATATCTATACACCATGAATGTTCGCGCTGCCGTGCAAGGGCTCCCTCTTGTTCAACCCATGTATTGGGGCTACCCCGAAAGCGAGGAGTCATACAACGTACCAAATCAGTACATCTTTGGCTCAGATCTCATTGTGACACCAATTACTGCTCCTCAAGATCCTAGATCTCGGAGATCTCAGGTCCTCGCATGGCTTCCTCCTGGTAGGCACGTGGATATTTTCACAGGTGTGGTCTACGATGGAGATCGTCGGATTTGGCTAAATCGACGCCTGCAAGATTACCCAGTATTCGCCCCCGAGGGAGCGATCATTCCACTTGATGCGGCATCAGGTCTCACAAATGGCTGTCCAAATTCTACCACGATCGAGCTCCTGGTTGTTGTTGGGGCAGATGGCAATTTTGAACTTTTGGAAGACGATGGCAAGGGTCAGCACGTGGATCAAGTCAATTTTCGCCGAACGAAATTCTATTTCGATCAACAGGCTGGTGAGTTGCATATTGGACCTACATGTGGTGGGAACATACCTTCTGGTCTTCGCCAATGGAATGTTCGCTTCCTCGGATACGCGTCAGCGGAAAGGATAGAAGTTTGTGTCGGGGATGAAAGACACATCTTGAATGGTCAGAATGAGAGCAACGGCTTCTCACTGGAACTGGGATCTCACCAAGAAAGTGCGCACATCGTGGTAAAGTTGGAAAGTCATCCCACTTTAATGATGAACCGGCCTGAGACTCAAATTATCGACTTTTTGCGCGGTGCTCAGATCGAACTGGATCTGAAGGACGAGATTCGGAAGGTTGTCGAAAAGCCGATATCCAAGTTGCTGCAGATTGGAGATCTTCATGCCCTTGGCCTCGACAGCATATTGTTGAATCCAATCCTTGAGTTTCTCTTAGCTGACTCTAGGTCTGCATTCACCAAAGACAACCAGGATATCAGCAGCCCTTCGCAGCAAAAGCAAAATGGTATAAAGTGTCTCAATAAGTCAGTCTGACCCTCTTAATGGGTGAATGCTCTATATTGACTCTTCGCCGTGCTCGGTTTTCCATTATGGACTGGGGTCCCGATTCACGAGCAATGTCTCTGTTGAGTGAGAGCTGTCAAACTGGCTGCTTTCCCCTGCATCTTGTGTAGCTAGACCTTTTTCCCTGCAATCCTCAAGATATGGCGTTTCTATACGGGTCCACACTACATCGCATCTCCGTAGAACCTCCCTCCATTGCAGGCAGACCTCGCTATTAGTGACCGTCGCGCATGTAGCCGAGAGCAGAACAAAGGATAGTGGCTACAGCGACGCACCCAGAAGGAAAAGGTCAGGGAACATCAGCGCTCTAGGCACGTGCAGGATACCAAATACAAAACAGTCTGGCTAACGCATTCAGTGGATGAGCTGACGGTAGGGCGAAAAGTCTGGAAGGCATTGTTAACGTGAAAAGAAGGAAAAACAAAACAAAAACATACAACAGTAAATGTCTTTTGGTGCTGACCTATCGTCTAAAGTACGGGCGTGGGTGACTCGCCGCTATATGAAGCCCTCTTCAGGGCAATACAAGTACCTCTTCACCGACCTGGATATTCCTCACCCTAAAACTCAGCGTCTACAGCAAAAGGCCCTTTCTTGAAATCCTGGAATTTTAAGGGGAATCACTACAGTTTCCCTTTTCTTTACATCCTTCCTTTGCCGATAATTAGTCTAGGCTGTGAATACCAAATGCCTACCTACTATTATCTAGCTTTCAACTATACTAAATACATTATGATTTCCAAGATTATTAGATTACTAACCTTGTGTAATATATCTTATCAAAAGCAGAGAGAGACTACAATTACACCGAAGTTATATTGAATAAGCAAGTAATTATAACGAGGTAGAATGCTAGATAAGAAGATAGCACTTAAGTAGAGAACATACAAATCAATGTCATAGGTGGAGTCCCTGGTGGGCACCTACATATATGCAGCTGCCCCCGCGGCCGAAACCATGCTTTTCCCAGTTTTCTCCCGGTTTCCATGGAACTCTCCTTTCTCCTGCGCCTTATGATTTGCGTATATTTTCTATGACAGATTTTTCTACGAGCATATTTGTTTTTGGCTTGGAAAAGCTAACATCCAGCATGGCGGAGAACAAGATCATCTGTGTCATAGGAGCCACGGGAAACCAAGGCGGGTCTGTCGCCCGTCGGTTTCTTAAGGCGGGGTTCCGTGTCCGTGGCTTGACCCGCGATACATCGTCCCCCGCAGCACAGAAGCTTGCGACCGATGGCGTTGAAATTATAAAAGTAGACCTTGACGACTTGGAGAGCCTTAAGCTAGCTCTAAAAGATGCCAATGTCATATTCAGTGTTACGAACTACTGGGAGCCGTTCTTTCGCGCGGACTGCCGTCAGAAGGCCAGTGAACTAGGCATCTCACCTGCTCGGTTCGCGTACGATGTCGAATACCAGCAAGGCAAAAATATTGCCGACGCAGCAGCAGCGACCTGTGATACTCTCGATCATAACGGTTTCCTAGTGTCCACGCTAAGCCATGCTGCCAGGTCTAGCCAGGGAAAATTCACAGAATTGTACCATTTCGACTCCAAAGCGGATATCTTCCCCTTCTACGTTGAAGAAAAGTACCCTGACCTTGCGGCCAGGATGTCCTGCATCCAGACTGGTTACTTCTATTCAAGTTTTAATATCTTACCTGACTCGTATTTCCGCAAGGCAAGTAATGCACCCATAATTGAAGAGCTTGACTAATGATCGTCAAGCTAACGGATGAGTCTATTGAAATGCACTTCACCACAGCCCCAGACAGGGTTGTGCCACACTTAGACCCTGTTGGGGATATGGGAACTTTTACCTTCGCTGTCCACCAAATGCCTCCCGGGAAAGAGTACATGGCTGAAGGGACAACGTGTAGTTGGGCCGATTGGATCAAGACCTGGAGCGACATAACTGGCGTACCTGCGTCTTATCGACAAGTCAGTCCTGATGAAATGATCAAGGTGACTCCCGATCGAGACTGTGGCATCGAGATAGCGTACATGTTCTCTTATAGTACAGACCCAGGATACGATGGAGGTAGAACCCTTCTCACTGCGGCCGACATTCGCAAGGCAAGTCAACTTGTGCCCTTGGAACCAGCATGGCTCACTCTAACATAAGGTGACAGACTGGTATCGACTGCCCAATGACGAGTTGGAAAGAGTGGGCAAGCCGCCAAGATTGGTCTGTCGTGTTAAACAAAAGAAGCTAGTGAAGAGGGGAACTTTCTGCGAACCAATCTACTCTTGAGATCGAGTTCGGCTACGGAAGGTAGTGGGAGACAAGGAGACCTAGTTGTGGCTTGTAGAAGGAAGGATGGTCTGAGTCGCTTGTCCCTGCACGCATGCGCTTATAACTATACATCACATTTGCTGAGTCACCTTAGACCGTTTCGTACCACTCTTATAGATAGTATTCATAGTAGATATGATTAACGCTGATCTCTCAGCAAAGCAATATGTACTTAATATCAATTGTATTTATCTACATATGCACATGTCGTAGTGGTTCTTGATATCATTGTTACTTCCACACACTCTTGCGCTGTTTCCTGGGGTCCATCCGATGGCGCACTAGGGGACAGAACCGCCTACAACACATCTATCATTGTATCTCTGATAAGGATCGTTACTAAACGCACCATGCATTGCTTAAAATACCCCATTATCTAAGTATATTACTAAATATTTTGTTTCATTTGCTTCCCTCTATATAAAAATAGTGTCCTCATTCTAGAAGATTTCGACTATGATTTGGTGAAACACATACTCCAGTCAGATCCCACTTCATGACAACACAGCTAGAGAAAAGACCTGAGCATATGAGGAGGAAGAACACGTCAACACTGCAGGGGCGGGCAGGATATCCAGATGCAATATAGCGGTGTTCAGGGCATTCAGGTGAAGCGCCCGAAGGAACTGAAGGCTAGAACGGCAAGAGAAAGTCTCCGAACAAATCAACAACAAACCAAAAAAAATAAGATTTGAAAACATACAACAGTCAGGATTCGCATGTGGTCACCCGCCATACTACTAACTAACCGGCGTGTGGCTTAAGTACGGCTGAGCGGACGGGAAGCCCTGTTCTCCACACCCTATGGTCGTATGTACTAGAAGATGTACAAAAACAAACTATATAGTGCCAAGAAATACCATTTTATGAGAGAATCAGTCGGTGAAAACCTAGGCAGTTGAGTAATTTGCAAATTTAGATGTAGATGGAGTGTAATGTAGAAGACTTGATACTGCTGCGGAGCATAATTCACGTGAATCCCAGTCACGGCTCTAGATATAAGCCTCTCCACGCTCCACAGTAGTATACTGCCCTCTTAGTATCCAATAGGGTCACACTCGCCTTACCCATGGATTTTATTTTGTACAGCATCCACATAACTGGTATCGGTCGGATCCTGAGCTCTTTTAAGCCTCACACTATCTATAGGTCCTCCAGGAGCATGTTTTGAACTCTCACAATGGTTGACTTTGTCACAATTCACACTCTATTTCCAATCCATTGGTTCATTATTTACTGATATTTTCACACTTCCAGAATTTTCCCAGTCAGATAGAATCTTCAGTGTAATTACATATTCTTTAGTCGGTCTAAGAACCGGGTTGATTGCTAATATGGGCGCGTCTGCTTGACAAATTCAATGAACCCTGACACCTCTTCCACCTATAATATGAATGAGTCCTGGATGTCAGATAAATATAAGCAAAAAATATTTCTTGGATACGGGGAAGACGATCATATGACCTGTGTATTTATATGACTACCATACATCGGTTTTCTCGAGAAGAATCTAATGGTTTTTATTACTTTTTTTTTTTAAAAAAAAACAACATAAGGAACAAGTGTTGATCAGATAACGGGCCAGTCTGCCAGTTGGCCCATATAAATTGCGGCAATGCGTGAAATATTAGATAGAACCCTCTAGGCTCGCTTTCAAGTAAACACTGTAGCCCGTAAGGTTGTAAAATAAGTTTATATCATGTACAAAATGGCAGATCAACGACAATATGGAATCTGAACCGCCATATTACCCGACTCGAGGATCAAGACGCTTTGAGATGATTTCTTCGTGCTGTGACTGGAAAAAATGTTACCACATAAACAAACCATTCTAGAATGAGAATCAAGACTGGAAATTGAGCGAGCTGAACAGCCAACTTTCCCAAGTCCTTGTCTGGTGGAGTTTCTCTCAAAACGACCCGTGGACTGTTTGGCACTGGCTTGGGCAGTGGAGTATCCGATGTAGCTAGCATTGATTTTCCTTCCGTCCTGCATCTGATTTGCGTTTGGTGCATTGAATATTGAAGATCATTGTGGTGGTTCTCTGTCTGTTCGGGCTTCGGAGATACGAGAAGGTAATCGTGAGCCACTGCCCGGGGTTCTTCCTTTGGTTGTGGCCTGTATGGGATAAATTGTGTGATGGGTAGTGTGGTGGGGGGAAGTGTGCTGGGCCGTCGAATGATAGGAGAGGGCAATCTTTCTAGTGGTTTGTTTTTCGGAAGGTTTGGCTTTTGACTTTCGGTGTAGACGACAGGGTCTGTGCGGTCCTTCTTCATTGCTGCTTGTTTTTCTGCATTTGAGTCTTGTACAGCTTGGGAAGAGTCCCGAAAGGATACGGGAAGCGAATCAGGGAGCTGCACCCGTAGACCTTCAAAGTTCAATCGTTCCATTTGTAATGGCAATCCCTTGACAATAGGATCAAGTCGCCTTATAGGCTTCTTGTCTTTGTCAGGAAATACCAGTATCAGTGACTTGGCATCTTTCTGTTGGGATTGCCTGGGGAATCTCAACAGCTGCTTCACGTTGCTTTTGAACCTGCCAGAACCCTTTTTCAATTTGCCCTGAATTTCAACTCGAATATAAAACGGATCCATGTCGTGTTCCAATGTGAAAGCAGTCTGGATCACGTTGCTGTGTGTCGACTGTCGTGAAAAATCATCTCCCGAGAGCTCCCATTTCAGCGTACGGTACACCATTGCTCTTGTGCCATTGTCATTCTGAGGTCTGAGGATGAATCTGGAGCCTGGAAGTAGATTTCCCGTAAAAGTCCAGCGACTGCTCTGAGTGAATGTCTGTTCGCGATCGCAGCCTAGCCCGCCACCACCGTTCCCAAGGACGTTAAGCTCAGGGGTCAGATGCATGACATTCTTGGTTGTCACATTTGTGGGCTTCCCTTCAAGCTGCCGAGGACCAAAGTCATGCGTGAGTTGGAGAAAGCGGGATTTGCCCAAGCGCGGCTCAACCAGTACGAGCTGTGGGTTGGTATTCTGGGAGGATTTCGATATTGTCGCTGGCTTTATTCGCTCTCTTGGCCCATGTCTTCTGCTCTGCTGTTTTTCTTCCTCTTCTTCCTCTTCTAGGCTGATCCATATCACCGCGCTTGTTAGGTGACAGTCTTTAGGCTGACTGAAAGCAAAGTCCACGTAGAGGATCCCGGCCTGGTTCTCCGCTGGGCCTAGCACGCCTAATTGGGTCTTTGAATGACGGAACCGACAGTCAATATGAATTGGGCCAAGCTCCTGGCTGCATAGGCTGATGTTGGCGAGGTGATCAAAAGTATTGAAGGTTGGGCCATATTTGCGGGCAAACCGAGCTGGAGGTTGGCGGGCGGGATGCGGTTGGACGGTTTGCATCGAGGATAGAACGACGACAGTAGTAATAGTAATAGACAATCGGGTCCTTGAAACTTAAATTGACCGAGACCAAATATTGGACTGCTGTGGCTAGAAAATGTCTGTGATGGAGAAGTGGAAGAAGTGGAATGGCGAGGCTGTGTGGAGACAGGGTCGCAACCATTCATCATCCGCCCTGCACGCTAAGTCGCGGAGGCTGCTCCAGAAGAACTATGACTGGCAGAGCGTGCGGGGCTCAGCTTTTTATATTTACACAGCCCATGTTGCGTGGCACGAACCCAGCTCGGGCACAAGTTGCGTTATCATCAAAAGCGGGGCGTTACATCGTAGGGTCCAGGTCTCAAGATAGCTCTCAAACCCATCTTGACCACCAAGAACATCAACACATCCAAAAGCCACCAGCTCGCTCACAAGTCTATCCTGGTATAATGACCTATCAAAGCCGCAGCAGAGAACCTAGGGATAGGAGCATTCCATTCGATGATGACATGTATTACTATCCGCATTCCCCGCTGCAACCATCCAAAGACTTTTCATTATCGCGGGCACAAATGCGCGACCGTGGAATCCAGCCTACCCAAGACCCTACTGCAGGGGCTTCTCTCCAAGCTCACAAACTTCTTCTCTCTGGTCGCACTGAAATACACGATTCCGCAAAAGGCCAAACTCGCCCGGATCGGCCAAAATCTCCCATTCCATCAGAGATATCAAACGACTCATTTCTCTTGAATCTTCAAACTCATGGCAATCTTCAAATCCTCAAATTTTCATCAAATACAAATACTGATAGTACCCTGCATTTCGCTCTGGATGTAGCCGATGATATCGAGGGCCAGCTGGAGGAGTTGGGGCGCTTGAGGCGATGGGGCCATTTCAAAGAGGCACTCGAATACTTCGAGTCCAACTTGCAACAACATGTTCAGCTACCAATGGTGACGACTGAGTATGCCAACCTATTGCTGGAACAGGGTGCCTACAAGAAGTTGATTCAGCTGAGGTTAGAGGCTCCTCAGAAAGTCAAATCCATCCCAGGGACTGGTGCTGATCAACTGGACCTCTACCGTACCCACTTTGACACGATTGAGAAGCTTGCGGAACTTTATTTTCAAAGTCTTGCGATAGATGATTTGGACTTTGTACATTCAGAGGAGAGTGCTTTGCATTTTGATCTACGGATTAGTGACCGGCGAGTTTCTAACTCTACAGTCGGCCCGGGAACATCGTTTGATTACACAGAGGTAATGACGACAGTCAACTCTCTAGATTGGAAAGGTGCTGATATTTGGAAATATCATAGGTTCAAATCATTCGCAATCATCTCGAACTCCTAGCCAATATTGGTGATGGAGACCGAGGCGGTGTTATATTACCAACTCCTGGATTTAAATGCTATAGGGAGATTTACAACGATTTGCTCGTGGAAGCGCGCATCTGGGAGTGTCGCGACTTCCTTGGTGCGTTGTTTCGTTACTTCGGGTCACTGGGAGCTTGGAAGATCCTACATACCAACAACAGCTCAGAAGTTGAGCTGAAAGATTGCCTTGAACAATTCTCGCAGGAGTGGTCGATTGAGGACCATGATGAATCAACGGAACTTGCTATGCTGTCCATTCTTATGCAAATGGTGGATGATTTTACTCCACGCGGTCACTATGGCATCCAGAAAGACGAGGCAGCGTATGTGATTTTGTGCCTTCAGAAAGCCAATTCCTATGCTGCTAACATCGAACAGTATAGCCCTCATCTGAAAAGATCTCGGCCTTATCTGCAATGGATCATAGCCAAACAACAATTTGATCGACGATCAAATTGTAGCCCTTCGTATCGCGAAAAGCGAGAGCAGCACTTTGAAAATGACTTTGGAGAAGTTTTAAATGATTGGAACATCCCTATCTACCTCCCCGTGGGATCTGGAAATAGAGGCTGGCCAGCTTCAGACCCGAATTTTCCGCCCAACGACACATTGAAGTGGGTTTTGAGGACATCGCGTGAGCTTGGAGACTATGAAACCGAGTCCATGTGCCTCCAAGAGCTGATCTGCCGCGCCGAGGATCCACGAACTTGGTTCGCTGAGTGTGACAATCTCCTAAAAGATACTCAGGGGAATAATCTTGGGCACTTTGAACTTTCCCTCTCTCGGTATCTTCTTGCGAATGACAATATATCTCGGCGACAGCTTATGTGTGAACTAGAGGAGACCATCAAGAAGTTCAAGCCCACTGCTGAGGACGACGTTTACATCTACACACGTAGGTGTGGACTTATTGTTCTAAATGGGCTGTTTCATTTTTTCCCTGAGTATACTACAGAGTGCCTTCAGAGCGAAAATTCAATTCATGCCCTCGGCAGGATACTCTCCCTTCCGCCGACCCTGAATCATCAAAGACGCCGTTTTAAAAGGTATTCAAAAGCCGATGACAGGACAGTTCCTATTTACAGAGTCAAAAATGGGTGGTATGAAGATGGAAGTCGCCATCGATTGCGCCGTCCTGAAAGTTACGAGAGGGAAGAGACAGACAGAGGTAACGAGTTGGAGCGACGTGACCAGGCGGTACAAAAGGAGTTGAGGGATTTCGAATATCAGGAGCGTCTAGCTGTAGGGAAAGAGGAAATAAAATCAAGGATACGCCAGGAGGTAAGGGAAAGTCGGGACAATTGTAGCAAAACGGGGGCAGCAGACTGGGAGGACAAAAGACAGGAAATACAACTAGAACGAATCAAACGACAGCCGACAGTGGCCGATTTTGAAGAGCCACCATCACCAACTAGTACTCTATCAAGTCCTCTTGTGCGGTCGGCTGCAGTGGAGATGCATTCAGATGGAGATGCTGGCGCACTAGCGATGATTTCCAGACCTCAAGAACCGCCTTCGCTGTAAAGGAATTGTGCCTACATTCCGAGAACGCCAATGATATACTGTATCAATGAATATTTTCTTAACTTTTTTCTCTTGTCAATAAGGATAACGCATATGCGCTTACCCTATCGAAATTTCAAGTTACAACGGATCATGTCATTCCGTAAGCCGCCACAGAGGTCCAGACTGAGGGAAGCGCTCTCACTAAATTCCTCTTTTGGCATCAAAGGCCAATCATATCTCGGCATTTTGATCTGTAGAGAACGTATTGACAACAAGGCTTTGTCGTATAGGTGAGTCTGAAAGTCCATTGATGGATTACCTTTGCGTACTGCGACAATTATCTGCATCAATTTTGAGCAGGTCCTACTGCTGGTTATCCATCGCACAATGGTCTTGCCCTTTTTCAGAGAGCATCCCACCACGGCACGATGAGACTGATTTAGAAGACTAGATACGATAAAGATGTAAAAAATGTAAACAAAAAACATACAACAGTCAGGATTCGCATGTGGTCACCCACCATACTACTAACTAACCGGCGTGTGGCTTAAGTACGGCTGAGCGGACGGGAAGCCCTGTTCTCCACACCCTATGGTCGTATGTGCTTGTGTTTTCCTCAAAATTAATAATATCATTCAATATAGCTGAGCGTCACTTCCGACAACGTGCACGGGGTCAGAGGATTACCTAGGGTCAGAGTATCTCCATAGTTATGGATGGCTTCTGAGTTTGTGTATTGATACAAAAATTCCGTCCACGGGTGCTGTGTCGGGATCTCAGAAACTGAATCCCTGACTATATATATTCGCGAGCCCTACGAGCACCTGGACATCCAATTTTTATTTGAATAACGAAAGTTTAGTGACCAGTATTCAGTCGTAGAGATAAGAAATATGACCGGTAGAATTCCTAGTACAAATTAGAAATCAAACCTTCCAAATAGAGCGAAACCAAAGCTGACTCACCACACGGCTTTAGGAGTAAGCTGACATTTTTTGTTTCTTGATAAAACTAACTACCTATATCATTCAACTATAAGACTTAAGACTAGCGCAATAATTAATTGAGGAACATCATTGAACAAATCTTCTCTGGTCACAAAGTCGCGAAAAAAGAGACCCAGCGGTGCCAAGTAGCGCAGCCGGAGTGTCATACTCAACGACTTTACCGTCGTCAATAACAGCAATCTGATCAAAGTCCAAGAGGGTATGAGCTTGGTGTGCAACTGCAACAATGGTACACCCCGAAAAGTCCTGTCGAATGACTTGTTGCATTAGCCGGTCCGTCGTATCGTCCACACGGCTTGTCACCTCGTCCAGGAGCAAGATTTTCTGTTTCATGGCAATGGCCCGTGCTAGACAAATGAGCTGTCGCTGGCCTGCAGACAGTGGAAGATCGTCCATCTTCGCGTCTAGGCCACCATTTATCATCACATGCTCTTTTAGCTTCATCCTCTCCAGGGCCCGCAGGGCCCTAAAGTCGTCAAGGGACTTGAATGCTCCAATGTTTCCCCTTATAGTACCTGGAAACAAAACAGGCTCCTGGGGTATGACAGTTATTTTGCTGCGAACCATATCGCGAGGGCAAGACTGTAGACTAATTCCATCAATGATGATATTCCCACTCTGTATCTCAATCATGCGAAGAAGAGCGAAGATAAGAGAGCTTTTGCCACTTCCTGTGCGTCCGCAAATTCCAAGCTTGGATCCTGCAGGAATGTTCAAAGTGACGTTTCGAAGAATAGGACGTGCCGTCAGCTCATATGCCATACTCGTATCTTGGAATATTATAGAGCCCTCCAGTGGCCACGTAGCGGGTGGGTATTGATCCTCCGAAGGAAGATCTTCAGTGGGCACTTTCTCAAAGCTCCGAACTCGGGTGATAGCACCGATACTGGTCTCCATCAGCGTCCAGAAATTGATGAGCTCAGCAAGCTGCTGGTTAAAAGCGATCAAGGAGATAAGGGAAACTCCGACTGGCCCGATATTGGGCGTGAAAACAGATAAAACGGCTAGCATCACGGCAATTCCAGCGACAAGGAGATCCAATACTAGAGTCAGCCATCGTTGAACAACAAACAAGAAATAGTAAGGTTTTTGGGATTGCCGAAGTAGTTGTTTATGCTCCTCCTGGAAACTGTGTTGCCACCCAAAAGCACGAATCGTGATAAGTCCATTGAGCGTCTCAGTGAACTGGGTGAATAAGGGCGACTTGTTTTCCAAATCCAGGTAGCGGAGCTGCCGTGATGTGCGAAGGTAGAATCTTTGGATCCAGTAGATGGCAAACACTGTAAGGAAAATCAGAGGAGCCATAAATTTTGCTCCAACACAGATGAATGTTGCACTAATCAAACACTGAACGAAGTTGCTGGATGTTTTCAGAAATTCAGCTGGAAGTGATCGATCAATCAGAGTCATGTCTTGGCTGAAGCGATTGAGGATGACCCCGGAATCAGTTGACGTGAGCCAATGCAGTGGTGCCTTTTTTACCTTGTTCACTAAGTACTCATGTATCTTGCCTGAGGACCTGGGAACGATGCGGCAGAAGACTAGCCACATGCAAAAAGCCCAAATGCCAGCTCCAGCTGTGGCCAGTGTAGCATAGACACTGATATATTGTGACAACTTTCCAAATGGTGTCCTTAAATTTTCCTCCGCCCACCACTGGACCCACAGATCTAAAGGTTGATGTTATTATGGATCATAGTGGAATGACTTAGGGGATCATAGTGGAATGACTTAGGATGCACTTACTTGTGAACTGGGTACAGAACACGCCAATTGTTAGAGCCCCTGCGTAGAGGATCATTGACCACCCACCAGATGCCTTGAAATAGTAGGCATAGTCGCGCAAGTCCCCTTGCTTCCTCACGGACTTGTTGTTAATACCTGTTATGTTTGTGAAAGGTACATCTACCTGAACACCCTGCGAAAGGTCTTGATAAGAGATTGAAGTCTCTGTTGAGACCTCCAGTTCGCGAGCTTTGAATTTCTTGAGCTCTCTAGGTGGTCCCTGCTCACGGATCTTTCCGTCACCAAATATGATCACATTATCGGCATCGGTAAGTAAGTTCCAGTCATGTGTGGCCAAGATAACAGCAGTTCCATTTTGACGTAGTATGCCCTGCGACCCAAAAACATGAGTGAAGACCAAAGCAGAAGTGGTGGTATCGAGAGCACTAAGAGAATCATCGAAGATGGCCAACTTCGTTCGAGCATAAGCCGCACGGGCAATGGCAATCCGCTGTCGTTGCCCACCGCTCATTGAAAGGCCATTACTTCCAATGACTGTGTGGTCTTTTTGAGGCAGAGCATCGATGTCGCGATCCAGCGCGGTCGAGGATATGATAGTGCGGTACCATTGCTCATCATAAGGAAGTGGGTGACAAATGTTGTCACGGATAGACCGGTTGCGAATCCATGTTTTTGTATCGCAAAATGAAATTTCGGTGACGTTCACGTGAATGAACCCCTTTAGACAAGGTACCTCGCCCAAGATTGCTTTCAGGAGGGTGCTTTTTCCCGAACCAACATGCCCCACCAGTATAGTCAATGAAGATGGAGGTATTTTAATATTCACATCTGATAATATGGGTTCCTCTTGGCGTTGCCACCCAAAGGCAGCCTGATAGGTATGGACGAGATCGGCAATCTCAGTACCTGGTGCCGAGACGTTCATTGCTTGAAGTTCCAGGGAAATGTCAAGTTCGGATTCGTCGACCTGGCTAGCCGCCATCGAATGCTGCGGGTGTGGTATGATGCGATCATCAAGTTTCGACTCAGCTATAAGATACTCTTGAATCCTTTGAATACATTCCAAAGCACCCGTCACTTTTGGCCCCGAATAAATCAGGTTCGATAACGGACTGCTTAACAGAGAGATTATGGAGAGTGTGGTGAAAGCCGAAGATGCGGTCAAGGGGCTGCTGCCAGTGTGAAGTGCAATGCCAGTATAGATGACCAGCGTAAGCACTGGACACAAGTTTGTAATAGCACCGGCTGCATGATTAATTAGTAGCCTTCTCCAAGCCCAAGAGTGTATTGATAGTGTGGCTAACCAAGTAAATTCATCTTGACCATCATGTGACGAAACTTTTTCTGTCGGCTGAGCTCATTGATTCGGAACTGTTGCAATTTCGAGGAGAGGCTATCCTGGATACCGAGCAATTTGATGCTTGCACTATTATTGAGATAACTGGATGCAAATGCTACTCTCTGGCGCACAGCCTGCATCCATTACTTTTGTCGGCTGGGTGTTGACTTTGACAGAAAGTGCGTGGAAACAAAAGTTGCGACGGAGACAAAAGCCGGGACTGCTGCCGCCCAGGAAACCTGCCGCTGCAACAAGAATAACGCAATACCTGTTTCAATGGGACTTGCCCAAATCTCGTGCATATTCTGAACTCCAAATGCGATATTATCTATATCATTGCTCATCAGAGTTAGAGCAGCTGCGTCGCTATTTTCATCAAATGCCAGTGTCAGGGTCTTCTCAAAGATCAAAGACACAAATGCTCCTCTAATTTTTGTCGTAAGCCGGAAGTTATGATGTTGGTAAAGACAGCTGAAGGCCTGGGCGAATTGGATCAGAAACTATACACAGTATAGAAAGATTGGGGATACAAACCCCCTTGAGGAAGAATACCAACGCAAACCCGCCTATCAAACCGTAACCATCGTTCTTGTTCGGAATGGCATCCTGAACATAGTCGGTTAAAGCAGTAATGAGGAATGGCTGGCAATAGGTGAGCCCGATAACTGCTAGTCGAGCCATGAATGCCCATATAACGGAGGATTTGAACGTCCAAATAGTTGAGTAGGCTAAAGCGCTACGAGAAGTTCTAGAGCCTTTCATGACTGTTAAAAAATCAACTAGGAAAGTAAAATAGCTTGTTATTAGTCACCTTGGGTACATCGTCTAATGAGTTGACGGTGCAGTATGTCTGACGAAATAATTTGGTCCAGATGCGGCAAATCGTCCACAGACAGTATACGCTTGAACCCAAGACAGAGATACGAGTTGACCCACCAAAAGAAGGTGCGGCTATAAAGGCCATTCACCTCCTCATCTCCGTACTGTTCTCTCTGGTTGAGAAAATATGTCCGTTTCGACTGTGATTCAAGGTAGAACCAGATCATCTTCAATATGATGCTTGCTGTATAGAGTCCCGCTATGGCGGTATTAGATGCGAGCCATAGGCTTCTAACACGGACAACATCAAAGAGGAGTGACACTGATAAGGCGATGTTGAGGATGTTAGAGGGATATACAGAAAAAACGTGTTCCCAATGTGACAGGAAGAGAAGGCCGACTGAAGAAAGGAAAGCCAAGGCCGCGGCGGCCAAGGAGGCCCTTGTTCGTGGAGCATGAGGGAGAAACCATACAACTAAGAGAGAGAGCTGAATGATCCCAAAGGCCTGCCCGAATATCTAAGGAGAAAGTAGCTGTCAAAAACAAAAGGCGATCGTCAATCATCAAGTGAATCTACATACTAATTTTGCCCAGTAGAGCCAGCTTCGTGCCACTTTGGGAATTCGTGACTGCCGTAGTTGATTGTAACGAAGAGGGAGCGCTAGCAACAGAAGCGCGGAAGGCACAATCGAGAAGAAACATTCTTCGAAGAATAGCGTGAAATCAAAACCACCTCGGCAATCTTTCACTTGGGGGCCAAAGGCATCGTCCCCGCAGCTACCAATATTCTCCATCTGGTAAAGATTTCTTGTGCTTCAGCAAGTTTTGTGGGGAGGACGAAAAGAGTTTCGTCTAAGGGGGGACATAGCATGTCCCGGGCTCCATGTGCCGGAGAGAGAAGCGGGGCGGGGCGATCAGCCTTACCGGCTACAACCTTCTTATCTGTAAATCAGGCGATCAGCTACCTGAACCGTTTCTTTTTCTGTACATCCCGTACAAACTGAAAGAACGATTTAAGCTGCATAGAGATAGCGCTCGATGATTTGAGGCCAATTAATTCAGACTTGGGATAGTTATAGCGCAACCTGTCCGAATCTTTTTTAAAACTTTTCGCGGATTGTGGCATAATGTGCAGGTCATCGGAGTTCCGTTCGGACTCCCGTCGCACTGCAGGGAATATAGAGCAAGAACCAACCATTATGTACCGATACACAATGTACACGAGTAAGTCTGCTACTGATTGGGTTGATTTTTCAACGTAGCTGAATAAGCAACAGCGACTCATACTCCGACAGCTAATCTGCGCGTTATATTCTGCGGAACAATGCAAAAGCAGGCAACCCCAAAATTTATGCTAGACTAGATCCGACTAAAGGAACAAAGTTCTATATCACTGCTGATGGGCTTTGACATTTTCCATCTCGCGTTTTCCGTTGGTGTAGGCAGAGGCAGAATTAATTAGCTTGATTAGAATGATAATATATATCACCTAGAGGGGACACTCTTCATACGTAGTAGAAATAGTGTAAAAGACTCGGAGGTCTAGACTTAGTAGACTTCCATTCCTTACTAATACTCTTATCAAGGCACTGAGCTATGAAAGACTTGTAACAGTCGCTTTTCTGATCGACAAATCTACGAGGAGGTATGTCATTTCGACATATCAACAAATAGTTTCCAAGGAACGACCAGAGATCTCCTACCCGGTGGGAACTACCAGTCCGCTTTCGGTATTCTTACCAATTTTCTGACGAAATTTTGAAAAGCTTGTTGCCTACTATATCTAAATGGCATTCGGTTAAATGCTCTGCCCGCCACAAAGCCTCCCTAATACTCGGTGCGCGTCCTGTAATAACTCCCAGCGACAGTCTTCCAAGGCATCTCGCACCGCATGTATCAATCCCGATGTCTGGTTTGCTCCAACCGGTGCTGGAAGAATACCCTTAAGTGCCCGTGTCATGCGTATCAGGTACTCCTCCGCGCTTCCCTGGTCAGTATGATCTGATAGAGTTAGGGGTGAACCCTCGGTCATCACTCCGTACATCCATAATGTCAGCGTTGCCATGTAGAGACACCAAGGCCGGGGAGCGATGTTGTCGTCACGAGCTCGATACATATGACCAGAAAACATAGTCTCTTGAACAAGAAGTAGCGAGTAGCGAACTGCTTCTCGGGCCGAATCGGTAGTGCACCACTCTAAGATCCGGGCTCTGGCTTTGTCATAAGTACTCCGTGCATGAGCACTGCCTAAGTGATCGGGATCCATCGCTAGTGTCAGAAGATCGACCATATTTACATGCAAGGTGATCTGTGCTATTCGATGCAGCGGACGGGCGGCCTCGAGACATAGCGATGGTTGCAGTGACAATAGACAGTCTGACCATGCAGTGATAGCGAGGCTAATCATGTTGGCCCAAGGAGGAGTGGAGTTAGGCGTGGGTCTCCTCGCGTCCCCTAGGGTTGACCCAGGCCGACTTTTTGAATCGCTGTTGTTCCCTCGCTCGATTCCAAGAGTCAAGCGGGACATTGACTGCAAATGACTTTGGAGGCTCATTAAGCCATGGAGTAATACGAAGCGAGAGTACTCGCTGAACACCGCTGGCGCTATGGCTTCTTGTAATAACTTCTTCAAAGTCGGTAAGAACTGTGCCGGTTGCGTCTTTCCCTCTGACTGGATGAGCTCATACCATGACTCTGGGCAAGTGCTCTCCCAGAGTGATTCTTTACATGGCAGTGCCATTCTCATGTCACTGACGGAAAGAATCGGACTGTGTCCAAATAAACAAGCGTGCTGAGCATCCATGCAGAATGCAAAGAAGGCAGACCGACGCCATGACTCTTCATCAACCCATTGGCGCCATTCCTGTCGTAGATCGCTCATCTGGCTATGAGCACGGAATGTAGAGGTGGCTGGGTAGATACTCCCTCGTTTCATCATCTATCAGAGGTTAACATCAATGCCCTTCAGATAACCCATAAGCTTCACTCACTGTCAATATTGATCCATGGAAAACATGTGCCATTTCATAGTTCTTGCGCGAGGACTTCATCTTGCCGTGAGCTTGAATCATGAGTAATGCCTGCAGACACCATAGTGGAATCGGAGGTGAAAAAGATCCACTCTGTTCAAGTCAGCTCTGAACATAGTTCACGCAATTCTGCTGATGTGACTGACACTGATAATGATGAGCCGGAGAGAATCATGGACACACTGGCCCAGCTCATACAGATTAGGATCGTCGGCCATAGTGGAGCCCAATGTCAGAAGAGTGATGAGTAGCAGGGGCTCGATCTCGGAAATAATGAGTGTGGGTCGGTGGAAAATAGGAAAATGTGGGTGATAGTGATGGAAGTACAAGTCATGAAACATCTTGAGATTCTCAACTTCAAAAAATGGGGAATGTAAAATGTTCATGCCGAGCTGATCCAATGCAATTAATAGATTCGAATGCGCTAAGCTCCATTCGGCTATATCTGCAGGGCTTCTATGCACAACTTCATCGATGTCGTCTTCGGGAATTGCCTCAGCTTGCCAGATGGTCGGAAAGTCGAAGTTTGGTAAGCCAATGTCACATTCTGGTGGCCCTGGCTCAGGCAACTTAGGTATGTCCTGCAGCGGCTCAAACAACCAATCAATATCGTCTCTCAGTGTCTGTAGCTCGACCATGTCACCCCAGAATGGAGCAATTGTTTCTCCTATCCCGGTAGACGGGATAGCCGAGAATGTTTCATCTTCCATTTCATCCATATGCGGGAGCTCACTGCCATGAACATGATCGGCATCTTGCATAATATTCTCAACTGGAAGAATGTCAATGTTTGCGCTGTCCTTTGAAGATAGGTTCACCGTTCCGCCGGAGTTCCTAAAGAACATCCCTTTCTCATGGCGGGACTTATGTCTTTGGTACAAGTCCCGACGAACGAAGATTTTGGGGCAAATGTCGCATGAGAAAATCTTTTCTGGTTCATCTACAAAGTAGTCGGTAAACAAATATTTATATAATCAGCCAACACGGTGGAAGGACATTCTTACGGTTGAGACGGTGACGCTGGAGATGCTCTTTGCGAAGAAACGTCCTGCCGCAGCCCTCTTCCTTGCAAGTGTATGAATGTGAGCGAGCGCGGCTCATATTCGTACAAACAGTTATTTGAATTTAGAAGTATTTGAAATGGGTATTGAGATTCTAACGAATGCAAAAGAAATAGCAATGTAATCAGATCATGTCAGTCTTTCAGCCACTTTCGTCTTATCAACTTCCCCTCTTTGGCGCCAGCTCGCTTATTCAAAAGTGCCGAGTTTCCCCATGCCGATTGCACGATTAGAGTTCTGGGGCACGGGGCTTGCTATTTACTGATCAGGCTGCCCTTGAAAGATAGTCTCATTGAAGCTAGGGATTTCCCACCAATCACGAGCTAATCCGCTTCGCCGAGCTCAACTGATAGCGAGATAACGTGTTCAAAAATCAATCTGAAAATAGCCGAGCTCAAGTAGCTGGGTAGTCAGTCTAATTCTTAAAGCTGTTCTTCACCCTTTGGCTGAGCCACGTATTCTGTCTCCTGCCCCTCGTGAGCGGGAGCATCCCTAATCGACATGACAAAAGGTATGGCCCAGATCAAGGCGAAGACAATGAAAGCCCAGTCGACGGCAAATTCGATGTTGTAATTTGTTTTGTCCGAATTCACTTTGGATGCTATCGCGCTGCCGACCGCCTCCATACACTTGAAAGCACCCACATAGCGAGCCGCTTGCTCTGGAGACTCATGGGATAAATAGCCAATTGTCCAGTAGACCAGCGTCTGCCACACTGCATCGAAACTTCCATAGAAGAAATAAAGCAAGAACGGTCCGGCATATTTGGAGCCAGATGTGATAAGATCCATCTCATTGAGAGGGTAATAGTCGCTATTGGGAGCCCGCTTCAGCTGTGCCGCCAGACCCCCAGACCAAACGGCCATGGAGATAACGACAGTAATGACAAAGCCCCATATTCCGCGCATACGTCGATTCATGAGCTTGTTGTCCAGGAATAGGCCAAAGAGGTAACTCGAAACCATCTGTGCTAGCCAGTACATGCCGCCATTGAAGCTGCGGGTACGGATCGTGAACAACTTGGCGTTGAAGGTGTTTTGTTGGTAGTTGTAGGCATCTATACCCATATCAGTACTTGGACAAATCGAGAGAGTTGATCTATAGCCTCACAATTTGCTGCCATCCAAAATGGGATAAGCGAAATAACGCGCCAGTCCTTGAGGATTCTCATCACACCCAAAAATTCGTCCCAGACCCGCGGAGCCCGTTGAGGTGCAGCGCGTGACTTGTCTTCGCGAATAACATTGTATGGCTTGAGAAGCCCAAGTGAGCAAGCGCAACCGGCAGCCATGATGCACATGAAGGCAATGTATGTAGAATCGGAAACGGTACCCGATGTTGAGTGAAAATTAAGGCCAAAGGAGATCATTGATCCCAAAAAGCCTCCCAAGCTGCAGTAGGACATCAGATAAACGAAATCTTCGCCAACAAGAGACCATCATAACATACTTGAAAATAATCCAGAATATACCAATCATTCGTCCTTGTTGTTGCGGCAGGGGATAGCCTGTCATAATGGAACCTTGTGCGATCCACAGAAGAGATGCGCCGATTCCTAGCAAAGCACTGCTGCCGATCACAAAGCCTTGATTTCCCGTATGGGTGTATGCCAGAAGCGAACCGGCATAGAGAATGTACGGCAGTCCTCCAATCAAGATCGTCCATTTGGGACCCAGCACGTTAGTGACGACTGGCGCCACAAAAAGGTTCCCCGCAGCGCTGACAGAGGCCAAAGCAATGTGACCCTTAGCTTGGGTTGTAGTGTCCAGCTGGCCACCACCTCCAATGCCAGAGAGGGCGTTGTACATGCCGGGGCATCTAGTGGAGTCAGGAAAATTTCTCTCAGTGGAAGTGAAAACAAAACAGTTCTTACCCAAATGCGACAAAGCTGACAATCACGATCTGCCAGAATGGTGAATTGTATCGACTGTAGCATATCTTATGAGATACATTGTCAACCTCTCCAGCTGCCACATCCTGTGATGGTTCGGTACTCTCAACAGCCTTCGTCTTTGAATGCATGCTTGCGAGTATGGTTTTAACTCAAAAATAATTTGCCGAATTACGACGAATGTTACATCTAGAGCCGACGATCATTTCTTATACCTATTGCTCTTGAGCAGCCTACAGGCTAGTGACTGATAACATCAAGTTACCCCGCGCAAGCTGCGGGATGAACTCCCTAGATAGATCTGTTCGAGCTTAAAAGACTACCTCGGCTGCAATCTCATCCAGCCACAAGATAAGAACCTTTTCACTTTTTCAGAAGTGTGGGATGGGAATTCAAGATGTCGGGGCGTACACATGATTCCTTGATTTTTGAACCAATATTAAATCTGATATGCTAACTTTACCTATCAGGACGCTCTTGGGTGACGTATCTAGTTCACGTTCCCTTCTATAGTAGATTGGCGTGGGCTCTTTGTCTGGCAAAACTGTACCGCTTTGAGAACTCTCAGCGGCTCTGTCGCTCTCGATAAATCCGACCGCCAGCAATCTGCCCTTACCGCCATTTATCAAAACATAGTTGCAGAAAAGGGGCGATGTATTACTGCCGGAGAACAGTAAAGCTAAACAACTCCGTCAGGCGGTAAGCTAGATCTCGTTACGTGGGGGCGTCTGGATAGGTCAAGGTAGTGTCTCAGATAAAACACCTTAATTTTAAATGGAGAGCGATTCTATATATATAGATGATCTCCTACTCAGCACCAGATTATTCATTCGATTAAAAGAATAAGTACGAGAAATGAAATATCTTACATCACTCGTATGGTTGAGTACCTGCATAATCGCAGCCAATGCTGCGACAAGCTGGACTAGCCTCCCATCTCACCCAAGATTGATGTTCACGCCAGCACGTGTCAATGCTGTACTCAGTATGAATGAGAGTGATACGTACTACCAAGGGATTCTTGCAACATTGGCAGAGACCGCTGACACTGCTGTCGCAACACCTCTAACGCTCAGCTCTGCCACTTCGTGGTCGAGCACCATTCGCATGAATGTCGGTGCCACAGCAGGGACATACCTCTTAACCGGCGACACTAAATACTCTGACTGGGTCATCGAAAGCATCATACTACTTGCCAATCTCTCTGACTGGGATGTGTCCGATTTTCTGAACACTGCAGATATTGCGATGACGATCTCGATTGGCTATGACTGGGTATACGATATGATGACAGCCGCACAACGAACCACGGTTCAGTCAGCAATAGCCAACAAGGCCTTTGTTCCAGCATTGAACTCTTCTATCAATTCTTGGAGCGAGCATACCAATAACTGGGCCCAGGTCACAAACGGCTGCTTGATCATTGCAGCATTGGCGATTGGAGATATCAACTCCACCCTCGCAGAGGAGATCATGGATTTCTCCGTCCCCAAGTTGAATGTTTCGCTAGAGCAATATGCTCCCGACGGAGGGTGGATTGAGGGGTACTCATACGGTACCTACGCTGGTATATTCCTCGGTTTAATGATGAATTCGCTGGACACCGCCTTGGGTAATGATCTAGGCATATCCGAGTTACCCGGAATGAGTGGTCTGGGAGCCTGGTTGACCCACGGTTTCGGCCAGACTGGCGGATTTAGTTGGGGTGATGGTGCTTGGACGTTTTCCAACGCAAACAGTTTATGGAGCGCAGGATACTGGGCTCAGCGGTTCAACAAGCCTGAATGGCTGCAAGGAATGATGTCGCGCTTCACCTCCACTGAGGCAGCGACCTTTCAGGCTTTTTTATTCTATAATTCTAGCCTCATGACACCTAGTGTTTTGTCCACCATGCCGCTCTATGATGAATTTACTGGTGTTGCAGGGATGACTTATCGCACATCTTGGACAGACTCGGATGGGTGGTTCTTCGGTTTCATGGGTGGTTTCAACGGTCGCTCACATGGCCATCTCGATGCTGGCTCCTTTGTTGTTGATTACAAGGGATATCGATGGGCTGAGCTACTCGGGTCAGATAGTTACAGCCTCACAGATTACTTTGTGGGCCCTCGTCGCTGGACATACTATCGGTGCAGGAGTGAAGGCAGTAATACGTTGAGCATCTCAGACGTATCACAGACCCCTCTGCATTTCGCCAATCAGAATCCCTCGTCGAATAATTCCCTCCGGTGGGTGGGAAGCTTCGACGATTCTAGCAGATTTGGCGTTGCAAACCTGACTCAGGCATATAACAACGTGACAACCAGTGTGCTACGCGGGGTTGCACTCTTGAACGGCACTCAGATGATCATCCGTGATGAAGTTCGCGCCTCTACGGCAATTGACATCGCTACTAGCTGGCACACAACAGCCACTATAAGTGTCGCGACCGACAATCAGACAGTCACACTCACACAAGACGATATCACCATGACAGTTACATTGCTTTCACCTTCGAATGCCTATCTAGAGGCGATAGATACGAACCCCTGCAACTCTTATAGCCCCTGCTCTGAGGCCACCAACTCGGGCATATATAACCTTGCTGTCCGGCTGACAAGTTTGACTAAAGAGGCTGATATTTTAGTTGCTCTGTCCGAAAGTGGGACCGAACTTGAGTCATTTGATTCGTCCTTGAGCGATTGGTATTCACTATGCACTGTGGATTGCTGGGAGTCCACAAATGTTGAAGATCCGTACTGGCTAGAAAATTCCGAAGTCTATTACTAAAGCCAGATGCATGTATATCTTATTCCAATGACCTTTTTTTAATATTTGTTCTCTTCTCGATTATATGCTATCTCTTCGTGGTGACCCAAGCTCTGGTCTGTGCCGAGGTGTACAATGCATGAAATAGTTCGAGTACCTTCTTCGCAACTGTCTCATCACAGTGGATATCCTTGATGTTACCGTTCTGAGCTCTTCGGAAAAAGCCGTCCATCTGTTTGTTGAATGCAGCTTTGAGCATATCATCTTTCCGATGTTTTCCATCTTGGAAGATCTCATTTCTTCCCATTTTCCAGCCTTGCCTCGCCTCCTTCATCAAAAGATGCCCTTTATCACCGAGTCCCAGGTGGAGCGACCCATATGTACCGTAGATATCGATAATCCAATCATCCAGATATCCACTCGGCTCCCAGGCGTTGAAATCGAGATGAGCGTTCATTGTATCGTATTCCAAGATAGCCGATGCAAGATCTTCGTGGACCAATGAGCCTACAGCTTTCTCAGGGTTCACAATGCGATCGTGAAAGAGGTCGGGAACCCAAGAGAAGCCACGGTGCGGCTCCCGTTCTGGCAGCTTTCGAATCGAGGAGACTACCTGGCTCGGTAGACCAAAAAGGTCAATCACAATTTCCACAATATGACCCCCTAGGCTATAAAAAAAGCCACCTATATTTGCTTCATGCGATTGCCAAGGCTCTGCGCCAGCTCCTCCAGGGCAGCCCCCGTGGAATCGAGCTTCGGTTATGTAGCCCAGCAGCGAGCTCTGCAAAATGTCGCGTGCAAATTCGACGGGCTCGAGGTAGTGTAGTTCCCAGCCGACCTCAAAAATGATAGATTTCTGTTTGATTTCCGTAGCGAGGTCGTAAAACTCTACTGGGCTGGCGACACCTGGCTTTTCGAGGAAGATGGCCTTAGCGCCATTGTCAATAGCCAGACGGATATATTTGGCGTTCTCGTGGTCCCGACCGTGGATCAACACGGTATCAAATTCGAGCTTGAGCAGCTCCGTGCAGTTTGAATATCGTGGACAGCCTGCTTGCTCTTGCATATGGCAAGCAGTCTGGTCATCGTTGTCGTAATAACCGAGGACTGTTACGTCGCTTTCCTTGAGATAAGCAAAACGATGAAAGATGTGTGGGTGGCTTGTTCCCAGAAGAATCACTTGTGTCTGCATTTTTGTTTTATTATCGTGGCTTCGGAGATAGAAAAAGAATGTAACTGTAAGTTAATTGAATGTTCAAGTCAGTATTGGTATCATCCCACGTAGGCCACAAACGGAGGGTCTGAGCGGCACCCCGCTGTACGTCGGCTAGCTATTCCCAAGCTCATGGTGGCTGAATAAAAAACAGTTGATTGTGTCAGCACGGTGTGATAGTGGAGGATCAGAGAGAAACGAGAATAAGCAAAAGCTGTAAGTTCGCTGCTACGGGAAGGGAAGAACAGACAGAGAAATCTGATGGATTGCGGTGGTATGGAGAGGAGAAGAAAGAACAAGAGAAAGAAACGCTGTGATATTTACAGGGTCTTATCACCTGAAATCTAAATATTTGATGTGTTCCTAACATTAGAGTCCTAAATTGAGAGAAATAATACGCGTAGGATTCTCATTTTTCTCAAATTCTTCATTTTTTGCTGGTAGCCCTAGGCCCTGATAATTCTTGCACGGTTATGCCAGCACCTTGTACTCGCTAGCTTGGATAAGAAAGCACTTTCGAGTATCCTCCGTCCACCAAATATGTCTACAAAGTGATCAGTAGAGTCTTCATTTCTGTTAAAAGCATTTCATACGTACCCCTCCAGTAGTGAACCCACTTTCCATGACGGACAAAAACTCGACCCACCTAACACTTGTCAAATAGGAAGTCAAAAATCGTCTGTAAGAGCGTCTCACCTCGCAATATCCTCTCCTTTTCCAATTCTTCCAACTGGGTGACCCTCATGCATTGCCTCACTTTTCCCATATCCCCACTCAGGCGCATATTCGCTTTGGAAATCCCGGTTCAAATCCTCTCGAATGGTGTCAACGTCGGGCATCGCTTCTTCATCTCTCTCAGACCGCACATCGACCATCCCAGGACTAATAACATGGACTCGAATCTTAGGGCCGAGACTAACAGACATTGCCATGGACAGCCCTTCGATACCGGCTTTTGATGCCGCATACGCTTCTCCGTGCTTGCTTTGTTGATGAGCACGACAGCTGGACATGTTAATAATCACGCCGCCTCCAGGGGATTTCTCGAGATATGGGATCGCTTGCTGGGAGACGCGGTAGGTGCCGATGAGGTTGACGTTTAGAATGCGCTCGAAATCGGATACTGGTACTTCGTCCATGCGGATACCCGCACGCATGTATTGGCTCTGGTGGTGAGGATGTAAGCATTCACGCGACTGTATCTCAAGCATCAACCAAGGAGGGATTCACATTTATCCCTGCGTCTGTTTATGAAATGGCATTAGCGTTGATGAAATAAGTAGAGAGGAAATAACCTCACTGTTTATGAGAACGTCAATCATTCCAAACTGTTCGACACACTTTTGAACAGCTTGTACGACGTCCTCGCCATTTGAAACGTCCATCCGGGACCACTTGAAGTTGGAGGTCAATTCTGTGGGAACGACTGAAGCAAGATGCTTCATGCACGTCATTTCGAGAAATGATTCATTGTAATCAGTCAAAAAGACCCGGTGGCCCTTTAGCAAAAGATAGCGAGCCGTCACTCGACCAAGTCCGCTACCAGCACCGGTGATAAAAAACACCTTAGACATTTCGGAAACCAGAAATGTGAACTCCTGTGACAACTCTTTCATTCACCAAACACGATCACACAGAGTACTTTGCAGAATTGCTATTTGGAGGATTTGAGATCCAGATGTTTTGCAGTCAACATTGATAGGACGGATTGCGGGCAAGTTTCCCCTCTATCCCACGCCCTTTACGCGGGATAAAAATTTGTGGCTGATTTAGTTGATTTCTTTAGAGTTTTCGGAATGCGGAGAGCTATCTCATTGGCCCTTTCGTGACTTGCAGGCGTTGCAGTCTTATCAGTCCAAGCAAAGCCACATTTCAAGCCTACTCTCGCCTAATGCCCTTATCTCAAGCTCTTGTCCCTCATGCTCCATGGTGTCGATTATGACGCAGAGTAAGCAACAGGAAATTGCCGAGGATCTCATAAATGCTTGGATAACCTCAGTGTATGGCGATATGTAAAATAGCCGAGCACAAATGCTACGTGGATCGCGATGTGAGCGCTCTTTGATATTCGACAGATCCGATGCTGTAGAAAGCTCCGTGTTAATGTTTCAAGGTTGCGATTTACACAGGAGAGGGATGTCGCACGTACGAATTGTATTATCTACACAATTCATCTGAAAATCCGAAGTCTTGCACGAAGACTAGCTTTGAATAGACAGTCCGACAATGTCCTTAGACAATGTCCTCTTTTGAGTAAATTAAGTACTACAGAGATCACGGACTGGATAAATTGAAAAAAATGCCCGGCTAAAAACTTTATATACCTTCAGATCAGTAGAGCGTATCCGCTGTGATTTTGCGGTAGCAACCCCGCACGCGCAGGACCGGAATGACTAAGCAAACATTGGAGAGGGCAGACAGGCGGTAAAAGTGGGTCTATCCAAAAAAAAAATAGGGTGGAAATTGTGCGATACATGCGTGTGACAAAGCTGAAGTTGACTGTAGCTGGTATGTTAGTTTTGATGCTTCTAGACGTGACAAACTCTACCACGTCGTAAGTACCATCATGAAGTGGATTCCTGCCGGTCGCAGGATCAGGTCGCAGTAGTGTGTCAACTTTGCTTGCCGATCTTTCTACTACCTGAAAAATGGAAGTGCTCAGACTAATAGCAACACTAACCAGGTCTCGCAGTTCACAGGTAATTTTCATACTATATGATGAAATTGAATGAGTACAAGGTTTTTGGAGGCCATTGACCAGTTTACAATCTACCGCAACTACGCACGTAATGAAAGATTGAGGAGGAAGAGTATTGAATCTGCTATTGAAACGACTCAAAGTCTCGGAATCCAAAATTGCATAAGAGAAGAGTATCTTCTTAGTTCCTCATCAATATATGGCACCCCCTAGTGACTTGACAGAGTCCACTACTTGCAGTACTGATATTAAGAACGTCAGCGTTATTGTCTGACTTAATTGCCGGGAATTAAAGACATACCCAGTTTTCGCTTCCGGATTTCTTGGTGCATTTCTTGCCTTCGCAGCAAACACCATCGCCGTGGGTTCCACTACCGATTCTGCAAAGGTCGCCAGGACAATGGCATTTAGGGAACTCAGGACAGTTACCAGTGGCCATGGCCAGGCCGAGAAAAGTAGCGATCAAAAAGATATACTTCATTTTGCTGGGCTGAGCGAGTTAGTGGGAGTGTTTTAAAGAGAAAGAATATTATATACCAGAAGGTTGAAGTGGAATAGTTTCAGTGAGAGATGTTCAATCGAGATAATTGTTGATGAGGAATTGAGACTCTGGGGAGAATATCGAGCCATATTTATACCATTGAGTGCTGCACCTGTCGGTGTTGATATCGAATTCTTGAACCGCTCTGTTTCTAGAGAATGAAGATCATCTTGGCAAGGCTGGGCAGTCAGACGGCCTGCTGATTATCTTGGGAGGCCTGATGCCGTGCTCGGTAACATGAAGCGCTTGATGAACTGGCCAAGAAATTCGGGCACAAGCCTGGAAGTAAGCACACTCGAAGGATCATGCAGGGTCCAGCAGGGACAGCGCCTGATTGGGGGAGCAATGTGGGGGAGTGGAACAAGGTTGTAGCCAACATTCAGATGCTGGTCCTAACTAGCACACCTCCCAAGGCTCTTCACAAGTTGGCTATGTATTCTGGCCCCATTACCACATACCTCATGCGGTAATCTGCATCATATCTGTGTTTGGGGCTTGATCTGCGCCAACGCCTTGGCTGTGTGACTTTAAAAGATCTTCATAGCAAGCATTGGTCAAACTGATTCTCAATATGACTGACGAAAAATTCATTACGTACTATTTGAAAAATTAAATTGATATGAAGTAAGTGTTTAGAGGGCGTAGATCAAACATCATACGATCGGTATGTTTGATCTACGGTTTCGATACGATCGGACATTGCAAAGGCAGATGACATTAAGGCTAGCGATTCGTGTAAAGATGCTGGTTGAACTGATATCGATACACCCTGTACCTGTCATGCTGAAGTCATACAGGCCCTGTTGTGATATGAGGCTGGTGCAGATCAAGAACCAAGCGGAACCATCGAAATGAATCCCGAAATAATTACCCCGCTCTGGCAATCGTTATCATTTCTGCTATAGTCCATGACTATCCTGAACGAGCCGTCACGGCCATCGAGCCTCTGACAGGAAACGAAACTACGCGGCTCGAAAACGGCTCATGATCTTCTATCCTCAAGCGAAACATTTCTGGGATATCGTACCTATCAGGCGACCTTCAGCGTCTTGATTGTCTGTTTAAGTACGCCAAGCATATTACGGCAGACATCCACCATTGGTGAAACCGCATTTCGCTGGGGCGAAGCAACGTGCCATTGAAGCGCGCCTCAGACTGAAGGTCCAGGCGTTCGAGCGCCACCGTGAATGGGAACGCCGCGAAGCTGAGGCCTAGGGGCCAAATTCTGTGCCTTCGCACCAGTCGCGATCTCCGTGGCCATCTCTCCCTTAAGATCGATATCAGGCAGTAGCGCCTGAAGTTACGACTACGGTGGATTAATTTCCGAGGCCCTAGGAGCCTTGGCAAAGATAAATCAAGAGAACCAGTTTTGTCAAGAAAGCGTTCTATCATAAATACCCCCTTTAGTTAGATAACGGAATACCGGTCATGAGCGAGGTAATGACCTGAGGGCCTACAACGTCTTCAAAGTTGACCCAAGACATAAATTTCGCAGACCTGCCACCGTCATCTTTGGCCTCCTCCTGGATGGGAGTTTTGTTCTTGCAGAAAATCTTAAGTTCTTTGCAAGCCACATCCCCGTTTTTCTGCAGATACGCCTGCATGATATCACCACAGCTCACGACAATTCGACTGATGATCTGACTACCAGCATCCTTGGGCACCATTCCCAAGCTTTTTGCATTCTGTGCAGAGCCTCGTGCAACATGATGAACCAGTATCACAATATTCGAGATAAAAGACTCATCAGGCATGTAATTGGGAGTGAAATACTGCACAAACTTGTGATGCTCCTTCGCCTTAATCTCTCTGAGCAACTCCAAAGAGCGCTTATGCATGCCGAAGTAATTGAACAAGATCACGGGCTCTTCTTCGAATAACCTGCTCTTAACGAGGGCGAGAAGTTGAATGGTGCCAATACGATGAGTGTGGGCCCATTTCCGTTGGAGCACCTCCTGAGGATCCGTAAGACGAATTCTTTTGCCGGTGGCTTCGAGCCTTGGCGTCTGTGATAGCGTGTCCAAAACCTTGTCGATATTTTGGATTCCCTCTTCTTCTTTCCGGAGGCCAACGACGTATTGGCCTCGAAACAAGTTCGCAACGGTAGTGGTTGGCTCAAGGATTCTGGGATTCTTCCCGTTGGGACGTTGAAAGTCGTTCCTGTTGCGCGAATCGCGGGCAAACTTCGTAGCCGACGATATGCCAGTCGCAAGCTCAAGCCTATTCAGCGACTCCCTAGCATTCTTTGGTCGGCTACCGATGAATATATGAGATTCGCCGTGTATTTTGATGAAGGTTTCCATGTCAGGCCAGCTCATGTGCGCGTGCATCGGTGCTTGCTTAACAAGATTGTACAAAAAGGCTAATTGTTGGACATCGTACCATTGTGTGACAAGCTGTTGGCCGACGGATTGCATCCTAATATTTATATGGAACATGTTCACACCACATAGGATGGCATGCTGAGAAAAAAGCGCATGTTTTTCAGGAACATGACTTTTGGGAAAAACATTAACTTTCACCACGTAGATGAGATCCTCAATGATGCAAGACTCCACCGTTGAGTGCAAATCTTTGATCTCTTCGTCTCCTTCCTTTGGCCAGAACTTTGGCTGTGGGTGTGATTTAGAGACCTTCAAATATTCCTCTATTGTTTTCTGAATTCGCAAACCAGACATTCGAAGGTCTTGGAATGCACCCAAAGGGCTGTGGCGCATGAGATGATGGACATCAAGCAGGATTTGAGATGCAAAGCAGAGCCATGGAGTAACCTTTTTGGTTTTGCAAAACTCCACCAGTCCCCTGGTAAGTACATCTGAGGCAGGCAGTTGGATGTTATAACCAAGGATGCAAAATTCCGGCAGTAGCTGAAGCAGAATGATTTTGTCTTCATTGAATTTCTGGCCCACAGACATCTTTTCTCTGTTTGACCTTGGGTCATAATTACCGAAATGCCCTTTCTTGAAAACGGGCAGGTCGTTCTGGTGCAGAACATCTGCGAATGAGTTCAGGAGAATCAGAGTTGGGAAGTAGCACCATTCAGCTACATCTGCCATGTCCTTGTTGTATGGCAGGCCGATTTCAACGGATGGAGTCGGCATGATGCCTCGGCTCATGCAAGAAGCGTTGAAAACCACTCGCTGGAGGCTATCAGAAGGGGTGCCATAACTGTCATAGTCGTCCATAACCTCCTGCACAAGATCGCGCGCGAGCTGCAAGGCACCATCAGTCACGACAGCAGCATTCATGAGATCAATCTTCTTATCGCGATACTCTGACCAAGTCTGAGTAATGAATGCCCGCATGTTGTGCAGATCCCGGAACAAGCAGAGTGTCTTGAAGAACATATACGCCAATCCTGCGTCCGCTGCGTCTTGCTCTTCCTCTTCGTTTTCGACAAGCTCCACCTTGACAATTTGCTGGGATTCCGGAGACGCGTGTTGGCTCAGCTCCGATTCTTGAGGTTCCTCGACCGTGAGGACAGCGAATCTGTTGAGAAACATGTCAAGGTCGGCGTCATCTTCATCGTAGTGAACTTCTGCAGGTGGTTTCGGAGCATCTTTATTGGCAGATTCGCAATTCTTCCACTCCAGGGTTTCGCAAGCCTTCTCTAGCGCGGAGATAAAATGTTCGTGGCGCTTATCACTCTCGGAATCACCCTGACCCAAGAACCAAGATGTGACCTGTCTTCTCAATTTGATGGCTCGCTTGGCAATGACAAGGATTTGCTTCGGCACGACAAGAGACGACTTCGCAACGACTTCAGCGAGCATTTGAAGCTCCTTGGTGGTGGCTTTATACTGAATGGGCTCGGTGGGAGCATTCGCCTCATCAGCCTTGCTCTTGGCTTTGGACCTTCCCTTTCCCTTGCCCTTTTTCAATGAAGGGGTAACTGGCACGAGGCCGTCCGGTCGGTGACCGCATTTGGTGGCTGCCTCGAGTAACCAGGTTGCGAAGCCGTTTGTATCATCCTTATAGCGGGTATAGCTGCTTTGAAGGTATTTGGGTAACATTATGATCGTTCGAGTTGAGTGTTGAGATTGGGGGCATTGCAGGGAATAAAACTGGCTACTGAAGGTTGTATCGGATCGTAAATGGGACCGTAATGCAGGCAACCAATAGGACATTCTCGTAGGCGTACTTTTCTCTACGCTACGGCCAGCTAACGTAATTTACCACCAAGCGGGCCATACGGTCAGCCGGGTCACCCCAAAACACATATTTATAAAGGGAGGAGATTTTCAAAGGAAACAAGCTGTTGAAAATTACTTTTACTTCCTTCGATTCTGCAAACCGCGTCGTCTAGAGCGCCGCCCCTGTGAAGGCAAAATGGCCCCAGGGGCCGTCGCGACCGAGCGGGCGGCAACACCCGAGCTGACTGAACGATTGAATTGGCTGAACCAACGCCACCACAGCCACTGCGAACCTCAAATCGACCGATCAGAACTCCAGTATCATACGCTCAGGAGCAAGAGAGAACGCAGTTTACGGGACACGCTACACCTACACCCCACCAAACGGACCCCATTCTACGAACGATCCTAGAGGTCGTCGGGATGATTGAGACCTCGCTGTTAAGAGGAAAAGAGAACTTTCCCCAGAATCCCCGCCGATGTCTCCGCGTTTGAGCCACGTTATCGTGGAAAATCCACATCCAGGCGCCAGAATATTAACCGAACCGCGTTGAATTAAGCAACAAGGGCTTCTTACATTTATGACTTCTGATGTTTATAAAATTTGAGAATAGATTCCAAGGTTAGGGCTGTTTCAACACAAAATTTTAACACTGATGTGAAAGTGTACAAAAGTTTTTGAGAAAACGCTTTTCTTTATGGGGATGGTCCGAGCTCTGGAACGATATCTCCGGTCCGACATATCCAGTTATATACCCTCCACCCACACCATATTATCTGACATACATATTTGCCTGTGGCCGTGAAGATTGAAGGTTGTGGTGGCCACTTCAGACGTTCCAATATATCTCTATCTGGCAACGGCTAGGGGATAGCCATCACGTGACTATATAAGGGAGAGAGAGAGAGGGAGAGAAACCAAACGTCTTAGCTATTCATCTTCAGAAATGGAAACCCTCAATTGGGAGCAAAAGTTTATCTTCTTGGGTTATAAACTCCAAGAAACGTCGACCAAATAATCGGACAGAAAGGCCATAGTCAAGGTTGGGAATACAAACAAAATAGCAGGCAAGATTTCTCTACCAGGAATTTGACCGGTGAGAAGGTAACCCTGTCACCGAGTGCAGACCCACATGGAAGGGGATCTGTGTTTCCATATGTTTTATCCTCCAAAGTACGGAGATAAATTGAAATCGACGATGTCGTTCTGCGCGGACTAGACGAGCTAACAGAGAAGGCCAATTAGCCATGACCATTAAGAAGAATTACAACAGTGATTAAGCTTCGGTGGCCACCCAAGGGCTGTCTCGTCATCCTGTTTAGATTTGTCTCTGGCGAACTCAGGCCCACATTGTGCTTTAAAGTACTGTTTGCCTCCCAATAAAATGTGCATTACGTCTTACATTCGTTTCCAGTTCCCTTCTCAATTTTTCTGTTCTCCGCCAAGTCAGTGAAATTGATGAGATACCAAAGTCTACAGCTGTCGAGCAAAAAGACACAGAGGTATGGACAAACTTTGCAATGACAATATCAGATACATCATTACCATTTCCATAGAAGATGACCTTTACATCCCGTAATGATAAACCTCATGAACTCAGTATTTCCACACAAGATGAAGGAAATCACCACCCCGGCCCCCATTAATATCATTCGACATCCCCTCGAATCCGAGGCCACGCAGAGTATCCGAACCCACTTGGTCCTTACGACGGAGAAGCTGAACATTCGTTATCTTTCTATCACCGTCAGTGCGCCAAGTCAAGTAACGGAATTGACCCCCTGTTCCAGAAGCCAGGTCACTGCGGCCATTGTCCTGTTCATCCTGGATATCGATTGCAATCTGGGAAAGCGCACTCGGCTCGTTGTTATGGAAGGTCGCCGTAAGCCACACAAATCTGATAGCGTCCGATTAGTATAAATTTGGCTAATACCACTAGATAAAAATGTTGGGCAGACATACTTTCCGCCAAATCCACCGTTGATATCGGCGCCATTCCCGTCAACAACAGAGATTATGTTTGAAGGCCGCGAACCTTCATCATCCGAAATGGTAGCCTAACTGAATAAGCAGGTTTAAAAACAGATTTATGAGAGAATCTTTACAAAGATTTGACCAAGATAGCCCATTTTGAAAGGGACTGCGGTGGCTTTCGAGTGAAAAGGTTTTTTTGTAGAGTTTTGATGGTGTGTTGCTTGTTCGTTGTCTGTGAATCCTTATGTCGAGGAAGAGGGGCAGAGACTGCCTTTATAGTCCATGAGGTATCAATTAATATATAATCTTGCAAGTGACTTTGAAGCTAAGATTCCATACACGGAGTTGCCGATGGATTAAACTCTAGACTGGCCGATGGTATGATGGGGCTGCTTATTATGCCAATTCCATGCTACCGCAGACATTGGCAAGGCACGCCCTATGGACCAACTGAGTCCCAAACCAGATTTTTGGAAGGTCTCGGTGTAATCACCCAGATTTAGACGATGTCTTCAGCAAACTGTGTTTCAATAGGTCCCATAATGTTCTCAGCTGACGGCATGTAGTCCATCTAGGCTAAATGCTGTCGAAATTCAGAAGCCCAATGAATCCAAGGAGACTCATGAGCCGTGGACACGAATTTGATCAAAGAGGCAAGTTTCACTGCATGTTGATGATCTTTTCACAGCCCCTATCTTGCTAAATGTGTTTTTACTTTAAAGTCCAAATTATAAAATACGTAAGAGATTATGGGCAGGCAGGCTTTACGACTTACGTACGATAATTGTTATGCAGACCTTCTTGGCGGAATGCCTTGGCAGCGGGATGAGGACTTATTGATTGCAATATACGAGTGTTGACATCAGATTACTCACAGACGGCGCTTGGAAAATACGAGGAGCTCTTGGCCTCTCCAGAGAAAGTCTGTGGCTGCAGAGTGAGCCCATTTAAAGGGAGCTTTCAAGCGACACCACATAATTGCTCTAATCGACCAGCTACTGAAACAGTGTAAATACGATGTAGTCCCAAACTTTCTGGTAAATATAGCCTTATTTTGATCCAAATACCTGTGTACCGCAGGCCAAACTTGAATAATCTCCCCAATTCTAGCTAAGAGTTTCCAGTAATGTCCTAAAAGTCGAGCAAAGCTATCGATTTTCGATGGCAACATATATCATGTTGCTACCCCTCTGCCAAGACTGGTCGGATTAGGTGCATTGCAGCCCATGGCCGCCCAATCAAGCTATTAACTACTCTCTTGATTCGCCTAAAGTCATACGTACGTGAGGTAAATTCTTTAGAAACCAGTTTTCTGCCTCTAGCATGTGATGTTTGGAAATATCTTTTTATAACACAACTACTGGCCATAATGCTGGGTTCTGGTGCCGAATCCGGGGGCCACAGAGATAATGTTAATCGTCCGACTCAAGAACCTTTAATGAAATTTTCAAAGAAGAAAAGTAATAAGGAATGAAGCATAAGATTCCGCAGTCTAGTAATTAATGAGAGATGTCCGAGATTGGAGATCAGGTGACACCAGTACTATAAACAAAGTAAGCGCTTCTATCTTTTGTTCTCCCGTTTTCTTCCATACTACACCAAGGATATCAGATCTCTGTCTATTCGTTCTTTCTTGTGCTATTAGATTCAACAGCCTAGGCTTTCCCTTCCCCTGTGATCCTTGACCAGCGCCACGCGCTGATATGAAATTTGTTCAGGGAAGAAAGGAAATGAAAAGAATTACATTGTCGTTTGGACAACCGTCACCTAGCGCCCACTGTTCGGATCGTTATTGGGCCATCTTCTTCAGCGCGATCGGGGCAGGGTGGGGCGAATTTCTGCCCGCCTGAATTTTAACCCTAGGCAAATGCGCCTTTGCGTAGTTTATGTGCAGCCACTATGGGAGTGTGAAAGGTCATGTGTTTCATGCCTTGCCACTTGACAATGGCTGAAATAGCGGACGATCAAAATCATTGTATCTTCATGATCTCCAAAGCATATCGACAGATCGTACGTTCAAGTATGAGCTTTCGGGAACTACGAATAAGTCTCCAGCCACAGTGCCATGGCCCTTACGATTTGATGAGGAGCAACTTCGTTCCAAAAAAATTCTCAAGACGAAAGTCAATTCCCTCCGAACTTCTTCCCCTGTATTGGGTAGTCTTGCAAGTGGAATAAGGGCGACATATCGTGGTATCGCAGTTAGAACCTCTCGCACACTATCTCGAGGTCAATGCTTGGCTGCCAAGGAATGTATTAAATCAACCTAACTTGTTGCCACGCTTTCCATAGTTAAGTTGGTCAGTCTTTAGGTCAACACATCTTTTCCTCTCATAGTCCACTTTTCGAGATCCTTTTTTGAGGGTCATGGTAGAACAGGATCCCTGGCCAGAGATAGAGGGAGGATAGCATGTCAGAAGGCTTTAACACGCCAAGACTTTTGCGCATCTTTCACGGCAACCGTTGTTGTTGATCATTACGGCAGTGCCTTCATGAAAAAGTGAGGAAAGGCTTCCAAGAATCATTGAAGAACTCTTACCTCTGGCAAAAACAAAAAAAGTTCAAATTTCCCATGATGAAACTATGATTTAAAACAATCTTTGGTTTGTTAACGGTGCATGAAATTCGAAAACGAACAGAAGAGAAGACGGAAAGGTTGGAAGCACACCATGTTTATGCGTTTTCGACATCTTTACTATGACCGCTCAAAATTGACCTGCGATACGAATGGCTTTCTAGTATAAGATACCGTCCATTCTCGCGATCTCAAGAGACTAAATTGACATATCTCAGTTACGTACTACATCGTCAGGAAGATATCTTCTCGTAATTTGGCTTTGCTTTAGGTCTAACCGCCTACACATAGAATCTACTGAGGAGAATAGTACACATTCAAGAAACATTTCGTATCGTAGTAGCTGCGAGCCATGTCCTAGTCTAGTTTGTTTCCAGGTGCAAGATGCAGATTAAGGCGATAGACGAGTTTTTATGGTTCGATACCTTAAATCAAGTAGATTGAAAACTCTGCAAACGATACTAGATCTCTCCAAGGACGCATATTGTCTGAAATTCCCGCGAATATGGGTCTTAACCACTATTTGCGCTGTCGACAAATAAGGGGTTTAATTTCTCTTTCCTTATTAGTGCGTTCAACCGAAGATGTAGAGGAGGCTGGCGGCAAATACGGAAATGCTAAATTGATTTGAATCTATTTCCACCGAATACATATATACATACATGTAGTGGTTGGTTGAAAGTAACTACTAAGTGAACTATGTTTATAGGTGTGGAACATGAACATGGATGTTTTCATATAAGATTTGAGTCAAGTCTAGCGCTACTTCTCGCAGGTTTTCCGCGTTGGGTCTGTCAAATCTGAAAATTGGAATGAATCAGAATGCATGAATCATTGTGAAGCCATATCGGATGCTAAATTGGGCATTGAAGAGTATTTGAGAGATTTTGTTCGAGACAGCCTAGCAACTTTTCCGTCAAGTCCGCTCGTTTCATGGAAAGGCGGTGTAGCCATAGCACTTGCTTTGTTGCTCGGGTATTAGAGCGTGTTATAGCGCTTGGCGTTGACCGGGTGCACCCGTCTTGGTCAGCACGTCACGAGTAATGCCCACTTACCATTCCCGCTCGGTTGGTATACGCTCGACTATTGGACGCAGTTAATGTGGCTTATCTGTGGACACTCCATTACCTGCGGACACTCCGGAATCAGTCAAGGATCTCCTGGCTGAGTTTCGGGCGGGAGTGCGCGATATACAGAGTGTAAATCGTGTGCGCGGGCGTACCCACCTCACAGATCGCCCATCTCTAGTTAAATGCTATATAATTACTCGGTCTGCTGCATAAAATGGGAAGATCGACGAGAATATAGCAGGAGCCTGGGTTAACCTAAATTACTCTACACGTGTTTTGGCTCGGTGATATCGAATTAAGCTAGTCCATATCCGTGGCTGTAAAAAGGGTCCAGCATTGGGAGCCTGGAGGTCAGCCACCCCCTGGGATCTCCGCGACCGCGGGGATTGGCTCAAGTTTTGTATGCCCAAAGTGGAGTTAGTCCCTGAATCCCGTTCGAACACTCCATAGGTGCACCCTGTACGGAGACTTCCTTGAAATGTCTCACGCTAGACCATCGGTATCTGTTCGATCTGGTTAGATCGATGAAACAAGATCCCCTTTAGGCACTTGAATCGGCTAAGTTCACCATTCTAAGACTATCATAAATATCGTTTTTTCGGATCCTTCGACAAACTCTCAGCCGCAGAAATACTAGTCATGTTCAATAAGCCGCCACACAAATTCGGTGTCATGCTTATGTATTTCATCTCGGCCGTCGCGCATTTCAAAAGCTTAGTTGTTTTCTCTTCGAAAGCTTCATAGCAAGATTCGATCCAATCATGGCTGTTATCAAATTGTTCGTCTTGGTACAGTCTCTGGTCTGGTCCTTGGCGTCTGCCGATGCGTCAAACCTGAACCCCAATGGTGACGGATGTGTCGACCCAAGTGGCTATCTCCAGTGTTACGAAAACAATGTGAACACACTGAAAACGTGCATGACTTATGCAAAGAATAATTGCGAGGGGGATGTATACACAACATGTGTGCTGGCCTGTGGAAATGCTCAATTGGCTGCGAATATCGGCTGTTGGTTGACGAGCTGCTGGAATGAGGTTTGATCTCTCCTTTCCACTTACAACTTCCTCTCTAACATAGATCTCTCATAGGTTTATTCATGCGCATACCAAGAAACGGCCCTACAATACCTAAATGGCGCTGATCGGACCCAAGGCGACCAAATCCCTTACTATCCTGCACCGGATAATGCGCCTGGTGGATGTGGTGAGTCAGATTAACTCTTGTTACAGGTTGAGATAGCCTCGATTCACCTACTAACGAACGTGTTGAACGCAGTCTGCAATTTAGGTTACATGTGGGGGAACTTCACCGAGACCTATGCCCTGAATGCACCTTGCGAGAACTACGCCATGGATGGTTCTGTTTCCGAGACGGCTAGCTGCCAGTGCTGCTGGGACTCATCATTTTTGTCTGAGTAAGTGACGAAACCTTGAGCCCTCCATCTTGACATGTCGACTGACTCTATGATACGCTTTCAGGTTTATCGAATGGTGTCCCAATAACGACCTCTCAGTTATCGATATTGACCTGATGGTCGAAACCTTTCAACTTGGTTACAACGAGTCCGCATCTGACGAGTGCTCAATTCTTTCTGATCCTAAACAATGTGTTTCCTCTTTCACTTTGGACACTGGTGCGTCTACATGGTATAATCCAGGCCAGCTTCCCTCGGGCTTTCCTGGAACAGCACCTCTCTCGGATACTACAGATGCTGGAAGCATTACTAGTGCTCCAGATCCGTACACGTTCTCGATCTTCCCAAGCTATGTCACCGTCATTACCCCGGCTCCATATAACAAGAAGAACGTTGAGACGACAAACACGGAAACCACTGGTGGAACCGCGGCAACTGCTACGGGACAGGGCACCTCTTCGCCTAGCACTAGCAAGGGAGCGGCTGCAAGCAACCTTGTATCGCCTATTAGCGCCAGTGTTGGTGTCTGGGGTCTAGCTTTGTACACAATTGCCTGCGCTCTGTTTGGTGCAGCGTTGATTGCGTAGAAGGCCTAGGGATATATCCATCTCATAGACTTGCTCCTGAAAGCCGGTCAACTGCTAGTCTAGTTCTCATGTTTTGTCAAAATTTCAATCCGGCGACTGGATTGTACACTGCTTATTGTGCATATTTCCCCGCTATATGCTCTACATATACACAGAAGATACCATTTACGTAGTCATGTGAATTGGCATTGTCGGTTTGTCCCGAAAGTAAATTTGAACCACGCACTGCACGAAAATTCAGCTGATTAGAGTGGCAATCACGAAATATGCACTTTAGGCAGTGTATAGCCAGAGAGATTTGTACTTTATCATACGGCTATAATTGCGGAACAACCATTCTTCCATACTATACACCTTATATATTGGGGCTACACAGCCAGGTGATCTAGACTAGACTTCCGCAAAGTCGAACTCAACCTGGGCCCGGGCTGCGCCCAACTCAGCGTCGGGTGAGGCACAACTTAGGTTACAAATCGTGCGAACATGAATTATGCAAAAATACCTATGTTCGAGAGGCGTTTTGAACCACTTAAAGTTTCTAATATTGATATAGAATCTGTACTATATGCTATATGCTTCCAGAGTTATATATATATATAATATCAATTAGAATACTTCCAAAATGAGATTTAGTAAGGCAAGAAAAGGTAATAAGGATATAGAAAAAGTAGTATTGTATATCTCTACTTCATAAGATAAATATATCTTCATATTAATCATGCGGTTTTTGGCCCGCAATATTTCCAAGATTCTGTATTATAGCAAGAATACCAACGCGAAGAAGCTCAAATGCAACCATCCACCACGCCCAGTCACTTTGGTCGCAGTATTGTACATCGCGGAAGTAGTAGCCGGAGTAGAGACAGAGCTAGAGGGCGATGATAAAGCAGTGGAGGCACTATTAGTGCTAGATGACACTGGAGTTGGCACCAGACCAGTAGAGCCTTCAGTGTCAGAGGATGTGGTCACCACGCTAGACGGAGAGGACGCCGTGACAGGCAAGCTAGTCTCCGAACTGGAAGAAGTGGACTCAGTAGTTACCGATATCGTGGTGGTGGTATCAGTGGGGGAAACCGCGCTGGAAGTAGTCTCTGACTGTGTCATCGCAACCGTTGTAGTGGCAGAAACTACGCTGGAAGTAGTCTCTGGCTGGGTCATTGCAACCGTCGTAGTCGCCGGCACCAGACCTCCAGCGAGCGGAGACACGGCGTATGGTGGATCGAACAGCCCGAAACTACCACATGCGTTGCAAGGTGAAGCCCAAGATTTGACGGTCTCCGGAGCCACAAGGATAGGGTCACACCGACCGTTGGGCACCGCCGTCGCGATTACTGAAGGATCTTCTGACTGAGGACAGTCGGTCCCGAGGTCATTCAGCGTGAGTTGTCGCGTAGCTGAATTGACGGTATCTATGGTCGAGACTTGATTCAAATCGAGGGGGAACACTAAACTGGTACCCGAGGGCCCTGTGCGACCGGCAGTATTGTAGCCATAGATGGTGTTGATGACCATGTAGACGGATGGTGAGGTACTGTATGTGGCGACAATTGTTAGCTCAATAAAACGAGACGAATAGTAAACAGAAAGATCTCTCACAAGGTGTAATCAAGATGCGAGTCAACATAAGTGGACGGATAAACGCGTTCTGGCTGATCTGTTGGCCAGTAGAATAGGTTCACAGTTCCCACGGACCTTTCGAGACAGCGTTAGCAAAAGCTTCGACATAGGTTATGTCGCGAGATCTGAGAACTTACATGCTACAAGTGGTTGGGCATGGATTTGGAGCTTCTGTGATGGTTGTTGGCACGATAATCGTATCAAAAGTCGTATCTGTTGTCGTAACAGTAGCTGTATCCGTGGTAGTATCCGTAGTAGTATCCGTGGTAGTATCCGTGGTTGTATCCGTGGTTGTATCCGTGACAGTATCCGTGATTGTGTCTGTGACAGTATCCGTGATTGTGTCTGTGATTGTGTCTGTGATTGTATCTGTGATATAATCCATGATCATGTCCGTATTTGTAGTAGTGCTTGTGGTAGTGGAAATCTCGGTTGAGACTATTGACATTATGATGGTAGTAGTGACAGTACTGTTGAAGCATGCAGTGGACACGATTGTCGAGCTGTTCATCGGCGGGGGCGCTGGAAATGCAGTCGTGCTGTCGATTGCAATGTCACTATGATAGATGGAAGAAGTGGCAAAAGAGTTGATGTGTTCCGAAGTGCAGGTCGTCATTTGGCTGCTTGATGGATCGTGGCTAGGGGAATATGGAGTGTGAATAGCTTCACTATGTCAGCCGCAACCCAATGGCTTTTGTTTTGGTTGATAACTAACCAGGGCCTCGAATGCCTTCTGCCCAAGTGGCTAGCAGCCCGAGCGCTGCCCATAGTCGCAAAGTAAACAACATGGCGGCAGACTTTTCCACAAGCACAGAAATTAGGGCTGATACTATGCAGACACGCAACTGAGATTGAGCGGCAAGCAACAAGAAAGCAAGATCCAGGCGCCTCTAAGGGTGATAAAGTAGCAGAATTAATTACGGAGGCGGCGTAAACAATGATCAAAAGAACGACACTAGCAACCTTGGCAGCTCGTCGTGTCAATCAGCCATTACCACTTGATGCAGTCATTGTACCCAATACCGACCGGCGTAGTAACCTAGAGAGGTGAAGACATGCGGTCTACTGGCCAAAATAGGCAATGATGTTGAGGAACACCGACCGTTGATCTCTACATCACTTCCGAGAACGAGCATATACGAGAGCGATGGTTCCTGAATTAGGGTGGAGCAGGTTTTTGGCAGATGCTTGAGCCGGTTTTGCGTCACCGTCCGTGCGTGGGCCCTGTCCGTGCGGCGGATTTAACTTGTCAGGGTCGCCCGTTGGTCCTCCTAGCTCCAATTGACAATGCCGATCTCAATGAAAGATTGAATTCATTGGCTCGGAGGCCTTGAACTGGGCAGTGATGTGGCAGTTCAGACAAGAGCCTGCCGGTTCCTGTCGCCACACCAGCCACGTGGGACGTGATTTCTATTATTGCTGTACCCCAGGAAGCAGCTGGAAACTGCATTATTCTCCTCAGGGCTAATGTGATGCCTCAGCTCGTCAAGATGCATTCGGTCAGTCTGCTCTTCGAGCTGATTTTAATGATCTCTTTGTCATCGGAATGTTGCGCGCATCGCATAGCTGAACGTTCCTCATCCGCCCTTGTTATCTCGCCCAGTGAATATTTGTAACTCTCCATTGAGGCCCATTGGACTGATGCGATGCCGTATGCTGATTGTTGAGTTCAGTGAGGGTAACGATGGTCCTTGGAGCAGCTTCTACCTCCAAGTTGGGACTCCGGAACAGTCCGTCCGCGTGCTTGTCTCGACAGCTTCCCCAGAGTCAATGGTTGTTTTGTCGGACTATGGTTGTGCGGACTCCGTGTTCCCCAATGCACCATCTGACTGCGCAGTCTCCAGGGGTACCTTGTTTAGTATGAACCAATCTTCTACCTGGGACGAATTGGGTCTTTTCGGTATCAACCAGAATGGGGTAGGTCTCGAGGCCAATCTTGGGTATTATCAAAGAGGGGAGTTTGCCCTAGATACGATAGGTATCGGCCTCACTGGACCGACTCTGAAGAATCAGACTTTGGCCGGGATTGCAACCCCCGAGCCTTTTTATCTGTAAAGACCGCAATGATTTCCCCGTTTCTGTCCATATTTTCTGACTGGAGGATCAACAGAGGAACATTTGGCTTGAACTCTCAACCCGTGAACTTTACATCCCTGGGAAATTTCTCTTCATCATCATTCATCACGACTCTTAAAGATGAAGGCACTATCCCAAGTCTCAGCTGGAGCTACACGGCTGGTGCCAAGTATCGTGAGTCTCCTCGTCAGAACAAAATACTCACAGCGAACGTTGTCTCTAATCCCAGGTTCGCGCCGAGTAGGCTTGAAACAGGTCTACGGTCAACTCGTATTCTCCGGTTATGATGCATCTCGGTTCACTGCGAACTCGGTGTCGTTCACCATGGCCGATGACGTCACCCGCGACCTGGTTGTCTATCTTCAGTCCATCAGCTATAGCGGATCAAGTTCCGCCACGTTACTGTCTGAGCCAATTTTAATCTTCATTGACTCAACTGACCCTAATCTCTGGCTCCCAGAGAGTGTTTGCGAAGCGTTCGAAAAGGCCTTTGGTCTCACCCTCGACAGCGAGAGCGATCTGTATCTTGTGAATGACACTCACAACACTGAATTGCTCAACTCAGACGCGCAGGTGACATTTCGACTGTCCGATGTGGACCACGGTGGAGATGCTGTGACCATCACTCTTCCATATGATGCTTTTGCCCTGACTGCAAAGGCTCCGTTGGTCGATAATAGCAGCTACTATTTCCCGCTGAAACGCGCAGCCAACTCTACCCAATATACGTTGGGCCGAGCTTTCTTGCAAGAGGCGTAAGTGCAGCATTTCCGATTTGAATGTATATGCTGACCTCCCAGGTATCTCTCGGCCGATTACGAACGAGGTGTCTTCAATGTGTCGGCATGCGCTTGGGAGGAGAATGCTGAGGAAGACATCATCACAATCACATCTAAAGATTCGGACTCCTCCACTTGCTCTGGAAACACATGCACATCCAGTGCTAGTAGCTCTAAGAGCTCGGATAACTCTTCGTCACTCAGCAGCGGCGCTGTAGCTGGCATCGCGATTGCGGCGCTGGTCGGAGTAGCCATTCTCGCGGCAGTCCTCTTCTTTTTCATTCGCCGTCAACACCAAAAGACAACAAACAGAGCGACGTCGCCGAAGCCCGGTATATCTGAATACTTCGGTCCGATACACAATGACCCTTCTCTCGGCCCATCACTGCCATCTGACCCATCTGACCCATCTGCCGCACAAGCAACATTTTGGTCACCAGACGTGATATTTGGTGGTGTAAGTGACAGTAACAATGGCACGAGTAGCAGCAGTGGTGGAAACCATGAGCAAAGCGTTGAAGATAATCATATGGAACTAGACGGCCACGGTACACAAATTCAGCCAGTCTATCATGAGCTGGCCGGTAGTGAAGTCGAGAAAACAAGGCCAGGGCCACCGCAGCAAGCGTCACCTACGCCTTACGCATAATTTCAAATGGGACGGTTTATCAGTCTATCTCCTCTTCGCGATCAATATCGCCATGCCTTTCTGGTCCTGTAGGGAAAGGGCTGACTGCTGATGGGAAAATGCAGCTTCTTTGCCTACGATTGTGATCGTATGATGAGAGCCCGATGTATATATCTAGAGCGGTGATGATGTGTTGGTTAACATAAGTTATGATATTGCCACAAACGAGGTATAAATAGGCTATCTATAAATAGGAAAATGATAATTAGTTACTAATCCTGAGCTTTGACGCATTTACAAATCGCGAATGATGTTTTGACTTTATACCTAGTGAAGAGGGAAATGCTCGAAGGCAGCACACTCGGAGATATGCGGGTCGATTTAGTAGCATAAAACCGCCACAGAAGCATACGCAGGGTGCTCTTGATTTGTAAGATAGCATAAAGAGTTGGATAAAGACTAATCCTGAAGGAACCACCTGGGCAATCAATTCTTTGACCATACCCGTCATGTATGCGGCCAATTTCAGCCATGTACATGTCTCTCTTGAGAATTATCATAAAACTCATATGCATGACTCTTTACGGACATCGGCCGATAGAATAGAGATAGAGACTATAGAGTACTCTGCAAACTGAATAAGTGAAGAGATCAGTAAGCAAATAAAATCTCATTCCTAATTCTACAGTGAGGGTCGGCATCGAAAGTCCTGATCAAGGAATGTGACACCTGAGGGAACCGGCAACAAAGCCAGACACCTTAGGGTAGTCACAAGCTCTAGCCTTCAAATATATCTATCTCCCTAAGTCAGCCGTCTCTTTGCCGCCAGTCTTGAAGCTTGATTTAGGAGCCGAGAAGCTGATCATAAAAAAAAAAGAAATTGTAGGTGCTATGCTGTTTTGCATGAAGATGAATACTATAATGCTAGTAGGGAAACATCAACTTATTGGTGGCCGTTTTTAGTCGATTTCTGGCCCTCTAAGGCTAGCTAACGGTCTATGATGATTCGCCAGAGAGAGAATGTTTTTGCTTACCTCAAATGGCGTTGGACAGTAGGAGCCCCAGAAGGCCAATAAAAAAAGTAACCCATCTGCGAGTCAGCAGCCACCCCAGAACAGGTTAGGTAATGATTTCTGAAAACCATGGCGCTGCCATCAGTCTTTGATTTTAGACGATACCGACTGAGAAAGCCACGTGCAATAAATAGTGGACCTGCAAATTTCGATTGCTTTCAAGCTATACGCTGGAGCTTAACAATGATTTCTTCATTCAGCAATCTTCTCCCGTGGGGCATGAATATTGACCCAGACACAAGGTCACAGCAAAAAAAATCTTTAGTCCCTAGTGTGCTGACGGTCCATATGTAGACATGTGGCACCGGGAGCCAAATAAGCCGAATGGAAACACCACGGTGGAATACACATTAAATCATGCCACAAGGACAAAAAACCCAAGCAAAAGTTGTCGTTGCTTGGGACGAAAAGCTCCCACTCCGCCCGATATTCCTTGGCATCAAGGAAATCCAAGAGAAGTATTCCCGACGAACCTCCGAGCAGACGAGCTAGCTTGGAAAGAGAACGCGATATTTCTACATTGGGATAATGGGCCGGGCTCAGCCATCTTATCAGATCAGTATCTATAATGCCAAGCCCGATATAAATCACTTCTAACCCCATTTTTACGTACATGACTCGATCGGTCCCAAATTCCCTGCTACTAATGTAGTGCTCCGGTTTAAAGTTGTTCGGAAATTCGGCCGATGCCCGTTATCTGATTTTACGGGTCCACTAGGCGGCCGTGGGGGGGGTTTTTTTGGCTTTCCTTTGGCTTGGCTATCGGAATTGTTTGAACGCCGAGAGAAATGAAATTTTCCTATAAATACCCGTGTAGGCTGTTCTCTGCGTTGTTGCTGGTGCAATATCTTGCTATCGACACCCCGGTCTCAACATGGCGACTACGGATATATTTTCCAAATCGGCTTCGGATCAGATATCCGAGGCTCTGGCTGAAGACAAGCAAGGCTTGGAAACGAAGGAAGTCTCAATCTCTGAGTCTCACGATGGAAAAAGACCGCCTCCTTTCAAGGCCCGTCTGTTCGCCGTGGCCCTGATCGCATGTATCAGCTTTGGTTCGCACTGGAGTTCTGGTGTCACTAGTGCCATGAAGAGCACAATTAAAAAGGTAATGTAACAGAACATGCCGCTCAGTGGGTGATTTCAAGCTAATCAATATTCTCTGCATAGAAAATGAATATCGACAATGTCCAATTCGCGCTGCTCGAAGCAAGTGAAGACTTTATGGCTACTGTCCTGCTCCTGCCCAGCGGTTTACTTACCGACCGCGTTGGGGGTGCTGGTAAGTGTTGCATGTTCTGACTTGCTTGGCCAATACGGTCTGACAAGGAGACTAGAAATGATCGTTTACGGAAATATTATCTATACCATCGGGTCTATACTGGTCGCAGCTGCGGCAACTGTGCGATCCTTCAACTTCATGATTGGAGGTAGGATTATTTTGGCTTTCGGTGATATTGCTACGCAGATTGCGCAATACAAGATGTTCTCATCTTGGTTTGCTCCGAGCAATGGCTTCGCATCAACTCTGGGCTTTGAGTTGGCTATTGGCAAAGTCGGTGGGTTTATTGGCAAGTCTACTGCGAACATCATCGCCACGGTTAGTTGCATATGATGTGAAGTGAAAAAAAAAAGACCGTGCTGAGGATAACAGAATACTGGAAATTTCGCCTGGTCGTTCTGGACTTCGGTGTTCATGAACCTCTTTACCAATGCAGCAACTGTGGTGTTCTGGTTCTTCAGTAAATATAGCGATCGACACTTCAGCGGGCGCCGCGACAACGCGACAAATGAACAGCTCACGGAGAAAAACAAAAATTTCGAGTTACAAAAGGTATTCGAACTTCCATGGATGTTTTGGGCGGTATTGGCCTTCTCGCTTTTCCAGACCAGCACTGCTTCGGCTTTCAGCACAAATGTCACCGAACTAGCCGAGCAACGGTTCGATGTGAGCTCCATCGATGCCGGTTGGTATAGTTCATTGTCGCAGTACGCGGGTAAGTATTACTATACAGACAGCCCCTGTGTGGTTGTTGAATGCTAAGTCTATCTTTAGGTTGCATTCTAGTCCCAATCTTGGGTGTATTCATCGATGTGCTTGGACACAGAGCATCCGTCAGTATGTAGCATCCCCCTCCAATGTCTGCGCAATGATTGACCTTCGCAGTGTTTATTTGCGGACTTGGAATGCTCCTTAGCATGGCCCTTCTCAACTTCACCCCGTCCAAGGCTGGCACTGGAGCATCTTTCGGCATCTATGCGATTGCCATGTCATTCGGCCCAACATCCATCATCGACAGTATCCGCACGACTCTCTGGAATCAATCTGTGTTCGGATCGGCCTATTCCCTCAAGGTCACCATGAATAACGCGTGAGTTTTGACTGATACCTGATTCGCCAGTAACTCCGCTGACCAGGAACAGCATGAGCATCATTCTTCGAATAATCACAGGTGCTTTGCAAGATGCCGATGACAACTCTTACGACCGCGTTGTGCAGGTGTACCTCTTCATGGCTGCCGGGTCACTCGTTGTCGGTAGCGCCCTCCTGATCGGGTCAAACGTGAGCAAGTACCTGGCGCCGCTCCAGTGGACTCGAAAAAAGAGACTAACGTCGGGGGCCGAGATCATCCAAGCAAACAAGGAGCGCGCCCTTGTGACGCATGCCCAACGAACACGAGCAATTTCAATCGGCTGTTTTGGAGCGCTGCTGTTAGTGACGGTGGGCGGATGGGTGGCGTATATTTGGGGCGCCATCACCGGCCATAATTCTTAGAATTCATTAGATTCAAGACCCAATGTATTGGTACCTCGTGGGGTGATCAGCCATTAGCGAACATGCTTATTTCCGGGTATCGGTACGCGTTTCAAAAAGTCGCCACCGCCACTTGCGACAGGGGCGTTCTGAGGGGCTTACCAATGACTGATCGGCGGTAACGGGCGCTAGCAGCCACCCAGACGCCCAGTGACGCGATGGCTGAATGAGGCACCCCTTAGTTAATGCCCGATCTGGCAAGTCGCTGGAATTTTTCTTCGTGCCTGGTCTCAATTGCTATTACAAAGACAAACACCATGTTGTGGTTGAACATTATTGGCTGGTTTCTGAGCGCCACAAGGCCCACCAGTAACCCATTATTTTGACTTTCCTTCTTTTGATTCACAGTATGCTGTTTTGTGTGGAGGATCCAGTGAGAAGATCCACTGTTCCTGGAATCTGGTGATGGGTTTAAACAATTGTGGCCTCAGGCAGAGAAAATGAAAGCTCGTGATTCGACATCGGGACCCACCAGGCTTTTCTCTTTCCCTCTTTTGTTGACTTCCCACTCTTCGTGCCTCCCACAATGCTGATCGTGGTCCCATATCGGTGGCTTTCGTGTCCAATGGCGTCTGGTTGGAGCGATACATGGCGCCCTGCATTGCCCATGGCTCCAAGGGGGAATGGAAATTCACCGTGCCCCCTCTCTGACCCCCAGGAGCTTATGAAGCGGTGGGTACAGAATGCACAACCGATCGAGTCACAATGCGCTTCGACCTCGATCTCACTAATCAGATCGACGGGGACTTCTTTCCCCTCTACAGTCTCCACCTGACAGATGGTGTCCTGGTGCGTTGCCCCCATGCCCTAGCTGTCCCTGGTTCTCGTTTCGTCTGGCTTTGCGAACTCTAGTGTGAAGCTAGTGGGGTGGACGTCTGCTGGGGTTGTCCACTTCTTTTCTTACAACTCACCAGTCCCTTGGGCTTTTGTCCATTCGAAGACTGATCGTCCCGCATTTCTCGGATAAGGATTGACATATCCTTGCACCTACCTTCGAACACCTTCGCGTCCTTCCTCCGCTCCTTTTACCCCATCGGCAGTCGTGGCGGAACACACAAGTCGGTCGTCGTGCACAACCGCTGCCACTTCAAACACCCTGGGAGATAAAGATGCTTCGACCCCAGTGGTTCGACACAGAAGGAAATGGGACAGGGCTGAAGACCCAGCATAATGCGGATCGCAGGGCGAGGGAGCTTTACCGTTACTACCAGCCTGCTGGACCAGTTGGCGTAATCCCGTCTTGGCTTGCTAAGGACGAATGCTTATCGTCGCCGAACTCAAATGCATCGTCTCAAGTCAACACACCTCCGATTCGAGATGGGTCGTGCGGTTCAAATAGCAGCACCACATCCGGCCCTTCGACAGCGATGGGCCCAGAGGCTCTGGTTTTGGGAACATCGAACAATACTTTGATCTCTTTTGCGCAACTGGCGGCATTGCGCTTGAATGTTGAGCGCGCGTTCATATGCGTTCTTGACCGAGACCAGCAATTCATGCTAGCTGAAGCAACCAAGTCCGTGAATTTGAATGACGCATCGGTACACGATCGCCATGATCAGATATGGATAGGATCCACTGGAGGCCAAAAGGCCTGGAATCTGTGTCAGGTAAGTACACATGATCGCTGGGCCGCTGGATGGCCTTAGCTTCCGCCTGCCACATTCTCTGTCACCACGAGCATCATTTTGACCGAATCCGACAGGACACTGCTGCCTTGCCACCCTCCGATCGCGAAAATGCGAATTACGAATTCCTTGCGGTCAATGATTTGAGCGAACATGATCGATACAAGCGCCTGCCTTTCGTCGAAAACGAACCCAAGTTCAGATTCTATGCTGGGACGCCTTTAACCACCGATAAGAACATCAATTTGGGCTGCCTTTTTGTGCTGGACACCAACCCGCGTGATGGATTGACTGCATTGGAGAAAGACACGCTGGGCTCTTTGTCAATGCTGATCTTGGATTACATGAGGATTTGTCGCCAAGCTTCCGAGGGCCGCCGAGCTGCGCGGTTATCAAGAGGATTGAGCTATTTCGTGGAGGGTAGCTCGAGTTTTGTAGATACAGCCGATCCTTCTCGGGCCGATAGTACTGGCCCGTTCTCTGCGGGCACACCCTCGAGCTATAATCGCGTTAGTACGTTCGGTGACTCTCGTGAGGGACACAGTGCAGATCGTGGATCTCAAAGTGGATCGCGTGAAAGCGCACACCACACGACATCAGATAGTCCACACAACGCGCGATCTATCAGCAACGGGGGACAATCAATCAGCTCCGATGCCTCGGAAACAAAGCTCGAAACAGGAACGTCTGCCGCTGCGAGCTCTCTGCCGGAATGGGTAACCAGTAGTAGCCGCAATCGACTGCCTCCGGACGACTCTCAGGGAAATTCTTGGTGTTTCTGCCGTGCCGCGAACCTTCTCCGTGAGAGTCTGGATCTAAGCAGGGACGGTGGTGTTGCGTTCTTCGAGGCGAGCAACAATCCTTTAACCGACATGGATAGCGGAACTGATACCTCATCTGATTCGAGTGGACCCGCCACGATCCTATCATTATCTACCCACGATGAGCCATTTTCTTTCAGCCAACAAGGGGCCTCTGTTAATACACCTGTTGCCAATCTCGATCGATCATTTTTATCTATATTGCTTCGACGATATCCCAAAGGCAAGCTTTGGTCTTTTCACCGAGATGGCCAGATAACAACCTCCGATGATGACGATGAGCAAGGTCCCCGTTACTGGGGATCACCTGGTCCAAATCGCTCCAACGAGGCCTACTCAGCAGCTGCAGTCTCGAAAACGGTAGCTAAGCGACGAAAAGCTGCGGAGAATACGTTGCTCAATAAATACTTTCCCAGTGCTACCCAAATTATTTTTGTGCCTCTATGGAACGCTGTCAACTCTCAGTGGTTCTCAGGGTGTTTTTGTTGGACCACTGTGGAGACGCAAGTCTTCACATCAGCCGTAGAGCTTAGCTCCGTTCTTGGTTTTGGATCGTCGGTGATGGCAGAGTACAGCCGGGTCGAGTCCCTCATTGCAGATAGGCAAAAAGGAGACTTCATTGGGAGCATTTCACACGAGCTTCGAAGCCCGCTTCATGGTATTTTGGCCGCGGCTGAGTTTCTGAACGGGACTCAACTCAGTGAATTTCAAGATTCTTTGCTCGAAACGGTAAACGCCTGTGGCAGGACCTTACTGGACACCATGAATCAGGTGCTTGACTTTAGCAAGGTTGTCTCACTTGAGCGAACCTGGAAGTCCATGAAAAAAAGGAAGGAGTCACCACTTGATTTCAAAGGCACTGACAAGCTTGCTTCCCATTTGGACAGCTATGTTGCTACGGATCTCGCTATCTTGGCCGAAGAAGTCGTAGAGGGTATTTGTTTAGGCCACGCATATGGACAGAACTCGAGCGCGGCTGCTGATATCCCAGTCCTCTTATCGCACAATGGCCCCAAGGTTCAGTCTCCTTCAAACGTGGATGTGATCATCGATGTGGCGCAACGTGATTGGGTTTATCGAACTCAACCGGGCGCTCTTCGCCGGATAATCATGAATTTATTCGGAAATGCCATGAAGTACACCGACCAAGGACGGGTGACACTTAGCCTTGGAGCCTCGAGCCATTCAGAAGGCCGCTCTAGACGGCAAGGCCTAGAGGACCTCGTAACATTGACCGTTTCCGACACTGGAAGAGGGATTTCGGAAGAATTTTTGCGCGGTCGGCTTTACACACCTTTCGCTCAAGAGGATTCGCTTGCCGTGGGAACCGGATTGGGGCTTTCCATTGTCCGCAGTTTGGTCAAGGCTCTAAATGGACACATCCGTGTCCGTAGTCGCCCTAGCGAAGGTACCGTTGTGCGGGTATCTCTGCCGCTTGCTAGGCCTGTAGGCGAGGAGAGCCCACCTGTTGACCCACACGCGTTTAACATGCAACAAAGGGAAATTCTCACACAAACAATGTTTCTCCGTGAAGGATACCCCGATAAGAAAGTTGCTATTTGGGCTACCGATCCATCCAACATGACAGAACCTTGGATCGAAATTGCACGGTACATGACCGAGTGGTTCGGCTTGGAAATCGTCAGTTGGCCACCTTCAGTAACAATCGACATTTTGCTTGTGCAGGAGTCAGACCTACCTGAATTGCGGAATGGGATGTCCGCCACACTCCCAGCCCTTCTCATTCTATGCCACAGGTCGGTTGACTATAGCATAGCACGTTCTGAATGGTCACCTCTATCCTCGTCTGTTGACATCATTCGACGCCCATGTGGACCACACAAGCTGGCCCGGAGTATCCTAAGGTGTCTTCAGCATGGCCAGCCCGCCGTTATAACTCCAATCTCTATATTGCAGGATCCGATGGATCTGCCTATCCGAAGTGCACCCGCTTCCACCGTAGTTGGCTCTCCTAGGATTTCACCTGTCGTGTCTCCTGCCCCAACAGAAATCATTCACTCGGAGGCCAATGGCAGTAGTCCAGTGTCTGCTGAGGGTATTTCCCCAGTGTCACCTTCAGTCATCACTGCACCACCGGAGGCGATAGTCGCTGCTTCACTACCGGCGCCGTTGGTAGAAACCGGCGTGCCTCCGTTGCGAGCATCGCGTGTCTTGGTCGTCGACGACAATCGCATCAATCTCAATCTCATGATTACGTTCATGAAGAAGCGCAAACTGACCGATTTAATGGCCGCGGAGAACGGCAAGTTGGCCGTTGAAGCGGTCGAGCAGGCGCAACATGGCTTTGATATCATCTTCATGGACATGTCAATGCCCGTCATGAACGGGTTTGAGGCTACTCGAGCTATTCGATCGATGGAGAGAGAAGAAGACGGTCGCGGGCCGGCCGTCATCATCGCCTTGACTGGTTTGAGTAGCTCTCGTGATGAGTCCGAGGCTCTGGCATCTGGTGTGGACATGTTCCTCACCAAGCCAGTATCTTTCAAGGAAGTGTCCCGGCTTCTTGACGAATGGGAAAAAAATGGATTGAAAAACGAGCGAAAGGCAGGCAACTAATGCCCTGGTCACTTTGGCTGTCTGACATCTGTTTCTTTTTGGAAGTGACACAATTTGGCGTTTCATGCCCATTCTCACATCTCAAACCCATAAAGCCATTCTCCATGCTCATTGACAAAAACTTTTTCTGTGAATTTACTCGCCTTCGCCTGAAGGTCCAGTTGTCTTCCAAAAGATGACACAACATTTACCATGCAGTGGCCGGAGTGAAGATTTATAATTGATAGTGTGATTATAGCATTCTCAATATACTTCATCTCACCATATCGACCAATCTCGCGGTTTGATTGTTATTTCCTCTACTTATCTCTGTTTTAAAGCCCGGGTGAATGACTGTGCACGATCTAACGTATTGCATATTGGTTCTTAGCTGGATACATGGGTAGCTATGACCGGGTGTTCAAGTTGTCCCTTGTTTGTGTTCCTTCCTTCGGTGGTTTTCTTATGATATGATATCCCCACTATGGCGATTGTCGTGCCTGATTTTTTTAGTCTAACGTCGATGTTATGGTACCTCTGCAGGACTCTTCAATCTGTGTGAGGAGGAAAACACGAGTTCATGATCATTGACAAGAATAATTTACTATTTCATATAGTAGTGCTTCTCTCGATTTACACTTTTCCTGCACTGTTTGCGTCCTGCTATGCTGTGACATGACGCCCCCCCCCTCGCCCCCAAGCCTTAGCCCTATCAGCAAGCAGTATACCTTCCATCAGCGGTCCAGTGCGATTTCAACAATTGGTAACCTCTTTCAGGTAGTTTCGAGTGGTCTTAGACTCGAATGGTCGAACCTTCTTCTTGTTACATATAAAGCATCGTCTTTTACAAGAATGCAGGTACCTTCCAGGGTTGACAACTTCGTGTGCTTTTAAAGCGAATCAACAATAATGTGCTAACTATCTCTTGCATTTCCAGCTCACCTACACGTGATAGCCTCTCAAAACTACCTAAAAGCTCTTATTGGAAGCACTAGTGCGATATCGATTGCTCATCTTGATGGTCATCCTTTGAGAATGATTTTATTTGAATGATTCTTCTTTACTCTCAATATGAGAAGCTTGATCGCCTTTAGTTTCCTTGACGGAATCAGCAGCCGATGTATTGACGACTTGATCAAGTGCTTGAGCAACCTCGTCACCAAATAAGGCATTGATTTCTTCCAGTGTCAATTTAGCCGTCTAAAAGGTTCATGTGTCAGTAAAGAATCCGCATTTGGGAGATATGAGTCTAGGACGAACCTCAGGGCAGACAAAGTACACAATAGTAGCTGACACAATGCATGTGCAGATCATGACCCAGTAATATTTCCAACCGATCTGAGCAAATGCCTGCGAGGCGGGACAAGTGTATGCAATGGCGAACACGAAGAATGAAACGAGACCAATCGTGGCACCATAGCTCCGTAGGTGCGTTGGCCAAATTTCGGTGATATAAACGTATGCGGCGCAGTCGACTGTGCAGCCATAGAAGAAAACAAATAGAAAATAAAAGGCAACCGCGGCGTTCAGACCGTTTTTGTTAGGGCTTCCAATGTAATATTTCTCCAAAACTGCCTCGCAAATAAGCATGCCAGCCGCTATATAGCCTCCGAATGCTATAGATTGTTAGATCATGTGTCCTGTATCATCTCATTTTTCAACATACCAAGGAGCTTGACCCGGCCGATCCTATCCATGAACGCGGCGTTCACAAATGTTCCTAGAAGCGCGCAAACTGTCCAAGCTGCAGAAAGACTAAACTGCAACGTGGTATCAAACCCAAGGTCGGCAAAAAGCGTCGGTGTCAGGTTAGCAATGACCAGAATCCCGGTCGATTGTCCCATAAACCAAACGAGGACAGAAAGGGCCGCCCGGAACCGCAGGTGTGGTGTATGCAGAATGTGCAAGTAGCCTCGGGGCAGAGCTCTTTCGATCTCAATTTGTGCCTTGATTTGAGACATCTCCGCCTTTGCAAATTCTCCATCAAGATCTTCCTCGTTTTTGTGAAGTTTCTGGATGACTTCCCATGACTCTTTGTCTCGACCCTTCTCATACAACCATCGAGGAGACTCAGGGAGGAAGAAAAGCGACACAAGCAGGACCAAAGCAAAGAATGTTAAAAGAACATAGTTTAGTCTCCACTGGTATGGCGCATCGACGAAGCTGAACGCAAGGGCCATCAGAGATGAGAAAATATAGGCGTAGACGATTGAAATGGCGTGGTTCGAAACCATCATTCCTCGAATATGGGGAGGTGCAATTTCACTCATGTAAACAGGGCAATTTGTGATTATCATACCGGCACTGATTCCACAAACGAGCCTAGCGACAAGAAACATGGCAATATGAACGCTTCCTGCTTGTAATGCGCCCGCTATGACCATCAGAATAGCTGCAAACCCTGTGGCAGTGCGACGACCATAATGATTCGAAATAGGACCTTGTACTATGGCTCCCACAGCGCCACCCCCAAGAAAACTAGATTTCGAGTCAGAAATTGGCGAAAAGAATTAGCCTTTCTCTGAAGGTACGTACGCCCCCATAATGCCTCCGATGATTGATTCTTCATTGCTCCCCGACAAAAACAATACCTGGAAAGAGGGCTGGGCCAGCGTGCCAGCAATGCAGTTATTCGCGTATCCAAACACAAAACTGCCCATTCCAGCTATCAAAATATACTGGGTATATCATCAGAAACATCGACATCAAGTGAGATTGTTCGTTCAGTCTGAAGACTCACCACGATATTTGCCCGGCTAGTCTTCGCATGGATCCCCCCTCTTTCCAATCCTCCAATATCGTCCCGCTTGACCATGTTTCTTTCAAGTCCCTTTACCTTTCTGATTTCGGTAATATTGCGAGGACAAGTCGATATCCATGGGAGATTATAACGGCTTTATAAATAGACCAGAGTTGGAGTGATGAAGAGGAATCCCTAGAAGCTGGTCGAGACTACTCAGAATCATATCGTATTGCTAGATTCGCCAATCGGGGCCAGGGGGGTGTGAAAGGACCGAAATTGTCCCGGCCATGCTCACACTTCCCCTGGGATTATGCGTGCCCGTTTTTAACGATCTGTGTACATATTCTTTAGAACTGAATGCGATCTATGAAAGCTTATTACCCCAAGATCTGGGGATTCTCTCGTTTCGGTGGACCCACAAGCACCTTTAGGATCAACTGTTAGCAACCAACTACGCTGATAATCGCTCTGGGTTCGAAAATGTGGGGAAGTCTCACTTCGGTTATTTTGCTCTATTTGGGAACATATAGTAAAATCTTTTGCCTATTCTTACCTGTGCCACGTGGGTAGGTTAATCTAAATGTACCGTCGGTACAATTCGATGAGTAGTCCATATACGGACTATCACCTGAATCTATACTTAAAGTACTATAGAATGAGCGGAGACTTCCAATTTGATATCAATTCAGTTAGATCGCATTATTCGGGGGGAATAGTCCCGTGCCCAGACCCTACTCAAGCTGTCATACGTGCCAATTATCTTGCGTTTGATTCGACTCATCTCACGTCTCTTGAACAGAGCGGGGTGTAAGATGGAAGAGGGTTTGCAGTCCTCTCGGTTCACGGAGTCAGTTTGGTTGAGTACCTAATTCGTTCAAAATCATTCTTTATTGAACCGGTGAAGATCACGGCCTTTGATTTATTAGTTAGGCAATATTTCATACGTTTCATAATCCCTCTTTTCATTTTCATGGAATATGACCTTTAATACAAAGAATAGCCTGACAATAAATCATGAATGTCGTTTGGTTGCTCACTTGGTAGGCCCTGTGCGAAAGTCTGATCATTGGCAACAGAATGAGAAAAAGAGCAGTGCTGAGTTGAACTTGCGGAATTCATGGAACCCATAAGCTCAGCCGATATATCAAAATCCATTTGATCAAAGCTTTGATCGTCATGTGTTAACCTGTCGAGGCGTTGTAGATGCATGTAATCGAACATTGGCCAATCATTCTGTCTGCATGGTGACTCTTGAGTTGGTAAAAAAGTATGACCCGAGTCGGTGAGAGGTGAGACTTGATTTTGAAAGTGATTACCTTCGACGTCGGTATTGCTCACACTTAGCGGCGGGGTTTGGAGGATTAGAGGGGCAGCTTGCAGGGCAAATTGAGCATTGGATCGGTAGCCAACAGACCTTGCAAAACGTGGAGACCCTTGAGAATTGGACATGCAAGGTCAGTGTGATGTATATCTAAAGTTGTGGGGTGTCACACCTTCGATAGTAATTAAATCTCGATTGGAATCCGTGGGCAACAGTGCCTTTGATCGGGGATGTGTCTTCTTCGATGGATTTGCACTTGCATTTTTCAATGTTCTGAGATGATGGCTCCTGGTACAATCATTGAATTTCCGATAATTCTCAAGGTGGGTCTCCAGAGTTTCCAAATTCTGTTGCAGGGCCGTATTAATTTTCCACCATGAAACGCATTGCTTATATGTCATGTGAAGTACTTCGAATTTGGATCTTATGAGTGTGCGTCTTGTTTCACCATGCTCGAACTCTTGCCTGAAGATCTGGATGGCAGACGCAAGCCAAATAGTGCTCGATAAGAAAGGATTAATATACCGGATGTGGCCGTCGCAGCTTCTACTAACGATGGTGAGGATATTATCTGCGGCTTCAAAGTACTGCGATAGAGCGATGTTCTCTTTTTGGGACGTTGGCCCGGCGGAATTTGCCTTTCCAGGGTCATAATCCCGCTTGTTGCATGGACGAAGGCTCTGAAAAACATCATATCGATGTATCATCAGATTGGCCAATTGAACCATGACGTAGATATTGTATATTGAACAATGATCTTGCCTTTTCGAGGAAAGCTGGCCATGAGCTCGGGCTTCAAAAGATAGATACTGATCCTGATATCGTAAACCCTCTGGTAGAACCGAATTAAAACATTGAACGGAATTTGCGAGAGTCTCCAGCTTTTGATTGGCTTCATTGGACAAGGCCGTTATGCTTTTTAGCCCATCTTGCAATTCACCTTTTTGCGGATGATCTTTGTGGCAAGGAGTAGGATTCGGAATGCTTCGTGGGCTTGAAATCGTTTGGGCATCTTTCATTAGTGAATTTATCACTAGGAACCACGCTTTCGGTGACCGGTTGCCAGACTCGTGAAGGGCTTTCCATCGATTGATTGGACCCCGTTCCATGAAGCAACTGGGCTGGACTCGGCCGCCAAACCAATATTTGTCTTCCACCGGGAGGAGTGTCTCCATTTGCGTCCAATCAATTGCAGAAGGAGTACGTCGAATTGTGCTAGCAAAAACATCCATTTCCCAAATGGCCCACCAAGCACGTCTCTTTTCTTCTCTCCAGCACCATTTCTCCACGTCAATACTGTCAATCTGTTCGCGATCGAAGTCAACCAAGTGTAGGTTTAACTCATAGGCTAATCGTACACATATACCGAGGGACCTCCAAGCCTTTCCACGCACACCCTGTGTGAGCTGAAGATGGGTTGCAATGACAAGTGCTTGTAAAATGCACAGTGAGGGCGGCTCATCGCCACACTCCTTTAGTGCTTCATCAACATACGTCAAAGCGAGTATTTGGAAGTGCTCCGATGGCAATTTGTCATTGAAGCCTTCATTGTTCCATTGCTTATTCACCTCCTCGGGGCAGAAGAGTGCCGCATAGGCGGAAATTGCCGCAAGTAAAGCGCATACGTGTGTGCATGGCACATTTCTGTGGAGTCTGTTACCAAATTGGGGTTCTCGGAAAAGGTTAATGGCAACCATGTTATCGAAGTATATTTTGACTCTAGACTCTAGTCAGTTGACGATCGGTAATTTGGAAGGGCAGTCTTACATTTGGGACACAGAGGCTCTAGTCAATCCCAGAGCAACACAGGCTTTCTGTACTTCTGTAGGCTGCGGTTCAGTGGCCCTTGTGGTCTCAGAGGACGTTCTTTTGTCAGGGGAAGAGGGTTCATGAGCTGGATGCAATATGAAAGCGAGGTCTTGGATATTAGAATGTGAATCTGTGCGATTTCTGGTATTGCTATTCTTCTTTTCTGCCGTGGGGAGCCCAATGTCAGAGCCTTGACCTGCAGCAACGGTTGAAGAACTGTTCCGTGAAGAAATCCCAGCATCGATGTTTGCATCTTCATCGTTTATCTCGAAATTCGTTCTCTTTCCCGCACTGTTTGATCTCGGATATGTTGCAGCACTGTCTTCTGATTGCTGCGCAGTCCGTTTTCGAGACCGCTTCAAGGACCCTTCAATGATGGAAAACAAATGGAAATTAGCACAGATAAACAAAGCGGCTCAACATCTGTCTTCTACCTAGTTTTGGCCCTGGCTTTAATGGACCTTCCGGGTAACTGCAATCCTGAGACGTCTGAATACAGACTGAGCACCGAGGCCATTGACGGTCGCTGGATAGTTGTATCAGAACCATGTGGCATAAGCTTGTACTGTTGCCTTACTCACCACCTCACTTTACGTCTATTGTTTTTACTATGTCAGCTGTTCGTTTCCACCCCGGACGTGTTCACAACTGCTGTTCAACATACCGGCGGCACGCGAAGCATGCAATATCTGATTTTCGCTGGCCTTCTCTGTTGTTGTTTGCTGCGGACCACATTATAAATCAAGACGTTTTGATCTTTGGGAAGTAGATGACCGTTTCGAGATTCAAGCGCCGCAGTGCGGTTTTAGTTCATATTAACAGTCCCTGTAATTAATCCTCGTACGGGATGATTCTTTCCCCAGAATTCACCTGTCCCACTCGCCCTCTCTGCACCCCAGGTTTTCCGCCATGAATATTGATTTGGAAAAATTAGTGTGCATTAGTGCTTACGCAGGCAGCACACTTGGGTCTCTTGGAACGTCTTCTCGGTAAAGGGTGGCAAATAGTAAAAGTTGAAATCCTGGAATTAGTCCGTTCGTTGGAGAATTAGTCCGCGTATGTGTATTTCGATCTTGGTAATAATCCCCGGCCGAGGATGATATTCTGGGCATTACGTAATCCACAATGACGGCACGTTTTATTACACTAGAGAGAAGCACTTGTTGTCAGCACGTGAAGTGCTGATCAAGGATCAGAGGAGAAAAGAGAAAAAGAAGTGCAAAGTGCTACAGCTTGCTGCTACAAGATGACCAGGGAACGAACAGACAGATTAACATGTTACTATTGGTGTGGTGTGTATGGAAAGAAGAGAACAAGAGGAAGCGCTGGTCTATCTACAGAAACTGGTGATTACCTGGTTTCTAGGCTCTGACACGAGTGTAACCAAATGCGCTAAACAATCTCGGTGTGATGGGTTGCAGATCGTCTCGCGGCATTTTCTCAGAGCAAAAATAAAAATCAAATTTATGACTTTGCGTGCGATTAGGAAAGGATTATCTTGGAAAGTCAACAAGATAAATCCTTACTCCCATTGCTTCAGGAAATCCAATGCACCAGTCAACTCTTTCTCTATTGTTGCAGCATGCCTCTCACTTCTGACCTTGATCCGAACATTGAAGGGAAGTGGTGCCTGCAAAATACCTGGGTTGTATGCGTTCACGTCCAGACTAATGACCTTGCCAGTCACAGTGTCAACTGGCTCAGAAAATTCATAGGCCCATAGTAGCTTGGCTGCGATGCGCCACATGTTACGCTCCGCAAAGTGCACTCCTGGGCAAAGACGACGGCCTGCACCATAACCATAATGATGTAGATAGACAAAGCCAGTTAGTCAGATTAGACAAAAAGAATGGGCAAGACTTATCTCTACTCGTCCATTCTGGGCTTCCAGCATAGTCATTTGCAAGCTTAGGGTGATCCACGTAGCGGTCGGGATCAAAGGTATCATGATCAGGAAATAATTCTTCGGTGTGGTGGATAGCCCAAGTAGCGATAAAGAGTGTAGAGTCTTTTGGAATGAACATGCCCTCATACCAGTCATCTAGGGATCTGGGTCAGCCAAAGTAACATGGTTGGGTATCGCTGAACTGACCTTCACGAACACGGTGAGGTAACCCTGTAACGGCACTGATATGAACGTCAACGCTAGGTACACAAGTCAGAATGATTCACAACACTTACACTGGTCGCCATCTCATCCCCTCTTTAACAATTTGATTGATATACGGGAGGCTTTTGAAGTCAGTAAATGCTGGCGGTCGATCTGCAGGGCAAGCTCTGTCGATCTCTTGCCGGGCTTTCTCTTGAACGTGGGGATACTTTGCAAACGCCAAAATCAACGTGAGGATTTGGGCAGCGGTGGTATCCGCCGCGCCTTCGACAACTTCACCGACCAAGTTGTTGAAGGCATGTTGGGACATCGGCCAGCCTTTCTTGTTGTATTCATCGAGCAAGTTATCAATGATGCATTCACGTTTGTTTCCTTTATCCCGACGCTCATCGACAATGCGACGCGCTTCCCCCCACATTGAATCAAAAACTTCACCAGCTGCGATCGCGCGTCGTTTCCAATAGGCGAATTGCTTGGGAATGAGCTTTAAAATGGGATATTCGTCGACAGGTGGATTGGCGCCAGCTTCCATTGCTTCAGTCCATCGGTCCATGACATCGTAAACGACCTGAAAATTTGTTAGTCTTCGATACCGGATCTCTTCCGCCTGAGTCTCTGCTCATCGGGGTCGGTACATACATGACCCCAAAATGAATCGAACGTAGCCCCACGGTGACCGAAAGCAAGTACTGAAGCTGACGAAGCAGTGTATCTTCTCACATGATTGAAGAACCCGTCGGGGGCACTCAGCAGGTCATTTAGTAAGACTGTTGCTCTGTTTTCCATTAGAACTTGACTCAAGTTCGAAAAAGCTCAATAGACGATATTGCCACATACTCTGCTTCTTGTACCAAATAGTGCTTCTCATCCAAATTCTTTGGAGAGAAATTGTGAGAAATGACTTTTCGTTTCTCACGCCAAATGTCATCCATTTGTTCCAAAGCGATATGGTCGCCTTGGGTCAAAAGGCGCCCAACATAGCTGGCGGGACGATCAGAGTAGATAGCACCTTTTTTATTCAGCAACGCATGGATGGCCTTCCGGTCACATAGAACAATTATGTTGCTCGGTCCAAACTTGAGTGAGAACACCGGGCCGTATTCCTTCGCCCAGTCTCGGAATCTGAAAAGCGGAAGGAAGTGTTAATCAGGAGAATGGAATATACTTCATTTGCGTGGCTCACTTAGCATATAGACCACTCGATGGAATTTGGTGGAAGTTTCCAAGGATCGGTACCGTTGGAGGTCCTTTAGGCATACGCGGATCACGTCGACCAATTTGAAGCAGGCGGTAGATGCCAAACGCAATAAAAAGAGCAAGAGCTCCCCAATACCCGGGTAACTGACCCGCCATTTGGATTATGTCAATAAAACTCTTCAAAGTACGCCTTTATAAGATCACTTCAAGCTGAGAACGACAAATGCTGGCGAGCGGTGGCGTCTCAAACAGCCATTCAAGATTTGTCTTTTACAATTTAACGAAGCTCTCCAATAGAGGGCTTATAGGTACTTAACCTTATTACGGAATTTTCCACTCGTACAGCCATGCTGACGTTAATACAGGCCGGACCATCACCGGACTATCTCGGCTTCCCCGCATAAGTCCCCCGGACACTTGGATATTTCGATTTACCCCCATTCGCCAGCTGCATAATCAATCACGAATCCTGTCGGGCGATTTTTGAAAAGTGACCAATGCCCTTTACCCCATTGTCTGAATTTGACTTGTCATCATGAATTGGCGGGGGATTTCTAATTCCTCCGGAGCCCAACAAACGCCACAAGTTTATTTTAAAGGAATCGCGGCCAACCGCGTTTGAGTTGGACGGTTGGATTTTGACCCCTTGAGAGACAACTGAATTTGGTCTCACACTTTTCTTCAACTTTCGATCATATACTGCTACCTTCATTGAAATCATCATGTCTCAGAAGCGATTGGAAGGGAGGGTCGCGCTTGTGACCGGTGCCTCTTCCGGCATAGGACGAGCGACAGCGATAGCCTTAGCTAATGAAGGAGCAACCTTGGTTTGCTGTGATCTCAAAGCCGAAGCCAACCCCAAGGGTTATGAGAAAGATCTCGCAACACCCACGGCGGATCTAATCGTGGAGAATGGCGGCAAGGCGATCTTCCCAAAAAGTGGACATCTCCAACTTTGACCAAATCGAAGCAGCGTTTGACACAACGCTACAGGTAAGGCCATCAACAGTCCGAATATCTTGCTTTAGTCGAGATTTGAAGGGTTATGGCTAACGCTAGGAATGTTTTGACCCACAGGAATTTCAACGTGTCGATATTGTTGTGAATTGTGCCGGCTTCTGGGCCCCTTTTAGAAAGTTCGCCGATGAAGATGATGAGCTCTGGTCGAAAATGCTGCAGGTCAATACGGCTGGAACATCGAAAATGTCACGGGTTGCCATTCGTCAGTTCCTCAAGCAAGATGTCGACGAGTCTTGGGGAAGCCGGGGTCGCATTGTGAATATCTCCTCTTGTGCAGCAAATATAGCCTATGCAGGGGAAGTGGCATATTGCGCTACCAAAGCCGCTATCAACCACATGACACGAGCGGGTGCAATTGACCATGCTCCAGACTCAATCAACATCAACTGCATTGCTCCCGGTGTCGTTGCAACTGGGATGGCTCGGGGTAACCTGGAAAACAAAGACATTTTGCAGACGATGAAGGGGGCGACTCCCTGGCCAAGACTGGGTGTTCCTGAGGACATTGCTCAGGCTGTTCTGTTTTTCTGTTTGCCAGTCTCGCAGTGGATCACAGGGCAAGTCCTTTCTGTTGACGGTGGAATGACTCTGGGAGTGCCTGCATAACTTTATGCAGCCGGAACATATATTTAGTAACCGCGAAGTCGAACTTTACATAGAAAATCTTCCTTTATCGGCAACCAAACCTTGGGTCTATTAAGCTACGAAACCACTCGTGAACTAGGAAGCTTGTTACTTGTTATTACAATAGTGAACAGAGTCTAATTACCGAGTAGGCTGTCTGACTATATTTCTCAAAGAGCCGACCGGTAATCTCAAAAAGTGATTCTTACGCTAAATGAAGTGAATTTCCTCGGATGAACATCGGTCCAATCTTTGAAATCCCCCGCGTTGTTTACACTTCCCCGGACTGGGGTAAGAAGCTTAAGGTTTAAAAAAGGGCTATTTTACATTAGTAAATTGTGATCGTTGATCACCTGGCAGGCTCCACACTCAACCCAATTTTCACCGAACTCCATCAGGTTCAACGACAAGGATATTTTGTAATATCATTGAAATAAGCAGATTGATCCTATGTTTTACCTGTGATGTACTAGATTGTTCCGAATCAGCTTGAGCAACATTAATGTTGTGACAGGTTGCCCGACCATACCCGTACGGGGACATGTTAGCGTCCAGCAACCGTTGGTGGCGTTATTGGCGAGGAGTACCCCGCGAAGATAGATTGCCCACATGTCGTTCATCCAGGAGAATAAAAAATGGCCAATTGGGACACGTCAGGTGTTTTATTTTCTCTTTTTCAGATGAAAGTTCAGACATCCGTGCCACAGGAGCTTTCCCCACTTGCCCAAGCAAACCGGTTAGGAGATGAAACATCTATGTCATGTTAAAATCTCCACTTATTCCGCCGTCACTTCGACCACCGTTTCCTACACGAAGTCATTCTTCGCAAGACCCCCCACACCCCTTTTGAGTCCTGTTACCTGCACTAGCGTCTTTGGTGGACAAGTCACTGGTTCCGACACATCCGAACCATGCCTCCTGGCCCTGATGATGGCGAATTTACCACTACGAGCGACACGCGTCGCGTTTCTCGATCCCGTCTAGCCTGTAAGGCATGCCGAAGGCAAGTGCAATGCAAAGAGATATCCGGACACGCTCTAATGATCTACGAACAGGAAGAAAACGAAATGGTACGTATCCAATCTGGGCTGCCAACCCATGGATATGATATGCTGATGGGATAAAGTGATCGCTCCCTTCCAGCCTGCAAGCTTTGTACCAGGCTTCGTGATGATTGCATATACCCAACCCTCCGCATGAAACCAGGGCCCAAAACGGGACAATTGCAGGACGACACTATCATTTCCGAAATATGTTCGGAGAACCCTCTTTGCGCGCCTGCAGGTCAAATTCCTAGCGTCCGAAGATACAGCCAGACAACACCTGGTGGACTCAACTTTGACATGACTGATCGTCGCTTTGATCCGTCCGTGCTGGCCACGCCTACCCCCCCTGGCGACGATCTAGACATGGAATTATCCGAGAAACATGTTGAGCCTCAAGACATCGAATCAAATTTCATCAAAGCTATCGGGCTTTCTTCTTTGATTCATCCTACGCATGACCGGCGCCAATCGGACTTTCTGTTAATTGACAAAGATTTCTCCTCAACATCACTACTTAATCTAGCCTCAGCACAGAATCTCATGGCGGACGCTTGCGATGTCTTCGGCCTATCACTGCCAGAATTCGAATACATGTATGTTCAGAGTTCTCTCATATCATGAGTAAATGCAAATGAAGCTCATATGAGAATAGGACGGAGTTGTACTTCGACACAATGAATCAGTTCTCTCTATTTCATCGACCCTCTTTTGCGAAAAAAGTCCAGGCTATCAAGATATCTAGCCATCGACAAGCACTCTTTGCAGCCATGTTCTCACATTCAGCCAGATTCCAGTCTGAAGACTCTCTCTCTCACCACGAGTCAGATTCCATGAGATTTCATAACCAAGCGTTGGATTTGATATATGAATCGCTCGATGAAGCTTCCGACGAGCAGCCAAGTCTATGCCTTCTACAAGCGATGGTCTTGGTGACTTTCTATGAGCTCACCAAGGGAGTCAAGGGACGTGCATGGAGGCTCTTGGGATCCTGCGTGCGGGTCGCGTATGAGCTCCATCTACATCTCATTGATTATGAGGCTCTCGAGGAGAATTACAAAGTTGGCCGTGACTTATCGCGTTGGATTGAAGAAGAAGAGGGACGGCGGTGCTGGTGGGCGATTTGGAAAATGGATGTATTTGCAAGTGTTATCCGAAGACTGCCAACAGCAATCGACTGGAATATGATTGATACCTACCTTCCTGCTTCGGATGAGCATTGGTTTTCCAACCAATACTGCCGAAGCTGCTTCCTGGAGCGAGATCCAGTTGCTCGACCAAAGGCGTTGAAAGACTGTGGAAATGAAAACCCTGAGGCGTGGGTTATCATCATCACTTCGATTGTAAGAGATGCTCAAGTCCTTCACAAAGGAAATTTACAGGGGATTTTGATGGATATGAATGCTGAGAGATGTTCCGATCAAATTCTGCACTATTTCCGCAATTCATTCAGCAAGAGGAAGAGGCAGGAAGACTCGTCGCGACTACAATCACTGGTCCACGCTTTAGAATGCACCACTGCCGCTATGCCTCAGTCTCTTCACCATGATAATAGCCCGCTGGACTTTGAGGCTCATTGTTCTCCCGGTGTCTACGACGCTGGGGTTAAGCAACTTCAAAGCACAAAGTACAACATATACCTCAGTCTAAAGCACGCTCAATTCATGATATATCATCATCACGCCTTCGATGAAATTGTTGTGGGTACAATATTCTGCCCTGGAGAAATTCCGCCTCGCAGAAATGCCGGACGCCCAGACGCACGTCAGGATCCGCAAGGTTTGAAATACTGCCTTCAAGCTTCCGACGATATATATTCTTTCCTTTCACAGTTTCCAGAGTGGCATGTGAAACATGTGAGCCCATTCCTTGCAAGTACTGTCTGGTTGGCAGCCTCACTTCAGGTTCTGAGAGGTTTATTTGGCAGAAGGGAACAATCGCAAGATTCGCTGCGCAAGTATAGGATTTTACGTACCACGTGCGAGAAATTCACCGCATTTTGGAATACACCTCAAGCGTTGCTAGACAACCTGGATACTTTGGAGGAACGACTCAATCAATATAGCCCAGCATCATCTCCCTCGACAACTGCTAAGCCAGTGCGCAGCTATGCAGCCAGCCCTGCTACACTCGATCCAATTTATTGCAGATATTCAAATCCCGGAAGAAATTATCTGGATCCTCATTCCAGAACTCCTTTACATTTTGCGACCGTTGACGATCGGGAAACCCACAACGGTGCTGCGGATGCAGAGGCTGATTATGCCATGCGTACAAATTGCGTTGCACCGGGGCAGAATGAAAATCTGGAAGTTTGGGAAACTGAAGATTGGCAAGTTAATAATCCGGAGTTGGGAAGCTGGTTTTCTCAATATCTTTCAAGTCTTTTGAGAGAAACATATGTGAATGGAGATATAGGTGGCCCTCCCTCAGATCAATAATGAATTCATTCGTATTTAGCGGTAGCAAGCATTTTCTTACAATCGCTCCATTGTAATTTATACTACTCATATAAGCGTCCACGGGTAGATTTTCGAGGGAAGAGAATGGACGGCAACCACCTGGGTATTAGATGGACCAGGCATGATTGATGCTGTCATGTTTTTTTATTTCAAGGCCATTGCCTAAACCATCTGCTCAGGCTGCTAATTGTTGCCTTAAAGCGTAGAGGGGCTGAACAAGCTCAATTTAACCGTGTCACTAGTCTGTGTTGCTACTCATACAAGTTTAAATATCTATGGCATTCGAAGGCTCTATATGAGAGAGTGATTCTCGGCATTGCAAATTCGACTAGGAAAATTCACATTTATGATCATTCAACCAGAATATATATATCCGATAACATGAATCATTTCGAACATTGCAATTCGATATGTCATATTTACTGGAGCTTGAATCCCTTTCCAGGATCCAATGAAGCAGTGAAATCGCCTTTCTGGGTCTTCATATCAACAGGGAACGACAGGTGTTCATGAATCCACCTCCATTCTCCGTTCTCGGGGTTACGCCGAGCAATGCCAGTGCGACGGAATGCCGTGTCAAATGGTGTACCTCCAGCAGTACCCCACGTGTGCTGAATCATTGTGGAGTAAGCATGGTCTCGAGAGAGAGCGGTGATTTCGAGATCCTTGAACTCCATCTGGCCATCATTCCAGTATGGGAAGATAGATTCGAAATGTTCATTGAAGTTGCCGCGAATCGTGTTTCCAAACATGTCATAGCTCAGCATTTCTGGAAAATCGTAGAATCGACGAGAGCCGACCATGCCGTTATGGTAATCATCCTTTGACTCGTGGTTCCAGTAGTGCAGCCAACCTCGATAAAGCTGGTCTAGCACTTCCTGTTCTGCCTCTGCTAGATCAGGGTTATGATACTGATTAAAAAAGCTTGAGATCAGTATAATGTAGAATTGATTTACAGACTTCAAAATTAACACAGCACGGCTTACCTTGCTCTTATTCATCGCGAGAAAGTCATACTGTTTCTCGATTGATTCATAGGATTTCTGAATATTATTGTTAGTAACCTCACTAAGGTATCAAGTCATCATACTAAGCGTACATCATCCCTGACAAAACCGTTCTTGTCTGTCATTTTGAAAGTTTTGAAAGTTCAGTTGATGAATTGAAGAGTGTTACTCTGCTGGTGAAGTTGGCAGTGAACCCATGGATTCCTTTTGTGCTGTTTTATAGATCACAGGTACCACTACATAGAGACCCCCTGTAAGCTTCCCCGCTTCGCATTCGAGACAACAATATGGATTAGTAGTGATGCTATGGTTTGATAATAAGTCCATCCGCGTGGACTTAATAATAATTAGTCCGTGCGATAGCGGGTCTCTCTCGGAGAATTTGTGGGGCGAGGGCAACGCCGCGTCACTGCCACGATCAATGGAATAGCTTCGAAACGTCATTTCTTCAATGATGAACCGGTGTACCCACAGTATTAGGTGGTCCTTGGCTTTCAATCCATCGTTCAAGTCTGTATAGGCCAAGAGCCACGGGCTTGACGAAAAGTACTTAATCGCGGATGTTACCAACTCGAAATGAAAATTGATTTCCTTTATCAGATTCCAAACATCCTTCAATCCCATCTTTACATCTCTACAACATACTTTCATCCGGCAGTATGGGCTCGATTGTAGACTCTCCGGAGTTCGACGCCATCATCGTCGGCAGTGGCTTTGGCGGACTGTACGTGCTTCATGAATTGCGAAAGAAGAACTTCAAGTGTTTGGTCATCGATGAGGCTGCAGATATCGGAGGTGTTTGGTACTGGAATACCTACCCTGGCGCGAGAGTCGATACAAAAGTACCCCTTTATGAGTTCTCCAACGAAAATATCTGGCATGACTGGGTGTGGACCGAAAAGTATCCGGGTGTCGAGGAGATCCGCCGGTACTTCCAACACGTTGAGTCCAAGCTGCACCTGAAACGTGACATTCTGTTCAATACTCGTGTGACTGCTGCCGAGTTCGAAGAGGGTGCCAGTCAGTGGACTGTCTCGTCGAATGATGGAGTGAAGCGCTCAGCCCGTCATTTCATCCTAGCAACCGGTTTCGCTGCGAAGCCCTTGATTCCCGACTTCAAGAATCTGGACGCTTTCGAAGGGCCCTGCTTCCACACATCCAAGTGGCCCAGGACTGGACTGGACTGCACTGGTAAACGTGTCGGTGTTGTCGGTAATGGGTCCAGTGGATTGCAAGTGATTCAGGAAATCAGCCCTGTGGTTGACCATCTCACGGTGTTCCAGCGGAGCCCGACCTACGCTCTTCCTATGCGACAAAGGCCCCTCACCGTGGAGGAACAAGACAAGTCTGTATATGGATCCATGTTTGAACTGCGCAAACATACCTTTGCAGGTATCGACGCGGAGTTCAACAGCCAGCCTTGGCAATCCGCAACACCCGCTGAACGCGAGGCTTTCTTTGAGGAAATCTGGAAAGAGGGAGGGTTGTCATTCTGGCTCGCAACATACCGGGAGGTGATCATGAACAAAGAGCTCAACAGGGAAGCCTACAACTTTTGGCGTAGCAAAACTCTTCCTCGCATCAAAGACCCGAAGAAAGCCGCCATCTTGGCTCCTGAGCAGCCCCCGTACTATTTCGGCACAAAGCGAGCCACTCTTGAGCAGCGTTACTACGAAACATACAATCAAGATAATGTCAACCTTGTCAATGCGAAGGAAAACCCTATTACCGAAGTGCGTGCCAACGGAGTGATTACCCAGGACGGCCAATTCCACGAACTTGACGCTCTTCTGCTCGCGACTGGCTTCGATTCGGTCACCGGCGGAATCCTGAACATCCAAATTCGTGGCCGCAATGGTGAACTCCTGCAGGACAAGTGGAAGAATGGCACTTGGACGCACCTTGGTTTGATGACTTCCGCGTTTCCCAACATGTTCTTCCTTTACGGGCCCCAGGGACCAACATCCTTTTGCAACGGACCTACTTGCGCCGAAGTCCAGGGAGACTGGGTTGCCCAGACATTGGCTCATATGCGCACAAAGGGCCACAAAGAGATTGAGCCAACGGCTTCTGCTGAACAGACTTGGAGAGCTCTTGTCAATCAAATCGGCAATGCCACATTGCTCCCTGAGACTAAATCAGAGTACATGGGCACCAATGTACCCGGCAAGCCGAAGGAGATGCTTAACTATCTGGGTGGATTGAATGATTATATCAAGAGCATTACCCAAACGCTCACGTCTGGATATCCTGGATTCGATTTGAAATAGTTACTGTTTCGGTTTAGGGCTTTTCATTTGTTATTAGCATATCGGTGGCTGGTTTTACAATTTGTGTTATGTTACTTCCATCCTTCTGGAAAGGCAGGCCGGAAGACAGATCGATTTGGAAACTTCTATGACTATATTAGGACAGAATAAAAAAACTTCACACTGAACATGAACTTTCTTTAGCATAATCCTATGATCAGAGGGGCAAATTCCTGAGGTGACAGACTCTATATTCCATAAGGCGTCAGAAAAAGCTAGTATCAATAGAGGTAGAGATGTGGCCCTAAGCCATGGGCCCGAGTATGGCAATGCATAACCAAATGGACTACGTTCCAAGATGAGGGGGTAGTGGGGAAAGCAGAATGCACAAAAGTGGGTATCAAGGAAATAAAGTACTGGTAGTGGGGCTGCTACCGCTATGCTTTCAAGGAGCAAGCCTCGGCAGGTCTTCAGCTTGTACAACATGTAATTCATACGAGCAACATGTTCTTGGACCAAGAAAATAACTCAGCAAATATCCTGTTCCAGTAGACTTTTTTCCAACAATATCATGACTCCCGATTTTAGAATCCCCAGTCATTGATACTCCGCGCTGGTGGGGCCGTACTAGCCTCCGCAAGCCACCTCGGAGCCCGCATATCCCCCTCCTCAACCTCCTCCCCCGTGACAGGATGCTTGTAATGGAAGGGAATAACACGCGTATCAGGCCAAAGACCTCCATCCTGAAGTATCACATCAGGACCAAGCTTATCAGCAGGAAACATCTCCTTGAACAGCGGAACAAAATCCTTGGACCCCTTCCACCCAGACTCGAAAGAGCCATGCCAGAAAGGGTAGTAACGTAGCCGAAGAATCTTCCAGACCCCATCTTGGAGAATATACTCGTTCTCGTACAGGCCCCCTTCCCACCACTGGCGATATCCGCCTGGGAATTCGGAGGGCAGGGATTCGTGTGTACCCGCACTCATGAATGCGCGAATGCGGGCTTTTGCTCGTCCGGCTTCGGGATTATAGTCGACTATATCCTGGGCCATTAAGTGGTCTAGTAGCCACCCCTCTATTGGGCCGTTGCGGCCTCCGACGAACCGATTTGCAAATCGTTCGATGTAGAGGCGGTGAACACCTTCTTTCCCGTTGAAGCGGCCGTTGAGGAATTGGACGTATGTGTCTGGGTGGTCCGCGAAGAGGTCGACGGCCTGGCTATCAGGTTAACTTCATGATATGTGATCGGGGTGGAATTATGAGTTCACCTCTTTGTACAGGCACTTGTCTAGGTAGTAACCATACTTGTGGTGCAGCTTTCTGACCTCGGATTCACCTGGACATCTGTTAGAAAAAAAAGAAGACCAGAGGTGTAGCTATTACCCCTCAGCTTGTTAACTTCATTTGAAAGGCCTTGCACAGTGGCTACAAGCGCGGAAATGTCTGCATTCGGGGTCGGTTCGGCCATGGCTCCAAGCTCAGATATAGCGATTCACTTTGTAATGATAGACAATCAGAGGTTTGTAGCTGTGAAAATATAACATGAAAATCATGTTTTAACTTATAAGCCTGGGCGCCAAGCCATGGAAGATGTGGTTGTCTTCGAGACCCCACATCATACATGTTGGTCGGATCATGAGTGATGCCCAGGTGCCGGGGAGCACACAGGGTGAGATGCATCCAATCCAACAGCGATAATACGCGACAAATGGGGACTCTGCATATTGAGAGGTTGCGGGGCCTACCAGGATGATTGATAGTTTAACTTTCTGGCTCACAATTAGTCCCGTGTACCGTCGTAGTTATCCGGATTTACCCCAGATGTTTATTTACTCCGGCACTTCTATAGCAAATTGTTGCCGGTGTGGACAAAGACTGATGTACCGATGTCATGTCTATTGTCCGAGCTCTAGCAATCATCCCATACTATAATTATTCAGACGATCAAAGTTCCAATCTTGCACTGCTGCGTTTAGAAGATATTTTCCCATATATAGCACAATCAAAACTTCCAAGCTTTGCCATCGCACAAGGCACTCCAACAATATGGCCCACATCTTCGATATGCCTGTTGACTACCCCTACATCAATGGACAAAAGACAGGCGACCAGGTCAAATACCCCCACACCCCTGTTTTCCAGACCTTCAATCTACCATGCCGACTCGAAGGCGACATCTTCGACCTCGAAGTCGACGGCACGATACCACCCGAGATCAACGGAACATTCTTCAGGATTCAACCTGATCACCGATTTCCCCCACTCTTCGAAGAGGATATCCACTTCAGTGGCGACGGCAATGTAACCGCAATCCGAATTCAGAATGGCCATGCAGACTTCAAACAACGATATAACAAGACCGATAGGTTCATCGCAGAAACCGCAGCTCGGAAAAGCCTATTTGGCAAATACCGGAACCCTTACACGGACTCTGACTCTGTGAAAGGGGTGATTCGCACTGTAGCCAATACGAACATAACCTTCTGGCGTGGAATGCTCCTTGCGACGAAAGAAGATGGTCCCCCGTACGCTATGGATCCTGTCACGCTAGAGACGATTGGAAGGTATGATTTTGAAGGGCAGGTTCAGTCGCCAACATTTACCGCACATCCGAAATTTGATCCTGAGACTGGTGAGATGATATGTTTTGGCTACGAAGCTGGTGGAGATGGAAATGATGGATCGTGTGATGTTGTCGTTTATACCATTAATGCGGATGGGAAGAAGACCGAGGAGGCGTGGTACAAGTCTCCATTTTGTGGAATGATTCATGACTGTGGAATCTCGAAGAATTATGTCGTGCTTCCATTGACCCCGTTGAAGTGCTCAGTGGATCGTTTGAAGAAGGGTGGCAATCACTGGGCATGGGACCCCGAGGAAAGTCAATGGTATGGTGTTATTCCCAGGAGAGGAGGGAAACCAGAGGACATCAAATGGTTTCGCGCAGAAAACGGTGAGATGATGCCTACCGATTAATCCGCAACAAATCATGCTAATTTACTTTCTAGCTTTTCATGGTCATGTCGCAGGCTGCTACGAGAACGAGCAAGGACACATCGTTTTCGACCTTACTGTAGCCGACGGCAACGTATTTTTCTTCTTCCCACCCGAGAATCAAGAATTCGGCAATTTGGGAGCAAGAAACCAACTCGAAAGCGTCACCCATCGCTGGGTCTTCGACCTAAACCAAGAATCAGGATCATGGATCAAGCCCGAGGTTCTCTGGAATACCAGCGGCGAGTTCTCCCGTATCGATGACAGATATGTCACAAAGAAATACAACCATTTCTGGCAAGCGAAAATCGACCCCACGAGGGAGTACGATGCAGCAAAATGCGGCTCCCCTGCGGGTGGACTGTTCAACTGTCTAGGACACTATCGATGGGATGACCGATCCGAAGATGTACTGTGGGCTGGCCCACGAGCTACGTTCCAGGAACCCACTTTCATTCCGCGGAAAGGGGGGAAAGAGGGGGAGGGGTGGATCATCGTGTTGGTAAATCGGCTAGATATGCTTCGTAATGATGTGGAGATCATCGATGCGGGGAGTTTAGCGGGTGGCCCCTTGGCAACGATCCACCTCCCTTTCAAATTACGGTTGGGATTGCATGGGAATTTTATCGATCATCGAGATATTGAGGAGTGGGAGAAACGACGGGCTCCTGGTGGAGACGTGGGACCTGTTCGGGCTGCGGAAAGACCTCTTGACTGGCAGCTTAGCTATTTGAAAGATTAAAGACACTAGGATAAGGCTTGTACAGACAATAACGATAGGCAGTTCTATTTGAGATCAGCAACGATCTTATGCAATTGATGGCCTAACATTTAAAATCTGCATGAATGCATCCCGTCAATACTTGACAACTAGTTGCATAGTTTCCGCGGTACTACCAAGGATCTGTGTGCTATGGTCCAGCCGCCACTCGATGTGCGGGGTTGAAACGCTTCTACCCCAAAGCAGGGATCTGTATTGCCCCATACTTTCTAATGGTTCCCGTTATACCCCCGGGGCTCAACTGAAATATTGTCCTTTTCCTGTTGGTTTTGAGAAAATTGTCAAGAAAGTTTCAAGATGAACATAACTCAAAACCCCCAATGTCAAGTCTTTCGAGACGCGCTTGTTTATAAATGGAAAAGTGTGTTACCCATTATACAGACAATCATTGTAAAACTAATAAGGGCCAGTTCGTCGAAGCATCCGATGGAGGCAAATTTGACTTGATCTCACCTGCCACAGGTGAAAAGTTTACACAAGGTATGACTCCTAGGTCTTGTGTATATCACTAAATTTAATAATATGATCACAGCATCCGAGGCTACTGAAGAAGATACAAATGCAGCCGTCGCAGCAGCTAAAGCGGCATTTCCATCATGGTCTTCCCTCGCCCCGCGCGAGAGAGGGGCATATCTGAAGAAACTCGCTCGTCTTATGTTGGAAGCCAAGGATGAACTTGCAGAGCTTGAGGCGCTTTCAATGGGTCGTCCAGTGTCGATGTACTTCGAGGCTGAGTTGGCAGCGGAGTACTTGGACTACTATGCTGAAGTGGGAATTCAGGCGCTGGGAACCTCGAGCTTGAATACTCCCGGTTTTGTCAATATGACAATGCGGCAGCCGTTTGGTGTGGTGGGAGCCATTATTCCTTGGAATGTGCCTGTAGCTTTCCTTATCGGCAAATCTGCCCCTGCGTTGATGGCAGGGAACACAATCGTTGTCAAGAGCAGCGAGAAAGCACCATTGACTGTTGGTCGACAATTGTCCTTTCTACCGTTTCATTTGCTAATCATTCCTTAGTCTGCCAAGGTTGCGACTCTTATTGAAAAGGTAGGATTTCCACCAGGAGTCTTCAACATAATTTCAGGCCACGGACACATCTCAGGCAATGTCCTCTCGCATCACATGGATATCCGGGTGATTAGCTTCACTGGCTCCGGTAGAACGGGACGTCTGATCCAAGCCGCATCCGCCAAGTCCAACCTGAAGAACGTTATTTTGGAACTAGGAGGAAAGTCGCCAGCGATCATCTTCGAAGATGCGAACATCGACAAAGCTGTTGAACAGACAAAACACTCCGTGCAGTGGAATAGTGGTCAAGTCTGCATGGCCAACTCCAGAATCTATGTACACGAATCCATTGCTCCAACTTTCATTGAGAAGTTTCAGAAGGCCTTTGTGGTGGAAAGTGGCGATCCTTTGTTAGCCAGCATCAACCACGGCCCCCAAGCGGATGAAATGCAATACAAGCAGGTCCAGGCCTATATTGGCCAAGGCAAGAAGGACGGCAAAATGATAATGGGGGCTGAACCTTCCAAGCATACGAATGGCTTTTTCGTCCAGCCGACCCTATTTTTAGACACACCGGAAAACTCCAGAATCATGAAGGAGGAGATTTTTGGGCCGGTGGCTGTCATCAACACGTTCAAGGATGAGGATGAAATTGTTGCTAAAGCGAACGACACCGAATTTGGTCTATATGCGTCTGTCTACACCAAGGATGTCAGTCGGGCGCTTCGGATGGCTAAGAAATTGGAGTCTGGAAATGTGGGTGTTAACTGCACCAGCCCGACTGTAGCTTTGGATATGCCATTTGGGGGATACAAGTCAAGCGGAGTCGGTCGCGAAGGATGGACTGTTAGCATGGATAATTATCTGGAAACAAAGAGTGTGTATATTAGTATTGATGATGCTTGAATGGAACAGGATAGCGACATATAATGGGTGAATGATCATTTTTTCCTCGAGAGTAAATTAATTGAGACATCGTCTTCCGTAGATGCCTACATAAAGAAGCTCAATTCAACCGCAGATCCTTCTTTTCGAGGGGGTCCTTTTGCCCAAGCAGGAAACCACTGTAGAAACGTTATGTCAGAATATTGTACGGGTCAGATAGGTCGAGGGAGTTGGAGGTGTATCTAACAAACGACACGTATGATGGTCAAGGAAAGACTTACAGCCCGTTCAGGGTGTGTTCAATGTCAATTTAGGCAAGGAAGACCGTCTTGTAAGGGATTTTCTTATAGTTCATCCCACCACCATCTTCCCCATTGGCACAGGAAAAGATGATGGAAGGGAATGAGGGGGTGAATTGAAGAAAAGCTGGTTCTATGTACGTCATTTAAAGGTGTAATATTGAATTTTTCCTATTGGGTGAGATGGAGGAGAGAGGAAAAGTAAGAGCAGATATGTTGCTGGCTATCTACAACGTGGAGATCAGCTGATCTGCAATTACTTATTTCACGTTTGGAGTTTCATATATCACTATCCGAGCCTCTTTGATCATAAGGCGTCTCGTTCAAGCTTGGCTTAAATCCGTTCATGGCAACTCTCATCTTAAAGTCCTGTCTGGTGACGACGTTCTTGAACCATGTTAGCACCACCATCACAACAATGAAGCTTTGAAAGCAGATATAATACCTCTTCAACAGTATTTCGCATGATATAGCGAGTAATGGCCACTGGATTGCGTTGATCAAGGCGTACTACCCGCCCTATGGCCTGTTTCTCTACCATTGGATTCCACGATGGTTCAAGAATATGGACTTGCGTTGCAATGGAAAGGTTCAGGCTAAGGAATATCAGTTATGGTCAATCGAATGATGGCAAAATCTAGCTTACCCCACAGCGCCCGCCCCAATGGTAATAAGGAGTATATTCACCATGTTGCTGATCTTGAAGCTTTCGAATGCCCGTTGGCGCTGCGCATTCGACATTGATCCATCCACCTTCACAAACCTGATTTCTTCCTTACGAAGCATCATCGCGACAATTTTCAAGCTTTTCGTCCATGCCGAAAAGACGATTCTACACTATAGTTAGCTTTAGAGCGGACGTGAAAGGATGATCATAGCTCTACCCTTTCTCCTGGGGGGCATGAGAGCGGATCATGCTCAAAAGAACACGAAACTTTGTCGAGAACACCTCGTCCGAAGTGTGAGAAGCCCCTTGATCAATCGAGGAAAGTTCATTCCATACACGAGGCCCAAGTTGTACAAGAGCATTTTGGTCTTGAAGTTGAGAATACTCCGATGCGAGGCATTTCGATTGCTTTGAGCTCGATGAGTTGAAGACTGTTGTGGACTTGTAACAGGGACCGCAGATCAGATGAAGACATTGAGTAAATACTGCAGTGTCAGGGAGCTCAGATTCCATGAGGAATAGAACTTCATTATCGCAATTAGTACATCGGGCTTTCTTGGATTCTCGCAAAAAGTTAAAATACTCTTCAACATCAAATGGATCTGTTGGGCTTGTGGTATCTCTGTCTTTGTAAAGCCCGTTGTTGCAAAATATTCGCAACTTTATGAGAGCTTGGAAGGCGGTGCAGCTACCTTCCGCTGGGCCCTTTCCACTAACATGTAGATCCATGGCTCGGTCATGAAAGTCCAATATGTTTCCATAGGCTGTCCGTTCATCAGTGGCCAAGTCTAACTTCAGGAGGTTGATCGTCGGTTGCACGAGCATGCCAACGGATGTATTTCGACGGAGGCAGATGAATCCAAGCAATAAACGAAGGTTCTCAAAACAATCTTCACGTCCACTGTAGGCCGGGTTGATGATGTGAGACCGAAATGACTTCCTTTCTTCAAGCAATGGAACACGAAGAAAAGTCACCAGTGCACCAAGATCATCCAGGCTATTTTGTATGGGAGTCCCAGTAAGACACCAGCGCCTCGCTGCTGAAATGTTGCAAGTCGCATCATGAGTTCTCGTCGATCGTCCTTTGATGCAATGTGCTGTACATGAAGCTTGTTAGCATGTATTTGGGGCCGTTAATATGCGTGGGTGTTTTTTTTACCTTCATCTAAAACAATGCGAAAGAAGTGGTGCTGAAATATCAAACTTCCTTTACTGCCAAACTCAACCTTAACGATACCGTAGGTAGTCAGGATAATGTCAAAATCCTCAAAGCTTGAGACGCGGCATCTTCGCGATCCACCGTGATATCTGCAAGGCGAAAATGTTCCTGGTTCGAATTTCCTATACCAAATTCAGTATACTTGAACGTCATATAGTCCGTTGCACATATTTTGAGCATGTACTTGGATATTTCATCCAGCCATTGATCCATGAGTGCTATTATAGTCAGAGACATTCTTTCAATTGACTTTTGGAACTTGTAATTGAGATTTACCTTCGTTAGGAAGAATGACCAACGTTGCCTTTGTCCTTCGTCTTTGAGAACGTTCATTATCAACGATTTTCTTGGCCCACTCTTTTGCGTGATCCAGGGTGCTGACAACCGTCGATAGAGTACTTATCGTTTTTCCTAAACCCATTGTATCGGCAAGTATTCCACCAAAGGGGCCAGTAAGCGGTTGCAGAATGGGTTGGCCTGTGATGACATGCGAATATCTGGGTTGAGCATGTTAGTAAGCTGAAAGAACGTGCAAGGGCCCTTTCACCAACAAGAATTTGCCATTTCGATCGTCGTGTGTTTTGAAAAGGGATATAGAAGAGGTCAGTTGACCAGTTTCCCGGCGGATCATAAAGTCAACCGCTTCTTTTTGGTGTCTGTGACATAGTTCAGTATCTAGGCCACCTAGGCCAAAATTTTGAAACGTACGGAAAGAGCGATATAGTCAAGTGCCCATCAGGCTCAACTGGTTGAAGGTCATGGCCATGTATGTGGTCCAGAACATATTGTAAGCTATTTTTCGATACCTTGCGGGACGGTTGGTTGATCAAAAGAGCTGGGATGTTCTCCTCGTCTTCTGATGCCTCACTGCTCAGATCCTCGCCCAAAAAGTCCAGAGACGGAAACTTGTGGGGGTTTTGGTAGGTTGCAGTGAGATCAATCAATGTCGGATCCTGAAGAAATAGATTCTGAGACGAGAGCCAATCACCGACAAGGTGAGCATCGTCAGAATTTCCGAAAATAGCAATTTCGATACAGCCTCTCGGTGGGTCAAGGGATTTTGATTGAGCCAAGCCATCCCATTCGGACGCAAGCAAAGAGACTTCCATTCGTGTCCCGGCGATTTCAAATAATTTCCTCAAGGCATGAGTGTCTCTGAGGTTTATAAAACCCACTATATCATCGATTAATGGAGAACATATCACGCAATTTTCGGGGCCTAATAAGACCTCCAGTGAGTAAATCCTATTGCTCTGTCTGGGGCGATCAGAGCCTCGTGTGTCATTGGCTATTGTAGGCGGGCCTATGAAGAACTGCGCATTGATATTACAAACCTTATTCAAGTTAGCGATCTTGAAATCTCAAGCTAGGAAGAGTCTATGCGGAAATCGAACGTACAGAGCCAAAGCATATCTCTTCAGTCTCTGCATGCGTTACTGATTTGGTTTTTGATTGATCAGTCAAGCAGGTGTCTAAGTGACCGTCTGTTTGACTGAAGAGCGCATGATCAACGAGATTCGGAGTTGATAGTCCTGTGTTAGGGTTTTCCGAAGTACATAATATGATAGGTTCGTCAATAAATTGCCTTGGTAAGGTTAAATCTGGGTTGACTAGTGGAAGAAGTACGAAGTCAGTACACCATTGTTGATTCCAGCCCCAAGACACTCACTGATCGCTGGAGAGCAGCTTCGCACGTCATAATAGGTAGACCCCCCATGATTCGTATTAGTCTGATTGAAAGCTTTGGGGTACGCTGAAAATCGAGTGTCGCAGCATGGCCCATCGTCTTCATTGCTCTCGCATTTCCTTTTAGCACCGCGACCAGTCTGACCATCTGCCATGCTTTGGGTCTAATATCAAGTGCAACGTATATAAATCCATAGAATATTGTGGTCGACAGGAAGTCTCAAAATGGCTGGGTCCTGCTGAATACATAAGTTGCCTAGCGGAGGCTGTGTCATGAGGCGCAATGGTGTTGTTGGGTCGCATTCTCAACGATGTAAGCCTGCAGCCACGACTGACCGCCCCGCCGCCGCTTGACACGTCGATGCGCAGTAACACTGCCCCACTTTAGCGCCGATTTGGTTGATCAAGTGAGCAGTCTAAATGTTCTCGCGATGGATTTCTCATCTCAACATCATTTCCGCGAGATGGAGAATATCAAAAACCATGGCAACCGGAACATCGCTCTGTTTTGAACGCATCTTGAGCACATTCAAGAGCCAGCTAGGACCGAAGCTTGCTGCAGATTTCCAGACAACGTCTCTTGATGATCTCAGGCGATGCATCGCCAAGATTGAAAGGAAACAAGCTACACAGAAGCGAATGCAGGACATGGGACGCCTTTCGACGTTTGTGACTATCATGGATAATTACAGCAAGGTCATAGAGGTCTTTATAAATGCAGCTGATATTCTCGCATTTGTTTGGGTATTTATGATCATACTTCTTTACTAGACGCTAAGTGAGGATTTGACGCTGACGGCCTTTCATATTGAAACAGGGACCGATTAAATTCCTCTTACAGGTATGGTACATCCTAGTCAACATGAATCCGTCCCACTAATACACGATTTGCAGGTCGCTAGCTCCGTATCCGAGGCGTTCAACGAGCTGTTGGCTACGTACAAGATGATTGGGAACTGTCTGCCACACATAGAGACTTGCCAAGGGATCCTCCAGAAGTACCCATGTCTGGAGCAGGCTCTTGAGTCGATGTTCCATGATATATTCGAGTTTCATCAAGCAGCACTCCTATATTTCAGAAAGCCCAGTGAGTGCAACCATCGCAAGTCTATAACTACAGATGGCTGACAATATGAAGTGTGGAAACAAATATTTCAGGCTACTTGGTCTACTTACAAGACAAAATTTGGTCCAATCGTGGATAGCCTCAAGAGCCACAAACAACTTTTTGGGGAGCGACTCACCTTCACCGAGCTTGAAGAAATCCGGTCTACAGCTGCCCAATCTGCAAAAGATCTGGAAAGACTCATAAAAGGCCAGATGATGGGTCAGCTACGAGAGGTTCAATGTTGGCTGAATGGTGCAGATGTTACAACTGATCAAGATACATTGAGGCTCGCTAGATCCGGGAACTCGCAATCTGGATCATGGCTTCTAAAGCATTGCCTTTTTTCTTCATGGAAGGATACGACTGAGAAACCTATACTTTGGGTGAATGGCATTCCGGGTGCAGGTACGGTTGTATCATCTGGACTTCCCGGTTTCAATCTGTTTTGAACCTAACTAATTATAAACAGGCAAAACTGTTCTAGCTTCAATCTTGATCGACGAATGTCTAACAGATCACTCAAAACATACGATCTGGTTTTACTTCAAGAGTGACAATATCCAGAGGGGATCATTTCTTTCCTTCGCTTGCAGCCTTATATCACAAATTCTTGAGAAGAACACGGACTTGCTGCCGTACATATATGAAGATATGTGCCGCAAGGGCAAGAAAACACTTTTCTCGGAAGCTTTAGCAAAAGAACTGCTTGAAATAGCTATTCGGAATTCAGGGAACATCTGCATAATCATCGACGGTCTTGACGAGTGCAGCAGATTGGAAAGAAGAAAGGTAATCGAGTGGATGCACTCAGTTATTGACGTCTCACAGCTTTCAAGCTGCAATCGGATTCAATGTATTTTTGTCTCGCAAAGAGACGCGGTCACAACGAGAGCTTTGAGAGATATTACAAGTTTGGAGATCGGTACTAGAGACACACACGATGACATCTCTGCCTATGTTTCCTCACGAGCGGTTGGAATCCAGAACAAATTTCGGATGTCTGATGAGACCAGGCGAGGTATGGTTAGACTTGTGATGGAAAAGGCAGGAGGTAAGTATTACCTCCAAATATCATCCTCAATCCGACTAATACCTTCTAAGGAATGTTTCTCCTCGCAAAACTTGTCATGAGCAACCTGTTTTCCCAAGTCTCGCCAAATGCGCTATCAAATGCATTGCATGCTGAGAGGATACCAACTCAGCTTGAAGAAGCGTGAGTTGATGAACTCATCTGGGCGTGGTGAACAAAGCTGAGCTTATATATCTCGGCATAGGTACGATCGCATCCTTAAGAATATCTTTGAAGACCAGTCTTCCCGTAAGTACGCTCTACAACTTCTGGCATGGCTGGTGTGCGCAAAACGTCAACTACAGTGGCGAGAAATTCAGGGTGCAGTATCCGTCGACCTCGAAAATGAAGATGTGGACGCTCTTAGCCGCAGATGGATCCTTGACTCTAGGGACCTCTGTGACTCACTTGTTGAGCGCAGAACAGACGGTTCTCTGGAACTTGTTCATGAGACTGCAAAGCTGTAAGTTTTGTATCAAAGACTTACACTTTCTTAATGAATTTCTGTTTCCAAGGTTTAACAGATCATAGCTTTCTTTTACAGTCAAAGATTGTGGACGTCCCAAGAGAAGAGTTGAGTATGGCCTATCTCTGTGTTGGCTACTTAGCTCTTCCAGGCTTCCAAAGGTGTCTCCCAGATGAAACAATTATGGACTTAATAAAATCCGGATATTATGCTTTTGCGGACTATGCTGTTTGCTTCTGGTCACACCACCTTCGGCACGGTCTGAAGGACGACACAGACCAAGCTACTGTGAATTCAATGCTCGAAGTATTATCCAGATTTTTAGAGTCGCACTACCGAGCCCCTGAGACAGAGTTCGACATTCCAATCTTTGCGCGTGAAATCGAGGGGCGACTTCAAATGAATGAAGTCTGGCCTGATTGTGACAAGCTTTCGAGAGCTCTTGTCTCCACAAAAAAGCAGCTGAGCAGCTTCAACTCAGATGCAGCTTCTAATGATTGTCTCGACATATCATCTGTGGTTGCCCGTATCAGGCAGCTCCTCGAACAGACTGTTTCAGAGAACAAGGCTGACACCGAGATGCTAAAATCCTTTTACGGAGATAGCCCATTTAAATGCCCTCGAATCAGTTGTGATTTTTTTTATCAAGGGTTTCAAACAGCTGAAAACAGGGACTCCCATATGAACAAGCATAACAGACCATATGGATGCTCCTTTCCCCAATGCTACAGATCCACGATTCGTTTCAGCTCGAAAAGACTACTGGAAAGGCACATCGCAGATACCCATGAAGGGCAGAAGCGCGATGCTTCAGCTTTCCCTCCGAAGCGAGCCAAGCTATCGCTGGTATGCAGGTTCTGCAAGAAAGATTTTCATGACACCAAATTATATCGCAAGCATGATTGTACCCGCCAGCCTATGGGGTCAGTAGAGACAACCTTGACCGCTACTGTATCTGAGTCTGCAGCAACAAACCCAACCACGAGTGAGCTTTTGTCCCCTTCAAAGCGCTCAGGGCTTATTCGGACCGACCAAATTCGGAAGTTGCCACATTTGAATGAAGCGCAAAAAGCCGAATACACACAGATCGTCAAAAAGTTCTGGCAGACATTGGATAACGATGACGAGCAGAGTCCAGAGTACCAGACTGCTCTGCTCAAACTTACTCATTTGAGCCAGAACTTCATGCGTTTATTTCAACAACATCGTCAGCAGACGTTACAACAGCAAGATCAACTACAACAGAAATTATCTGGTGCACACTCGGATCAGTCGGAGCAGCAGGAATCGTTTCAGAAACAAGAAAGCCCGTCATTCGCCTTGAACTCACCGGCTTCCTCGCCGTTGCTGTCAGGTTATGGACAAGCGTCCCCTAAGTCGCCTGGTCTTTCGCCTACATCTCCCTCCTATAGTCCCCCGTCCCCTCTGGCTTACTCGCCGTCATTTTTGGGTCATAAACAAGCGTCCCATAAGCCGCCTGGGCTCTCGCCTACATCCCCCTCCTATAGTCCCCCGTCCCCTCCGGCTTACTCGCCATCATTGTTGAGTCATAGACAAGCGTCTCCTAAGCCGCCTGGGCTCTCGCCTACATCTCCCTCGTATAGTCCCCCATCTCCCAAATTTGTTCTTTTCGATACCGTGGATGCTTTTGCAGATAACCTTTGGAATGACAGGAGAGTAGGAGATGGCACTCCTGCACAATAGAAGCCACAAGACCAATTTATTCCCATGACATCATGGTGATGCTAGTTTGTTTGACTCCTCGGTCTGCTTACTGGATGTACTTTTCTCTAGTATCTTTTGATTTCATCTCACAATTCATTTTGTTCCTTCGTTCTGGCCTTTAGGCTTTGCATCTATAGCCTTAATACGAGTTATACTCTTAGCCCGAAAGCAGAAATTTCTTCCAGGCAACCATGCTTTCATGGCTTAGAAGATATGCTGGAAACACCGAGTCGAAGGTATGATTTGTTAATATCAAAGCGCTTAGATATGTAACGATAGTCACCTAAGCATGCTACTGCTACTCACACTATTGGCTTTGAATATTTCCTCTCAGCTAAAATACATTCATCCAGGAGACAATCAAGGCCCAGTCATCAAGAAAAACACCTCAAAATGTTTCTAAATTCCGAAAAGAACCAAAATAAGAGCACCCGAAATCCGTTACTCGAAGATCCATAATCTTATTCTAGTCAACGCCACTTTGATTTGCCTCATTTGCATCTTTGTTCGTCTAGAGATTGACGAGAAAGAGTCCACGATTAGACCCCCTACGAATCCGGAGAATAACGAAAGTCAGCACCGCAATTTTAGCATAGCATTTAGATGGAGAAAATGAAAGATAGAAGGACAGAAGATAAATGAAATAGTTCAGCAGCACCAGGGTGCACAGAAGATGACCTGACTCTTCCGACTCCAGCACCTATCCCTATTTTTTGTTTTCGAATGTACCACGAGTCACTAGACTGCAATCTAATCATCACATCCAACCAGTCATAGCTTTCTCCAATCAAACAGTCTTGTCCTTGACAGTAGGGAACAAGTACCCAGAAAGATCCAAGCTAGACATGTCCCAGTAGAACTGGTAAATCCCGGAGACGTTGGTCTCCTTAAGACGGAAAACATCGGAGAGAGTTCCATCAGACTCTTCCCACATCAAATAGCTGCCGTAGAAGAGGAAGCCGTCCGTCGTAGCAGCGGAAGGCGAGTCGATTCCGTTGCCAGTGAAGCCGACGGTGAGGACCTCGTCGGCAGTAGGTTGGATGTAAAGCAAGGTATCGGAGTCGAGTGTAACACCGGATGTGGTGGCAGTAGTGACAAGCTCAGTGTCGGTGATTTCAACTACCGAACGCGTTAGTCCATATAGAAGGAAGGTTTGGCTTTTGTCCCGGTGTACATGTGGTTACAGCCCGGACTGTTAGAGTTAAATCTTACATGTTACGTCGGTGGTGACGTTTCCAGATGTCCAGAGGGAGGAGTCGCCGGCGTAGGCGAGGCCTGTGGATCAATGTCAGGTTTGGATTCTCGGCCGAGTAGAATGAGGGATGTAGAAGGGACATACCATCAGAGTAGAACATGGGGATGGCATCATCAGCGACGCCGTACGCAACGAGTTCGAAAGAGCCAGAGGGGTTGCGTTTCTCAATTGCGATAGATGGTGCGGCCATGGCACTAGAGGCCAACGCCAAAGCAGAGGTGAAAGTGGTGAGCTTCATGGTTTGTTTATGTTTGAAATAATTTGCAGATAAAATACATGCTTGCCGTCGGGGATTATAAACATCAGTTCAAAAGCTTACAAGCTAATGAGCTAGCTATACTTGTCTTGGAGACCAATGCATGATCGGGCCCCCACTTCTTTGGTGACGCGGCCTCATGGTCCTTCAATAAGCTAAGAGGAACTAAAGTACTCCTTCGGTCTACTGTAACTACACCCGATGATGCTTTCATACTATTTCGATTCAGTGCAAGCCATTTGAACGATATTTCTGCAATCTCCAATAACAGTATAGTTATGTTCAACAAATATATTCACCGAATTCGAAAAAAGAATTCATGACTCGTCCTACTAGCATGAAGAGATTTAAGAAAATTGACTATAAATTGAGCTATCTCAAATAAGGGATTGATCGACCGGCAGTTGCCCACTGAAGCCGACTTCTACACCAATATGGAAAAAGGTAGCACAAACGAGGAAGAAAAGAGCGATTGGATGTGATCCCTGTTTATTCAAGGTTGCTAGTGGCCATTTCTGCAGAGTGTGGATCATTTGGCAGCCCCCACTTCACCAAGTTTTACGTAGTACGATCGCAAAAATATTACAATACTACCATTTTGTAAGGTCCATCGGTGATTAAAAGCTACATTTGGTTCATTAGTCAGTGCTTACAGGGGCACGGGATTCCAGTAAAGGAAGCTGGCCGCCCAGATGGATCCTTCAATCTACATTGAGCCTAGCCGTCAGACGGTCGCTTGGCATCGCATAAGCACTTGCAAAACTCTGCTGGCGAGACCAAGATTCAAAGGTCTAGCGTTGAATGAACACGGTATGGATTTGTGGGGGCCATCTTGGCTATACCAATTAATATCTCTCAACAACCCACAGCCGTCGCTCCGCCTCCGACATGGCTGACAAGCTAGCGGACTCCGCCCTCTTGACGAGCGTATAGTTCCGAATAAAGCCTGGACCAAGCAGATTCTGTAGAGCCTTGTCATTCTCGAGTGCTACTAGGCTTTCATCCAAGGATTTCGGAATTTCGGTGTTAATTCCTAGCTCAGAGCGCTCGGATTCCGCCAGTGTAGATGCGTCGACTAGAATGAAGTCAGTTGAGTTACAATAGGGGTTTTTAGTAATGGAGACTTACCGCCGCACTCCTTGACAGTCAGTGGTGCATTTGCCTCCAGCCCCAGGTACCCTCCAGCTAGGAGGGCGGCTACAGCAAAATAAGGGTTTGCTAAACCATCCATTGATTTGATCTCCCAGTGACCGGGGTTGATCTTGCGGATTGGAGCCTCGCGGTTCTGGAAGCCCCAGGTGACCCATTCTGATCCTGCCCAGATGCCCGAGCGGACACGCTCGTAGCTTACATCTTGCGAGAGGGTGAATGCAACGATGGAACGGAAATGGTCGAGCATGCCGGCTAGGAATGTGTCTTCTTTTGTCGGGGGGTTGATGGAGATGTGTGTATGGGAGGCAGTACCAGCTCCATCGGGGTAGGGCCGTGGGTGCAGGGTTGCGCGCAGACCGTATCTATCTGCGACTGCAGAGATGACTTGCCGGGTAGCGATCAGCGTATCCACGGCGGCTAGGGGTGCCAACGGTGGGAGGACGAATTCAAATTGACCAGGTGATGACTCGGCGTGGAATTGCTGGAGTTTTATTCCCATCGACACCAGTGCCTGTGTGATTTCTTCAAGGATTGGGACCATCCGTCTTGTTTGTGTAGTCATTTGCGACCAGGAATGAATAGTTGTTGCAGGGTCGCAAGTTGTCCTCTCTTTCTCAGATTTGAGGAAAACTACCTCAACCTCAAAGCCACATAGGACGTTGATATTGTGTTGCTTATGCAGCTTCTCGACAATATTTTGCAATGTACCTCTTGGGCACCCTTCCAAGAATTGGCCGTCTTCCGTTTTCCAAAACGTCATGACAGTGGCGCTTGGTGCAGCTGGTGTCACCATACTTCCATTCAAGTAAAGGCTGGAAAAGTCAGGCTGCATATAGAATTGTCCTGTAGTCGAGCCCTCCGGAATAACAACGTCGTTTTGCAGCATACTCAACGCAGCCATCGCGATTCCGATCCGCCTTTGATTCCGTGCAATGCGAACAAACTCTTGGAGTGGGAACATGCGCACTCGTACAGTTGCTGTGTAATCTACCCATTGCATCCAGATGTACTCGATTTTAGGATTGGCTTGTAGGAAGGCGTCTAGGGTGTCAGATGCGACTGCACCTTTCTGGCCAACAATAGCCATCGATTGCTCGGTACTTTCAGTGTTATACTGTGGCGTCAATTGCAATCTGTACAGACGATTTGAGTTATTAAACAGAATGTCAGCGGCTGCCGTCTTGGCCTGTGAAATAGTGTAGTCGCCATGTTGGACGTAGTCGATAAACACCTATTCCAAAAAATCAGTATGGGATAAGATGGGGACTCTCAGCATATCTTACTTTCTCCAGCGCCTGTCGGAATTGCTTGTTGGCAAGCCAAAAGGTCTCCGGGTGGAAATGACCATCGGTACTCCAAAGGAGACGGTTGGTAGGTGTAATCTCCAAACTCTCCTGTAGAATCTTTTCCTGGGCCTGCCGACTCACCATCGGGAACACCTCTCCGAGGTCCAGGTATACATTAGGATACACAGAAGCCAGATATCCAGCTGCCCGAGTATACGGATACGCTGAGTGCAGCAATACAATATCCGCATCGGGGTATTGCACAATCAACGGCTGAAGATAGGCAGGGTTTGCTCGCAAAAGACTGATATCATTATCACCCAACCCAGTATGAAACTGAAGAGGCTTAACAATACCAGCCCTCTTTCTCCAAGTAATCAGTTTAAGCGTCTGCTGAACCAGCCAGTCATTCAATGGCTTTTCCTCAATCCGATAACCTGATTTCCTAGTACCCAAGTCCAGGGTTCGGTGGAGCGAGGCTGTTAATAGATCCTCATCTGGTGTGTGGGGATCGACATCTAGTCCAGTGCGGTAACAAACCACAGATTTGAACCCCACAACAGCGGGATCGTCCATTGCGTGCTCGAGCTTTTCAAGGAATTGCTGGCGGAATAGACCCCACACGGTCTGACCTTCCTGTCGATCCGTGCTCATCAGCTCCACCAGAAGCGAGGCTGCTACCGCCTCGATTCGGACGATGCGTTTTGTCGCAGACGCGGTGAATGAGTCATGCCAATCGTATGATTCGACATCGTCGTCTGATAAGAGATCATCGAGAAGCAAGGCATGTGTGCCTTCCAAGCTCCGTTTGATCAGGCCTTCGTAATCCTGCTCTACCCATCGGCTGTGGGCGGCTAGTACGTCTGACCATTCCGCACAGGGACTTCCGTAAAGCTCGGCAAGCTGGTTGGTGGCCCGCAGCAATGGCAGGGTGAACCGGGCATTCTCCAAGGCGCGACCGTGGGCCTCGGAAGTGATAGATTCTAACGGGTAGCTATCGTACTCGGTGGCCACGTCGCGACTCAATAGATTGTGCGCATGATTATCAATAAGCGGGTGGTTTGCGATGAGGTGGCGAAGGGAATCAAGAGAATCCATTGTGGTGATGATAATGAATGAGGGATGAAGAGATAACACAACGGATCCGACCACTGGAGCACGAAAGTAAGCTAGTCATTTTCTGCCACTGCTACACAGTACCACGTTGGGCAAGTGGTTCTAGTTCCGATCAAGTAGTCAATACATTTTCTCTGCTATGGAACCAACTGCGTAGCAAGTATCTGGTACTTTCTTGTCCGTGCATCGTCAAAGATGCTCAAATTGGCCAACTACACGACTCGTAAATCCAATCGGTAAGCAACCCGCACTTTGAACCCACTTCCCTGGTCTCGGTAAGCTGCCACTCCACGATCTTCACAATGCACAGGCAAATTCTAGTTCATCAATTTCATTTTTGCGGGGCGAGCCGTGAAGAATAACCTGATCACCGGTTCCACTATCCAATAAGTTATGCACTCAATACTGCCCCTCAATCGTCAAGGTTCCCGTTTTCGTGATCAGGTACTCCTGCACAGCAACATCCTTTCCACTCTCCTTACCATAACCTGATTCCTTCATGCCACCAAACGGCGACTCGGCCGCTGATTGGTTGCCTAGACTATCGGTCAGAACAGAAATTTCCACATCACATTTGAATCACTTACCCGTGTTCATTCCGATCATGCCCGCCTCGAGATTCTCCAACAAACGCCACATACGATCGATGTTCTTCGTAAACGCATAACTCGCCAATCCCATGCTAGTGGCATTCGCCATTCTCACCGCTTCATCCTCAGTTTCGAAACGATAGAGCGCCGCAATGGGTGCGAATGACTCCTCTTGTGAGATCAGCATGTCTTTTGTCATCCCAGATAGGATGGTCGGCTCAAAGAAATAACCCGGCTGTGCGCTACGAGGCTTCCCGCCAAGCAGAATCTTCGCGCCAAGGTTACGGGCATCCTCAACTTGCGCAATCGCCTTGTCAATGCTGCGAGGCGTGGTCAACGGGCCCATTGTAGTGTCCTTGGCAGATCCATGCCCAACAACCAGGGCAGCGGTCCGCTCCGTCAGGAGTGCAGCAAAGCGATCGTAAACACCCGCTTGGACGTAGATTCGGTTTGCTGTGATACATGCTTGGCCTGCATGACGCCACTTAAGGGTCATAAGCTGCTCCAGCGCCTGGTCAAGGTTTGCATCGTCAAAAACGATGAAAGGACAGTTTCCGCCCAACTCGAGCGTCACTTTCTTAAGGCCGTGAGCGCAGTGCGACGCAACCAATTTACCAACTCGCGTTGAGCCAGTGAATGTCACCTTTTTGACGAGCGGGTGCTTACACAACGCCTCACTCAGCGATGGCGTATTCTCCAAGTCAGTAGTGAGAACATTAAACACGCCAGCTGGGATGCCTGCCCGCAGCGCCAACTCGGCCAGGACAAGAGCCGAGATGGGTGTCTCGGGACTCGGCTTCACAACCATCGTACACCCGGCCGCCATCGCGGCTCCAACCTTACGTAGAACCATCGCGACCGGGAAATTCCACGGTACAAGGGCAGCCGCCACGCCGATGGGCTGCTTGACTGTGAAAATGCGGCGATTCGGCGCAGCGGCCATCGATACCGTACCGTGAACGCGCTCCGCCTCGCCGGCAAACCACCATAGGAAACCAAGTGAGTAATCGAGTTCCCCGTAGGCCTCTGCCAACGGCTTGCCCGTCTCGTGGGTGACAATCTGGGCAAGATCATCTCTTGCCTGGGTAGTAAGATCGTGCCATTTAAGCAACCACTTCGCCCGCTGTCGGGGATTTACTTTGCGAAAGGACTCGAATGCAGTGTGGGCTGCTTCAACAGCTGCCGGGACATCTTCGGTTGTGCTTGCGGGGCAGCTGGCCCATGCCTTGTCGGTTCCGGGGTCTAGGTGGGGTCAGTCATACTTGTAACATGTTGGAGCTTGGAGGATGTACCGAGAACCTCGAACCGCTTGCCGCTCTTCGATTCAACCCATTCGTGGCCGATGAAAGAGTCGAATTTGAGAAGTGTAGGGTCCGCTAGCTTTATGTGTGTTAGTATGTTTGATAGAAGCTCAGAAGCCTTCGGACATCTCGCCGATGCCCAGTAGCAATCAAGGTCGAAGGATTACAGGAGGTCGCTTACCTGGAATGGGAGCTCGTACTTCGTTCCCATGATGTGCAACAAAATGATTTTAAAGTTATTGAATAATCAAAAGCTGAAAAATGTACTAGAAATAGGAAAGGCTGACCTTTCAATGTTGGTAAAGTGGGGAAGCTTGAACCCCTCATCGCGTTGCGGCACATGTGCGGAACTCTCGGCGACTTGTAATACGACATAGATAGGCTATATGGATCTCTTCTCCAATTTCATACGTCTCCGAAAGTCTTGGGGTTACTTCCAAGGTTCTTACAGGTAGACGATCCAGATAGCAACATTGTAACTCCGCTCTCTATGTAGCGCCCCGACCCGAATCGCGAGAGGTCAAAAATATGCAACCACGCCTCTAATTTTTCCGAGTAAGTCCAATCGCGTCTTTAAAGCCCTGAAGCCTGAGAAACCTCGGGACGGACCTCCGAGTAACACCAAAAATTATACAATGAAATATACATTTTATGTTCAACGTTCAACGTCTAGACCAAACTATCCATGCTGACACTCTTCTCAGCCCTCGACCTCCCATCCTCACTACCATTAGTATACTGCACCGAAACATCTGTGGTCTTGATAATGCCAGCCGGTCCATCCAGCTCCGAGCTCCCACTAGATATAGAAGGACTATCGCCACCGCGCCTATACTTCCGCATATCAAATGAACCTTTACCCGCACCCACAACGTCAACCCGATTCCCCCTCGACGGATCCGCCATCTCATAACCCGTGTCACCATCAGTGCCTGACTGCAGCTGACTCGACTTCTTGCTACTGGGGAAGAAGCGCGATTTCCGGAATCCCCGCGAACCGCCACTTGTCCCCTGCCCATAGCTTGATTTCCCATTCCGAGATGTGCCAAGCAGACGGGGGAGGTATTTGCTTGTGATCGCTTTCATTGAGGGGGCGCAGGCTGTTATCACTGCCACGTTTACTTCGACGGCGGAGCTGCAGAATCCTATGCCGAATGTTGGGTCTTCGACTGGGCCTGTTGGGAAGAAGGCTTTTGCGAGGATTATTATGCGCCAGACGCCGATTGCGGTGGCACTGTTGGATGGGTTAGTTGTGGGTCGAGTTTGGTAGGTATGAGGAAAACGTACACTCCGCCGAGGCATAGAATAAGACAAACAGCGATCTTTCTTCGAAGAGGCATTTGGAGATGCCAGGTAATGATTATCGGGATTGATATTACCATTAGGTCAGTGAAGAGGTTTAGTGCTGCGGTTGACACGTAGAAGGCGCCTTGATCGATGCATTTTCCGCCTTCGATTGTCATGTCCCAGTTGTAGGCGATCGGATGGCATTGGAAGATGTCGACGAAGAGGACGGCGATGAAGAGGGATGTTATTACACCTAGGGATGTCCAGATTAGGATGTTGACGACACGGGAGCGTGATTCGAGTCGGCGGAGGAACATTAGGATGGAGACTTTGATCAGCGTCAAGCATGGGTTGTATATAAGTTGATTGGCGTAATTCCACTGTTGAGGTGTTAGCTTGAGCCTCAGAGTTGCTCAAAAGTTGTGCTTTACTCACAATCAAGCCCTGCCTGACATCATAGTCCTTGGGTATATCCCACTCATGGATGCCAACATAATTGGTCTTAATGTAATACCACGAAGTAACCGACTGCGATATGGCAAGAATCTAACCAATTATTAGTATCAATGGAATAATAAGGAGGTGAGGTTGAGAAGTGTACATATCCAGCAACAATGAAGTAGTCGTCTGTGCAAAGCAAAGACATTAGTGAAAATCTCAGTAGATCGCGCCGATCAACGGGCCGCCGAGTCAAGACTTACCACTTGTCAGGGCAGATCTCGATAACGACCGAGCCCAAAGCCGCAAAAGAACAGTAATACCGCCCAGGATCGGGAATGCGACCACGACTCCCAGCGCAGTGTTCTGGTGATGATAGTCAATCATTGTCTTTCATGCTAAAAGAAGGAAAGGCCCAGGCCGAGGGTAAGAACTCTTATTAAACCTAGCACCGGAGTCCGCCACAATGAATAAGGCACGATCACAAGCGACGAACAGATCGGCCCCCAGTACTAGGCTACGGCTTGCGGGTTCCTGGATGAGATCCAACTTCTGACCCAATCAGCTTCCAGACTGGGTCCTCTCGCATGGAATTTTCCACGGCTTGGGATGATTTGGTCTCCAATTATAAATTGTGGGCAAGGATCTATTTCCCCACCGAATAAGATATTGGATGGCGACCTGGATCTCGGAAGAGAGTTCGGCTTTGATTCTATCTGATCAATCAGAATGATCTATCTTGAGGCCCGTCATCCAAGAATACAGTATGTGAGTTGTGCCCATCTAATCTGCGCCCGTGGAGAAACCAGAATCACTTTTTGGCTACACTGTTGAAGCCGAAGGCTCCCAGGAATGTGAACCCCTTCTTCGGGGCTTCGACGGCATAACGCAATTCGGACAATAGTGGAAGCTTTAGCCATGTTACATTTGAGACATTGCGCAGCTGCTCTATCCCTTGGTACAAAAGGACCCACCCGCTGGATCAACTTAATTCCTTATTGAACCTTGGGCGACATATTTTCCATCAAATGAATTCGAGAAACGGCTTCATTAAACTTCCGAAGGATTCACTCCGCAGTGACGCAGTGAATATAAATCGGAAATGAATATCGGATGCTGGGCGCAGCTGAGTCTGTAGGTTTGGTACCTTTAGCCACACCCCCACCACAACCGGCTTCGTGGGGGATTCTCAAAGACCCTTGGATCGAGTTGGGGATTGCAAAGCCTACCAAACTGCGGTTTTGTGATGCACTGTTCGCTTTTCTTTTTTTCCGACCGAGCGCAGATCCTCCACTTGAGATTGAAGTGGGTCAAGGGTCAGTGGAGTATTGCGATGGGTTTATATCCGGTGGGACCGAAAGTAGTCCATCGTCCGGGTTGCTTTTCTAGAAAGTTTATAATCCCTGTCGAAGTAAAATCCGTAAGAAAGGACGCGCGTATGAATCTTGTTGCTCCTTCGGCTTTTATAGGGTACAACACGCAGGTACCGGTGAATTACCAATGTTGATTCCAGGATCCGGCGTGGGGGCCGGATCAATCGGGAAATGATTGGAGGCGTGATCCCGACGCCCAGGAACGAGTGTTGCAAATAAGGTGGAGCTTGACGGTAAAGAGTATAGCACCACAACTAGTGCATCCCAATGAACGGAATACGTTGGCTCCTGGTGGCTAGGGCACGGAATTTGATATGCCGAGACGAAATCGCAAAAGTGGAGCACTGGAAGAGTACAAGGGGGTTTATACCGAATGTGCATGTCTTGTGGGTCGACTGCATTACGGTGGCAAGCCTTCTCCTCTCGGTTAGAACTGGAAATTGACTTGCCAATTTCATGGCAGTGAGCTTGATTTCCTCGGTCTCTTAAAAAGGAGTCGTGGTCTCAATTTCAGGTAATCCTTTCGCAGATCCTAGCATCTCGATCTCGTCACATCTGTATCCCGCTCGTGATGGCGGCCCGTTCTCTATTTGCCAGCTTGCTCGGCGCCCTTCTCTTGGCTGCGCCTGGAGATGCGGCTGTTGGGATGAAAGTTTCCAGTGCTTCCAAGGCTGGTGTGCCGCTGTTTGAGAGTGAGACAGTGCAATTAACAGACAAGTCGCTCTCCAATCTCAATTCTAAGCAGGCTGCTCTGTTTGGCTTCGGCAAAAATGGCTCGCGCGCGTCTACCCCCCACAAGGGCGAGTGCAAGTTGCTACCAGGAGATAAATCGTGGCCCTCTGACGATGTTTGGGGGCAATTTGATGATCTTTTGGGTGATGCTCTGATCAAGACTGTACCCCTGGCTGCGGCCTGTTACCCCTCGTGGCCTGAATATGATAGTGACAAGTGCGAGAATGTCACTGCCGACTGGACGGTCTCGTACATGCAGTATGTGATACCCTGTCATCGATAGTTAACTCAACTAACATGAACCAGTGCGGCTGATCCTGCGTCTATCATGTGGCCCTTGTTTGAGGGTAGGTCCTGTTTACCTACTGGGAGTAACGTCTCATCCTCCTGCACTATTGGTGGATACAGCAGCTATGCTGTCAATGTCAGCAATGTGGCTCAGGTGCAGCTTGCGGTAAACTTCGCTCGTAATGCGAATTTGAGACTTGTGGTCAAGAACACTGGCCATGACTTCAATGGCAAGTCTACTGGCGCTGGTGGCCTTGGAGTGTGGACACACAATCTGAAAGATATTGAATACATTGAGAACTACAATGGCTCGAACTACCAGGGTCCTGCGGTCAAGATGGGTGCCGGTGTCCAGGCCTTTGAGATCTACGCAAAGGCTGAAGAGCTCGGCTTCACTGCTGTCGGCGGAGAGGGCAAGGTATGTTGACAAATCCTTAGTCATGGACTTGGACTAATCTTTTCAGACTGTTGGCGTTGCCGGTGGATATGTCCTTGGTGGCGGTCACTCTCCCATGTCCAGTACGTATGGCCTGGCTGCGGATCAGGTCCTGGCGCTTGAGGTTGTACTTGCAAATGGTAGATTCGTCACTGTGACTGAGGAGACTGACCCTGATCTGTTCTGGGCTATGCGTGGTGGCGGTGGTGGTAAGTTGGCCCCAGACGTTCTTTCCGAAATTCGCAACTAATGACATCCAGGCACCTTCGGCGTTGTCACCTCAGTCATCTCGCGTGTGCACCCAAAGGTCGGCGTCACAGTCTCAACTTTCAGCTTCGCCACCAGCTCCAATGTTTCAGCCAACACATTTTGGGCAGGAGTTGACTCATACTTCCAAAGATTCCCCGCGCACGCCGATGCCGGTACCTACGCCTACTTCTGGGTCCTTAGCACGGGCACAAATTCCTTCGAGTTCCTAATGAACCCGTTCTTCGCCGTGAATCACACCCTGGATGAGTTCAACACCCTAGTCAAGCCGTGGTTCGACGATCTAAAGGCCCTCGGTATCCCCTTCACTCCCAACTCCACCTACTACGACTCCTTCTACCAGGGCTGGGACGCCGGCTTCCCTCTCGAGACCATCGGAAGCGTGGCCATGATGACTGGAAGCCGCCTTTTCCCTCGCGAGAACTGGGAAGATGCCACTAAGTTCAACGCCACTGTCGCCGCGATCCGATCTACCGTTAGCGCTGGCTACCCGCTCCTCGCGTTCAATATGAAGGCTGAGCTTCCGGCGGGTTACCCTGATGATTCTTCGAACCCGGCTTTCCGTCACACTCTGATGCATGCTATTACCTCTGTCAGCTGGGATGCCAATGCCACCAATTCGCAGATTAACGCTACCATGAATACGCTCACCTACGATGTATTGGGTAAGTGGCGGGCTACCTGTCCGGATTCTGGTGCCTATATGTCCGAGTCGGATATTTCGGAGCCCAATTTCCAGCAGGCGTTTTACGGTACCAACTATGACCGGTTGTACAAGTTGAAGCAGCGTTATGATCCGACTTTCTTGTTCTATGCCCCTACCGGTGTGGGTAGTGAGCACTGGGAGGTGAAGAGTCTGGATGGTCTTCCCGATCAGAATGGACGCCTTTGCCGTCTTTGAAGTGGCTGATACTTTGAGTCGCGTGTACATCTTTCGTTCTGGATATATGTCAAGCGCTACTGTTTATAGACATCTATATAGAATCTAATTATTCCGTACCCACGAAAAACCTTCCACAGACAAAACTCTATTCTTGTTGAAGTCTAAACATTCTAGGCAAGTATTGACCTTTGACTTATCATGCAACAAACGCCAACTTTAAGTGCTGACGCGGTGCCTGCGTTTGCTGCAGAAAAGACCCGAAACACGACCAATAACAATGACCCCATCTTATCAGTTCCTCATCTCTTCCTGCCTTGTTTTCACCCTTGTTTTCATAGATTAATGTACAGTACATTCATCTCAGACGGTCTCATCAGATAATCTCCGAAGATTTACCTAACCCCTCGCGTACAACCGCCGGATAATTAATTTGAAGCTGGTTGGCCAGTACCCGAGCTATCGACACAGACCTATGCAAGCACCTGTCGATCACTACTTCCCCCTCTTCAAAGGTCACACCGCAAGGTTTCTTCAACGGGATGTGACTCTATATAATGGATTATCATGTTACATGGATAAGCTTCTCCGCATCATAATTCTCCGAAGATATGGGCCTTTCTCAGCATAAATATCCTGGTTGGGAAGGTCGAGTGCGTGCGGGGAACCTGTTGTTTGCGACCGGGTCAATATGAAATTGAGTCGGCTTTTGTGCACACTTAGTGCTTTCACAAGTGGAGGTATGTTGTTTCATATTCATCAAAAGATTGAATGTATTTGACTGGTCTTTTAGCTCTGGCTCGCTTAGTTACTGTTCCTATTGTACCGTTTACAGAGACAGGCGGCAGCTATAAACTTTCGGAAATTACAGGAATCGTTGTTGATTCTCGTTATGTCGATTCGGTGGATCACGATGGTCAGACTTTAATCCCACCTACTCTGCACGAGTTTGCAGAGACTTTCCAAGGGGACCTTAAAGAAGTCCTGGGGTTGGATGTGCAGCTCACCAAGGGCACGGAGCGGACGAAAAATACTATTTTCGTGACAATTGGGAATGATACAGGATTTAAGGATGCTGCTGGTAGATTCACCTCAGAGGCTTACGAATTGAAAGTTGATGATAACGGGATTGTCGTCACTGGAGCAAGTCCCTTGGGTGCGTGGTGGGCCACCCGGTCGATCATCCAAGTTGCTTCTACGGGAAGCTCCGCCTTACCTAAGGGATCCGGCGTGGATGCTCCAGGATGGGGAACTCGAGGAGTCATGGTAAGTGTTATCTTCCATGACATTGTGTCATTGCTAACGGTCATTAGCTCGACGCTGGTCGGCACTTCTACCCCGCCGACTTCTTGATTGAGATGTGCTCGTACCTCTCGTTCTTCAAGCAAAATACATTCCATGTTCACCTCAGCGACAATCTCTACAACAATGTCGACATATATTCCCGAGAAAGAAGTTTGGATCTCTACGCCGCATTCCGACTGTGGTCCGACGACGAATCTGTTGCAGGATTGAACCGCCGGGCCAACGAGTCATACACCCGTGAGCAGTTCGATAATATTCAGACACAATGCGCAAAGCGCGGAGTCACCATCATCCCCGAGATCGAGGCTCCCGGTCACGCACTGGTGATTGTACAATGGAAGCCGGAGCTGGGTCTAGATGATCTCAGCATGCTCAACATCAGCCACCCAGAAACCATCCCGACAATGAAGACCATCTGGAAAACTTTCTTGCCGTGGTTTCACAGCAAGGTTGTCCACATTGGCGCTGATGAGTACGATAGCAGCCTGATCTCAGATTATACAAGCTTCGTGAACCAGATGAATACGTTCATTCAAGAAGAGACATCTGGTACCAAGTCGATGCGCATCTGGGGTACGTTCACCCCGAAAGAGGGTGCCAATGTCTCCAAGTCCGTCTCGTACCAGCACTGGGACGTCAGCGCGGACCAGCCGTACTATGATTATATTGAGAACGGATACGATGTGCTCAACTCCGATGACTATATGTACCTTGTGGGTGGCTGGAGCGGCTCATTCGCACAGAAGCTCAGTCTGGACAAGATATTTAACGGTCCATACGACGCGCCATACTCACCCGTGGTGTTTGACAGTTCCAACCAGACCGACAACCCTTCGCGCAACAATCCTCGTGTTTTGGGCGAGGTGGCGGCATTATGGAATGACTATGGGCCAAACTCCACCACCGTCCTGGAGGCGTACTATTCCTGGCGTGATGCTCTTCCCGCTCTCGCCGACAAACAGTGGGGTGGCGACATCACAGAAGACGAGTACCTGTCCGTGTTTGATTCCCTTCACGCAGCTGTACCAGACCAGAACCTCGATCGTGCGATTCCTAGCACCTCCGATACTATTCTTCACTACACATTTGATGATTCCAGCTCAAAATCACTCACTGATCAGTCTGGCAATGGATACCACGGGACAATCCATGGATGCAAGATAGCCGACAAAACTCTGCATCTAGCCGATGGCTGCTATGTTGAAACACCTCTAGGCAGCAAGGGACGCGACTACACACTCTCGTTCCGAGTCAAACCCACCTCCCACACACCGGGTACACTCTTCGCTGGACCCGACTCCACATTTGTCAATGGCAATGGCACAATTACCAACACAACTCTCATCAGTGGCGGCAACCCATACTCCTTAAACTATACCCTGCCTCTCAACACCTGGACAGAAGTAAGCTTGATCGGGAAGGGCAACTCGACCTTTCTTACCACTTCAGGCAAGGGCACCAATTCTAAAACAATGGAGTTCCTGACTAAGATTGGCGTCAATGGGGACTCATTTGTGTGGGCGCCTATAGCAGTGGAGGCACCGCTGACGCGTATCGGCGAAGGATTTACAGGGCTGATGCAGAATGTTGTGTTGAAGGGTAGTGCGGCTTGATGGAATTCTGTTGCCTTACACATTACAATGACGCGGCAGCGGCAGCCCTATTTGCGTCAACGAGGAATCTCGGAACACATTTTTGATCCATATGCTCTTAGCCAAGTTCTTGTAGAACCAATGAAATGATATAAATCAATGCTTAATTTTACCTTATCGAAATAAATGCCAAGACTCTTCTTCATGCACTGCATGTGGTTTATACCCTCGTGGCCACGGTGGCACCACCTCCGCATCCCGTGTCGACATAGGGGTCCAGTCCGGACCAATAAGACACACAAGAAAGAGCCCTGAGACCCTGGGGATCACAAACTAGTAAAGCTACAGACAAAATGGAGACGCTGGACGCGAAAAACAAAGGCAAAAACGTGTTTTCGCAGAGCCACTCCGCAAAGGAAGCTGTCCCGAAGGCCCCGCCAAGCCTTCCGGTTCCGTCCTATCGACGCACCCGGTCGCGATCCACCAATCAAAGGCCCACATGGTCCACATGCCTAAGTTGCTGGTCTTGAGTAACTGCGAAATGGACCGACGGGCTTGAGGTAACCTTTCTCGTTGATTTTGCCTTATAACCTTGCTTTCGGCTCCTTTCTTCATGTCATCCTCACTCCACGAATTGCTGACCTTTGGGGCAACCATACCCCCAACACCGCTATCATGAAGTTGTCGGCTATCTACGTGGTGTTGGGTGCTTCTGCTTCGCTCGGACTGGCGTTGCCCATTCAAGAAACTATCTCCGCAGCAGTTGACACAGCTCGGTCTGGGACGAGGGGGTTCTTTCACTCGCCTCAAAAGGTTGTCGCGCTTGGTTCAGAGTCAAATCAGCCCTCACAATCGGAAGCACCGACTTTCCAACAATACACTGATCGTCATCGACAAGAGGAGCTGGGTTTCATTCGGTCCGATGAGAAAGAATTCAACCTACCAGCTGGGCTTAGGCCTACACCGTCACAGTCTGGACCATTCTCCACATATGATCAGCCGAAGAGTGCGTCGTCGTACGGAACATTCCTGGGGAAATGGCATCCATTCAGACACGAACAGCCACATCAATGCAATCACACCCATTCAGCACACACGGTAACCTATCTTAAACCACTCGATCTACTTGATGTCATGGAAAACTACGGCCCGGTCTGTGTTGCGCTGGCGATCTTCGTCCTCGTGCCAATCGCCTACTTTGTGCTTGAGCTGTTGGAGATTACACTCCAGTACTTTGTTCGGGAACGGTTTCCGCAGCGGGGTCGGGATCGTTTGCAATTGTTGGGTCCGGAGAGGCAGCTTCGTGCTGTGAATGCTTATCAGCGGGAGAAAATAATTGAGCAGGAGAAGCACTGGTGGCAGGCTCGGCGGGCGAGATATTGATGCTTTTCGGGCTTTTGTGCCCGGCTTGGCTGGTTTTTGTTCAATTTTAGCTTTACATGATACCCATCTCTTAATGTTTTCAGTTATTCCAATGGTTTTCAACCCTTTTTTATGTTAGCTCTTCGATGCTATCAAGGATCCAATTTTATCCGACCACGCCTTTCTTTGCTGTATACCCGAGTACCCTTCTATGTAGATAGACGACAAGCCTAGTAGCTGCTACTTAGGATACTTCCAGGGGTTTTAATTCTTCACTCTTTCTTTCCCCCCGCTTATCGCAATTTCCATGCGCAGATAGTGGGAATTTAGCTGGCATTTTACGTATCTTGTGAATGGTGTTAGTGCTGCACTAAGTCCTGAAGCTACGCCCTTATCTGTGAATCGTGGAGTCTCACCCATCACCACACTTAAGCAAAAGCATTAATCGGCCGGGGAAGACAACCTTCATTTGCGATGAGCAAATCGCAGCCAATTTTTATTGTCTTTGGACACTAGGGATACATACTGAACGCATGCGTACTTTGATCCAGGATTTATAATCTTGGCTGAGAGGTAGACCGTACACTATCCTCTACTGCCCAGAGATCCTCTGGTGGTGTTAATATGCGGGCGAGCCCGACTAAGGCCCATCATGGAGAATGAAGAGCAGTTGGTTTAGTACATCGGAATCTGGCATTTCGGAAGTAGTCGAGCTCAAGGGACCCAACCTCCCCGCTGCTTGATTCTGAGGCCGATAGAAACTTGGAAGGGTCAAAGTGGTTGTTAAAAGACCCTCTGAAGCTCAAAGTGCTCCCCATGTATTTCCGATGCTTGGATCTGAAAGCCTTAAGGTGTTGACGGGCAGCGATAAGCGGGCGCCATACTTCGTCTCCAATGCAGCTCCTTCAAAGCCCTTGAGGTTAAGAGGGGCACTGGTCCGGACTCGTCGAAGAGAATGCCACTCATCAACGGATCATCTTGTACCTTCTTGCATGCATCCGCTCAATACCCAGAGCTCGAAGTTAGAAATTTATCAGATTTCGTGAGGTCTGTCATATTTGTCAGCGGTAGGCCGTAGCTTGACGCCATTTAGTCTACCGTCCCAAATATCTTTTATCTCGATCTTCATCGAATGGCGGAGCGAGGCGAGCCAGCAGGGTCGTCTAACTCGAAGATGATCCGCGAATTGGGTCCCTCGTCCAGTTCATCATGCCGGAAAGGAAAAAGGGACTCTGGGAAAAGAGGCAGGGTTCTCAGGCCCATAAGGTTTGTCGCGTTGATGTGCAGGTGCTTTAATGGAGAGAAAATTGGCAAGGTCTCATACCACGTTGCATTAAGGTCAGGATGAGGACCGATGTCTTTCTCAAGAGTGTTTGTCTATTGCGATAGACTCGATCTGGTTCCTTTTGGGCTCCGGCGTTTTGAGAAACATTTCTGGAGCGTAAATTGCGTTAAATACGACTCTGTATTTTCGATCCCCAAATATGCTATGCCAATCAAGATGTCATGCTTGAAGCCTTCCAGGCAAGTCTAAAGCCTTTCATTCTTCTTTGGTCTTCATTGTTCAACATCCTGATTCTGGATGCCAATATGCTCTGAAATAGTCCAGGGATGCCCTCATTGTCACCGATTGTCATATGCTGGCCGTTGAAGGTGCGGAGACTTCTATTCGAACTATTGAGAAAAAAGATCAGTCTCTTTATCTCACTGTAGGTGAAGAATATCTCCTCACTTAATAGTCTCGGATCTCGTTGTCATTATTTTCCTATGCTATTGAGGACCCGAGTTAGCTGCAAATGCTTTCTTGTAGGGTGTTAGGTATTCTTACTAAATGATTGGGGTATAAATACTTTAGTAGGAGGTTAACAGAGTACAGAATGTATATATTAAAACTTCGTGGGGGGAAGAGAAGAATTTCAAGTCAAATATATATCCGAAGTGCAACGCCGTAACCCGCCAGTGGATGAAAGTATTTTTTTTATTTTCTGCACCTAGGCACTCTGTACAGAGGTGAAAGGGGGCGATATAGAGTTATAGGTGTGATGTGGAAGAAAGAGGAAGCCACTAGGTACAACAAGCGATAGTTATAGGTGCCCGTGACTAATATGACTATCAAGGTCAAACACACCATCAAAGCCCATACGCGTGATATTTTGCTAAGATAAATTACTCGAACAAATATTTAAGTACTCTAGAAGTAAGTGAATGTTTAGATCACACTTCTATGTCCCTTGGAAACCCCCAAGATGTGCATGGACGTGCTAAGCTTTAAATTTTTACACGTGGATGTGCACAGACGTTAGAAAGCCAGTTCGCTTTATGAAAGAGCGGATAACGTCTGTCGAATAGACTTTTCAGCCATTTGGAATGATCCTATGATCAGGAGAGCAGGAAGGCTCTGTGGTGCCGAATCCCCCGAAGACACAAGTGCAATGGAGTGGTGGAAGACCGTTGCTTTCGGGGAAGGTTCCATTTATTGTGTTTCGGCATCTCCAACATCATTGAATATCAGTACAGCGATCTTCATTTACATGAGCATATACAATCGGGTTTATAAGCGGGTGAAGCCCTCCAGGTCAAACTAAAGTCCCATGAATGCCAAGAGTCTCGACCAAGGCCGCCAAGTTTCCCATCTTCCCCCATAATGTTTCTCTCTCACAACGCCCACGCTCGAATCTTGGAGCCTCCCCCTTCCGTGTTTTCGGTCTAAATGGAGCTCTCCATAATTTACTATCTTCTTCTTCTCCTTCTTTTTGGTTATTTCGTGGTATACCACTTCCCACGCATGAATTCTATGCCTCCTTCCTCATCGGCATCTGCCTCGGTCGACAACCCTATCGACCAGGAGGAAGACCGAGATTTTGATACACATTATTACCACCCGGCCTGGGCGCAACGCTGGTATCATCCACAATTTACTAAAGAAGCTGTCGCAAAATGGCGTGAAGAGCCATGGTATAAAGACATTAATCGCCAGAGCCGCCAGTTTCTAAGGTCATCACTATGCGATTTCCCTTGGGGTTTTATTATCTATCGAACAACCTACACGCCTGAGTCTGAGAAGCAATGGCCGGTCGCTATGGAAAAGCTGACTCGCGTGATGAACAAATGGATTGATGGTGAATTGAATAATCCCGATAAACCCTATGGGAATGACCCCCGCCCCGAGCAATTGGTCAAAGAGTCGCATAAGGATGTGATCATCTCTGACTCTAGTCGCTGGGACCATGCTAGTGTTGAGCAAGTCCGTAGCCACTATGTGGAGCATCTACGCGAGATGAAGCAGGAACGCTGCGGTGAACAACCTCGCTTTGTTGTCTGTCTTATGATTGATGACAGGTCACTGAAGTCCATTGTTGCGAAAGATGGCCATAGCGGGTATGTTGGGGTAGTTGATGGATGGTATCACCCCGAAAAGAAGTACGATTGGCCTTCTTACCGTGGATACATGAGGGCGGAGATTAGTGCCTTGTGGCCCCTTTATCAGAATCTTGATTTCAACCATATGGACGAGGTATGTCTGAGCGTTGCAGATGGATTTATTCCTGTTTATGATGCCGGCTATGGAAAGGCGCATGATGAAGATGGGAATGAAATACCAAACCGTGGTCGGGTGCCCCCCGAGGGAGGATTTGCGCCGGGGCGGGGACGTGGATATCGGTGATCCTCAAAGAAAGGCAAAGGCTCCTGAAGCACGGCAATAGTGTGGCGCTATTCTTTTAATGAGTCAATGCCATTCATGACGTAAAGATGGCTATGATGATAATAGACAATCGAGGCCACGAGAGATCTGGTCTAATTATGCTGGCACCTGACATGATCATGTTCAAGCCTAGTAACAGACAGTCAGCATTAAACTGTGCATCCGAAATGGTCCTCGATGCACTTTAGCACGTTGAAGGCTCTATCCTATACTGCTCTGGCATTAAAGAGAAATCTGCCTCCAATTGCACAGCTATGGCTGTGTTCAAGCTGTCGTACTACTTCGACTTGTTTCCGTTACGAGGCTCTGTTCTGCCATGGGATTCCTATACCAAAACAGCACAAGTGCGAACTGAATTCAATACTCTTTCAAAGATGCCGGCATTTTTATGTTATGTTCCAAATTCCCATTCACTGTATATGCCAAAAAGCCGATGCAATAAGTATCCATGATGTCAATATTGTCAAAGTGTGCGAAATGGTACTTCAAATAGCCTTCTTGATGAAATAACAATTCGGCTGACTTGACTATTCCAGATTGAAAAGTAGGTTTAGAATATACTCACCTGGGCACGTCAATCAACAATATATTATGATAAAATGGATGTTCTGTATCAGGAGAAGAAGCGCTAAATAAGCTCTGAAGCCCAGTTGCAGAGATGTAGTAGCTGATAAGCTTCGCTTGGGATTGCTTTTCGGTGCCTGATACAGAGGTCATTGAGTTGCTCTGGGGTAGACGGGGCGTGGAGTACACAACTTCGGTCTTTGAACGGACACGAAGATTAGCAATGTAGGTTTAATGATATCAAACTCAGCCCAAGTGCGATAACTATGACAAGACTTTACGAATCTATCAAAGTTTTGTTATCGAGCTCCAAGGTTTCACCAAATGCATGTTGCATGCAAAAAGAAATATAATCATGGATGATCCATCCCTGAGTCGAGTTTGCTTTCGACGAGTCCGGATCAATCCAAATGTCGAGCTTGTTGTCTATTCATCAGGGCGACTAGCCTGTGTGCTTCGGGTCGTAGGTGTTCTCATTTGTATTCTGTCCAGTCCGGGTCGTGTGCCCGCCTGGTTGTTAAGTTCCCATCTTTGTACTGGTGTACGTTCTTGTTGCAGCCTGCGGTCCACGGGTCGGGCTACCCTGTGGCACTGGCCTTCAGTGCCCCTGGGACACTGTCAACTGTGTACCGAGTTCCAAGGCGTTAACCACTTAGATAAAGTCTCACACAAAAAGTGAAAATTAAATTAAAGTAACCATTAAGAAATTTATTTTGAAGATGCCAGAATAATGAACGCCCCCCAGAATACAACTCGGACCTCCACAACGACCACACACAAGCTCAGCGCCAAATATCACGCAATACAGCAGACTTAGAAGTCCAACTCGACATCATCTTGGTTATCGGTCGACTGCGTAGCAGCCTCGACACCTTGCTGCATAGCATTGAGGTGCTCAAACTTGTAGGTGTCCTCACCGAGACTCCATGCCATAACACCACCAAGGTTCTTAGCGCCAACAATATCGCTGAACTTGCGGGCAATGAGCTCAGGAGTATCCCAAGTCCAGAAGAGGTTGTCCTTGCTATCCCAGTAGTACTGTCCACCGAGCTTGTCATCAGTCTTTCCGTCCTTCTGGGCGCGGCGCCAGGAGTCGGTGATGGAGATGCCCTTGCAGGTTCCGTAGTCGGAAAGGCAGCCAGCTTGGCAGAAGTCGTCGGCGGTTCCACTGGAAACATATTAGTGAGCTTTATTCATCGGATAGGAATTTGAGTAAAGCTGGGTTGTCTCACCAGTTTCCGTAGGCACTGCAGCATGATCCCTCAGGGCACTTAGTCTTCTCATCGAATCCACACTTGCCATTGGTGGAAATGGTAAGGTTCGTAGGAGCAGGAGAATCAGTGCTAGCCTCGAAGGTGATAGCGCCAGATTTTCCATTGTCACTTCCGTCGTCATTCTCGAGCTTGACAACGGCACATCCGATGGGGTTGGTATCACAGTCCGAGTTGGGGTCAGTGGTGAACCACTTAGCGTAGTAAGCGAAACCGAGGTTGATCTTCTCGGGGTCAAGTCCCATGTCCAAGTACTCGTTGATACAATCCAGGGAGCCCTGGACGCTTGTCTGGTGGGAAGTGACGTTGTCACGACGGTTCATAAGATCGTAGCTCATAACGTTGACCATATCGACGGATTCCCAGATCTTAGGGCCTGTCTCCTTGGTGAAAGCGATCATGTCTTGCTTGCGTCCTGGGACGGCGATGGAGAGGGTCTTGTTGCCAATCGCTTTGCGGACTTCGGCAAGGAACTCGGGGTAAGTCTCGATTTCGGAGACCTTGTCTTTGTTGGGGACTTGTTTGTATGTTTGACCGTTGCCACCGGGGTATTCCCAGTCAATGTCTGTTTATGTCAGTGGATGCCTGTCAAGGTTTGTTGGAGAAGGCTTTGACTTACCAACACCATCAAATCCGTTGGCATCTAGCATCGCAGCGATATTCTTTGCGTAGCGCTGACGAGTGGTGGCATCCTTTGCTCCATCTGAGAAACCAGCTTCATCACCCCATCCACCGATAGCAATCATCAGCTTGGCGTCATCGCTGAAACGCTTGCGGAAGCTATCCGGGGACTCGAAAGGGGTGAATGATGCAGGCGAGTCGGAGTTGAACATCTTGGATGGGGCAAAGGCCATGATAGCATGGTCAATGTATGCCGTTTCGTTCTTGCCTGGCAGATCTGTGACATGATATCTGCAATAGCTTGTTAGATTATGTCCTTGGTATATTCCTGATCATAACCTACTCGTCAATGTACATAGCAAACCGCATAGCGGCAGCACCGTGAGCGGCCAAGAGGCCGAGGGCGAGGTTCCTCAACATGGCTAATCACGCGATGCTCGTAGAAATTAAATAAGAAGAAATATGAAATGAATGAATGAATGTAAAACTTTATATAGACAAACCCAGTTGCCAATGCAAGATGATCGCTCCAAAAAATGAGGGAGCACAAAAGGATGAGAGAGAAAGAAGAATCACTAGAAAGACGCGAGATTAAAGCACTTTTAGCAGATTTGGTCACAACATGCCCTCGTCGATCATGCCCCATGGGGAGTTCCGTAGCTCATGACCTGCAGTGTAGAGCATGTAGACTATGGGTCCAAGTGTGGAGTATGTATACCATCCCTGTAGTAAAAGTGGGGGCCATCTCCTAGTAATTTGCTCGATGGAAAAGCGCCACAGCCGATGGAATGTCGGGCAGTACAATTGCTCTATAACCCATTAGCTGCTAGAGTGATTTAGTGTTTCGCTCTCCGCAGTTTTTAAGGGAGATCCGATCTCAGAAAGTGTAAAATGTGGTGGTGAGATTGAACTGCGGCAATGGTTACCGGCGCCTGGACATCGTTTGCCCGCATACCAGCCTTGTTGCACATTCATATCCCTCCCGCACACATTCCTTTGACATCATGGAATATTAGTTTCTTGGAACTGATCTAACAGCCCGAGAGTTTGGTCCGCATTTTATTAAATCTGGCCAGACCTATTTTCGTCTCGCTAAGGTTCTGCCACGGAATGGATGTTTGGAAGATGTGGGATATTGACCCGAGGTGCAATTATTGAGGCCAGAGACAATAATTTGTCCAATGCAGTAATCTAGGGGTATAGGGAGAAAATCCAGAACGCCGCACCTATGTGACAATAATGGGTAAGGAAAAAGAAAAATAACAGCTGGAGATAATTCAGTTCCAGTGTCTTCGAATGATTGGTCGCGCTGGGTCCCATGGACCAATGACCACATTTTTGTATTTCTGGAGCCCTATGAGCCACCAACTACAGCCACCCATCACGAGTGCTGTAAGGATGCCGCCGAGGACAGACCCAATGATGGCTGATGCCCATCCACCACTCAGGGTCATGCCGACAGCGCCTCCAGCAATGATGACCAGGGCGAGCGTCAGCATCGCATGACCAGTCCAGGACTTCTGTCTGAGTTGGCGACGGAAAATAGGAAACAGCCCGAATACTTCCATGGAAAAAAGCATCAAACTGAACACATGTGTGGTAGACGGCAGGCGAGACGCAAGTACAGTAGACGCCATCACAGCTGCGTTGGTAGACAAAGAAGCAGGAAACTTGGTGGTGGCGCCTGCGCCCTCGCCGCTTCCGTAGTCGAAAGAGAATATATTCATGATTAAAAGCCAGCAGCTCATGGCCCAGATGGAGTCACTCGCAGTTGATTTGGTAAGGGATTTCAGGATGGGACTAAGTCCCAACAGCGCGAAATAGATTAAAAAGGCGGATTTGACAGTAGAAAAACGCTGTTGGTTGCGTGAGGAGAACAATGATGGTCGGTCGACGTCCGGGTCATCTGCATTGCGCATGGCAGAAGTAGACGTAGATTCGCGTCGTGATGCAGAAGTCGTATCTAAATTTCCATTGGTATCATTATTCCGATTGGGCGAGTTCTCCTTCGACTCATTGCCAGACATTGTCAACCCGAGCCCGTGGATGGCGCTGATCTTCGGGTCACTAGGAAGCGAATCATGGGGAGCTGGGTTAACAGCGCTTGTCCCAGAACTTGAGCTGGATCCATCATCACCGAGGTTTGCATTAGCCAGTTGAGAAAGCTCCGTCTGCTCTTCCCAGATCCAGTTGTCCCAGAGGATCCAACCCATGGCCGTCCCAACGCTGCCCCAGCAAACAATAGAGACGGGGCTCACGCGGTCCTGAACGATCCCGACGAAACAGCAAACGAATATCACAACCGAACAAACATGTTGGACGATGACGGTCGAATCAGAGACCAGCGGCCAGAAATCGTAAGGCCGCACTCGGGGATTGCGTTGAAGATGATCCAAGAACGTTTCCGTATCAGTGTAGTTGTCCGGATCTACCAATCGAGTCCCGTTAGTATCTCACGATGCAGAAACAATATGACAGTAAACAATCTCAGGAAGACAACGTACAAGATTGTTTTACCCAAAGCAACTTCTTCCAAGCTCCTTTCCTCCTCCGCCGTCCCCCCGTACTACCCAATTTCCGCGGGTCCTTCCGCCCGGTATCCAACACCCCACGCGGGGGTCGCAAGGTGCCACCACTGCTTACAGGGAGACTCTCATTATAACTGCCAGGCGCAGAGCGAGCTTTGGAGTGTGATGGCGCAAAGTATGCATCTTCTGGTGCCAGGCGATTAGGATCAGGGATTCGGTCCTGCTCAAAAGGGTTGCCGCGGTTTGGGTGGGTGTCGACGGGGATTGGAGGAGGGATAGAGAGCGAGGAAGGTGGGGGAGTCATTGAGGTGGTATGGCTAGCATCGGGGCATGGTGCAGAGCGAGCGACGGGGTTTAAAGCTGATGGTTACCTGGCTTGGGAACGCGCAATCCCACGTGTTGGTCGATACGGAGTCACGTGTGATGCGACGGCCGAATTTCCGATTTGGGACGATTCTATAGTTCTAGTGCTAAGAATGCATGAACTGTGTTCAAAGTTTACATTCAGATCAGACTAGAGTACAAACGAATATTTGAGCCATGTCAATATCATAAATCACTTTGCATCATCAATTTGAGACCAGTGTAGCTTCGACAGTCAAGGGACCAGCAGGCTTCATCGCAGTAATACCGACTTCATCTTGGTACAAAGAAAGCTTCTTGATATCATCACAAAGAAGATCAAATTCATCTTCACACCCTTCTCCAATGTATCGAGGCTCCTCCTGTCCAGGTACTTTGCACAAAAGTGCCATCTCACGGAAGAAATCCTTATCCTGGTAGAATTCACGAGCTTTGTTGAAGACAGCACGACTGTCAGTCTGGTCGTTGAAAGCAAAAATTCGGACATTGGGTGAAGTATCAGACCGTAGTTTGAAACGGATAGGCGGGGGCGAAAACAGATTTCGGCAAACACGAGTGGAAGCAACAACACCCTCTTCATCCGACTCATACTTGATGCCTTGCTTCTCGGAGTACGGGGCAGGCATAGTATCGGATTCTGGACTGTGAAAGGTTACAGGGCGGCTTTGAGCGCTCTTTCTTGGAGTAATCGGGGTCGGGCTTTTCTCAGTCTTAATTGGTTTCGACTGCTTGTTTCGCTTCTCAAGGGTAAACCATCCGGGGCGGAAAGGAATATCGATTCCTTCTGGGGCCCAAACCCAAATACCACAATTTTCATTCTCAAATCCTTGTGCAAGTCCAAGCCAGGCAACGACATACAGGCCCTGAAAGCCAGTCCCTCTCATGTTTGGGGGGCGGCAGTTCGCAGCGCAATCCACAAAAACCTCTGGTGCTTTCTCTGAATGTAAGATCATAAGGTTGTACATGCGGAACTTCGGACGCGTGACTGTTATCTTGAAGATCGATACCTCATATTCGTCACCTTCTTGATCGAAGATCTTGAAATTCTCCCATTTCTGGGTTCCCTCGGTTCGCCCCTTCCATTGACAAGGGGGCGCTTCAAGCGGATTGTTCTGATGCCATTCGTCAAGTATCTGAAGAAGATGGAGTGGAAGACACTTTGCAGGTCCCCGGTATTTCTGAATCTTCCAATTGCCAGGCGAACGTGTTGGGGAAAACGTAAAAGTCTGCAGGAATCGAGAGGCCTTTTTGGGAGTCTCTTTGATCTCAGAGAGTCCGGTTTTCTCAAAGAGCTCGTAACTGACTCGTGGAGCATGTGGATCTAGAAAGTGCTCTGGTGTAGTCACCATTTGGGTGTAGGGAGGGCCCACATCATAGTGCTTGATGGCGTCGTCGATCTCGGTGAGGGCATCGGAGTCATGGGTTGAGGCTCGGTCGGCTCGGTTTTTCTCCAATCCATCTTGTGCCAACATGGATGTATCATCAATAACATCTTTCATTGTCACATCAGCTGTTTGCTCGGATACGAGAGCCGGCGAGCGGAGGGGCGATCTCATCTCGGTCACCAAACCCTCCTCGTTGAATTCAGAGAGGGGAGACACGCTGCTTGATGAAGATTTTGTAACCGACAGGCTCTCTTTACCATTCTGAAGACGATTGATATGACAATTGATAGGATGAAGCTCTGCACAGCCATCGTCTGCGGCTGCGAGAGTTAGCCAGAGATCTGGCAGGTGGTTCTGCGAGTCCGCCATCTTGGCCAAGTCTCAAGGGGCAATCTTGATCAAGACTGTGATGTGTGTTTGGAAGAGCACGTAGATTTTTATGAATAGTAAGTGGTTGTGGCAGGAAGAGATTGACGGGAAACGGAGAGCAAAGTGTAGCGGTTTGTGACTGAGTGAGAGCAACTGCAGTAAGCAAACTCTTGAAAAGGCCTAGATATTCACGCATTATGCTAATCGAAAACAAGAGAACGGTTGGAAGACAGTTTTAAGATTTCCATGAGATGTACTTGTTACAAGAATGCTGAAAGCGCTTGTCATCATTCTACCTGCCAGACGATTTTTCTAGTAAGTCTATTGAGGAAGATGCGGGTATATGAATGTTTTGGCTGTGGAAAAGTGGTGAGCACCAATAGCACAGAGAATGCAGCAGTAGTAACAGACTAACAGTTGCAAAATCCCGACACTGGCTCACTCTCTCCAAGCGAATTTGACCGAGGGGTTGACGAATTGGACGTTCAAGGGGTATCTTGATTCTTCAAATATAAAGGAGAAAGAGTACTTAGCCCTATGAGCAGGCGTCATTTTGTTGATTCAACACGCTGTTGACGACGTTCTTGACCGCCTGCGGTGCTCCCAAATCGTCGATGCTGTTCCGGCGACCCCAATTTTGCGGTTGTCGGCGAATGAAGGCGCCGACAGCGCCCAGGTAGCCCTCATGCCGCAGGAAATATGCCTGCTTTTCACCCTTGGACCAGAATTTAATGGCGTAGGAAAGTGTGTTCATCGTCTGGCGGTGCCCGCGGATAAAGGAGCCTCCAAAATATATATGCTTGACTCCATGCTTTTCCGATTGCAGATAAGCAATTTGGCCAATGTTGTTACTGCAATGTGTTAGTTTTGGATGGAGCATAAGCGGACAAGACCAAGTACGTACCTGATAGCATAAAGAAGGCTCCGGCTCATATCTTCATGGCGGAAATTGACTCCGCCGTTAGTGTGTTCCTCATCGTCGCGGATCAAGCCCTCGCCGTCTTCGGCTCCCCGCTCGGCAGCATTCTTCAAGCGGAAGACCTTCCCAAAGGTGCTGGCGATTGCTGTGCTCTTCAGTCCAATTTTGCTGTAGTCCATACCATAAATATCCCCAACCAGCATGTCCACTCCGCTGTTATCCCCAACATCCGCCATGGCCAGCATGTCGTCGAAGGTCCGAGCGCCCGTAAGCAAAGACATAATCCCCCAGAATGTGCCACCACCCAAGTGTGTTCCCCCGACTCGTTCAAACTGCCTTGGGCCAGACACCTTGATCATGGAAACGCCGGATCCGATATTGACGAGGAGGTAGGGGTAAACGTCCGGTCGGGCCTCGGCAAACTGCATCGGCTCCGTGTCCGAGTCATTATAGGTGAATACTTCGTTGGGGATCTCGGTGATAAAGAAATCCAGACCTAGTAAACTGTCAGATATGTGCCGAGGGATTCGGCTCTCTTTGGGGCGACGTACCAATGATTAAACATTCCATCTCTTCTTCTCGCAGAATGTTCACGTCCAGCGCCGCTTTCAACTTGTCATAGAACTTGAAAGCGCCCCCTCCAGTAGCCACCACGCATAGCTCATCCCGGACCGAGGTATTGCGCTTCTCATGTTCCTCCTTTAATTGTCGGATAAAATTGATGCAGATGTCGATCCGGTGGGTCTCAAAGTTGATGAAATTCAAGCGTCCACCATTGTCGGCCGCGTCCAATTCTCTAGTATAGTAGACTAGCTTTGCCAACGATCCACCGATCTAGAGGTTTGGGAATTCTGGTCAGCTATTGTTCTGTGGCCCTTGTGGCCGTGGTCGCATGCTCTCCCTTTTTTTTTCTTGTAAATTGCGGGGCATCGCGGTGCGGGGCACATAGCAGGGTCAACAACTCACATCGACAGCAACATGACTGACCACACCAGTGTGATGAGGTAGTCGAATGTCTTTATTCTCATAGTGAACACCGTCGGTCTGAACGGGACTTCTGGCCCGAGGTTCATCGTCGACAATGAACGCGCCCGTCACATTGATTTTGACAGTACCGGGATTGGTGATAGCTTCTTCTAGGCGGCTCCGACGGCCATCTGGCTCCATTCGATCGGAAGGAGTCATGACAGTGGTGATGTAGGAGAGAGCTCGGGGAAGCTGATCAAGTTAAGGGAGAAGCGTGCCCACGCTTACGGCGTACATTTTCTACCCGGACCTCGGGACCCACATATGCCGAACGCAACCGCCGAGCTGTACGGACCCTACGGAGTAGGAACAGAAGTCCTGGTGGTCCGGGTATAAAAGTGGATCATGATATGCAGGGACCTCAAAACTAACTTCTGATATTTAGATATGGCGTGCCATAGCAGTGTATGGCATGATTCCGGTTGGTTAAGAAGATGATCGCTTTGCACTAAACCTGATGCAGCTATCCATAGATCTATCTTTTCATCGTTGCACTAAGAGCTTACATACCAGGTACAGTTTGTTCAATATTACTTTTGGAAAAAAAACAGAATGTCGAACAGGCTCTGTTACAATTGTTCAACATGTGGTAATGTCTCTTCTGGTTTGAAAAAGGAGAGGCTTTTGGATATCTTCATGTAGGTCTAGATCATGTTGTCTTGGTGAAAAGGTGGAATAATACAAATACTGTGAGACAACAATATCGCACGAACCAAGATGATGCGTATTATTATGACTTGAAATGATGAATAGAGAGGAGAATGAGGGGAGATTCACGTCTGCCTTCTCGCGATACCCTATTTCAACGACGAGTACAAACAAATTTGTCACGCCTCACCTCGTTTGTTTTGTTCATCTCCTCTCTCTTCCTTCTCGCTCTCTTCTCCTTTCTCAACCTCCCCGCTCCTCGTGCTTTCTTATTCACGATCGACCGGTTTCCCTTCTTCCTTCCTCCCTTCCTCTGATATCTTCATACCGACTTGACAACACCATCGTTGAGTTTCCCTCCAGCCTTTCAAGGCAACTCACTGCCCTTCTTTCCTCCCACAACTCACTTCCCCGATTTTCACCACTCGCTATGGATTTCACCGAGGCTTATGTGGAAAACAATCCCGAGGAGGTTACAGTCATTGAGACGCCTGCCGGTAAGCCTTCACCATTGAACTACATGGAGTACTCGGCCGCGGACGCCCACGAGTGGGCCTCCATGGCCGCTTCCAATACCGCTCCAGCTACTCCTGAAGCCGATCCAGCTTTTACTTACGTCGCTCTAGCTCCCACTGACGCCAATCCGGCTGACCAAAACGCTCTCGAGCATGGATGGGGTGAGCGTACTGCATTCAACTATGATGAGGACGGCGCCAAGGAAAGCCATGATTGGGCTTCTAATGCCGCTCGCTACGAGTGGAAGGGTGAGTATGATGAGAGCGCCATAGGGCCCCGTAATGAAGACCTGGAGAAGATGCTTTTCGACAGCGATTTGATCCCTCGAGCTGGTAATCGCGTCAGCGAGTGAGTATTTTCCATTTTACTTTGATTCATCAATGGTCATGGCTCACATAAGTTTCTGATAGATTGACTGACAGCTTGGCTGTCGTCTGTGACAGTCAGACTCCCATTGCCGCAGTCAAAGAGGTATGTTTCTCGTGGATTGGCTCTATCAGGTCTATCTAACCTTACTCAGTGGGACGATGCGGGCCTGCACCCTATTATGCGAGAGAATGTGCGGCTCTGTCTTTATGACAAGCCGACTGCTATTCAGTCTTTCGCTTTGCCTGCTGTTAGCAGTGGCAAAGATCTGATCGGTATTGCACACACAGGTGATTACTTACTTGATCTACATCTCATGTCTCTTCTCTGACTTTTTTCAAGGATCCGGTAAAACCGGTGCTTTTCTGATTCCCATCTTGTCGGATCTGATGGGCAAGGCCAAGAAGTTGGCTGCGGCAAGACCCAATCTTGCTGAAGAGTTCATTCCTTCGGTTCACGGTGTTACAGCCGAACCACTTGTTCTGATTGTCTGCCCCACTCGGGAGCTCGCTACTCAGATCTTTGACGAAACACGTCGCCTGTGCTATCGTTCTATGCTCCGCCCATGCGTCGCATATGGAGGAGCTCCTGTTCGTCTCCAACGGGAGGAACTTATGAAGGGATGTGATATTCTCATTGGAAGCCCTGGTCGTATTATCGATTTCATGGGCCAGCCCAATGTTTTGTCACTCCGCCGTGTGAGGTATGTTTTTGCTTTGACCTTGCCATACGGTATGAGCCACTGATATTTGAATAGATACACGGTCATTGATGAGGCTGATGAGCTGCTTCATTTTGACTGGGAGGAGGATTTTAAGAAGATAATGTCCGGTGGAGGTATGTTATGTTGAGATATATATACTTCCAACCCCTAAACTGACTCGCAACTAGATATGAATGAAGACGAGGATCATCGCTACATGATGTTCTCTGCTACTTTCGATAAGGAGTGTCGCCGGCTTGCACGCACCTACATGATGAAGGATTACATCCGTGTCCGTGTTGGCCGTCCCGGCAGTTCGCACCTGATGGTGTCCCAGCGGGTAAGTATAGATGCTCACTAGATGATTATAACTGCTAACTGAGCTGGTTCGAAAAAGGTGTTTGAGGTTCCTGACTCTGGGAAGAAGACAAGACTTTACGAGACCATTATGAGCCACATGCCGACTCGCACTTTGGTTTTCGTCAACAGCAAGACTCAAGTCGACTTTGTCGACGATTACCTCTACAACCAGGGTCTGCCGTGTACCTCAATCCACTCCGACCGTACTCAGCGCGAGCGTGAAGATGCTATGTAAGTATCTATACATTCTTCTTTTCTTCCTATTCTGTGCTCATGAATCAATTAGCCGCGCCTTCCGCACTGCAGAGTGCCCCATCCTCGTCGCTACTGGCATTTCTGCCAGAGGCCTGGATATTGTGAACGTGATGCACGTCATTAATTATGACCTACCCAAAGCTCATCATGGTGGTATCACCGAATACATCCACCGGATTGGTATGTCTCAATTCACTTCCTCTTGTTTATATAGCCCGCTGACTTCCAGCTGTATAGGCCGTACAGCTCGCATTGGCAATGAAGGAATCGCAACCTCCTTCTACAACGATCGCGACGAGGACATAGCTCCTGCACTTGTTAAGATTCTCTTAGAAACCAAGCAAGATATCCCTGAATGTCTTCAGCAATTCCGTCCCGAGGAGGATGCGGTCACCTTTGACGATGACACTGATCAGGAGGAGGATGGCGACGATAAGAAGAATGGTGATGGCGACAAGGCGGCCTTTTCGGGGGATGAGTCCAAAACCGTGGACTCTGATGATAATCGCCAGTCTCGCTGGACTCGCGAGGATACAAAGAAGGAAGAAGTTCAACCCGAATGGTAATTGCTGGTACACTTGATGTCGCCTCCTCTCTGCGCATCTTGTCCCGCTCAGTATCGCCCTTCATTCACCATTTCCTTTTTTCTCGCTCCATAATGACTGCATTGTTACGCATTCCGGTTTGTGTCTCGTTTCAGCGGCAGATTCCTCGTTTCGCTTCATGCGTTGGGATATTTTCGCCCTTTTTACGGGAACAAAATGTTGTTCCCTTTACCGCTCATATCCAGGTTCTTTATTGAACCACTTATCTTGCATCCATATCGCAGCTTCCATATTGTTTTTCAGGGCACGCCCGTGGGAGGACCGTTGAACTTAAAAAGCTTCGTCGAGTTCTGAGCATTCGTTGAATTCTGAAGCTCCATCGAATTTTTCACTTTTCTTTTTGCTTCTATCTTCACGAGGGTTCGGTTACCAGCGTGTCATTATGTCTGTGAAACTCGGTTGAGACTCAGACGCTTGTCTTTGTTTCGGGGAAATATTGCTCGGAGGACTTTATTGATTTCCAGTGTATCTATTTTCCATTTCCGCACTTTTTTCTAGCTGGGCCAGGAACAAAAATACTTTGCATTTCTTATCATTTTCCCAAATCTTCCAAAATTGACGGTTTCGCCAGTCTCGACCATCGTGCCTTCTTCAAATGCGGAAACGCTCAGTGCAGAGTAATCAATGTGGACTTTGATCCTTGTAGAATCTGTTCAAAGCGACATTATTCTTCGCCAATACCAAGTAACCACAATCTCATCATGTTATTCCCCCGGCTATCTCACCTCCCATGCCTCCTTACCCTCTCCTTGCTCCAACAAGCAACAAGCCGCTTCCACGCATACGTCGACCCCCCAAACTGGATTGACACAGATGGCTACAGATCCCAGACCCCGAAGAATCAAGTCCCCATGCCATCGCTTGTAATTGACACCTTCCAAACCGCCATTCACAATGACCTGGGATTCTGGCACGGTGCTGGCGAGGATCTACCCGTGTACCATGAACCGGGTTTCGTACGCCTCGAGCCCACGGACCCTGATCAGAACTTTCACACACAATTCAACATTCATGGGTGCTTCAGCCTGATTCCTTGGCAGAACCAGTTCTTGCACGTGGTCTTCGAGGGAACAGAGGAGTTTACTGTCTCGCTGAATGAACACAACATTGACTGTGAGCCACTGCGGGCCCCGTTTCCAGGTGTATCGGATGGCGTGCAAGCCTCACGATACGTTATGAGGACACAGTTTGGATCTGGGCCTGGCAATGATGGTGCAAACAGTGGTAAACCGAGCCAGTTGACAACTCGAGAACGTAAATTGTGGCGCAAAGCTTACCGAGCGAACAATGGGAGTTGCCTAGAAGACGGTGATGATAGCGATGGAAATGACTATGGAGATGGCAGCAACGAAGACAACGACGACGACGCCGACCAAGGTTCTGCTTCGACGGAGAAGACAGAGCTCTTCATTCCGCTTTCTCATTTCCGTATCAATCATAACCGTGTTGTTTCGATTTCTTTCACTGGTTTCTATACAAATGTCACGCTGACTCTGCGTCGAATCGAATTCGTCTCGACTGTTCCTCCACCTTCGGCGGAGAATAACGGCTTCCTCATACCCGAGAAAAAACCCAGTGGCACCCTGGTTCTGCGCTGCTCTCGACCGAACTCGTTTGCGTTTGGCATTGATGATGGGCAGCCGAGATTTGCGCAGGATGTCATGCGCATTCTTGATGAGGAGGGTATCCGGGCAACTTTCTTTGTTGTTGGGGCTGGGTTAACTGATCAAAGTACCAACTTTACCAATTTCTATCGGGAGATGATAGGGAAGGGGCATCAGGTTGCTTTGCATTCGAATACTCATCCTAAGTATGCTTCGCTCTCTTTGATGCGTCGCCTTAGGCTAACGGTGACAGAATGGAAGCTCTGCCAACGATAGACCTGATCGATGAAGAGATCGTTCGAGCTATACAGATCTTGCATGATGAACTAAATCTCCAATGTAAAGCTGCCTTGGTCACTGTCAAATACCGAACTAACAATTTTGAAAAGCACGATACTTCCGTCCCCCGTTTGGAACCGTTGGTGCCCGCATGCGAGAGCAACTTGCCAAGCGGATCCCCAATCCATCCATCGTTAACTGGAGCGTCGACGTCGAAGATTGGCTGTGGGCTAATACATCCAAACCTGAGAAGCAACTGGAGGCATTCTACCGTGATGTCGCACGAGGCGGAAACCTCGCCGTCTTGCACTTTTTGAATCCGACAACCGTGGAATATCTTCCGCAATTCATCCGGCACGTCAAGGCTGTGGGGTTGAACATTATGCGTGTAGATCAGTGCTTGGAGGACCCCGATAGCCCTCCTCTCTGAAATACGGGAATTTGGACAAGTTGAGGAGTGATTCCCATGCTGGGCATGTATTTTTAGTGTAGGTCTGTGTACCTTTAGCTCCCGTCAAGTTGAGAAATTCTTTCTGTCAATCTGACATCCATTCAGAAATGCTATCCAAACACCAAGCCAGAATCATGATAAACCAAGGTATAATACCACACTGGACCACGACAAAAGACATTTAAACTAACCAAAATGCCGCGCATATGATGCCAATCCCCAATCCAATCCCAAGCAGCAACCAAATCATGACAAGCCATAATAAAACAGGCGTTGACAAATGTCAAGCGGGCAATCGGCTGATAAATAAAAAACACAACGCTTCCAAAATATGATGGTGTCCAATTATTCACCATAGTCAGGAGCCCGACAAATCCCACTAGCATCCATCATCTCCTGGATGCGACTTGGCAGCCATCCGGAAGCAACACTACCGCTAGTCTGCGAGACACCAAGACGGGGTCTATGGCCCGTGAAACAGGTACCGTCCCGGAAAGAGAACTGTACACATTTTTTCGAGACTTCGCAGACCTCACGACAGTCTTCAAAGGTCGTAGCAAAAGGCTGCTCTTCATCCGAAAAGTTATCCCAGTTCAATCTTGTAGGCTGGGTAGCCATTTCGGGGTAGAGCCATTCACGGAAGACATCACTATGAAGGAGGATGTGTTTGTTTTTCTGGTGAAATGTTAGTATAACGGTTCCAAGCCCCAGGGAAAGAGAAGCAGACTTACATCGTGCCAACGGTTCTGCTCAAATTTCCACAGCTTTTCAATCTCATTTGATGAAAGGTGATGAAACGCGACAGCAATGAAACACCAAGGCAACCGATACAGATCCGTCGTAAATTCATCCAACTCCCCCAGGTTCGAGTTCTGCAAGATCGGCCAGGAGAAGTGTAGATTGATCCCGAGATCTGCAAGAACCCGTCCTAACACACAATCACCCGCCCAATGCCCATTTGTATAATCATCCAAATCAGCCCGTCTGCGCTCATACTCATCCGACGCAGCCTTCAACGCCGGGTTCGAAAGCATAAAGCCCGAGCCTCCGTGCGCGAAGATCGTCTCCGCGATCTGTGTCTCGGTGCCCAGGTAGACGGGTTTCTTGGGATCGAAGTGTTCAAGCCAGGCTAGCAGTGTCGGCCAGGACATATAGGTATCAGCCTCCATGAAGACAAACCATTTCGCATCAGGCTTGTATGCGTATGCTTCTTGCGCCATTGGCAGGAACTTCCATTTATCCAATTTCCACCCTGGGTTATTCGGTTTCCCAATTGCGGAATTGGCTTCATCGGCGAAGTCTCCTTGTTCTAGACCCTCGCGTCCGTATTGCTTAAGTCGATTGTAGATGTTGAAGTCCTCGACTTGCGCTGTGACATCCCGGTCCATAGTGCGGAGCGCATCGTGGACCGTGACGCCTTCAATCTCCTCTTCGAAGTCGGAGTAGATCACATAGTGCGGGATGCAGCGGAAGGTCGTGGAAAAGTGGATGGGGACTTTATCGCGGGCTTCTGTGACGCCGGTTTTCATGACGACTAGGACATCTTCAATGCCCGGAAGTGGAGGACAGACAGGCTCGGGTTCGCCGGTGTTCTGCTCTTTGGAGTCGACATTGTGGCTGTATCTGTTTGTCCGGGACCCCGAGTACCGAAATCTGGTCTTTTGTGGCGTGAGGTTGGATTGTAGGGAGGTGAAGTGGTAGAGGAAGAAGAGGGCGGCGATGGCGGCGATTGCGAGGAATCGGCGGCTTACTCGTCGCCGGGGGACCATTTTGGATTGTTGTCAATGGCCCGTGGCTGCCTTGAGATCATCATGAGAAAAGACAGGTCTCCTGCGGGCCTGGAAAGAATTCCAGGGTTCGAGTACCCGAGCTCTGGCGATGACGATCAGCCAGGCCGCGTCTCCTTTCTGTGGCTGACACAGCGGGACGCGTTAGCGGTGGATCTTGCGTCTATGCAGGTACTTTTTGGCGGGGAAGGGTTTGTTTCCTTTATAGGGGCTTGAAGGGTTTGAAACATACTTCCGACTTCAATATCAGGTCTAGAATATAACGGATTTGTTTCCAATTGATTATGCTGTTCCAAGTTCCTGGATTCCCTGCCCCCCTTGATCATTGTGGTGATCCTTGTCGTCGATCACCCCGGCTGTGGAATGAACGGTTCACTAGCACAGAGTATATTTGGTGGCGGCAACATTGGTATCAATAGATCTAGATTATGATAGCAATTTATTTTTTATAAGGAATTGATACAGCAAGAAGCATGCATCTAACATACTGTAGACTCGGGACAAAAATAAGCTTTTTGAACCACACGTTCCGATCTTCCTCAAAATATATATAGACGTCATCCATGGATGGACCACCTTTTGGTTGGGCATCGGAATGTCGAACAACCCTACACGTATGACCGTCCTATATAGATAAGTAAATCTAATAGGTATGTAATTGATGTTTATGTAAAGTTTTATTAGGGTCGAGCCCATGCAAAAATTGACTACCATTAACTTCGTATGTACATTCATGCCCAGATGCATCTAACCCATCAACATTTGACCCATCATTGTTGACCAGGGGTGTTCTTTTGAATCATCTTCTCATGCAACTTAACCAATTCAGGGATAATCAGGCTCTCAATCTCAATACCATCATGATCCAGCTGACCAGGTGGCGGGTTCTCCTCCATCTGTGATGGATGTTCCTCACCCTTACCCTTCATGATCTCCGCAAGCCCAACCTGATCCTCCATACCAGAGATACTCTTACTGCGTCGAGCCTTGGGCACACGCAACCATCGCTCATGAGGCGGATCCGGAGTAATAAACACAACCTCCCATTTGCGCGTGGAGAGGAGGTTACCAATAACCAGGTGGTGGGAATAACGCTGCAGCGCCGTCCGCGCCTTATAAACCAACAGCGAGGGGTCTGTCTCCAGCTTGAAAGAAACAACCATACTTCCCTCGGGTGCCCAGCCATCAACAAGGCGGTGCAGGAACTTCGGGACCGGATCGAGGTTCACGACAAGCTTCTTCGAGTTCTTCGGCGGCTGAGTCTCGTTCTCGCCCGTGTAAATCTCCTCAGAGTCGAGTGCATTATTATTTTCCAGATTTGCAGGTATCTCCGACGACTGGATCTTATGCTCAGCCATCCGATGGCGCGGAATAAAGAAATCGCTAACAGCCGCAGCAAGATAAAACAAAGCATTGGGACCAAGCGGTCGCATCAATTTAGCAAGAGAGCGCAATTCGAACATGTATTCTGCGACGGTGGTGAACGGTAACAAAAGCAAACGGTTGTTTTGCTTAGCGTAGCGGTACTTGCGCAAGACGTCACGCATCTCATCTTGATATTCGCTGCGGACCTGAATTGACCCATGCGCATTCGGCGAATCAGCAGCCGGAGCTGCTTCGTCCATGAAGTCTAGGAAACAGTTTGTAGAGTGGCTGTAGTGTCGCGAGTATGGTAGCAGACTGTACTGCCGATGTAAGAAGATCACTGCATACCCCTCCTGCAGGAAGTACTCCGCAGATGTAGCGCCACGGGTTCCGGCGGAGAAGTTGTCGATGAAGCGTACGGTTTGTGCCTCGAGAGGTACTGTTGTGCCACCGGAGGTGACGAGGACGACGCGACGATTGTCTGCAACATGGAGGTCGATGAAGGCTCGGGCCAGTGCTTCGTGTTTGGGGAGGGCCTTCGGTGGTGGGTATTCATTGAAATAGACGGATTCTGCCTCCGCGGGCTCCATATCACCAAGGAGTGCTGACATGGTTGCGATGAGCACTTTTATGAAATACTCGTCAGGTGAATGAGATCGCCGTGAAAGCTTGCCAATTGACAAGGTTTCTTTCGGATATGAGGAGGGTCCAGGAGAAAAGAAGCCGAGGATGCCGCCAATCGCAAGTGGGGTGAAGGTGGGATGCGACCGGTAAGGAATGCGGGATAGTAGATCACCGTGACGCGATTGAAAACGATCTGAGGGATTTGATCGTTTGCAGAGCTGGAGGGTGAGAGACGGCGTTTCTCTTGAATTTATGAGAGGAAATTTCTTAATATATTATGGCCGCAATGCCCGGTGAAGAGTGCATAGAAATGTTGAGAACCCCCCAGTTGACACATCTGATAGGGGATTAGTGCAGCCGCTGGCCCGATAGCAGAAATGGATCCGCAGGAAATCCACATGAGCTTCTGACTGGTACATATCGCCGATTATGTCATGTTTTTGGTCGAAGATGATTAGAAATACCGAGTATTTTCTATACTTGCCTTTGATGCGAAGTAATTAGCGATTTCGCTCCTTTTGGCCGATTTTCGGATTGATGCCTTGCATGTTATGCACGTAGATAGAACAAGTGCTACAGAGTATATGCTATACTACAGATGTTGAGCCCCGATAATTCCTATCTAGGCCTATCTGCAGGAGAGCTGCACCTAGTGTGGGGACTCTGACAGAGAATATGTAACTGCCTAATGGTAAGCAAACTAGATCTCATTGAGAAATTGTGCAGTTGATTTTCCATAGAAGCATGTCAGCCAGTGCACATGTGGTATGTAAGGAATCCGATTTATCGACAGGCGTGCATGTGGCGGAACTGCAACCCAGAAGCCAACATGCATCATGCTTATCCACACTCCCACAATCAAATCAAGTAGTTGATTCGAAGCCAAAAACATCACTGCAAATAACGACTACGCAAAGCTTGACTGATAGTGCTCATCCTGCTAGCCATCCCGCCATGCTGCATGTTGCTCATAAGAGCCTCCTCCAACGCTGACTGTGTAACGCTCGCATCTGCACTAGAATCAATACAATGTCACATCACACCCCAATCGGAACCCAACTCACCATCCAAATCACTGAAGCTGCTTCCCATGCTTGGAGTCCCATCACTTGCCTGTGTGCCAGAGGTATGGGACTTCCGGGGACTCAGCCGAGACGGTTCCCCAGAGCGCTGGTGACTTGATGTAGCACCCGCTTGTCCTCCCTGCACAACCACAGGAGCACCGGAGCTCATCGAGCTTGCGGACGACTCCGAAGCAACGGGCATCCTTTGCCCAGATCGCTCGGCGATACGCCGCCGTGCTAGGGCTGCACGTTCCGCGTCTAACCGTAATGTGGCACTAAGTTCCTGGGCTGGTCGATCTCGTGGACCTTGCTCGGGTTCCCGATGTAGTGGTAGGAAGGCAGGTGCGTCGTCGTCGTCGTCTTCGTCGTCTCTAAGGCCGGCACGGTGTATAGAGTATTGTCCAAACCGCCGGAAGCGCTGAGCTGGGAGTGCTTCATCTTCTGAGTCGGAATCTGGGGAGCTTGATGATAAATTTTCTTCCTCTAATGGAGGAGACCGCAAGAATGGAGCCACTGGGGGTTGGGGTCTGTTGATGGATGGGCGACGGCCATAAGAATCCCGCCGTTGCTCAGTACCTTCTGCTGTTGGGGTATCGGTGCGAGACGGATCTCGAGAACCGCGGATTTGGTTAATGGTTGTGGTCGAGGTAGAGCTTGTGCTCCGACCATGACCACTGGCTGCTACAGATGGTGTTAAAATCACAAATGCAGTGCCACAGAAGGGCATTTATACAAATAGACAGAAACTTGCCTCGCGGAAATGGTTCCTTCTGCTGAGTCACCTGTCGGACAGGCCCTCGTGGTCCTTGTTTGGGTCAGTCATTCATGATAATTCGGCTTAATCATGCTGGAATAAGCATACCAACTACAGGAATATCCTTCATCGGTGGCCCCGGCAGTGCTGTGCTCCCGGACACAGAGCCCGGAGCTGGTGACGGGGAGTTTGACTGAGCGGTCGGGTCAAATTTCCGCATCTGGGCCCGAACCTGTGACAGCTGGCGATCATAGAGCCATGCTGCTTGCTGGAGTAAAAATTGTAAAGTGACATCGAAGTTATCAGCCCTTCAGAGCCACGTCAGCATAACCATTTGTATCGGGGCGGGAGTGAGGTATACAATGCTTTCCCTGTCACTAATTTAGCTCCTTGGTCGTCAATACTAAGCGTGGATTTGAGACATACAGTCTATGTCATCGCCCTTGGACGGTCGAGAAAGAATACCCCATAACGCCTGGTCTTTAGCAGCATTCCATACCACCTGATCGGTCAGTACATTAGGATAGCGATCAAATGGAAAGGTGAGCGTACCGGTGGTGGATCCACAAAATCTCCTCTCGGAAATGGCAGACGAATAAAGACCGTGAAGTTAGTGTCATTGTGTTCCGGTTTAGTCGCCATTTCGGAGCAAGTCGATGCGGCTCGGGTGGAGCGGAGCTACACCGCGGATAGCTTGAAGCTTTGAGTCGCTTTTTTGACGATGTAGACGGGCCAGGGGGTTTTTTCGAGCAGATCGAAGAAGTATGGTGGCAACTTTGAACTTGAAAGGCTTTAAAACCTTCTCGTCATGTACCCAACGGGAGCTGCTGGCGTAGATAAAGATAGAGAGAGATGGTGATGAGGAGAGTGAGGACGGCAGGATTGTGATTCTATTGGTTGGAGAGCTTCGTGGAAGGAACATAATAGCTGCGTGGCATTACTTTACAATGTGGCAGTTGCCGCCCTTAAAGCCTGGATGATAATATTGCCACGGACGCTCGTTTTGACATGCATGCCGCATACAAACGCTCGTACATTATTCCGATCTACAGAATTCTAACTTCCCTATAGACGATCCCTGTAGGCGATCCTTATAGTCTTCATGAGGTTATTCACTATCTAATCTCCTGTACCCCCCTGATCATCATAGCGCATATCCAGATGACTTGGATACGAGCTTCGGTAAATCGTGGACGAATTAGCAAGCCACTGGATAATGTAGCACTCTGCGACGAACGCCTCTTGCCTTGAGCGGGTAAATTCGATGTGCTGGGCGAGCTAGCTTTTGGTGGGTTTAAGTAAGATCTACCAGTCCCATTCACAACCCGCCTGCCTCGGCCTAATTTTCTCTTCAACTCCACTTCACCATGTCTATCCAATATTGTATCGACAAATGCTTGGTGGTCATTTTACGGATTTTCATTGCCGTTACGTCTTATTTCGCGCATGGCGGTATTAAATCATACCCAGATGAAGTACGCCAGATTCCATCTCGCGACACTAGACGAACCATCAAGGTTCATGTGTATACATCATCTGCCTCAAGCCCATCACCAGTCCTGATCAACTTCCATGGCAGTGGGTTTGTCCTCCCCCACCACGGCTCCGATGATGCATTCTGTCGCCAAATCAGTCAACAAACCAAGTGCACGGTCCTGGATGTTCGCTATCGCTTAGGACCGGAGTATCCTTTCCCTGCCGCATTGAACGATGTGGAAGACACCATCAACTACGTCCTGGGCCGCCCGCATGAATTCGACCGCTCGCGTCTGTCCCTCTCGGGATTCAGCGCAGGTGCCAACCTCGTCCTTGCGGCATCGTCCAATCTCTTTGCGCCAGATACTTTCCGCTCCCTGGTCGCCTTCTATCCGGTGACTGATCTGAGTGTCGAACCAGGTACTAAGGTCGCTCCTAACCCCAAGGAAACGGCAGAGATCCCGGCGTCTTTGGCCCGTCTCTTCAACCGCTGTTATGTCGCCAGCATGGATCCGCGGGATCCGCGCATTTCCCCCACTTTCGCGCAGATAGACCGCCTTCCGCGCCGTCTTCTCATGATCACCGCTGATGCTGACAATCTCGCGCACGAGGCCGAGGAAGTTGCTGCGCGACTTTCAAAGTTGGAGGGCAGGCATGTGGTCACCCAACGCATGGTGGGCTGTTCGCATGGGTGGGACAAGTCCACGCGGCCGAACTCTCCGCCGCACCTACTCGAAGCCAAGAAACGGGCTTACCAGTTAGCGGTGGAGATGCTTAACGGATAGCTTGTTTTTCTTCACGATTCATTCCATGCCGAAAGCCCCTATTATTGCCTGACCCCTCCACTGTCTCCGCTTGCCGCGTGTGCCTGACCTGACCCAGCGCTGAATCCATGGCTCAACACCCCGGGGACCGCGGCTATTCCAACCAACCCTAAACCCTACATGTTGTAATGAGATATAACTAGCGATGGAGATGCGTCGGAGATAAGACCATAGCTGTAAATATAGAAAGCATGTTTTGGGAAGGAGTTTGAAGACCCCGCCACATGTGCTAAGTGGGTGGATTGTGTCAGGGTTCGCCCCCGTGGGTCTGGTCTCATTTCATTTTAAAGATAAAAGAATAATAAAAATATAGGAGAAAAAAAGGGTGATCGTCCTTGGAATTGTATCCTGTTTTCTTGCCGTTTTTTTCTGGTTTCCTTTTTTTTTCTTCTCTACACTAGTCTCCCCTCCAGTCCTTACGGTTGCTTACGGTTGCTTTTTTTGTTTCCTACACATCCTTACCCAATCCAGTCGACTCTATACATAAGCGCCTACATACGGCGAATGCTGTCATTTTGCGCCACCATCTCGTCCACCGCCAACGCGTGGGCGAGCCTAGTCCTTTTGTGAAGCTCACATTCTTCCCCTCCGGTCAATGCGCGCCCGCTGGTTAGGCGCCATCGCCTGTATATAGAATGGGATCAACAACACCGCCCAGTCCCGTCCTAGACGAGGACAAATACCGAACAGAGGTACTCCAGATTGCGTCACAGGAAGCGGAACAAGCGCGAGCGCAACAGCTTTCCGACGAGGCACAGCAGCTCGGTCTGAAGGTCCCGGAGATCGATGCGGCGCCGCTGGCTGCCTCGATCGCCTCTGGAATGGCCGATCTTTCGTCGCCCGCTTTGTCGTCTGGATCGTCTACCGATCGAAACTCTGCCTGCGATGGCTCTGTTACTCCCTCCCTCTCCGTCGAACCGACGTCGCCGGCACTATTACCGTCCTCGCTGGATCAGGTCGCTACATCGTTATCGCAACTTACCTTCTCTTCCGAGCGCGTGAAACCGAGCAGTACGCGATCGCTAGCGTCTTTATCGACCCGCCCGACGTCATTTTGTTCCAGCGAAAGCCGCACAATCAATGCCGGGCTAGGAATTCAAGATGGACTTGCGATCAAGGGAAACCGGAGTTCCATGTTTGTTGTGGCGCCGGGCGATAAGAAGGAAAAAGAGAAGGAGAGACGGCGGAGCAGCTTAAAGTCCGCTATTGGGCGCATTCATTTCCGGAGGAAGCGAGCCCCATCAGCTACGACGTCACCACCGACTGCACAAATTACGATATCTAAAAGTGACGAAGGCGTAGAGCAGGTCTTTATTGAGAGACCCAGCAACCCACCCGCCAGCAATGCGGTCTCAGTCACCAGCACAAGCACGACAGATTCAATCCCAAAGGTGGAAGTGGAGATCCCAACCTTCGATGCAGCATCCCTCCAAAGAAGTCTGGATGACCCCGAACTAAGCGAAATGATGGAACGACACAAGATGGAAAAGAGTCGGCACATGGCATTCCAAGATGCCGCTCTTGAGACCCTCCGGCGCCGGCACCAAACTGCCGTTTCCGATGCACAGTCTGAAAACCAGCGCCGGGAGGATGAGAAACGAGAAAAGGTCAGACAACGCTCACATTCCAATCTTCTGCACTATTACTAATTTGATATAGAACGATCTTGACGCCATCCGCATAGAAGAACGCCAATGCGCGGTAGAAATGGAACAACAGAGAGATTTCGAACGCGCAAAGCAAAACTCCCGCACCCGCATTAAGCACATGGAAGGATATTTCCGAAATGCAAGCCCCCCGCCATCCCCAGCAGACCGCTCATCCGATTCAGTCATGTCTGGATCCGAAGGCTCGGCCCCTGCGCGCCGAGTCACGCGACAACAACTCGAACAACTGGAGCAACAGTACCATGCCCACGAATCCATGGACGCTCTCCAAGAATCCCGCATTAAAGTTCTTCGAGAACGCCAAGAAAAGAGACTTGCCGAAGCGATTGCGCGGATGGAACGCGAACTAGACGATTTGTGTGACCAACATAGCAAACAAATTGCTGCGCTTCAAGCTGAACACCGTCGCGAAGAAAGTTCGCTTATCGATGAACTGCAGGTGAAAAAGACGGATTTGCGGCAGAGATGGAACTTGGAAGAAGCCATTTTGCGCAAGCGGTTGGAAGAGAAACATGGCCAGGTTTATGGGCCTTTGCCGCTTATTTCGTTCTGTGTTGAACATGAACCTGATGCTGAGAATAGCATATAATTGTCTGGTCTTATCGGATCGAGATCTGCGATGATATCTCGGTTATTGTTTAATTTGGTAGGTCCATGGCTATGCCATGATACCTTACTTAATATTGCCTGATATTTGCTTGCCAATATCTGGCTAGCCTTATTGGGCAATCGCCAAGTGAACTTCACATCATTCGCTAGGTTTTTCTCTTTTTGTTTTTACGCCCCTTTACCCTTCTTGTAATCCTCATTTTCCCTTTGTTGCATTCCGCTTGGATGTGGATTTGACATGACAGTACATATCGCATTGCGGCGGCTATTTGGTTCCAGATGTTCATAGCATTTGATGCATTTATAGGTTACGGTTATTGATAGACATTGAAATGTAAATTATTGTTCAGAAAGAATATAAATATTGAGCGCAGCATTGGGTATCTCTAGTAATAAAATCTAAAATCATCATCCATCTCAGTGTTTACTGAGCCGGCTCAGCAAGCTCCTGCAGCCTCTCCACCAGACTCTCAATTCTTCCACCACTACGAGTCATCGCAGTTTCCGTTTGTTTATCACGACCCTCGTCCCCGATGACAACGGCTCGCTCAACAACACCAGCATTGGATAACTTGAACCGTCCAACACGGCCATCCTCCCATTCCAGCCGGACATACCGGGTCTCAATGGCCGTAGAGTCAAGAGACACAATGCCCGCCTTGCTATCAGGTGACAACCGTCCAACTGAACCAGTATCCGAGTCGGACTCCTTGAATCCCAATCTTTCGCGCAAGAGATCAACTGCATCGCACCGCAAATGCCACGCTACAAGCTCACGCCGTAGCTCACGAGAAAATCCGCGCAAGTCCTGATTTCGCACATTTTTCCTCTTTTGTGGCTTCAAGGGTTGCCCCTCATCCTCAGACTCGTCCACGTCTTGTTCGACATCGCCAGTCGATTTCGCGCTAGAGCCCTTGAAAGGTAGGTAAACGCTCTCCAGCTTCGGTATAGAGATAAACGCGGGCACGGTATGTCTATACACCCTCAGACTTTTCTCCTTTCCACCCTTTACGCGCTCCCGCCGTAGAAGCACGTAATAGGGCTTCGCGAAGCGCCCATTTCGTGTGCAGACATCGATGCGCAGACCTAGTAGATTCTCGGCGGGCGCGCTGGGTGACGGATCCTTGAATGGAAAAGCTGTAGTACCGAATGCGATGCGGTAGTGGTTTGTTTCAGAGTGTTTCCCTGCGGCCTGTGCGAGAGGCGAGATTTCGTCGTGGATGGTGGTGCGGGGTTTGCGGAGGAGCTTCTGAACGTTGGATGAGGCGAGGAGACTTGAAGAAAGGAATCGCTTTTGACGTTGGAAATTATGAACTTTTGCGTATTGTTAGTATATAGTGATTGTTTGGTTTAGGGGATTGCGCGTCTGGTGCTTACTTTCGGCGCGAATGGAGGCGATTTCGGTGTCAAGGCGCTCTGCTTGGGGGTCCGGAGATGCGGAGGGGTGTGCGCGTGTATTCATGTTGTTGAAGTATATTCTTCTAGAGTATATGTCTGGGCTGATTTCTTGGGTCCTTATTTCAGGACGAGCAATCTTATGGCGGGGAAGATGTGGAGAAGTTGGAGATGAGTTCGTCACAATGTTTTGTTTATTTTGTATGACGGCACGTGACCCACTTCTGACAAGGATCACGATTTAAGATTATTTGACATTTATCCATGTGATACTGTTTGATTGTGATGTAACGACAGCAGTAATCAAGTCTTGATTCATGTGAACACGTCAGTACCTGTCGATCGATTGTTATATACGGTCATAGGCTGGTACTGTCCGATTACTAAAGCTATACGCGAGGGACTTGTGCGGCAACACGCCGATCTCCTCGCGTGCATGGACTGTACCACGTAGGACAATCCCAACACCGGGAACTTCGTAGCTGTAAAACGAAAATACTTGGAGTGGATCCGATAGACCCTGAAAAAAAACCTAACAAAATCTGGCAAAGAAGATCCCCCGGCCCCTCAGGAAGAACCCGGCCCCGTAAGAGGCCAGCTTGCCTCTCCGCGTGGTCTCGCCCAAACTTTCTCAAGAGTCGGATCTTCCCCCCACCACCTCCATGTATCTCCCTTGAGGACTTCCCTTCTTTCTTTTTCCTTCGTTCTCCATGTATTGGTCATCAGTTCATTACTATTCATCCGCCTAACCCGCATGGGCCCCCAACCTTGAAACCCAACTACGCCGCCAGACGCGCCCTTCTTTCATTCCAAGCCGAACCCATTCCCCTGATCCCCGGCTACATCTACCAACTTTCACCTCTGGCTGGACCGAAATACTCTTACACACTTTACATTCCGACACGTATACAAATCAATGACACGGAAGAGCGCCACCCTCGCCAAACGCCGTTCCAAACCGAGCCTCAAAGTCGCTACCGGCCAGAACGGCCATGCGAACGGCAAGATGAACAACATCGAAATGCGCAAGCGCGATACCCCCTCGGTCGACTCTTCTTCCGAACGAACAGCCCGCCTCATGTCTCGACCGAGCTTTACCCTCGACGATGAACCCCACGTCGTCCCTCAAACCCCTGTCTTGACAACAACCAGCTTCCATAACCTCCCCGCAAGTGACCGCCGGAATTTCCTGTTGCTGTGCGTGCTGTATTTCTTGCAGGGTGTGCCTATGGGTTTGGCTACAGGCTCCGTACCTTTTCTCCTAAAACCATATCTGTCCTATGGCCAGATCGGCATCTTCTCGCTCGCCTCCTACCCATATTCTTTAAAGCTGTTCTGGAGTCCCATTGTGGATGCTGTATGGAGTCCACGATTCGGTCGCCGCAAGAGCTGGATTACACCAGTCCAGGCTATTGCGGGACTTGCCATGATTTACCTCGGCCGTCACATTGGTGACATGATGGAGCAGGCCGGCGCAAATGGTGGCGCGGGAGTCTGGAACTTCACATACTGGTGGTTCATGCTGGTTCTTTTCTGCGCCACGCAGGATATTGCCGTTGATGGATGGGCTATTACTCTTATGTCACCCCCGAACATCTCCTACGCCTCCACAGCTCAGACTGTTGGCTTGACAGCAGGTCACTTCCTGTCATACACCGTGTTCTTGGCATTTAACTCCAAGGACTTTGCGAATCGGTGGTTCCGCACTATCCCCGGTGAAGAGGGTATGCTTTCGCTCGGCACATACTTGACTTTCTGGGGTTGGGCCTACCTCATTGTGACCGTGGGCTTGGCCTTGTTAAAGAAGGAAGACCGCACCAAGGAGCGTGATAGCATCCTAGATGTGTACAAGAGCATGTGGAGCGTTTTGAAGCTGAAGAACATTCAGACCATCATCCTCATTCATTTGATTGCCAAGATTGGCTTCCAGGCCAACGACGGTGTCACCAGCTTGAAACTCTTGGACAAGGGATTTGGCCAGGAGAACATGGCTTTGGTCGTGTTGATTGACTTCCCCTTCGAGATTATGCTGGGGTACTATGCCGGCAAATGGTCGACTGATCACGGTCCTATGCGACTGTGGGGCTGGGCCTTTGTTGGCCGCCTGGCCGCCGCAGTACTTGCCCAATTCACCGTCATGATCTACCCCGGTGGATCCGATGTTCCATTTTGGTACATGCTGGTTGTCATCCTCGAACATGTTGTATCAACATTCATGAACACGGTCATGTTCGTCGCCATTTCAGCTTTCCATGCACGCATTGCAGACCCAAGCATTGGTGGTACCTACATGACCCTCCTCGCAACGTAAGTCAAATACTCGTGTGTTTCACATTTTCACAACTAACACATAGTTTTAGCGTTTCCAACTTGGGCGGAACATTCCCTCGCATTTTCGTCCTTAAACTAGTCGATCTTTTCACCCAGGCAACATGCCTCCCACCTACTACTCCCCCACCAAGTGACCAGCTGAAAGATGCTCTTGTCACCTCTGCATTCTCTTGCGCACTCGAGCCAGAAAAGAACCGTTGCATCAATGGCGGTGGTACCTGCATCATTGACCACGACGGCTACTACATTACCAACATTATCTGTGTCCTCATTGGCACTGTCACATTTGTGTGGTTCATTAAACCCGCTGCTGCCAAGCTTGAAAGCTTACCTCTGCGCGCCTGGCGGCTGGTGCCAGGTATTCAACGCGAGTAAGCTCTTATACTGGGAATCATTACGCTCAGCTTGTACTTTATAGCCGAGTGATCATAGTACTAATAGATTGAACGATTAAAATAGTTAGATGTTAAATGACTACTTTGCTTTGACAGCCACATTATATTCACATAGTGGGACTTTGTATGATATCTCTAAGAAATGTAAAGAGTCTAGAACTAGAAGTATGCAGGATTGGAATCTTATAGACCATTCCATGCGAACAAGGCGAACACGAAACTGGTAATCTGTCTAGAACTCGCTTCTACATCTCCAGTTGCTTTCGTTGTAGAGGGCCTGGCATGTTCTTGGTGTCCTTTTCAGGGACGAGTTGATTGACAAGGCTCGACTGCGGTTTCTTTCGTGGTATCCACCTTTCGTACCATTATAGGATAGGGTTATTCTTCATTCCCTGTTATATTCTATGAGGCCCCTGAAGAAGGCCGTTACAGCGTGCTTTTGATCCCTCCTATACAGTGCTACCGCATAGATTGACAACGGCCTTGTCTGAGATGGATAACGTTTTCCCCTCCTCCCAGATTGTCCCAAGCAACCTTGTTGCTCCGGATAGAATCCATCTGGGACAGGCCATTTCCCTGCCGTTGCAAGAAATCTCAGGCAGTCTTCAAACTCCGGATACACTGTGCCCCGGGACGGGCCACTGTTTCCCCTCCTTCCAAGCTATTCCAAGTGATGGAGACTGGAAAAATATGGGGTCAAATCCGAATCCGAATACGAACCCGGACCCGAAGCCAATCAACTCTTTCCAAGGTTACGGAGTATGCCTAGGTTTACTGTACAGATAGAGTAAGGTTGCGAGCTCAGGAACCCTTAGGATCAACGGTGCATGCAACATATAAATAAGCTACTAGGAAGGATAATGCATGAAATACATCTTGGATTTTAACGAGAATCACATCTGCTGCACAAGAATTGCCTTCTCTGATTACCACCAACAATGCGCATTCGACCTTTCTCGTTGGCAGTAGTCCTGTCAACCTGCTGTGCAGTCGCTCAATCTGCGCAGGACCGTGTCATTCTACTGGGTGACAAGCGGTACAATGGCACTTCGAAAGTCGAATTTACTTCCCAGGCTCTTGGTCAAGCCGACTTCTTCAAACTAGATCCAGCACCAAACGCCACTTCATTTGACTCGCAAGTCTTCCCTTTCCCATTACCGCTATATAGCATGTCCTAATAAAATCTTAGATGGTACTTCGACGCGATGAACCCTTTGACCAACGAGACTGTTGTATTCAACTTTGAAGTGCAGTGGCCAGTCGACCCGAATGTCCCTGAGTCAGAAATGCTCTATCGTGTCACCTTATTCGGGGCTTTTGCAAATGGAACAGCCTACAGCTATGCCATTGAGTCTGACCATGTCAAGATAACGGAACGGGAGGACAAGAGTATGCGTGCAGACTTTTATGGATATGAAGGCAGCGAGTTCAGTTGGTCAGGGTCGAGCCTCTTGAAGCCAAGACCCGTTTACATAGCGACGGTCAATTCGCCCGAACTGGGGATCAAAGGAACTATAACCCTTCATGGAAACGTAAGTACCCACCTTTCCGTTGGTGACCATGGCTCTACTGTTGTATCAATTACTCACATACCTTTTGTTTTTAAAGACTGTCGCACCTCATTATTCCTGCGGCACGGATGCTGCAGGCGTCGAGGAGCAGATCATTACCGGAGTAGGTTGGGCAAACGCAGTACCTGACGCCAATGCCACGGTTTCCCTCCAAATCAATGAGACTTCTATGTCATTCGAAGGCTATGGCTATCATGATAAGACGTGGGTTGACCGCCCCTTTGAGGAGGCGCTCCAATCCGCCTTTTGGGGCCATGCTCGCCTCGGACCCTACGCTGTCGTGTGGTGGCATTCACGTGCTCAGGATGGCACAGATGTTAGTGCAGAGTATCTTGCTACGTGGGAAGATGGACATGTTATCGCGTCTCGTTGCGTTAACAGTCCTAACAACACTCTGGGCTGGGGAGAGGGTCAGATATGGCCTCTTCTTCCGGGAACTCCAGCACCGGATGGTATGATCCTGCATTGGGACCTAGGAGACGCTGGTACTTTCGTGGCGAACTTGACTAGTCATGATATATTTGCGGACATTCCTCAGTGGGTGGCTGGTCGAGGGTCTATCACGGGGGGTTTTGAGGGTCAAGAAACTTACACTGATGAGACTGGAGTGTGGACGCTCAACCAGCTCCAGCCGTTGTCAACATAGTGCCATCATTTTGTACAGTGAGAGCTGGCGGACAAAGGGCGGTTAAGAGAAAAGTGCTTGAATTGTCGACAGGATATCTGGGTAGCTGCTTGTAACGATCGAAATCGGCTGTTGAATCCCTATAGAGCTAAATAAATGTTGCCCGCTTGTTCGATAGTCTCGCGGCTATCGCGAGCGTTCTGCTGGCATGGTGGAAAGAAGGCAAGAAGGGTATGTACCCCGTAAAGTAACATAGTTGCAGGTGGAGTTGACTGTTCGGCCCATGTGCTCGGAGGTGATTTACGTTAAGTTGTGATGTAATTGGCAAGAGCTGTGGTCTCCTGAGCAATCCCCGAATCAATAACCACGTGGTAAAGAAATAGAGGCAAGGCAAACATATCTGCAGTATCAAGCTTCTACACGTTCGCTCGGCTTCATGGCTGAACCGCATCGCGCAAAAACACATAGAATACGACGTTTCCGGTGGCTGTACTGTGGGATTGGGGTGGGGTAGGACCCTATAGACAGATCTGTGTTTGCCCTTAAAATCTGTATATATACATGGTAAAAAAGTTGTAGCATTTGACACCGGATAATAAGTGGCCCCATCCCCACAGATGAACATCAACATCATCAGATAAAGTCAAGCGGATGAACTAACTTTCCGATGGCCGATAATTAGCCCCCAATTTTGATTTCCCATTGAAGTATAGACTCGGCCGACAGTTAAAACTCCAATCCCGACTATACAGTATTTCAACTTTCTATATACCACACAAATTAACCACATATTTATGTTGAAAGATGAAAACAATGCGCAGCAAGATCCTCGCCTACATCATCCTCCCACTCGGCGCAACAGTCTACGGTACCCACCTTGGCCTAAATCACCTGGAAAAGAAATATCCAAACCGTCCCCTAACAACAGGGAGCAAATTGCTGCAAACGCCAAACAATACCCAAACTCAGCATTGCCCATATACAGATATCTACTCTGCACGTATCCCGCTACAAGCACTGGTGGCACGGCGCAACACCAACAGCAAATCCCCCGACAAGAATGCGCTTGAAGATGCATGGGCCCACTCATTACTCGGATCTCCACTCCTCAAAACAGAAGCAAGTATCTTCGGTCTTCTCTCTCGCGGAACATATGAACCAGGAGATCTCGGCAACACCGAAGCAGGATTCAAGCCCGATGCCACGGGTAAACCACGAAAGCTAATGAATGGCATCATGGAAGTTCAACGCCAGAGTGGCGTCGATGATGATTCTAATGGGCTGCTTATTTCGTGGAAGATGGCTGATGAGCCGCGACTTTTCTTTGAGAGAATTGCAAAGTGGGGATATCCTTGGCGTCTTATGTCAGGTGGACGACATGAGATGAGCGTTTCGGAGCCGTTTGAGATTGAGGGGAGGAGGTTTGTGGAGGTCAGATTCGCTTCGGCGCATGACTATGAGGTTGTTCAGGCGGAGGGTTTGGAGCAGAAGATTTTGCCTGAGTGGACGAATCGGTTGCATCGGGGGTTTGCGAGGCTTGTGCTTGATTTTGCGGTCAGGGAGTTGGAGAAGAGTTGCGATTGAGTTTTAGTGATGAATTTCTCGGTTTCGATGTACCTTCTATACAATATATTCAATGAGAACACTCGCACTGCGGTTCACAAAAAAGCAAGCATGGTATGCAGTTGAACACTTGGGATGCTGAGAATCAGAAGCCATTTGAACCGATTCAGGTAATGGGCATGCCTGTTGATATGGAGGCTTATCCTAGTTGAGTACAGGGACAAGAAACATGACAACTTGATCGGTATTTCCTTTAGCGTAGATCTGGCCGTCAGACCTCCATTAGTCTCCTTAGCCAAAATCTTCCAGTCATCAGACAATCATCCAATCAGTGGGATCTTACTCGTATCAAAGAGCTGGAGAGACCGTGATTACGCCATCTCTGAATACTAAAGCCGCGCATTGTCTTACACGAACTTCAAGGCCTTCATCGTTATAAATGATCTCGGTGTGGCCTTGCGGGCCTGTTTGGCATTATGCTTGACCCGATTGACATCCTTATTGATGATTCGGGCACGAATTTCACTACCATTGTGAACACGAAGACTACAGATACATGTTATGCGTTCAATGATGGTCTCCCGTGCCACGATACGTTTAGTATTCTCCGTTGCGGGCAGTTGTACTGGCTATTCAGCCACTGGGCTCCAGAAGTATCCTTTCAGGACACCCAAGGTATCGTAATGGCGGCGATCATCATATTGACCCCGGGTATGATGTAGCCGATCAAGTTGAAAATCCCCACATTAAAGAATTGGCTGTTTCTTTCGCTGTATCGCTGGAAGCAAAGCCAATGCCACCCGTGAAAGGTTGGTGTTGTTGGTCACCACTGATGCCGTTCATGTCTTCTCCCTTTTTGATGTTTTGGGCTCAAAGTCCTTCCTTGAGTTTGCCATCTCTGTCGTCATTGCGAATCGGTGAGCTAGCCAGCGTCAAACTATCAATGGAGAAAAATAATGCAAATGCCAAGAACTTTCCATAAGTTAATGTTGCTTTCGGTATTGAATGCTCCGACATGAGCCGAACGCAACCCATATATGCCATTCATGTATACTGTTAGTCATAAATTTGTGATTAGACCAGAAGGGGGACTTATTATAGAGCACATGGTTTGTACATGCTCACATTGTAATGATTCAGGGATGCTCAATGTATTATAGCCTTGAACGCTTGATGCCCTTTGGCAAACTAAGGGGACGCTAAGGGATTACCGTATCGTGAAGCCCCAAACGCGCAGGTGAAGTTGTCTTTGATTGATACGTCACTTCCACCACGGTGGTGGTTGTTGAATGTGATAATTTCCTTAGTTGACCTTCCTGCTCCCCGCACCTGTCATCTCCCAAGATCTTTCTACCCCTCATGTTTCTGACACCGTACCACTTTCTCAATCAACATCAGGATGGATGAGTTGAAGGTGATCGCCTGGTGCCTCGATGCCGCTGGCGGGGTGCTGAGGGAGGACGGTTTTCACCTGTTGTATGCCCGGAATGACGAGCTGATCGAGGAACTTTGGGACACCATAGGTGTCCTCGACATACCACGCGTCGGAGGAGACATCAAGTCCGGTGCTCCTGCAGCCTATCTCTGGTTCGGTACCTCTGAAGATGATGAGGAGGACAAGGTAAGCCCATGTGAAGCTATCACGAACATTGGCACTGTCAAGTTGGTCATTGCTAACCCAACAGCACCAGCGGGTTGCGTTCTCTGTCACTCATGACGACACGCTGAGATACTTTACCTACAACAATTACAAAGACGACTGGGAAGAATCGGATTTCAGTGAACTAGGCCAGCTTCAACTCGCCCCAGGCAGTGGTTTGACTGGAGGTCTCGGGCCCGATGGTCCTGCCATTTTCTTCATCGGTGCGGATGGTGGCAAGCTCCAGACTATCATCATGAAACGTGGTCGTTGGGAGCTCGGCGATCTTGGTGGCTTCGTCGATCCGACCCCTCGAGTTGGGTCGCCACTCTCCATTACTCCAGTGAAAGAGGGAATCATGGTTTTTTTCATCGGCGAAGATAACGCGCTACACTACCTGGCCGAAGATCCACAAACCGGTACTTGGGGAGGTAAGCATTCCATCATATCAGTGATGATTCCTTGAAAATGCTGACCAGACTCATCACTAGATCACTGGCTTGACCAAATCATCATGGAAGCCCCCGTGTCCCGCTTCAAAGTTTTCTACCATCCCTATTCCAAATTGTTTGAGGCATACTTTCTCTCTGAGGGGAAGTTGATTCGATTTGCGTCGAAGAGCGGTGACTTTGTAGAAGTTGGTGATGATGAAGAGGATGATGACTCTGATGCGGGCGTTCACTCTGATCAGGATTTTCACTCTGATGAGGGGGTTGACTCTGGTGACGTTGGCAATGGAAAGGGTGTTGACTGGATTTTTGACCCCATTGAGGGTTCTGAGGTGAAGGTGGAGGTGGGTAGAATGAACGGGAGACGGATCGTCAAGAACAACGCTGGCAAGAGAGTTCGCGATACTTTTCTGGCAGATCTGATCACTCGGACTCCCAGAGCTTATGGTCTCAAGCCATCGGAGAAAACAACACGTACCGTCAAAAATGGTCGCTCGAGCACAACATACATCTCGAGGACTTATCCATTCTAGAGTGGACGAAAGTGTCTACCTGGACAGCGAAGAAGTGAACGGGATTCAATCCGATTGAGACAGAAGGCTATCTTGACTTCCTGTGATTGCATGTTTTTATCAAGGAGAAACACCTTGCAAATCTCTCAGATAAATTCAAAATATTGAAATGGTTTACTAGATTTAAATCATGAGTCTCCTCGTATCAATTTGTTAAAGAAGCAAAAATGTCATGTACCGAGAAATTGAAGTGCTTCCATATACGCCATGTACATCCTCATGCCCCGTTGAAAATTACCAGCATTCTTGTCTTCCTGCCTTTTCAACTCATAATTATTGCTAGGAGTCTCATATCTGGTCGGTTTTTTCGCAGGGTTGACTAGGCAGTGATCCCGAAAATCGGTAGACATCTCCAACTTGCCTTGCTCGGGTCTCCATCTCGTCCAGACCGAAAGATTCATGTCGTACTTTGGCTTACTATATGGCTCATAATCATCGATACATCAGGTTTTCTTGGCCTCTGGTGAAATATGAATGTATAGCTCGCTCTGTATGCATTGTTGGACCCCAACGACATCAATTCAGGCATGATCGAACCATTCAGCCCGAACCAAGTCGAAATTGGCAATATGAGAAGCTGACCGAGAGTGGATGGTAAAGCCACAATATGCTCTTCTATTTTAGGCACGGTGTTATTGGGCACCACTGACGTATTTGACAATCAGTCGCTATTTGGAGATTGATGCTTGATTGTATGCCCGATGTGGTGGTACCTTGAGTTGCATTATGGGATCATGTCATTCTCAATCTGAAGCACAAAACTACAATGATGGAAAACACTATGCTTGGATCTAAGCTCTATTGTATAAGGCACTATTAATACTTAGCTAGATACCGAGAAGACTTAAGAGGTTCGCTTATACTACTATAGAACTACGTACTATGAACCCGATGTGCCATGACGATGGACCCACTCGACCCGCAGATCGCAACTTTTTTTTCTTATCGCCCACAACAGAAGCCACGAGAAATACAGCGAGTCAAGCTTCAAGTAAAATCACTGGATCGGGTCATGACTCCCATCCAGACAGACTCCAACTCCGATACCTCCGCTCCAGCATCCCCCGCCACAACAATGACCTCTACGCACTCCGACGACGGCTCGGCACACCCCGCAGTCGACAATTCCCTCGACGACATCTTCGGCTCCTCGCCACCACACGAGACGAGAGAAGTGCACGGGATCTCAGAGCATAACCGAGCAGGTACAAGCTCTGCTACCGTCGAACCCTCCGATCTTCCCTCCCTACGCCGCCAGCACGTCACCGCGGGGTACCGCGATGGCGTCTCCGTATCGAAAGGCGAGCGCGTCCAAGACGGCTTCGACGGCGGATTCCCGATCGGTGCACAGCTAGGCATGCGAGCAGGAACAATCCTCGGTATCCTAGAAGGAATTTCAAGGGGTCTTGATGACCGGAGCACAGGTGCGGTGAAGAAGCCCGCTGCGCGGGGCAGTGCATCCGGAACTTCTTCACCCGCGAACGCAGAGACACGCCGAAAGATCGGTGAGCAAGTTCGAAAGATCTACGGGGATGCCGTGAAGGCGCTAGATGTGCAGGCAGTGTTTACGGGATTGGAAGCTGTGGCCGCGTCTGGCTCACGGGTTGACACTGCCTCTGGCGAGGTCCATCACCAGGATGCAGGGGAGAAGCCAGAGACCCAGTTAGCTAAGAAGGGAGACTCGGTGATCGCTCCATGGGAGAAGAGACTTTCTGTTGCTGCTTGGGAAGAGAATATGGAGGCCTTGGAGATGAAGGAGGCACAGGGCGAGGGAGACAAGGGCGCTGCCGGAGAGCGGAGCTGAAGACCTCCTACTACCCTGTCCCTATCTGTTTACCTACGGTGAAGCTTTTCTACCTTTGGATGCAGCTCCTGTGGAGGCCATGTCTTGCCTGTTTCCCCGGGGAACCATGCAGCTCCAAGTGGGCCATGCTGGTTGTTTTACCCCGGCAATTCCGCTGGCTGTCCCCGTCCCGCTCTGCGGCCCGATTGAATTCGATGAGATGAGACTCGGTGTCTGAAAAACTCCACCGCTGCAAGGATGGTGGAAGTATCGGCGGGCGATCGGTCCGGGGCGGCTCGGTGTGCGTTAAGGGCAAGCTCTTTGTGTTTAAGACACGATGGAGTCGTCTTTGCGCAGGGAGGTGGTTTATTATTGTTTGGGCTATCCAGGATATCGGAAAGGCACAGTAGTGCTAACGTGCAAAGATTGAGGCATTTTGGCCTCTATGCCAAGGTGTGCAAAAGTCCTGGCTTGTGAACTCAGATGGGGGACGGCCTGGTTTTATGACAGACCATTGTTTTCCAGATCCCGAGCAAGCAGTCTGCGCCCCGGCAAGCTGCAGCTTCGATCTAGGCCGATCAAGACCACCCATGTGGATCCCTTAATAAACAAACTCAGATACATCTGAAACCTAGGGAGTTTTGGTCTCGCGGAAGACTTGAAGGTGCAGCCGACGGAATCAGGGAGAACAACCTTGCCTTCCGCGGACCGGTGCCGCGATGGAAGGGACTTTTGAATACCCCCAGGCATCTAGGCCCCATTGTACTTCTGATTGTTTTTGAGATCATTTTTGTGATACGGGAATGGTGAGAAGGCTGGGAATCTGATTTGCCTTGAATCTGTATGATATCAGACTGCTAGTGCTACAAAGTACATAGTAGACCTATCAGCACATGAATGTGAATTTCTAGATGCCACTTGATCTATTTTGAGTTGCCTCAAGTCAACAATGTGGCCTCGACCGTGGTAAAATCCCCAAAAAGACTACGTCTGTGGCGTGGAAACGTTAACGACGCAAGGGATGGCTTCGTATACAGGTGGGGCTCCAAATCGAGGTGTGGGTCCTGCCGCTTTAGCGCTGATGATCAGTCGAAGATGAAGAACAGCTAGAGAAAGAGCAGCAAGAGCCGAGGCACTCTGTGCCTCGTATTAGCACTGAGTATGCATCACGATTCTCCACCAAGTACCCATCAACGCCACTGTGAGGAATAGTAAATTCTAGTGATAATCTAGTATACAAATCCAAGCCACATTCCAAATCGACTTTATCCATGATGACAAAAGACCAATAGATCCGTGTAAACAATTGTACCCCAAACAACTCCAAATTAGTAGCAACAAACTTCCCCAGAATCAGGCCTACAAGGCCAATTCTGAAACGCCTCAGAGAAAAGCCAAATCCCAGCAAACCAAACTCTTCTCCGTACTTCTGCCCCGGGATCGGGTTCCCGCAGATCCAAATCAGACCTGTACATTAACCCTTGACAGGGCCCAGGATCCGGGATCACATCCCTGTACCCGTAACCAGGTCTAGGGGATAAGGCAAACCGCGAGCCGCGGAGCATGGTACTTTGGGTTATGCATGAGTCCCGATCGGATAGACTCGAGACATGGTGTCAATATTGGATAGTTTTACATGTCCCTACATAGTGGATCTATGAATTGAGGACAATTGAACTTTTGCGAATTGGTTTTGTTTGGGATGGGTCGGGTACTGAGTGCTGCCCCGTGCATTTGTTATTTTGGTCTTTGAATATGTCCAACTACAACGATGATTAGGAACTATGATTGGGACACTACGATCGAGATTTCAGAGTTCAAGTACTAAGCTACAGTAGCATTGCCTGGATATTCCGGTAGTATCCTCGAATACCTATAATCAGGGCAAAAGCTGACGTAGGCTTTCTGGGCGAGGAGTCTCCAGCATTCCGAGTATGAAGATCTATTACCTAGACAACGAAGTAGAGTGGATGATCATCTTGTTTATTCATAGATTTTGCATTTCATGCTAGCCATAAGGAAGTATGCTTTTGTTGCGCCCCGTCCATATCCGTAATCCATAATAAAAGCGCAGTCTTAAGGGGTCCTTTATATCATTATAGTAAATCATACATGAAGACAGAAAGTAAGGAAATAGCAAGTGGATGAGACATCCGAAACCAATAGACCGTTGAAACATCGTGAAGGAAAAAGAAAAGTAGAAGAATCGAGGAAACAAAGATGGTAATACAGCGTCGAAGACGAGTAAAGACATTGAGATGACCAAAGATTGTGGGGAGAGCCCGCGACAAGTAAGGAAAGTTAAAGACAGTATAGCCCGGAGGCAAGGAAGGTTCATTGTTGAGATTGACTCAAGTAGTCGTGTTCGTGTTGTAGTCCGTGAATTCATTGGTACGGAAATTTCATTGAGGATATAGCATAACCCTTATCCCAGTTCATGGAGGGAGGTTGAGGTTTATATGGAAGGATCATGGGGAACAGTGTTCATCACCATTGTAAGCATAGAAGCATCAAGTAGGAAATCGTTGCAGTATCGTGTTGCAAACGTGAAAGGAACGCCAAAGCAGAACGCCAAGTACACCGGCCGTCTAAGTCGTGGGCATCAAATAGTAGAAGTCGTGTTGGATTTCATGGGGCGGGCGCAGTTAAGGGAGCGGAGGGAGTCCAGCATCCGGCGGAAGAATGGCTTCTGTTCTGTTGGGTCCTGGAGGGTAGCTGGGGAGTGTTGCTCGTAGCACATAGAAGTGAGCTGCTCCTTCTCTGGCTTGACGAACTCGGGTGTGTCTGATCGTTGGCGGCGGCGGTATTGAGCTTGCATGGCTGCAGCAGCAGTCCAGTCCATTTCGGACTCGTTAGCGCTGTCGTGGAGACTGTTGTGTTGGGAGCGAGGCTTGATCAGGGAGGCGGTTGATGGCGCAACGAGGCGGAGAGTCTGCAAGGGGTGCGATCTTGTGCCATCCCGACTTGTGCTAGGACGGCTGATGCTTGGTCGACCAGTGCTAGGACGGTCTAGGCTGGCACCGCGGAAAGGATCTAGCTCGCCAAGTGCATCGTCTGGCATGCATGGGAATCGTTCTTGAGTGTGGTCATCGAGCACGGCTTGACGAAGGCGAGGCTGAGACTTAGCCGCACGAAGCTTAGCGCGACTGCGCACTTTGCGCAGAGTATCGATAGGTTTGCGGGAGAGAGACTTGTTGCTGATTGACTCGTTGTCTGAGTCAGATTCCCAGACAGACTGCTCACAGTAAGCATCCATGGTGGAGATGGATGGACGTTCCATGGAAGTAGCAGTCCACTGGCGAGAGATAGGAGGAGAGCTAGCCACAGGGCTAGGAATAGGGCTTGCGCCATCATTGGCAGGAATGAACAAGGCTTGGTCAAAGTGAGTGGCATGCGGCTCCATGGTCACAGGATTGATCAAGCATGGAGGCGAGATCATAGATGGGTCCAATGGAGGCCGTGTTCCAGGGCTGGACTGTTTCCTGCGGGAGCTCATAGAGCTAGAGGCATTGGATAGGTTGGGCAGTGTAGGGTGTGCCTTTTGCCGTCTTCTTGAGGATGAGGACATACTGGATGTCTCGTACTTCATTGTGATAGTGGATGTGGAGTTGTTGAAAGAATCGGCAGGAGTAGTAGGACGAGTGACCGGTGTCAAGGCGGCCACAGGAGGAGGGGGAGGAAGAGAGTATTTGGGAGGTGTCGAAGCTTGTTCGTTGTATGCCCGACGAGGCTCGATCTGGACCTGGTGTGCGTGCTGGTAGAGCTTCTCTGTTGCCTTGAGCACAGCGTCAGGGCAGGATGGGGAAGAGTATGTGGATGAGAATGAGCTGCTCGGGGTCAGATCCGGGACAGTGGTGTCAGATTGCACTGAGCTGAATGACTCCTGGCTGCTGTGCAGCGGTCGATGTTCTTCTGTTGAAGATGTGTAGCGGTGGAATCTCAAGCTGTTTTCCAATTGAATTTGCGCGAGAGTGGAGCGATCAGGACCGGTATATTGTGATGACTCCTGCTGATGATCTGGAAGGTCTCTCCCGTTGGTCAAAGAAAGTGTGTAGTACAGGCTATTGTCTCCGCTAAATCTATCATCGCGAATAGTCGGGGTATATTGTTCAAAGTTTGGTGTCGCAGCCAGCGACTTCTCCAGATAGAATGGATCTTGGTTCGATTCTTCTAAAGCTTTCGGGCCTGCTTTAGGTAGGTATGTTGAAGCTCGCTTTGCTGGAGATGGCGAAGGCAAGCAAATGGTTGTTTGTGATCTGTTTGGGTCTTCGTGCAACATATCCAAGTCTCCTGAACAATGACAATCTCCTAGAGCCATGGACTTTGATTCCGAAGGATAGTGTGGATATGGAATTGATTGAGCCAGGCAGTTAAGGCAGGAGAGAATCAGATAGTTGCCACAGAGTGGAGAGAAGGAATGAAGAATGGAGACGAGAAGCAGGGTGGAAGGGGATATGTTTATACACGGACCAAAAATAACCATCAGCCCCCTCCTCCAGGTAGCTGGGCTACTTTCTCCGGGTCCAATGCATGCCAATGCACGTAAACAAAAGAACCGGGAGCACGGACGATCCTGACCTATCCAACCTTACATGACGTCCCCTTCCGTGTAGGGATGCAGCAAGGACCAGTTCGCGGCCTCTCCAGCAAGGGCGCGGAACGCCATCCGTCAGGAAAAAGCACCCGGACTTTTGATCTGATCTTTGCATTGAATCTATTCAGATCGATTGATTCCTAAATTGTTTTATTCGGACCAGCCGAAATCTGGAAATGCTCAGTAGCACGAATCTTCTGTCCCACTCAACTTTGAACCATAACCTACCTGATGGATCGCATCTTTGGTTTTGTTTTCTTTTCTCATGAATCTGAGGGGAACTAGGAACACCGTGCACGCTGCACCCACGGGCAGCAAAGGGAATGTGAGATGTATCAGTCTCTCGCAGTCCCGCGGATGGAGTTTCCGGATCAGCCACTAACGCCATAACTCCACTGATGATCTTCACAAGGCAAAGCCACAAATCGATGTGAACAAAGTCCCATTCCAACAGGCCCATTCCTGGGAGCCCACGCAACGGCGTTTGACTGTCCTCCAGCCTCAATCTGATCTGGTTGTCTTGTAACGTTTCATCGCTCGAATTCTTCGATGCCTTCCACTCTCTTCTACCTCGAAGCATCCTTTCTTTTTCTACGTCATTGTTGCTTTTTGGCAGTGGCTGGCTAAACTCTTCATGATTCCTTTTGCAACCCCTCATAGAGGATACAGCGTGGTGACACCAGATCTACTATGGTTCCACATTACGTGGTTTCAGCTATTCACAGTACATACAACTATAACCTATCATTTCCAGTCCTTCTAATCATCAGTCTTTCCGGGCTCGAATACCGAACTTTTTTTGTGCGTCAAGGGTTTTGCCGCTGCGCTAGTGTGTCCCAGCACAAGCGACTCGTACACGCTTGACACTCGACATATCATATTCGATCGGCACCGGGGGCAAACCCGCGATCCACCCAGTCATTGGCTGAGAAGCAAAGTTTGCAAATCGGACCAATCCGGTTCCCCCAAAGGACTTTGTACAGAGTAGCTTTAGGCTGTCAGATTCTCATCTGCTGGAAATGATCCCAAACTACTCTTACTCTTTCTGAAACTGATCCAGATCAATTTACTCAGCTCGATAGAATCAATCACTTATCCATTTGCCCGGGAAACGATTGTTGTTGGTCCCCACATTCCAATGAAAAGTTAGTCGTGCATTGCATCCCGCCATACAGACGGGGCTCCCCGTCGAACTGCATAGATTGCATCAACCCGTATATATATCTACCGTTGGCGTCCCCAACCCCTGATCGACAAGATCCAGAGCTTCGATTCCCTCCAGTTCATGCGAGCAGAGTGCTTGACCGTACTTTGTCACTGCATGGCCCTCGCTTTTCCCACAGATGTCACATTCCTTAGCTGTTGGATGACAATCTATTGCAGCCACATGTAGAAAGATTTGATATCCTCACAAATTGACATGAACGGTGTCCAACATTGAAGTCTAGCCCACGAAAGAATCAGATCAAGGGCTGGCCCTCGCAGAAAGCCCCCTATGTCATTAAAGGCATATCCCGTCCCAGGAGCAGCATCAGGGGGAGGCTCAATTTCCCGAACCCGAACCCCTATACCTAGATACAGGAGAGATCGAGAAAGACAAAATGACCCTGAATCCCACACCAGGGACCGGAAGGGAAGCCAGGACCCCCGACAAACTGTCTTTCGTCTCAACCCCCTGATTGGCCACGGAACTTCCGACTGGGCAGGAGATAGTGAAACATCTCATATCCAAAACAACAAGCTCCCGGGGATCTTAAATGGCCTGCAGGCTGCAAGGCATCCTTGAAACCTACCTGGATATTGGGACTTCGCTCCCCTTTCTCGATCCCCGGGAGAGAGTTGATGCGTCCGCGGTGCAACGGCATTGCTTGCCCGTGAGTCTATCGTTTCTTCGGGCCTGAAATTTTCCGACCTGGAATTGTTCCCTACCCTTGCTTGTTCCGATCACGGGAGGCGGTCGAGACCGTCGCGCGTTGTTTACTACCCTTGCTCCGTCACGTAGTGTTTGTTTTGACGGATCTTGTTGCCAGGACTTAAGTCCTGGGTGGGGATGTTCCCTCCAGTGTTGCGCGAGGGGGCTTTGCAGAGGACTTGAACATTTAGAGAGTCGGGATTTGAGCGGATCTTCAGGGATCCGATCTAGGCCCGGGACGTCACTATGTGGGGCGAGGGAGCTCTTCGAGCAAAGAGAGTTCCAAGCTGTCCACTGTAAAGTGTATAGGTATAGATTACTGGTTCCAGGTGGTTAATTCTGCCACGTAGATAAACGACAATTGGCTTAGACGGAAATTTTAGCCACCAATAGCCGATTGAGTGGATTGGATTAATCAGTGCGCTTTGATGTGGGGAATGAGCAGTTCGTTCCATGAATCGACTTGCGAGCCGGTGCGAATTGAACCACTGGAACCAATGGATCTGATCCAGCATTTCCCTCTGTTCCTGTTTCTACTGTTTTCTGCTTTCTGTATTTCCTTCACAGGGAAGTTCAATCAATTCAACGTCAAATGTTTGCCTCATTCTTAGCGCAATCCTTCCAAGTGGGGAGTTATATATAACGCTATCGATGCCCGACATCCCGCATTGCCAACGCATCAATGATTTCATTCAAGTAATAAAAGAAAGTAAATTACATTAGCCCCAAAGCCCAACCGTGGCACTTGCAATGGAGAACATTGGCGATCGTGTTTTTCCGGGAATCTGGGAAGTGTTGAATCGTGGTTAGGCTGGAGCTACTATACGTGAGGCATTCGGGGATTTTCCTTCACTTTTTTCTCAATTTCATCATTTCATCTTCTACCATTGCTACCACCACGAATTCCACACTTCCATCTCAGTTTCGATCGTCTCTTGTACGACCGTTCTAGTTCAGCTACAGGCAATTATTGAACTGCTTTTTCCGGAAAAGCCCGAGGCTTCCAATTTGGACTTGCACGAACGTGCATTGAAGATTCAAGGATTCACGAGGATCCTAGGATCAAGGCCTGGAAATTAAGTGACATTATCACTTATTGAAATCCAATAGTCACAGCTGGAGAGCTGTAACATTGCACCAGCCAGAGTGCAGAGCTGGAGACGTTGAGCATTCCAGCTGTCATTCCGCGGGAATCTCGCTAGGGCTTCCATTCCAATCACTTTCTACTTTGTCCTATGCTTTTTTTCATCCTGTCGTCAACTTCAATTCTATCCTGGACCGGGTTTTGCAGCTGGATCGTTGGCGCTTCATGATCCCCGAGACACGTTTGGTGCGCTGCAGCTGCCGCTGCGGCGAACCCCAGCCATCCTAATTAACCAGCCACCACGCCCTCGCGAACTCCTTGGCCTTTCCTTCCTTTCAGCACTCCCAGTTACGCTCTTAATCGCTTTATTTCACACGCCTCATTTTCCTACATAATTGAGAGGTCAATTCTGAAGCCAGCTGGCTGCAGACATCGAATACAGGTCTCATCGTTACTTCCGCGATCGCGATACATCGACTTCAACGCCCGTGACGGATAAAGCTCGCAGTTTTGTCCAACCATCCTCCGTCCCACATACAATTTACAGACGTGTCTCGACACACTCGTCAACCGTCTAACGAAGTCCACGATAACCACGACCAAGCAACGTTTACGACCTTTGCGCGCCAGCGCCAACCTACTGCACACCGTCCTTCATCCTCCCATTCAGCCGATTATCGTCCCCCTTCGGCCAGTGGTTCCCAACGGACCTTGCGTCGGGTTCGCCGCCAGCCTGAGGTAGCTCAATTGCCTCATCGTCGAGCGTTCTCCCTCGATCACTCTACAAGACGACCTCCACACCAACCCCCGGCGCATTTTATTCCAACCTCCGCACAACGAGCTCCAGACCGTGGACTCGCTGCCCTACGACCAGCTCACTCCGAAGCGCATACAGACGAGAACGGATCGACTATCGACGATCCGTACCAGCTTCTCAACACCTCGTATTGGCCACGGAGAACTACCGGTGTCTCATCACGCACTGCGTCGGCGATTCTCTTTGCTCTTGAGGACGCCATTCGTCGCCCTATCCCATTCACTCTCGATTGGGCAGAAGTGAATGCTTCTATGTCAGATATGGTAGGCGTTGCTGGTCCCGCCGGACCTGTTCAGAATGGAGCGTCGCGTGCACCCCCAGCTCCTGCATCAGTTCCCTCGCAACCTCCCAGTGGTATGCGCACACCGACAGACATCATGAGGCAACGCCGAGATCGCGAGGCACGCCGGAAAGCCGAACAAGAGGCTCGCGACAGGGAACAGGAAGAGATGGAGAGACAGCAATATGAGCAGGAGCAGGCTGCTGCCCAAGCTCAGGCCCAAGCTCAGTATGCTGCTGGAGCTGCCAATGACCCAGCTTCTCAGCGTCGAGCGCGGGCTCCGCGTCCTCCCAGAGGGCCAGAGGGTCAACTCGAAGGCGCCCCTGGTACTGCTCCCGGACCCGTACCAAATATCCGGGGTGCGGCGCCGCCTGCACAAGCTAGTCGAGCCGACTATGCAAGTCAACAAAATCCCACGAGCCAACAGCAATTTGCCCCATCTGTACCACCACCTCGTGCGCAAAGCGCTACAGCGGCTGGCACGGGTGATCCCACTGGAACGAGCGGGTTCTCCAAGCAGGCTCAGGCCCCTGCTACTCAGCCTGGGGGACCTCAGTCTCTTCAGCAACCTCAGCGTGTCTCATTTCCTCATGCCTTTGAGAGATGGGAAACCCTGTCTTCACACTGGGAGGGGCTGACCAGCTACTGGGTTAGGAAAATGGAAGAGAACAAGAATGATGTGGAATCAGACCCCATTAGCAAACAGCTTGCTCGCCAAATCACCGATCTGTCAGCCGCGGGTGCCAATCTGTTCCACGCCGTGGTTGAGCTGCAACGTTTGCGCGCATCCTCTGAGCGCAAATTCCAGCGCTGGTTCTTCGACACTCGCTCTGAGCAGGAACGAGCAAAGGAGGTGCAAGCAGACCTGGAACGACAGCTCAAGGCTGAACGCCAAGGTCGCGCCGATGCCTTCGCTACTGCTCAGACTGCCGAGCAGGATAAGGCCCATGCAGAGCAGCTGCTTAGCGAAATGCGTCGCGAGCTCCAGATCTCGAAAGAAGAAGCTCGTCGAGCCTGGGAGGAACTTGGTCGCCGCGAACAAGAAGAGCGCGAACGAACCAACTCCCTACGAAACGGAGAGCCTACTCTTGTCGGTGGTGTCCAGGTCGTCCCCATGATCCAGGGTGCTCCCAGCCGTCATAATCGCCCACAAACTCGTGAGGGCCCTTACCCCGGCGGGCCAACAGCTACCACCATGGGCACAGATTACCAGGCCAAACCCGACCCAGCCACCGGCCCCTCCTATTACGATGAGGGCCCGATGTCACCAACAGGCTCCGACCCCTTCGTGGAGCCTAAGAAATCTCAAGCTTCCAGCCAAGCCCCCTACACTGGCGAGATGTACTCCCACGAAAACCCGGCTGCCTACCCTGGTCCCCCAACCTCTGAACCGGACGACCGCTCCTATGTCAGCAGTGAACCCGGCGAGGAAGAGTACGGCCGTTCATACGGACACCAAGCCCCCCTCTCCGAGGCAAGCGATGAATATGACCAGTCCCCCGGCGACGAGCGCCACCAGTATGTCACCGATGGTGCATACACCTCTGGCAGCTCCGCCTCGGTGCCGGCCCCTCACCCACCAAATACGGGTGCAGACTATAGCGGCTCGGGATGGGGCGTCGGGACCGGCTGGGAAGCTGTCACACCCAGACACCGCCACCCCACACGGCTGAGCGATGTGCTCGAGGAGGATGAGCCGAGTCGCACGAGCCCCAGCCGTGCCAGCCAGGCGAGCCGGAGCATGCATGGGTTCTAGGTGTGATTGAGCATAGTACCTGACAGGTATCCTGCATTTACAGAAGTATCTTCCCATGACTATTATCTCTATATCCTGATTCTTGATTTTCTGCTTAAGGATGCGGTGCAATGCGATGCGATGTGATGCGTACATAGAAGAAAAGTGGTCGGTGCATCCATGTTTGTTCCACAGCATTTATCTGAAGCGTATTCTTATTCCCTTTTCTTTTCTTTGCTCGTTACCCCCTTCCTTGCGTTGCGACACAGTTTATACTCGTTTTTGCTGGCGTGTTATTTTTCTTTCCTTTGTTTGCGATGAGCATTAGTCTTCAATGGTGATAATGGTAATTGCCTATATGGTCCACTCTATTTCATACTCTAAAAAGCTACCTGTAGCTTCAATTTTAATTTAAGAAGGAACATATGTATAGGGAAACTTTCCATGGGCATTGATAGATATGCAGGGACTCGAATAGCGAGAGTGGCCCTGGGAGATCCAGGGATGGATGGTCCTATCTATTTGAAGTAAAATTTGCATCTTTTTCATTTTTCTCGGTGTTTTCATTGTCTGCCAGGTGGAAACATTAATTGTATTGTGAAATACATTCCTATATATCCATTGTTTTGAAGTTCGAGTCGAAAGTTAGCAGCAGGGATGCACCATGCAGCATTTATATATATTCACCATTACCCGTAATCCACCCCTAAAATCATGAGTACTTTACACCTCCATTACACATCCTTTATAATTCTCAAAAGCTGTATATTCTTAATTCCACTTCATGATAGACCTTCATTCTTTTCTCTGTCTTGTCTATACTCCCACTCACCCTCATATTATTTTCGAGCGGCGTTTGCGGGCTTCTGCCCTATGAAGAGATGAAAATATGAATAGAGCCGCAGATCCTCTTGCTTTAGTTCCTCCTGCACCCGATGAATTAGGGCATCAGTGTCTTCCTTTGACCAGCCCAATGTCTTGGTGAATAGACGCAGTGTATATCCCTCCAGCGCGCATTGCATTTGAAATACATAGGAATGCCCAATGCGTTTCAAATTTGGCTCATCACTCCAGTCACCAAAGGGAACCTGGTCGGGTGCTCAAAGTCAGCTTCTTGGGCTACACGCACGAATCGTCTTGAGATAGTTATATTCTCCTTTAGCACATTAGGCTGACTTACTTTAAATACCCGTTCGTTGACTTGTACAAAGCCAGCTGAGTGCATTAGCTCCTTCTGCTCGGCTGCCACGTTAATTCTCCTGCCAAACCTAGCCGCCGCCTCATGCATCAGCGCCTCCCATTCCCTAAGCGCCATTAAACGGGTCTCATTTTGTGGGTTGTCAGTAACGAAGTGGAAGTCGTTCTCCCACACTTCCAACCACCCGCCCGGAAGAAGATGCCGGAACGCATTAGCGTAGAAGCCGCCATAGTCGGCAATCACCCCGCCTAAGGACTGCGCATGGATCAAATGAAATGCCTGTTTTGCCGTAAACGGCCACTCGCCTTCAATTTCGTGGTTCTCGAAATACCGGAGATCCGTAGACATTTGGGTCACGTCCATGCCCGTCAAGCGCGGGGCAGGATGGTGTCGCTGCAGTACCATGAGCGTCCAGGAGCCGCTACGGGTAGCGAATTCGAGAAACTTGTGTTTTTTCTGGATCGGGTCTATGGGGGCAATAAAGGTTCTGCCGTTTAGGAGGTCATGCCAGATGCCATTGATGGCACCGTGTGCTGTGACGGCCGTTTTGTCGTCTGGGAAGGGGAATTCGGACCTGAAGCCGTAGTAGCGGCGGCCATTTTCGTATGTATGGTTATTGCGTGCAGTCAGCCAGTTTGTGTCCATTTCTATATTCTTTCCCGGGTATATATGATCTCCGTTGCCTCGTAGTGATCGGAATCCCAGGAGATGGAAAATGAAGGAATGGCAGACCGATATCGTGTCTTGGAAATGGCACCCTCCGGCAGTGAAATGTACCAAGAGCCAAGACCAAGGCCCCCGCCACTTTTAGCCAAAAAAATATCAGGAAATATTTGCCAAAGCTTGGCCATTCTAATGGCATTTTTTATGATCCTAGATCGAACACTTCTTCACTCAACGTACGCTATTGGGCTCTTTTCCACTCCAAATAGCGTTCTTTCCCTGACAGCCCTGTGCAAAGGCGTCGGTCAAACTCATCTTGAGCTCCTGGCTGACCAGGACGGAGCTTTAATCTGTAAGGCCATTTTTCAATGATAGTATGCTTTTCCTTCATCTTCGCGCCGAAAACATCGGCTGCCTCGGTGAACATGTAGGCTTTCAGGTACCTAGTCAGCCTTAGAGTGGGTTCTGTTTGTAGATATTGTGCCGGCTCATGTAACAATACTCACCGGTCGAATATGTGGTCGTACGTTATGACATAGTCCCGAGCAAGATTAAATCTGATGAGCCCAGGGTCATAGCGGGAAGTTGGCCTTCCTTTTGGAGGCAGATATTTTAGCAACCTCTTTGTTGATGTGCTGTTCGGAGTCATGTCGCGTATCTTGTCTTGGTCCGTCAAAGCTTCGTCAACAGCATTCATGAAGAGAGTTATGAGAGTCGCATGAGGGTTCTGGAGAGGAGTCTGAAGCAATGGCACCATATAGTCAAGCGTGTGAGGTATTCCCAACCAGCCTGCATCCGAGATATTCGAGACCTATGCTGGGTAATTAGTGTCCTATTATGAGCTACATATCTTGTAAAGCCCCTTCGCTGGAAATGCGCTTCCTATCTTTCAAGAACAGGACCGATAGATTGTCAATTACTTACATCAATTCTGCTGAAGGTATCATTCTCCATATGATCAGGAAGTTGAGCCACATCGAGCTGGAAAAGGTCGAAAGAAATTTCCAAGGACTGTAGTCGATTAAGGAAAGACCGGAGTAGGCCTTGAAGATAGTAGAAAAGCTTGCCATATATGTCAGCACTTGCAGCCCCACTTGATGTGGCCGCAACCTCCTCTGAGGACCATCCTTCGAGAGGATCGGCACTGTCTTTCATAGGCCAGATATCAGCGGTCTGGAAAAAGTTCTGTCCCGCGTCAGCGTAGAACCGGCATCTTGAATGTACCTCTTGACTCACGGGTTTGGTTCCCGGAATTCATGGCGAGGGTGTCCGAATGGGAGCAAGAGGCCGTCTTGTCTGAACTTGGCAAAAGCTACTCGCTTAACAGGCGACAAGCAACACAAGTGTCGATCGCGATAGTCTATCCTTGACTCAGCCAGGGTAGTAGCTGCACGCACCTCGTGTGCGTGTTCGGTTGTCAATCCCACTGGCTTGTCGACAAAAGATAAAAGACGGTCCCATGATGATTTCTCGAGAAAGACAGTTAACGAGCATTGTCTGAATCGCCATTTCTTTCCGAAGAATCCACCATATGGGGTTTCCCTCATTCTCCCGCACACTTCTTCAAACAGGGGGCGAATATGACGCTGAAGGATTTCAATATGGGACTCGCGCACGAGGGCTGAATACCAGAGGTGGAGAATACAGTCAACAGCCTCATCGACTTGCTCAACAGTCAAGGCAATAAGGAGTAGAATAAAATTGCGGGCCACGATGTCGAAGTCTCGGTCATTTATCGTAATGTGGAGGTGATGATTGTAAGTGCTTGGGAGTCCGATGACCGTCTTGATAACGTTTCTCAGGTCCCCAGAAGCTATTGGGAAGAGTTGTGTTCATCAGTCCCTGTGCTTCATGCGAGATCAATGTGCAAATAATATAGTACTTACCGGCAAATAACAGATGTAAATCTTTAGAATAGCCTTCCCCTTCGTTTGATTCAAGTCGAAGAATATCAAAGGCAGGCACGTTACCCCAGAGGTACTTCTGCGCTCCAAAATGGTGTGCAATACCACCTCCCATAAATGCGGGAGTTCGGTTCTCTTTGACCCAGGCGGGTTTCCACGTCTCTTTACCCAAAGGCGATCTACATTCCGACTTGTGGTAAGTCCAGTGAATCTTTTGGCATGTCGGACCGCAGTACTACAATCATGTTAATTAGAACAAATCCAATTTTCAAGAACATCACGCAGATCCCTAAATAAGCTCACAACGACGAGACGACAGTTTTTGCAAGAGAATCTGCCCTCTTCCTTGCAATTAGCGCGCTCTGGGGCCCAGTTAGCGCAGACATATTTCAGAGTCGTCATATTGCGCGAGTATCTTTTCTTCTTGGATATGAACGTCGATAGGATTTAGTCCAGATACAATGGGCACAGTCGTAGCTATCCGGAGAAAAGGTGGCGATGGCGAGGTCCTACCTCCCTTCAAAGAATGGCCCTTTAAGGCATATCATATCGTATAAGCCAAGCCCAATATGCACATGTGCCCAGAAGACACATCACCCATGCACAATATGAAGGGGAGGAGAGACTACCGGTTCGCTCCCTTTCACCATAGGCTTATCCACGTTCGGGACATCCGGATTATGCCAGCCACGTCATTTTAGCAAATAGGATACCCTGGTCTAAGAGCAGTATATCGACATGCTCTATCTGTTGGTTAGTCGATCGCATAAAGCGGGGTAGCTACTTCGTTTTTCGGTCGGACCGAGTTGAAAGGGCTCTTGTTACTTCTCAAGCAAATTTAATAAGTGGAGATAAATTCGGGGCTATGTTTAGTCCTATATCGAACCATCTTAGGCTTTATTGGAAAGGCTGAGTGGTACCTTGTAGAAGAATGGCCCTGGCTTTTCTAGATGATGGATGGTATACCATTTGGGGTTGAACGATTAGAACGTGAAGGTGGGGACACCGATATCCGTACCATGTGAACAGAAGATGTAATGACTATTTTCTCGATTTTTGAATGGTGAAGTCTTCTATGCAGCGTAAGGATGTATATTTCTTTGATGGGTGGGGGTTGTCTGGTTGCTGCCGTTTTTATGAGGGCGCTCACCCACTGAGTGATTCTAGTTAAGCGCACTGGGCTCTTTTTGAATCACGTGATAGACCAGCGACCCTCAGTGCTCACTAAGCACTTACTAATCATTGGCTGCTCGCTGATATATTGGTTACTCAAGGTTAAGTTACTCAGAGGCCTTTATTGACTAAGTCTACTTGCAGTCCATTTCTAAAGTAGCTTTTGTTCCCCACACTATGCATTGACCTGTTAACTCAATGGCCCTCAAAACCGCACTATGTACTTGAGGTGCTCAATCTACTATCACCCCACGCATTTGGAGCAGAATGTTATGGTAAACCCGAGGTAAATGATGTAAATACAATCTTCTTCATGGCCGAGGCCAGTAAAAGGGGGAACAGGAGGTTGGGTATTGGCCTTGACCCTGAGTCAATTTTCATTCCTTTTTGTACTATTGCCGAATGGGCCCACTTTTCAGGGATGATCTGCATGATCTATGCACACTGTCGGGTCGTAGATCTCAGGGTCGATTTATCCGATCTGCCAATCACCTTACACCATGAGAATCTATTGGTTCTTCCATAAGGGCTCAGCTGAAGAAAGTAGATGCTGATGCAATCGGCAGAGGAAGCCCTTGCATAGACTATTGATGCTAAGTAACAATATCACAGAGACTAACCAAAACTCCAAGAAGGAGAGAAGGGCTGTGGTTCGGCAAGGTCGGAGGTCGAAAGCACTCCAAAAGGTATATAATGCGACAAAAACCAGGTCCTGAATGAGCAGATCAGTCAGCCCCATCACTATGTGGTTCTCTGGCTACGCGGCCTCCCTGGCCTTGTTAGGTGGCACTATGGTATCAGCCTTCGGTCGCCATGCCGCTCACCAAGGACTATTGCAAATCTCTCCTTCATTTGCTAAAGAGGGTATCAACTTGTACCCTGCGCTTCACCCGGAGCACGACACCACAGATCTCAATCATCTGGTCCCTGAGGTTTCAAAGCGCCTGCATTTCAGCCAGGAAGGACATCGCCGTGAGTGCTCTGCTCTAGATGAAAAGATGATGTGACCGCCGCTCTGCTCTAGATGGAAAGATGATATGACCGCCAGCTAACTTATTGTCAGCCGCCCTGCATGGTGCCAAACATGCTCACCTCGAAGGAACCTTTTCACATCCCACTGTTGTTTTGGAGCATTCTAACCACATCGATGACGTGGATTGCACTGAGCATCATATTCAGGTCTTCTTTAACACGAAGGAGGCAATGGATACGGCGGAAAATCACTGGCAAGAGGCGGCCACGGGGCAAGAATTCAATTTAATTACGTATCATGTGAATTGTGGTCACCTTACAGGTGAACAGCGCTCTTTCTTCCGCGCATCCCAACCGAAGATCAACGGCAACTCCATCACAGTTGCCACTCGACTGATCGATGAGAATGACGCGATCCATGGAGGCAATTTGGAGTGGGGAACATACATGAAGCCAGGCTTATCAAAACGTCAGCCGGTCAAGGGACATGTTCGCGCATCTCAACCACAGGAAGTCATCTTGGATGGAGAAGGTGGGAACTCAACAATGGATATCACCCAGGATCAAGAATCATTCAAGGAATTTTTTTCCAGTTTGGACAACTACGGGTTCACCGATATACCTGATGAAGGAACCTATGGAGGTGGGTTCTTGAATTATGACGGCTTTGAGAATGATGGCCTTGTTCGACGGGGGCTCTTTTCCTGGATAGTCAATGGGATCAGAGCTCTGATTGATGTGTGTGCTATTTATCCGCCTTCCCTCATGGAACTATCCCGCTTACAAGAGTCACTTGCCATAGTTGCTTGTAGCCCAGGTTCAGGCGCAAGTTCAGTTGATCATCGTGATCGCCAAGGTCATGGTCACCATTTATTCATCAATCGTGAAACTATTGCTGGTGCCTTTCGGATTCCCTTTTGATCAAGAGTATCATGAAGACATTCAGTTCAACCACTATGTACCCAAATGGATTGGCTTTGGGACAGACCTCGAAGCCACGATAGCTGGTGTGTTGTCAAACTCAAATGTTCCTGGGACAGTGAAGGAGGTCGAAGACCTCATCAAGGCGGGCATCATTACTGAAGATGAGGCAAAAGCATTGAACCTCAAGGGAAAGGATCTTAAGGATGCCGTGGACTACATTTATAATGAACAAGGGTCATCGTTATATCTCAATTGCGACTCCTGTGGCACTAAGGGAAGCTTTACCTTTGATGGTAAGCTCGCCTTCAGTATTGCCGAAGGTCTGACAAAAGCCCAGATTTCTTTGATCAACAAAGAGGAGTTTGTGCTGGAAGCTGTTTTTGGTTTGAAGTATCAGGTTCGGAGAAAGCCGAAAGCCGTGAATCTTTCCAAGAGAATTCCCGGTATCCCTCTAACCCCGCTTTATATTCCAGGGCTACTCACCATCGGGCCACAAGTGGTGATGGAACCACAGGCCAGTATCTATGCTGATGGGACAGTTAATCTCAGGGCTGGTCCGAGATTCACCATCTCACCTGGCAACGTGACCCTGGACGCTAAAAACCCGACCCAGAATACTGCTGAGGGCTGGGAGCCGAGCTTCAATTTCGTCTTTGAACCGACTGCAAGTATAGTGGTAACAGCTGACTTGGCATTGCAAGTTGGCATTGAAGTTGCCATAGATGTACTCACCGGAACCTATAATACGGCTGCAGGCGTATATACAGCCCCATCAGTCTACTTCACGGCGGAATACTCGAAGAATATTGATTCCAGCGACACAGGGAAACTCAAAGCTTGCGACAACGGAATTGAACTCCGAGCGGGGGCGAAAAATCGAGTCTACAGTTCGTTCTTCGGACTGAGAGAATTTGAATTTAAGGAACTGGGAACGACTTTTCTCGACTTTCGTATCGGCTGTATTCAGTAAGAGGCTCAGTTTTCTCGAACTAATGAAGAAGAACAGAAAACTGATAATTTCTGCTAGTCCGTTCCGCGAACAGGTGTGGTCCTCCACTGATGTGGAGAAGTCTAAGGTGTTACAGGGGTATGGCTTTGAGACTGGCATTGGAAAGGAAGTTAGCAAGCGGCTTAACGGTATGATTGCAGCCAAATCGATCAATGTCACCTCACCGGACAAGATCGAGTTGGGCGACCAACATGCCGCCGCTTTGAAGCACAAGAGTAAACAGGGAACTACCGAGAAGATGCCCAAGACTCATGGATTCCGAGTGGTTCAGGATGCTGGAATGGCCGGTACTCTTGTCTCAGGAACGGATGGAAGGGTCTATATGAGCGATAATTCGGCCAATGACGACCTGAGCGCACCCTGGGGCGCTCTGGATCTGAAGAAGGAGCAGTACAACTACGACGTTTTTGGTCGCCTCATGTGGTTTAACTCCACTCGTCTCAGAAACAACAACTACGGAATGGTGGAAATCGGCGTTACTCCTGCCGAAACGGTGCCCAAGGGTGTCAGTGCCGCGTATGTTCCATGTCCCCAGTCATTCATTAAGAACTTTATACTGACTTGATTATACAGCTCCTTCAAAGTCGTCAGCGACGACAATGACGATGAAAGCTTTGTCATGGCTCTCAATGCCAGTTCTTTACAAGTTAACGACGGAAGACCCGAGTGGCTTTGGTATCCTGTCGTGTGCCGAATCCCTGCACGCGGACTCCAGCTTTTTGCGGCCTCTTACATCATCGATGGATCTGCAGCTAGGCCTCAACAAGGAGATCTAGGTAGTGTCTATGATGCATTGCCACAATACTTGGATGAAAGAGAGTACAAGCAGGCTTTCTGGGATTTAGGCCTCCCCAAATTGATAAAGAAAAACAACAAGCACAGGGATGTGAAGAAACACGGTGGGCTGACAGACGCTCAGGAGAAACTCAGACAGAAGAGACTCAGGGTGAAGAAAAAGAAGGCTTACAAAAACTTTCAAAATTGGAGTACATCTGATTTCGCAGAGGAGGATATCAAAGCCTGTCGGACAGTGAGGTTGATCTCCAGCCTTAAGAAGAAAGACACGAACGATCTTGTATCTGATGTGGTCAAGGATACTGGAGATGTGGCAAAAGGAATTGTGGAAGGTGCTGGTAAAGCAGTGGAAGCTGCCTGATCTAGATCTTCGCCCATTCAGAAATATTGGTGGTTTACATTACTTCGGTTATTTGTACTGATTTTAATTCTTAATTACTATTTAATACGCCTTTCAAACTTTTGCACCGATACCAAATTAAAGATTGTTGTAATCTGATTGTGTTGTTCTGATCTATGTGATAAATTAGCTTTCAAAAAGATTCATATCTCCAATAGAAACCCGCCAATAGTCGGTGAGTTTTGGGGTTCTTTGTAATAATCCCGGATAATTCTGTCCTTATGATCACGCCTGGAACCGCCAGAGTCTAAATCTAAATATGGTTAGTGATATATTGGGAGCACATTGGGAGGGCACAACTAACAGCTCTCCTTATCTCGATGATCATACCCTATCATGATTTTGTTATCGCAGAGCTATCTTTGGGTCACCGGCCGTAGACGAGTCACAAGCTAGAAGTTTGCACCCCAAGGACTCGAGGCTTCAATGAATCCCCAAGCCGCTTTGTGGAAGATGTTACTAGCTTTGAGAAAGGATAGATCTCAACTGTAAACTGTTGCTCGTTTCGAACAGCCTCTCGAACTACAGAGGAGACGTCTTGATGGCTCGCCGGGTTCCAAGATAATGAAATGGTTAATTTTAGGGAAGAGACTATGAGAGAGCTCACAAAATCGAATGATGTGCAAGAAAACACCATGGTGCTGCAAGAGAGATTATGTGAATTCGGGCTGAATTACCGTGGTTTCTTTGCGCCGTTCATGCAGGTGCAACATATGTCCCCACGAGTGTCCGGCCCACGCCGTCGGCTAGAATTGAAGCTAATAGGCCAATAATATTGATTTATTCTTTTTTTTTTATGTTACTACCGTCAGACTTATGGCATTCCGTGGTCATGTGGAATGAGCCTTTCATTTTAAGATCCAAGCTAAAATCAATTTCAAATTTCACTATGACTTTTGCTTTGCTCTCTGACAGCACTCTTGATCTCTTTCTGCACCCTACATACAATCTGCACATTCTCTACTTCTTGCGTTTATGTTCAATCCATTCCCGAGGCTGCAAATTCCGATATTGTTGAGTTATATATCTATACTCAAGGCTGCTTATTTACCGTACAATGAACAATGTATGACCTAAACCCCAACCTAACCACTTTTACTCGAAGAGCGAGAACCGGATTTCCCCCTCTTCACATTCTCAGCATCAGACTGATCGGAATGATACGCCTGACTAGCACCTCGTAACTCTCTGTCAAGAGCCTCAGTCAACGCATTAAGTAACCACTGAACCTCAGTCTGCTGCCCAATCATCGGATTCCTCTTATCAATCCAGCTCCACTCCTGAAATTCTCGTTGTCGTTCCTCATCGCTCGAGTTCATACCTTTAGCTCCAGGTCTATGTTTCCCTGATATAAGCTCTAGGTAGTACTCCCACTCGAGGTAATCAAATTCCTTCTGTGGATTGTCGCGCGAATATTGCATCAATTTTCGAATCTCGTGGAACAGGAGGTAGTGGTAGTGATGTATGTTTGCGGCGGCGATGTCACCGCGAGCTTGGGCTGATTCCTCGCGCTTGTGTTCTTCTGTCTCGAGGGCGCGGTGAGCCTGATAATTTGCCTGTTCGGGGTCATTTTTGGCGTTTTTATCTTCGAAGCCGGCCTGCCCGTTGGATTTCTCGCCAAGTGTTTCTTGAACCCATTTTTCGGACCAGGAAATGCGGAAGATATCTTTGAGGCGTTCAAAGAGCGGCTTGTCACCGGGAAGAATGGTTAGTTCACCGATATAAAGCGTCATATCGCGAATGAAGCGGACGATGGTGTCGCCAATACTGGAAATGAGAATTGTGATTGTGGGGACGGCGAGCAAGGACCAGAAGACGAAAAATGCTTTTCCTAGACTGCTTCGAGGGTATATATCACCGTATCCGATGGTCAAGAGGGTTGTGTAGGCAAAGTAGAGAGCCTCAAAATATGACCATGCTTGAAATTGTTCTGACCGCCAGAATACCACCGCGCCAATGAGCCACATGGCCATCCATACCAGGGAGGAAGCGATGAGTGAGATCCACTTGTGCTGTACAGTAGCTAATTGCCGGGTTCTTCGCATGGTAAGGAATTCTCGTTTGCGTCGTTCGCGCGGACTAATGTCGGCCATTTCTTGGTCGCCAGATGGTAGGTCTGGCACGAGAGGACGAAGTCGATTATTGTCGGAGGTCGCCTCTTTCACGAGAAACCTGCGAGTCCGTGCAGCCAGGACATCGGCCATCTTTTGGCGTCCACGCTCCAGCATCAAAGTACGAATGGACGAGATGATCAGACCAAGGACCAAGATGCCGCCAACAGCATATGGGAAGAGCAAACCACGGCCAAGATGAGTAGCAGGGGCAAAGTTGCCGACACCGATGGTAAGCAGAGTATAGTCCGCCCAGTACACCGCATCCAAAAACCGCCAGCCCTCAATCTTTGCATAGACTGCAGAGCCAGCAAGAAGATATATGACGAAGATAATCGTCTGCAGCATCAGAGTTCGCTGGCTGTTACTCAACTTGTAGTCACGGCTGTAGTGGCCTGCATGAGCTCCGTATGCAGTTACCGTTGATAAGCATGCGATGATAAAGTACATCCCGGCAGCGAAAGTTCCATAAAAGTATGCCTGAGTGTAAAGCGCGTTTGAGTTCTCAGGCTTGTACATTGATACCCCGAATGGGATAAGAATGGCGATTAGTAGCGCTGAGGAAACGAACCAACCAACCACGATAATCGGCTGGGCAAGCGAAAATCGAACCCGACGCGCCATATTCAGCGACAGGAATACGTTGGCGATCAAAGCAGACACCAGAGATAGTGCGTTCACGGAGACCACCCTGGAGAAAGTGTCATTGGATGAACATTTCAGAGAATTAGACTTGACCAGACATACCATTTTGGATCAGCAATGTTCAAATACCCATTCTGATCATCTGGGACCATTCGCCATGTTTGTGCTAGACAACATACGTTGAATGCACTGGCCATTGGCCCAAATGTTCCCTGTTTCAATTAGGACCTCAAATGTTGATACAGCTGTGTGGATTGTACATACCGCTGCCAATGGATATACTGTGCTCGCAAGCCACCATTGGGCTGGTAAGGGGCCTGATGTGTCTAGTTGACCTGGAGTTTTGTCGGTATAAGAAGTACTATTGCTGTCTTCCGGATGGGCCTCAGGTGAGTGCTGATCCAAAGCATTTGCCTCGTCGGCGATGGCATCGTCGAGTCCTGGATCGTTCATGTTGTTAAGACCCACTTGGACCCTTGATCATATAGATTGGAAAGACGCAGGGTGATGTAAAGCAGAAAATGTGCCACTCCCAGTGGTGAAAGCATGGTTAAATGATCAGGGGCCGTTAGGCAGTGGAGACACCGTGTACCGTGAATAAGATTAGTGGCGCACACCGAAATCAAGCTTTATGGCAGGCGTGGCCGTCATGATCGACATGAGGAATGCGCGATCTCGTATTAGGGGAAGTGGAGCATAACGTCATGTCACGTGAACGGCGTATACATCCATGGATCCGAAATAGGAACAATTAAAATGCAAGTAGATCCTCATCTAAACGACCAAAAAATGAACGATTACATAGAAACGGGATGAAGAAGGTGCTTTTGATTTCGGACAAAATGCTACAAAACCGATGTCTGTACATCCTATCAACCCGCTATACATTCCGGTTGGATCCATAATCAGGATCAGAGCAGAGCCAGCTTCTGCCCTCACAAGCCAAGATAATTCAAGAGGTGCGGCATCTAGGTAATAGCACCGTAAAGATGGAGACATGAAAAGGAATATAAAAGCCGCCAGGAAAGGGTAAATCAAAGACCCCAAAACTCCGCTCTTCGTACGTAATGACCCGCATTGCCATGAAGTCGAGATGAAGAAGAGAAAATTTACAGTCATCCAAAAGTGGTCGAAAAAATTAGAAATGGGTATCGCATAAGAGGTGACGTCGGGACATGCGGAATGGGCTTGATAACCAATCATTACGGTTCATCAAACTATTCGGGTGTTAGCATCATAGTCTGCTGTGCTGGAAGAATTAAATGGACTTACAGTGGACTCCTCCAGGAGTCAGAGCCGAAGGATGGGGGGCATTCAGAGGTGAAGGTCGACGATCGAACCGAGGATCTACGTCCTCGTAGTAAGCAGTGCCCGAAGTTGTTGTCGTATGCACCGGCGATGCGGGAGGGCGAGGCGACAAAGTGCGATGACCATCGTTCGCACCCCAAGCAGCACGGGCGGGGATGAAAGAACTGTTATAAATGGTTAATAAGAATCGCTAGAAAGACATCGAAAATGGCTTACTCAGTGCGGCTGTATAAACTTGTCGGGCTCTCGAGAGGCATGTGATGACCATCCGCGGACACAGCATGAGGTTGAGAATCAGTACCCATGGCCATCGAATCATGGTGATCAGTGTGATACCGAGGCTGGGGGGTCATCTCAATCGCTTGCCCGGCGGCCCCTGGCGACACCGCCATTCCAATGGGACCGGGGGAAGGCTCGCGCATCACCGCCACTCCAATCTGGCTAGGAGATGGTTCGCGCATTGGAGCAACAGCTGCCATGTCCCGAGGCTCATGGTGATCATCGGCAGGCAAGGGTCGGCCATATGGATCAAAGCCTCGACTGGGGCCAGTCGCATACCCGTAACCGCCACGAGGCGCGCCACGAGGAGCCATGCCACCACGACCTCGAGGAGGGATTGGGCCCATGTAGCCGCCGCGGCCCCGCGGAGGACCATTGTAAGGTCCACCACGGTACGCACCGCGAGGAGGGTATCCACCTCGGCCACGCGGAGCATATCCAGGTTGAGCGAATCCAGGTGGGGTGCCTTGTCGACCAATACTATTGTCAGAGTACTGAGGACGGAGGCGAGGATCGGAGTGGTTGCGCATCATTTGGCCAGAGTCAGGGCCAGCACCATAAGGGCCCGCAGGAGGTAAGCCCTCGTCCTGCGCACGGTATGGGGTTCCACGACGGCTCGGGGGTGGGGGGACATCATTCATTGGGGTACGGGAATTAAGTGGTGTGCGGTCATCGTCGCTTTCGCGAGTATTGGTGCGGAATGCGGCGAAAGCTGGCTCTTCGGGAGGCGATCCAGATACCATGGCTTCCTTCGTGTCTGGGATGGGAGGGGGATCGTCGACTATCGCGGCTGCTGCTGCATTCTGTCGGTTGTAGTAGTTCTCTCCGCTCATCTCTGCGTTTTCTGCAATGCGGTTCTTCCTGGCCTTGCGGCTGACGAGAGTCCGGCGCATAGCGCAAGTCACGACCGCGCAGGAGACGAGGAGAATGGTTGCCGCAAGCACAATCCAACCAGCCCATTGCAGATGCGGCACAAACAGCAGGATATCAACCAGGAAGGCTAGAAGGGTGACCAGGAGTGTAGGCAGGAGGAGGATGAGCAAGGCCAGCAGAAATCGTGGAGAATGCGAGGGGCCATGGAAGTGGGCCGCGCCAGCTAGGCAGAGACAAACAAGATTCAAAAAGGCAGCAATAGGGTGCACGATCAGGATGGCCGAGAGCGATTTGCGGGTACTTGAGGGGAGGTCGAATTCGTCGCCATCATTTGCTGGGGAGGCTTAGCGACGATCTAGGCAGAAGCCAGACTAAAAAAAGAAGCAAACTTGGAAACTTACTGCTTGTGTATCCCACATGGATGCCAGTGCATTTATCTCCATCGCAGTATCCAAAAACACCGTAGTCCACATTTTTATAGGTCGCGAGGGGAATGCCTTTCACGATGGGGGTGGAAATGCAGGTTATCAGCATTAGCGCAAAGGCGATTAAGAGCAAGACGGTAAGGGGTGTCGCGGGCTTGAGCAACATGGTGAGGGGAAGGGCGACCGTTTGCGCCCTTTCTCCAGTCAACCCGAGAGCGAGGAAATCAAGTGCAGATGCGCAGAGTCGGATAAAGGTGTAGTTGGCGAAGTTGCGAATCAATCCAGCTTTGACATGGACATTGCAGGTCTCCTGAGATTGAAAGAGAGAAGAGGAGGGGTGTCAAGACAGGGTATACAGCAAGTCGATGAGGATGAAGAAAGGAGCGAATAGAAAATGAGGGGAAATAAAGGAATGAAAGAGTGTTTGCAGATAAGCACAAGGTTTCCACGGTTTGCGGAGGCGAAGCGTGAGAACGAGCGCTACCCGTGGTTTCGGCCTAAGGCAACTGGTCACATTGTCTCTTCCCCACCTTCCTTGTTTTCTCCTACTCTAACCTCGACGTCTATACTCCAAAATTCCAATAGGTCTATCCTCGATTTGTCTCTCCACTGTCTGATACAAGAATTTGAACAAGGCTACAGACAGATGCCTCTCGCACATCTACTCGGAGTTGCTTCGGGATCCCATGGGCCGGATGCGCCAAGCCTTGTGGAATCGCGAATTCCCCTCCAAGGCGCATGCGGTTGGATGGCCAGGTGCCACTTTAGGGGCCACTTTACCGGAGATTGTAGCGTGGTTATTACGACTGGCCCCACAATCAAATCGCAAAGATTCGATTTATTGGTTAAGAGTGACCCTCTATTTACTCTGTAAGATGGATAAACGGGAGAAAAGAAAAGCGCAAACTTTTCCTTTTCGCGTGGGGGTACCGCGCATGCTTGTTCCGCGGGTAATGCTCTCGCCACTATGCAAACCTCGAAGTCTAATATCCTTTCGCCTAAATTGGCAAGTACCCGGCCTAGATGCGGCGATAGAGATGAAACGAGATCTGCGCAATTTGAAATCTATCCGATTCACAAGCGTTTGAAGATCTGACAGCTCCATTCCAACCAACGTCATGCACATTTCCCAGTTTTGAAGGCTCTGGGTGCTGATGTACTCTGTATGACATGACAATGGAGACTGCGTCGTGGACTTCTCCATCTCAACCTGAAGTGGTCTTTGCGACCCACGGACCACTGACAAATGAAACATGCCGCAGTCCGACGGGGGGCGCTAGCCGTTCTTTGAATAGCAAGCTTGCTAGCTCCGGACCCAGATAAGATTTGCGGCACGAGAATTATGGGGAGACGTAAGCGAGCTGTCAGCGACCAGTCGGCTATTTGAGCTTCATCAATCATTCCGCACGAGGACTGTATTCGAGCGGGGCTATTTTAAGCTTATGACCAAAGACCTTGGAAATGGTCCTTGGCAATCTACTTTGCTTGATTAATCCTGTGCCGGTCTTGCCCAGATTGTCTACCACAGCCGAAGGAGAGTCCTATCCGGGTTTGGAGGGTTACACAAACAACGGTGTTGCAATATTCGGGCAAAAAAGGAGCGAATCAAGCTATCTACCCAGTGCAATCTCACCTACTTCTTCTTGCTCGACGTTTATCTACGTCTGTACGGATACTTTGTAGGTTTTTGTCTATTCCTACATGCTGACACCGTCTCGAGATCTCTATCCATACCCGACGTACCTCTTCGTATCGATAGAACAAGCAAGGAAGGAGACACCCGTTGATACTTAAAGTATGCTTGTAATACGACATACAATGTTGCGTAACCCAAATATCTTGGTGTCCCATGTTCTCTATGCTCAAAATGCTAGAGACTTATAAGCAAGATGCCCGTTTTTGCAACCTTTTGCCCTGGAACTACCATATCAAGCAGAACTTGAGTTTGGAGCCTCAACTAGGGAAAATAGATCGCCGGGCCCCTTGCATAGATCCGATCGCAATTTCAAACGCAGCCAATTGATTCATTGACAATGCGCTGCCTGTGGAAATTATGGCCCTGGGCAAAGCGGCAGAAGCCCCACGATGAGGAGGACTCCTCCCTATTATGCGGAAGAACAACAATAATTCAATCATGGGAAATGGCCCTCGGAATGGAACCGCCAGGCCATGTATCGGAGTCAAATCCACAAGAACGTTATGTCAGGTTTGGGATTGGTGGAGCTGGAAACCTGCGCAAGTTCTGTTTACCTTTTCTTAGTTCTTGTTGGTAGTCATTCCACTGACTTGGTGACAGGGTTCTGTCGCATAATGGGCGAAGTAATCAACCGATTGCACGATGATGGTGTTATTGCAATCTTATTAGGCACAGAACACATACTGGAGGGTACTGACTGTGCGAAACATTGTATATTGCAACTTCAAGTGATCAACCAGTTTACTTTGGCATTTCCGATTTCCACTAAGCACCCCCAATAAGCTCTAGCAAGCCTGGGGAAATCGCCTTTCCGGGCTCATTTTGATTGCGACGCCAACCTAAAAAGGCATTTATCCAGTTCGTACCACTCCAGTATTCAATATCTAGACTCACTGGAAAAGGAGTTAGAAATGTTAGTAGCTACTAAGAGGGTATGAGGTTGTCGAGGCTGGCTCGTGACCAGCTGGTATTGGGCATCTAACACAAACTCACCCCCAGTAAGAACAAACCAATGTATTCAAGACAATCCTGAAGAGCGACCAATCAAAACAGGATGATCAATTCAGAATGTTTCTTCTGGTTCACCTCAGGTTTTCACCCAACGAGAAACCCCCCTGCCCAGTTATATAAGTGGCAGCCTCGTGTTTTCAAATCCTAGGCGGGTAGTCGGGACAGCGGCCCAGCCACGCCGTGTGCCAGCAAGGGAGAAGAAACAATTATACGTACCATTGACACCTAATGTGTTAACATTTTGAATAACGAGCCAATCAAGTCGTGAGACCCTGCTTTTGGCCATAATATAGGGTAGGAAGTATTTGTGTTGGGCATTTAGTATGGGGCTTCCTTGAATGAATATTGTGGTACGGTGGATGATGTTCCGACAGAAAATGACCAATTAGACTGAGCATTATGATTGAATTGATATGTTACTCTAGTTCAAATAAATCCAAGCTATGGATTTAACAAAGACTAATCAGTCAATTGGGGTGGAGATTCGAATAAAAAGGCCAAGCTTCAAATCGTCCATGGTTGGTAGCGGGAATCGGGCCGCGAGCCAACACGACGTCAGGCAGATCACCTTGCCTAGATTATCTTAATTAATCGACTGTCAAATTTTTATGATTCATCGAATTAATTGTCTAGCTTGACAACCTCTTATGTCTCAATCCTCCTTATTGGTCTGTTGGAGTCAGGTTGCGTGGTGGCTGGGGGAGGCTGGGAGATGTCCACCGCAAGACTGACAGCCAAACAAAAGCCCACTCGGTTGCACCTTCAGAGATTTCCAGATCATTACTGACTTGGACATCCATTGGAATGCTTCTCGATTAAATACCTTGTGAGTGGAATCATTGCCGCGACCGACATGTCGAATACCCCCGGTCCACGAAACTTTAGTCTACGAAACGTCAACTGTACGAATAATCCATTGAGTCCCATTTTAAATATGAGGACTTGGGATAGCCTCGAGTGCTTGGTTTGAAATCTATATGTACTGACTACCTCCCAGCAAGCAAACCTCAAGTCTACCGAACAAATTCAGCACAGTCCGTCGCTGCATCAGACGATTACTATTCTTTCTCAGAACGGACAAGTGAAGAAAGTCGTGTCACTGCAATGCGCTACGCCACTCCAGACTCTCGTCCATCGTCTCAGGCGTCTTCGCCGACGGCGCCACGGACACGGGGCGCAGTTGTTGAAGAGCTAAACCACCTAGCGCAACCTGCTCAGGACCCACACTCCCCACGTCCGCCAACAGAAAGCACAGTTCGCTTTGGGGAAGACAGAGTCGCTCGTATCAGCCCCAAGTCCGATGAAACTGTTCGTCGTGTACCCAGAAGTGACGAATATGCCGGCCCTGCACCAACACCCGGGATGGATGACACACCATATGTCCAATTCGCACTCAACCAACTTACCCGCGACGAGGAGGTTAGCGGAGTAGCCCGACAAGACTCGATCTCAACTGACAGAGACGAGTATCCGGCTGATCGCTTAGTCTGGGATGCAGGACTTGGGTATTTCACTCGCACTAGAACACCCATTCGATACACTGAAACACCTCAACGACCAAAGTATAAGTCGCCATCACCCCAGGCCCTGCCGCAAAGACCAGATTCTATTGATCCCGAGTCTTTTGTGGCTGTTGATCCTCCAGAGAAGAGTCTCATGTACCCTGCTCTTGATTACCTGCCCATTGTCCTTCGGTCATGGGCTTTGCTTTTGGCTATCTTGTCGTGTTGCCTCATGATTGCCGGGATAGTGTTTTGCAATATCTGGTCCCATCGACACAAGGGAATTTGGGAGTACGATGGTAAGGGCGGCGGCCGGTATTTTGTGATGCAATTTGTTCCACAAGTTCTGGCTGCGCCTATCATCATTTGGACTTTTGTGATCCAGGCTGCAGTTTACCGCGTAGCGCCTTTTGCTATTTTGGCTGCGGAGAGGAAGAAGGGAAATGTTTTACAGGGATTGCCCATTATTCCTCGAAACTTCATTTTCCCCGACTTCTCACACTTTCGACATGGCGAGCCTCTTTTTGGTTTCGCTTTGTTTACTATCTGGCTGTCGAACTTCTTCTCCATCCCCCTTATCAGCTGTCTCTTCCAAGCCAAGTACTACACTATTGATGGCCAAGGAGTCTGGAAGTGGACTTCTGTGCAGAGTGTGGGCTGGACTCTTGTTGGATCCTACGGGCTTCTGACGATCGGTCTACTGCTCATCTTGCTCAGATTTGTTCGAGGATGGACCGGTTTAATGTGGGACCCAGTTTGCCTGGCGGATCTTATCTCGATCATCCAAAGGTCTAACGTTCTTCACGACTATGAGCACTCTGAGACTGTTCCAAGAGTTAGAGAAACCCTCGACTCCCGAGTTCTTCGTTTGGGCTACTGGAAGCTGTCCATGAAGCCCGAGATCTTCTATGGTGTCGGTGAAGTTGACGCACCAATCCGCACTCGCTCGCTGCACCAGACAGAGAAAACCCGAGAAAGGCAGCCTCATGGGATGACCAAGGTTCGTTTCGACCTCGAGCACAATGGCAGTTCAAACGACTACCTATATTCCCCTGCTGCTCGGTACCGCTGGACACCCTGGTTCCTGCGCCAGGCCGCTGTGATTACCTGGGTTATCATCGTTTTCGCCCTATTCATCGCATTCGTCACCGTCAGCTTCGTCAACAACGCCATCAAAGGAGGCTTCCCCCCCAAACTCCCAACCCTACCCTCGACAAGCGCATTTTCCGCCTCCAACTTCCTATATAGCTTTGTCCCCGCCCTCATTGGCAACTTCCTCTTCCTCGCCTTACAACCAATCGACCTCTACTTCCGCGCCCTTCAACCATTCGTCGAGCTTTCCTCCCCACACGGCGCCGCCGCAGACAAAAGCATCCTTCTCGCCTACCCCTCAGCCCTCCCCATCCAAGCAACCATGCAAGCAATCATCAACAGCCACTGGAAAGTTGCCTGGCTATCCTTCATGAGCCTAATTTCCATTGCCATCCCAATCATCGCCGGTGGTATCTTCATTGCACTTTGGTATCCATCCGACAACGATGTCCGCATTTCAGCCCTGATGCCAGCTTACTACGCCCTGATTGCATTCTGTGCTGTATACGCTGTGTCTTTCTTGGCGGTCTGGCCCGGTCGTCAGCGCTATCTTCCTCACGATATTGCTACCCTCTCTGATCTGATGAGCTTTCTTTATCAATCGCCCCTTTTGGCTGACAAGTTACTTCGTGAGCCAAGGAGTAAAACTGATCTCGTTACTCGGCTCATTGTTGCACCGCCTTCGGAACGTCTGCGACCCATGTATGGATTTGGGATCTATGTTGGTCGCGACGGAAAAGAGCATCTTGGCATCGATCGCTTTACGAGACCTGGTCGTACTGATATGTTGATTACGACCGGTTCGATGAAATGATTTTGTTTTATGTTTTTCTGCGCCTTTTTGATGTTGCCATGATTTGCATTTCCGTTATGAGCGAATGATTCAAAACCCCTGTTATGTTGCATTATTATATCTGTTTTGATGTTTTTAGTTCATGTATACGTTTGAGCGTGTTTTTCTTGTTCTCGTTCTTTTTTTTGGCTTTGGATAGCATTCTCGGCGCTCTTGCATTTGTAAACTTGTTTTACGTCTCGGACTTTTGATGCTGCACATGTGCGCATGGCAGATAGATTAATGACCTAGAGCAGAATTTAAATGCAGTATTTAGATATTACCTAAAGCTATTCCTGGCATCCTATGTACAAGATTTCCTGGAGGAAGCCGCCCTGTGGGATCCGCCGTTCGTCAATGTAGCGTGGTAACTGTTATTCAGAGAAAACGTTATCTTAAGCATTTCCAGGACATTGCACCACCGCATTGAACTCATGTATGTATACGAGATAACGCTTTATTGTAGCTATTAGACTGCGACATCGCCCTTGGACGAGTGGGTGGGCTATAATTCAGGTTAAGTGGCGCTTCGGCTCTTATGTAAATGACAGTAAAAATAGCTTCTGTGTTAGACTCGTAAGGTCTCCAGGGTTTGTAGACCGCTGGACCAGCAAACAAGCCAAACACAGGGATGACTGCTTGTTTGGAAACGTGGAAGTCAGATCTTTCTTGCCTGGACCCACGTCAGACAACTTCTCCTTGTGGAAAAGTATTGATTTTGTTATCATACAAACTCTGCCCCACACCGACTAACTTCCGCTATGAGTTAGTCACTATCGGCAACCCGACAATGGGACCGAAAAATGATAAGCAAAGCATTCTATCTCCAAATTGGAGATTCTATTTGGAAACATGCGGCGACAATTCCCTTTGTAATGGAATAGAAATGAGTCAAGCCTTGGCTCCCAGACCTTAAAGCTATTCGAGGAAATCGTTCTCAGGCTACCTTATTATCGCCTCTAGCCGTCTAATCCCTCCTAAATCGTTCATTGAATCGGTTCAAAATGCAAGGCTTGCGATTTTTTGAAAGCCACGAGCCTAATTGTATACGAGACACGCCCGCAAGCCCAAACGATGGCGAGTATCCAGAGGGAGGTACTAAAGCATGGCTTGTTGTCTTAGGAGCTTGGTGCGCCATGATTCCCTCCATGGGACTTTTGAACAGTCTGGGAACTCTACAAGCTTGGTTAAGCACCCATCAATTGAAGGCATACTCGGAATCAAGTATCGGCTGGATATTTGGGTCCTACGCATTTTTCCTATTTTTAGGAGGCGCGCAGTTTGGTAAGAATGGCTATAGCCAATTAATGTACGAAAAACCGTGATACTAATCGTTCCAGGTGCCATTCTCGATTCCCACGGACCGCTTTACGTGATTCTTCCAGGCTCGGTTGGATTAGTACTCTCATTAATCTTTTTAAGTTTCAGCCAAGGTGTGTTCTTAACAGTTAGCTAATTTATTGTCTCCATCCCATACCCTCATAATCAAACTACGCGCACGCTGCTGATAATCGCTAACTATTATAGAGTATTATCAAATTTTCCTTTCCTTCAGTGTACTTGGAGGGATATCAGCCAGCACGCTTTTCACGCCGCCGGTTGCGGCTGTTGGTCACTGGTTCAACATTCGACGCGGCTGGGCAACTGGCGTTGCTTGCACGGCTGGGGGCTTAGGAGGTGCAATATTCCCTCTAATTATTATGTTTGTGGCCCCTCGAATCGGCTTTGCCTGGTCCATTCGCATTATTGCTCTGATTTGTGCAGCTCTGTGCTCTGTTGCTTGTCTCACTGTCCGGACTCGGCTTCCTCAAAAGAAAGCTGCTACCTTCCTAGATCTGAAAGCTCTTCTGGATCTGAAGTATGGGTCAGCATCACTAGGTGTGTTTCTGGTCGAGTTTGCTGTTTTTGTACCAATCACATACATCACTTCTTACGCCCTTGATGCTGGGTTTAGTGAAGAGATGTCATATGCAGTTCTTGTCTTCCTCAATCTTGGTGCTGTGTTTGGGCGTTTCCTACCAGGTCTGGCGGCCGACCGATTAGGCCGATTCAACGTTATGAGCGTGAATTGTTTAATGTGTTCTTTGTTTACATTCATTCTCTGGCTCTATGGAGACTTGGTGGCCCCTGATAACCTAGGAATAGTGATAAGCTATGCCGTCCTATTTGGCTTTTGGAGCGGAGCAGCTATCAGCCTTGCTCCTGTTTGTATTTCGCAGGTTTGTGAGATTGAAGATTATGGGAAGAGAGTTGGAACTACTTGGACGCTTGTCAGCTTTGGTACTCTCATTGCTATTCCAATCGCCGGGACAGTACAGCAACACAATCATGGAGAGTACTATGGGCTTATCATCTTTGGAGGTGCTCTATATATTTCGTCCTTCATTGCATTCGTTGTTTCCCGCGGCATCTGCAGAGGATGGTCTTTCGGAACGAAGTTTTAGGATATGTAATGTGAGTTGAAGTAATAACATCCATGCAGATCATAAGAATCTAAAAGTTAGTATATAACAGTGTGCCATGTTGTGAAAGACTTAGATTATTGAAGTGGTAATGAGACATTTGATACTGCAAATAGGTAAATATGTCTATGTGACTACTGGATTTGTAGTAATGTAGCTCATTATATACGTGAACAGGAATTACATCTATACGTAATCGCTGAGTTGGGAAAATGCCGAAGAGTAGATACGACAATAGCCATAAGCCAGTAATCTTTTACCGCTGAAAGTAAATGACCATAACTCGATTGACCTGCTCTTCCACCCAACTGGTCTGCTCCGGTGGCAAATGCAGGTCCGAAGTCAGGAGATTTCGTAAAAATAGCATTATGTGCCAAGGACCCATCAAGGGGGCCGACTGTTTGTGTGTGGTGGTAACTGGTCGTGTCTCCGCAAAGGGGTACGTAACTTGACCCTGTTTTAGACGTATAGATTCCAACTGACTGCCCAAGTAATAGGGAACAGATGCACAAATTCCATCGGCCATCTTGTTGATAGTTGATTGGATTGCGGCTGATTTGATTCCATCGGGGTCGTGGGCGGGCAATAGACGGAGACAGTTGAGCATGATACTTTGTACCAGGATCCGACAATCGCGGTAGGTATTCCATGTGGAAGCTATCCACATATCTGAGTAGCAATCGCAGTGTTGGAGATAGAGCCCAGCGTCACAGACAGATTGAGGTATTATGCTTGCGGCAACGGGATTCCAGTTTTCTGGAATCCAGTATGTCCACGAAGTAAGGTTAATGTCTATCTGTGTTGCTCTGTTCAGGACTGATGTGATTTCGGTCTCATTGGGTTCCTCGATATTTAGTTTCTCCCATGATTTGCGCAGGCTCACAATTTCCGAAGCTGCTGTGGAAAGAAAGACGCGAGGAGAGGGAGGTGCTTTTGGTGGGGCGAGTGGCCAGACTTCAGGTATTGGGACCATCGGAGTGTCCAGGCCACGGCTAGTTTTGATCTATCGAATTGGATTAGAAGAATGATTAAATATTGGTTGGTGAACATACAATCTGAGCTTGAACAGCATTATGGAGAGTGGATGATGAATTATCTTGAACCTTTTCGGGTCTCCGACTATTGACCAGTGCTATGGCGCCTTTCAAATGGGCTTTTACTGGGTTTTCCCAGTCTTTCAAGGCCGTAAATTCCTTGTTATTCAGTCAGTGAAGGCAGATCAAAGCCAGTGAGACAGAGACACATACCTCGTAAAGTGACAACATAAGAATTGACATCAGAACGCGATCATATTCGTTGTCATCATTCGACAGTAAGGTCTCCCTAATCTTTGGTAAAGTTTGTGTGAAATATCGTTGCGAAGCACGAACTAATGAGTCTTGTCCCGTCCAAGCTGCCACAGTGAAATAAGCGACAGCTAATGTGCTGGTATGTAGGGGAGAGCCAATAGCAGCGTTGGAATACATCTCAGGCAAAATCTCCATAAAGCCATTACGAATGTGGGGGTCTTTGGGTAGATAAAGGTAAGAGTTGAAGAAAAGTGGGATCACTGTGTCTTCCAAGGGCTGGTAGAGATCGACAAGAGGATGCAGATATACAGGCCAGGAGCTGTTGGATCTCGCTGATACTGCAGACTCGGGCGATTTCACCAATGATACTTCTGAGTTCGCATCTTCGTCTTTACTTGATGTGGATTTGCTACTCGAGCTCGGGGACACCGCGGATGACGCTGGTTTTTTGGTGAAAGAGTAGGTATGATCTCTCAGCATCACATCAAAGGGATGCAAATACCCCGGACAGTCTCGGCCGGTTCTCACGCATGCTTTGCAGTGGGGCCGAGTTTCATCACACTTAGAAGTTTAGTTGTATTCATTTCTAGTGGAATAGTATGAAACTTACTTTAATACGCCGCGTTCGGCAATTTTTACATCCAGTACTGGGCTTCCCTTGATACACCATGGCGTTAATCGGGAGATTGAATAGAGCGGGCTTGAGGCGATAGCGGTTATCGGTCGAATTGGCTAGTGCGCAACATCAGGCGGGGATCTATACACTCAAATTTGATCCATGCCAGCGAGAAACGCTATTGATCCTGATAGAGCAGCCATATGAAAAGGGAAATGATGATAAACACCGATCCCCAATGTATCCAGGTCAATCACAGAAGCGAGTTCATGGTCGGCCGAATCATTTCGTCCGTAAGCCGCGTCGCCACGTGACCGATCTGCATTATTGCTCCGCCTCCGCAGATTCATCTGTCAGTATTATGCTTTCTCCAAATATCCGAACGCTCAATCTCCCCTGCTCTGACCTAATTCGCTTCTGAAAGAGGAGAAAGGCGGCAATTTGAAAATACAGAAAGGTCACTTTCCTTGGATCATCTCCCCCTCACATTCAGCGATGGTCTCCCTCTTTGGCTGGGGCTCCAGCTCCAATTCCGACTCCAACGCTCCAAACCCACAAGAGACATCCTCCCAAAGCCCGAGCCAAACACAACTACCTCAATCAGTTCCTTCACCGTCTGAATCATCACAATTAGCGCAGCAATCCACACCACCCAACAACAGAAACCTCAAACTTTTCCTCGGCGGAGTAGCCTTTTTCTCGCTCTCTGTCTGGGTCACGCGCCGCGCGAGCATAAAGAAACGCCTTGACTGCATTCCTCCTTTCTATTCCAGCTCATTATACTTTCAACCGAAGGTCAATGGTGCAGGTGAGGCTTTTGAAGCTCTCAGTCTGGCTTCGCTCAACGTTTTCTCGTTCGGCATGATGACCACTGGTGCGGCCATGTATGCCCTCGATATCAATGGGCTTGACGATGCGCGACGATTCATGAAAGTTGCGATGTCAGGTGACATTGATGAAACTGGCAAGTCGGATGAACAGCTTGAGCAGGAAGTCACCGAGTGGGTGACCAATTTGCTTGGTGATCGGTTCACGAAGCAGTTGGAGAAGGAGCGCGCGAAGAAGCAGCAGCAGCCCGTGGCCGGCGAGAAGAGCGAATAAGTTGCGCAAGCCGGATAAGGAGACTTGCTTGGCATGTCTTGGATACACTCTACTCTTTTCATTTCTATACGATACCACACTTCTCTTGTACATTATCCATTTTTTCTGATATGCCTGCATAGTCGCATGGGCATGGCGTTGCCAGTTGCAGCATCATGATGAACCTTGAATAGGGCTTCATTAAACTGTATGTCACATCTGTGACAATTTGAATTTGGGATATCACTTTGGTAAACTATCAATACTACAACGCGAACTCTGAAGCGATCCTGATAAATCTTCACTTGTTCATCTGATCATATCGTTGACGAGCAGTTTCCTTGGTCTTTGCCAGGAACTCATCGTAACGACCTCGAGTATTCCGTCCTGCTTCCTCTGCTGCGTCACCTAGTTTGCCGCCTTGTGCTCCTAGCCCAACACCTTGTGCATAGACCTCCGTGGCAATTGGGGCCGTAACGCCAGTTCCTTGAGCACCCAGACCAGAGCCTTCCGACCACCCCATCTTGCTGAGAAGAGAGGCACCCTTTGAAGTGGACTGCACCGGAGGTTCTTCCTCTTTCTTTGGCGCGGCTGGTTTCGGTTGAGCGCCAGCCTTCCCTGGTCCGTAGGTCTTGCGACGTTCTCTTGCACGATCCCGATATTCTGCAGATGATTGCTGCAGGATTCCGTGTTTGACTAGCTTTGCTATGGCGCGTGTTTTGCGATCTTCGTCCTGGAGGTTTTGCCGGTGAAGTTGACTAAGCCGCTCGTGCCGGTTGACGTCGGCTGCCGACTTGAACTCGGTCATGCAAAGATAGCAGCAGTTCCGATTTGGGTCTGCGTATGATTGAGTGGGCGGGGCTTCAGAAACAGGGATACCGCCATGCTCCAAACTATTTTCAGGTAGGGCCCCATCGTCCTTGGGAATGCCATGGAGTTCAGCATGGCGATTGCTCCAGAATTGGAGTTGACTGGGCATTGCCAATTTCTTCGCTTTTTCCATATCCGCGGCTTCCGCCTTTCGCTTCTTGGATTTTTCCGTCTCCTTGATTGCCTTAGATCCCTCTTGGTTCCCAGTAGGCTTTTCACTTTTGGATCCGATCTCTTCACTTGAGACTTGGAGTTCAGTCACGTAAGCGTTGTCATCCCAGTACATGAGCTTCAACGCCGGATTGTTCAGAGGACTGAAGGTGAAACCTTTTGTGGCGGCTGATGGGGCCAGAACCGGTACAAAAACACCTGCGTGGATGTAGGTGACCATTACAGGTCGAGAGGAGATGGTAAATTTGTTGAAAGAATGCAACCGAGTGATAGCAGCTTGTGCGTCCTTGAAGGGGTTGTGTGAGCGAGCAAGCCTGGGTAAGTAGATACGGACGGGGCAGGTTGACATACTGTCACATTGGCAAATTCAGCGAACCCATACCGCCAGCTATCATTTGTTTTACGGTCACGAACGAGTAAGACACGTCGGATAGAGCCCTCACGAGCACCTAAATTAGCATCACCAGTTGTCGAAGCCACCTTGGCTCCTTTCTTTTGATTTCCTGAGCTGCCGTCATTTCCTGAAGTTGGTCGGTACAATTTCGCAACACCTTTAGCAAGAAGCTCTTCAGTGACTGATGGCTCCAGTCCCCGAAACAGCAAGAACTGTGAAGGCTGATTATCAGGGGCTGCGTCATTATCGCCATTATTCACGGGTCTTGCTGGCGGTACCCCAGGAGCACTAGCAAGTGGTAGTTCTAATGATGGTCAACATTAATGCGAGATAATACGAGTATTTTACCCATGAACACGTACCTGGCCGCGGCGCGTTACACCGGAAGCATTTTGCGCGTGTAGAGAAATTCACAACAGCACACTAGAAATTTAGATGTTAGTCTGAGGCTTAGCTTGAGAGCATGAAGCTTACCATTCTGCAAGTCCAGTCACCTTCAGCTTTTGCGCGAACTCGGTCTTCTCTCTCGCGACTGTATGCGATGCGAACTTTGGTGCTCTTTTCACCAGTGGGACCGTAAAGATGGATGAATGGGTGGTTAGTCTCTAGGAAATCCCTGGAGTCAAGGATGCTGTGGAATCGAAGAAAGCCTAGCTGCCTGGACGCCTCTGTAAACCCCATATTGATAAGCATGCTGCACATAGATGGACAATTTATCTGTGTCACGCACTCGTTTGTCGATCTCGAATGACTCGAATATCGTCAAGTTGAGCAACATGGTATGCATCGCGAAGCTCAGTTTCAATCTATTGGAACAAATCCAACAATAGTCAGTGGCGTGAATTTCACCAAAATGAGCGAGGAAGAGCGGGCAGAGTCATTCTCAAGATATATGTTTCACTCACGTCATTTTCTGTCATGTCGGCAGGGAAGCCCTCTAACATGATCTCACGGCTCTCCGGCCCAAAGTGAGACTGGCCTTGTCGACTACGGCTGCGACTCAAGCCACGGTTGCCACTGTACTCTGGTGACTGGTAACCTTCGCGGTCCCGATCTCGATATGACTGTCTACCTCTTCGTGGAGGTGATCGTGAAGATCGGCGCCAGTCTCTCTCTCGGTTGCTTTGGCGTGCTGTGTCTGGGTCATTGGGGTATTCGGGTCGGCGATTGCGAGAGTGATCTTTTTAGCAAGGACGGGAACAATGTCATCAGTTATCTTTCAACAAAAAACAACACCCGGCCTTTCAGTGGAATTCCGGGACTCAGGTATTATTTCCATGGGAGGTGTGTATACCGCCAGGCGATCGTGAGCGCGAATAGTCGTCATACATGCGACCGTCTCGTTCATCGCGGTCATCGCGACCTGCGTAAGACCGGTTTGGAGGACCGTTAAAGCCTCTGCTATCGTCTGTATAAGGATGCGCCATGATTTACACTCATGGGGGAGGGTGTGAATGATCCAGATGTCTGCAGAAGTTGACGGGATTCGGAGCTCTTACTGCTGATACGCGATAGCATCCGGCAGAAGCATACACCGCCCTGCATTGTTTAAGTACTCGTACACTTGTTTTCAGCTTTATCTGTGATAGATGCCTGTATTTTCCTATTCCTAAAAAAACTGCCATGACAGTGTCTACTTTTTTGCCTACCTATCCTTGGTATCCATATCGAAATAAATAAACATGCAGTGTGTAGGCTACCAGCGCCATGGCATAGCGTATCCTGGGACTATATAGTTGCCAATGGCGTCTTTTTGGAATGAGATTATCAACCTTGGAAGGTAAAGAATGTTCGTCAAATGTTAACCTGTGACAATCAAATTATATATTTGAGAATATGAAACCCATTTTCTAGCTTCACATTTCAGCCGATTCTAGATGAGGTCAAAGCTCTCATTTGTGTTGCATCATCGTCATCGGTACCAGCGGTGGGGGGATCCACCCATTGCTGAGGAGTATGATTTGGACACGGCAGCAACTGCAGTCAAAAAGAGAATTGATTTGGCGCTAAATATGGGTCAATGAACCTCCACCAGAACCAGAGGATCGGCAAAGCATATCAACCATAGAGAGTCCGATGATTCTCCGCAGTGCCCCGCGGTGGGAGGAGCTGCGTGGGTACTTGCATCAGCCATGAGATGCCACCCTTACCTATAAAAACTGGAACCCCAAGGCCCGGTTGGACACTTATACATTTTCTGGGTACTGAGTGACCTCCATATACCTCCCATTAAATCTATTCCACGATGGCTACCCCCGCAAGACCACAAAATCACCGAGCCTGGTGGAAAGAGTCCTCGGTTTATCAGATCTGGCCCGCATCCTACAAAGACTCGAACGATGACGGTATTGGAGACATTCCTGGAATCATCTCACAGCTTGACTATATCAAAAAGATCGGCGTTGATATTGTCTGGCTGTGCCCGTCCTACAAGTCTCCACAGGTGGATATGGGTTATGACATTGCCGATTACTACAGCATTGCTGATGAGTACGGCACGGTCGCAGACGTGGAGAAGCTGATCCAGGGCTGCCATGATCGGGGGATGAAGCTCCTCATGGATCTAGTTGTGAATCATAGCAGCGACCAGCATGAATGGTTCAAGCAATCGCGAAGCTCCAAAGACAATGAGTACCGCAATTGGTATGTCTGGAAGCCCGCTCGGTATGATGAGCAGGGGAACCGTCACCCTCCCAACAACTGGGTCTCGCATTTCCAAGGTATATTGTTACTCCGCAGATGAAAAATTGGGGTTGTACTGACGCTTAAAACATTTCAGGGAGCGCTTGGCAGTGGGATGAACTCACCGAAGAGTACTACCTTCACCTCTATGCGACAGAACAGCCGGATCTAAACTGGGAGCACCCACCTGTTCGCGATGCAGTACACGACATTATGAGATTCTGGCTGGACAAAGGCTGTGACGGTTTCCGAATGGATGTGATCAACTTCATCAGCAAAGATCAGCGCTTCCTCGACGCACCTGTCAAGGACCCTCGTACACCGTGGCAATGGGGTGATAAATGGTACGCCAATGGACCCCGGCTGCACGAGTACCTCCAAGGTCTCGGGAAAATTCTGCAAGAGTATGATGCCTTCAGCGTGGGCGAGATGCCTTTTGTTAAGGACGAGCAGGAAGTTCTCAAGGCCGTCCAGTTTGACCGCCATGAGATCAATATGATCTTCAACTTTGAGCATGTGGACATCGACCATGGCACATATGATAAGTTTGAGCCTGGTAACTGGAAGCTCACGGACTTGAAAGATTTCTTCCAGCGTTGGCAGACCTTCATGTATGCTAACGATGGCTGGAATGCCCTCTACTGGGAGAACCACGACCAGCCGCGGTGCGTCGATCGCTATGTGCATGCTAGCGAAGGGAAACGTGTTATCGCGTCTAAGATGTTGGCCACCGCTCTGGCACTGCAATCCGGTACACCATTCGTGTACCAGGGACAAGAGTTGGGAATGCGCAATGTTCCCAAATCTTGGGGCATTGAAGAGTACAAGGACCTTGACTGCCTTAACCACTGGCACAGGTATGTACTTTCTTATTCTATCATGAATTAAACTTGAGAACTAAACCTCCGCAGAATCCTGAAAGAAAGGCCCGATGACACCGAAGCCCACGCAAGTGCCCTTGCAGAGTATCAGAAGAAGTCTCGTGATAATGGCCGCACTCCGGTCCAATGGTCCTCTGCTCCCAATGGAGGATTCACCGGTCCTAACGTCAAGCCTTGGATGTCCGTCAATCCTGATTTCGTGACCATCAACGCTGAAGACGAAGTAAAGGACCCCAACTCAACCTACCATTTCTGGGGCAAGGTCCTCGGGCTCCGTAAGAAATATCTCGATATATTCGTATACGGAGACTGGGTGTTGATTGACCAGCCGAACCAAGAGGTCTTTGCATACACCAGACAGTATGGAAATGACAAGGCGTTGGTTTTGTGCAATTGGACCGAGACGACCATTGACTGGGATGCCGCAAGCAATGGAATTGATGGTGTCAAGGCTGTATTGTTGGACAATTATGATACTGCCGAGGCTGTCCAGCACTTCACTGGCGGGAAATGGTCACTGCGGCCATATGAGGCTGCTGTCTTCCTGGTCTGAACTTGCAACTGAGCACAGCATCTAGATAGAGAACCACCATGTGAATAGACAGTTCCAGCTTCTACAAAAAATAAAGATTCCACAGTATCAATCCAAGAAATCAAAATCAAAACTTCAATCCCCTGTCAAATCTACATAGAAGCGGATCTCGGTGTCCTCCGCCACTATCGGAGCTCACTTATCCACCGTTCCCCGCACCCGATAAGCCTCCATCCCAAAAGGAAAAAAGTACATCGACACAGAGTCCCAAATCGCGCATCGAGTCCTCTGGCCCAGATACAAGACCAGAAACCAGACTACATACCGATAAAATGGCATCCGAACAACAGAATCCTCTGCCAGCCCACCTGGACCCTGCAACGTATCCCCGTACCCAGCACAACCCAACAAAAAACATCCACCTAACATTAACCTACACACCCCTCGACGTGAACACCTACCTCGCACAAACATCTTCCCCAAAAGCCGGCGCGAACGTTCTATTTCTCGGCACAACACGCGACACATTTGAAGACCGCCCTGTCTCGCAGCTCAGCTACACATGCTACCCACCTCTAGCTTTGAAAACGCTGACGGCTATCGCCGAAGCTGCTATCGAGACACACCAGCTAATAGGCGTGAGCATTGCGCATAGAATGGGTGTTGTGCCGATTGGGGAGGCGTCGATTGCTATTGCGATTAGTGCGGGACATCGGGGTGCGGCTTGGAGGGCTGGAGAGGAGGTGCTTGAGGCTTGTAAGGAGAAGGTGGAGATTTGGAAGAGAGAGGAGTTTGTTGATGGGGGGATGGAGTGGAGAGCTAATGCTGATCGGGATGCGGAGGGGAAATTGGTTTCTGGGGATGGTTCTTGATGAGCTTGTGATTGAAATTGGATATTAATTGGAGTTGGATGTTGAGTGAAGCTGTCTCCCATGAATTATGCCTAGTGATCTGCACTCAGTTAATGCCAAAAGTGTCGAGACTGATGCTGTATATTATTTACTCCGAATACGAAGCAGTGAAGCCACTGCCTTGTTTATACAACAGCGAGCTTAGAGCATGGCAATGCTCGATCGATGGATCCAATGAGCAGGGTATTTAGATTTGACAGTATAGTACAGTTTTCATATAAGGACACGGTTACTCAGTCTTCAATGGCCGACCCTCACGCTTCCAGTCGTTGATGTGTTCCAAGATAACCTTGGACGCGGACTCGGGGGTATCCTGTCGACCAATACACTCGACAAAGTCATTATCGGGATCTAGCAGGATAGTTAGCCTTTGTACCACCTAATAATCATATCGTGCCAATCTTACCCATCAGATAGAAGTAGATGCTGTGGTCAACCAAGTAATCCTCACCAGGCTTGGCGTCCCGGGGGGTACTGAAGTACACACGGTACTGCTTGCAGACATTCTTGACCTGCTCATAGGTACCAGTCAAGCCAACAATACCGGGGTGGAACTCCTGGAGGTAGGCACGCAGAACCTCAGGGGTATCACGGGCAGGGTCACAAGTAATGAAGACAGGCAAGAAGAGCTTCTCATCTTTGGTGGACTCCTTGACTTTCTCGATGATCTCGGCCATCTTGTCCAGCTCATCGGGGCAGATATCCGGGCAGTGGGTGAAACCGAAGTAGACCTGTAAAAGAAGACAATGAGTACTGGTTACTTCAAGCTAGCTCTCCAGCCAGCTGTACATCCGGGCCAACTCACAAAGCTGTATTTTCCCTTCAGATCCTCCGCAGTAAACTCCTTCCCATCCAAATCCTTCAGCACAAACGGACCGCCAACCTTGGGCTTGCCAACACCCTTGCTCATCTCCGCAATACGCTTCCGTTCCAATCGCGCCTTCTCAACACGGAAATAAATCACCATACCGGCGCCAGTGAGGATGAATAGCAATGCGGCCTTCCATGAGAAGGGTCCGGTCGAGTTGCGCTGCTTAATCTGTCCCATGGTCCTGCCCTTAGCACGGAATGCACTCGTAGAGAATTGGTTGCAACTCCGGGCAGAGAGCATGTTCTGAATGTTCTGCGTGCATCGGGGCCGTTGCGACTGGGTGTAGGCGCGGCATTGCGATTGGGTGGTGATTCGGAGGCCGGAGAGGATGTTTTGGGATCGGATGGGCTCAATGGTAGACAGGTGGCGGGTAGCCCGGCTGAATAGGCCGGTCGCCAGCTTTGAAGAGGCCATGGTTGTAAGATTGGTGTTTTGTCGGGGAAGGTTGAATGGTCCGCTGCGGATGTGAACTTGAGAATCGTCAGATCAGTTCCCCATTGGGACTAGCTTTGTGCCTGAGGCACAAAGGCACCTGTTTTCTGTTGTGGATGAATATCTTTAGGAAAGAGACTCTGATTTGTAATATCAGTGACCAATTTATGATTCAATCTGTAAGTTTTAAATGATTTCATAAGAAGACAGCACAGTATTTCAGGTAGTGTATGCCAAAACTAGTAGTGGCGGAACAACTGGTAAAACAAACATCAAGTATGAGTTTATTTCGATTATAAATCAACCTTGGAACAAACAATGTGCCAATAATTCCGAATAATTAAGTACAAGAAATTGTTATGCAGCAGAAGCACAGCGCATTGAATTCCTTCCTTCAAGTCGTAATCATCACAATTTTGTTGAGGTATTTCCTTTCCTCCTTAAGGACCAGATTCTCCGCAGTCCACTTTCCAGCGTCTTCTCGAGAAATGAAGTACCCAATATTCAATGATTCGCGTCCGGTCTTCGGATCCTCAATGCCAACCCTGACAGTTTTATTGGTGACACCATCATTCAGCAGACTAGCGCGCACAACTGTGAACGGCTGCCCGCTCTCCATGAAGCGTTTCTCCATCAACTCCTTGTCTTCGTGCGCAGCTTTGAGAAGCCATCCGTAGATTGGCCAAAGCACCCATGGGTAATCACGTCCAAATTTGGAAAGACCAGTGGTGCTGAACGTGACAATATGCGGGTTGCCAGTAGCTCCGTTGTTTCGAAGATCGTTGATGGCCTCGACCATGATAGCCGCGCCATTTCTGCAACATTGAGGATCTTCGGGAGCTATGCCACCCTTGGGTCTGCTACCAATAGTTGAGACAACTATGTCAACAAGCTTTTCTCCACTATCGTCGGCCTGGATACATTTGATGACTGCGCTGAGATCATGTGCATTGCCTTCAACAATCTTGAGGTTGGGTGTTGATTCGAGTGGAATCAATGCCGCGAGCTTGGCTGGAGTGCGGCAAAGGGCGATGCATTGGTGGCCAGCTGCAAGAGTGTGCTTGAGCGCTGAAAGACCAACGCCAACGGTACCACCGAGGAAGGCAACTGTCTTAGTGTTGGCACTCATAGTCTTGGTTGTGATGTCGAGAAATGAGGTGGTGATATATATTTAGGTGTGATCGAGGAAAGTGATCGATGTTATTGTGATGTGAGACCATATAGCCCGAGCTGGATCCATGGCTTTTATAATGCATTTCTTCATGACTCCCCTGCCATCATGCCGAATAGCGTCCGAGTATAATGACCATTGGGTGAGATGACCTCGCTCTTTTCTCGCGTCCAATGAGAAGCTCCACTTGCCAAACTTGGACCCACACTATACCCGATTGGATGCGAGGCTGCTTATGGCACGAAGTGCGGTCCCTCACGTCTTCAAGAAAATGACTAGGGAAGTACGATGGCAGCGACAAATTGCCGAGCGAACTAAGATTTCCATAATGATACTTCCATGAAGGAAGCGTGACCGCGCCAAGGCCAGAATGTCACACCCGCGACAGTCAGATGTAGCGGCTGCGGGGAGTGGCGCTGCTTCGGCCCAAGAGGCCGAGAAACGCGCGAGCTCCCCTGTAAGCAAGGACCAGAATAAAGCTGCGCCCGCACGCGCGCCGAACCCACGTAGCTGCGTGATTTGCCGAAGTCGGAAGGTCCGGTGCGATAAATTGTCACCTTGTTCGAATTGTCGTCGCGGGAATATCGCCTGCATCTATCCGTCTGGAGATCGCCCGCCGAGATGGGCCCGGCGTCTTGAGCGCCCAGTTACTGGGGAAGTCATGGAAAGACTTCACCATCTCGAAGGTCTTGTTAAAGAGCTGACTGGTCAGTTGGAACAGGCTCATGCAGCCGCTAAGTCTTCGGCAGCGTCGTCCAACTCCCCTGGTAGTTCCACACACGACAATGAAGTTGGTTTGCAGGGGAGTACATCTTTCGCAGGACAGAGTAGCGTATCAAATAAGTTTGGCAGGTTGGCTCTTAATGACGCCAACCGAAGTCGCTATGTCGGCAGTGGTTTTTGGTCATGGGTTAATGATGAGGTATGCCGGCAACAATGATGCTGATGAATAAATTGCTGATGGTTTCTAGATTGGTGAATTAAAGACGGAGACTGGCAATCTCGCCATGGAAGGATGCGAGTCCTCAGATGACGAGATGTCTTCAAAGACTCCGTCTACCCAGGAGCTTGGACGAACACCATCTGACCGCCATGCATTCATATTTCGACACAATTTGAATCCTTCCACTCCCGACATTAGAGAATTCCACCCACTGCCTTCGCAAATACCATTTTTGCTCAACGTCTTCTCAGAAAACGTGAATAGTATTGCTCAGATCGTCCATATGCCCAGTACCAGCAAGATGATTAGTGGGCTACGAGGCGACATGTCGAAACTCACGCCGTCTAATGAAGCTTTGATGTTCTCAATATACTATAGCGCCGTGACATCCATGGAAGAGGAAGACATCATGATAAATTTTGGTGTTTCAAAACAACACTTGAACCTCAAATATCGTCTCGGCCTGGAACACGCCTTAGCTAAGGCCGACTTTCTCAACGCACCAGACCTAATTCTGGTGCAATCCCTCGCTAACTTCCTTCTTCTGGCTCGACGACACGATAGCCCTAGATATGTATGGATGATGACAGGCATTGTGATACGCATGGCACTTGCTCTTGGCTTGCAGCGTGATGGCTCCAATTTTGGATATCTTACCCCATTTGAAATCGAAATGCGTCGAAGAGTCTGGTGGGGTCTCTGCATGATCGACGTGAGAGCATCGGAAGATCAAGGAACAGATTACACCATCGCTCTGGGCAGCTTCGATACAAAAATGCCTCTCAATATTAACAGCGCTGACATCAGCCCCGAATCCAAAGATATGCCACCTGAGCACGAAGGTTTGACCGAAATGTCTTTGACACGAGTCAACTTTGGAATTGTCGATGTCTCAAAACAAATGGTAACTCAAATCTCGAAGTCAACCAGCCTGGAGGAACAAAGCCGTTTCCTGGATGAAATATATCAACGTCTTCAAGTTGGTTTCCTCCAATATCACGCAGATTCGGAGTCGAACATCATGTACTGGGCTTCTGTCGCTATCACCCGTCTTGTAATCGGGAAAATGACATTACTGGTCTTTGTACCTGTGCTCTTCGGTTCCCCAAACGAAAAAGATCTCCCTGAGGAGATCAGGAACAAGCTTCTAGTTGCGGCGATTGAAGTTGCCGAGTATAATCACGCATTGAATGCTGAGCCGGCTTGTCGACAATGGCGGTGGGTCTTTCAAACATACACGCACTGGTACGCTATAGTATACATCCTGCTTGAGATTTCGCGACGTGAATGGTCGCCTATCGTTGAGAGAGCTTGGGTAGCCCTTCACAGTATCTGGCTGATTCCGACTCAATCGCACATGGGCAAAAATCTTCGCATCTGGGTTCCCTTACGAAGATTAAGAATCAAAGCCCAGCAACATCGAGAGTCTGAATTAAATCGACTGAGAAATGATCCTGCTGCTGTGGAGAAGCTTGAGAGGCAGGATAAGGAGATCCAACAGCCTTCGAGCCCTGGCTCTTTCCCCGAAAAGTACGATGCGACAGATGTCTTCGTGAAGAAATGGCGACAGCTGCTAGCCAATCTAGACTTGGCTAGCTATAATACCGGTGAAGCTGTACATCCGTTATCATCTTCTGATCACTTGCAAAATATGGTTCACCGCAGCCCAGAACCCACTTTGGACCCGGCTTACCGTGAGATGCAAGGCTGTCAGGCAGATGGAAATGCGTCTTTGTTGAGGTCAACCTCCTCAAATCACGATGATGGATCTGCGTACAAATTCCGCCCAATACAGGACATCACCCACGATATTCGCGAGCAACAATCCGGCCAGGAACTCAATCCAAGTATCATTCCTTGGCTGTGGGCGGATGGTGATTTTTCAAACCTGGCCATGGATTCAAATGATATAAACATGGACCTTGATGGAAGCGACGTGGACTGGTATAATTGGGTTGAAAGCGCTCAAGGATTGGAATTTAACTTTGGTCCCAATGAAGCTGGGACATCTGGACAGTCACTATAAGCAGACATAGTCCTGCCGAGGAAAATTGATTGTAGAATACAGCAGATCTTTTACATGAGGGCAATGATATAGTCACATGGAGTATTGTTCATACTGAATCGGTTTAAGAGAGCTCTGTTTCTCTACTTGAAAGTGGATTTATGCAGCAGAGAGAGGCTCCGGGACCACCATATGACTCATCTCCGACTGACCATGAGATGTGTGCATATCAATCTTTGGGCCATTCGAGATTGGATAGACGTCGGATCCGGTGACCAGAAGGACAATGTTATCTTGGGGTTTCAGTTGCCGCGCTAGCTTCAAAGCTTCTCCCACAGCATGTCCCGTGTCCAGCCCAGCTATCACGCTCTCGACTTCGTTGAGAGCCTTTTGACCAGCTAGTGCTTCTTCGTCCGTTGCCGTTGCGCATTTCAGTCTGCCAGTCTGCTTCCAATGTGCCAGCTCAGGGCCAACCCCAGGGTGGTTCATATCCGGCGAAACTGAGTCTGACTCCAGAACCTGTCCATCATCATCTTGCAATATAGTCGTGGAAGTTCCGAAGAAAACCCCTCGTGAGCCTTTTTCTAACGCAGATGAGCGGACTGATTCGATCCCTAGGAGTTTAATTGACTCAAACGCCAGGAATGGATGGAATAGCCCAATAGCACCACCATTTCCACCAATTGGAGCCACCAAGGCTTGCGGAAGACTTCCACAGTTCTCTTGCATCTGCACCATGACCTCTTTCCCTATGATCGATTCAAAGGTGCGCATGATCCACGGGTAGGGGTGTGGCGCCACAGAGCTGTTGGGAATATAGAAAGCCTCTTCGAATTGCTGTGTGGCTGCCTGAAGAGCTTCAGTGGTGGCGGCACGAAGTGTCATGCAACCCTTGTGAACCACTTCACATGTCGCCCCCAGACGCGCGATTTCTTCGATATGACGGGGCTGTCTTTCAGCATCTTTTGATCCAATGAAGACAGTGCACTTTATTCCGGTACGACTGCATATTGCTGCACACTCCACTCCGTGCTTTGCAGATCCACAGTCTGTGAGGATCTTGGTCTTATTCATCCGACGGGCCAACAACACCTGCCCAATGATGCTATATTGATTTGGACTCCCGTAATCGCTGAGATCCTCCCTTTTTAGCCATATCTTTGCACCTCCGCCTTGGCGTGTTAATCCAGGCGCGAATTTCAATGGACTTGGACGTTGAGTGAGAAGGCTGCAAAAATCATGCCAGAAATTCACATCCAGCAAGGCATTTCCGAATGCCTTGGTTAGGCTTTCTAGGAATCCCATTTGACTTTCTGGTGCATATTGTCCACCGTATTGACCGAAATGACCCGTCGTGGTATCAAAAGTGTCGGCGAGAAGTCTTTCACGGGGCAACATTTTCGATAAAAACTGGTGCTGTAGATATCTGGACAAGAAGTACGAGATAACATTTGTTGTTTTATTGATAGCTATATAGGCAAAAGTTCACTATGTTTAAATATCATAGCCCATCAGTGACGACATGTTCGCCTGGTCGTGATCTTTGAGGCCCGACATGAATGCAAACCCTATTTTGCAGTGTGTAACCCCAACATGCATATTATGAAAGAAGGTTTCCGCGGGGAGTTGACGTGTTTTTTCGTCGATCTACAATCTCATGTCAACTAATTACAAAGCAGATCGAAATGGACAGTTTATCCGATCCCTGAATACCACTCGGACCTCTTTTATTAGATGAAACTTTAAGCCTGTATTGCATCACCCTTCCAAGTTGACATTTCATTTCGTCAGTCCACATTCGGCTTTTATTTCCTCTAGGCCCGCTTGGCTATATGACTGATACGTGTTGATGCACTGTGTTATTTCTGTAACTTGAAGTAGTTGTAGTAGCGGTGTGTGGTCCAGTTCTAGGAAAAGCAATGATGTTCTAAGTATCCTTGAAATGCCTACTAATCGACATTCTCCACAAATTAAAGCAACAGTTTTGACATGGCAATTCGATTCTGCAAAATTTCAGATATGAAGATTTATCAAAAATGGATTGCGCTATCAATCCAGAATAGGTTTCACCGTTTCCTCCCGCGTCTGTTTTAGAAATGGGACAACAGATGTACCACCAGTTCCTCTGGCCTCACTTGAAGAGGATGTTGAATTCACAATATTAACAACTGACTCACTCGCGGGCTTCAGAGATTGACCCTCTTCTTTTCGTTTGTGAGACTGGGCGATTACATAGCGTGCAACAATCTGAAAGTGCTTTTCACGCATAGAGGAAAAAATTTCCAGGCACTTGTTATACGCTCGACTCAAACCGGGATTATGCCGTCTCGCCTTCACAAACTCGTGAATATTAGAGACCTCTTCAACATCCTCGAGGAACCTTCGATGAGGTCCTGGCATGTAAGAACGCATCTCATGACTGAAACTCCGTTTCTTTCCGGCCTCGCTCGTCACACCTGGTTTATTATTGGAGCCCGTAGGATGATGCTCCACCCCCAGTACAATATCGGTGAATTGAATCAATGAGCTTTGGGCATTACTGCCCCCAGAGAGCTGCCGATACTCCGAAAGACTGTGACCGTCGTCATAGACCAATCCGATACTCCGAAAGACTGTGACCGTCGTCATAGACCAACCCATGAGGTAATCCTGCCTCTGCCATGCTTTTGCTGCCAGCAAGGTAAGGACGTAGTTCATTGTAAAAAACGTGAGGATCCACGCGCTCATGCATCTTCTGCAACAATGAGTTGATTTCTTCCAAGACTACCGAGGTTTCTTCAAGGTGGGTTTGCACCTTTTCGCGTTTTCCCGCGCGTGCCGCATCTATTGCTTGAAGCATGAGCGGGATAATAGGTGCGCCCCTTGCCTCTATAGCTACTGACACTAGGTAGAACCATTTTCCATCTGAGGTGCCAGTGAATGTCTGAAGATAAGCTAGATAATCCAGATCGTGTATGGGCTTACTCGGATCCAAAAGCTTGAAATTCCACAAGCAGACACCGGCAAAAGTTGCGATTGGGGGTAGTTCTAATGTTTGACAAACTTCGTATAGAGGGACAGTCAACTGAGGCGGGATTTTCTTTCAGGCGTCTCGTCAACATCGGGGTTCTCATTTTGAGTGTCTGAGAAGAGAATCACATACCTCTTCAGGTGAGCTGCCTTCCCATACGTATCCGTGCAGCATAAAAACAAGTAAAACATAGGCACGACGCCATTCCCCCTCGGTGATCAAGTTTGACGTATCAAGAACTGGAAGTCTGTCGATCGAGTTTCGCAGACATTTCTTTCTAAGCATTCGTTGAAAGTCACTAGCGATATCTTCCCATCGAATATAGTTTGGATCCAAAGTCACAAGTGACGCATCGTAAGAAACAAAGCCGTAGTCGGCAGAGATGCCGTACTCCTCGGGCACGGGAATTGAAGTCATCACGAAGACCGTTAAAATGAGAAGCAGATGTATGCGAAAATTTTATGCTTCTTGGAATTCAATTTTGGCCTCTCTAACTAACACTATATATGCCTCTGTGCATACTTAGTTTTCGGTCAATCCAACGCCGAATTCAAGACTACCTGCGGTGACGTATAGCCATCTATACCAAATAATTGTTATCGATTACAATAAAATCTTTGTTTTTAGTCGTCGTAAGGGGTGTGGGAGATATGAACACAAAACACCCCTATTTATCCGTCCTGCATATCTGATGCGGTGTATTCGGGAACCTGTGCGTTCTGTCAGTGGCTATCACCCAGTGTTGTGTAACGTGTATGTTGATCGTTTCCCCATCATAGCACTTGATACATTTGCATTGCCTAAATTTCCCAAAGTTACGTATTGAACCTCTTCGCATCCTTGGCATTCAAAACGAAAATCGGTGATCACTCTCCGTCACCTTGCTTTCCCAGATCCCGAGACCCCGAGACCCCAAGGCGGTATAATGGTTCTGAGTGCTATTTGGTAGCCTTGCATGATATAATCTCGTGGGAACCAATACAATTTGAAATTCTGTGGCAGGTGCCTGGACTGAAGATAACTTTAAAGAGGTATAGAAATGGTCTTCTACAAATGTCAAATTGCAGGTGTGATGGGCCTTTCAACAAGATAATGGTAGGTCCCTCTACATATTGAGAACGCGTTGGATTCGACCTCGGGAGTACAGTACGTATGGGGCTTTCAAAAGCCACCAATACCTCAATAAACTGAAGCAGAAATTCATGGACACATGATCTCAATGATTTTCTTCGGTTTCGATATATGCAGTCACGGAGTTCTTGGAGTGACCCAGACTTTAGGTACTCGAGGGTAAAAGGGAAGCAATCTTTCAGTCTCGTGATCTTAGCTCCTACTCACAAATATTTATTCTGCATTCCATTCTTTTCACAATCATCCTTGCTGATAATTCTTTAATATCGTATTGAGATTTACTCGACTTCACTCATGCATAGCATCGCTACTCTTAGCTTGAAAGACATCTGGAAACTGTGGCCGTAGGTAAATATTCTGCTGGTTTGGGGTTTTATTCAGACTGATTTAGTCACTTGATCAAATGATTTGGCAGAAGAAGAGCCCAGTGACGACTTGTCTTTTATCGGCGATTGGTCGGAAATGCTCCGACGATTCTTACTGGATTGAGCAGAATGCAGCAACGTGAGTGTTTGGCCCAATGGCGCCACAGTAGGGTGGGGGACTTCATACCGGAGATTATCTTATCACGTCCCCCACAACGAACTTTCCAACTACACAACAGCGAGCCTTTGAGTATTTGCGTTTTCTTCACCGTGATAGAGCATCAAAATGGACATTGACCGGATAGCTATTATCGGCGCTGGCGCATGTGGGCTTGGTGTCACAAAGAAAGTTGAATTGCTACCGTGTTAAGCATCTTGAAACTAACTTCTGGCCAGATACCTTCTAGCAGAGCAGAAATTTAAAACCATCACCATATTCGAACAGCGGGACCAGCCCGGCGGTGTCTGGAATTACACTGGCGATGAAGGGACCGGCCCGAATGCCATACCAGTTCCCCAACCACGCCCTAGCTCGGAACCCCAACAGCCGGTCAATGGGACGTTCATTTCACCAGTCTATGACTCTCTAGAAACAAACATCCCCAGTTCCATGATGCAGTTCTGCGATTTTCCTTTTCCAGCGGGAACTGCTTTATTTCCTTCGCACATTGTGGTCAAGGAGTATCTGCATAGATATGCAGAAGAGTTGCGGGACGTGATAAAGTTCCAAACCCTTGTTCTCGATGTCTCCGTGTCGGCAAGACACCCGCGCACAGAGTGGACAGTCACATGGCGGGATCTTCAAACCAACCAGGTCTCAGACGCGAAGTTTGATGCTGTGATCGTTGCCAATGGTCATCACAATGATCCTAATGTCCCTGTCATACCGGGTCTGGCCGAGTGGGACCAGATGTATCCGGGGTCTATAATCCACTCATCTCTTTATCGGCGTCCAGATCCTTTTACCAACAAGGTATGTGAGCACACAAGTCCAAAACTCAGCTACAGAAACTCAAGCGAAAATAACAGAAAGTTATCGTTGTGGGCCACTCCGCCTCAGGCATTGACATCGCCTCACAAATCAGTGAAGTATCGCAGCACCCACTACTTATTTCTGAACGAACAAAAACCACATTGTCACCCGAGAAGGCAGCAGTCGCCAAAAGTCTACCCGAAATTATCCTGCTTGATCCCATGAATAGACGAGTGCTGTTCGCGAATGAACATGAAGAGCGGGATGTTGACTGCATCGTCTTCTGCACAGGATACCATTTTTCGTTGCCGTTTTTGTCAAGCCTTCAACCAAGCATTATCACCGATGGCCTGCGACCACACAATCTATACCGACACGTATTCTATACTCCTGAGCCCACCTTGGCTCTCATTGGGTTTCAGCAGCGGATCGTGCCATTCGTAATTAGCCAGGCGCAAGGGGCATGGGTTGCGCGGGTCTTCTCGGGGCGACTTGACTTGCCTCCCCATGCCGAGATGCAGCATTGGATCGAGGAGTGGAAGGCTGTGCGTGGTGATGGGCGCAATTTTAATGTTTTTGGCTTCCCTCTCGATGCGGAATATATCAATTCTTTGCACAATACAAGCTCAACAGCAGTGCGCCGCGATGGACTTGAAAATGATGGAAGTGGGAGAATATCACCGTTCTGGGGTGCGAAGGATAAGTGGACAAGGGAGAGAGTCCCATTGATCAAGAAGGCGTCACAGGCTCTGGGTAGCCGGCGAAAAGACATCACAAGGCTTGAAGAAATTGGGTTCAAGTTTGAGGAAAGTTTGGAGGATACAGAGCTGAACAAGGCTCATCTGTGAATAATAGAAGATAGTCGTTCAATAAAACCAGGGGATTCTCTTCTTCAAAGCATATCTGATCCAAGGCCACCGAGTAGACTCATCCATTGTGTTTCCAACGGGCTATTCGTCAAAGCATTATCTGCCGGTGTAAAAGCACTGTTGTGCATACTGATACGTGAACCGAATTGACCATCAGGCATACCGCTCATACCCTCCATAGCAACGAGCTGATGTGAGAGTCGGCGATCAGAGACCTTTGCCCTCAAAGGCCAGATATAGAAGCTTGCTTCACCCAACGTGTTGCTTAATAAACCGGCTAGCTCATCCTGTATTGCCTGTAGTCCAAGCTCCACTTCCAGCCCTGGGGACGTGATGACTGACGATGTAGAAGACTTGCTCAGTGGTATTAATGGGGGTTTTGGCTTGTTATCATATCTGTTAACCGTCGCATGATCCGAGCAGCTTCGTGTGCGGGGACCCAGGACGGGTCGAAGAGCTCCAATAATGAGGCAAGCAGAGTGATCTCCGGGATCTCTGGGAATGTTGGTGACCACTGCGCTACGCAGTAAAGGAATATGGCCGCCAATGAAAGCAAGCGGCACAAAGTGACCCAATTCATGGGTAGGTGCCGATGCTCGTGAAGAATAAGACTCAGTTGGATATACTGCTGAGCCGCTGCCTGCAGCTGGGTCAAGCTATCTTCAGCGGCAGAATTCGCTCGTGCGGGGGTATATAGTAGGAGCAGAAGATTTTGATAGCGAACATTCAACCAGGTGATGGTCGTATGAAACGGCACTTGATCTTGTTCCCATAGCGCCGAGCTAGACAGAAGGCACCCTTGGGTATACCAGTCTTCAATCTGCCGTCGTAGCTCCTGTGTATGCACTGGAGTGCCTTTTTGATAAATTGAGTTCACAATAATAGTCTCAAGTTGGCGGAGAGCAATGACGTGTCTGCTGACCTGCAGCGCGATCGTATATTGGTGACCTTCTGGAGACCCGTACTCGTGGATCATGATGCTTGGCAATGGCACCTGCATTGTGTCATTCGGAATCCCGGATGGAAGTCCATATGATATGCCGATCATGCGATCGAAGACGTAAATTGACCAACTTAGCCGACGGCGCAGCTCTAATGCACGAGGGGAAAGTTTCTGTATGTTTACTGTCTCACTGACTAGACCTGTTGCCAACGCATGGCGGGTGAGTACGCCGACGATGGACCTGGGATCCAGATCATTAGGCTTGAATAGGAGGTACAAGCCAAGCAGGAGTAGTGTGCCTGCCGAATCCTCATTCACTTGGGAGACGCACTCGCAGAAAACTGTCTTCAGACACGGTTCAAACGGTCGCTCTTCCATATTTTGAGCTTCACCGGCACGTTGCAGTGTTGTATACCCGATAGCCATAAGCATATGCAGCCGGCTTGGCACGGTCGATCGCGGGAGAAAGTCATTTTCCGCCTGTTGCTTGCACAGGGTCTCAAAATCCTGCTGAACAACCTCGCTATCTGAAAATGGATACGCACGGTGGACGTGTCGAAAGTAAGCCTGCAGACACCTTCTTCCCCCTGAGACGGAAATAGCCTTGTCGTCGTCTTCCAATTTGGTCGAAAATTGACTCTCGCCACGGACAGTCTCATCGGTCTCCATTTCCTCGACCGGGTCAACTGATGGGGATTGAGTTCCACTAGACCCCAGTGACAACCCTCGGCCCGTTTCAATAGACTCGATCTGCGGCCCACCCGCTGGCAACGTCTGATTCACCAACTGGCTAAGCCAGTCGATTCGAGAACGTAACTCCCTTTCTCTTGAATGCGGACTCACGTCTCGCTCCATAAGGGAACAGGGCAACCAGGCCGCAAGACATGGTTTACATGGCCCCTCTGCAGTTCGCGTGCATCGCTTCTTCTGCTGGCGACACCTTCGGCACGCGGGTAGAGTTGATGAGCGTCGAGCGTGAGCGGGGCCATGCGGGGCCCCAACGGCGGATCCCTGGTTCCGCTGCTCTTTGGTATCTGGTTGCGCAGGGGCATTCCCGCGTTGGACCCGAAATCGATGAACAGAGCCCTCCATGATGGTCGAATGAAAAAGCGACAGAATGAGCTGGCGTTGGAGAGATAGCGTGTCGTGATAAGAACTCGATTGTCATTCGCTGATGAAGCACGCCATATTTACCCCAACAAGCCATTTGTTTGGTGATGCACCGCATTGTCTCTTGACGAGGCTTCGGATTTATTCTCCTGGAAAAGCTGAGTATTCAGAAGTGTAGAAATTCATTTCGATCGAGACCCAATTTTGGACGTGTCAGATTGGGATCAAGATTGGCCAAACATTGCCAACTGGCCTCGTAAGGTGCCATCGTGTAAGCACAATGTCCAACACGGTGTCCAGCTGGAGAGGCGCGACATCAAAAATGACCATACACAGTGAACATCGAGGACAATTCGGCTGGCTGTATTTTACGCAACTTGCTGTATATAAAGTGCGTGTGATGTCCAACTTGATGAGGTATTCAGGATTTGGGTGTTCTGAGATTCGTGACGGGAGCTGAACCGATTGGGGCAGAAGCTTCAAGGTTCCGTGGGAGAGTTGGATCGATTGATGACAATTGTTGTTTTAATTCCACAGTAAAAGCCGAACCCCTTGCTTCGGTCATGGCATGCGGGCGCCTCGATTGCAGCGCAATATATCTTACCCGACTGATTGGGCGCAAATGAGTCCGTGCGACCCACTCACTTCGCTACCTACACAGCTAAGAAAATGAATCAACAATCGATTGCGATTAAGTTGGTGACTATGTGATCAGCTTGATTGCCGAAAATAGAGGGTGGGCTCTGATGTTCATGACTGTCATTCGCAACAATTGATTATATATTAAGCTCGGTGTAACGTTGAACAGGGTGGCAAAGGGGCGATTGAGCCAGTATATCAACTGGAAATCCGAGCCAGGATGGCTGTGTAATATCGTGCCAGATAGAATTAGATGAAAGGTGCGCTGGGTAAAGATCTAAAGTGAGCTAAATGCTAGTGAGTGGGTATTGAAATATGTACAGAAGGTATCCTGACAACCATCTCCGTGATTTTGGTGTTGGGTGTTGGTATTAGCTTTAAATAATAACCATAGTATCATCAGCAATGCATCCAAGAGCTGTCGGCGGCAACGCTGCCCATAATGAATGTGCCAAGCCAAATTCCACCAAGTACCGAGAGGAAATATCCAACATTCATAGTCATAATTGCCAACATCCTAATTCAATGTTAGTTTCAAATTCAAGTCGAAATCAGGGTTGATACAAAGCTTACAAGAGGTAGGCAACACCAGCAAGGATCAATTCAAAGGTTGCACGGCCTGCGGCGGGATTCGCACGCCATCGGGACCATCTCCGTCCGATTTCTTTCATGCTCTTTTGTGTGCCGGACATATGTTTTTGATGATCATGCTCCCCGATCAGAGGTTCACTCGCATGACTGATACCGTCGGTCCACAGGCGACCCTCGAGGACTGGCCGCACGGCGATGAGGACGCGCAATATCACAGCGAGAGCAATCAAAAAGATGCAGGTACCGGCGTAGGTGCCCTTTGATGTAGGAGTCCAGTCTTCGGAATAGAGCGGGGTTTTGAACGAGGTGAAGAATGTCATTGACATCTCTGACATGTACATGGTCATGCTCGAGTCCATGTCCATCGAGGAGCTGGAGGTCGTAGCCATGGACATCGCTGTTGTTGTAGCTGTCGCCATCGACATGGAAGAGGTGGTGGTCATGCCAGACATATCCATCATGGCTGTTGATCGGCTGCGCCGTATATCTTGTCAACAGCGATAGAAATCTCGTCACAGACACGGAAGTACGCGGCCGGGTAGTCTTCAGGTGTCAGCAGCTCTGGTTATATGAAAAAGTTGTAGAAGCTGATCGACCGAGATATCTGACAGATGTGACGAAGTTTTAATTGACAGCCAATGCTGACCCCCCACTCTTTAAAAGGAACACAATTCATTCCTTGGCACATCTTTGCAGCTAAAACTTGCGATCCCGGCGAGTGGGTCTGGTGGTTCGGACCTCTACCAGCATGACGCGCCGAATTTTGCTTTTTTCCCCCACTGAGCAGATATTATCTTCCCCCTGAACCATGCTCAATCGTCTGGCCGAGGACCTTGGTGGCCTTTCAACCACCTAACAGCTCATTCCTTTGGCTTCGAATGCGCAGTGCAAAATACCCGCGATATCCCATGAAATCAACGAGACCACGCGAGAGTGAGTCGAACTCGCATGGTCCAGTGGAGTCAAAGCAGTGGAACTGATTTGCTATCGCGCGCACGAGTCGGGTGGACCCGAAGCGGGAAGCTCCACCACCACTAAGAACGCCCTCAAATGTGCTCATTTTTGCGGGGCGGGAACAGAGCGGAATAATCAAATTAAGCTAAAGGGAAGAGAAAGTAACCACCGCAAATCGACTCATCTCTCCGTATCCAAGTCATTTACTGTTCTATATCTATCTCAGAAGCTCGAGCCGAGGTTTCGGTACTTGATAATAAGCCACCTGGAGCACATTTACCTTATAGATACTCATCTTAGGCTGAATAGCGCAGATTGTCTAATCTCCGATTTGTTTTAATCTGCTCAAGCTCACATCTTGGCATTCCTTGGCAGGCTAGACTGAATACCTATCATAACTTCTGGAATAAGTAGGAATTAGTGTGCGATAGATTGAGCATGTATCGGACTTTTAAACCTGTCAGAGGTCATAGTGGAGTCCAACTCGTATGGAGAACTGATTGACACACAGACCCGAGTCCACGAACCCTAGACTAGCATTAATAATGATGGCCTCCTCTCTGGATCTGGTAAAGCTTGTCTGTTGTCGTTTTTCCTTCTGCAACTTTCGTTGATCATAGATTTTTCTTGTAACGAACTACGCGTCTTATACTGCCGACGCTTGTTCAACGGTCAAGATGGGTATGCTTCCGTTCCTGGACCAGCCGGTCTTGTTGCACTCTGACCGGGATCCGGGAGAGTGCACCATGACACCGGAGCAGTGTGCCTATAAACAGCAGTATTGGGTGTTCTGGTATCAGGCTGATCACCGTTATGCCTTACCAACTGTGGCCTTTTTTCTGGTCGCAATTATTCTTTTCTCAATGGCTCATGTGACGGCGAGTGTCACACCACGGAGTGCAAAGAAGAGCCCAATCTGGTGGCGTCCGCTGGCATTTCTTCGGTTCCTGTCTTACAAGAGCTGGCGAATCGGAGGGTGGAATTCGCAATCCCTGGGTGTTTTCCTCCTTGGAGCCGCAGGCCTAGTCTTTTTCCTTGGTAAGAAGGATCTCGCTCACTCTCCTACTCTTGTCGCTAACCATCTTTCTCGTAGCAATGACCCTTGGGCCACATCCTTATTATTGGCCAAACACCAAAGAACTCAGCTATGGCGGGTCTCCACCCATCGCCACGCGAGCCGGTTTCATGGCTCTTGCCTGCATGCCGTTCCTTATCATCCTTGGCGCCAAAACAAATCCCATCACGCTGTTCACAGGTATCTCCCATGAGAAGCTTTTCGTCTGGCACAACTGGATTGCCTGGGCCATGTTCGTGCTAGCACTGGTCCACACTTTCCCATTTATTGTATATCACATATGGTTAGGTGATATCAAAGAACAGTGGACTAGCGGTGGTGTTTGGGTAACCGGAGTCGTTGCGCTGATCGCTCAAGCATGGTTGACTTTCATGTCAATATCCTGGATCCGGTAAGCTCAACTTCCATGCCTCCCGTTTTCAAAACCTACTAACAACTCTCTCTTTCCTAGTAATCGCTACTACGAATTCTTCAAAGCCACCCATTTCTTCATGGCAATGGTCTTCGTCATCTTCTTCTTCATCCATTGCGATTTCCGCATGTCCTCTTGGGACTACTTTATTGCTACCGCAGTGTTATATACCCTCTCCTGGTTGTACGCGCAATGCCGAACATGGTTCGAGCATGGCATACGACACAAGGCTCGCCTTGTGCCAGAGTCCGACGAAACACTGAAAGTGAGTATCGATACCAAGATGGAGTGGGGGCCTGGTCAGCACATTTTCTTGCGGTTCTTGACATGTGGAATGCATTCTTTCACATCTCACCCATTCACGATCTGCTCCGTTCCGCAAAAGGATGGTAAGAATCAGTTGGTATTCTACATCAAGCAACATGGAGGTTTGACGGGTCGCTTGATGAGCATGGCCAAAAAGAACCCAGAGATGCAAGTACCCGTTCTTTTAGATGGTCCATATGGTGGGATTCCAGCTGGTCGCCTCCAAGAATTCGATAAGTCTCTTGTCGTCGGTGGTGGTGCTGGTGCTGGGTTGACATTATCTATGATTGAAGATTTTGTCCGCTTCTCTTCTTCGGACAAGGAGATGAAGGTCATTGTTGCTACCCGCGACCCGGGTATGAGGGCGTGGTACTTACAGGCCCTGGAAGATTTGGCAACAAGACAGTCTCAACAGAAACCCGTTGCGGGGTTATCTGTTTACATACATGAGACCTTCTCGACACAATTGACGCAGTCCATTACAGATTCGGATGGGAAGGAAGCCGACGTGGGAGAGAGTGGGAAAATGCAAAAAGTGCATTCCAATGAATTTAATCCTTTGACAAGTGAGATGTTTGGTGTTCAGCTCTTTACGGGCAGGCCAGATTTACCCAACGCTACCCGACAATTGGCCAGCCAGGAGGGAACCTCTGTTGGTGTCATTGTCTGTGGTCCTTCTTCCATGACTCATGATGTTGGAACTGCTTCCTCGGATGTTCAAAGCCACATTTTGGCAAAAAGGCCTGGTAGTGCGCGTGAATTGTGGCTGCATAGAGAGAATTTCTCGTGAGTTTCCCTCTTATCCATTGATGCGCGCTTCCAAACTGACGTACTGCAGTTTTTAGATTGATTGGGTGATATCCCGAGCACTTGCTTCTATTGTATATAGTTAATTAAATGATGTCTCTTAACAACTGAGTGTTTCAAAACAAAACGTAAGATATTCCTATAAGTTGCTCATAAGGCATTAATTCTCGATATATATCGTACAAATGTCTCCGCCGATCAAGTGGACTATTACATGTGGGCAGAGGTATGCCCAGGTGGGCAAGAAGTAATATTGGAAGCATCTACTTGTCAGTAAGTAATTATAGTTAACTATACAGTCATTTCTTTACTACTCATACAGTTGGAAGGATTCAAACATGATGTATTAGCGAGAATTATCTGGAGCTCAGCAAGTTGGGACGATTATAGAAGGCATCACAGTAAGGCAAATCGAAAAGTCAAAGCGGAAGGGCAAGGAAATTCGCGAAAGATAGCAATTGATCGAAGCTGGCATAAATATCCACGACGAACAAAGACCAACAAATCACACGTGAACGTAAAGCTATCAGTCATCATAAACTGATTGAAATTGATTAAGCACGCGGAAGGTAGCACAGTGAAATTTTGGACGAGTATGTCTACTGTGCTTAAACGGAGGAGCAAGATCCAGCGCCGTTGCAGCAATATTTGTATCTGTAGGCAGAGCCAGGAGCCGGGCAGTTAGACGCACTTGGAACCGGGCTGCATGAACCACCACTAAATCCGTTTTGCTTGTCGCAGCAGAAGCATGCGGAGGCGCAAGTAGTAGCAGTGGTTGTATAGGTAGAAGTGCTTGTGGTTGACAAAGTATTCGTGCTGGTGATAGTATTCGTGATGGTCGCAGTATTCGTGGTTGACAAAGTGCTCGTGCTGGTGATAGTGTTCGTGGCGGTAGCCGTCGACGTGGCAGAGCAGGTTGAAGTGGTAACGGTATAGGTGGCTGTCGCAGTCGTAGTTGTGGTACAGCTTGTCGGAGTGTTTGGCACACAGATGCAGCCCCTGTTTTGTATTAGCTCTGTAAGACTCTAGATTTTCATCGAGATAAACTCACCCCGTAGTTTGTCCGACAATATCGAGTCCAAGGAGACCGCCAGATGCTGAGGTGTCACAGTACCCTGACTCGTCTCCCTCTTTTTTACACTTGATAAATCAGCCTGTTAGCATACATATAATATCTCCGGATATCCAAATGTATCTTACCTTGACATCGCAAGCGACCGCGTCACAACTGCCACCACCACCACCACCGCCACCAGTTCCAATTCCAATAGTTCCGGAATTGTCGAGGCCTCCGCCCACACCACCGTCATAGATCTTGTTCCCATTCGCATTATCACCGCCCCCATATCCGTACATACTCTTGCCCTTGACCTTACCCCCAGTCCATTGGCCTGGGTCGTCACTCGGGTGCGCAGTGACAAGAGCACAGAATAGCAGGGTAGGAAGAACGAAACGCATTTTCGCAATTTTGGCCCGGGTTTTATTGGATCGGTAAAGACTGAATAAGAAAGATATCAAGTTGAGGTGTCAGATTGTTGTGTCGTTGACTGAGCACGGGAAGGTTTATATAGTATTCTGAGGATCGTTCTTCATCTGTCAAGTCTTTCTTTTCACAAACCCCAAGGAAACCCTCAAAGGTTGAACAGAATACCTTACCACTTCCTTCAGAATGCACATCATCCATACTTTCTCTATACGAACAAAAATGTAGTCAAGTCACACCTGGGCAGCAAAATTTTGGTACGCGCAGAATACCTTGGCGTTAAAACCCTTTCCGGCTGAATACTCCGGCCAATTGTGATTGGAAAACCTAGGAACTGATTGGCCGGGTGTACGTGCCCTCACCTCTGGTGTCCATGCCCTGAAGAAGAGTCAATATAATCTCAGAATTCGTGTTCCTGCAATTTGCATCCCAAAACAGGATGTCGAGTGTAGAGAGATCTCGGGAGAGAAAGTTGGTTTGAGGAAGATTATCGTTTTTGATTCTGTAAAAATTCCAGATTTTATTTCTGTTCTTGTCTATAATCTTAATTCATGAGCTTTGTAGCTACTCAAATTAAGCGGTACTGTATGCTTAATTGCTTCTCCAGGGCTCTTCTCGAGATCCTTGGTGACATGGAACACCGCATTTGCACTCCTGCTATACGCGCCTTACTTCGGGAATTGAACGAAATATGCAGTGCATAGCTGGTCACTAGTGAAATATGTAATCAATATCTCCCTACAAAGTCTAAAATATGAAGTACTACATCTTTCTTGACTGGCCTGGAAGGTCTGCAGGATGATTTGAGGGGCATCTAAACGCCTGCTTCTAAGGCTGTGTGTGTCCCTCCCTGTATCTAGGATCGTAGGGATGTAACCGGCATTATGCTCCGTCCAGTACACACATACTGTATAGCATAAGGTTCTGGAGGATCTAAGGATCGCCATTCCTAAGCGCTAGCAAGGGGTATATGCACTAGAGTGGCAGCGGCCGCGTTGGTGTGTAGAACGGAAGGGATTGGTCGGGTCTAACTTTAATTTTGAGACTATCATATTTAGGCTTTTTATTGGGTTCAGGGTTGACATCGTAGGGTTCAAATCTTATCGGGAGCCCTGGAATGCTAGGGCCTTTCCCAGGCCCATGGTACAGGTGTATAGTACATTCCAAAACTTTTGCAAATATATAAACCAAATGTTGGTCGCATTGTCACCAAGCCGCTAATTTTACCCCATTTCATTGCATGATTCAGTTGATCCTCAAAATAGGGAGACTGTGCAGAAGCCTCTTCAACAGTTCTGTTTCTTCTTCTTTTTTTTTCCCTTTTCAACCAAGCGTGAGCGAGGTTGTGGGACATATTGTTGATATGCCACCGCTCCGAAATACAATCATATGTTTGCTGCTGATATCGTTTTTGACTTGGCAGCTCATAGCTGGGAAAAGATATTGGAGCAGTGCTGGCTACACATTTCGCAAGGATGTCCACTTGAGTTCTCGAGTGGCAATAGCCATCTTCATCACAAACCCGCAGACCTACCTTCATCTCGGATTAAAAAACAAAGATTGTATGAAAATCTGATTTCAAAAGTGTACTTTGAATATAAAGATTGGATATCTTTAATACATGATCACTGACTTTGTTTGTATCATTACAGATTATGCTAGACTGCATGGTTATGATCTTCATGTTGATTATGAATCTTATTCTACGCGAGGGACAACATGGCTTAAATTTGACATGGTTGAACGCATAATCAAGGCTGGAAAGCACGACTGGGTCTGGTACCTGGACTTCGACACTCTCATCACAAACACAAATATGAGTTTGACGAACATAATTAATGAGAGTTTGGCAAACTCGACAATGCCAGACGCAATTGATTTCCTCGTCACGAATGATTGGTAAGTCATCTAGAAGCCACACGATGTATGCCTTGAAAATGTGTTCTCTGATTAGTCTCTAGCAATGGACTCAACGACGGTTCATTTATCGCTCGGTCATCTCCCCGCTCTATTAAACTCCTTGACGCAGTACGTGCTACCCATGATAGAGAAAAGGAACAGAGTGGAAAAGCAATGAGTGACCAAGACTCTATGGACGTATTTCTCAAAAGCGATTCTCCGCTTGCCCAACATGCGATGCACATTCCTCAATGGACAATCAATGCCTTCCCTGAAGAAATCGGCTGCTATGATACGCACAAGAAGAAATGGGAAAGGGGGATGTTTGTAGTCCATTTTGCAGGTGCATGGGCTCATGTAACTGGGGAAGATCCGACTGGCCAACTGATGAGGAAATATGAAGGTGACATAATTTAGGACCATCTACCGTACAGAAATTGGTAAACCTACACTACAAATGATCACCGGAGACCAATGTGTTGTACTCGTAGGAAGAAAGAGGGCTACAGTAAGTGGGTTGATGCAGCCCCATACAGTTCCACCAATCACCGCTCCGTAAGTTCTGTCTCCATGGTCCACTTCCCGAGGCCATTCCTCGCTTCGTTTTGACTTTTCTGCCTTCATCATATTCCATGTCCCGTTTCTTGACTATCATGTCTACCTCTGGCCTTTCCCAATAGTCACATTTTAGTCAGCAATGTGAACCCCATCCAAGTTTCATCTGGTCTCAGCCACAGGTAGCCGTGGCGGATCAGCAATGCGAATCTACCGGGCCGTGAATAGAATTAGGTAAAGGGAAAAAGCATTAGGCTTACTACAATTTTTATATTTAGGATCACCGTAAAATATTCACAATTTTATTAGATACCTTGAGGGTTCCCTGTTCTGAAAAATTTGAAGCTACTTTTAAGTACCACACTTTTGATGGGAATGAAACGCCCCTCACGTGACAGGTACGCCATGGCGCATAATGTAAACTAAGGCGCGACTGGCTTGCAAGTTCCCGCGTTATTGTGGGGTAGTAGGTCTTAGCCCTGCTTCGGAATTGAAGAACCCCGGAATAGAAGTTGCAAGCCCCGGATTCATTATAATTTCTGGAGTAAACGACCAATCTATGAGTAACAGAAATGTCATAAGTAACAAATTGTGCAATCTTATCATAAACGGCCAAATGGAGGGGCCCCGGGGGGTTCAGGAACTGCTGAGCCGGGCCGGTGGTTTATATAGAAAGGCCGGGCCGGGCACAAGCCGGAGTCGTGTCGGTCAGGAAACTGCCCCGAACTGAAAATTTCTGTAAATTACATGTTTTGCAGTGTAATTTCTCAAGGGTTTCCCAAAAGTTTGTGACCAACCTAAAAAGCCTAATTCTGCCACCCTGGTCAAATTTGTTGATATAAGGCTATTATAGCTCATTTTACTGAGGAAAGATAGATTAGACTAGCAATAGCGTGCATTTCTTGAGGGAACGCTCCACCAAAATTGTCTTCCAAACATCCTGATGCCTTTTCCAGAGCGTGTATAACCGCGCTTACCCATGCAAAGAGGGCGGCCAGAGCCGGTGGTCGCAGACTTTCCGAGCGCCACCGTACAGCCATAACCAGGAGATCAGTCCTCGGTCGCTAGCGGCTACAGAAATCTCCCGCTGGTGGATGCAGGAACGCGTTCAGACATACATCCGCCATTCACCGGTACCATGTAGGGGCAGAACAGCTCAATTGCACTCCACAAAGTGGAACTAACAGTACCCCGGAGATAGCGGAATGGAATATCGATTGTTGAAGTAATCCCGTAAGAAGTTTGTACCCTAAGATAATTTCCATCGCCACACGCCAAGAAAAAAAAAATGGGTCGATATATTCTCCCCATCTTTGGGCACCTCCACGTCGCGTAACTTTTAGCTTCTTGTTTCCTTCCCTTCTCTCGTCTAGAAGTTTGCTGTTTTAGTCTTTCCAGCATTTTTCAGACATCATGACCGCCACACATTTATCTGGTTCCAGCCCGCCTGACATCGAGGTATACGATGATATGATGGAGACGGAAAAGTTGGAGAAGCCTCCTATCGTCGACGATCCTTTTGGAAATGAAGAATCCGGGGAAGTGAAGTATCGTGTGATGAAGTGGTGGTAAGTTTCATTTCATCTTGTGTGATTTCTATTAATGATCTCGGAGTTGACCATTATAACAGGCAAGCTGGAATGCGTAAGAATTCACCATTGCAACTGGTCGACTTGGATAAATCCTCATTCTAACCTTTTCTCCAGTAATGGTTGCTGAAAACATTTCACTCGGTATTATGTCTCTACCATCCGCTGTGGCAACTCTTGGAATTGTCCCGTAAGGAACCTTGACTCGGATGCGCTGCTCATTGAACGCTAAATTGTCCCAGGGCACTTCTCCTCATTCTCGGCCTATCTGGCATCTCATGGTACACCGGCTATGTCTTTGGTCAGTTTAAGCTGCGCTACCCCCATGTGCACAGCATGGGTGACGCCGGCGAGATTCTTATGGGTCCCATTGGACGAGAGATCTGTTACTTCGGCCAGCTGCTATTCATTATTTTCCTGATGGCTAGCCACATCCTCACCTTCACCGTGACATTCAACACCATCACAGACCACGGCACTTGCACCATCGTCTTCGGAGTAGTGGGTTTGGTCGCGTGCTCCATTGCTTCCCTCCCGCGGACCTCAGAGAAGGTGTTCATGATGTCCACCATCTCTGCTGCCAGTATTCTGATCGCCACGATCGTTACTATGGTCTCTGTTGCAGTTCAGGAGCCTGCCGACGTTGTGAATGAAATCACCACACACCCTACTTTTGTTAACGCTTTCTTGGCCGTGACCAATATCGTCTTCGCTTTCATCGCCCACGTGTCTTTCTTCGGTATCATTTCGGAGATGGAGGATCCCCGCCAGTTCCCCAAGTCTCTGGCTATGCTTCAGGTTGTCGACACTACAATGTATGTTGTGGCCGCGATGGTCATCTACTGCTATGTAGGCCCGGATGTTTCGTCTCCCGCTCTTTCAGCTGCCGGGCCTGTGATGAAGAAAGTCGCCTACGGCCTTGCGATTCCCACAGTAGGTCTTTCTTGCCCCCAGAGTTGTATCTTAACATTTACTGACCATGACAGGTTATTGTTGCTGGTGTCGTTTTCGGACACGTTGCATGCAAGTACATTTATGTCCGCATCTTCCGAGGCGAACGCTCCCACCACATGCACCAGCGCAGTCTTCTTGCTACTGGTACTTGGGTTGCCATCTGTTTGAGTACCTGGACTATTGCCTGGGTTATTGCCGAGTCGATCCCTGTGTTCAACGATTTGTTGAGCCTGATTGTATGCCTCCCGTCTACCTTTTGGTATTGTGCACCGCTAATTTTTGTCCTCACAGAGTGCTCTCTTTGGAAGTTGGTTCAGCTGTAAGCCTAAAAATCCAATCTACTCTATTGTTCAAACATATACTAACTTCAGGAAGACGGCCTGCCTGCCATTTTCTGGCTAGTCATGAACAAGGGACAGTGGTGGTCGACACCGAAAAAGATCTTCCTCACGATCGTCAACTTCCTGATTCTAGGAATCGCTTGCGCTATTGTAAGTTTTTTGACAATCATTTTCATTTTACTTGGTGTATGGTGCGCTGACTGAATTAGTGTGGATTGGGACTTTATGTCTCCGGCAAGTCTATTCACGACAGCACCACAAACTCCAGCTGGACTTGTGCTAGCAATTCTATATAGTGTGTATGTCGTCGCCCATGTATATAGATTTAGATGTTATGTGATACATAGATATGACTCAGTGAAAATGTTATATTATACAATTGGTTTGCCAATGTTCAAGATATGTATGAATATATGTATATACAAACTCTCTTAGCTGCTCAAGAAGCAGGAGAATGAAAGAATGGTAAAGGAAGATATGTGAAGAGAATGAAGTGATCAGCCAGGCTAGAAAGCCAAGGCATTCGGGAGCCTTGTAAAAGGGCATCTAAAATACCGGGCGTCAACCGCAGTATTTTTACTCAAGTCAGTGCTTACCACTGCTTGAGAGTGGCCTCCCAGCGCTTGATGAAGTCGATGCGGGCCTCGCTCTTGGACAGAACACCAGCACCCCAGGAGTTACCAAGCCACATGACGTTCTTGTCCTCGGTAGTAGTGGGCCAGTGGACCAATCCGTCACCATTGGGGTTTCCGGTCTTAATGAAGTTGGCCCAGTAGTTGGACATCTTCTCCTCAATACGGTAGTCAAGAGAAGTCCAGGTGACGTTGTCGTAGTCAGAGTATGGGATGTTGTTAAACACGTACCACAGCTCACTGCCGTGGTAAGCGCCAGAGGTAGCATCCTCAGCAGGAGTGTGAGTCCAGTAGTAGGTGTAAACGTTGCTCTTGGCACCACCAGCGGTCCAATCAACACCCCAGCGCCAAGTACCAACACGGCTCAGATCACGGAAAAGCTCGTTGCTGTTCTCGTTGGCCTCGGTCTCATTGTTGGCAGGGTAGAGAGCGAAAAACTCGTCCGCGAAATCGCCGAACATCTCAGAGTAAAGCTTCTTGTAAGTGGCAACGGTGAAGCCGGGGTCAGTGGAAGCACCGGACTCGTCGGCGTTGTTACCAGTCAGAATGGGGACGTCAGCGTGCGCATCCAGGTCAAGAGCCTCGCCGTAGGTGTGGGTGAGAACGTAACCGTCGATGTTGGGGCGCCAGAGAGGAGGCTCCATGAAGGAGCTAGTAAGGTTCTCGAACTGGGTGCCCTCGAAGATAGTGTCACTAAGGGAGCCACCGTAGCTAATGATATCCTCCATGGGCAACTTGCGCATCTCAGCAATAGAAGAGGTGTTCATCTCCTTCACGAAAGTCACACCCTGGGACTCAGCAGCAGCCTTGGTGCGGTAGCTAGTGGCGTCACTGCCGGTAATAGGGTCGTGAGGGCCACGAGCACCGGACTCAGAGATAACACCGTTGATCATATCCTTAGATAGGGGAGAGAACATCATGTCGAGCGAGCTGGCCGATCCGGCGGACTGACCACCAACGGTGACCTGGTTAGGGTTTCCACCGAATTTGGCAATGTTCTCCTGCACCCAGCGCAGAGCGAACTGCTGGTCCAGAAGACCGTAGTTTCCAGAGCTGTTGTGGCCGGACTCAGCAGAGAGTTCAGGGTGGGCGAAGAACCCGAAAGGACCGACACGGTAGTTGATGGTAACAACAACGATGTCCTTGCTGGCAAGACCCGAGCCATCGTAGGTAACGACATCACCAGATCCGGCTTCAAAGCGACCTCCGTAGATCCAGAAGTACACGGGGAGGTTCTTCGAGGTCAAGTCGCTGGTGTCATTGTAGGTGGGGGTCCAGACGTTGAGGAACAGGCAGTCCTCGCTGGAGATGTTGGAAGCAGTGTTGAAGATTCCAGCAGAGGAGGAGGTCGCCTGTGCGCATTGAGGGGCCCAAGAGTCAGCCTTCAGAACGCTCGACCAGGCCTTGCGAGGCTTGGGAGCCTTCCAGCGGTTTTCACCGCCAGTAGTGGCGGCGAATGGGATACCCTTGTAGACAGTGATTTCGTCACGGAATTCAGAGGCAACACCTTGAACGGGACCCTTGTTGGTCTTGATCACAGGGTACTTGGAGGTGGAACGACGGATGGGTTCGGCAGTAGCCAGAACCGAGCCGAGAGCCAGCCCAGCCAAGAGGGAAGAAAAATGCATAACGAAAAGAAAGCTTAACGAAAGGATGAGATGGAGAATCAAGAGGACAGGGGATATGGAATTATCTTTAAATATTGATCGACTCTCCTTGCGGGCGGTTGGAACATAGTTCTGCAGAAAGCGCCACGCTATAATGGTGGAGACGTGAAACGTACGTTATTGCCCACGTCATCGAATTATGTGCTTGAATTAGGCTATATTGCTCCATTAAAGGAGGCGGGTAAAAAAGCCTCGCGCTGTTATGAGGAATAAACTCCACAGAACCTTGGCGATCAGGGCCGACGGTGGGTCTCGGAGATCGTGAAAACTCGCCCCGGCCTTCCGCATACGGAAACCGAGGCCGTAAATCCGAATCTACCGCCATTCGACAGCGGGAGCCGCGCGTTCGAGGCCCGGAAGCAATATGCCGTGGACTTTCATGGCTTCAGATATATGCCGAAAATTCTATAAACAGGAATTTGAGACTTGCCAATACTTTCGCGGTGAGTTTGATGAACTACGAGTAATGGTCATCAGCCGTCCGAGTTTCATGAATCTTTAACGCTGTTTCAAAAGGCACACGGAAATATACGCTGGCTTTACGATATTTGATCCTCTGCATCTAGCTAACGTGCTTGATTTTTGTACCATACATGGTTAGGTACAACATCGCAATCTTCTCGCTGTTGACATTAGAACACTATACCACCCCCCGCGGTTGCACGGTGGTTCCGCTAGGCATGATGTGGAGATGATGACTGTAGTACATACATAGACGTATGCTCTCTCCACTAAGTTAAGTTATCTATTGCAAACACGTGGGCAGCTCGGAGATATGCTTTTGAAACTGCTTTCGGATAGGTCGCTACTAGTACTAAAGCCGCACTTTAGATCCGGGATCTGTGGCCTCAGCGTTTCAGAGTTAAACCCGAGCTTCCATCCAAATGTTTCTAGAAGCGGGTTCTTCAAGTAGTCGTTTTAATTAACACAGAATGTAGACTCAACAGAAATGCCCTGTCATCTCGGTATAGCGTTGGGTGGGTTGTTAGGTGCCTACGTAGGACTCGTCATACTCCGACGGCTTTCTGAGACAACGTAATGGAACCCTGAAATGAGCTGAAACTCGATTTGACTGTTGAAGAATTAGTTTTTGAGATCGTTAACCGCATTCTTGAGGAAATCGCTCAGGTCCGCCTCATCTATGATGTCTCGTAGGTATTTATCTCCTCATCAGAAGAAAAATCACAGATTATTTGGAAAATGTAACAAGAAAGGCAAAAAACAACAGCCGAGCTTGGATAGCAGGCGATCGCGGTAACCACTGCGCCATTGCGACAATCGTCGCAACCAGGATTCGAACCTGGGCATCCGAAGAAAATCGCTGTACTTAAACCCTTACGTCAGACTGCTGTTGAGAAATTTTCTCCAATTTTCGGTACAACCTACCTACATGAAATTGAGAAAAGAGGTATTCTGAAGGTCCACCACGTGACCCGAGAATCGACAGAATATAAACGTAATTCCCTAGCGAGCACCCGGTCAGCCGGGACACCTCAAAACACATGATCAATTCAATAAATGACAACTTGATATTTCAAAAACCATAGCTTCTCTTAGATTTTCTTCGTAGATGTATACTGCTTATACTATCTCAAGTCTACCCCTGGGGTATAAATAATTTTTATGGGTGGCAAAGTCAAAGATATATTTCCAGAGCTTCAAGTGCCAAACCATGGTGTATTTGATGACCACAGTGTAAAAGACTCCATTAAATCATACCAGATTCCAAATACAAACTATAATTATATCGAAGAAATAGAATCGAAATTCTGATGGAGTTTACATGTGTTGTCGCTAAGATATAAAATCGCATTTACTATATATTTTGGAGTGCCCCGGCGGACCGGGTGTCCCGCTCGCTAGGGAATTTGGTTATATAAGCGATTATATAATCCTACTCCTGATTTTGGACGTGGATTTTTCATAGGTAATAATGCATAATTGCGGTAGATGAAAGACATGAATGGCCTACTTTGGCCCATTTCAGCCGTTGTATTTAAAATTGGCCTTGTTCATGGCTCTGTCGAACCGGTCGGATCGAATGAAGTCTGGGAATGCTGCTGTGGAGAGAGGTCACACGGTCGAATGAATGTGGAGAATCGGATGCGGGATTCTAGGAAGCCCCCATGTCGAGGTAAATTGGGTGTTTCTGGTCTTGCCAATTTTACAGCCTGTACAATTCTTCCGTTTTCAAGGGACTCGAGGGGATGTGGAATCAAATCTCTCTTTGTTCTATTCTCGTAGTATGAGATTATTGGCGGGATGGAAGTTTGATCGTGTGCATCAGTGCCTGAAGTTCCAGGCCTCATAACAAAGTGTCTCTCATACGGTCTCTCCTTTCCCCCCCTCATTCCTCATTTAGATAGATCACCTCCGTGCTTCCGGTCCCTCCTAACCCAATGAATTCCTGCTATCTTTGACCTTTCTTGAACCCCCTGCTCTACCTTTACCGGGGTTTCTCCCACACAAACACAAGAGCGGGGATCCATGTTAGACCCAAGTAGCTAACAATAGCGTGGGCGAATTGTATGGGGTACAAGGCGATAATGATGTCCCCCGCAAAGCTTTGAAAGGCGAAACCAGGACGATCCCATGGCTCCGGCTCTGATCAGCCAATTATGTCATGCAACCGTACCCGTTATGACCACAACATCGCCCAGGTGGAAAGGTAAATTACATGTAAGAGTCATCACACCACAACCTTATGATGGCTTTCCCCGCATTCTCGGGCAATACTTAACCCAGAGTTGGCCACAAAACCAATTGCCATCAACATTCAGGCTTTCCCACTTACAAACTATTCACACACTTATCATCAATACAATGTCTACTACCGACATGGACACCCAGTACAATACTCAATGGGTTTCATTCCACATCCGGGATCGCCTGGAGGATGGCCAGGTCACTGTGCACCACACTGTCATTGAAGAGTATCTCTCCCTTTGCCCTCCAGGAGCCTCAATGCCAGTAAATGTGTACTAATACCCTGTAGCGGCGAGTTCTATAGTCCCGAAAACCGTCGTAGGTCTCTCTCCGAAGAGGAGATCGACGAGATCGTGATCCCCTCGGATGGCATCGGCGAGATCAGTGCTGGTGGCCGCCGTGGTAGTGAGGGCCGCCTGGATCTTTTTCATGATGATGCTAAGATTTGTGAGCTTCATTGGGAGAATCGTGGAGGGAATCATGTCAACTTGGTTGAGGTGTTGGACAATTGTGACAAGTATAGAGTCGAGTGCGGGGGATGGAGTCCCGAGGCGGGGCCCTTGGGACATGTATTTGTGGATATTACGACCAAGAAGAAGTAGCCTTCCTGGCAACTGTAAGAGTGGGAGGAGACTGCGCAAAGGCCTCTTCTCCGCTTTTCTTCGGGTCGATCAGCCGCCCCACTGATATTTATGATTTATTACTAGTTTATGTTGAATGAATTTGATTTACTGAGACTACAGTCAGACACCTTGGGATAATCCTTGAAATAATTGATCATGTATTTAATGAAATGGTTAGGAGATGGGAAGTTGGCCTGGGGTTTCAGGCATGATGCGCAGAGGTCAGGTGTCCAAACCATCCCTTGATTATCAGGCATGCCTCGGGCCCAAAAGGCCGTTCTCCTCCAAGCGAGCCAATTATATGGTTCTTGATTAAACTCTACTTTCTACCGCCTCAGTTTGGTGAATTGAGGGTTCCATTATGCAGTAATAAAAAAGCCCTTCATATAGGTATTTCCCATCGGCAGACATGTAGCTCGTTGTGAGGCTCCCCTTGATTATTTCAAGATCGGATATTGCTGCTTTTCCTGCAAAGAATCTCGAAAGTTATCTGGCGCACATATTCTCCGTGCGTGCACGGTGGCAACATATTGTTCACAAAATGTTGGTGAAATTATTGAATCGGAGGCGCCACCTGACAGGATAGTGGGAAGCAGGAATAGTTGACCTTCGATTGCGCCCATGATGCCGTCGATGGAGAATGCACCACAGGACTGGATTTGGTGGAGGTTCTAGGACAAGCTGTGGCGAAGAGATGAGTGGAATTCTTTCCTCGTCTTGAGGAATTGAGAATATCACCTCGTCGGGTCAGGAAAGGGAACTAGTAGAGTAAGGGTAAAGCAAAAGCTTATTTCTCGTCAACACGGGCGGAGGATTTGGGAGTGAGAGATTGGCATGGTGGTTGAACCCACTCTAAGCAAGAAGAGACAATGTCATATACCTTCCGTTGATACCCCCGGTAGAGCTCTCATGGTTAAAACAGCGAGCTGGAGTACTTTTGACCAGAAGTAAGAATTGTATTGTAATTTTTCTAGTAGACTTTTTGTCTCTGTTCGGGCCGCAATGGGTCTAAATTCCCCTCCTTTCGTAATATTTCCACACTTAATCTCTCGAAGCACCAAACGATGCTGCTCAATTTGGGGACAAAGAAGAGATTTATGTCAAAACCTTGAGACAAGATATGAACGGGATTCGACTAGAATGAGAAAGTCATATTGACTTAGTATCTGGGGTGGCCATGAGCAAGGTTGGATTGAAAGGCGCTCTTCAGATCTAATATGGAAGCTCATCTTACTCCTTGTTGTTATGATGCACGTAAGTAAGGAACAGTTCGAGTACGCAATAATAAATCCATTCATGCTTTAACAGAAAGAAAACACAGAGATACTAAATTAGAAGAAATGAAAGAGTAATGAAACGAGGACCAAACAAATAATCTTACTTCCCAGCAATGATGCCAGGAACATACCCAGCAAGGATTCAGACCCATGATGGATAGTAGCCATTCAGTTGAACGGATTCTCAATATCAGCCGCGTTCTCGACTTTTGGATCAACCTCCAAGGTGCAACTAGGCTTGTAGACCAGAGTCTCGGGCTTGTTCATTTCAGGTTCGGCCGGAAATCTGCAGATAGGCTTGCTAACCAGGAGGGTCATATCACAAGTATCATTCTCCTCCCTCGGCAACCAGCCGCCGTCGGCACGAATAGTCTGGAGAGTGTGCCAGTGAGATTTGGCATGCTCATTTGCAGCAGAGACCTGCACCTTGGCAGCCTCAACATCAATCTTAGCGTCGTGCAGTTTGCCGAGGAGACTTTGGATCTCAACCTGGGCACCCATTTCTTTCTTTGTCAGCTCACGCAGTTGCTGATCCAGTGTCGCTTTCTCTCCTTGCGAAACTCCGAAGTCTGTCGTCATCTTCTGCAGTTGCTCGCGGGTGGCCTTAACGAGCTCGTCAAGCTGCGCACGCGATGTATCAAGGCGGGCATTATCCGCCTCGAGTTGTGCCACTTTGGCCTTTGCGGCTTTTAGTCCATCCTCTGCCTCCTTTTTGGCAGTTTCTTGAGCTTTGCGCTCAGTCTCAAGTCGTGTGACTAGTGCTTCGCGCTTGGCGTCTTCGACCTTGTCATCTTCCTTCCACTTCTCGAACGCGGCAGTCAAGGCCTTGCGATCTGCCTCATCTCCTGAGTGCTGAGAAATAAGCCTATTGAGCTCATTTCGCTGATTACGCACACGAGTCTTCAGGGTTTCATTCTCTGTGCTCAGAGAGACCATTTCAGTGAAACAGCCTGCGATGGTCTCTTTGAATCCCTCGATTTGCTCATCATCCCGCTTGTTGTGTCCCTCAAGGAAGCTGTTGCGGCTCTGCACCTTGGCATTTTCGCTCTGCAAATCCAGATTCTCGTCAACGAGAATGTCCACTCTGGTTTGGAGCTTCTGGAGCTGGCGGGTGAGCTTCTCATTGTCCTCCTGGGCACGTTTGATAGAGAGCTTTTGGCTAGCGGCGTTCTGTGATTTCCCAACGTCAGCATGGGCGAGGTGTCGTTGGATGCACCAATGACTCTTACCTGCTCTTCAATCAAGGCCATCCAGCCTAATCGCTCGACAAACGCATCCGTCCAGGCAACCATGCTCCTCAGCTCCTGGGGAAATGGGAGGGCGCCAAGAACCTGGGGGAATTGAGCCGGTCGGACATGCTTCACGCACTCGAAGCTGCGAATCTCGGTCTGGACTTTGATCTGTGTCTTACTGGACAGACTCTTGCCATTCAAGACGGTCTGGCTGGTGATAATGTCCTTTCCGGCATTGCTTGCCTTCAGAGCGGCGACACCGTTCCCATTGATACCGTTGGTGCCGTTGATGCCGTTGGTAGCCTGAACAGTCTTGACTGGTGCCGGAACGCTGGCAGTGTCATTTGAGCTGCTGGGAGAGTCAGCACGACCCTTTCGCTTTCTAATCTGAGGAAATGAGGAGGCTGACGTTGTGGTGTCCTTGGAAGGAGCCATTGCGATTGTTGTGTCTGATTAAGCTAGAAGAACCTTTATGTGATTGTTGTCGCTGTCTGAAAAAACACATGGCGGGAATTGAGCTTCTATATATACCCTTTTGTTGTCGTTGTCTCCAGTCAGATCAGAAATTCTTTCAGTCTCTTGTCTTCTAATTTCAGGCTATTTCGTCGTCAATTTTCTCCGCAACGGACGTGATTCGGCACGGGCCGCCCCACATGTCGGCTCGAATGAACTACTTGACTTCTTAAAACTCGTTCCTGCAGATGTGGGGCAGCTGAAGAACACACGATGGCGTCGGTTCTGAGCACCTTCGCCTTAAATATCCAAAGTTGATGGCCTCATGAAGCGGGGGTGCCCTCTCACTATTGGTGGTAGCAGCGCCATCACTCCTCGAACATTGAAGAATCCGGAGACTGGTCAAACTGTCTGTGAATAATCAGCCTCGGCCATGCCGATAATATTCGAATTTTGTGGCGTCGCGAAGCTCTCTGTGCCCCTACATCCTGCATCGGCTGATGCCAAAGGCGCGTACGATGAGCTATAGTCCTGGCTCGCCGCTGCGGCCTGTGTGATTGTCTCCAAATTGAAGATATGATTCGTAACTCTCTCCGGGTATCATGAACAGAAATGAGGACATCAGCTATTTCAGATACGGCATCATCAACTGAAGTATGTTATTGGTCACATCCCTGGCTATCAGCACCGCCAGTGCCAAAATTGAAGGAGAGGTGAAATTTGGATTACGTGTACCTAGAGGGGAGTAGGCAAAGCAGCCCTTTTGCTTATTTGAAAGTGCTTCCATCAAATTCCATCAGAGTCTGGATAGCAGGTGATCACCAAACCTGTAAGACCGCGGGCTTGATCGGTGGCCATGTCTTTCCCAAGCTCCACGATGATTACGTTCCTGTGAAGACCGTCAGCGTAGGTCTTGGAAACAACGGAGTTGTTCAAGGCCGACAAAATCAGTGGCGCGAGAATTGTTCACAACATTGACGAGGCTTCTTCCAAGGTTAGTCACACTGATTGACATACTATTTTCCTGGACGGTAATCGGCTTCAATCGAGAGAAGGACATTCTGCGCCAACTTTGTCTATCAGCAGTGCCGTCTTGATCGTTGGTGGGTAGCTTGCCAGTGTTGCCAACAGCTCAAACTTGGCGCCCATGGCAACTAGTCAATTCTTTCACAGTTGGAGTCACAAGGCAAGTCTAGGCTCTGATTTTTGAAGACTTTGACATGCCGGCGGTGCGGCGGAAACAATGCCTATGATTGACAGCTAGTAGCATTTTCGGGCGATCGACTCATCATCCCGGGGCTCCACTTCCGTCAGCATTTCCGTGGAAACCCCTCAACCTGGCCGTGGCGTTACTGGCCTCCTGAACGTTTGTGGCCAACTATTGGAGAGTAAATTGATCCAAGCACGGTACTAGCTTGCTGCTCCTTCGTCATTACTCAAGATTTTCATATAAATTAATATAGCGCACAAGTCCACCATCCGTTGCGATCTCCTGTATTCCTTTTCCTGCCAACTGTACCTGAGCTCACAACATTGCCGAACTACTCGCCCAGATGAAAGCAATCATCACACATCGATATTTGCCTAGGCGCATACTGAGTCTTGCCGTCGGTAGTCTGCTCGGGCAGGGCAAGTCAACGATGTCCCCATTCCAAACATCACTGATAGTGAGGTTTTGGTAAAAGGGTGTGCCGTCGCGCTAAATCCGATAGACTTCAAAGACATCGATTTCATCTCCCCACGCAATTCTGCCATTGGTTGTGACTACGCGGGCGAGGTGGTTCGGGTTGGCAAGAATTCGGAACGGCGTTGGAAGATTGGTGACAGAATCGCTGGCTTTGTTCACGGTGGCTTGTATCCCGACATTGGCTCATTTGCGGAGTACGTGAAAGTTGATGGTGACTTGGCCTGGAAGGTGCCTGACGAATTGACGCTGGGCGAAGCCACCACTTACGGAGTTCCTGCAGCCACCGCGATGCTGAGTCTTGCGTACCTTGACATTCCGTGGGTGGATATTGAGAACGGACGCAGCGCTCAAGGTACCCAATCAACCATTGTCATCTACTCATGAGGCTCGAACGTTGGAATCTTTGCTATTCAATTGGCCAAGAGAGCAGGATACAATGTTGTGGCAACGGCCTCGCCACGTTCCTTCGACCTCGCAAAGCGGTATGGTGCCGATGCAGTATATGACTACCGGACCTCTGCATCCATTGGCGAAATCAAGAAAGCCTATCCGAATATCACGAAAGCTCTGGACTGCTTTTCTGAAGGCAGCTCTGCCGCCTTCTGTGCTGATGTGTTGCGAGAGGGCAAAGTGGTCACGCTTCTTGACCAGGGAAAGCCGAAGAAGGCAACCGTGACCTATGCTTTCCTCATGGTTTATAGTGTGTTTGGTCGCAAGTTCCAACTGATGGCGCCCCTTGGCCCTGTTTTTCCAGTGATGCCGGCAGACCGCGAAGTCATCGGCAAGTTTTATGGTAGCTTGGCCACCTTGAGCCTTGACGCCGTGAGACCCCCACCCATCACAATGATCAAAGGCGAATTCAAAGAGATATTCGATGGCCTAGAAACACTTCGTAATGGGGAAGGTCGAGGCACAAAGCTTGTTATCGAGTTTCAGTGATTAACGTACTCCCTCTCCCAATGGTGACGATGTTCGTCACAAGCGACCAGTACTTCTTACTCCTGCCTACATCCGTCATGTTATTTCCGAGCTGCGATTTGTACGGTCGAAGATTCATTTTGTTCTCTATCATTCATGGTCAAGACTCGCTATTGGCACCTGTATTTAGCTTGTGCTTCATCCTCGGCGTCCCTACCAGCGGTACATTCAGCGTCAAATTCAGCGTCAAATTCAGCGTACGTAATTTCTTGTACCTGGATTGGGTCCGGGTTGGGTCCGGGTCAACTTGGGCTCTGTGGAAGTCTACCCGTAATAGCAAGAAGCCTAGATAACATTGAACGCTACTGGTGTTTTATTGTCAATTATTCTGTATATATTGAATACACACTGTTGATACACTGATTTTGTTGCCTTCTTAACAGAAAATATTTCCAAACAACAAGCCGAAAAAGAATACAATAATTAGGTTTCACATCTAGTGACCCATCATACTAGTTCTACTACTGAAGTGGGGTATTGCCATCTACTGACTACTATCACTACGGCTCAGACCCCCTGTCCAGATCTGAGTTCGTCACTAGGGGCAGTGGGAGGCAACAAAGGAGACCAGGAGGTAGGTTTTAGAAGGAAAGATCGTCTGGTTTGCTTACCCCTGCATATATACGCTTACAGTATCTGACCATATAGTTTACGATTTTTACATCACAAGGCTAGAGATAAACACTATATCTAGGTAGTAACTGTAAAATAAATTGTCTTGGAATACATGGTATCCGAGGATCTACAGTGGCGTACGATAAGTCTGAAACCCCTCCCTCGACCGCCTTTTGGTACCGCTCACCATTTTTAGCTGACCACTCTGAAAACGTTCACAATTAACCTAATGATACGCATAGTCATCCTGCTCTTTTACATATTCTGCGAATCACTAAATTTGTTCCTAGTTGACATAGGCTAAGGCTTTTTATCATTGAAAATAACATCATTTTATACGAGATTTTGACCGGCATAAAAATGCTGGCAGTATTATACAACCACTTAAGGGACTTCGAATTTCAAACTTAACGGACCCCACTGTAATCTAAGGAGCATAGCCCGACTTTCCAAAACAAGCATCTTGCAGAATCGATATCAGAAACTCACGACTATTTTGGCTCACAGATTGTCATAATAGGCATCACGCAGGTATGCTCTGGGAAGTTCACGCCTATTATGGTTCACATATTGATATAACAGGCAACTTGCAGGTAGGCTTTTGAAAATCCATCCCAGTATCACTTGATAGATGGATATATTTGATGATTAATTGGTCAAGCAGACACCGCAGAGCTATTTCAATGACGTATGTGAAGGCCTTAGATATCAAGCACTATGAGATAGTCAAACGTGTCGGTGCCATCACTACTCCATATAAGAAGGATCGATTATCCTTCCAAAATTATAGACTATTAGAATGTTTTCACTTTGAATATATCTTTCTGCTTAAATCGACTATATTTAAAAGTTCCGAGGGCAATTTAATTCCATGATGGAAAGCGCCACTATTACAGCTCAGGCTCCTTCTGCCCCTCTTCAAGAATACTTACTCCCCATCTCCTCCCCTTATGATCCCACTAAGAATCTGAGTCCTGTCACGGTCATCGCCAGAAATTTTGCCTTTCTTGATCCTGAAGGAGATAAAGTCGGTTCGCGAGACCTGGCAAATTCTATCCCTATATCTCCATCATTGAGAAGGGTTCCTTGGCCTAGCAACCTACCAGGCTGTCGACAGAACAAGCATTGGAGAATCGCTGAGCGTATGACCCGGGACTTGTTCGAGGCCATTTACAAGCACGTAGATCAAGCCCAGGATGCATCAAACAAGCTTCCGCTTCAGCTATATGAGGTTGGAAAACAAAAGATGCATAAGGAAGCGGAACTCGTTGGCACTGCGGTGAAATCAACGGCTTATATGTTTCCGGACGCAAGTCCAGCCAGGGCTGGAATGATTGCACAATCAATGCTATTAATATTTCTGCATGATGGTAAGAGCCACCTTTGGCAAATCAGATAAGGAATACTTGGCTAAATCCTTCAAAGACGTTGTTGAAGAGTTCACACAGGATGCTGTGAGTTTTCAATTCTTTGTATAGTGCGAAAACGCCCTGTTCTTATAACACATCGATTGACTGTCTTTGCAATGCTTAGGGATCTACCATAACGAACAGCTTCATGATCGCCTGGAAACAAGCCCAGAGTAATATTGGTGAAAGCTCTCAAGATTATATTCATAGTCTCCTCGCTGGATTTATCGATGAAGATCCTATCCTTGGAAAGAAGCTTTTAGAGGGTGCATTCTTGTGGGTTGATCATACCAAAGAGTACGAATCGGTGCCGACCGAGTCGTTACGAGAATATCTTGATTACAGGTCTAAAGATATAGGGACAGAGTATGACACCCCAATGACTGATCCCCTTTCAGGTTCTATTGAGGTCTAATAGAAGGCTAATGATGGAATGCATCTTTAGTCTGTTGCTAGCTCAAGCTGCCTTCGCCGCCGACATTTCTTTGTCTGAAGCCGAAAGAGGGATATTTGAAAAATTCATTGGCCTTTTCGCGGATCACATCTCCTTGACGAATGACATTTACTCATTTGAGAAAGAGTGGAACGAGCATGTCTCGAAGGGAGCTTACCTGGTCAATGGTGTTGACGTAGTCCGCCGCCTACACAATATTCCTGTTTCCGCTGCAAAACAATTTATATGTGAAGAGATATTGAAGCTAGAACAACTACTGGCCTTGGAAATTGACCATTTGAAGCAAGACGTGGGCTTAAACAAGGCCCAGGAACGGTTTGGAGAGGCGTTGGCTCTCTGTCTGGCGGGTCATATATTTTATTCTGCGACCAACGGACGATATGGTGGGGCCGATTCGGCCGCTACTGTTGAGTAGTGATTTTCTATTTTCCTTTTATATAAACAATGAATCATGATATTCAATATGTCGTTTGGCCCCCACTAACTAGCGTTAAGGCTAGGGTTTTGGTCTTTTGTAATTTCTACGTAATGTTTACTTACCTGCAAACAGGTCTTGAAAGTAGGCAACGTAATGGAATATACGTGAGCCACATGAAAGATCGGCAAGTTTTAGTACTAGTACATGCCATCGCACGCTTGGCGCCAATACATGGGGAAACGGCCCCCAGCCTTCACCCCACTCTCTTTGTTTCGCGCCATGCCCCCTAGCCGAGGCTTTGGGGACTCAGTATCTCTGATAAAAAGCTGCTAAACCTCCGCATGGTATTCAAATCAGACCACAGAATGTCTAATCAACAAATAATGGATGACTCAGAGACCCAGAAGCAGGTCATTCTTGGCTTTCGGAAGGCGTTTAAGAGTGCCCCTTGGATTCCTATCTCCCAGATGCAGGCACATTCATTTCGTGAAAGACCTTTGAAAGGATTGATTTTGGTATCTAAGTTGAAAATACCTTGTCCAGCTGGTGAGGAGGAGGAAGCTCTCCGCTCAAGACTATGGAATGTTTATAAAGCGACCAGCGAGGGAGTCGAGAAGCTCGACCCCCCAGCACCCTGCGTTTCCTACTACGGTGAATGGATCGGAGTGCGAAAAGATGTGAAAGACTCTAAGGCACCACAGCCCGACATCAGCGACCAGGAAAAGTTTCAAGACATTCAACAAAGCGTGGATAATGACATGACTATTTTCTATCTCGCTGGAGGGGCGTTTTTGTGGGTATTCCTCTTCTTATAACAGAATTAGATTTAACAACCCTTTTTAGCCGTGCCGGCCCCCCAGGTGCCCGACCGGTGATCAAACAGCTCGCTGAAATAAGTGGTTCGCGCGCGTTTACTTTCCAGCCTCGTCTTGCACCCCAGTACACCATACCAACTATCCTCCTAGACGTTCTCGTCGCATATTTTTATCTCCTAGCTCCCCCAGTCGGGTCCCTCCATCAACCCATCAACCCGAAAAATATCATCTTGGTCGGTGAATCTGGCGGCTCACTTCTTCATCTTCATCTGCTCCAATTCCTTCGAGCCATGATACGATCTTCTGGAAGCGAAACACCTGTTATACATTTCAATGGCCAGCACATCCCTATCTCGATGCCCGCAGGCTGTGCACTTGTCAGTCCTGGCTCAGACCTGGTATTATCCCTTCCATCTGTCAAGAAATTCGAGAAGTTCGAATGGTTGTCAGAAGGTGCCCCTTGGCTCAAACCCAACTACCCGGCAGATCAGATCTGGCCCACAATTCCTCCTCGGGGTGATCTTCACTGCGACAATTCAGCGCTATGTCACCCGCTTATTGATCCTTCCGTGCAATTAGACTGGTCGGAGATGCCGCCTATGTGGATTACGTGTGGCGAGGAGACGTACGCGGATGGAATCAAATTCCTTGTCAAGAACATCCACGCTTCTGGGGTGCCTATCTCATTTGTGCAATACGAGTTTATGCCGCATGTGTGGAACGTCATCTTGCCTCATTTACCTCAAAGTCGCGACGCTATGAAGCGATGGGGCCAGGCTATTAGAGACATTGGGCTAGAGAGGCAGAAAGAGTCAAGCGCGCAATTTGTCAAGTTAGGGAAGCTAGAGGTCTTCCCAATGAGCTTTGAGGGGCTATTAGATATTCCCCAAGCTGAGGTTTTGCAGAGGATGCGGACTGCCAGGGATCGGCTTGCTGAATTTGTCTGGACTGGGCCTGAAGCAGGATCTTCGAAGCTATGATCGAAATTTAAAACCTTTGCACTTCAAGGCTCAGATAGCGATGAAACACCTTGAAAAATGACTCTTTTCTCGCTGAGGTCCATTTACCTCTCCCGAGGCATAAGGACTTCAGGACTTCGAATATGTAATCAAAGACAAACTCGAAAGAATACGAGGTGCCAAAAATATTATCACAAAAAGAAACGTTGTTAGATTTCACCCTTGAAAATATGTTTGAAGTCACCTTCTATCCACCTTGCCTCTACTGCGATCAACACAGTCTTCCAGCCTTCATCTGAATGTAAGAATTGACATCGACGGAGTGTGGATGAGTGAAGGGGCCAGCGGAAAAGTGTAGGAACCACTGAATGGATATCTTGTAGAGGGTGGTGGAAAGAAAAAGCACCTCTGCAAATGATACCCTTATGCACCTACAGGAACTACTAGTGTCACGTAATGTGTGGGTATATATGTCTTATCTAGAGTTTCAAGGCTGTTTTATGAGAATTACAATATCACTTTAGTGACCCTTCATCGGGGAGAAACTGGTAGCCGGGGAAGGGGAGGCCTAAGCCGCCGGGTCAGAATCCACAAATTGCAACATCAACCGTGCATTCGCGAGCTCATGGAACTGGTGAGGGGCAAGCGACACAGCGAAAGATTGTAGAGGCGATTTATTTATACTTGGCGCTCTTCATGAAGACAAAGTGGATTCCATGCTTTCTTGTTGCCTAGCCATTTCTTCGTACCCCTCGCCATTTGAGAAATTTGTATGAATCCTCTGTATTGCATGCAATTTAAAGGACTCGGTTCCCATCATGGTTCGGCCCCCACTCAGCTTCAGCCCCACTGGCAATCACACGGGTGGGCGCTAGATGAACTCTAGCTGGTCACGTCACCACCGATTAGAGAGAACGCTACGTTAGATTACCATCCACTCGGTCCTTCCGTGTTTTTTGTCCTCGAATCTTTTCAATGTTTAAATTACAGCCATTTACATCATACATATTCCAAGGTTGGGATACACTAGTCTCCGCCGAACTCTTGTCAAAATCTGCAATATGAACCCTGAAAGGGATTTATACCCTAGTCAAGAATGAATTTACATACAGCTTCCCCCCTGTAATAAAGTGCGGCTCTTGTGAACGAGCACATTCGACCCATTTAGAAGTCGGTATCTAAGTTCAATTTAATTTATAATATTCAACTATTTCCATCGCCTCAATAATGCCATCTCTGTAGTGAGGCCAGGTCCAAAACTTGCAGCGATAATATCCTGCCTTCTCATCTCCATGTTCCGCATCTGATCTATAACCGCTAGAACGGCGACACTGGATGCGTTGCCACGAGTTCGGTATATCTCATAGGTAGCTGCTAACAACTCTTTTGAAATGCCCATGGCTGCCTCTGCTCCTTTGATGATAGACAAACCGCCTGGGTGAAGCGCCCAATCAAACTCCGTCGGGACGGCAGAAGGCATATTATTCGACCTTGTCAAGCTTTGGAACGGTTGGGAGAGAGACATTGCAGCCAGCTTAGGAACGTTTTTTGATAGTAGGAGTTGGAATCCACTACTATTAATCTTAAATTCCATTTCAGCATGAGTATCAGGCGTGATGAATGAGCGCCAATCAACGACAGAAAATCGCTTAGGGAGGTCCTTCTCGCCATCTGATAGCCCTTTGGAGTTGCAGACAACCAGAGCTGCCGCACCATCACCAAATAGTGTAAGACCGATTCCTCCAGTCTGTGAGCTCGCCGCCTGGTGGAACTCAGAAGAAATATAAAGGCTGCAAATTTCGCATGCAAGGACCAAGATTCTGGCTGGCCTATCCTGATGAGTTGCTGCTAATGCAAGGTTTGATGCCATTCTTAACGCTGCGAGCCCTCCAGCACAGCCAACACCGCTGATTAGGAATCTTTCTGCATCGGCTGGAATATCAAGTTCACGGGCGACACTTTGATCATAACCAGGACTTCCAGCATTGGTAGCGGTGACAGCCACAACATGTGTGATCGACATCGCTTCTATGTGACTGTCGAGCAATGCTTTCTTCGCGGCTTCTTTGGACAGCTGGACACCATATTGGCGCCATACAGCATCAACTTCCTCTGCCTTTGGGGGCTCTTTCTGGCGCCATCGTGAATCTGCCCAAATATTCACCACAGACCGAGTTTCAATACCGGTTTGGGCGTTAATCCTGAGTAGTCTTTGAAGCCTGAAATTACATAAGCTTGGATTGTGTCAAATTGCTGAATGTGACCCACCAAGGAGCATCCGCAGGATACAACGACAGAGCAAATTTTTCTATATCATCTGCAGTAATAACATTTGAGGGCCATTGTGTTCCAAGACCAGTGATGGTAATTTCGTTCACATTTTGGCCCGACGTGGGACTGGAAGGACAACTTGAGTTTGAGAACACACCACCCATCTTGATGACACTGGGAAACTTTAGGGCGTGTAAAGTAATTAGTGAGGCAAGTTGAAGACTATAGAAGGATCAGCATTATTTATACCTGTTCAGTAAACAGACAAACGAGCATGAATACCCTTGAAATGCAATAATAAAACGATTGCAATACATGGGTGTCTTCTGTAATCTTGCACTGGCACTGGCGAGCGATCGACAAACATGCGCTGAGTCAGACCAAAGTATGATACGGCATCATAGGGGAGTCGCTCGTCTGGAAGGGAAACCCGATGGTCTTGTCTCCCTCTTGAATGGTGGGCAAGTTCCGTTGAACAATGTCCATCCGCCGGGTGCCGATCATCTTACCCCACCTGCTTCCACTTTGATCGCGATCTCCCCTCTATTCACAACAAGTGGAGCCTCATCTGGGGCGCGCTCCTCTTTTACCTTCGAATTGTCGCCGGAAGCATGTTCGATCAAATTTCGTACCCACATGCTCAAATATTTCGCTTTTATGCACATTTCCGATGATGTGGAATATCTGCGCCGAGAACGACCTTTCTTATTCCTGTGATGGCGAAGAATGCACTGGGGGCCCGCTGGACAAATCAACAGGGAATCTCACGTCAGTGAGGGCTTGGTGTGCAGGAAAGCTTGCAGAAGATGGTGTCGCGGGTGTTCAGGGCGCCAGTACTAGCTTTGAACCGGATTTGAATAGTGTCACGCAGGTAGAAGCGCTGTTTCTCGAAGATGCTTGGTAGAGAGGTAGTTTCGATGTTTTCTTGCAGGGAAATGACTTGCTTTGACTAATTTATAGGCGTAAGGAGTCCACCCCTTGGAAATGGGAGTTTAGGGGCACAAAAAGTCTCGTTGCTAGCTATTTCAACGGGTTTCATTCACACCTTCAGTTATTCAAAGCGCATGCTAAATATGCTGTCTCATTTAGACTACATTATAATCAGCTGACTGGAAAGGATATGTCCAGCTTTCGCATTATTATACAGGAATTCACTGTCTCAATAGTAACTCCGGAACGGGATTTGATGGTTTACTGTCTCCATTCCTCGGAACTCGGTGTTCGGCTGGCCGACCCCGGTCCCTAAGACAAAGGGGCAATTTGGCACAGCTGATGTGTATATTACGTGGAACTTTTAAAATCTATGCATCTCCACAGTCTGTTACGATTTAGTGACCGGCACTTATTATGGCCACAGATAAAAACACAATTCCCGTTCCTGATACAATCCCTGCTACAATGGTGCAACCTGAGCCAGAGAAACCTCCACAGGAAGCGCAGGAGGATGAAGATCTGGATGATGGCGATTACATCACCGGATTCAAGCTGTGGGCCATCTTGATATCAGGAACTCTTGTACAGTTCGTGATGATGCTGGATCAGTCAATCATTGCGACGGTATGTATCCGGAACCCCAATGTGAGTTGATGAGATACTAAACGCTCTGCAGGCTGTTCCGTATATCACGGATGAGTTTCACTCTCTTCTTGATGTGGGTTGGTATGGAAGTGCATATCAACTAGCGAGGTTAGTGCAACATGCATGGTGAAGATCCAATCATCAGGCTAAAGCAATTGACAGCGCTGCTTTTCAACCTTTGACTGGCAAGCTTTACACATACCTGCGAATCAAGGTGAGTTAATAACTGAGCTATCAAAGATGATCATTAACAAAACACAGTGGACTTTCTTTGCCTTCTTTTTCGTTTTTGAGCTTGGATCGTTGCTTTGTGCCATTGCGCAATCCTCCAAGATGTTGATTGTAGCACGCGCCATTGCCGGTCTGGGTGGTTCAGGTCTGCTGAACGGTGGTCTTACGATGATCTCCGCCTGCCTGCCCAAGCACAAACGTCCAGCAGCAATGGGGATGATTATCTCTAGTACGTACATTATCATGATCTCAGTCTCGAAGACTTCTAATAATGTTCAGTTGGGCAATTGGGCCAAGCACTGGGGCCCCTGATTGGAGGAGCTTTTACTGAAAAAGTAACATGGCGATGGTTAGTTTTCATTGTCTCCGAAATCGACCAATAGCTAATAGATATCAAATCAGGTGCTTTTACATCAATCTCCCAGTCGGTGGGGTCGTCCTCGCCCTCCTCGCTACACTCGACATCCCTGACCGCATCGCCAAACCAGACTTTCGAACCCTCCTCCGCACCATTATCACAACGCTCGACATTCTCGGTTTCCTTATATTCGCCCCTGCCGCCATCATGTTCTTCCTCGCTCTCCAGTACGGCGGCAATCAATACGCATGGAACAGCGCTACGGTGATAGGCCTACTTGTTGGTGCTGGATTTACGTTTCTCGTATTCCTGGGCTGGGAGTACTACCGCGGCGACAATGCTATGATTCCGCTCTCGATGTTGAGGAAGCGAATCATTTGGTCGAGCTGTTTGACCATGTTTTTCATCACGGGTGTATTAACCTGCGGAGCGTATTATCTGCCTATTTATTTCCAGGCGGTTCAGGGAGCGTCGCCGATTATGAGTGGTGTTTATTACTTACCCAATATTTTGCTCCAGATCACCATGGCTATGTTATCTGGAGTCATGGGTACGTGTCTGCTCTCTATCTAGGAGCGGAACTTATTGCTGACACTTTTTATTCATTAGTCCAGAGGTTTGGCTTTTACCTACCATGGGTGGTTGGAGGAACAGCATTAGCGAGTATTGGGTATGGACTGCTTACGATGCTCACACCTACATACAAGACCGCAAACCGGGTTGGATTTCAGATTCTGGCTGGTGCAGGCTTGGGCAGTGCTGCTGCGATGGTAATATTCTCGCTTTCTCCCTACGACAAGAGTTTACTAACTCATGACCACAATTTAGCCTTTCGTTGCCGTTCAGAATTTAATGCCTCATGCCCAAATTTCTGTCGCCATGGCGATTTTGGTCTTTTCCTTGAACTTCGGTGGAGCCACTTTCCTTACATTTGCCGAAACAGATTTCAGCCAAAGTCTAACCGTTGCAATCTCAAAATACGCACCTGGAGCAAATTCAAGTGCCATTATTGCTGCTGGCGCAACAGGGTTTCGAAGTGTCGTTCCGGCGAGTCAATTGGTTGGCGTTTTGAAGGCTTATAGCGAGAGTGTTGACCATGTGTTTTATTTGGTTTGTGCATCTGCGGCGGCGGCATTTTGTTGTGCTTGGGGTATGGGGTGGCAGGATATTAGGAAGCCCAGACCCCAGGCGCAGGACCCGACAGGACCTTAATGTGAATGCGAAAAGAAGCAACTGTGGGATATACATAGGTAAGATCAATTTGGGAATCATTATAGATGGATTGGGAAATATCAATACTATGGCATTGCGGGTGTAATACTATTATTCTATTCCCACAAACGTTTGCGTCTTCCAAGATCACTCACTCCTAGCCGCCCTAAATCAAAATATGCATGCAAACCTGACATATCTAGCTCGGGTTCAGTAGAGGTACGGCAAATAAGATCCATGGGAATATTATTCAAAGGACTAAAATCGATGGAGGACTTTCACATCGAATGTAGCATAATCTATCTACCTAATCTTCCAAGCTCACGACAACCTTCTTTGCACTAACCCCTTTCTTCTGAATTTCGAGAGCCTTCTGAATGCTTTTTAGCCCATTGCCAACCACCTGCGGTTCCGGAGCAGCCACATACAAGCCGTGTGCCAGTGCGGCAGGTAGGAAGTTGACATACACCGCTTGGCTAACCTCATTTCTGCCCAGTCCTGCCCCTTCGACATACTTAGTTTCAATCCCCACCTCGTCCGCCATTTCCGAAATACCCTGGTTCCACTCATCCACCCACTTTATATACGCCCAGTACTCATCATCATCCTTCGGATCATCCTTCGGCCATGGAAAGCTGGCTTTCACGAAAAACTTGCGGCATTCATCGCCTAGCTGACCAAGCACATGGACAGACAGCTCTACCGAGCCTGGCCCGACGGCAAATGCACCATCAACTTTCTTGCCCTGAAACACAGCCGCAATATCATCCTCGTGTGTGGGGCTATTATAATCGAAGACGAAATCCGCACCAAGGTTCTTCGCATAAGCGAAGTTCTTCTCCGAGCATGTCGTCACAACTGTGTACCCGCTGAACTTGGCGATTTGAAGGGCATTACTCCCCACAACCGTCGAACCGCCCGTGATGAGAATGTATTCCCCATTCACCAGCTGCGCGGGAATAGTCGGGTAATCGAGCGCAAGATAGCCCTTCTGGTAGAGCGCGCAAGATGCAGCCGAAAAACACATTGGAATCACACATGCTCTCTCGAAAGACAGATCATCGGGAATGGGACTGGCCATATGCTCGCGAGCAGTGGTGTAATGCTGGAACCCGCCCTCAGCAGCCCTTTCCCCGTACAAGTAGAATCCTACTGCGTGAGCAATGACTCTATCACCGACTTTGAAGCGGGTGACTTCAGGTCCGATCTCGATGACTTCGCCGGCGATATCCTGGCCGATGACAAGTGGGGGGTGATCCATTCCCATTTTTTGTCGCCAACGTGCTGCTTCGCCCAGTCGAGGGGGTTGACTGCTACAGCAGCGTTCTTCACGAGGATCTGCTTAGCGTCTGGATGAGTATAGTCTGCAGGTCCTACGACCAGCGGTGTCTTGGGTGCGACTAGCCATGCTGCTTTGTTGATTGGCGTTGGTGACATCGTGGATCACTTCGGTCAAGATGTATATAAAATCGATAAGAGGAGTCGGCAAATCGTCGTTCATTTGTATGTATATCATCTTATTGCATTGTACACATGCATTTGCGCATGAGAAATACTTAGGTCGGGTTTCGGACCCCGTCTATACCGTCTCAACTCGGGGTTCTCCCTGAAGTTATTAGGCGGGACGGCCAATCGATAGTTCAACACCGGACTGCAGGGTCGGGACATTGTCAAGCATTGGCGTAAAGAGCCCAGCCTGCTTGTGCGGAATTTGATCGGACCTAGCAAGTGTTCTTGCATGATTCCGCCTGCTCATTGGTACTTTCTGCACTTCTCGATACCATGCAATCCGGAGGCACTGACAATCTGGATGCCCGGAGCATTGAAAAAGGAGTTCCCACAAGTCAACGCAGATCCGCCCAAGCTGCTCTCCAGAGTGTTTCAGCTGGGCACTACCTAAAATATGCATGTAAGCCGTTGTCCACGTGATTGTTTAATTACAAACCTCCAATATCATCTTTCTAAGTAAATGCGCTGCTTAGAATTAACTGTCTATTAACTAGTACTGAATGAAGAGATTGCATATTCAAAAAAATCAGACTATAGAGAGACAACCACTTTCTTAGCAGAAACCCCCTTCATATGCAAATCCATGGCCTCCTGGATCTTTTCCAATCCCTTCCCAGCCACTAACGGCTTTGGAGCTGCCACGAAGCTTCCATGTGCTAATGCCTCGGGCAGAAACTCATCATAGATGATCCCGCCCACTTCATTATTGTACAAGCTGCTCCCAAAGACGAACTTGGCCGTCACGCCCTTGAACTTTGATTTGATAAAGATGCTGAAATTCCACCACATTAGGCCCATGATGGCACCGACAAGGGCCAAAGTAGTAGTAGGGGTTTTCTCCGGCCACGGGAAACTGATCTGCGCAACGTGTCTCGATCCATTGGCCTGGGAAAGAATCTCCATGCATGCTTCCGTCGAGCCGTTCCCGATCGCAATCGCGCCGACCGGTTTCTTGCCGTTGAGGGCTTTGAGAATGTCTGCAATTACTGTCTTGCTGCGATAATCGAACACCTTGGTGGCTCCTAAACTGGCGACGAAGTCAAAGTTCTTTGGAGAAGCGGTGGTGAAGACATTGTATCCCGCGGCCGTGGCAAGCTGGATAGCATTGCATCCGACACTACTAGACCCACCCCAGATCACGACCGCTTCGTTTCCAGTGTTCTTAGATTCACCAGTCGTGGTAGCTGACGCATCAGGGTAGTCGAGTGCGAGAGTATCTTTTTGAAACAATGCACAAGCGGCCGTTGACAGTCCTAGCGGTAGGACGCAGGCTTCCTCGTAGGAGAGCGTTTCCGGAATCGGTGATGCCATATTCGCGCGCACAACCGTATATTCCTGGAACGCGCCCTCGGAGTTCTTATTCACGGTGGGATCCATCGAAAGCGCGTGGCCTAGGACGCGGTCGCCGGGCTTAAAGCGCGTGACTCCCTGACCAACCTCCACAACCGCGCCCGCGAGGTCGTTGCCGAGAATAAATGGATATTTGATCCATGAGAACATCAAGTCTCCAACCAGTTGTTTGGACCACTCTACCGGGTTGATTGCAATGGCACCATTCTTAATGACGATTTCGTTGGCCGCAGGAGGCGTGTACGGGGCTGTTTTGACCTCCAGTGGTCGCGCGGACTTAGCTGACAACCAGGCTGCTCGATTGGATGGCATGATTGAAGGTTTGACCTTAGTGAAAACAATTCTGAATATAAGAGCTCGATATTAAGAAGCTGAAAATGAATATCATGGAGTGTGGCAACATCATGCAAGTTACCATGAAGCTGTTTCGGTCTTCGGGACCGTGTCCGTGTCGGTGGTCTGGCCGGCCATGAGAGCAAAAGGACATTTCTTTGTTCGATGGCGCAGATCGGAGTTCGAATACCGAATGCCGATGGGATTCTCATTGTAGGCAAAGCTGCACAGCCAATTATTATACAAAACCTAATCAATTGTGGGCCATACTTAAGATGTTAGAAGGCGTACAGTCGAGGTGGCATCGGCTCATCGGGAAGAACCTTATCCTAAACCGACTTTGACTAGGTTTTAATGTGGAATAACAACGCGTTTCCTGATTTTCTTCCCCACCGACAGGATTTCATCATTTGGGGGCGTTGCTTACCTGCAGCTTATTCTCAACAGATAAAGCTTTCATTCCTTTGGATTCCTTTTTCAAGCTCTCCTCGTAGCCAAGTTCGCCAGGGACGTATATCTCTGTACCAGGAAGAGATTGACGGAGGTCATCGAAATTGGATGCCATTTTGAGTCATAGGTTTTCTTTTGTAGGAGATGATTGTGATGCAAGACTAACTACCTGATTCATTAATGGTAACACTGAGCATCATCCAGTTAAGTATCAAGATTCAAAGCAAAATATCCCTTCGGGATATAGCTTCGGTCACAGGGATCGGGGCCAAGGCGGAGTGGACGGACCGGCATTCAGCATCAGTCCACACCCCTCAACGTTGATTCGTGATAATTCCGTGTGATCTCAGTAGCCAATCTGATTTTAATAGCAGAAGCAATGCCGCCTAATGATCGGACAAACATTTACTCCAATGATAGTCCGCATTGGTGATACAGACGGCATTCGGGCGCCGGTCCCGGTGCCACTCCGGGCCATAGAAATAATGCAACGGAGGGGGGAATGCGAGACCGAAGGATGTGACTGCAGACTTCCCGTGACATAGCGTCTAGTCAATCATAAATCACTAGTTGGTCGGTTGTCATGATAGAGAAGAAAAATAAAAAGACAACAAGAACATACAACAGTCACTGTATGTTGGTGCTCACCTAGCGCCCACGGTACGAGCGTGGGCGGCTCGCCGCTCTATTCAGCCCTCTTCAGGGCATTCTGGGTACTTCTTTACCCACCTATATATTCTTTACCTAAACGTTTAGCCCTTGTATAGAAAGGCGCTTTTGCATTCATTCGAGGGAAATCATAGTACGTATTCTTTTTTTTTCTCCCTCCTTCACTAACCCTTCGTCTTTACCGTGAACGCAAAATACGTACCTAGTATGATATAACGTCGAATTTCACTAGATATGTCGTGGACTTTGTAGGTTAATATAATATTGAAATCCCACAATAAGTTTTACTAAAAATAAAAGAGATTACGGCCATACTTTGGCTCTATTCGATAAGTAAGGAAGGCAAAAAATCAAAGGCTTTTATTAATACTTTTTACTAGATTCCTTAGCTTATATCTAATAGTTTCTTCCACGTGTATTATTTGATAATCCGCATGATACCAACTAAACTTTACGTACTACTAGCATGCGTGCTGGTAGAGGATTGGAGGATCGGAGAAACTATTAATATAGATACATATCGTTACAAAGAAATATCAGTACTATATAATATAATTTATAAGACAAGAAAAAAAGCACACTACATACTAGCGAATATATGGGTTTGGCCAAGGAAGGAACGAATGAAGAAGACAGCACAATGTCAGATGTGGTGGTATAAAAGAGAAAAGGAGAAAGCAAGAAGAGAAAGCGCTGATCTACACAACAGGGGCGGTCATGCGACCCTGATACGTACCAAATGAAGATCCAACATATTGTTCTTTCTTCTGTCTCCTTGTCTTATGGATATTCTACCTTCCAGATAGAAAGATTCAATGATCCAAGGAATGCCATGGGCTGAAATATTGACTGCTGGGATAATAAACACTCGCAACGATAGCAAGTAGGAAAAGCACATATAGCCAACTTAGAAAACTATCACGGTGGAGGCGGCCTCATGTAATGCTTCATTGGGAGCCAGGACACCAAACAAGGCGAAAACCGTGTGGTTCTTCTTTCCTGGTGGATATGCAGCACCAAGCAATACAAGTCCATTTGGTCACAGACGCCACAGCATTTGCTACTACAGTGTTCGCTCTACGTAGATGAGAGAAAGAGCATGATAGAAAGACGGGTCTCAGGGGGAATAATATAGACTACGAGGCTATTTTGTCTCATCTGCGCGCGAGATGCTACGGCGCCGAATTCATGCGGATGTGGATAAGGAAATATAGGATGTGGGCTTGAAATATATTAATGTGGGATTTAACTGGATTGTGGGATTTTACTTCGCATGAGCAATTACACCTGTATGGACAGCGAGCCCTTTTCTTGTCTCTAGTCATTCATTACTGCGTGGAGTTTGGAGTACGGACATACTCTTGCTTCATCGGGAAGAAGCGCCTATATTACCATAAGCGATAACTAGCTACGTAGCATTAGGTTCATAGAATCTAAGAATATTATCATCACTGGTCCCATGGCTGCAGACAAAACCTAGTTGGTTTGCTACACGAGTTCAAAAAGGTGGGGTACTATACGAACTGGAATTAGACAGGTTACTGCATGGCTGACATGGGTTTTTGGGTATGGAGCGTCCGATCAAGCGCACGTTGGTCCAAGGGGAAAGAATCTACCCTGTGTCAGAACCCCGCTTTCATTCCTGCTGTCTTTAACTCTCGACTTGGAGGGCGCCTTATGACGGATGAAAAGACCCTTAGGTCTTGGCGGGTTACATCATCCTCCATCTTGTTCAATCACGAGACACAGACTGTCAATGTTCAGGAGTATCTATACGAGTCGGGAGCGGAGAAACATTGATCCTCGACTGACGAAATCCTTCATCCGGGGTTTCTCCACACCTCTGAAGTCATTCCTTGCTCCATGTGGAGAATCACCAACAATGGGCTCTGGGCAGTGTGGGGAGATTGGCGTGGGCGTAGGTTGGATGTAACGCTACCTGGTGCGATGTCTTTGATGTGGAGTACTTGCGGTGGTAATGATGCGCATGTCTCATCTGGTTCTCGTGTTTGATTGGCCGTCGGACGGAGCACGGTGGCCTGAATGTGTGCCATGTCTTAGATCGAAGGCTCCCCAAATCTCAGCACATCACTAGTAACTTCTATATCAGTTCTACCTGCGGGCGGAACGGTAGACCTATATAAAGACCTCTTAGGTACCCCTAAAAGGACGAACCAGATAGCCCAAGCTTCTATTGCAAAACAAAAAGCGAAATACGAACTATGAAAGTTTCTTTAGTCTCAATTAGTGCCATCCTCGGCCTGGTATCTGCCCAGAATGCCGTCGTGAACAACCACTGTGCCACGACTGTGTATGTGCAGTCGTTCCCTTACGATGGCAGCGCCCCCGGGCCTCTCACCACCGTTCCAAAGGGGGGAACTTTCTCCGAGAAATTTAGAGCATCTGGCTCAGTACGTTAATCCGTTATACTTGATCATCGTTTTGCTATATATAGCGAGGGCACTGACTGAAGATGGAATGAGCAGACCGTTAAGATCGCCAAGACAAAGACGCTGGATGGACCTCTTTTCTTTGGGTATTCTTTTTCGTCCAACCCGGACTACGCGTACTGTGAGTACAATAGATCTATCTGTCATTTAGGAATTTGCTACTTACCGCAACCCGCTTCAAGATGAACTAAGCACGGAATGGGGCAATCCCTTCGCAGCGAATCCCAACTCGCTTAGCCCCGGGGACGGCTGTGAAATGTTTGACTGTGCGGCCAATGATGCCGCCTGCTACAGTACTCCAGCTCATAAGAAGGTCTTCGGGTGTCCCCAGCCAGTCACCCTGACGGCGGACTTGTGCCAGTAATTATGTCGCTTATGATCTGTAATGTGTTAGTGTTTTCGGGAACCTCTTGTCCTGATTTCCACCTTTTACAGCCCGCCTCAGAGATGAATATTTGTGAGACTGTAAATATCCCAATGAAAGAAAATTACAACAAGTGACCACAGCGTTCGTACAGTGATTCTCAAAATTGCCTTAACCATTACACACTGAAAAATCCGTAGAGATTTGCAGCGTTGCTGACTCTTGTACTGTACTTTACACCTCGCGTTCTCTGCTAACTCTTGTCAACACCCTTGACGCCCCATAACAAGCTTAGGCAATGCTGCTCCATCAATCTTTTCAATAATTTTACCGCGGCTCACAAAGCCTGGTGTACCGTACACTGAATTGATACATGGCCAAAATGTTGCGAACAACCCAATATAGAGGCTGGACGGAACTGAAGCGTTTTGAAGATTCCAATGGTATCCACACTCATTTAGCTACGGGAATAGAAGAAAAATAATATAAGATTGAAATCAAATAAGATGACGGGACCAAACAGATAGAGCTGCATAATCGAACTCGCCGGGTATACGCCCCCAATACCCAACTACGCAGGAATCAGGCCCTGCCGAGGTTTAGTCGACAGATTTTGGCGCCTCTCTCACCCTGGTCACACTTCTCTCACCCAGTCTCCAAAGTTCGTACCCATATCACCCACACTTAACGAATAGCAAAAAATGCAAAAAAAAAAAACATACAACAGTCAGGATTCGCATGTGGTCACCCACCATACTACTAACTAACCGGCGTGTGGCTTAAGTACGGCTGAGCGGACGGGAAGCCCTGTTCTCCACACCCTATGGTCGTATGTACTTGAGTATGTTCGGAGAAGGATCATATAGTGCATAGGAAAAGCACTGTGGTGCGGGGAAAATGAGTGAGAGCCGCTTGACCGTCGTGCGATCAGGTGTGAGCAGCAGAAAAGGGCGAGCATTCTCACGGCATATTCGCCCATGCGTAGACTTCCTATGCAAATTGGCCAATCAAAATCTTCCTCAGTCAATTACTCAGACACATCAGGAAGTTCTACAGAATAAAGCGTGATGCCTGTAAATAATTACCGAAAATTGCCGGCTTGATTACATGGACTCGAGAAAATATGCGGTCGGCGAAACAGTAACTATGGCATTAGCTCGGCTTAAACAAGCAAACAGCTTACCGCCAAGAATATGGGGCTTCGACGATTTGTCTAATTGACCTGTTCCTCGCCACCATGAAACAATTTCAGCAGACCCTTGGCAGCATGCTCCCCGAGGGCATCCAGAGTGCCCATTCCCATCATCTCAAGCACACTGATATCGAATTCAAACGTCATTTTCCACCACTGCCTAACCTCGATTGCCACAAGGGAATCCATACCAAGTTCAGACAATGAGCACCACGTATGCAGATCGTCCTCTGACTTCAGCAAAAAGCTGAAAACTTTCTTTCCAATTTCGAGAGCTAGAAGATGAGCGGAATCGGGTTGAACCAACACAGTGGGATTGTTCTTCGCTGCAGCAATGAATGATTTGAGGCCGTCACTGGAGGTAGTGGCTGAATTTTCACTGGCAGCTTTGTTGTGGAAAACCGCCGTCCGGATGTCTTTCTTCCAGAGGGCACGGTTTTCGGGATCATTAAGAGGCACCCTAGATCGAAGCCCAATGCAGAAATTGTTTGACGATTTGTTGGTCGTCGATTTGATGGCCAGCTCCATTCCCTCGAAAAGCTCGGATACAGAGATCGTATCGCCCAGGATACCAGTGGCCTTGAACCTCTGCATGACTGATTCGCGGACAGCGAGGCAGCCCACTTCTTCGACCGCTCCTATGCCAATGGCACAGGCCGGTAATCCCAAGCTTAGGCGATATTGTGAGAACGCATCTAAGAAGGTATTCGCACCGGCATAGTTGCTTTGACCAGGCTGCCCAAACATACCAGACAGAGAACTGAAGAGAACAAAGAAGTCAAGTTCTGCGCCGGCCGAGATAGCTGCTTTGTGGAGGTTCCACGTTCCTTTGACCTTGGGATTCACAGCTTCGTTCCAGTCTTCTAGGGTCATGCGTGTCAGGTTTTGATCACGGTTCACCATGGACATCTGGAAGATACCCTTCAGTTGGCCTTGGACTTGAGCTCGCGTAATGGCTTTGGTCACATCGTTAAGGCTGGTCACACTACCCTGTACAAAGTCGACGCGGCACCCCATACTTTTCAGCTCTTTGGCAAACTCTCGGTGCTCCTGACTTGTACCTGCGCTGCGGGAAAGATAAATAAAGTGACGAGCACCACGTTCTGCCATCCAGACGGAAAGAGAACGACCTAACCCTCCGAGGCCACCGACCAGAAGATATGCGCCGGAGTTGGCGAATTTTGTGGGCTCTCTGCGCTTTTTTACGTGCCCTTCTAGATCCAGGTCTACCTGACCAGCGGAATCACGAATCGACACCACGATCTTGCCCAGGTGGATACCCTGTTGCATGTATCGGAATGCGTCGAGTATTGCATTTGCATTAAAGACCTTGATCGGTCGGATCGGGTGAATGTATCGCTCTCTGAGCAGCTGGCCAACTCTCCCGAGAAGGCTAATACTATGTTAGTAATTTTTCATCATATAGTTGAAGTTCTGTCGATACATACTGTTTCACGATAGTCGGTTTCCGTAAGCAGATCTGATCTAAGTCGACGCAGCAATAACTGCGATTCTGTATGAAAGGACTCATATCAAGCTTTCCAGATCCTATCAGGTCTCGCTTGCCAATCTCGATCATTTTCCCAAAGTCCGCAATGCACTTCCACGTAGCATGTAGCAACTCGCCGGACAGTGAATTAAGCGCTAGGTCGACGCCACCATTGGTCTCCTGTAGAATTTGCTCAGCAAACGAGGTGTTGCGGGAGTTAAATATTCTGTTTCGAGGTAGGCTGAAATTTTCCATAAGATATTTCACCTTCTGCTCATTCCCGACAGTGACATAGATCTCAGCGCCGATCATCTGAGCGAGCTGGATGGAAGCGAGACCAACCCCACCACAGGCACTATGTATAAGAATGGACTAGAAGAACTGTCAATAGCGATTCAAGAAAAAGAGAACAGAAGGAAGGATATCGTGAAAACATACTTGTCCCTTTTGTAGATTCCCAACGTTGAATATGCAATAGATCGATGTAGCGAAGACGCAAGGCATTGTAGCCGCATCCTCAAAACTCAACCCACCTGGAATCTTCTCACAGAGATTCTCAGAAACAATAACCTGTGTGCTGAATGCACCAGATCCCATCAAAAATACACGATCGCCGCTTCTTAGGTCCTTCACGTGAGGGCCAGTACGCCGAACAGTGCCAGCAGCCTCAAGGCCGAATCCAATTTCTGAAGCCTCGACAATGCCCATAGCACATAAAACATCCTAGAAACTTGCGTGAGCTTTTTTTATCGTATTTTTCATAATCTTGCGACGTACTCTGAAGTTCAAGCCCGTGGAATGTATGTTAATCTCCACTTCATCGCCCTCCAGTACTTGTTCTATCTCCTGGCGAGCCCAATGCAAAGCGCTTAGACTACCAGGCTTACTCGTGCGTAGAGCAATAACATCCTCTGCAGCAGAGGTCGAGAGCTCTTCATGCACCAGAAACGGATGAATGCGTGCCACCTGGACTGTATCTTTGACAATGGCGTATTCGAACTCCGGTTTCAGAGAATGGTCCTCTTGGCGTAGCTGGAACCTCTCGAAGACATCGACGATTTTATCGCGGGAGGAATCACAATCCAAATTGTCGACTTCGCAGGTACCAAGGCTAACCAATTTCTCGGAGCGAATAGATCTCGCGATGCCATTGATCTGGCCAAATCGTGGATCCCGACATTCGATTTGTAAGAGCTCGGTCACCCAGAGAATACCAATACCCCATTTTTCCATGTTTTCCACCAAAGCTTTGAACGACTCAAATTTCTGGTGATCAATGTCTTCAAAAAATGGTGCTTCGTCGTCAAGAAAAGCAATTGCATCTTGGCCAGCAGGTAAAGGGGTGTTCTCTAGTCCCCGACAGTCAACGGTATATCCTCTGTTCTCCAGAGCCCGAACCATAGAGCGTACACGACTGGACTCAGAAAGACTCAAGAGTGTCACGCATTTCTTAGGAACATTTCCATCATCAAGCGTTGGTCTGGCCACAATGACGGCACCCAGCTGATATGGTTCTGGCGAATCAAGCACGACGGCATCGGGTGCACGGAATCCAGCATCTTTCAGCTCTCTCGTCCAGCGATCGACATCCACATATGGCTCATGCATCCGGTCATCAGCTTCACCATTCCACCAGCCGGCAAGAGTTCCCCAAATATAATTCACCCATTTAGAAGTTGGTGATGGTGCCAGCTCATGAAGCAAAAGTCGGCCACTGGGTGCGAGCAATTTGCGGACATTCTTCAAACTTTCATTAAGGAATGGGGTGGCGTGAATCACATTGGTTGCCAGGATGAGATCGTATGTCCCATCAAAGCCCTGCTCCGCGGGGTCTTTGCTAATATCAAGAGTGGCGTATTCCAAATTAGGATATGAACCGAAGCGATCTTTCGCAGCAACAAAGAAGCCAGGAGAAAGGTCAGTGAAGGTATAACTCGAGTATAAAGCTCTGCCACCAGGTGTCAGGAACCTCAAGGCATTGGCAGTAGATCCACCTAGCCCGGCACCGATCTCGAGGATGCGTAGGTTGGGCTTGCTGTGTGCCAAATGTTTAAAAAGCTGCGACTCATCACACTGATCGATCGAGGCATATAGGCTGTCCATTGTGCCATCCGAAAGGAGTAGATCCAGTGCCTCTACTTCACCAGTGAAGATCCTCTCAATATTGTTGAATATTTTCTGAATGGCCTTGGAAGGAGCAGCAGCTATCGTGTGCGACAAATCATTGACAATCCATTTGACTTGCTCTTCAATGGTAGGATTGTCAAGTATAGAGTGGTCGTAGTCGCAAAGCTGCAAATGTTGGTCAATCCAAGATCGGTATTTTTGCATGTGACGAATTGGAGTCTCTAGACCTGCAATGACACGGTCTGTATGAATCATGCATATATGGCATAGCTCTGTTAGCGCTTCTGTGTGGGCACTGCGATCGATCGATGGCAGGATGAGAGTGTTCACATCCAAAAAGTCAATATGGGGCCCCCACTCTGCGCGAGCAGTCGTTTCATCGTCTTTAGACGACTGGTCATCTAGGACAGAGAGCCTGATGCCAGCGCCGCCCAATACAAGCTTGCCATTAGAAACACATTGTCCACCACCAATAATAGAACCGTTTGGGGTATATGATGCGGATGCCCGGACCTGAACATCCTCATGACACCTGTAAATACACAATTCTTCGATGTTCGTCGGCACCATCATCTTGGTGGTAGGATCGGCGTAGCCCTTCGATGCAGCGACACTGAGTAGCTGTAGTAAAGCATCAATGATGGTCGGATGAATGTGGTAACCCTCTTCATCTGTTGCCTTGCTGATTACCTCCGACGTTGCCTTTTGCGTCAAAGTATCTGATCGAATATCCTCGAGGCGTTGGAATGCAGGCCCGAAATTGAGACCAGATCTAGCCATAGACCGGTAACAGCGACGGGTATCAACTTTGCGCAATAGAGGGGCATTGCTTTCCTGGTTTACATTCCCACTATGCGCTTTAGCCTCACCAAAGCAATGCTTCATCGAGACCGTACCGCTGTGAGAAGCGATTGTGAATTCCCACCAGTCGCTGTCGAGGGAATCTGTCAAGCGGTGACGGCGCATTACAGTCATTATTTCGACTGGTTGGCTGCTTTCTTTCAAGACCAAGGCCGTACTGACGACCACATTTCGCATTTTGAATGCTTCATCGACTCCAGTGATTTGTCTCACAGCCTCGCCAATCATTCCAACGTAGGCGGCGAAAGGAAAGATGATATCTTCGCCGATCTTGTGATCACGAATCCATGCCGCGTTTTGCAGATGGAAGACATTGCGGAAAATAACTTCAAATTCGAGACTTTCCGCTACTCTAATACCCAAAAGACTGTGATGCTTATGGCCTCCCGGTCGGTGTCGCCAATGCTTGGTTAGTCGAGACTCGTGCCAAAATCTCTTTGAATGGTCCCAGGGGTATCTCGGGAGATCTGGCAGAACCGAACCCTCCGTAATGACCTGATCAAGGTCAAGGCTGGCATTTAGAGTAAAAAGCTTCCCGACTGCTGTCAAAAATGATTCAACGTCGTTTTGGTTGCGGACAAGTGTAGAAGCATAAGGAGAAGTGTTGGATAGGTGGCTCTGAACTTGGCGAAGGGGACTAGCAAGGGCGGAATGCGGGCCGACCTCGAGGAATACCATATTCTTCGCAATGCTGTGCTGGATAATGGAGGAAATAGCAGAGCGGAAGAGGACAGGAGACTCCAGATTCCTCTGCCAATATCTGGACTCCAGGCTCGATTCCTGGGTGAGTAGCTTGCCGTCAACGCTACTGAAAAACAACTTTTTGAGTGTACATTTTGAGCTTTTGTTGGATAAGTGATTGTTGATAAGGGCATGATATTTATCACCTATCTCAGCCATATGGTGAGAATGATATGCCTTGTCGACCTGAAGCTTTTTGGCTAGGATGTCAGGATGTGCTTCTTTTATCTTGGTAATAGCAAGCTCAACTGCTTCGCAGTCACCAGCGATAGTCACGTTTTTGTTCGAATTTTCGCAAGCGACAGTCACACCGGGCTGCAATAATTCTTGTACGCTATTTGAGCCAAGACCAATCGCGGCCATAGCTCCTCTTTTGGTCTGCAGCTTGGTGACCTGACCGCGATAAAACGCAATGACAATAGCCTCCTTAGCAGTAATGAAACCGGCAGCATATGCTGCAGCTATCTCGCCACTGGAGTGGCCAACAACAGCACCAGGCTGGATTCCAACAGAGGCAAATGTGTCGACCAGGGCTATTTGAATTGCAGTGCAAAGAGGCTGAGAAAACTCAGCAGAGCCGAGTCTGCTAATCTTGATTGGTTTCTGAAGCTCTTCCTCGATGGTCCAGTCTGGAGCATCATCTTCAAGGCTCTGGATATGTGCATCGAGAGATCTAATACTCTTCCTGAAGACAGGATAGGCTAGGATCATGCACCGACCCATTTCCGGCCATTGGGCTCCCTGGCCAGTGAATACCATAACAAGACTGGGGACACCAGACGGCCGAAAGGGTAGCGAAGCCGTGATACCCCCAAAAAGGTTTGCCACGGCGAATGCTCGATAGGGCAAATGCTCTCTTCGTTTTGCCAGAGTGAAGGCCAGATTGTTCACCATACCGGGGTGCTTTTGGGCGTAATCTCTATAATTGATGATCATTTTCTTCAGTGAATCAACATTGTTGGCGGAATACACAAGTAGTTGTGGGCATGTTATAGGTTGACTCGTGATAGGAGAGACACCAAAACTTTGAGCGGAATCGAGAATAACATGAGCATTTGTGCCTCCAATTCCAAAGGAGTTCACACTAATACGCTCCCTTCGAGAGTCGGGCCAGGGTGTCGCCTCCGTGGGCACAGAAAGGCCACTGTCCCAAGGGATAGCAGGGTTGGGCTCGTTGAACTTGATGTTCGGAGGAATAACACGATGCTCTAGTGCCAACACTGATTTAATCAGTGAAGTAAGGCCCGAAGCACCTTCAGAGTGGCCAAGATTGGGCTTAACAGAGCCAATCTGAACACCTCCAGATGGACCAAAGACTCGACCAATTGCCCTAGTTTCAATTGGGTCTCCGATTGAGGTTCCTGTGCCATGGCACTCGACGAAGGCTGTTTGAGAGTAATCACTATCAGGAATACCAGCAACCTCGTAAGCTCGCCTAATCATTGCTTCTTGGGCAACATCATTCGGCATCGAGAGGCCGCCGCCGGTGCCTTTTCCATCGCTGTTTGAAGCTGTTGCGCGAATAACAGCTCGGACTGGGTTACCATCGCGGATGGCCTGCGCCAGTGGCTTGATAAAGATAGCAGAGACTGCTTCTCCACGAGCATAGCCATTAGCATCAGCAGAGAACGTCTTGCATGACCCATCTGGGGCGAGAACGCCCTGCTCTGTCATTGCGACGGTCATTCCTGGGGCCATTATTAAATTGGCTCCGCCGATAATGGCTCCTTCACAGTCGCCTCTGGAAACTGCTAAACATGCCTCGTGTAGTGCAACAAGAGCTGCAGAGCAGCCAGTGCGGATTGTCATACTGTTCGTCTTCAGTTAGGATATTATGTCAAAGTGAGCGCAAAATAAGGATGAAAGTAAGGTAGCAAGGTGGAAGGTGAATGAGTGACGTGCAAAGGCTTTTTAGATATAGACTCACCTTGGCCCTGTTAGATCCATCTCATATGAAATGCGGTTGGAAAGCATGAAATCTCCATATCCAGTCACACGGTATAAACCATATTGCTGGTCCTCTTTCGCAAACATCTCAACCCAGTCCTCGCCAAAGCTGCCCATGTAGCAGCCGATCGGTCGACCTTTCCAGCTCATACCCGCATCTTCGAGGCACTCACGAGTAACCTCAAGCATTTGTCGTTGGTGTGGGTCCATTCGCTCAACATCGACCTTTCCCATGGAGAAGAAGGACGTATCGATGGAAGCCAAGTCAATGCTGTCATCAAGGAAATATCCATACTCGGTCTTGATGCTACCGGGTTTCGAAATTTCAGAGTCAGAGCAGTATGCAGAGGCATTGTATCTTGAATTGGGGACTGGGCCACGAGCATCGCCTTTAGCAATCAAAAAGTCCCAGAGTTGTTGTGGTGAGTGAAGGCCTCCAGGGAGACGAACCGACATGCCGCAAATGGCGATGGGTTCTTGAGATGGAACTTTCGGCGTGTGAGATCCTTCCAGGGGGGAGTCATTGCCAATGATCCCACATTTTGTACTTGATTGTTTGTCACTTGTGCTCACATGGTCATTCAGGTCTTTGTTTGTGTCGTTGTCAATGTCAATGTCACCCGTATTCGACATACAGCTATTCGAGTCGTCGGTGTCAATGATAAGCGGTGCCATTATATTGATTTCACGGTGAGGTCTCTATTATATTTTGATAAGAGGATATATTTGATAGTGTATGGAATTGCAACAATGCTGTCTTGAATACCAAAAGGCTCTCTTGGGCTGGGGCCTTTGAGTCCTAGTTATATTATTTCCACCTCAGCTTCTTTGTAATTGACCTCGACCAATGCAACAAAGCAAACCCCATGACGCAATGACAGACCCCGGAATCGCTACCTGAACGTCTTTCGCCCTTGCATACTGGTGGAATACGGACGCATCGTTCAGCCTTGCATAACTACCACATGCATCGCAGTCTCCTTAAGGCTTCGTTTCCACTTCCCACCCCCATGGATCGCAGCCTTTCGCCCGTCCACCAATTAGGATATAGAATTGCGCTTATAGGCTTAAGGCGAGATATGTTGCTTCCCATGAAATGTTTCCCTACGTTCCCTTCAGAATCTGCTAAACACCTTCAAAAAATCAAAGCCATATGGCTATTCTAATAACGGCAGGCTTTGCATTTGTTGGGATGTGACTGTGAGCTTACTTCAGTCAGGTTACCGGGCATCTAAAAGACACAAGGCTCGGGAGTTCTATGACCCCTCCCTTGCCCAGGTGTGACTAGGCCACCCCCAAGATGGGGCGGGGCAGAGTAGTTCTTGATCCTTCGAGCCACGTATCGCACCGCACCGGCACTATTTTAGATTTATGGGATGTTGCGGAATGGATTTCTTTGCTCTAAAATGCGATGCAGTTGTTTCCAGGGTCCTGATCACTGTTCAGAGGACTAGCTTGCTCGGCGTTAATCCTCGTCTCACGCCATTTAGGCTTAATGCTGTTCCTTCTTGCTGCTTTGGCTGCCACGTGGCATTCTGATCATCGACGATGATGTTCTGGTCAGATCCTGCATCTACATCGCCATAGAGTTATAAAATTGACAAAGTTATAATCCTTACCTATGAAGTCCTACTATTAGTATAGTCTGACTGAGGCGCTACTAAAGAAAAAATAGAGTTTTACTGTGCATGTTATTGAGTTTTTTGATCTAGTTTGTGTAAATCGGGAATAATTTAGGCGTTCAGCCATAATCCGGCAGTGGTATCGCCCCGCACTGACCCACGGATCGTTGTGAACCACGGGTCAGTGCGAGGCGAACGCTGCAGCACACGCGTGTTTCTGCCAAGCATTCCCTTTTGGGAAGGACCCACTGAGTCAGCTCTGTCGCAGTTCGAGAACGCGTCTTCGAGCCTTCTACATGTCTATCATAACGTAGCTGACCTTTTTAAACAATATGAGATAATTCCACAAAAATAAATTCTTACAGAGTAATTATAGTAATAAGTTCCGCAATCTCGAGTGCGTGGTTGATAGCCAATGTTGGTAATTTTATGAAGTCGAGAACGTATAATTTGACCATAGTATACCGCCCGGCGGTGATCGATCACTGCCATCAACAGAAAAGCAAGGCGTGCGTGTATATAATATTGAGAGCTAACCAATCAGTGAGGTCAATGCACTAAGATACATGATAACTTCTGTTCCAAACCTTAAGCTACATTTTCAGCCTCCCTGCGTATATTTAGAGAAGTAGATTTTAAGTTTAATGACAACGTAGATAAGCTGAATGCCAACCAAAATGCTCTGAAAATCGGATATCATATACAGCTTTTTGGTGCTTTTTTTGCCCTTGGCAGCATCGAGTTCAACTTTCTCTGATGATCATAATGTCAATTTTCGGACTCAGGGATATCCTGCATCTCCATGGCTGATGATAACAGATCAAGCATATGAAAATTTCAAAACTTGTAATTGAATGGTTATAGGTCCTAGCACTCCATGGAAGCCGGATTTCGGGCATACCTTTGAGGGTTTTTTGCCAGTGTTTTGATCACTAGTCGATTACACATATTTTGAGGCGGCATGGTGCATCGTTCTTCCTATGCCCTGTAAGGGGCAAGGCCATGTGTAGACTAGATGCAATTAATTTTATTAGTGCGGGGTGTGGGGCTTACTAAGGGAGTGGCTGAGTTATTTGTGCCTAGTGAGATCTGTTTGTCCGATCTCTCTCGGACATCCTCGGGGCGGGGAACGTTAATAAGACAAATATCTGTACAGGAGCCGCCCAAAAAGCAATGTCTCTTTTAGCGCCTCACACCGCTGCGACAGAATGCAAGGGATGACGATGGGCTCTATAAAAGATTTTTTCTCTCGACCATGTTGCGGGACTACTCATCTGTCTACTGACAATATCACCAACGCTCAGCATGTTTGAATCAGCCTCAGCAGTGCTCGCCATTGCTATGATGACTGCAGGGTATTCTGTCGTCCTCTGTGCCACTCCCCCAAACCCAACCCCAGAGAAGAAACATCGACACAGTATAGATCGCATCAGCTTTGTTTCAGGAAATTTCTCGACTATTGCGCACGCAATTTGCATAACTATTGTCACTTATCATGGGCTTCTCGTAGGGGTTGCCCATTACACCCCTGCTCGCATGTCGCAAAGTTGTCCGCTAGCCCGGAATACCAACCCAGAGCTCTTCGCCTGGAATTTCACATCGGTCACCGCGCTCCTCTTGATTTACGTCGGTACATATGTGCGCCTCTCAGCTTACGGCGGTCTCGGGAAATGTTTCACATTCCATCTTGCCCCGCCACCTCATTTGGTGACTACAGGAATCTATAGCTGGATTCAGCATCCCAGCTATACAGGACTGGCAATGCTATGCCTGGGCGGTGCAATGCTATTCCTTCGATGGGATGCAACCCCGGCCTGCTGGATTCCAGGGACGGTGTTGTCTCAACTAGAAGGATTTGGGCTTGGCATTAGTGTGGCACTTATGGGAGGCGTCTTCTGGACCTTGGCATTGAGAGTACGAGATGAGGAAGATATGCTGAGGCAAAAGTTTGGGGGAGCATGGGAGGACTGGCATCGTTCAACGAAGAGATTCATTCCCGGTCTTTTTTGAAACTTTTTTCCTTGTATGCCATCATGGATTTATGGTCGGATGTCGGCAATCGCTGCAGAAACAATAATTCCGTGTCTTTCTATCGTGTATGCAGGATTGCGAGAAGTTCCCCAATCTTTCCATCCACTTTATTGTATCGCCTATATTCCCCTACGTCCTACGTTCATGATTTCTCTTACGCAGAAGCAAGATCCAAGAGAATGAGATCTTTTTTTTTGCATTAGAGTCTAATTTTTGTTTAGTATTCTTCCACAATGGAAGAGAAGACTATGTGGGAGGGGCCTTTGTATGTTCAACCCAGCGTAGAGCAACCTATCTCTAGGGAAAATCTCGGCCAAATCGCAGGAGTCTCCAGGTACCAATTGACATAATCCAGTGCATGCGAATACGCCTTGTCCCCCGTCAAATCCATGGTGTCATATAAATCTTGGCGGTGTGCCATGTTGTCTTTCCCAGTCAGAGGCCCAATCTCCACCTTAATGACAGGAGTAGCACATGCTACTCTGCAGTACGTATTGATAAAGACGTCCATCAATCCAATCTACCTGGGGAATAAATAGCGACCACAGGTGCGAAATGTGTCCATGCACAGCTTGAGCTTGCCGAAGACGTGATCTCGGCTGTCGGGTCCGGAGTAATCACAGTCTCCAAAAGCATTGAGGTCTAGGGAACGTCCGTTCTCTCCAATAAATTGAGATTACAGTCCCATTTGCCAGTAATCAGCGACTAGTACTCATTCTCGGGGAATTTGTGACCTTGATCTGCCAACATTCGTTTCATCGGGCATTTCTCAGGTTACATGAAAACATTAAATGACCGACGCCATCGTCGCCCTGCTTTGCCAATCTGAATAAGACCCTTGAAATAGCCTGGAAGTTTAATATCCCCACATGATCGACAAGGGTTCTACGCTTTTCAGCCCCGTTGGTACCTTATTGTTGCTCGCTTAACTCATGAATAAATCCGGGGAGGCGGGGTTTCATCCAATGCCTAGTCCCGGGGCCTGAAGAAACATGATCGACCCAAATTTCCGAGGCTTAAACACCTCGGCTCTGTCTTGTGAAGCGGAGTATTGTCGGGCGATTATCGGGCTCCAGGGCTATGGGCCCTCATGGCTGTATATACGCCAAGGCATGCCAAGATATGCCCGGACTTTCAGGCCGGCGGTGATTCGGAAATTGAGACCAAGCTGAAGGTCATCAGATGAATGGTCTTCAAACTCGGCTGCTTGTTCTTAGAAGATGTCACAGAGTGATCAAAACAAATGCATTGATGATGAAGATATAAATAGGTGGGATCCTCAATTTAAAATTGGAATTCTGTTCTCCTCTCCTGTAATCAGAACACACACCTTGCTAAGAACGTACCTGGGTAGGTTCATAGCAGCTCACTCGCCAAAGTAAACCCGATTTCCAAATTTACTCCCTGAAAGCAAATCTGTCAAAGATGAAGGCCGTCAGTACTCTTACTTTGGCAAGCTTGCTATCCTCAGTCAATGCTCATGGGTATTTGACCACTCCTTCCAGCCGTACTAGGCTTGGCTTCGAGGTACGGTTATATTGTTCATATATCGTGTTCACGGATGTCATGTGCTAGACTGACCCCATTAGGCTGGCATTGATACCTGTCCGGAATGTTCCATCCTTGAGCCTGTCGCTGCTTGGCCCGACCTAGAAGAAGCCCAGGTTGGTCGAAGTGGGCCATGTGGATACAATGCGCGAGTCAGTGTGGACTACAATCAGCCTGGTGACTACTGGGGCAACTCTGTCGTCGCAACATATACCGCTGACGAAATCGTTGAAGTTCAATGGTGTGTCGACAACAATGGCGACCATGGTGGCATGTTCACCTACGGTATCTGTCAGAATCAAACTCTGGTTGATTTGTTTCTTACTCCGGGCTACCTTCCAACCACCGAAGAGAAACAAGCTGCTGAGGATTGTTTCCTGGAGGGTGAATTGAAGTGCACGGATGTTGATGGCCAGGCCTGTGGTTACAATCCCGATTGCACATCTGATGAGGCATGCTACCGCAACGACTGGTTTACTTGCAATGCCTTTAGCGCCAACACCAACCGTGGTTGCCAGGGTGTGGATGGCGCCGCAGAAGGCTCCTGTAAGACAACTATCTCGGGTGGTTACACGGTTACGAAGAAAATTAAAATCCCTGACTATGATTCGGATCATACCCTGCTGCGCTTCCGGTGGAATTCTTACCAGACGACACAGGTGTATCTTCACTGTGCTGATATTGCTATATCGGGCTCGGGATCAGGATCAACTTCGAGCTCAAGCTTGAGCACCTCTTCTACCAGCTCAGCTAGCTCGAGTAGCTCGACAAGCTCGACTGCAACCACCTTGACAACCACGACAAGTACCACAACATCCTCAGCGACATGCACTGCAGCTACAACTATCTCGGTGACCTTCAATGAACTGGTGACTACGACATACGGTGAAAATATATTCATTACCGGGTCCATCAACCAGTTGAGCTCTTGGTCCACCTCGTCCGCAATTGCCTTGTCTGCAAGCTCGTATACATCGTCTAATCCATTGTGGACGACTACCATTAGCCTTCCTGTTGGCACCACCTTTGAATACAAGTTCATCAAGAAAGAGGCGGACGGTAGCATTGTATGGGAAAGTGATCCTAATCGGAGCTATACTGTCCCAGCGGGCTGCTCAGGAGCAACGGTGACTGCTGCTGCAACTTGGCGGTAGAATTTACCAGTGTATGCAAGAGGGGAAATACATTAGTGTGGTCGGCTACTATATCCAATAGTACTACAGAATATATTCTACTCTCAAGCGCTAAGTTGACCCGCTTTTCAACAAAAACCATGACTTTAAGGCGATCTGTGGGCGCGCTGACCGGACAACGTTTCAGCCGGTAGCATGTGAGGTCCTCTGCCCACTTTGGTTCACATATTTAAGACCTAGTTCCAGAAGCATGGGTATGTACTTCGACAACCCCTTGGGAGCGGCTCGATGCCAGAGTTACAATTGAGCCTGAGAGCGCCGTCTCGTGTCTGATCGGCGTACCCCCTCATTCAGACGAACATTCCGGATACATGCTCCAGCAATGATTATTAGGAGAGCAACCGGAACAGATGCTATGAAAATGCGATCCAAGGACGCAATATAAGCTGCAATCACCTTATCCCGTAACTGACCCTCTTTCAGCTCCCAAACTGCGTCAACAGACGACTTCACTGCACTTGCCACAGCATCCGATACACCGCTTGCAGCTAGACGTGTTGTAAGCTCGCTATCAAGAATAGCGCCACCAATGACCGGCCCGCACAAGCCTCCGAACAACTGTCCAAATGATACTGTCGCTATTTTGCTGGATACTTCTTCCGGTGCACTATCAGCCTGTACCGCAATATATGGCACATTCTGTACCAGACCGACGCCAATACCGTAGATTATCTGATACCCGATTATAGTGCTAGACTTGGCGTCACCATCGACAGTGAAGAGCAAGCCTCCGCCAATAGCAAGGAAGGCTGGGGCTACCAGGCCCCATGTCCAGCAGTGCTTTGTCCAAGTCATCATGAATCCTTGTAGAGCCTGAGACACGACAACAGACATCAAGAATGGAATGACAAGAATTCCTGCTTTGAGAGGGGTGACGCCTCGGCCTGCTTCGTAGAGAACAGGGAGGTAAGTCGCCGCGAACAGGTTGCACATAAGATTCAGCATAGCCATCATTGTGGCACCGGCGACTGTGCGATCGAGAAATATCCTAGGCATAACCAGTGGCCAAGTGGTTATCCGCTCCCAAAAGAGCCATGTCGCAGTTATGGCGAGGAAACCAACGAAAAGACCAACAACAACTGATGAGTCCCACGCATATGCATCTCCGCCCCATTGTACTGCCAGAATAAAACACACGAGCGCACTCGTGACGAGGAAATAGCCTGTGAAGTCAACCAAAATCGCTCTTTTGAGCAAGATTGATTTGCCTTTCCAAGAGTGTTTCGTCCAAGATTCAAGTTTCTTATCGAGCTTCGATTCAATTTCCTCCGCAATGGGCCACGGCGGGAGTGATGGGATAACGAGAAGGTTCAGAATGATACTGACCACCCCGAGAGGCAAGACCAAAAGAAAACACCACCGCCATTGGCCGCGACTTGTTAGAGCGCCAGCCATTATGGGTCCACAGGTTCCCGACACTGCATTTTGTATTCCAAAAAGCCCAAGAACTAGCGGACGCGACTCCAGGTCCACTAATTCCGCAACTGTTGTCTGCACGGATACCCAGCATCCAGCGGCTCCGATCCCTGCGATGGCTCGTCCGATGATCAGCGTTTCAATGTTGTGGGCTGCGCCGGAGACAGCAGAACCTATCATGAAGAATACTATTGCCGAGATGAGGACGTATTTCCCATTGAATAGAGCTAGCGCTTGTCCGAATAGAAGCATGCAAGCACACTGGGTCATGTAATATGCTCCACTGACCCAGCCTAGTTTACTCAGCCCGTTGAACTGTGATGCGACAACCGGGAGTGCGGGCGAGAGCATGTTACCACCGAGTCCACCCATAAATTCGGTGATCACCCAGCCCCAGAAGGCGAAGAAAAGACGATGGCCTTTGATATGTCTTCGTTCTTGGTGCTGAGTGAATTGCTTTGTTGGGGTGTTCTCCAGGTCAGGATTCTCGGAACGGACGTTTTCGATGTGTATCGTATGGCCTGTTGACAAAAAGTTAGTTGAAGATAAATTAATGATTGAACCCTCTATTAAAGACGTGCAAACCAAATTTCGGGTCTTTCGTCTCGGTGGGAGTGCTGCAGACCGGCGTGAAAGCGGAGTCTATGCATCTGGGATCAGACATCATTGCTTCGTGGGTGTTAGAATGACCGAAATTGATTGAGCCAGGCCTCCTGACATAAAGCCTGAGGGTGGAAATATCTGGGGAATTTCCTTGACTTATAAAATCTTGGAGAAGTCATTTCGCGGAGGCGGGGAAAGGTGCATCGGATCGGTGGCCCACTTTCTGTCAACTTTATTCGTTTATGTGGGTGCAGTGGATTTGTAGCACATATCCACTTGTGGATCCTCATGCCATATCACATTAAAGCGTGGCATGAACAATAGCAAGGGGACAGACAGAAATTTCATTTAAAGTGACTGCGTTATGTATTATACCAGCCATATTTATGCGAAACTCGGTCTCAAACTCTCGGGCAATACCCGTGAACACATCACACCTAAGTATAAGCGCAGATGAGCTTAGGGGTCTGGGATACCCAGAGCTGAGAGACAACTTGCACCGTCTTTGGGCGATTTTTGAAGCTCCGAGTTTTGATCTCCACTGTCGATTCTCGTGATACGATGTGGCCCACCTTCTGGATATTCAATTTGGAGATAGGTTCTTCTGGTGAGCAAGACTTTGGCTTCAGATGATTTTCGAGGTCGACTTCATCATCCTCTATTTTGAGAGGCTTTGGTTTACAGACATATCCATCTGTCTCGTGGCGCACAAGAAATCTGAGGCCGCCCAGCCGGTAAGAGACCATGCGGTGAAGCGACTTACTATTTATTATCTGGTTAAGAGTGTATTCCTTCTCGAATTCATGGCCGTAGCCCCGAAACTCGTGTGGGGGTTATGTTTCAAAGGCGGTGATTTCGTCGCGACAGAAGATTGCGGTCTGAGCAGCCAATTCCACCTTGATCGTGAACCGACGAGCGCGGCCTTTGGTCAAAGTGGGCTGAATGAATGAGAGAGGCTTGCGAGTATTGTGTCGGTCGGTCACAATATCGATTGAATGTATTTCAAACAATGGTTGCCCAATGTAGAGTGAGCGGAATAGCGGTAGCTTGCAAAATTATCATCCAAGAACAGAGACAGCGTTTCTCAACCCAGTGATCAAGGGCATCTAGACAATCCGTCGATCCATCACCGATGTCTATGTGAAAAGGCCCCATTCCCAGCCACTTTAATGGCCTCATGATCGAGCAAGCAGTTACCACTTGGGCATTACCAATCCTGTGAATGATATATGGGGACAATAAGTGGAGTTCGTGGAAAGCGGGTAGTAGAAGTGACCACATTCCGAACTTCCAGGACTGGGCCTTCGTTTTTCGGGCGACGCAGTTCTGGGGTCGAAATGAGGGGTAGATAACTTAAGACAGGCTTCGTGCATTACACTCGACTGACTCGTGATATAGGAGTATTATTCAATTTCTAAACGCAAGAGGTGAGAGGTATCAAACAGACCTTTCCAAGCAAAGAAAATAGCAGAGAGCAAAAGTCGTAAATCGTATGTCGTAAATAGCCCAGTTTCCACGCTATGCAAGCCTAAAACGCCAGGCCATGAGAAGAAAAGTAGTCATCTAGACTCGATGCAATCGAGGTACTTTCATATATGCCAGCAATATACTGATCCGGTCGCAATAAGTATGCAGCATCTCTCTTAAAGCCAACTTTGCCGTGATGCGGATTCCACTCAAAAACGGTGAGCTGAACACTGTGCGCACTGCACCACTTCTGCAGGTCTGGTCGCTGATCACCATAAACATGGAGCTGCCAGGACACTATATGAATTGTCGAGTAATTGTCCGACGATTCTGTCTTCGCCCACGGTAAGCGGTCTCCGGGTTGTATTTTCTCAGAGCCGACAGCGATCTGACTCATTGGACTTCCGCGGTAAGTACACGCGAGTTGAGAGACACCTCGGAAGACTCGAGTTCGCCCAAAATGGAACTTCATGATAAAGGGTACAAAATATGGAATGATCCAGTTCCGCAAAAGGCGTGAAAAGATTCCCTGATCTGTGAGAACGGTAAAACCGTGGTCAGTCGTGCCTATGACATTGAGCGCGAAAGCACGGCGTTCGGTCTCATATGAATCCAAGAGCTTTTTCTGTGACTCTCTATTCATTTTAGGGTTTCTAATCACAGTAGCGAGTTTCCAAGCGAGATTGATGGCATCCATGATACCAGTGTTCATTCCTTGACCCCCCACAGGGCTGTGGATGTGCGCAGCATCGCCAACGAGGAATGCCCGGTTTTTGTGGTACTTTTCGGCAACACGATGATGAATACGGTATGTAGAGAACCAGTTCAGCTTCTTGATCACGAGTCCTGATGATTTCTTGATATCTGGTAGTACGTCTTCGAAAGTAATATCTGGGTGAGGAGTTGATATATCGACTTTCTGATCTCCATCTGGAATGATGGTGCCGACCAATCTGACATGTCTACTATCAGAAAACGGAAGCAACATGGTGAATTTGTCGTCCTGGATTCTCAAATGACCTTCGCCGTTGAAAAGGGGGCTGTCGTCATCTTCGGCTTCGAGGTCGACAATATAGAACAGGGGGACATAAGTCTCGCCCTCGTATTTGGCGCCAATGCTACGTCGAACTGCTGAATGTGATCCGTCACAGCCAACAATATATGTTGCTTCACAGGCTATTTCGCTTCCATCGATCTTTCGGCGCAAAGTTGCGATGACACTGGATCCACGATCCACATACTGCAGGAATTCTGTGCCTCGCTCCACCAGGACTCCAAGAGACTGGAGTTTGTTTTCCAGAATGCGCTCATGATCATCTTGTGGAATCATCAATATGTATGGATATGGGGTCAATTCTTTGCCAACGTCTGATAGCTGAATGTGCGCACAATGATGGCCTTCAACCCATATGTTAGTTGCTGGTAGCTGATACCCGCAGGCTTGTAGTTCGTCAACCAGGTCAAGCTGCCGATATAGCTCCAGGATGCGCGCATGGACGACAAGAGCCCGAGAGTGTTTCGCTGGGCCTTCTGATACGTCAACGATACGAACTGTGATACCCTGTTTATGGAGCCAGAGAGCAAGCACGAGACCTGTGGGTCCTGCACCGATAATGAGGACATCTGTTCGGGCCATTGAATTGATGATACTAGTAGGGTAAGGTGAGGAAGGTGGTAGAGAGTCAAAGTAGATGACACAACTATTTTCTTTAAATATGAGCACATTTAGGGATTTTGACTTTGTTATTCCGAAAAACATCAAAGGCGTCACAGCTGGCTTCGATCATCCCAGCTGACACGGGTAACCGGGGCGGGCAACCCCGTGGTCGGGCGCAGTAGTCTCCGACGCCGACAATGATATGGGTGTAGTGAGATCGTCGCGTTCCGATCGGCGCGACCCGTGGGGGAGCCTGCTACATGTGACCGAACGTATCGAGCAAGGTATCTTTGTCTTTGTCTCACAATCAAGCCTCTCCACACGTCATCAGAGACTCGTGATCAGAGACTCGTGAAGTGGACTATATCATCCATCAACGATTCTTGGAACTGATTCAAAAGACAATCCCACTCATTCCAGTCCATTGGGCTAGTATCTTGAGCTAGAAAATCAAAATCTCTGTTATCGTCAAGTTGTAACATAGATGGGTCGTGATGAGATTCCATAGTGTTTGTTTGTTGGGTCGAACTAGAATTCCCCTGTGTTACGTGTGGCTCGGTGACACATTCTGGATTGCTAATCAAAGTAGCTATTATTGTCGGACAGGTTGTTGGAGCACGATGCTGAAGGTGACATTCTTCAGTGTACGATTTCCAGGCCTTGACCATGAGATTCTGCAGGGCCAGGTGAAGAGGCCTGCCCGCATTTCTACGCCTTTGTCCAACATGGCGAGAATAAATATTCCCAACGATTTCCCACACCTTGCTTTTCTCCTCTGGATCATTCCGGACGCGCATTTCAGACAACATGAAAATCATCGCGTCCCAAGGCATATGATGCACCGTGTGCCACCCAAACCGCTGGACATCGGCGTTTGTTTGAGTATAATCTGCATATTCAGTCATCTTCAGACAATTTTCAAAGATTATGTCCTTCTCAGCTTGTGAAATGCGAGTATTGCAGTCTCGATACTGCCGTGGATGGTGCGCCATCAACCTTGTGTAATGTATGGCTGAACGGGCCATCATTATAGTAGCCAGATGAAGAGGAATAGATCGGTCGCAATACTGTAAAAACTTCTTCTCCATGGTTTTCTCCAGTTCATCGATAGCAATATCCTTTTGCTCAAGTGACATTGTTGAGGAGGATAAGAAAGCCCACGGCGAATTGGAGGGACCTGCATCCTTGCTCCAGCGACTAAGCCATTTACCGAACTCGCTGCGAGCAAGGCAGAACATCATTTCCGTTGGACCCTGCTTTTCACAGGGTGATTCAGTCATGCGCGGGTCTAGATCGCTATCATTGATGTTCATGGGTGGTTTGGTGTCAGCATTAGTGGGCAAAGGACTGGAAGCGACGCCACAGGATTGCGCAGATGTCGCATCTAAAATCACAACTTGAAACCAGATCCGACGTCTCATTTCAGTCTCAAAGAAGCTTAGTCCATATCCAGAACCATCTCGATGGATCCCCATTCTCTGGGCAATTCGCGAGGCAACACCGCTCATAGTCCAGGTGGTATGTGGGTCGGAGAATGCACGCATAGACAACTGCCAAATTTGTTAGAATCAGTTAACAGAGTTGAAATTGTAAGCTCACCAGGTAGAGCATGAATGCCTGTAGCACCATCAGGTTGGAGGTACGAAGAATTGAAGCCTTGCTCAGGGCCAGTTGCGCTCCTTGTCTGTATCGTGAGAGTAGCTTCTTTTTGCTTTCTCCAAAAGACCTTTCGACCTCATCAGCCCGTAGAGACCCCAGTGCGATGCAATATATGGCAAACATCAAAGCCTCTAGCTCTTTTCGCACCCTCGGGAGATCGCCAGTGGCCTCTAGTATCTGTGGCTGAAGTGTTGGTGTATGCACAATTTTGATCAAGGGATTGACGTTTTCGAGAAACGTCTGCCACAATTTAAATATGTGGAGAGCGTCCGGGTGTAGTTCAGTGAGGCTCTCTCGAGTCGCAAGCCCCATGAGCATCATGGGCTCATTGATATCCTCTTCTTGCGACAAATCATCATTGCGTTCATCAGATGTGTTGCCTAATACGTCTGCAGCATCCGGAAGCTATATCGGGAGATCAGAAGTATGATAAGACAGGTAACAGAGTATAACGCACCTCGTAGCTAACACTGGTCCAAAGAGTACTGTTTGAATGTTAAGTAAGACTCACGAGTTGGTTCAAGAGATTACTAACTTGTCGAGATAAATTGAATTTCCCTCTTTCATGATCATCCTCCCCGATCCATTTGACTTCGATTCGGCCTCAAATGGCCCATCGCCAGTCGGAGACGATCTTTTAACGGGCTGATCAACTCGTGAAGGCTCTGGGGTCATTTTCCGAAGTGACTTCTCGCGTTCCTGAGACGCATTTCCACTGGTGTCGCGCTCTCTTTTACGGCGACGCGGCGGTGGCGGAGGACGATAGAAACAATCAACATTGGCCTTTGCACAATTTGAGCAAGGCTCTTTGCGATCACATTTGACCTTTCTGTTGTGGCATACGACACATGAGTATGGCTTCAGTGAATGCGGCAGTGACGCCATTGTGGGCTCCGTGCCCACCAAGCGGTGCAGATTCCCAGACGCTTCTTGTTGTCTTGCTATCGCCACTCTATCTTAAGCTCCATAGTCGGATAAGGTGACTGCAGATTCAAGTTGTTGTGAGGAAACGCTCGATCCCCGTAATGACGGGGCGATATACGCCTAAGGCACCAATAGCGTTTCGGCCTTGGTAGTGGGGCAACTACATTATCAATGTGGGCTCTCGTGTTTCAGGTTTCGATATGACACTCCACAGTCTCCTCTCATGTCATGACCTCCAGACTTTTGAGAGTAAAAATGGGTCATTATCGGTCACGGGGACTCGGCTAAGTGTGCGAGATTCAATGAAGATTGCTGCATTCCGACACTTTCCGCGTCACACCACACACCATTGCTGGCATGATTGATAACTCAACAACCGAACTATGGCACCAATTTTTAACCGACTTCGCACCGCTCTTTCTCGTCGAGACAAAAGACTATCTTTTTCTGTCGGACCAAAGGAGTCGTTTTGGAAACGACTCCCCGACAAAGTCCTCGTCAGATTGGTCTCATTATGTGAACTAGAGAACATAGTGTCGCTAGCATTAACATGTCGTTTATTACATCGACGAATTTTCAAGAACGAATTGGCTATATCACATTCATACATGGATCTCCGTCGACGGCGGGGATCTAATTCAAACAACAATACAATCTCCTCGCCGGGTGACGACTTGACCTTCATATCCGAGCTATTCCCACCACCTCCACCTCAATATGCCATAGGTGACAGTCACGATGATGCCGATTATTCCTTTGCCTATCTAGCAGACCTTCAGCGGTGCTGGACGACCTGCATTCAGTTGTCTTATTATCTGGCCGATCACGCCGTTCGACATCATCTGGATACGGACCCCATTGCTCGGCCGCTTTGGACATCTTCCAAGACAGAGAAAGAAGTTGTCTATAGTAAAGCTGTTGAAGCACTTCATGTCAAACTCCTTCATTCAATGTATGGGCCCCTAAAATTCAGTAGTCAGACCTATAGCTAATTGAAACCAGGGCGTACGCGATCTTCTTTCTTGAGTCCTGTGCAGCAGACGATTCGGGTTCGAACTCCTCGCGCCAGCTCGTCAACCTTTTCAAGTCCATTGGTGATCAGGAATCTATTCTTCAGTCAGCACCGTTCACAAACTCTCAGTGTCTTCTTTCAACTCAGCACTGCTTGGAGCTTCTTTGTGCAACTGTCCGCCGGCTCATGCACCCCGAATTCCCTTATTCATCCTCCGAAAATTGGGTCAGTCTTCTCCTAATGACTTCCACTTTAGAGCGAATCCTCCAATTCTTCATCGCAGTTGCGCAAGATGAGGAGAAAAGAGATTCCCCGTCCTGTGCCTCGAACTGGTCTCATCGGAGGGAGTTTATGTGGCAGATGCGTAAAGACCTGGGCCAGTATATGGCGAGCTCAGATTCAAGTCCCAATGAAGTCTCCCACGCTCCCCTTGCTCTTGATAAAGTCTGGTTTGGGGCTTGTCACCAGGAAATGCTTCGAAGAGGTGCCGTCCCGCACGAAATTGAAGAACCCGTTCCGGTCCTCCATGGGTCTGCGGTAAAATTGCATTGTAAATACTGCTACATCGAGGAATAGAGATTTATTTGATTTGGATAGAGTGCCTACAAAAGGTTGCCAAGAAGTTTTGTACAGTACAGTAGAGCATGGGCCGCGCTCGCACTAACCTATCTTGTTCGGATCCCGGCTTTTCGGAGATCTCCGACACCAAGGCTAAGGACAACCTCACGTTCGCTCCTAATTCAGCTTCGACTTGATCAATAGCATCATCGAGCCCATAATATAACATAAACAGTTTGAGTGTCTTACTGTTCTTATTCTCATCTTACCCCCAGGTGTTGGCAAAATGATGGCTACAATGCCCGCAGTAAGTTACCCGATGACTGACAAAATGAGCATCTTTGATTGACTTCTCAATAGTGCGACTTGTGCCATACAAGAAAGGTCAGACATGATCACCAAAATGACGGCTAGCTTTACTACTGAATTAACTTTGATCAGGTGAAATGCGATCGGCAGGATCCATGTCTGAATTGTGTAGATGCACGGGTCGACTGCCGTCGTGCTCGCCAGGCGAGAATTCATCGGCCGAGAGTCTCTCGGTACGTGTAGGCAGTGCATTCATCAGCGATGGGCGTAACTGATTATGAACAGTCTGGAAGCTTTGTCGGACCGATTGGCAAAGCTTGAGAAAACAAATGAGGACACCTCGTCTTTCTCATCGCCTTCGCCAGTCATCGGCAGCAATGACACAAATCAAACGGCGTTGCCATCACCGCAGGCAAAGCCTATGGATTCCACGCACTCGGTATCAAAGAGGAAGCATCATTCTCATTATTCCACCAACCAAACAAGTCCCTCTGGCCAGCACGGAAAAAAGCGGAGGATATCGCAAAGCACTATATCAAACATCCACGGCGAGCGACATTTACCAGGCTCAGCGCGGCATGCCAGTGAGGCAAGGGAGTACATCGAACATGAACTTCAATGCAATCCAGCTCTGTCAAAAGACAGGCGAACAGCACTAGAAATGGCACAGAAATTTGTCAGTCAACTTTCGAATCCGGGATTTCATCGTTATGAGACTGGTGCTGCCGAGGAACTAGAAAATGGAGATACAGCGCCTCCTGCTCTAACGCCGGAGCTGCTGTATATGATGTTACCAGGTAAACTCCTCAGAAAGCACATCCCGTATGGAAATTCATACTCACTGCTCTAGGTCCCGACAAATCGACCAATTCCCAAGGAACAATCGCGTGGCCAGATCATATATCAGATCAAACACTAGAGCGTATGGGCCTAGCTATTATTGAGCGCAGTGAGAGTGAGCAAATTCTTCAGCTTTACCGAATCACAGTATGGGTAAAGGCTATATCTTGTATTTCAAAATTGGCGCCATTGATATCAAGTCAGCCTCTGAAATTACATTTCAGGAATCTAAAGAAGCAGTATGAGGCAGCCGCTATTGAAGAACTGAACTCAATCCCTTTAGCAGCTTCTCCAAGTCTGACTTTGCTACAAGCATTGCTATCCGGTGTAAGTGGAATCGCAAACCACTGCGTATCTACAATTTACTCATTCTTACCAGAAACGGTTGATGCAATATTTAGGGAACATGTCCCGTTGTTGGATGTTCACGGCCCACGCTTCGAGGATTATTGTCGCCTTGAACTATCACAATATTACCAATCCCATACCCCAGAATGAAGTGGAAGGAGATATACATGCCTGTGTTTACACATGCTACTACTTTGATAAGACTTTAAGCTTGCTTCTTCTTCGACCACCGTCTTTACCAGAGCTGAAAGTTGAGCCAGCACAATTGATTCACTTGGATCCAGAATTGCCCACGACAGCAATGATAAGAGGAATCGTCGACCTGGCGCATCTCAAAAACACTCTCGTGCATGTTCTTCTCGATACCAAGGAAATGAGCGATATTGAGAAGGCAAGCCTTCTGTCCGATCTTGTCATCCGCGCGCAGACGGTTCACTCCGGCCTTCAAATAGTAAATCTGGACTACTCTAACCCAAACCTAGTGCTAGATGGCTAACATATCTGCAGCAACAAAGGCGGCAAGAGTTAGACTTTCCGACTACATGGCCAATCCTGCGCCGTGAATGGCTATCGATGGATTTCAACTACTTCTCGGTCTTGACCACAATCATCCGAGCACGGTCTTCGGTCTTGAAATCTCGTATGGTGTGTGAAGACTGCCTCTACGCAGCCCGAGAGGGACTTATCACTCTTCGGGCCTTGCAAGAGGCATTTTCAACTGATGAGATATCGGTCAACTCCTATCCGTACTTCCTGACGTGGTATGTTCTCATTCCATTTCCTCGAGACCTAAGAGACAGCAAGTTAATCTCATGGTCAGGACCATGCTTTTATTTCCTCTTTCCCCATTCTTCGTACTATTCTGCAACGTTGTCGCGACATCGGACCACCGCGATTTCGAAATGATCAAGGAAATCACCGGCAATCTTCGCCAGTTTGCCAAAGCAAACGCCTCAATTGGCAAGCTCTATGGCCTTTTCTCCAAGTTTTTAGATCTATGCATGCCGCTGATCAAGGAAAAGGATCCATGGTGTTCCTCTGAAAGCACCGTGCCTGAGTTCCCTGATGGTTCAAATAGTGGGAGAGAACTTCCTCAGCTCGGCAGTCCATATACGGAGATGTTTGGCCGAACTGCCAATCATACTTTAAATATACCGCCAAGTCCGGGTCCTAGCAGGGCAGTCTCTGACGTACCACGATCGGTGCCTTCTGTGGAAGGATGGGATGACAATCTTATGTGGGAGTTGTTCGATAACCAACCCTCCCTAGGGTGGGCAGAGTCGGAGCTTTGGGATGTAATTACACAGTCAAATACAGCGTGAACAAACTACATTATGAATTTTCTAGGCATTCTCTTGGTAATAAAGTAGCGTATGAATACTAGCAAGTTTATGGGGGTTGTGGATTAGTACATGATATTTACTTCAGTCTCTTGGAAAGGACACAGTCCTGTGAAGAGAAGGAAAGGGGGGAAATAGAGAGCGAATGGCAGACATCCAGAGTCTAGTCGCAAGACAAAAACAGGGTGGAATGCTGGATAAGGCGGACATGCAGAAGGGGGGCCGTTATCTGTCTGAAAGGTACAGCCAAGTATTATAATACAGTGCTGAAGGACAAAATAAAAAAGAATAAAAAGGTGTCTTATCACGAAATCAAGACCCAAAGGAGGAAGAAAATCTATGAGGATTAGCATTATCATAAATATTTGGAACCAAGGAGTACATACCATCAGCACGCCAAACATTTTAGCGATAAGCCATCTGTTGCCAGAAACGCGAGTCCAATACTTCATCAACTCTCGCTGTGCACCTTCCACATTGTCCACGACGTCTTCTGTGTTGGCATCGATGCGTTGAATCATTTCAGACTGCTCGCTGACCATCTGAGCTAGTTGGCCGAAGATACCACCGAGTTCACTAATTGTCCGTTCAATTGCCTCAATAGCTTCTCCGCGGGCCTGGGTGTAGCTGTTGCTCGACTGGGCCTCCTCCATAACCAAGAGTTGCTGATCTGATTGCATAGAGGGCCGTCCCAAGGGTGAAGGATTTGAGGGGTCCAGAGTCAAAAGATCTGAGGAGTTTCCTTGATATCCTCCGGGCTGAGGGGTGCGTCTCCCCGAAGGGTTGTATAAAGGTGAATCGGAGCGTTGCGAATCGAGTGCACCCTGCGACTTGGATGACACAGAGGAGACAAAGTTTTCAGTTCTTGAGCGAGATGCTTGGATATTCTTCGTCCGGACTTCCAGAACGTCTTTGAAGCTGGCACCCACATCGGCCAGTTTACCCTGTAGCATAACAACAACCTAAGACCTATTAGCAATGGCCCGAGCACGCGTTCTTCAAGGAACCAGACTCACGTTATCATTGTGTTCGCCTTCCTGGTCTGTCTTCGAGCGGTTTATTTTTGGGTGTTGTGCCTGGGTCAAGGCGGATAAAGACGCGATTTGTTGATTCAGGGATGCCAGATCTTGCTTGATCACGTATGTCAATTCGGAAATCTCGACGGGTCGGTCATCGAAGAGAGTTTTGCGCTTTGCCACTGATTGCTGTCAGATTATGACTTTCCTTGCCTCCGTTGCTTGATCTTATTGATACTCACACTCTGCCAGTCGCTGCAGCTTTGCTGTTGTTCCGGTGATCCCCTTCCCAATGTCCCTTGCCCTTCGCGCGAATTCCGAGCGCCCCGACCTTACCTCCTGCGCTCCGGATGGCGATCCATTGGCCTGTCGCCGTTGAGTATCTGTCAATAGCGCTTGGCGCTGTGTTCCAACTTTCGAAGCTCCCTGCCGCTTTTGGGCTTGGCCTAGGATGGAGCTAAACTCGCTGGTGCGATCTTGAATTGACGGGCCGGTCATTATGTAGGTATGAAAAGAGTCGAATGGAATAAGAAGGATGGGTGGCGTATCTCCGATACGTCCAGAAGGCTGGGATTCGAGGAACTCGGGCGCTGTTTTGGGGTGGGTGTAGTTCAACTATCTTTAATCGATAAGGGGTAGCGTGTCCGGTTGCAGTAGTCTGGCGTTCAAGGTGAAATTCGGGGAAGCGCAAATCAGCGTCTTATAGACCTGAAAGTGAAGGATGAAATAAATGAACAACTGTGGACCTTTCTTCTCTTCAGGTTGCCTCAATCTCGAATTCAGGGCACCCTCAACTCAAAATGAAACACGTCGATCGCGATCCCACGTGACCCTGCGCCACCTACCGCTTACATCACCGTGCACCGCCTTATGATAAATTTAGCAGTAAATTGTTACCTAACGGTTGTATGCCACTTGCCTTGTTCCCCGGATGTAAATCAGGGGAAAGTTGATACAACGCCCGTCTCTCTCGTTTCGCTATTTCTCCCATCTTTGCTACTATTGAATCGCATCAGAATCTTATTCATTTCTTTTTGGCGGACACGTCATCTCCGAACATTGTACAATAATCTTGTTTCCGCCCCCGTCCTCAACTAACCGATCTGATCGGCGCCCGCATTGGCAACGTTGCTCACGCCACCCACCGTCCTCCCTCATACCCCTGTCCACTCATTCCTCTTACGTGATATATCTCGTGTCAAAGCTTCCAAAGCTTCGCCGGGTGTCATCTTCCAACAGGTGACGAGTGCAGCGCAAACACGGCATTTCGCGATCGAGCAGGCAGCAACCGATGTTGAATATTTAACTCGGCTTTTGGACCTTTGGACGCTCTGTAACTGATGGCGAATCCTAATCTACCGGGTCGCGCGGGCCATAATCTGTAAGTCTAGTGCCTATATCCCCCTCTCCTTTGGTTGTTGTCGTACAAGCTCTGAGACATTCTGCCAGCCCATCGCCGCCCAGTGTGGATAGCCCTCTCACTCCAGCAAGTGCAGGAAGCAACCCAATTTCTTTCCGAGCAAACGTGAACCGCTCAAAAACAAAACGTTGGGTGGAAGCGAAGCAATATTCGTATGATGGTGGAGACTGGGGCGACGAAGACGATGAAGAGGAGGAGGAGGAAGCTCCACCGGTCATGCCCCGACCTCCATATGCAACGCAAAGAACCGGCAGCTCATCCGAGTTGAGTATCAGGCGTTTGTCTGGAATGGGATTTGGAGCTGAAACCGAGTCTCGCGGGAGCCCGACTGTAGACGCCGGTACCGATCAACAGAAGACCGTTCCTTTCGTCAGACCTGCAGATCTATACAAGCGCATGCATGAGAGCACACCAACGGGTTCTCCCCAGGTGGGGGCTCCTCCGGCTTTTTTTCAGCCTGGAAGTCAATTACAACAGGCTGAACCCACCAATACTCTCTCTGAGCCAGCACATAATGTGCCTGCTGTTGGCTTACCTGACATTAAGCGGATGTCCTCATTTGGGACCGATTTTCTAGATTCGGGTGACTTGAATTCGCAGCCTGTTAGCACGGAAAGCAGTGAACCATCCTTACAGCACAATCCTTCCCAGGCCTCTCAGGCCTCGGAGGCTTCTCAGGGATTCACATCAGTAGTGCATCAAGCTTTCGATGTCCCAGAAACCCCAAATTCCACTGCTGGCAGTGTGGCACGGTCGAACAGCGATGGAACCTCAATGATCAGTCCCATCATTAGTAACCGCGGACCTCAGGACAGAACACCCACTATCCCCGAGGAGCCCGCCGAATCGAGTACCCCTACTGGTGTTCTCAACGACGTCCCTGCTTTTATCCCGGGTCACCGACGTGATCTGAGTGTTCCGAGCCGGGACAACAGCCCTTCAAAGAAACCAGTTCTCACTGAGCAGGAACCACCTTCGGAGGGTCAAGCAGTAATGTCTTCCATCTCTCCGGGTCAGGCTCCATTGCCACAGCCTCTTGATGGGACGACTCCTGTCACCGAGAAAGTCTTTGTCGCACCGCTAAATTTTGGCGAAAGGAAGATGTCTGAGCAATCTGGATCTGACGGGTACCGAGGCAGCATCCCCACGATCATCCCCGCCTCTAACGTGGACTCCCCAGAAGACGGAGATAATGACCGGTTGCGAGAGGAAATAATTCGCTCACTAAGCAGAGAGGGCTCACAAGAACCAGACTATATCCCCCAAGCTGGGGAAAATAAGGAGGACTCCATTCCACACCAATATGAGAAGTATTGGGATGGACAAACCGGACCTGGTCTTGATGAGACTTCCAGGGCTTTGGTTTCTGAATCTCATCCGGACTGGAGCGATTCCCATCCTCTGGGCTCTCAGGATCCATATGGAACTCATCAAACACCTGCTGAGTCTTCTTTGGTTGAGGAAGCGCCGCAGAAACCTCGATTGGGAAGACGGTTCTCGTGGGAATCATCCTCTTCGACTGGTCAGCCAACTCAAGCTCCCTCTAGTGGTGATGTTCCTTTGGCTTCGCAACCACATGTGCCTGTTTCTGAGGACCTTGCCGCTTACGCACCCGAGAGTGTTGACAGGGAGCTGCCAGCCTATGATAGCGAATGCTCTGACAGCCTGCGCGTCGAGAAACCCAGACTCTCAATCGTACCTCCAATTCCGGAGAACAGCTCGACTCCAGTGCAGGTTATGGGGCCTGTGGATGGCCAAGGACCCCAAACCAGTGCTCCTGTTATGCCTGTAGGGAGTTTGTCTGTCGACGAGAATAAACTCCAGGGCTTCCGTGACATTCTCAATATTGCGTCCGCCGGTGAACGTACGAAGGCCTTCGACAACACGAGAGATCAGTTTTCTGTCCTTAACAGCGGTCTGAACCACTGGCTTCAAGTCACTATTCACGATCACCCGGAGCATGCAGACCTGGTCTACTCGAGCCAGAGCGTATCAGGGATACCTCGAAACTCCCCATTAAGAAGTCGGTTCCCCAAAAAGCTTGCTTCCATTGGCAATCTGACCACGCCAAAGGAGGATGTTGACCCCACTAGTGCCAGTCATGTAAGGCGGCCCTCTGGTAACATCGGAACCATCATGAACAAGTCAAACGTTGAACTACGTGGCAAGGAATTCCTCCATACGGCGGGCACATTCGGCGGTAAGGCCGGCGAAGCTGCTAAGGGCTTCTTTGCTAAAGGCAGAAGCAAGTTCCGAGCAGGCGGAGACAAGGTAGATACATGATCTTTTTTCTCAGTTTGACCGGGGTATTATTGCACTTGTTGAATGGCGCGCTGGACGGCCAGCGCAGCGGTGTCTGCAATTCTGCTTCTACTTTTCCAAATTTTCTTATACCACGATGTAATTTCCCATCGCTCTGGCATTGGACACTAGAATGCGACACGATTGATGCATCTCTCTATTGACTCTTCCATCTCCACACATTTCACCATTCCACCTTTAGTTTGTGCCCGTTTCTAATGTTGGTAATGCTGTAGGATCAGTCGTCGGCTACTCGGCCAAAGAGTCTTCACTTCGGCTCACAATCGGAGTCCAATGGCTCCCAGGGTAATTCTTCCTTCCGCAGATCTGTCAACCTAGGCAGTCTGCCTGTTTTTAAATTTGGGCAAAACAAAAACGCATCCGCCCTTTCTGGAGATGATGCACAGGATAAGGAACGTTCGGGTAAACGCCTAAAGTCTACCGGATCCATGGATATCCAACGTCTTCAAACAAATCTTGAAGGTACATCAGGAAGAGCTGTCTCGCAGCCTTTGCAACCTTTGTCGTCGGATGAAGATCGAGCTCGGAAGACAAACGCCAAAAACTCTGGCATGGTCAGTGACCTTGAGCAGGAAATGATTGCTGCTCTTGGCCTGTCTCCTACTAAGCCTCTACCTGACCCGTTGGCTAACGCGGACCCGACACTGGCCTCCAGTGCACCCGATGGGCGGCCTCAGGAGACCCGACGACCACCTTTCAAGAACGAAACTGCGATGGCCGAGGAGAACGTTATGCATAACAGTCAACGTTCAAGTGGAGAAAAGAGCCTGCCGGTGCTTGCTGTCAAGGAGTCGAATAATCCGGTCATCTCCGAGGTAAGGAAGTCACGCACCGAGCCTACAATGGGTTTGCCACATATCTCGATCCCGTCCATTCGCCCTGTCATTGAGACCGAGTCCGCCATTTCACCCGGTACTCTGCCCGAGGCCCTCTCGCCAGACGATATTCCGCCAGCCATCCCACCAAAGGATCTTGCGCCTCCTGAGGAAGGTCATACTCGCCAGCGATCAGTCTCAACGCTTGGTGCCGATGAAGGGGATGCGAGCGGCCAGCAGGATGACACCCCACCTTCCCCGTTGCAGCCACCCTCGCTAGAGACAGAAAGTCCAATCTATGGAAAGCCGCTGCCTCACGCTAAGACTTCGTCTTCTTCCCTGCCACCTGTTGAGGATATTTCCCCGGGTTTTGTGCCCGTATCCCTGCCGAGAGCTGCAACATCTGCAGAAGTACTTGATGCAAAGCGAAGATCGATCAGTGGACTTCCGCCCTCTGCGCCGAATATGCAAAGCCCCCTAAGAAATGAAGTCAGATATTCGCCAGCAACCCGAAGCAGCATGTTAAGCTTTGGCAGCTGGGGTCGCCAGAGTAACAACAGCAAAGGTGGAACTCAACCGCCTACTCCTGGTAATGAAGTATCATCGCATGTTGAAACAAATTCTTCAGCACAGAACAGTGGGTCCAAGATGGACAAATTGAAAAAATTTGGGAAACGACGCCGTGCCTCAGTGGGTGACCTTTTGTCGGGCATTCAAGGAGGTCTGCGGGGGCTTCAAGAAAAGATAAACCAGCCAGAGCCTCAAGAAAAGAAGGAGAAGGAGAAGGAGAATGAGAAGATGCACCAACGAAAACGAAGCTTCAGCATGCTTAGTGTAAGTACTCTAGTTCTACGCTTTTCCTAAGAAAATCACTAACAATACACAGAATCTCTTTACTCGTTCCGAGTCTCAAAATCCAGTCGACGTGAACAACAGTCGCTCAAAATCTGCGGCCGATGGCTTCGACAAAGATCTGCCAGCTCCCCCTTTGACCGACGGCACACGCTTGTCGGCTTCACAGGACGGCCGTAAACGTTCTGCAAAGAATGCTCCGTCTGAAACACCAGTCGCTAGATCCGAGTTGGGCGGACGACTTTCTAGCGAAACCGCATCTCGCCAACGCGCAAGTATACATCTTCCTCCTAGTGAATCAGACAATGCCTTGGCATCTGGTCGCTTCTACTCCCAGGCTCCATCTACCGACCACCCACCTTCAGCTCAACACATTCGTGTGAAGAGCATGCCTCTAATGAGCAAGCCCCCGTCTCCTGTACCGCATTCTGAGTCGAGCCATAGCGGCGCCGTGAACTCCCAGCCATATGGACCTGAAGACCGGGTTTCCCAAGAGCAGCAGGTGGTACGTCAGTTTTCTGAAGAGGGCGCACACAGCTTCCCTCAGACAGCTGGAGAATTTGAGGAGCAACATTATTCCCAGCCAAACAAGTCAGCCTGCGAGCCTAATATTAGCATCAAATCCCGAAAACCCATCGATACTCAGCCCGAGTCCATTGTGACTATCGAGCCCAAAAATATCGTCGTCTCGGGTATGTCCACCATGACTTTTTCAGAACATCCCCACCGCGATGAGACCAAAACATTAAATCGCAACTCTGAGCCTGTCGAACTTGCCCTCAGAGATGATGAAAGTGATGAGATCGTCATGTGCTCCACTGCCTACCCAGGACAAGAATGGGCGCCTATGCATATGTAGCGATCCTTCTTCAGCGATCATATCATGATACCCTTGTTGATTTTCGACCAAAAGCTTTGATGATTGTTTCTCATATTGATGTATTATTTATGCCTTATGTATGTTCAGAGCTTCTTCGCATGTAGCATTGGACATTGAGCCTCTGGGAATTCACCCAGGCTCCAAGCTACGTTTTCGCATTGCGTGCTTTGCATCTTGACTGTACTCATAGCCATCCAATTTACTTGTATCTCGAGTCAAAATGGGAATACTCGAAGAAGTCAACATTGATTCATTAAATTTGCAAATTCTGAATATCTGCTCGTAAAACTTGAAGCTTTCGGGCGAATCTTGAACCTGTATGTGCGGGTGCCCCCGGCTCACCTTGATCCGGGTTCCACCAAACAACGCCTCGGTGTGCTTCCCGGCCACCTTTTTTTTGGAACAAAACAAACTGCACTACTACTGTTTATCCATCCAGCCTATCCGAAACACCCTTTACTATTGGCTATCATTACCCCAGACTATCCAGCTCGGATATCTCCGCGTCCAAACGGCCCTTATCCCGTTTCAGATAAAGGTGGGGTTAAGGCTCCAGGACTGAACTATTGCGGCTGAACTATTTCAAAGCCTCAAAGCTGACCGTCATATATCAGTCTTTATCTTCTCCTTTCAAAGTTTGGATAACCACCAAAAACTAGAAATCGCTCATCATGGATGATCCGCTACATTTGAACCTCCAAGAAGTGGACACGCTCGAAGCCACCGTGATCATCGACAATGAGCTCGATCCTATGTCACCGGCAGCCCCCGATACGGTCCGGATAGCGGGGCAAATGGGCAACCTTATTTTCAAGCCCGGCAATGAGATCACGGATCGTGGTGATGCGACTAGAGAGTTGCGAATGGGGGATATTTGTTGTGCTGCACATGGCTTGTCTATTCTGGTGGTAAGGCATCATATCGTTTCCAATTTTTCGGATCCCTTTAAATGTGATCACAACACGACTTGTGGATTGTATTGGCTGATTCATTGATGCCTTGTTACAGACAGCAACCAAGGGTGATAAGACACACTCTGTTCTCTTCGATGTCGGTCCTGAGGAAGATATTTGGGAACGCAACGTGAAACGATTACGTCCGGATCTTGCTTCCGTGGAGGTCATCCAACTGTCGCATTGGCACCGGGACCACTCAGGTGCGCTCTGTCGTTTTCCCCTTCATGGGCTTGGGATTGGATCACTGATACTGAGCAGGTGGTCTTCTGCGAGCCATTCGTATGATTAAAGACGCCAAAAAGGCTCAAGGCCGTTCAGATGATCTTATTGTTGACCTGCATTCCGATCGACCCGCTTATAGGGGCATGGTTGCTGCTCAAACTATAGTCTCCCTCGAGGCAGATCCTACCTTTGAGGAAATATCCGGTGCGGGTGCCGTGATAGAGAAGAGTAGTGAAGCACACACTATTCTCGATGACATGTTCCTCGTCTCAGGCGAGATCCCACGAGTAACGCCCTATGAGACCGGTCTGAAAGGCGCAGTTCAGTTTGATCCCGAGACAAAAGATTGGTACTCCGATGAGCAAATTACTGACGAGCGTTTTCTTGCGGTCAATCTCAAAGGTAAGTCTCCCCCTCGGCATCTATCGAATCTGTCGATGTATTCATATAATCACAGGAAAGGGCCTTGTCGTGTTCACTGGATGCAGCCACGGTGGCGTAGTCAATGCCTCAAAGCATGCAATTGAACTTGTCCCCAAGAACACCCTTCTCCACGCCGTCGTAGGCGGTTTCCATCTCGCTACTAGTGAGGAGCCTCAGGTACAGAAGACTGTCGCAGATCTCAAGCGACTTGATCCCGCTGTCTTGATGCCAGGTCATTGCTCCGGCTGGCGATCCAAATTTGCCATTGAGAAGGCCATGCCAGGGACTCTGGTGCCATGCACTGTTGGTATCAGTATCACTTTCTAGTGATGTCAGCGCTCTTGAAACCGCAGGTATGTTGTGCCTGGTTCCTTGCAGGGCTTATCTGCACGTGGAAGGAAGGGTCCAAATCAAACCTAAAATGCATGCCGCTAGTTTCTCATGACAACCTGACATTCCGTGAAGGGGTTGAGCTTGCTGGGGATATCGGCTAACTTGACTGTTTTCTTTCCGATCATCTGGGATCGCATCTACCCTTGCAGCATTGTTTGCTTTATGATCTAGAGAATGTAGATTAGAATTAAGCTATGCTTATTTGGGTTTTATTATTCTAGGCTTTCAAGATTGTGGGGTTTGAATCTTGATTGTGAGAATGTCAGGTGGGGAATGGCGCTGTCGAATTAGCGATTGAAGTGACCTTGCGTGGGTGGAAGCATAGCTTATGCATGAAATAGCTTCGGTGTTTGAATCTTAATTACAATCTTTATACTGACCTCGGGACATGATAGTGAGTCAAGGGTTCCTGGTGAATGCTAATGACCAAGTAGCTATCTACCTACATCCCTATCCAGCAATAGCACATCAACCGGTCGGACTGGGCATGTTTTCCGAGAGAAAAATGCGAATAAGACACAGCTTAGTAATTTGCCAAAGACATAATCAATTAGTAAATCAAATAGGATACTCCATCAGAAAGGAGAAGGGTAGGTGTCGCGGAAGTACCATTGCGGCATCTGGAGGGGGCAAAGAACGACCTAGTGAGAACTTTCAGCCTGCCCAACAAACTTCTCTTTATCATTTTATTATTTAATTACTATTCTATATAGAACTAGCCCGGTCGCATAGATCGAAATGACGTTCAAGCATCAGCTTTTGAAGGAAGGTTGGTGCCGAAAAGCTTGCATACTGCGACGATATATATTCGGTACGGGTGACCACACATACCTAGTTGATATCAGACATGATGAACACCCTTACGTTTGTTTACTTGGGGAACTAAAGGTGTACTACAGCTGCAAATTCCCATTATTATGCGTGGACCGTTTCATTCCAAGATCTCTTGACTTGTAATTATCAAAGCCCATTTTCTAGGATTGTCATCTACATGGGCAGTGATGGTACATTTGAAGCCTACCAGATCCTAGACACATGTGAAACTTCCCAATGTTAAGATTACGACCTCTTTAACATTTAAAGATTTGGAATATCTCACCCACGTCCCCATTTAATCTGCAACTCCGATCAAAGCTACCATGGTACAGTGTAACCTCTGCCAGCAGCTAACCACCAAAGTTTTGTCGTCTGCAGTGCTACATAGCCAAGAAACACAGGATCATAAGCGCATTCGGGCAACACACTCAATCAGCAAAGCTAAATCAACACCCAAATACTCGCTTGGCAGCGTCCATCACCAAAAAAAACAACCAACGCTGTCAGCCAAGCTTCAACTCCTCAACTCCGCAACGCCCGGCATCCAAAGACGCTTACGCCTTCAAATCCACGTCATAGGTATACTGAACACCGTACAGCCACCCGCCAAGAATCGAGTTACCAAAAAAACCAGTAGAAGATACCCAAATCCTCCTTGCTCATCTCTTTCGCATCCGTCTCCTACCGCGCTTCGCCTCCCCCGGGCCCTCCACATGCCCCACGAAGATCACCATGGTCTGTGTTTCGTAGCAAAACAAACACTGGGTTCCGCATACAGAGAAAGGGGGCATAAAGGCACGAAAAGCAGATAAGAGAGTTTGCCAACCCCGCCAAGACGATAATGCGAGTGGGATGCACGGCGTGTCTTGGCGGAGTTCAGGGGGCGGCGGAGACAGTATTGTATTGAACGTCCTGCTCAGTCGATCAAGGGGCGGGAAGAACGGGCAATAGTGCATACATGCAATGCATGGAAATAATCTGTTGTTTTGACTAGACGGGCCTATGACGATACAGATGCACGGCGGAGTGAGTGTCTTCGTATCTGTATACCAAGACCTGCAAAGGCGATCCTGACTAGGATCTACCTATTGGGCGACCATTGTCGCCAAGACGGATCGCCTTTCTAGGTATTGGGGATTCCTATTTCGTTTATTTGTAACTGTGGAGGGTTACTATCGAATTCTCAGACACTCGTTGTCTTGTCTCGTGACGTGACAGCATTGAAGTTTATTGTGATCTGGGGTCTATTTGTTTCGGATATGGCGTGTATTCTGGGTAAGCGCGTCAGCCTATTGACTAGTTTGGAGACACATAGATTCAATGTGAGGTCGATCAGGAGTGTGCTTTCTTGGCATACACAGTTACATATCTCATTAATGGGCTTTGCTGACTCCCTCCGCCTAGCCAAGCGTCATGGTGGAACTTGAGTTCAATGGTTCTGATACAATGCGCATCTAGGGATAGTGTTTCGGGTCTCTGTATGATCGCCAGGAACCGTTCTTCTGGGCGGCAATGCTTCATATGGAACTTGGCACAGTAATGCACAATACTATGTATGGAACCTAGAAACTTTGTCCGTGAGAGGGCATGGTGATCACCCGGGGCCTAAATGAAGACATCCCTGTCTTGCTTGGCATAACTCAATGGCTTCGCGCACGCAGCCAAGATAATGCACAGAACTGATGTACCGGTACCTCTTCTGCATAAACTTTGAGAATAAACAATATTGATGATTTGTCTCGGCAAGCTGTCGATCGGCATCAGCGGTAGCATGCTGTAGTATAATACCGATGCAGGCACACAGCCACTGTATCGTGCAGCAGCAACAAGTCGCAGCCTGGCAGGCAATTGGATTATCCCATAATAGAAACACGACTACCCCACGAGGTTCGTCATTGACATCATAGCTGTGGCCGGAGAACTAGGATCATCCACTATTCGTAGATGATCAGCCCCCAATTCTTTATTCTATTGTAGGAGCCAGATAGTCTGCGCCCGAGTCCTCGGCGGACATGCACGAACAGCTGTCATGCATTTACGGGCAAAGTAATAAATGACAAAACCGAAAACTCGAAGGCTTCAAGCTGTCACATGAACTATGCCAACACAATTTGTACCAAATTCCGGTATTTGACACAATTGACACGGCATGTATGATGTCGAGGTCGGCCTACCTACCAAAACCAAACGTGCGCGAAAGAAACGCGCCGATCATCGCGGCTCTATCCTTCACCAGTTGTGTCATAGGTGGCTCTAGTACCTGGCTAACAAGCTTAGACAAGTCAGCTGCAGGAACTGCAGGAGCTCTAGCTACAGTGGGGGACAAGAACGACACAACCCTCCACGCAGCAACTCGGAACGGCATGGAAGATTAGATTCAAATACTGAATACAGGTAATATAGGCTAGTCAGGTACCAAAGTCAGGTACCCGCGTCAGGATCCAATGAGAACCAACTCCCATTCTATAAACAGCAAGACTGAGAAGATAGCGCTCGCGCCCCCAAAACAACCCCCAGAAACCTGATTCGAGTCGCGCCAATCTGCTCATCTTAAATAGTGATATGCACTATGGAGCAAACCCCTGCACTGGGACGAAAACGGGCCACAGAAACCAGAAACCAAACAAACAAAAGAAAGTTTCCGGAGAACAAACAGCAAGCTTGCGTAGCAGCTCGACGCGACCAGTGTGGGGTGTGGAGATTGTTATGGTAAGTGAATGATTGCAACGAACCTCCCCATTCAGGAGGTTTCTCCTGTCGATCAAGGGCCAAAAATGGCCGGCAAACAGCATGTGGCCCTCAATCTTGATTTCAGTTTCCCCCTTCGCGTTTAGCATGGCGGATTGAGTTCGGCGTGTTTAATTTTGTTTGCATTATTTTTAATTCCCCTTTGCTCGCAGAAATCGGCTGGAAATCCTTCGGTATGTTGATGTCATCGCCATGCTCCAGTCACACATTTCATCATCGTGCAACGGTAATCATGCGCCCGCGTAGTCAGCTGATCATGTGTGACTTTCTATTTACGCCATGTTAGGCACTATTGGGTATGACTCTATTGTATGGAGTAAGCAAAAAAATCAACAAAGGAAACTACCCATAGATACGTAGATACCCGTGTCCTTAGCTCGGTGGTTCGGTTTCGGATTTAGTGGGGGAGGTCTGAAAAGGGGAAAACCCCGAAGAGTATTCTTGGAGACTCGGTGAATGGCTTCAAAGTCCGCAGTTGACTTCAAAGTAAGCTGTTCCGTGGGCATTTGGGACGCCCTGTGCGTATACGGTCAATCTAGCCGGTGTCGATCGGCGCAGGGGTTTGTATGCAGCCAAGGGAAAATCATCATCAGAAATGCCCCTGCGGTACATTCTAGAGCGTATACGGAGTACACAATATGAGTAGGGATACCAGTGTAGAAAGACGCCATATTCGGATAGTAGCATCAAATTTGCAGAAACTGCGTAGGCAGGTCTAACCCGTAGGGCTGGAATAACCAATGAAGAAAATCCCTCTTACTGTAGTGATACGATTGTCTATGTGTCGATGAATTTACCCGGTCCCTGACCCGTCGGAGAAAAATTGAACATGCGACACAACACCCAAAGAAAAATAATCGAACCCCACAACGCCGTACCAAAAAAAATTCCTGCTTCATGTCGCAGTGGCAGAGATTTGTGAGGTTCGACGTGCCGACTCCCGCGTTGCCGCGTAGGCCGATTCTTGGTCGGGATTCCGGCCGACAACACACCGATTTCCACGGCAAGGTCTCGACCCTGATGAGTTTTCTCGTTTCTCTCGATGCCGAGGTAGAGTTGCCGATTAGTATGCTCCAGTCGGGCTTGCCGGGCAACCACTAGCTGGATGAATAGGGTATGGAGAAATATGGGTTTGGTCCTTTTTTTGGGTGGGATCTACCAAGAAAAATAGCGTGTTCAAATGTACTCCGTAAAGCGCGTCGTATCCAGCAGATAGAAGTCGACAGAAGGAAAAAAAGCACGGACTACGCCTCAAACCGTTCAAATTGATTTGATGACGATAGTGCGTGCAGGGACCATGTCGATGATAATAGCTCAATTCGTTTTGGGGACATAATAGGAATAGTAGGAGGATCCATCTAATCCAGCTTGACATTAGTTAAATTTCCAGTTTGGTGCTAGAATTAGTTACTGTAGATACCAGCTGCAATGCAGTTAATATGAGCGCGATTTTTCGTCCTTGGTTTCCGGTTGTTTCTTACAATTCCCGATCTGCCGATATCGTATGCAATACCATGCATACCAATCTCACCGTGTACAGTATAGTATCTTGTACATAGTACACCGATCCCATTACCCCCCGCTAAACCACGTTCATCTCCTTGCATCGTGCATGTCAAGCTGCAGTCACGGACGCGGGTGGAAACGTCGAGTTTTCAAAACCTTAAAGCTTCCCTGCAGGCGCGGGAACCGCATCGTAGGTCAAGGTTCAGACCGGGGAGATCACTCAGAATATTCACCGGGCCTCCAGACTTTTGTCTTTCTCCATGGGCAAGTGAACCTGGGGTGAACGGGCGACAGGCGCTGGGATCGCTTGGCGAACCCAAGTAATGGGGTCTAGTGAATTTAAGTAGGGGACTACTGGCAACTACTGGCCGGATCGAGCCGGCCATTCGAAATTATGTACGATTGTGTAGATGATTGTACATTTGCGAGGGAAATAATGAACGCTGGCTGTTTTTTCTTAAGTTGAGACGTCAGCAAAGCTTGTATGCGGGCTTTTTGCCCGTACAGTAGCTCGCTAGAGACTACTCTGTACAGCACACAAATGGCTCAATCTACACCGATTAGGGTTAGAGGTGTCGACGGGGAGATAAGTTGTTCATTTCCAGTGAACCCTGTCTGGGACTACTGCAAGTCAAAAATGCCTCACGATCTAGTAAGAAAACAGCCAAGCGTCGGCACTGGCAGAACGGGCGACGGTACGCGAAAGTGGTAATCTACAGAATCAGCAACGATTTGGCAGGGCGATCGTCCAGCGGGGCGTACCCCCTTCACGATGCTCCTCTGGGCCCACCGGTGAGGGTTTGATTCAGAGGTAGACCCTCTTTTGAAGCAATTGAGGGCTCTGATTGCTGGAAATAGCGGAGCTGCCCTTCCCGCTACTGTAGGTACACGCCCGCGCGGTGAAAGCCAAGAAGTGATGGACTGGGTTTCCCATTTAGCGGCGATCAAATATTTCCTCTTTCGAACATAGAGTGTATTTTTATACCAAGCATTATTCTGGTGTGATATGAGATCAAAATATTGACTAGGCCATAGGAATGAACAGTGCTCAAGCTTTTGGTGACTTGAATAGCTTTGGGAATAGCGTACAATTGTAACCCTACTTTTTCCGCATCGACCGGCACGAACGGGAAAAACGGCAGACCTGATGACTCAGCGAGATGGTAGGGATGTGATTGGCAGCAACGCCCGGCGAATCTATGCCTGAGTGGGCATTTTCTTCCTGCGCGAAATTACGTGAAATACGGAAAAAATACAATAAAGTCAGCCAACAAGTACCCGCATTCGGTGTAAGATTGGTCATGGTATGGGGACTCGGGGTCAGTCCAGGTCTGGTATAGCACACGGCGAAAACGGCATGATAAACTTGCCATGACGTGAAAGTTTCACTCTTATCTCGCAGTAAATAAGTGCCGATTGTCCGAGATATCGCAGTTGTAACCATCAGAATTTTCATTGAGTTTTTCCTTGTTGAAGTGACTGAACGGGTAACCATAAAACTTGCAGCTGCATAACCATGGAACCGACCGGAGAGAAGGCTTCTAGAAGGCATCTCGAAACTACTTCCTTATGGACACGCACGAGTTCCACTGGTGACCGCCCCAGCGAATTTTTTTCCCAAGTGGATTCGGTCGCTATCCATGATCAATTTGTATGAGCAATGGAAATAGAAATAAACTACCTAGATCCAGTAGGTATTGCCCCCCATTGTCCCACTTGCTGGGGAATTCTAGTAAATCGACACGCGACAACCCCGACTCCTCTACACCGTTCTTTGGGGGTGGCAATTCCCTACCGCAAGGTTTTTTGGCCTTAATTTTCTTTTCATGTTCGTGGCAAAGGCCCAAAGATCTGTGAGGCATTTTGTTGCATGGTCCCCGTGCTTTTCTCTTCCCCAGACCGAAGTAAGTCCGCGGATTCGACATCAGCGGCGCTCGCCCCCTCCAAGGCTGAACGACCGAAACTCCCGAAGACACCTCAGATCCTGATTAACTTTGCGGCAGTCTACGATGTACACACACGTGAGCAAGCAATCCGCACATGTAAAGGGTACGGAGTAGCGGTGCCGACGATCGCCAGTGTGATATCTTATTCGACATGTTTGGGGCTAGACCATGCTTTTGTGCATGTAGATCGTACTTGGATCCTTCTGCACGGTCACAAATCCTGTCATCGACCGAATAGATTAATGAATTCAATCTAAATGTACTTTCGGGAATCAAGGCTCGACTCTGTTACTCGATATATCAGAAAAAGTATACGATAACCATAATTTACCTCCAACACCCAGGTGGAACTGCTCCCATGGGTCGCGCGTGGGGTGTTGTCTGGCGTCGGGTTTTCTCGACGTTTCGTTTCGCGCGCCAATTTCACGTTGCAGCTACAGCTCCCCACTCTGCACGTACGGAGTCGGAGTCCAGCAAAGTAAATCCTTCGGAAGCCCCGTTATAGAATCCACTTATATCGAACAAAAAAACCAGGGTATCAGGCCCTGGATAACAGAAATTAAAATCTGCCGTAGCCAAGCGACCGTAAACGACCCCCCAGGATCGCATCGAAAAAAACTCAGTCTTGGCTGACGTGTTTCCAAACAAGGGAAAAAACGGGCGAGAATCCCCCGGGATTGTGATCGTAACTCAACTAGTGAAATGAGGATGGGATTTGACTCGCACGGGGCTGCAGGAGGACGAAGCGCTGTTACGTCGCGCAGTTTGTCGGGGATATCCCGTCTCTCCTTTGATTCGATCACAGAGCTTAACCCACTAAGCTAGACATGATCCCCACCATATTGCCCGGGAAGGTCAGAAGCGGTCGGTTTCCCGGGTTTGGCCCCAAGGATTTATTGGTCAATGTCTTAGAGGCTACGGAATGGAGATTTGAGGAGCGCCCGGCGGCTTGTAGCTTTGGTAGCTTGTAGCGCTAGTTTCTGTTTCTTGGAGCTACCTGGAGCTCTACTTGCCGACTTTCCTTGTTCGATCATTAATTTCGCTTTCGCCCCAATTTCAGTCAAGTCTGCATCTATTGTGATCGTGGCCATTGGCTGTTTAGCTTCTCTAGCTTCATGGCACGTCAGCCGCGGAAAGCGCCCGTGGATGACCTGCTCGGGTAGACCGACCTCGGGAGATATATATTGTGCAGTAACATTACGACGGGTGCTTGTACGAATGCGGAATTAATGCACCTGGGACTATGAACATTGGGGGGTGCGTCCATGATAGCGTTTGAGAATATATATTTCATCTTATAGGGCATATTGGAAAATGACCCACCAATAGCCGGAGGGCTATATAATATGTAATGCATGCTAAGCTATTGTCAGATGAACGAGTAATAGACACCCCCAGGTTCCAAGGTTCTATCACCAGAAGATAAGTGGCATCGTATCTGGGGAGCTGTCCCAACAAACAAAAAAACCCGGGGTGCAGAGGTCCTTAGGGTTGTTGAGTTGGTCAAGCAGAATTCACCAATCCGACTGCAGGAATTTGAGATCGAGTGAACGGTGCTCTACATGTATACAATTTCGAGCATCCCGCGCTCCCCGGAAAGCTTGCATAGTCCAGAAACCGGGATTATTCCCTGTCTGACCGGAAAAGACAGGGCTAGTCACGTACATCGTCAGGCGATCTTCAACCTGTGTGGTGCACACCGTACAGCACAGTACTAAGACAAAAAGGAATGGAAAAAAATAACTCATCCCCTAAAAGGATCCGTGATAGCCATATTGTTACTCCGAATGAACTCCGTAGATGTGACTGTCGCTACCCCAATGACGCCTCGGGTAACTACCCGATCCATCGTGTTGTCTACTGACCACCGCATAGCGTGATAATGAATCAGGGGCGCCCAAAAATGTGCAAGTGTATCACGATGGTGTCACAACTAGCAAAAGCTCAGCTAGTTAATGAGACTAAACCGATTTCAACCAATGCCCCTCTCCGCGCACAGGAATCAGCATCGTCTCAAAGGCCGAAAAAGGGCATCGTTTTGGGAAACACTGAGTCGCGGCCGCCGATCAGCACAGTCGATGAAATCATCGTCGGTTGTTCTGCGCCCGGTGATTCGATCCATGCCGGCTCAGTCGCGCACTAGGCGGCTTAGTGGGTGGATACAATTCACGGTCCGACGGGCCAGTCAAGTGCGCCGAATTAAATGACGCTTCTGGGGAGCCATCTCCACGAGGGCCAGGGGGGCCCTAGCCATTGGGAACGATCGACCATGGTTGGTGAGATACGAAGGGGGCAGCTTGGGCGAGGCGGTGGCGGTAATAAGTCGGGCCGTGTCAATAATGGTCCCAAAAGGTCTCAAGCCTATGACATAATGGTATTTTTGGTTGGACCCCAATTTACCCGATCTACCGTGTTAAGCGTTAAGATACGAAATTTCAGTAATAGAGTCGTACTTTGTTATGCAGGCCCGTGGTATGCTGGGAGAATCTTTTGAGCATTGGCATACATATCTGGATGGTCTTGGCTGCTTGCGGTGCCCCTTGCTAGTTAGATAGGGTCGGATAAGACGGAGTGCTCGTCATCTGGTTCTCTATGCAGACATGAGAAGAGAATTTTTTTTATTACAGTTCTTTGATGGTGACCCGCAATTGGAAGGGTACCAGAACCGGGCGTAGTATGGAGTTGGAAAATGGCAGGTACCAGGTACTATGGATGTGCTATCTCCTCGGCGCATCTCAAGGAACGTCGCCCCTGCAAGGGATTTTGTTATTCCCCTCCAAACATGCGATACACATAGTACAGCCTACATAGTTGTTTTTGATATTAGGTTTTATCCTGTTTCTGAATTCTTCGTTAATTCTCCGCATCTATTGTACTGAAAGTTCTATTTTCTGTGCCAATGCCTCTAGTTTCCTCTTGTGTCTTGGGGGGCAATTCGTCTCGGAGTTGAACAGTAAGGAAATTACTTGCACTCTTAACAAAAATCGCGCATAGTGAAGCTGGTCGCAGACTGGGGCAACCGCTCTCGGCAAGGCTAAGATGTAATACGTACCGATCAATACCGAGTGTGGGTGTGGAGGCCGCTCGGCAGACCAGTGCCGGTCGCAATTGTTGGTGCTTCGCTGGCTATCGGCGTATCGTACGGTACAGATGAATACGCAAGCAGAATTTTTTTGAGCTCCTGTACTCCGTACGCGTCCTGAATTAAGTCTAGTTCAGAGGCTCCTCCACTGGGTCATATGGTACGCTTGGTCTCCAATACCACGCTCGGTAAGAAGGAAAAATTTTCAATTGCTATAGTGAAAATCGGAAACTTCAAAAAAACTTAACGATTGACCCAGAAGGATAAGGAAGGGGGCTAACAAGAGTACAGAACATAATTGAAATTTGGAAAACCAATTGTATTTGGGAAAGTCAAAAACCACAAAAATTCAAAACATGGAAAATCAAAAAACATAAAAAACAAAAAAATAAAATAAAAATCAAAAACTGATCAAAGTGGGTCTAGTACATACTCTTCCCCCAGCAACCAGGTACCTATACTCCTACGCCAAACACGGGATCGGGTCCTCATCTAGCACTGCTACTATTCCGTTTTCTGTTTTTATCATTTTTCCATTTTACTCCAGTCTTTTTTTTCATTTAATTTTTTTTTCGCCCATTTCCCTCAACACGGACATTATCCACTCTACCCACTCTGGTTCCCTCTCTTACTCGTTTGCCCTCCTCCACTCTTTGTCCCCCCCCCGTATTATAAAGTAGTCCCTCTTCCTCACCCACAATCCCTCTTCTTTTCTCTTTCTTTTTCTCCATAGGAACATTCCGTCTCGCGTCATACCTGCCTGTGTGTGTCTGCATCAGCTCATATCGTTTGGGTTCCGAAAGGCTTTGTGAGCCGAAGCAGCAACAATGGCGTCCAACAACAATGTGGCGTCCGAGCGGAGGATCTCCTATGCTGTCGACGTGGAGAACGGTGAGCGCCACGAGCGCCAGACTGATATCAACGACGGCGGAAACCTCGACGAGTACTCGGCTCTGAACCGCTACATCTCGACTGCCCGCGATGGCCGTCGTGGCTCTACTTCCAGCGCCGCTGCTCAGTCCCACAAGGAGGGCAAGAAGCCCTGGTACAAGTTTGGTGGTGCTAAGGGTGACGGTGTTGAGGATGGCTGGCAGGCCCCCGAGGACTGGCTGGAGACCGATCTCCGTGCTGGTCTGAACTCTGGCGACATCGAGCCCCGTCGCAAGAAGTGTGGCTGGAACGAGTTGGTCACCGAGAAGACCAACATCTTCATCCAGTTCCTTGGTTACTTCCGTGGTCCTATTCTGTATGGTGAGTATCGAATTGCCTTGAGACCTGGTCAATTGACGCGTGAAATGTTCTCATTCTAACGTGTTTTCTTCGCATATAGTTATGGAACTTGCTGTCCTCCTCGCTGCTGGTCTGCGTGACTGGATCGATTTGGGTGTTATCTGTGGTATTCTGTTGCTTAACGCTCTCGTTGGTTGGTACCAGGAGAAGCAGGCTGCCGACGTCGTCGCTTCCCTCAAGGGTGATATTGCTATGCGTGCTACCGTTGTCCGCAACGGTCAGGAGGAGGAGATCCTTGCCCGTGAACTGGTTACTGGAGATATCGTTATTGTTGAGGAGGGTCAGGTCATTCCCGCTGATGTCCGGCTCATCTGTGATTACGAGAAGCCCGAGATGTTCGAGAACTACAAGGAGTTCTTGGTCAACTCCGCCGACGACACCCTCAAGGAGAAGGATGAGGATGAGGATGAGGATGAGCGCCGTGAGGCTCACGCCGGTGTCTCCCTCATTGCTTGTGATCAGTCCGCCATCACTGGTGAATCTCTCGCTGTTGACAAGTACATGGCTGATACCTGTTACTACACCACCGGTTGCAAGCGTGGCAAGGCCTACGGTATTGTCACTGCTACTGCCCGCCAGTCTTTCGTCGGTAAGACCGCTGCTCTCGTGCAGGGTGCCAAGGACCAGGGTCACTTCAAGGCTGTCATGGACAACATTGGTACCTCCCTGCTCGTTCTCGTCATGTTCTGGATTCTCGCTGCCTGGATCGGTGGTTTCTACCGTCACCTGAAGATCGCTACCCCTGAGAACTCCGACAACAACCTGCTTCACTGGACTCTTATCCTGCTGATCATCGGTGTCCCCGTCGGTCTTCCCGTTGTTACCACCACCACCCTCGCTGTCGGTGCTGCCTACCTCGCTGAGCAGAAGGCCATTGTCCAGAAGCTCACTGCCATTGAGTCCCTCGCTGGTGTCGACATTCTGTGCTCTGACAAGACCGGTACCCTCACTGCTAACCAGCTGTCCATCCGTGAGCCCTACGTCGCTGAGGGTGTTGATGTCAACTGGATGTTCGCCGTTGCCGCCATTGCCTCTTCCCACAACATCAAGAACCTTGACCCCATTGACAAGGTTACCGTCCTTACTCTGCGCCGCTACCCCAAGGCCCGTGAGATTCTCTCCCGCAACTGGATCACCGAGAAGTACACTCCCTTCGACCCCGTCTCCAAGCGTATTACTACCGTCTGTACCTGCGATGGTGTCCGTTACATCTGTTCCAAGGGTGCCCCCAAGGCTATCCTCAAGATGTCCGAGTGCTCCGAGTCCGAGGCCCAGCTCTACCGTGACAAGGCTACCGAGTTCGCTCGCCGTGGTTTCCGTTCCCTCGGTGTCGCCGTCCAGAAGGAGGGTGAGCCCTGGCAATTGCTGGGCATGTACCCCATGTTCGACCCCCCTCGTGAGGATACCGCCCACACTATCGCTGAGGCCCAGGTTCTTGGTCTCTCCGTCAAGATGCTTACTGGTGACGCCATTGCTATCGCTAAGGAGACTTGCAAGATGCTTGCCCTTGGTACCAAGGTTTACGACTCTGAGCGCCTGATCCACGGTGGTCTCGCTGGTTCCGCCCAGCACGACCTTGTTGAGAAGGCTGATGGTTTCGCTGAGGTCTTCCCCGAGCACAAGTACCAGGTCGTGGAGATGCTCCAGCAGCGTGGTCACTTGACTGCCATGACTGGTGACGGTGTTAACGATGCTCCTTCCCTCAAGAAGGCTGACTGTGGTATTGCTGTCGAGGGTTCCACCGAGGCTGCCCAGGCTGCCGCCGATATCGTCTTCCTCGCCCCCGGTCTGTCCACCATCGTCGATGCCATCAAGCTTGCTCGCCAGATTTTCCAGCGTATGAAGGCCTACATCCAGTACCGTATTGCTCTGTGTCTCCACCTTGAGATCTACCTCGTTACCTCCATGCTTATCATCGAGGAGACCGTCCGTTCTGAACTGATTGTCTTCATCGCTCTGTTCGCTGATCTTGCCACCATCGCCGTCGCTTACGATAACGCTCACTTCGAGGCCCGCCCCGTCGAGTGGCAGTTGCCCAAGATTTGGGTCATCTCCGTCGTCCTTGGTGTCCTCCTCGCTGCCGCTACCTGGATTGTCCGTGCTTCTCTGTTCCTGTCTGACGGTGGTATCATCCAGAACTGGGGTTCTCCTCAGGAGATCCTCTTCCTCGAGATTGCCCTTACTGAGAACTGGTTGATCTTCGTCACCCGTGGTGGTAAGACCTGGCCCTCGTGGCAGTTGGTTATTGCCATCTTCATTGTCGATGTCCTTGCCACTCTGTTCGCCGTCTTCGGCTGGCTCGGTGACTGGAAGCAGACCCACCCCCACGACCCTGCTGCCTACGGATTCTCCCACGACAACAACGTCGACATTGTCACCGTCGTTGTCATCTGGGGTTACTCCATTGGTGTCACTGTCATCATCGCTGTGGTCTACTACATCCTCACCATCATTCCCGCTCTGGACAACCTTGGCCGCAAGACCCGCTCCAAGGCTGACACCCAGATTGAGAACATGATTGCCCACCTTTCCAAGCTGGCCATCGAGCACTCGACTGACCGCGAGGGCAACTCTCGCTACACCATTGGTGCTCGCGTTGAGGATGTCGAGGAGGACGAGTAGATCACTCGCCCCAGACACCTTATTTTCTGAGCTCGATACTGGACCGAGATCAATTAATTTCCTTATTTCATTTCTGATCCCCTTGCTACATACTCACACAATGTTGATGCCACCTATCTGGACATGCATACCGTGAGAAAAAAGAGGCCGGGTTCCTGTGTCTTTTTTTTCTTTCTTTCTACCCGTATTATAGACTTTTGTGTGTTCCATTTACCCCTTGCTCTCTGTTTTTGTTGCTATTGCAGTGGATAGAGTCGAGTTTTCTTTCTCTACGTGTATGTATGCCGTTAATAGTGGTACTTCGTCAATCACAAGGGTTCTAATCAAAACTTTCCTCGTAAATTTCGCATTCTCGTAAATTCACTGTTACTGTAACTTGAGTAGTCCAGCCTTGGGTCGTTCTCAGTCCTCGTCATACAATGCCTTGTCATTCCCCACAAACGCATTGTATTCCTGCTGATCCTTGCAAGTCTTTGTTCCTGCACCTCACCCTCATACCGGCTTTCTACAGGTGGAAGCCCAATTCTCCGTCCCCAACCACAACCCTGTGATTTCCCGGCCAGATTTTCCACCATGCGCGGAGTAGGACAAGCTTCTTCATCCCCCAGCTTCGTGGGGGAAATGCGGAGAAAGGCATTGTCACCCCATATTTCCCATTTTACGACCGGGCATAGTTCCCAAACTCGGCGATAGTGTTTATTAGCTTGACTCGAGCTCGAAGATTTTCCGTCTGGGCCGCTATGCCTCGATATTGCTCGATTGAACTTGTAACATGCATTTCCGGAAGTCCGATGGCGTATAAAGGGGCCTTGGAATTTCCAAGTTCATTGTTTCTTTCTCGTCCGTGGTTGTCAGTACTAGACCTACCTAGTCAATCCATACAAACTACATCTACTATTGCATTCAATTCATACTACGACCACTGGCACTCGCAAAATGCATCTCACATCACTCCTCCTGCCCCTTCTAGGGCTCTTAGCTCAAACGACCCAGGTCAATTCAGCCGCAGTCACCACCCAAAAACTCTCAAACCGCATAGAATGCCAACGCACAGCCCGTAATTGTCCCAAAGGCACGATCCTGGTCTCAGCAACCGACGCCCGTGCAAAGTACAAGACAGTCCAAAGTGCCATTGACTCCTTACCCAACGACGATACAACACAAACAATTTTGATCCTGGAAGGCAGTTACACTGAACAACTGAATGTCACCCGCGCAGGACCCATAACCATCCTCGGTGAAACAAACTCGCCTACAGACGCCTCCAAGAACAAGGTGAATATCAATTTTGCCGCCGCGAATCAGGATAGCACGGGTACCATCGATAATATCTGGTACAGCGTGCTGGTTGTGGCACCCACGCTGGATGCGAGTCTTGTAGGATCAGGAACGACTGGATTTGCGGTCCCGGCTGATACGCCATTTGGTAACCGGGATTTCAGGGTTTACAATGTGGACTTCGACAATGATTTCGCTCCTTACACGGATGGTCCAGCTGCGGCTTTGATGTTTAGTCGTGCTAATGGCGGTTTCTACTATTGCGGATTCTATTCTTACCAGGATACGGTATGTACACAGTTTCATAAGACTTTAAGTTGAGACATGATCTGATTGGACTGACTTTCAATCAGATCTACATTGGCAAACTCGGAAATGCCTACTTCTATAAGAGCATCATCGCCGGCGAAACAGACTTCCTCTACGGCTTCGGCACTGCCTGGATCCAATCATCAGATATCAAACTCCGAGGCTGCGGCGGCGGTCTAACAGCCTGGAAAGGAACCAACACCACCTTCGAAAACAAGTACGGGGTTTACGTTGTCGATAGCAATATTGCTGCGGCGAATTCGTCTATCGCTCCGGACATCAAAGGGAAATGTTCGCTTGGTCGGCCGTGGAACTCTGAGCATCGATCTATCTTTGCGGATACATGGGAGGATGGAAGTATCTTGCCTGCGGGTTATACACACTGGATTTCGAGTGGGGTTGACCGGTTTGAGAAGGGAATTACACTTATGGCGGAGTATCAGGCTTATGGGCCAGGTTTTAACCGGACAGGCAGGATTGAGGGCGGGATTGATACTTTGCTTACGAAGAGTGGGTATAAGGAGTACTCGACACCTGCACTTGTGTTCCAGGATCAAGAAGGAGCATTTGGGGATGTAAGTTGGATTGATTGGGAAACTGTTGAAGGGAAATGATATGGTTAAGGATCTTTGTGAATCGTGATTCCGGTCTCATAGTATGATAGACCTGAGACAGTAAATAGTGAGAGCATTCTAGTGAGAAGCACCGTTGGACTCTCTCAGAAAGGTCTCTCTGCACTCCTCAGACTTTGCCGAATGAATTTTAAGAGTGCAATTCCCCGATTCGAGCAAGGTATGCCGCCCCCGTATCTGCCCAAACCTTATACTCAGAGACCAACAACCGGCCCCGCTTCTCTTCATCCTCGCTCGTATCTTTTGCAAGTGCAATCCGATAGATAAAAGTCTCATCCCAGGATTGACTTGTCTCTTGCCAGCTGAATCTGGCAGTTCCACGTAGACAAACAGCCATGTTGGTATCGTCGACGAGCCAATTGGACTCGGGTTCGAAAGTCATAGACTTGATTTCGAGGGTTGTCATTAGGATGTTAAAGTATTCGGATATACCGTCTATACCTATGAAGGTACGACCGAGGAAGGGGGCTAATTGTTGGAGGCCGTGTTCGTGGACAATGGGGGCAGGTTGGGTGGTAAAAGCTGAGGTGATAGTTGTGATAGGATTGGGGGTTACGAGGGTGGCCAAGAGGGATTGGATTGGGCCATTTAATGTTGATCGAGGAGTCATTGTGGATTGATGACAGTGAGGGTTTATTGTAAGGTCAAGGATCAAGGGCGAGGTTAATATTGAGTATGATTCTTATACTTTGAATTCCAAGGTTAATGTTCTTACATAACAATGACGTGAATACCTTTTTGATCTGTTATTGTTTGAACCTAACAATGGAAATGGATATTTCAATACCCAGAGTGAGACCTTCTCTCCACTCAATAAAACGAATCCCGTAGATTCAGTCACAGCTTGGGAAAGCCCAGAACACATCTTTCCCGTCCACCGTGGAAAAGCCGCAACGAAAAAAAAAAAAAGACAACTCCAGGACTGGCTGAAACAGCCTTATGTGATAAAGATAATTGGCAAAAAAAGAAAAAGAAATAAGGAAAAAGCAGAAGATCCGAAGAATCCGGTAAAACGAAAAAGGTGAAAGAAAAAGAAAGATGAACACCAAGCCCCAGGAAAATCATACATCTCTCTCATCAACGCTTGAACAGTTCGATTTGCTCTCCCAAATTACTGTCGCCAAGATTTACCGCAGACCACACACGTACAGAACAGGGTCATAGGTTCATCAGCAGCACGAGTCTGAGCTTCGGTGTAGGTCACCTTGCGTTGACCACACTTGCCGCACTGCAGGCTGGTACTGATACTGCGCTCTCCCTGGGCTACCATGGCATCGTTCATGTTCTTCTTCTTGATGGCCTCGTCGGCCTCGCGCTGTTGCTCAGACCGCAGCTCATCACTAGTCATGCGCACGAACTTCTCCGGGGCGATTTCTCCACTCAACACACGCACACGAAGCATGGGGTTTGACTTGTTCTTCAGGTTCTGGAATAGACTGCGCATCTTCTCTTTGTATTCCGGTTTAGTCTCGGGTCCGAGGTAGCTGTGTGCCGCCTTTTCCACAGCGGATGCCTTTGTCAACACCGTCTTGGGTGATTCGGTCGACCCCAGACACAGTCCATCGTACATGAGTCCGGTGCAGCTGTCTCGTACTTTGCTGGATGTAACGTTGATGTCCACTCCATCTGCCTTCCATGTGCGCTTGTCTGGTGGCACCGACAGTTTCGACGCCTTATCAGATGGGGTAGCGCTCGCGGGTGTAGATGGTCCAGTGCCATTTTGTGGTGGCCGCGGCGAATTGGAAGACCGGCTCGCGGCTGCTCCACCACCCTGCTTTTGCTTGTTGACTTCAGTCCGCCACTTGGAAACAATGTCACTGGCCAGCCGGGCCACTTCGGGGGACTTGCTCTGCTTGAACCGGTTGACAACGACTCCGATCTTGGTCCGTCGAAGCAGATCCTCCGTAGCCCGGATGCCTGTTTGCAATTCCTTGAGCAGACCGAGAATCACTGTCGCCGACTCTTCCTGCCCCGAGGCCTTGCCCAAAGCCTTAGCCTTGGCTTCAATTTCCCTGGCGTCCATGACTGCGGGGGTGCGGGGGTGAGGGGAGGTTATGATCAAGTCGGAGAAGGGCAAAAAGATGGAATGAAATGTTGTTGAGAGGACTTTGGGTTCGGTCACAGCCTGTAACATGGATTTGTCAGTGAGTTGTGCGCCAATGGATTGCGATGTTGAAAATTGCAGAGGAAACTGTGGAGAATCGGAACTTGGCGCATGTGGATGGTAAGGATTGCGCATGATGAATAACAGCCAGGAAGTACATCATGAAGACAAACAAAGCGTCGCAAAGACTTTTTCTCTGCCTGTAGTGCTGTACAAGTTGCGCGGCCCAATCCAAGACATCTCTGTCATATGTCCACCATCCCACGTTGAAGATGTTTATCATGGTGCCATTCGAATCCCTTATATAGCCCCAAAAAATCAAATGCGCTGGTTGAGATCCATTTCACGATTGCCATAATTGTTCCTGTACGCAGGCACACGCGGGATGGGCTGGGAGGGGCGGAATGCGCGAGCACTTACTCTGAAAGTACCGACCAGGGGATACAGCTGGCGTGAGTGGGCCCTTTATAGGAATATGGCGAGCAGAGAGCGAGGAGCCGGAGACTATATGTGAGCCTGCGTTGGAGGAAAGTGTTGAAGAGGAAGAAATGGAAGCTCCGAGGTTGAGTGCCAAGACGTGACTGCCCGATTGGGAAATTTCTCACTGGGGACTAAATAATTGGAGATCAAGGACGAAGATATGGCTATTAACAGTTTGAAATTGGAATTCAATTGGGATTTAATTGGAAGGCGCAGAGATTATCACCAGGAAATATAGGTGTATCCGCTTCTATCTCTTTTTTCTTTCTGTATCCTTCAGAGGAGCCAGTTTATGGTAGCTATGCATATGGTGTTGAGAGCAACAGGGAATTATGTGCAGTCATCATCGTCAACGGGGGTATATGGGGCAAAGTAGTCTTTGCAGGGAAATGTGGCATCAATGTCGTCAGTCAGGGCCTCATGAGCCGGTAGGAAGGACCGTGGGCGCAGACAACAACCGCTTCATCCGGAAACGCGCAAGCGGTACACGGCGGGTGGTTGGTACAGCCAAAGGGCAGTTGACTCCAGAGTTCGTCGGGATCAAGATACTGGGACCAAAGTGGAAATAGCCCAGTAGAGCTGGTCGGCGAATCTAGATGCCAGTCTTGCCAAGAGCCTCAGCCAAGGCATCGACATCCTTGTCCGACTTCTGAGCAACCTTCTCCTCCTCAGCAAGGTCGGCAGCCTTGAGATCCTTCTCAGCCTTTCGCTCCTGCTCTTCTTCCTCTTCCTCCTCCTCCTCTTCCTCCTCTTCCTCCTCGTCCTCCGACTCGAGCTCGTCCAGCTCATCAACACCCCAGGTATCCTCAGGGTCATCATCGGTGCCGTGCTCTTCCTGACGGGCCTCCAAGAGCTCCTTTAGCGCGGTAATGTTCACGTCTTCATCGGAAAAGATGTTGCCATTCAACTCGACACGGCGCAGACTAGGGAGTGCGGTCTTGGCAGCGTGGGTAAAGGCCTTGACACTATCAGCCTTCATTTCGTTGTACTGAAGACGAAGGGTCTGCAGCTTCTGGTTCTTATTGGCGGCGAGAGCCTGAGCGACCTTCACACCACCACGGGCAGAAAGTAGACAATCACCAACGGCCAATTCGCGCAGAGATGCCCAGCCCTCCAAAACACTAGCCAGAGCAGTGGATCCCATAATGGTGAAAGTGTTGTCCTGCAGATCCAGAACCTCCAGGCCGTGGGCGTGGCAAAGACCGTTCTTCAGCAGGTGCGCAATACCCTCCTGGCGGATTCCGTTCTGGGTCATCTTAACGGACTTCAGGCCTGCGGCATGCTTCTCGTAGGCACGAGCCCAAGCCTCCATACTGCCGTTCTCCAGACGGTTGCGACCGCAAACAATGCTCTCCAAAGGAGCAACCTCCTTGCCCTCTTTGCGAGCCTCTTCCTTGCGCTCAGCGAGCTGGCTGAGAGCATCGGCAATCATGGTTCCGGCGAAGGGACCCAGACCGTTGTTGTTCAGGATCAGGTGGCGGAGGGGTGTGTGCTTGGACAGGAAATCGACGAGGGGTGCCTGGGTGTTAAGACCGAAGGCATTGTCGGAGAGGTTGATAGTGTGGGCAGTCGGGATTTCGAGAATGGCATCAAGGAGAGCCTTGAGGGCGGGAGGGATCTCGGAAAGGAGACGGGAGGTGAAAATATCGGCCAAATCAGCGACTTCGAGGTTCTTCTGGGTTGCGAGGACGGCAGCGAGACGCTCGGAGGCACCGATGCCCAGAGTGTTGCCACCGAAATGGATCTCAGTGTAGTCGGTGCTCTCAGTCAAAGGCTTAATGTGAGCCTCAATGTCCTCTGCAGTGTCGAGCTTCAGGCTTTTGCCATCGAGCGAGAAGATCTTAGGAGGGGCCATGGCGGGGTAGTGGATTAGGAGAATGGAAGAATTGAGCTTGACAAAGTAAGTCTGAACGAAAGGAAAGTGAAGAGAACCGGAAAGGGATCTAGCAGCCAAAGTCTACCCGACTCAAAAAGGAAAGCAGGGAGAGTCAAGAGTGAAAAAAAGGAGGAGGCGAAATTCAGAAGCCGCCGCCGCATTGTTATTGTTCGATAACAAAAAGAATAGACTACGGTTGCGCATTGTGACCAACTCCGCATGCATTAATAATATCGATGGTGACATCTGACCTCAAATCGCACTCGTCCAAGACCTCTTTGAACCTCTTTGTTGCCGTCAATCGTTGAAACACATCCTCTCTCTTTCGAAATGTCGTGGTTATTTGGTTCTTCCAGTGGTAAGTCCCAGTCGACTCAAGCCTTGACTTGCGCAACCGCAGCCGACATGCGCCATGCGCAAGGGTCCACGGCAAGGCAACAAACCTAGCATAAAAACATGCTAATATTTGCGTTATACAGAAAAGAGTGCTCCCACTCCGGCCGAGGCGCAGCCCCAGCAGCCCGCTCAAACCGAAAAGCCCAAGGTACGCCTCGAGATGATTTCGCCAGCAACATAGGCATTAACACCATCGAATGCGCTAATACCCGTTTACTGCAATATAGCCTTGCTGCGTCTGCAAGACAGAAAAGACGGCTCGCGATGACTGCATGTTGTTCTCTAAATCCGATGATCCCGCGAAGGAATGCCAGTCGACGATCGACCAATACAAGAGCTGTATGGCTGGCTTCGGCTTCAAGGTCTAAACTAGAGTCTTCTGGTTAGATGGGGTAAGAAAGATATCTATGGATGATGTTTCTGTCTTGTGTAACACCACCTTTGTACTATAGCATTTATTGGAAGGAGTTCTTTTTGTTTGGCATGTACTGTACCGTCGGGCCGATTTACGCGCTCCGATTCAAATGTTTGCGATCTAATCTTGGAAACCAAATCTTAGATCATGAATATAACATATCTCATCTCCAAAAACCCGGGCCAACAGGGAAGGTAATCTAATAGATCCAAATTGAATTCACATGTTCTAGCAACAGTTTCATCCCAGAGGGGATTATAATGGGGTATCTTTGTAAGACTATATGGCCACTGCCCAGCAAATCACTGATTCTTCTTCCGATTTTCCTCTTCGGCCCCACGGCGGTCAATCTGACGGCACTGTGTAACCAGTTTCCACATACACCAAAGGTAAGCAATCCCGAATCCACCGGCCCCGATGAGGGCGTTTAGTACGACCCACAGGTCCGGTTTACCAGGAGGGGGAGGCACGAACGCCTCGCCGACATGCCATGCAATCATGACAATATAGAACAGGATGTGCAAGAGCTTGGCAAAAATGTTCAACTCGAAGTGCGAGCTGGGATCCTCCGGAGATGAACGGCTCCGATAGGTCTCAAGGGAGAGTGGGGGCAAACCAAGTAGATAAGCCCACAGAAGGGTCATGACGGCGTAAGGCATGCGGAGCTCCTCGCGCTGCAAAAGGGGGAACATGGTCCACGAGCCAAGGATATTAGCCCAACCAACCCAGGCGCGGTTCTCCTTGCTCAATCCACCATCACCAGCGAGCGAGAGGGTCATGGGGAGAAGAGGAAGAAGAACGCTCTTTTCGTGCACCTGGAAAGAAAACAAGAAGAAACCCCACGAAACGCAGGACAACGCAGGAAGCAGAAGAGAAGCCCGAGGATGGCGGAAAATGATGCCACATGGAACAATAATTGAGCCCAGAGTGGCGCAAAGAGACGCCCGTTGGAGCAAGGAAGTATCGAAGTGATGCAGCTTGTAAAATGTATGGATCGCGCACCAGGCATTAGCGACTTTGTCTTCAAACAGGCCACGTGCGAAGGGGAAAATGCGGTGAACCGTTTGCGTTAGCTGGAAGAGAACTGCATAAGCCACGGAGCTCTTGTCTAGAGCAATTGGAACCGATTGCAGAAGAGGAGGCTCTGGCGCAGACGCAAAGTCCTTCCGGGCCTCGATACTTGTCGCGCCGATTAAGAGTGGGGCGAATAGCAGAGCGAATGCAGCGGCTGTAATGAGAGAGATGTTGATAAGTCGAGGGATGTTGATCCGTGGGAAGACGCAGACACCCAGGAGATAGGCGAACATGACTGGCGCATAGTACAGAGCCATTTGCTTGAACCCTAGAGCGCCGACAAAGAAGATACAGGCCCAGAGCATGCGCCCCGCCATGATCGCATCCAGGCTAGCAACCATCAATCCCAGCATCACTGTATTGTATTGGAAGTGGCCATGGTCGATAAGGATGGTTGCCGGCTGGAGCAGAATTGCAACAAGGGCGATGGAGGCGGACCATGCATGCACGCCATGCATACGAGTATACCGGCGAAGGAAGTTTACAACTGCAGGAACATATATAAGGTATTCGGAAACCACGACAGTGGCGCGCATGTAAACCTTCAGGTCCGGGTGCTCGAAGCCGCGGGATTCGTCGAGTGCGAACCAAGCCGGCTCAATGGCGGTGCCACTTCGACGGTCAGTTATATCTAATCTTTGTTTGAAAGGACCGTAATACATACATCTTTCCGAGCAGCCAACTGTGGTATGCGGTCAATGGGGGGTAATCGAGGCCCCAGTATGGCAAATCGTAGAGATACCACTTGGGCATGGGCAAATGGGTGGTGATTTCCATCCAATGTCGTTGCGCTTCAAAGTCACCGTGCATAGGGGGCACCTGGAAGCCTAAAGTATATTAGTTTGATTCCACACCGCGGTAACAATTGCTGCTTCCTACCTGAGTAACCCCATAGACTGACAGCCCATCGGAAGAGACCGACAGCCATGAGCGTAAGTGGCAGGATCAGCCATTGTGAGATCCCAGCTCGTGCAGCCCACAGAAACGATACGAGTGGAAATGCTGGAGACTGCTTTCCATCTCCGATATCGATTATGAGATTGTTATTGGAGCCGGGAGCCGTGGGGGTCTTTCTCTTCTTGCGCGGGCGATGGGAGGGAATGGGAGGGGCCATATTGAAACAGGCCAAATGGTAGGTTAGGCGCAGCCCATAGATGAAGGAAAGGTACCAATTGGAGTGCGAGGCGGTGTTTGGAAGCACGAGAAGTCGCAAAAAGGAAGTGCACCTATCTATCACCCTGGGTAGGACAGCTAGGCTAGCTATAGGCCAACGAGAGGGAGTGCCGAGTGGATTACATAAGCTCACACCCTGCCACATGTACTTTGATTAGGTAATGGGAATATCCACTTGGTGTTGACAGTGGGTCCAGAAGTGCTTATATCAGCAACTGAATTTTGCGGTCAGTGCCTGGGTCTAACTTCATTTAGCAGGCGGAACACGTTTCTGCCAGCCTCCGAAAAATTTCTGAAATTTTTTTTTCTTATCAGAGAGCTTGCCCAGCAACGCCTCTTCTTTTTTTTTTCTTCTTCTTCATCCATCCTCCCTCCCCTTCCTTTTTGCTATCACATCACCTGTGCTAGCACTTTTCTACCTTGAAGCTCCAATAAAAAAGCTTCCTATGTACGTTCTCCCCTTCCCCTTCTCCCCAAACTGACACAACTGTGTGGGTGGTACATTGTACTTTCAACCAAAGTACTTCAACAAGACATCTGTGGGCTTTTAACACATCGAGGGCTGTGGGCTTGTCATACTGCATATCTATTTCGTGGGCTCTGTGGGACTTCTATTTCCTCGTGGGTTGCGTATCATAGTTGCATATCGTCGGTCGGTCTCTGTGGGCTTGAACTCTGTCCGTTGTGGGTTACTTGAGGGCATCTACCAGCTGTGATCAGTCACTCCTGGCATTCTATCCATTTTTTTCCTGAGGGTTATCACATTGTTACACATCCAAAACACGGGTGCTTATTGAGGGATTAGTTGGCTCCGCCGCACAAAACCAAAGCACTTCGTCAATTTTCGTGACCACTGTACGTGGGAGATGTGAAATGAAACCCGATCTTGGAAACCTCGTGCTAACGTGACTTCTCTCTACAGTTTCAATATGTCGAAGACTAAGGTTTCCTCCAAGGCTGAGAAGCCCAGCAAGACCTTGAAGGTCAAGGACGCTGCCCCCAAGGTTACCAAGAAGGTCGCCACCAAGGAGGAGAAGTCCAAGAAGAACAAGAAGAAGGAGCCTACTCCCAGCAGCTCCGAGTCTGAGTCCGAGAGCGAGGAGGAGTCCTCCAGCTCCAGCGAGTCTGAGGATGAGAAGCCTGCCAAGAAGGAGGTCAAGAAGGTTGCCAAGAAGGAGGAGTCTTCCTCCGAGTCCGAGTCCGACAGCGATGAGGAGATGAAGGATGGTTCTTCCAGCTCCAGCGAGTCTGAGGATGAGAAGCCTGCCCCCAAGAAGGCTGAGAAGCCCGCCAAGAAGGCCGAGAAGAAGGTCGAGTCTTCCTCCGAGTCTGAGTCTTCTGACTCTGAGTCCGAGTCCGAGGACGAGAAGCCCGCCAAGAAGGCCGAGAAGAAGGAGGAGTCTGACTCCGACTCCAGTGACAGCGAGTCTGAGTCCGAGGCTAAGGCCGAGAAGGTATGATACTCAACTCCGTATTAATCATTTACAAATACTAATATGCTTTAATCTATAGGAGTCTTCCGACTCTGACAGCTCCGACTCTGAGTCTGAGTCTGAGGACAGCGAGGACACTGCCAAGGCCTCCAAGAAGCGCAAGGCTGATGACGAGGTCGAGGCCCCCGCTAAGAAGACCAAGACCGCTGAGGTTCCCGAGGGTGCTTCCGCCAACCTGTTCGTCGGCAACCTGTCCTGGAACGTCGATGAGGAGTGGCTCCAGCGCGAGTTCTCCGAGTTCGGCGAGGTTTCTTGCCGTGTTGTGACTGACCGTGAATCCGGCCGCTCCCGTGGTTTCGGTTACGCTGAGTTCGCTGAGATTGCTGATGCCGTTAAGGCCTTCGAGGCCAAGAAGGGTGCCGAGCTTGATGGCCGTACCATCAACTTGGACTACGCCACTGCCCGCCAGAACAACCAGGGTGGTGACCGTGCCCAGGCTCGCGCCAGTGCCTACGGTGACCAGACCAGCCCCGCCTCCGACACTCTGTTCGTTGGCAACCTGCCCTTCAGCGCTACTGAGGATGCTCTGCGTGATGTCTTCGCTGAGCAGGGTAGCATCCTGGGCATCCGTCTGCCCACTGACCCCGAGTCCGGTCGCCCCAAGGGTTTCGGTTACGTTCAGTACTCCTCCGTTGAGGAGGCCCAGGCTGCCCACAGCCAGCTTGCTGGCACTGAGATCGACGGCCGTCCTCTGCGCCTCGACTTCAGCACTCCCCGCCCTGCTGGTGGTGACCGTGGTGGCTTCGGTGGCCGCGGCGGTGGTGGTGGTTTCGGTGGTCGTGGCCGTGGTGGTCCCCGTGGTGGTGGCCGTGGTGGCCGCGGTGGCTTCGGTGACCGTGGTGGTCGCGGTGGTGGCTTCGGTGGCCGCGGTGGCCTCAACAAGGCCAAGGGTTCCATCCCTGAGTTCAAGGGTACCAAGGTTACCTTCTAAGCATGTTCCTGATTTGCATTTTGCCATTTCTTGGTGTCATTAGGCCTCTGGGAGGCCTTGGATTTTTAAAAAGTTTGTATGATTCCGTAAAGTATTTCTTATTTAGTTCCGTGATACGATGAATCCACTGTAATTGCTACGTCACTATTCAATTTGCTTCCCATCCTGTAGTCCTGTAGTCGCTCTGTAGTGGCTTGTCCACATGAACAGTGATACCATTGATTGTGGTCATGTACTGCCATCTGTCACCGCTCCCGTCCCCCGCATCTCTTTGTCCCAACGTGGTCTGCATCATTGCGCGGTTCTCAGTGAAATGCACTTTAATACACTTGAAACTATATATTCCGCATCCACTTCTGCCTCACTTTCTATGCACCACTAATCCATATTTCCAAGTAGCTTTCTTTTCATCCAGACTTAATTCTACTTCCTATCTCGGAAAACTGCGCCCCTCGCGTCTCATCTAGTCGCTGGCTTCGTCACGGGCTGCAGATCACCTGCTCCGTCGGCTGATCACCTCATCATCCAATCTTCAGCCCATTTCCTCCTTTCTTTGTTGTCTACCCTACGATCAAGTATTGAAGTTCTTCCTTAATCTTAGGCTTCAGATATCTTCTCTTTGGTCCCTTGGAGACGACTTGGAGGAGTGAAAGAAGATAACAAAGCGGTTGGGCACCAGTGATGGGGCAGATCATCCATCTCCACACTGATAAGATCCTCATTGATTGTCCTTCCCCACGCTTGACCGCTCCTACTTCCAACACCGGGTGGCCTGACCCTTCAGTTCCCATCTCCCATTTTTAAATATCATTCAAAAGATATCTTTACCCTATTTTTCACTTTCTCTTACATCTCTGTGGCCATGCAACCAAATCACTGCGACCCTCTTGGTCAGGTGCGGGAGCCCAGAGCCGCAAGTCAACTGATGCGCGATGGCCAGCCGAGAGAACATGGTCAGCCCCGATCGTCTGGTGCGGCGCCCATGAGATCTGAAGGTATGTTAGGAAGCCTTTTTATACCCTTGGACCTGCAGAATCTCGCCTGCAGATCGAGTTTAAATGATGCATATTCCGTTGCGCCCTATCGTTCGTCCACCATGTACTCACTGCGGTATTACATAGATTCGTGGATCGATGTTTCTTCCCAACCATCATCCTCATCGCTATCTTCAGCCGCCACAAACGACGACATAATCACAACTGGTCTTCACGTGGAACCTCGAGACGCTGGCATGTATCAACACCGTAGTCGGCGACGGCGCATGCAGCATCTCGCAGCGGTGGCGACAGCTCATGTTGACTATTCGTCGCGCGAGGCTAGTCTGGCAAGCAGCAGTCAAGAGGAATATGAAGAGAGTGAAAGTGATCCAGATCCAAATATGAGCAGCTCCAATGAGGATATTCATCGTCCATCCTTGCCTGCTCCACGATCTGTACCCTCGGCCCAGTCCGACGCAGCCTCTAGTGATGATGAAGATGATACTTCTACTGCTTTGGGAATGGGGATCAGTCCCTCACCATTTGTCCCTCAACCAAACGTCTTTAGCCACCCACCACTCACCAATGATCCTTCCTGGACTCGACCAAGCGAGTCCCGCCGTTCTCAACCCAGTATCTTGTCTAACTCCAGTCGCCGCACTGCCATTCGTCGAGAGTCCTACCCTTCTGGCTCACGGCAGTCTCGCCGATCTCCTCAGTCTCAGCATAGTCCTTATAATATGATATCACCTTCTCACCATGCGGACCATGATGCTGCCCTTAGAGCCAGCCTATCTACCCTTCTGTCCTGTGCTGCTGCTGCTCGTGGCCTCCCCAAGCCCGAGAACCAACGGCCTCCACCCTCCACTCCCCCCCCGCCCCGCTCAACCATCCTCATTTCGACTTGTTGGTGTCTCTGTTGCCATGGGAGAGGAGAGTGATGATGAAAATGCTTCCTCGCCCCAGTATGCTGAGGCCAGCGCCCCCGTGGGTCCGTCTCTCCGTCGTGACCCCCGCTCCCCCGTGCCACCGTCTGGTCCGCCAGGAAAGACCAAACGACGATCTACCTCACCCAAGGATCGGACTTCCACATCTAAGAAGAGTCGACGTGCGAGTCTCACGGACTCGACAGCTCCTGTCAGCCCCACAGTCATGACGTGGGTCATCAGTGCTGGTGTTGTAGTCCTGTTTTCGGCGATCAGCTTTTCTGCGGGATATATGCTTGGTCGAGAGGTTGGTAGGACTGAGATGGGTATGATGGGGGATGGTAGTATCCCTGGTGCTCGATCATCGGCAGCATGTGGGCAGGAGGCAGTTCGAGGCGGTCTAAGGCGGCTGCGTTGGGGTACAGCAGCCGCTGGATCTGCGAGCCTGGCCTAAGGTGACTCAGTATTTTCATGCCCAGTAACGACATACAATGCTGTGAAGTATTGACTTGATGGAACACGACAGCCCATGATTTGATTTTCATTTATCTCCTGATTTATATTCCTTGGGCTACTTACTTGATATGCCCTCTCCTTCCCGTTGTCTCCATCTTGTGATGAATACTTGTTCATCTGCTATCTTTGACCGCATTGGAAAGGACGGGAAGTTTGACCATCGTTTAGCCGCTGCCGACAAAAATTGGGAACTGTATGAAGTTGAGTGAAGTGTTCACTCTGGCGCTATGGAGTTTAGGATAACATCCTGCCGTGGGGTTGGATGTGTTTGCGTTGTAATATTGATAATGAATTTATACCCTCTTCATGTTCTGCTCTGTGCTTTAAGAAGAATGTAGGATGTATACAAGCACCGTGAGGACTTGAGAGATAAAGAGCCTCTCAAGGTTCATAATAGCCCTAGTTTAATCAAGGGATGTCAACGTGGGGCTGTGCTCTGGTCCGGTTCACAGTGGCCTGTTGCTCTTATGGAGCAATTACAAAATTGCGAAGAAACATCCATGTTTAATCCAAGTCCAGCCTCATCTACGGCATACGCAGGATTGGGTACCATTCGGCGGTAGGGTAGGACCAAGCATGCATCAATATCACATCGCGCCCAATATATGCAAATCAAACCAAAGAAAATTTAAATCAAGCAAAAGAAAAGAGGGAATTGAAAGAAGATACCAGCAACTTGTTGAACGATAACACCCAAAATAGCATCCTACTCCCGATGTAACCGATGAATACCCACATGCGGTCCCATGCATTAAAAAAGGAAACGCAAGTGGACCCAATGACGCGAATTAATAATATGCATAAACCCCACTACACCAAGAAAAAAAAAACAAAAGTACTCGCCGTCTCCGATGCCGACCGCACCAGCCACACCTGCAAGAACGGCTACGTCCGCGCCTATGACTCGCGGCCCGGTTCCCAGGACCCAGGATCCTGAATACCGCCAGGATCCGGTTCCTTTTTCCGGCATGCAAGGCAGAAGCAATATAGTTCCTTTAAATTCTTCGGGAGGATCCGTGAAGGCTCGTTTCATGTCCACGGTCTACAAGAATTACTACTGTAACCCACCTAGAACTACAACCAGATCGGGACCGAGTCGATCGGTCTCTTCTCTCCCCACGTAGATAGGGGAATGGAACTGGAATTATGGTCAATAGTAAACGCCCCTCATCCATGGTCGCTATGTAGCAACGTTGCAGTTGCAAATGGTGAACTGGACCGAAAAGTCAAATCAAACCTCGAACTATTGCTTCGCGATCTAGGAAATCAATACTCACAGCGAGAGTAAGTAGATCCCGTCGATTGATGTTGCACAACATCACCCCCTCACCCAATCCCAGGTTCCCTATCTCCAGGGTTCACCATCTCAAATACCTTGGTGAAACGGGGCGAACTATTGGATCTGCACGGGCCGGGCCACAGCACGGAGTGCGTGGTGAACGATGAGCGGTTAGACCAAGGGGCAAACCCCGGAAGCCCGATATGCAGGGAATATGGAATCATTCTTGATTATTGGATCCTGTGATCACTATTCGCAATCGCAAGGTCTCGTTTCCCTGTTTCATTCCCAAGGAAAAAGCAAAGAAAATTGAAAACTCAAGCCAATGAGAGAATTGTGTTTGCGAAATCAGGCCTCCCTCGAGCCTAATTGCAATAGTCTCTTATCGTGGTCATCGTGCATATGTTAGCTTTGTCAGCGCTTAGACGCAGGTGATTTGGGTTTGTTGAGTGCGGAGCCCGTGGGTGATCTTTTGCTGCTTGGGGTTTGGCTTCGTTTGATCTGCGCAGGGGCCACTGCGTTTCATTAGGTTTGGTCACTTGAGACACGTTTGTGATTGAGGGGTTAGGGTTGGGGCCTTTTTTTGCCGACATTCTAGACATGTCCAGGTGATTGTGCCCGAGTGGAGTAGGTGCCTTGTTCGTGCCTGGTTGGTGTTAGGGTATGGGGCCTCGTTTGTTGTAGGTTGGGCTAGATCTGGCCGTCGGCTTTAGAGTCTCGGTTTGTATGGAATGAGGCTGGTGGCAACTGGGAATGTCAGGTATGTCTGAATATGTGCTGTTATATTTGCATTGGAGAATTGCCTCCTGTTATATACATGGTATTATTCCCGTCAGGCGAGATTAACATGAAACCCGGTCCTATCCCCCCGTAAACGCCTTGCTAGCCCATCGCTTGGTAAAACAAAAAGTAAAGTCTAGTGACAACATAAGAAAGATGCAAGTCCGATCAGGATGCCTGTGTCGGGATACTGGTGAGATTCATGTGGAATCGAAAGAAAGACAGTCGAAGATAAAGCAAAGCTCAAAAGATGTGGTCGTATAAGTCGGATGAATGATAAAAGAAAATAGATCAAAAGAGTGTTGTTCTTGTAGTCGCCTCGGACCGTCGACGATATTTCAAGTCGTCTCGGCTGAGGAAGCGACGAAGCTTGGATACTAAGCGGCGACATGGTTGTTCTGGAGTTTGAAAGTCAGAAGGTAGAAACAAAATAAGCAAATTGTGAAATAGACATACCACTGCCTCGTCGTGTTAATTCGGCTGTCTCATCCAAGGGCTGTGTAGTGTAGGCTGCAGCCCAATAGTTTGTTTGTTGGTAACCGGTAAAGGTGCAGTTGTTGGGGTTGTACTGCGGCTGCATGGCTGCCACATGCGGATAGAGCGTTGCCAATGGGGAGAGCAGCTCATCTGGTGGTGGCGAGCGTCTGCTGTCAATGCTTTCGCATTTCTAGAGAGAAATATGAGTTGATGTTTGATGTAGTGCTGGATGGGCTCAAACATACGTAGATATCATAGTTGGATTTGTACATGATGTAATATGTGTGTGGGTCGGAGAATAGCGAAGCAAGGCGGTATTAAACAGGGATATTTCCAAGATTGAGTGTTGAGTCCAGATCGACTGTGGTCGGATGTCGAATATGCAGTTGAGATGTTGGGATATGAAACTGCAGACAGGCGCGCCTTTAAAACAGAAAGCATCCTCAGCCGCAGGGCGGGGGAATGAGGCAGGGTACGTCAATCTGATGTGCATTAGTTGGGGCTACTTGGCGCGAGATATGGTCCGCTGTCCAGGAAGCCGGGATTGGTGACGGTCATGGCAAATGGAGGGCGATCATTGGACGCGAGACGCTCAGGACCCCGTAATCGTCGATTGACCCCCCGATCCATCGGAGTGACCGAGATCAATACGAACCTTGAAATCATAATTTCTCATAGCGGGTTTATTGGATCATCCCTGCAAATTCTTACATTCTTCGCTGCCTGTCTTACACGCTTCCTCGTTCTCACCCCTTGCATCTTGCCTGATTTTTTTTTTTTTTTTTCCCACGTTTTTGCTCAGGAACCATATCACACCTTAGATTACAACTGCCAGGGTTACCGTTAAATGTAACTTGATTTTTTTAAGATTGATGAAACGGTCCCTACGTAACAGGGGGGTATAAGGCAGGATTTGTCAATCTGCCGGACATGAAACGATCGGCCGAGTACATCCGATTCATATTTTTTTCGGAGATCGAATTCTTAATTTATGATTATATTTATGATTCAGGCTTCTTTTTTTCCAAGGTTTTCGCGAAAAAAAGACTAAGTGGGGCTATTAAGAATGTCACACAGGTCAATCGTTACGAGAGTCAACATTGACACTGGTGTAGGTTCTGGGTTCTAGACCGTTCAATCTTTTCACCCTTTCCAATTTCTCATTGAATATGCTAGGTAGACAAAGGTAGACAAGAAATAAATGGACAATAGTTTCGATCTTTTCGAAAAGCAGATCTGTGATCTCATTCTTCCAAATCATGTTAATTAATAGTTAAGTGGGCTCAACCACGCTATTGGGACGCTAACGTGGCACCCGAACTGAGGTGGTTGGAGGACCTAGCGACAATCTCTTTGTCGGGCTCCACCTACACAGCCACATCCCTTGCTATCTGGGCACGAGCCACAAGCTCGGTCTCCCCGTGGCTGGTGATGTGGCTCAAGCTCTGTCTGTGGCTGAACACATTCGTCGCCTTACTCAATAGCTTCTCCTGCCTGATCCACTTCTGTCAACCCCGAACTAATCCGCCCTTGATCTTCATATGTGATAGTTTCTGACATCACACCGACCCTGGGGAGGCCTCGGTCGTCCCGCCGTGCGGGAGCTATAAGGACCTATCCCTCTCCCCCAGAATGCTCATACCTTAATCTTATTCACCCCATCTGACTTACCTTTGGTTGAATACTTCTCCAGTCTTCTAGACTACTTTTAGCCACCCCCTATACATGTCAACATACGATCATGTCACTCAGTATGCAAGGCTCAGGAAGAGAGTGCTGGGAAAACTCTCCACATATGGATCTATGCGATCCTTATTCTCGCGAGCGTCTCGCTCGAGGTACGCGACCCTTTTTTACTATTTCCCCCTTCCTAGTCATCTTATCTGAGACCTCCCTCCAGGATCTGTCGAGAGAGAGACTGAACGCACCTCCGACAGGCGGGCACCCTACTCCGAGGGAGTAAGCTACCCTGAGGCACAATCTATTCTTGGCGATGGAGAGTTTGGCCGTGTGGATCCTACTGGCTGGTATCCGCACTACAAGAATTGCTTGCAATACTTCCTTGAGTGCAGCCAACATGCGCCGACGGTGCAATCCGTGGCGGCCTTTATCAATATTCGTCTTCCATTCCAACGCGCTCCAGAGGCAGGTCAATCTGCGCAGCAATCCCCGCCATATGTTTCTCTCCGACCTTTTGTTCGGCGCTTGATTGTTACGGCGCAGGACTCTCCTATTACAATGCGCGCATTCTTTGGTGATGGCTGGGAAGCTGGTGTGGGATGCATTTACAAGCAAGAGCGCATCAACTACCTCTTCACGGCCAAGAGTAGTGGGTGGGCGGATACCAAGACAGCCTACGACATACAACCCGACGAGCAGACTCCGTTTTTGCGTCCACTGCGGGACCCATCCGAGGAAGAGATTCGGGCAGCAGAGGCCCGATGGAGTGAATGGTTAGCCATGGAAGATTGGATGGTGGGCGCTCGGAGCCCCTGGTGAAGAAAAAAAGGGGAGGCTAGAGTCACCCCAACTTTATGAGACATGACTATTGTTTTTCTTTTGTGGTTTCATAATCTATTCTTTCTTTTGTTTTCATTCGGGATAAAAATGATTATTGGGGAATCCTCGTGTCGAGGGTATATTTTCCGGCGTTGCAGACTTGGAAGATAGTCTAGGCAGAACACAATTTAACATCATTTATTCTTCACATACTTCGTACAGAGTGCATCACCACCCTTCAAAGTAAGACACTAGACCCGAATCACTGGAACACACACAACTTAGCACCGAATGATCGCCCTTGACCCGCACGCCAATGCACAGATGACAGTGATCGTCAGCGGATCCCCTGTCAGAATCAATAGTGCCGCACCGCCACAGGCACAGACCAGCGTGACAAATACTTTTAAGGGTGATAATCTTCGACTCCGTACAGGTAATCATGTTAATCATTCTTAGCGCGTCGGAATTAATCTAGAAGTCTTATTAATTTCCTACTTAGGTCTAGCCAGGAACGGAGCCATTCGTTCTCCACTCACGCGACCCGCAGAGTGACTCACTAACCCGGACATAAGCGTACGTCAACCTGTCAAGTCCACAGTTTCACCCCAACCTCAATAGTCTCCCAAGTTTATTCCGTTTGCTGGGCTTAGCTGAAAGGTCCCGATCGTCAGGGTCATAAGCGTGTGATACGTCCAGTCTTGCGGAACCAGGTTCTCGGGAATAATCGTCGCCCGAATCGAGATTAAAAAAAAGAAAACAAAAACATGGCCGAAAATCATTCCCCAGAAACGCGCATCTACGAGCACGATGACAGGGCCACCACGCTACTGCCTCTGCTAGCCTCTCATCTACCACTCTCTTCTGCACTTTTGCGACGTATCCAACATGGACTCGCGTACCCAGCGCCCACTGCCAAGATCTTAGCTACATTCCCCCCATCGGGCTCCCCATCCCCTGACAAGCCATGGCTGGCTGCGCGGGTGGATCTCTTCCGCGGCCGCGAGACCCAGATCATCCTATATTCCAGCCTTGAAGCGGAGCACACGTCAATCCAGCCGATCGGTTCAGCTCCGCTTTCGCAATCGGCTGTCACCGTCACCCCTAGTGACGGGTCCAGTCCCGCCGCAGTGGAAAGCAACAATCACGCCAGCCTGGATTCTAATTATACGGTCGCTACCCTGCATACCGCCGATCCTGATTCTCTGAACCTGGCCCGTGAGCAGCTATTGGCATTGCTCGTTTATATTAAAGCCAATCTGTTGCCGGAGTACCTGGCTTCCCTGCCACCTGACAGTGAGACAAAGTCAGCTGAAGCGCAGTCGCGGAATGGCGTTGCCTTGATCCCTGCGCCTGATCCTCGGGCTTTTCTAATTGGAACGCTGCATACCGGCTTGTTTACTCTACTTTTGGAGTCAGGCGTTTTCCCGCATCCCGATGTCGGTGACGCGTCGAGTCTGGCGCTTTTACCAGGGTTGAAGGTTCATCGTTATGATAACCCGCCGTATAGCAAGTTTTTCTTTCCGCGAGAGAAGTTTACGATGCAGGATGGTGAGGCTGAGATCCCGTTGCCTGACGGGTATCGGTTCCATGATCGGAATGGAACAGTAGGTGTTCTGGATTCGCATTTGGATCTTGTGCAGAGTCGAACGAGTATTCCTCGATCGAAGGCGCAGTTATCCAGCTTGGTTGGTATGGCGATTTATTGTGATACTGAGCCTGCCACGGAAGGCGATGATGAAATGCCTATTGCGTGGGCTTTCTTGGGTGTTGATGGGCCTTTGGCCACTTTGCATGTTGAGCCTGAGCACCGGGGCAAGGGTCTCGCGCTCTGCTTGTCCAAGGAGACCATGCGGCGTGGTATGGATCCTGCCGGGATCTTTGGGGCTGATAGACTTGATTTTTCGGATGAGACGCTGCGAGAAAAGACTACTGCTTGGGTGCATACTGAAGTTGCGCAGGCCAATAAGGCTAGTCGGAGGGTTATGGAGAAGGTTGGTGGTGAGGTTATGACGACTGTGATGTGGGTGGTTATCGAGCTTTGTGATTGATTCAATATATCAATGGGATAACGGCCGGCCTTAAAATAGAGATATACCTACTACCCGTCAGACTAATAGACATATAGCGACATAAGTATGGAACATACCTAGGTACCTAAACATCATGATATTAAAAAGCTGTCTATAGATGCTTTCTGTTTGGAGGTATGCTTGTATTCTGTGTAGATGCTTGTGGTACAATTTCCTCAAGTGGGTGATGGAATACATATATATTTTTTGTCCTACATCTACTAATAAAGGATGTAGTACATCTCTTCAATTAGGGACCCCGGGGACCGCCTCTGGATAAGGGAAACATATATAAGCTGGATAAATCAATCATTACTCTTAGTAATATTCAAAGATCTTTCTCCGATACACAAAATCATTTCAGCCTCAGCAAGTACCTACTTGTTACGCTTGTCCGCTTATCATAGGTTCATGTGCTCAGGTCCACTTCTAAACAATCCGACTGGAAAATTGAAAATCCCCTTCATTTTCGAGAATTCTCTCAGAATCTCAATGGCGCACACCTTGGTTCAAGATGTTTCCGAGCCCTGACGTGTTGTTCTGCGATGATAAGCATCGACCGCAAACTCCAGATTCAACCAATCGGGGATTGCGGAGGATGTCTTACCGTATCCCAGATCTCTGTTTGGCTACAGAGCCTATGCAGCATCTGCCACCAAATCCCCCGCGCCTTCTACTGCTTTGCTGGATTACTAGCGGCAGTCTGGTGCAGAGACCACCATCTGTTCTCTGTCTCCTCCATTGCTACGAATTAAAATGTACCAATAATCTATTTGCTATTCAAACCTGACCACTCCCAGATTAATTTCGATCAAGGGTAGCCCAGGTGACGCTTTCTGCTCATACTCGACCCCAAGATCGACAGCGAATAACCGATTATGGACAATAGCACTTATTTTACGGAGGGAATTTGGAAAGATGAGGATATGATGAGATTTGCGTATCAAGATATAAGGGAGTCGATGCGACACAGAACAAGTTATTGGGTGGAAACAGAGAGGGATGGGATAATAATACAGAGTGATCAGCATGTGAGTTCGGTGTAGAAATATTGACGACTGAATCAAAGAAGTATCATCTTCTGAGACTTATATTTCGAATATAGGAGCGAAAAGAACGAGATTCGATGATGCGGAAGAAAGATGAAGAAAGAATGCATTTCCTACGTGATGCAGAGAATGCGTGGATTCACATTGTGGATAATGAATTCGCGCAAAAGCTTCTCCAAAGGCTGGACACGACGACTGCAACGACTGGTCTCCCTCAACCCCTGGACTTGGCAGCAGATCTCTGCAAGCGTTGCGATACCCTGACTTTCGACGAACAATCAACAATATCTGAGGTTCATAAGAAGCTGAAGCCTTGTAATGTTTGCCAGAAGGATCGCACTCGATCACAAAATGTCCGCAACAAGTCTAGCCTCTGTCAAGCGCCTGCACTAAGAATATGTACTCCTCTGATGAGGAATGCGAAGCCAATCGCAGATGTACAAATGGGATTTCCAGAGCTGCCTGCATCAGACAGTCCCATCCGATTCATATTGTTCCGCGAGTGGCTCCGAGTTTGTGACTATACTCATGGGGCCTACGTTTGCAATCCAAATTCCAATCCTTCACACCAAAGAGAGCTACCTAGTCGACTACTCGATGTAGGAAAGGACTTATCAGATAGACTTTTTCTCCGATCTACAAGTATCAAACCGTCCGAAAAGATCCTACCAACTGATAATTCCAGTGGGAATAGCTACTTGCGCGCATTCGCCGACTCTGATCCACCAGAAGACAAATTTACATATATTGCATTATCCCATTGCTGGGGCAAGCTATCGGAAGACCGTAAACACGAGTTTTGTCTCTCAGCTGACAATCTCAACGAGAGACAAACTAACGGATTTCACCTCTCCGATTTACCTCTTACGTTTCGCGACGCTATCACAGTGGCCCGTTCATTGGAAATACGTTACTTGTGGATCGATTCGCTCTGCATAATTCAATATGGAGACGATTTAAAAGACTGGCATAAAGAAGCGCCATGCATGGAAGCAGTATTCAGTAACGCCTATTTCACCATCGCCGCAACATCCGCCGAAGACTCCGATGCAGGCTTCCTCGCGCGACGCAAACCACCCAGACACCGCTCAAAAGCCAACGAACGGGTCTCATCCAAAAATCTCTCATCGTATGTCCCGATGAACTCACCCACCCATGGCCCACTATATATCTGTTCGACAGTCGATGCCTTCGACGAAGACGTTGCGAGTGGTCCGCTTAATAAACGTGCCTGGGTCTTACAGGAACGGGCCCTATCACGAAGAACAATCCATTTCACGGCGAACCAAACATATTTCGAGTGTGGAGATGGAGTTCGCTGCGAAACAATGTCATATATGCGGAACTCGCGGGCACTCTTCTTAGGCGATCCTGGATTTCCCAAAGGTCTCGGCATGCGCACGACGGAATCTCGAATCAAGCTTGTGCAGTCCCTTTTTTGCACGTACATGCGCCTGGATATTACCAATAAAACAGATAGAGCACTTGCAATATCGGGCTTGGAGAAGCGACTCGCGTCTACTTTTGGGACAGCGTGTCAGTTTGGGATTTTTGAGAAGTATGTGTGGAGATGCTTGCTGTGGACTCGGGCTCCAAAGTCAAGAGGGCTGAGGCAGGTCGAGTATATGAGTTCGCGGGCCCCACCGTCGTGGTCGTGGATGGCGTATGATGGGGCAATAGAGTATATTGATGTTGATGCGGAGAGAGTGGAATGGTGCCATCAGGTTAAGTTGGATGAGGCGTTAATCCGGGCGCGAATTAGAAGTGTTAATCCTGATAGGTGCAAGGTGGAACATACTCGGGGTAGTGGGTATTTGATTAAGGACCGGTACGAGCGTGAATGGGGATGGTTGAGGTATGATCGGCCTCGTCGCATTAAATTGCATAAACATAAGGTGGTTGTTATTGGGAGAGAGGGATATGAGTCGCGCGATCGGTTGCTAAGCTTGAATAGCAGCTTGAGGTACTATGTGTTGATGATTACTCCTGTGCAGTCGGATCAGTTTAAGAGAATTGGAGTTGGCTATCTTCCAGCTGGCTGTATTTCATTCGATACCGAGCAGCATGGCCTTCTTGTGTAAGAATCAATTGCAAGGCCTCAGTACATCTCCATTGGTATCACTCCAATAAGACGCGGCTGTATTCTTCTATCTCATGTCATAAAATACAGATTTACAGAATGTCTCCTGGCCTTTGATAGATATAAGATGCTTAACTAGAATTCACAATATTCATATATATGGTTAGGACTAGATCTAGTCGGTGGGTAAACTAAACTAGAGCACACTCGAAGATGTGCGGGTCGATTCAGCACCCCGTGACATTCAATCATTTGAATATGCGTTTGATAATTTCATGATGTATGTGCATCTTCTGCTATTCTTCTTCGGTGGTTAATGCTAATGCTTCAATTCATCAGAGCAACACGTATGACCAAGTACGGGCCTCCAATCAGTACCGCCCGGGCAGATGCGGTTTTCTCTCATGGGATAGGATATGAGCTGGACCCACAAACATCAAGAATTACATCTGCTTGGTCTTGGAAGTCGGAGATATCTGGCCAGGAGCTGTGGTACACCGAATTCGCCGAGCCAGCCCAGAAGGAGTCTGAAAATCTTGGTCATATCATTGACTGGCTTCGAACCCTGTGTAAGAGCTGTGTTAACGTGACCCTGGTCTTTGCGTCACTTGATAACCAAGAGATTGGACCCTTCGAGATGGCCGATCGCGAGAGCAAAAAACTGTCACGTCCAGGACGAATGTTTTGTGGCCCAAATTAGATAACGATGTACTTTGATGTCCAAACTTTCAACGAACTACATCTCTGCATTGCAATAAAATCGCCCTGGAGCATGGATCGTCAAATATACCTCGCAATATGACGACTCTGTTCAAATCAAGGTGGCTGGACATCATTGAGTGGTCGTTGAATAGCTTGAATTCTACTCTTTGTAAATCCGTGGCTTGAAGGGCGGTCTGGGTTTCAGGGACCAGGCATATTGCCCATAGCCACTGTCGCCCGCTCCAATTCGTCCATTGGCAAGTGATAAGGATGCCTTGTAGAAAATCAACCAATTGACCCACGACACTAGAAATTTTCGTTTCTACTGATCCCAAATTGATGAAGTGTAATACTTGTAGTTCCAAACATATGCTAATTTCTTCTTTGGATATGCAATTTTCGTTAATTATTATGACTCAGGGCGCTATCAGTCATACTTAAGCACTCCACCGTCGATCCCCCAAAACGGCTTAGCGTTCCGATGATCGGCTTGGACAAACCATTATCGGTCAACCAACCCTTCCTGATCTTTCTTCTCTCTGTAAACCTCCAATTCCATACCAATTGACCACCCTCCAAGTCGCCATAATGAGCAACAAGGCTGTCGCCGAGAACATGCTTTGGGGAGGTCGTTTCACCCGTAAGAACCCTTCCAACCCCGCCATTTCCCCCACCAAACCTCCAATGCCGCATTGACTCATACTAACAAAAAATGACCAGAGGGCCTCGACCCCCTTATGGTGAAGTACAATGAGTCCCTGCCCTACGACCGCATTATGTGGAAGCAGGATATCGCCGGTTCCATCGCTTTCGCCCGTGCCAACATGAAGAACGGTATCCTGACACCCCACGAGTTCGCCGAGATCGAGCGCGGCTTCAAGGTGATCTCGGAGGAGTGGCGCACAGACACCTTCGAAGCCAAGCCCAACGACGAGGATATCCACACTGCCAACGAGCGCCGTCTCGGCGAGATCATTGGAAAGGAGATTGGCGGTAAGCTGCACACCGGTCGCTCGCGTAACGAGCAAGTCGCTACCGATATGCGCTTGTGGCTGCGCGATGAGCTGCGCATCTTGGACACCCAGCTCTGCGACCTCGTCAAGGTCTCCATTGCCCGTGCGGAGAAGGAGATTGACTACATCATGCCCGGTTACACCCACTTGCAGAAGGCCCAGCCCGTCCGCTGGTCCCACTGGATGCTGTCGCACGCCACTGCGTTCGCAAGTGAGTTGCAGCGTCTGCGCGAGGTGATCCGCCGTGTGAACCGCAGCCCTCTAGGCTGTGGTGCCCTCGCTGGTAACCCCTTCAACATTGACCGTGAGGCTATGGCCAAGGAGCTGGGCTTCGATGACCTGCTTTACAACTCTATGAACTCCGTTGGTGACCGTGACTTTGCTATGGAGACCATGCAGTGGGGTAGCTCTTTCATGCTCAAGATCTCTCGCTGGGCTGAGGACTTGATCATCTACAGCAGTCTGGAGTTCGGTTTCGTGCGCCTGTCTGATGCGTACTCCACCGGCTCTTCCCTGATGCCCCAGAAGAAGAACGCTGACAGCCTGGAGCTGCTCCGCGGCAAGTCTGGCCGTGCTTTCGGTCAGATGGCTGGTCTGATGATGACCATCAAGGGCTTGCCCACCACCTACAACAAGGATCTGCAGGAGAGCATCGAGCCCCTGCTCGACCACATCAAGACCGTTAGCGACAGCATCCTGATCGCCACCGGTGTGCTGTCTACCCTGACTGCCAACCCCGAGAAGATGGTTGCCGCTTTGGCTCCCGAGATGTTGGCCACTGAGATCGCCGACTACCTCGTCCGCAAGGGCGTTCCCTTCCGTGAGGGTCACCACATTTCCGGCCGCGTGGTCCAGCTTGCTGAGAGCACCAATGTCCCCATGGACACCCTGACCCTGGAGCAGCTTCAGGGCTTGGACTCTCGCTTCGATGCGGATGTTCAGGCTTGTCTTGACTATGAGCGTGCTGTTGAGCTGAAGGATGCCATTGGTGGCACCAGTAAGCGGGCTGTTATGGAGCAGACTTCCGTGTTGAAGAAGCTGCTATAAGTATCTATGATTGAATAGATGTGGAGTCGTTTTGTGCAGTATATCATCAAAAATATCAGCGGTCTTGGGTTATCTTCTCGGTTAGAGAAAAAAAAGGCATACATTTCTTTTGGTTCACTTTTTCCCACCAAGTAGACATCAGCCCCCAGGGCTAGAAGCTATCAGAATAGGGTTTTAGAATAGTAGCTAGGATCTGCTACTGCTCAAGGACATAGTAGAAGTGAAAGATGTTTCATACTCACAAATCTTCCAAGACAAGCTACACACGTCTCACCCAGCCTTCAGGGATAATGGTCATTGGAAGGATCGTCGATGGTGCAGTACATCTATGAAAAGAAGAAAATTGAATGAAAAGGCTAACACATACCTGAATCAAATTATTGTAACATTTTAAGGATATCGCTATTCCCCGGGTTCGAGTGTTGTAGCATTGAATCGATTGATTGTCCTCATGTACATGTGTAATATGTTTTTCATGAATAGATGCAGCCCAGAAGCACAAGAGCCCTGGAAGTGCGCTAAGAAACCTGAGACTATTACATAAAGAAGTTCTGACTTGTCAAACAAAACGCCAAGAAGAAGAAGACACCTTGTGATATAGGATTAGCCAAATCGCCTAATCCCCATTCCCATAGTCCTAGCCGGCGTCTTCCTCTCCCCATTTACCTCAAATTCAATTCCTTCCTCAGCCTCATAAGCAGGAGGCACTTCACTCGGCGTCGGCGAAAGAGGACCCATATCTATGAAAGTCATGTTTCCGATCCTGTTCGGAATAGGTGAAGATATTGGCGGAGAAGCAGAAATAGAAGTGGGGGAAGAGATAGGAGGAGATGGTCCTTCCGCTTCATAATATGAGCAACCAGCCTCAGATACATCGGTCAACGGTAGGCTGCCATCAAAGTTCATGAAACTCATAACATGGTCCTGCGACTGCCATGTGTTCTCCTTGCCTTTTTTCGTATCGGCGTCACTATTCTCGTTCCCGTTTCTGATCTCATTGCCAACCCTATTCCCTTCCTCAATGGGACGCTCCATGTCTTCTACTCTGGGATCTCCAGAATACCGATCCAGATTCGCACCCATAACAACTCCTTCCTCGGTGACTACTCTCCGTGCCGTATTACGTGCCACAAGTCTGGGACTCATACTTTTGAAAGGCGGAACAAGGCCCGCGACGGACTTCGAGCCAGTATTTGGACTGCTGTTGGTAGTATTTGGTGAAGATGATGTCGAAGAAAGCTCCAAGGAGTCCCGAGGAAGAAGATTGGCAATTCCACCCCGCTGATAAATCATCAGCCCTTGTCGTTGATTCAGTGGCACATTAATGAGATCTCTCTGAGAGTCGGATGGTAGCTCAGCTCGCATGCGCCGGGCCATTGTATCTGGGAGCTCGGGTGTGTGACCTGGTCGCTTGGGGATGGGGGCGAGAAGCTCAGCCGTTGGGATGGCGGGGATTGTTTCCGCACATGATGCATCGCCAGCTGGACTGGGGCTTGTTCTTGATACATTAAGGCCTCCTGCCAAGGCAGAAATGACGGTGTTCTCGTGGTAGTCTGTGATCGAGGGCTCGAAGTGAGGGTATGTAGAGCCTTTGTGTCGAATATTAATGACTTGTTCTTTGAGGAGGGGGTCCTTGTGCTTACCGTTGCCATATTTCCTTGCACGTCCCATGCGCCAAGATGAGGGCAATTGACCGTGGTCGATAATGAGGGGTTCGGTGTTTTTCATGCGCTGTCTGCGCTTCCAGCAAAAGAACAGTATTACTGCTATGAACAGAAAGGCGACTATACCTCCAATAGCTCCGCCAATTATGGCTGAGTGACTGCTAGAGCTGGACGTTACAGGAGCCGCGGTTGAGGTACTTGTAGATGTCGTTGATGCGATAGTACCTGGGCTGCTGCTTCCCATGGTTGAAGCAGACGAGGTTGCTTCGGCCGTCGCAGTAGTAGCCCCTTCTGTGGAACTTGTTGATGTTGAATCATTGCTTGAGGTACTCGAGGATTTGGAGGTTGTTGTGGTCTTCGTTATAGACGAGGTCGTGGTATCATCATCTGGGCATATCCCCGACGTACACGGATTGCTTGAACAACAACCTTTGTAGTCGCCAGCAGTGCAGACATACCACAATTTATTGCCAGTGCATGTGGTGTCTGTTCGAGGGACCAAGTTTTCCTTGAGATCCATTCTGGAGAAGCGTAAGGCGAAACGAAAAGTAGTAAAAGACTGTGGTAAAGAACGCGAGTAAAGGCACTGGACATGCACTGGGATGGGAAGGAAAAGAGAGGGCAAAGAAGAGGGAAAGTCACGAGCCAGTACAGGGATTCTATTTCGAGTTTGCTCTGACCCATATAGTAGAAAGTGGCTTTGAAAGTAGGGGACAAGGGTCATCTTGATCAAAGACAAGGACATGTTTCTTTGTTTTCAGTTAGTTTACAATGGCCCATGTAAACCTAGAAGTTCAAGTTAAGATTGTAATAATGCTGGGTCACAACAGAGACAAGTAACCTAAACAGATCTATGAGGGTATTATGTGCCATGGACAGTACATACTAGACATTCAATTGCTGCCATATAACATAGTGAAATTCCAAGGTCTAGACTAGGGTCATCCAACAGGTAGACGCCACGGTCAGCGTTGCCCAGGAACTAACTCAATATCGAGGGATGTTTCAGTGGCTGGAAATAGACATCAAAGAATAGAGATAGACTTTCAAGTCCCACCTTCTATGGCTTTACGCATGGAGGAAATATATTGAGAACCAATTAAAAAGAAAATTCCAGTGTATCAGACAAAGTGAGGAAAAGCACTCAGTACACCGACTCTTCGCCTGTTAAGTTAAAAGGAAATAGGAAATATGGCTATACAGGATGGTAAAATAACAGTCAAAATAGAAAACATGCTCTTTTCGTGGATTCCTCCGTCAATACCACGTTACTTTCACCTCGCAGATGACCCCAAAGAACATCTGAAACAAGGACGTGGTATCTTCTTTCAACTCCTCCCAAGAATCGCTTAGTAAGTACGCTTGAAGGGGGGCACAGGCTTGCACTCGTTAGCATCCAGGGTGTTGGCCTCAACGGCACGGTAGCCCAGCTCGACCTTGCCGTGGGCCTTCTTCTGCCAGGTGAGGGAGTGCTTCATCCAGTTCTCATCGTCACGGTCGGGGAAGTCCTCACGGGCGTGAGCACCACGGGACTCCTTACGGTTGGCAGCGGCAGTGGCGGTTTGAGTAGCGCAAGTCAACAGGTTGCGGAGCTCAAGGGTCTCAACAAGATCCGAGTTCCAGATCATGCTGCGGTCCTTGGTACCGACCTGGTCGTACCAGGTGTCGACCTCGCTGATCTTCTCAACACCCTCATCGAGGGACTCCTGGGTACGGAACACACTGACATCAGTCTGCATGGTCTTCTGCATGGCATTGCGGACCTCGAAGGTAGACTTGGGACCGTCGGCGTTGCGAGCGAAGTCAAGATCCGCAATGGACTGAGCACCGGCGTCGGAAGCCAGCTCCTTGTGGGGCTTGCCGGGGGAAGCGGTGTCACGGACACGGTGGGACACAGCACGACCGAAGACGATCAGATCGAGCAGGGAGTTGGCACCCAGACGGTTGGCACCGTGGACGGACACACAGGCGGCCTCACCACAGGCGTACAGACCGGGGACAACCTTGTCGTTGCCGTTCTCATCGACATCCAGGACCTCACCGGTGTACTTGGTGGGGATACCACCCATGTTGTAGTGGACGGTGGGCAGGACAGGAATGGGCTGCTTGGTGACATCAACACCAGCAAAGATGGAAGCGGTCTCGGAAATACCGGGCAGACGCTCGTGCAGCAGCTCAGCGGGCAAGTGGCTCAGCTGGAGGTAGATGTGGTCCTTCTCGGGACCGACACCACGGCCCTCACGAATCTCCAGGGTCATGGAACGGGAGACAACGTCACGGGAGGCGAGATCCTTGGCGGTAGGAGCGTAACGCTCCATGAAACGCTCACCCTCGGAGTTGAGCAGGTAACCACCCTCACCACGGGAACCCTCGGTGATCAGACATCCGGCACCGTAGATACCAGTGGGGTGGAACTGGACGAATTCCAGATCCTGGTTGGGCAGACCGGCACGGGCAACCATGGCCATACCGTCACCAGTGCAGGTGTGGGCGGAAGTGCAAGAGAAGTAGGCACGTCCGTAACCACCAGTGGCCAGAACGGTGTGGTGAGCCTTGAAACGGTGCAGGGTACCGTCCTCCTGGTTGTAAGCAATGATACCACGGCACTCACCGTTCTCCATCAGGAGATCGAGGGCGAAGTACTCGATGAAATAGTTGGTGTTGTGGCGCAGAGACTGGCCGTAGAGGGTGTGCAGCAGAGCGTGACCGGTACGGTCAGCGGCGGCGGCGCAACGGTAGGCCTGACCACCCTTTCCGAACTCCCTGGACTGACCACCGAAGGCACGCTGGTAAATACGGCCATCCTCAGTACGGGAGAAGGGGCAACCGTATCCCTCGAGCTCGCGGACGGAGGCGGGAGCCTCACGGGTCATGTAGTGAATCGCATCCTGGTCACCAAGCCAATCGGAACCCTTCACAGTGTCGTACATGTGCCATCTCCAGTCATCCTCGTGCATGCTATTGTCCAATTAGTTGCCGATCCGGGGTCAAATCCACTTTCATGCGAAAGTTTTGGGGTGAAACATACTTTCCAAGGGCAGCATTGATACCACCCTGAGCGGCGACAGTGTGGGAACGAGTAGGGAAAAGCTTGGAAACACAGGCAACGTTGAAGCCAGCCTCGGCCAGACCGAAGGCAGCACGCAGACCGGCACCACCGGCACCGACGACAACGGCATCGTACTCGTGGTCCTGCAACATGTCAGAAACTCCGTCTCGCTATATCCATTCACTTTGTGCGGTAGTCTCGGCTTACAATGACAGGGTACTTCTCAGAGATGTAGCCATTGGCGGCTTTGGCGCGCAGCGGCTGGTTGGCCCAGATCTTGGCTGTCGAGGATGCGGTTAGTGATGAGGACGTGACGTGACCGAATTGAAGGATTTCATTGCATACCAGCAGGGCGAGTTGAGGAGAAAAGACGTCTCTGATCCCTTAAGATGCGGGAAACCTATAATTCGCAAACAACTCGGTCAGTCCAACCATCGCACCCGGGCCGAAAATCATCGCAAGTCGGCTACTGACCTTAGAGGCGGGAGCCAAGCTCCGCAAGCTCATGGAGCTCATAATGACGGGTCTGAAGAGAAGGGACTCCCTAAACACCCGAAAGAAGAGAATGCACCGGTATCACGGTGGAGATTAAGATTGGTTGAGGGGAGAGGTGTAAGAACTTCCTTTCGAGAGCAGGGCAACTTCGGCGATGGAATTCGGCTTGCGGATGGCAGTTGGTGCTGACATAATCTCCAGCTTTTTACAATTGAACGCGTGCTGATTGGCTGCACCGGGTCCTGCTCATTTTCGTGCGCCGTCACTTGCCTCGGGCTGCCGGGTGACACGTGACCCCGTTTTCGTAGATCAAGCTTCATGATCATGGACTATGAAGCATTCTTCCAACATACATAGTGAAATGAGGGCATTGATACTATCTAGCACATATATACCTGATTTGGCTTGACATAGATACATAAAATTCACTCGCTCCATACCCAAGCACCATCATCTTTGTTTCAAGCCATTAGCCGATGTGTCTTCTCATCCCTTTCCCCGGATATACGATCTTCCCACGATCGCGGAATCTAGTTTCTCCGACCCCGAGATATCGGTAAGTTAGTGCATTCAATATGCTTATGTATTGGCGATCGGGTGGATCACTACTTTGTAAGTACGAGGCTAACTAAACAACTAGTATATACGCAGTACTTTATAAACGGAATATGGGAAAGTAGGAAGTATGGTAGATTATAGATTCGTTCACACGGTCGAGATTGAATATTCCAGACCAACATGCAAAAAGAAAACTGAAGTGATCGTACAATCTCATGCACCATGCCCATGCCAGAACCAGCTCATATTTCTAGTTGTACTGCATGTATGTGGCGGTCGAGTTGAACTTCAGATTGCCCTTGATCACCTTCTCCACCGATGCCAAGAAGTCCTTCTCGGTCGCAACCTTCCGTCGGGCACGGATGGCAAACATACCCGCCTCAGTCGCAACACTGCGCAGCTCCGCACCAGTTGCGTTGGGGCAGAGTCGTGAAATAAGCTCCCATCGAATGTCCCGCTCGACAGACATGCTCTTGGCGTGAATTCGCAGAATGTTGGCACGACCCTCAACGTCGGGGAGAGAGAACTCGATCTTTCGATCGATACGACCAGGACGCATCAGCGCCGGGTCCAGTGTGGAGGGACGGTTAGTGGCAAACATGACTTTGATGTTACCACGGGCGTCGAAACCATCCAGCTGGGTAATAAGTTCCAGCATGGTTCGCTGAACTTCGTTATCACCACCGGCACCATCGTCGAAACGAGCTCCACCGACGGCATCGATTTCGTCGAAGAAAATGATACAGGCCTTCTTTGTCCGAGCCATCTCAAACAGCTCTCGGACCATGCGAGCACCCTCACCCACGTACTTCTGCACCAACTCACTTCCAATGACACGAATGAATGTAGCATCGGTTCGGTTGGCCACAGCACGAGCGCAAAGAGTCTTACCGGTACCAGGGGGACCGTAGAGCAAAGCGCCCTTGGGCGGGTCGATACCTAAGTTCACGAACCGCTCTGGTGATAGCAATGGCATCTCCACAACCTCTCGTAGCTTCTCAATCTGTTCTTTGCAGCCACCCACATCACCGTAGGTCACATCGGGCTTATCTTCGACCGTCATCATTGTCACACTGGGATCGATCTTGGGCGGGAGCGGCAGCATAATCTGGTACTTATTCCGGTCGACACTAAATCTTCATCAGCATCCCCCTAGTAATAAACGCGGATCAAATATAAGACCTACCCGACTCGCATGCCCTCTTCAATATCTGTCGGACTCACGCGCTCTCCTAGGTTGACCACGAACTTGGCGATCTGTTTCACGTTGATGACATATTTGCTCTTGTCCGAGTCCTTCTCGTCCTGAATAATCTTTGTGCAACGAGCCACCTGCAGCGGTTGCTCTTCAGCCATGCGCTGTCGATCAGCAGCAACATCCCAAAGGTGTGGAGGTGCGAGACCGGTGTCGGATTCCTGGAGCGGGTATGAGCTTCGGCCGGTTCAAGGGATCGCAAGAGCTAAATAAATAATCACCTTCACGCCAATCTTCTCGTTCACGCTTGCTTGTTTATCCTTGATATCCTTCTCGAGCTTCTGGAGTGCCTTTGCGTAGGGGGCCGCGCCGTAGGTCTTGAGTACTGCGATGTCACTGGGGGTGAGACGTCAGCGATCCATCACTGGACAGAATTCGGCGGCAATCCTTGTGCATCCTAATACGCGAAAAGACTTACTCATCTGTAAGAGGTGTGATCTTCTTCTCTGGTTCCTCGTCGTCCGCAAAGTTCTTCTGGTACTTCTCCCAGTTCTGTCCCGTGGCGCTAGGCATACTGAGAGGTGTTGACAGCCTCGGGCTGAGGACCTAGAATCGAGACAAAAGACGGGAAGTAGCTAGGAAAAGGAGAAGAGAGAATAGAAAAGTCGAAAATGCTGAATCGGCAGAAAAACGGAGCTTGATGGTAAATTGGAATAGAATGGAGATGGTGATGTAGCAGAGAGCTGCGGTGGCCGAGCTCAACTCACTAATCAGTGCCAAGCTTCATCACCGCCCCAGAACCTCGCAGAATTTCTGTGTGTTCACTCCACCACCGCCGATTCTACTTCCCCTGTTTGTTGTTTTTACAAAGGTTGCTTTTTGATATCAACATTCAAGATGGCGACCGCAGTGGCTCAGGGATCCGGTGCCAACAGCTCCTTCAAGGTGCGATTCGTGAACTTCTTTTGTGTGGACTGAATTCTGATAGCGAGCAGGACAAGGAGAAGCCTATGGCCGTGCGGGCCTCCAACATTATGGCAGCTCGGGGTATGTCATTCTTTCTTTTTTTGTTAACGAACCATTATACTGATGTTTGATTCCCAGCCGTCGCCGATGCTATTCGCACAGTACGCATACCTAAAACCTGACCGATTACGGAGATGAGGGGCTAACGAGGCGACAGTCATTGGGACCCAGGGGTATGGATAAGATGGTAGGTCGACCATGATTACTACCAGTTCGCATGATGCTAATGTTTTTTATAGATTCAAACCCCCAAGGGAAACACTATTATCGTATGCCAGCCGCCCAATTCCTGTCGATGACCTCCCCGACTAACCCCCCGCAGACCAACGATGGAAACACCATGTTGAAGGATATGAGCGTCATGCACCCCGCTGCCCGTATGCTGGTCGACCTTAGTGCTGCACAGGATGTTGAGGCTGGTGATGGAACAACCTCGGTCGTTGTCATTGCCGGCAGTCTGCTCGGTGCTGCTGAGCGTTTGCTCTCCAAGGGCATCCACCCTACCGTCATTTCCGAGTCGTTCCAGCGTGCTGCCAGTGCCGCTGTCGAGATCCTCCACAATATGTCCCGCCCTATCAACTTGACCGACCGTGCCACCCTCCTCCAAGCTGCCTCGACCTCTCTCTCATCGAAAATTGTCTCCCAGCACTCTGGCTTGCTGGGCCCTATGGCCGTCGACTCTGTGTTGAAGGTTGTGGACCACAAGACTGCTGAGAACGTTGACTTGCGAAACATTCGGATCGTGAAGAAGGTCGGCGGTACCATTGAAGACAGTGAGATGATTGATGGCTTGGTGTTGAACCAGCCCGTTATCAAGAGCAGCGGCGGTCCGACAAGAATTGAGAAGGCCCGGATAGGTCTCATCCAATTCCAACTGAGCCCGCCCAAGCCTGACGTACGTGTTTAGGCCCTGGAATATGGCACCGAATTTATGCTGACTTTTTCCTCTTTTTAGATGGAGAACCAGATCGTCGTGAACGACTACCGCCAGATGGACAAAATTCTGAAGGAAGAGCGCCAGTACCTGCTCAACATGGTCAAGAAGATTCAAAAGACCAAGTGTAACGTGCTTTTGATCCAGAAATCTATTCTGCGTGACGCTGTTAACGACCTCTCCCTGCACTTCCTGTCTCGTCTGAAGATCCTCGCCATCAAGGATATCGAGCGTGATGAGGTTGAGTTCCTCTGCAAGTCTCTTGGCTGCAAGCCCGTCGCCAACGTCGACTCTTTCACCGAAGATAAGCTTGGTACTGCTGACCTTGTTGAGGAGGTCCAGGCTTCGGGCGCCCGCTACGTTAAGGTCACTGGTATCAAGGCCCCCACTACTACCCCCACCAACCAAACTGTGTCGATTGTCGCCCGCGGCGCCAACCACCTGATTCTGGACGAGGCTGAGCGATCCCTTCACGACGCCCTTTGTGTCATCCGCTGCCTCGTCAAGAAGCGCGCTCTGATTGCTGGCGGTGGTGCCCCTGAGGTTGAGGTTGCACACACCCTTGCCATGCGGGCTCGTGAGCTTACAGGTACCGAATCTATCTGCTGGAAGGCCTTTGCCGATGCAATGGAGGTCATCCCTACCACTCTTGCCGAAAATGCTGGTTTGAACTCGATTAAGGTCGTCACTGAGCTGCGTCACCGTCACGCCCAGGGCCAGCACAACGCTGGTGTCAGCATTCGCAGTGGAGGTGTCAAGGATGATATCACTGAGGAGAACATTCTGCAGCCCCTGCTGGTCAGCACCAGTGCTATTGAGCTTGCTGCTGAGACCGTGAAGATGATCATGAGAATTGATGATATTGCTCTGTCGCGGTAAAGAGATCACACTGCACAGGGATGTATGATGAAATGCAATGTGATTGCAATGAGTAATTACCAACAAAAAAATAACCCGTTTTTATAGAAGTCTTCTAGATTCTTCTCTTTTCATAAACTAAGATTTATCGGATGAAACTTTAGGTATCTTCTACATAGACATATGGGTGTATAGAACATTAGTAAAATGATGGTCCAATTGGAGCACTGATATATCTAGTCCAAGGGTGTGGCTCGTCTCGTTGAAAATATGCACAGCCTTGGCAAGATGCCCTATTCGAATTCACATGTCTATCAGATGTGACGTGTCATATCAGCACGATAGCCTGGGTGAGCCAGCTGTATTTGATCGCGCCAAGCGTGCCTATTTTAATTTACTTTGTTGGTACTAGTGATCATAGAGGTCTTCGCAGGCAGGACCATGTGTGGAAGTCTAGGAAATAACTCACACTTGACGCCACCAGTGAGCCTAGACGAACAGGGATCAAGTCAAGTTCTTAGAATCAGCTGTTCACCTAGAAACCAACAAAGAACGGTAAATCTCCAACGTCTTGATTCTTAGGACCGATTCGATTGGTCGGCCTTGATATCTACACAGCAAAGTACAGGGCGGTGTTGAGTGCTCTAGATCGGCGCGTAGTGAAACTCCACATGTCGGCTCATCAAGAGTGGACCCCAAAGAATTTGCCTTGTGAACTATAGATGAACCCATAGATTTTGGACTTTAGTGCATACCCAATCATTTTACGAAGATTGATGAGGCGCGGTCCGTCCCGGACAACCGAACGCTTCCTACGTGTACATTGCGCCCCAACATGTCTAGATTGGTGGGCTATGTGGTGATGATGCAAACAATCCATTCATTTTGCTGCAGCTATCCTGATTCGCAAGCCTTGTCAGCCTATGTGACAAGCGCATTATGAGCCTTGAGCCAGAACAAAGGTCTTTACCTACCCGAGGCCCTTCATCAAACACGCATATATAACGGACATTTTTTCCTTTAGCCTTCCATGCTCTACCTACTAAGACAACATTCACACAATACTCCAGAAGGTTTTCTTAATAAGAATAGCAACAAAAGTCACTGATCCACGGTCCGATACAAAATGGTCGGAAAGTAAGCTAGACCCATCTACAACAGTTTCTGTCTATTGACCATTACAGGATATGTTATGCATTTGCCCAGCGTGGCTCCTGTCGTTTCAAAGACTGTCGATTCGAACATGATCGCCAATATGATTCGCAGTCTCCACCTAACAGGGCGAGGCGACAAGATCCCAGGCCTGATCAATCTGGTGAGTTTGGTTCTTGGAAACGACAAGCCCCTGGCGGTTACAACAACCGTCCACTGGGAGCACAACTGGGCCCATTCTTCAAAGAGGCTAGGAGACTCATTGAGGTTGATGAGAGCACATTGCAAAATGTGGTGCGGTGGCTTTCCAACGAAGGCGGCCTGAGACGGATTCAGGAGCTGATCCAACGGGACTTCTCCACTCTATCAAAGTCTATGAAGAGTACCACCTTCCATGAGGAGATGCTTCCATTTTTGGAACTCGTCACCTTCTCCGAGGTCCTCTCATCTTTGGTTCTGGAGCAAGCTGTTGTCACGATCTACAACTGTATATTCGGGCCTGGCGGTCGCCGAGGAGAGCCATTCTTGGGATTTCTTGCCGAAGCCGTGGAAATGGAAATTGAGAAAAACACGAGTACTGCGTCCGGATATCTTGAGGTGTCTCTACTGGTCTTTTCCCAGGTTGTCGAGCTGAACTCGACTGCCTTCATTCAAGAGCCCTTGAAACCAATCGCACAGCGCTTTGCAGATATTCTCACCACACTTCATGCCCTGGATAGCGCATGCTCTGTCCATCAGTCATACCAGTACTTGGAGCGCCTACAGCGCCGCCTTGATATTGGACTCTCTCTACCAAACTTGTCAGGAACTTTGAAGAAACTTGTACCGACCCAGAAGACTGCGGCCTTTATAACTCAACGAGATCCACCTGGTGGCCGCCACGATAACGACCATGCAGATATTTGCAAGATAAGAATCATGCCAACCTTCGACGAGATATCCAGCTCGCGCTCAGAATACCTTCCGCCCAAGGACCCCCGCCAATGGCATGTACCTGGACTTGCTGGGCTGCTGGATAGGAATTTTCGACTCCTCAGAGAAGATACAATTGGCCAGCTTCGAGATGTCATACACGCGGAACTCCAGCCAGGCATCCGCCAAGATGGCCGAAGAAACCAAACCAGAATGCATGTTTACAAGCAAGTCACCGTCCATAGGGTGGCCGTGCATCGGCATTCGGGGATGCAGTTTTTAGTTGGGTTTTCACAGCCGCCAAATTTGCGAGGCATGGATAGTACAAAGCGAAGAGAATGGTGGAAGCTTTCGAAACGGCTCCAAGAAAGTGCCCTCGTATGTCTCATAGATCCCAGAGGGTTTGCGATATTTTGCACAGTGTCTACTGCCGATCGACCCAATGCAAAGGTGAAATCAGATCCCAACGGACAGAAGCTGTCTGGGTCTCTTTCAGAGAGCGGAAATGTGGCGTCCATTGTCCTGGAGCTCGTAGAGCCCACCGAAGACAATTGGCAGTACATCCTGGATTGCCAGGCCTCAAGAAGAAGCCTCTCGGTTTCGCTTGTCGAGTTCCCTGGTATTCTTTTGCCCTCCTTTCAACCTACTTTGCTCGCTCTCCAGAAGATGCAGAAGGTTGCAGATGTTTCTATGTCAGAATTCCTTGCACCTCATGATGTCAATTCGCTGTCGCTGCTAGTCGATGTACCTCCACCAGTTTATGCCACCACTCCGGGGTTTAGCTTCGACTTGAAATGCCTCATGGATGATAATACTAGCTTACAAGTGCGTCATTCTCAGCCGGTAGAAATAGAGAGGCTTAAGCAACACTCCACTCTTGATAACGCACAGGCTGAGGCACTGGTCAGCACCCTCCAGCGGCGAATTGGGTTGATTCAAGGCCCACCAGGGACTGGAAAAAGCTACACAGGTGTGGCACTGATCAAGGTTCTATTGGCAAACAAAAAAAAGGTTTCCAAGGGGCTAGGACCCATCATATGCGTCTGCTACACGAATCATGCACTCGATCAATTGCTGGAAGATGTTTTGGACCACAACATCACTTCTCAGATCATTCGCATTGGCTCTCAGTCCAAGTCGGAGCGTTTACAGCCGCTCAATCTTCGAAAGGTCGTTCAAGATACAGAAAAGACACGATCAGAGAGACATGGTCAATGGGAATTGCACAAGAAATTCGATTCTCAGGGAGAAGATTTTCAGAAGCTTCACCTCAATGCGACCGGTTCAGAGATAAGCCTCAAGTTTTATCTTCAGAGAAACCATCCTAATCATTACCGCCAGCTTTTCGAAAAAGACGAAGAGGGATGGCAGGAACAAAGAGGAAGTGGGCAGAATAATGTGATAAGGTCTTGGTTGAATGGCGGCAAGTCACTGAAGGGTCAGCCCCGCGTGGTGGACGTACTCAGAGCTGTCCATGTCAATACAATGACAGCCGAAGAACGTAAAATTCTCTACGACTACTGGCTTGAGACCCAGAAAGTCAGTACGCATTCCCAAGCCCAACTAGTGCTCGCTGAGCACCTGGAAACCAAGTCTTCTTGGGATAGGATACGCGACGAGTTGGATCTTCGGTGTCTTCGGAGCGCAGATATCATTGGCCTGACAACAACAGGCTTAGCTCGAAATCTCAATATGCTGCGGAGATTAAGATCTAGGGTTCTCATATGCGAAGAAGCTGGAGAAGTTCTGGAAGCCCACTTGCTCACCTCACTGTTGCCATCGGTTGAACACGTCATACTCATCGGTGATCATCAGCAGCTCCGTCCTCAAATACAAAACTATGGACTTTCTCGTGAGAGCAATGAAGGAAAACAATACTCATTGGACCGCTCACTGTTTGAAAGGCTTGTAGAGCCCGATGAGGAGGTCGGAGTTCAAATTCCGTTCTGTACTCTGGAAACTCAAAGACGGATGTCCCCGTCGATATCCCGCCTGGTTCGCGACACTTTGTATCCACGGTTACAAGATGCTCCATCAGTTTCTGAATATCCAGAGGTTGCTGGGATGCGAAAAAGGCTTTACTGGCTTGATCATCGCCAGCCAGAGGGCGGTGCCTCAAACCAAGACCCACTAGCGGCCTCTCGCTGGAATGATCATGAAATCGATCTGACGGTTTCTTTGGTGAATCACCTTCTCAGCCAGGGTGTCTACGAAAGTGGAGAAATTGCTGTCCTCACACCTTATCTGGGCCAACTTCATCGAATGCGCCGAAAACTCGCTGGGTCATTCGTCGTCACTCTGGGGGAAAGAGACCAGGAGGACCTGGATAATGCGGGCTTCGAAGGAGACGAGACTCAACAGCAAAGAATAGCGGTTTCGAAATCAACGCTTCTTCACCCTCTCAGAGTTGCAACAGTTGACAACTTCCAAGGTGAGGAGGCAAAGGTTGTGGTGATTTCTCTGGTCAGAAGCAACAGCCAAAACCGGTGTGGTTTTCTTCGTACGCCGAATCGAATTAACGTACTTCTATCTCGTGCAAAGCACGGGATGTACATCATTGGGAACTCTGAGACATCCAGAGGTGTCGAAATGTGGGGGAAGGTCCTCGAAATTCTGGAAGAAGACGGGAACATTGGCCCCCATCTGGAACTGAGCTGCCCTCGTCATCCTGAGACTCCTATTGCCGTAACAGAGCCTGAGCACTTTGTGCAATTCTCACCAGAAGGAGGCTGCAGTCTTCAGTGTGGGAAGCGTCTCCACTGTGGGCACCCCTGCAAGCAGAAATGCCATTCTGAAATGTTGCACAAGGCCGTCTATTGCTCAGAGCCTTGCCCTCGCCCACGAAAGGGTTGTACCCATACCTGTCCGAAGCTTTGTGGAGACGTATGCCCGGATAAGTGTAAAGTCTCGGTTTTCGATGCCGACAGAACTCTTTTGTGTGGTCATAAAATGGCCTCTCTCCCGTGTTGGCAGGCTCAAGATCTTAGCACAGTCAAATGTCCGACACTTGTCGAAAAGAAGGTTCCACACTGCAATCACACTGTCACCGTCGCCTGCCATGTTGATGTGAATAGTGTAGATTATGAGTGCAGTTGTATCTGCAATACTGTGTTACCATGCGGGCATAACTGCAAGCGTCATTGCTCAGAGTGTGTCAGGCGCACACTCGACGGTTCAGAAGTCAATCATGCATGTATTCAAAGGTGTGGACGACCATACTCCACATGCTCCCATGGCTGCAATGCCGAATGTCACGGAGAGAACCCTTGTCTTCCTTGTACTTCGCCTTGTGATGTTCAATGTGGGCATTCCAGATGTTCCCGGAAATGTTCCGAGCCATGTGCTCCTTGTGCAGTTTCTGAGTGCCTATCTTCATGTCCACACAGCTCTTGTACCATGCCTTGTGCCGCGCCTTGCGATCATATTCCGTGCTCACTTCGATGTGAGAGACTTCTATCCTGTGGTCACCAATGCCCATCCGTGTGTGGCGAGGTATGCCCACCTGAGCAATTCTGTCATACTTGTGGATCCGACGAAATCAAAGATACCCCGGTGGACTTTATCTTGGGTGAATCGTACCGCGAGATCAATCTTGCGGAGAACCCTTGCATCTTCCCTCAATGCGGCCATTTCTTGACTATCGAAAGTATGGATGCCCAAATGGATCTCAAAAAGCATTATGTTATGGATGACATGGAGAGACCAATCTCCATATCCTCATCCTCAGAGCCTTTTTCCATCGAGGATATTCGAACGTGTGCTACATGTCGAGGCTCATTGCGAAACCTTTCGCGTTATGGAAGGCTTGTGAGACGTTCCTTGCTTGACGAGGCGACAAAGAAGTTTATCTTGTATTTGAACCAACAATATGTGCCGCTCGCTCAAGATCTACCTGCGGTACTGTCAGAGTTGCAGCTCAGTGAAGGGGCCATGGCAACAGCCATAAGAGTCTTTCAGGGGCGCACTAAAATCGAACTACAGGGCCCCGCAAATCACCAGGTGTCGCTGATGAGTAACCTTGTCAATAAAAAAGGCAGTGGCCGCTGGAAAGAGATATTGGCTCTCCGGTTTCAGATAGCAGAGTACCAAGCAAAGGTGAAGACGGAGGAGCAACCGTTCAGCCAAGTACACAACATGGTCGAAAACGCACGTCGCCGTAAGAAGACATCCGGCAAATTTGCCTTCGATGAAAATGTGCTTCAAACCAAAGGCCAAATTCAGGCTACCGCACTGCAACTCCGTTTGGACACGGCGTTGCTCGGCGATTTCCTTTCTATGAAGAAACTCGTCCCTTTCGGTATAGATACGAGCGATGTACAGGTCAACCTAAAAGAGAACAGAAAAGAGTGCCAGCGGCTCATCAAAGAAGCAATAGACTCCCATCGAATCTTGCAACAGGCAGAAGGCAACATTTTCTTCGCTCAATTGTGTGCACTCGAGCGACAAAATGCGAAGGAGCTTACTCAAGCTGAGACTCTGTTTAAAGAGGGTAATGCAGCTATAGAAGAGGCTCAACGGCTGTGTGATTTACATCCTGGGCAGACACGCGGTCTATCGGAGGAGATCGAGGGTACTAAATCTATGCTTGGCGGAGCAACCTTCTACACCCCAGTGACCAACGCAGAACGTCTGGCAATTGTGGCCGCCATGGCGACGGAGTTTCGAGGAACGGGCCATTGGTACTACTGTGAGAATGGGCATCCTTTTACAATCGGAGAGTGTGGAGGTGCTATGGAGTTATCAAGATGCCCTGAGTGTGGATCGGCTGTGGGTGGTCAACACCACCGAACAACCAACGGGGTGACCCGTGCACAAGACTTGGAGGCAAGATTGAGAGACTTGCATATTGACACTTGAGCTAAGCGCAGACGCTAGAAGAACTTTGGATACTCAATTTGCAGCATTGGAGGTAATTTTCGAAAGCGAGACGGATAAAGATTGTTCGATATGAATAAATTGAAAATGAAATTGATGGAGCGCTCATTATTTCCCACACACTATACCCTGCATGGCTTCGTCAGAGCTATGTTTAGCATTTCATTGCCAACGTAGTAGTCTTTCCTAGCTGTGTACATTATCTGCCCTAATCTAAGGAGAAAGTGAAACCCAAAACTCATGAACTATACCCGTTTTGTATTCCTTAGACTGTATCCAAGGAGCTGTCGGTGATTTACAATCTAGGCAGCGATGTATTAGACTTTAGGTTTTCAATTGCCTACCAGAAAAGGCAAGTCAACTATACATAGTAGCTCTGATGATCCATTTACAGTAAAGTGTAGTTTTTGGCCCCCTGTTTGATCGCCGCTGATCATTACCGCATTGACATCACAGCCATCAGAGTAGATGAGACCAAACCTGGGGTTTGAATCCTTCCAGACGAATCCTTGACTAAGGATCTTTCATAACTAATGTAAAAGCATGCAGTCTAGTAGCGGTGTGCATCGAAAAGACCTTGAGCTTGTTAGTTCCAATTCAATGTTTACAACTTGTAGATCCCAAACGCAGATAGTACCCCACACCGGAGTTTCATATACGTGATTACGATGAACTTCTGGCCCCCATAGCCCCCAAGAATCACTGCTGATGCAAATCTGTAAAAGTGATGGAATCTCCATCTTCGCGCTAATTGAGTCATTCACCTTCACGACAATATGCCACGCCGCTGCCATACCAAGTCAAGGCGGGGCTGCGTACAATGTAAAGAACGACATGTTAAGGTGAGCGGTAACTCCCAATTTCAAATTTATAGCAGAAGCTCATTCATTCTTTTGCCATATTTCTTCGGGGTCGTTGTCGTTGGCTAATGTTCTAAATAGTGTGATGAGAACCGTCCAACATGCAGCCTCTGCATTCGACGCGGGTTAGAGTGCGAATATGTAGCACCTCGGCCCAGACGCAGACCCATGTCAACAAGCACAAGCTCTCCCAAAAATGCAAGATCTGACAGATCCTCATCGCAATCCAGCATTTCTCACTCGGATGACTTTATAAGGCTCCCGCGCTTGCAGGAAATGCAACTATTCTACCAGGCGTGCGAATCGACTCTTCCCTCGATAGCCAAAGACGACGAAGATAGCCGCTTCTGGAACGGGAAGATTCCCCAATTTGCTGTCTGCCACGACTATGTCATGGACAGCCTACTTGCTGTGTCTGCTCTCCATCTGGCGTCGGAGCAAATGGATGCTGATGAGATTCCTACATGGCTGGAGACTGCTTTAACATATCAGACTCATGCGACTGCCGGTTTGCGACAAGAGCTGGTGACAAACCCGCAGAATATCGAGGCGTCTTTCATGTGCTCAGCTATTATTCTGATATTAGTGACAGCTTACCCAGGCGTTTGTCGAGATGAGACGCCGATTGACCCGCTATACGAGATAATGACACTTCGCTCGATTCTGAGCGGAGCTGCATTTTTATGGATGCAGATGTTTCGCGGTACCGAGCGGGCTTGGCTTGATGCTTGGATATACCAAGATGGAAGCAACAGACTTGGTATTGCTAGGGCCAGGTAAGCATTCCCATAATTGTGTGGCCGGTTTGACTTGATCTAGAAGCTTATCATCAAACTCATTGCAGCGAGGATCCAAGTATAGTGAAACTACACATGTGGGTGACATTATTGAAAATCGAAGATCAAAGCCAGATTCGAGACTAACTCCAACATCAATAGGAGCATTCTTCAAAAATTCCATACTTTGCGCCCATTTATCGAGAGTATTCAGGGGCCACAACGCAATATTTACCGAGATACTTATAAGCTACTGCTACAGAGCCTGGAATGCTGGCCATCCGGGCAAGGGAGCCTAGTCTGGCCAATTCGAGTCAGCGATGACTTCATGAACCTAGTCAAGCAAGGCGAATGGATGGCGCTTATCTTTGTCCTGTTCCATGGCCTGGACAAGCATCTATCTTCACGGAAATGGTTCGCTCGAGAGTCAGGGAAGCGATTGGTTCACGGCGTGATCCAGAACTTTGCTGGAACTTTCCCTCCAGAGTGGGTGGGCCTGGTTGATTGGGTTAGGCAAGCTGTGGAGGTCTGATAACCGGGGATTTTCATTCTTTTCTAGTCCTGGAGGCTGTGATCAATATTCTAATCCTTTAACGGGCGCTTGGCGGGGGTCTTCCATGCAAGTCATGCAGGTCATGCAGGTCATTTAGGAGTCTGGTTATTATGTGATATGATGAATGAATGCATTGAATTGATATACCGATCTTGGTATAGATGTTCATGAAATGATAATTTGTCCGTTCTATTTTAGTTAAATTTGGCCCGTTGATGTTGTCATTGATTAGATGCGCCACTGTCCCGAAATGGGGTCCAATAGGGGATTGCCTTTGTCTTTCGAGGAACTTAACAATCACGTCTTCCTTGGAGCTTATCGTTTCACCAATTTTGACTCAATTATAATCAAAACCTCTTAATGATTTCGACTTGACCCCCTTTGCTCGCAATTCGCAGATTTCTGTCGCGTGAGCTACTGGTGTCCCCACGGATCCACTCTTCTCCCTGATAAGATCCGCCCAGGAACCTCAGCTTTACCCCGAGTTGCTACCATCGATCATGGGGAAACTCGACAATGAAAGCACCCCTGAGGCAGTGCCGCTAACTCGACGACGATCGACCTCACTAGAATCACACGCAACCTCCGATTCGGGACTGTCGGTCGCTTCAGCCTCATTCATGGAAGCACACAAGGAAGAGCTGTTGGCCGCGGCTGACAGGGAGGGGAACGACGAAGACCGATACCGCGATATCGAAGATGGCGCTGAACCCGGATCCGACGAACCATTTCTATCTCGCAGCAAGAAACAGACCCCATCGAGCAATCGTATGCGCCGGGTTCTCTGGCTGCTCGGCTTCCTCTGCGTCGGTGGCTGGGTACTCGCATTCGTGCTATTCCTCGCTCAAAAACGACCCACTGCCTCCGCACTCTCGTCTGTATCTACGGTCAGCATTCACGATCCGGACTCGGCAACAGGTGGCACGAGCTACGGAAGCCCGGTGACTCTGGAGCAGGTGTTGACGGGACAATGGGCCGCGCAGTCACATGCTATCTCGTGGATTGCCGGACCAAAGGGTGAGGATGGCCTTCTGGTTGAGCGCGGCGAAAGCGGAGATGGATATCTACGTGTGGAGGACATTCGCAGTCGCAAGGATGGCGTCGACGGCCTCGATACCAAGGTGCTGATGAAGAAGTCTCACTTCACGGTGGACAATGACTTTGTTACCCCGGGAAAGACATGGCCAAGCCCAAATATGGAGAAAGTTTTGGTCGCATCTTCGCTCAAGTCGAACTGGCGACACTCATACTATGGGAAATACTGGATCTTTGATGTTGCGACTCAAACGGCCGAGCCGTTGGATCCGAGTAACTTGAGCGACCGAGTGCAGCTGGCTGCCTGGTCGCCCCAATCTGATGCCATTGTTTTTGTTCGGGATAACAATGTCTACCTGCGCAAGCTGTCAACTTATCAAGTGACTCCGATCACGAAGGATGGTGACAAGGATCTTTTCTATGGTGTTCCTGACTGGGTGTACGAGGAAGAGGTCTTCTCGGGCAATTCTGGGACTTGGTGGGCGCGTGATGGCAAGTTCCTTGCTTTCTTGCGGACCGAGGAGGCTAAAGTTCCTGAATATCCTGTTCAATATTATCTTTCTCGCCCCTCGGGTAAAAAGCCCCTACCTGGACTCGAAAACTACCCGGAAACTCGCCAGATCAAGTATCCCAAGGCCGGTAGCCCGAACCCCGTGGTTCGTTTGGAGTTTTATGATGTGGAACAGGATGAGGTCTTTTCTGTCGACATGCCGGAAGATTTCCAGGACAACGATCGTATCATCATCGAAGTTGTTTGGGCCTCCGAGGGCAAGTTGCTTGTCCGAGAGACCAACCGCGAAAGTGACATTTTGAAGATTTTCTTGGTCGATACGAAAGCCCGGACCGGAAAGATTGTTCGTTCGCAAGATGTTGCCGGGCTCGATGGTGGCTGGGTCGAGCCCTCGCAGTCCACACGGTTTATCCCTGCTGATCCTGCAAATGGCCGGCCGCAAGACGGCTACATTGATACTGTGATCTATGAAGGCTATGATCATCTAGCATACTTCTCACCTCTCGATAGCTCTGAACCTGTCATGCTCACTAAGGGAGACTGGGAGGTGGTGGCGGCACCCTCCGCCGTTGACTTGGAGAGGAATCTGGTATTCTTTATCGCGACAAAGGAGGCACCAACCCAGCGGCATGTGTACTACGTGAAGCTGGATGGATCTGATCTTCGTCCGCTGACCGATACATCCAAAGCCGGATACTTTGAGATCTCATTCTCGGAGGGCTCTGGATACGCGCTCCTCAGCTCCAAGGGACCAGCAGTCCCGTGGCAGGCCATAATTAACACACTGGGGGAGAAACTTGAATACGAGGTTGTGATTGAGCAGAATACCCGGCTTACCCAGATGGTTGAAGACTACGCTCTCCCCGCGGAAATTTATACCAACGTAACCATCGATGGTTATACCCTCCAAGTCGTCGAACGCCGGCCCCCGCACTTCAATCCGGCCAAGAAGTACCCTGTGCTTTTCTACATGTACGCTGGCCCCGGTTCTCAAACCGTGGATCGCAAATTTACTGTGGATTTCCAATCCTACATCGCGTCTAGCTTGGGTTACATTGTTGTTACTGTGGATGGCCGAGGAACAGGATACACTGGCCGCAAGTCGCGATGTATCGTCCGCGGCAACCTTGGTCATTATGAAGCTCACGATCAGATCGAAGCTGCTAAGCTTTACGCAGCTAAGGACTACGTGGATGAAACGCGCATGGCAATCTGGGGTTGGAGTTTCGGCGGTTTCATGACCCTCAAGGTTCTTGAGCTCGATGCAGGCCAGACTTTCCAGTACGGCATGGCCGTGGCACCTGTGACCGACTGGAGGTTTTATGGTAAGAGATGCGTCTAGCACATGTTTAAGAATTCGGACTAAAAGTAATTGTTACAGACTCGATCTACACTGAGCGTTACATGCACACACCTCAACATAACCCGTCAGGCTACGAAAACGCAACCATCACGGACGTCAAGTCCATGGGTGAAAATGTCCGATTCTTGATCATGCATGGCAACTCAGACGACAACGTCCATCTTCAGAATACCCTCAACCTCCTCGACAAGCTGGACTTGGCGAGCATTGACAATTTTGACATGCAAATTTTCCCCGATTCAGACCATAGCATTATCTTCCACAATGGACATACCATGGTCTATGAACGTGAGTTTACCTTTTATCCCCTTTGGAATTTTCACATAACTAATGCGCTCTGACAGGTCTTTCTAGCTGGCTAATTAATGCGTTCAATGGTGAGTGGCATCGCATCGCGAACCCGAAACCGCAAGAGGATTCGGCGTGGAATAAAGCTAAGCGCTCGCTGTCGCTTGCTTTTCTTGCATGATTGTGTGTAGATACTCGACTGGTGATTTTCTTTTAAACATACTATTTTCGGTTTTTTTTGTCTGAATTCCTCACGAAATCCCATCCTTAGCACCTAAATCTGGGCAGTATTATTCAGGCCTCTATAATTTTTGGAAGCCCATGCACTTATGATAAGTCCATGAACAAACTGAATCTTACAGTCGCGAGCGGTAACTAGCCGCATAATCTCGCCTCCTTCTCTATATTCAGTGTGTGTATACTCAGGATCTGGTCTAGAAGATCGTGAATAAAGGTGCTTCTTGATAAAGCCGACATGATCTGACTAGTCAAGTGTCGCTAACTGCCACAGGCATTCGATAATTGGTATCCTGATTGTCAGCTAGTGATAACAAACAACCTGATTTCTGCTCAAAGGAGAATTGTTCTACAACACACGCAAGCACGATTATCTATTCGAGTGAAGTCTATTCAAACGTAACTTAGCACCAATTTGCCAGTAGTACACTGGTGTCAGGGCCAAATTTAAATTGTTTAAGGAAATAGTACACGCTGCAACCCTGATGTTTTGTCAAGATCACACCTAGGACTATCGCCTTTAAGCTTAGCGGTGGATGAACCTTTATCCATCCATTGACGGGCAATACAAACCGGGCCTCGATCACGTTACCCCACGGAATTTTCACGCTTGGACATCGGATCTGCGGGTACACTTTTGGCTCGAGCGATGGCAAAGCTAAGCATTCGACGGACTGGTTTAAATGGAAGTGATGATCCACTTAAGTACGTCCGATTTAAATCTGGCTATGTAAATAAACTTCCGCCCCTCTTACTCCCGACCCTTCTAATTATCGACAATTCACTATGTCGATAGTCAAGTTGCATAACTAATGGCCTAGAGGGTTACCCTACTATATCCGCTGATACAAAGAGCCCGTGGAGCGTCGATCATAGAAGGCTGATTTAATATAATGTTCAAAAAATAGGGTATTTTAAGCCAGTAAGATTCATCTGGGTTGTGTTTTGAAATCTTCTCTAAAGGTTCCATCAATTGAATCTATGTATCAAAATGTTGTTTTCCGAGCCTAAAAAGTACTCATTCGGATATTTGAAGTTTTGGCATAGTCACAAGGCGGCCACTTGATACCGCCGTACTCGCCCTCTTGCAGCGCTAACTACTCTAACATAACTGACTTCTTTTGGTCACCACCAGACTCAAAGTCGACAGAAATTCGTTGGGAAGTTTGGGGACTGTCACATCAATCTCGAGCACCTGGGCAGGTGCTGTCCCAGGTGATCGTGCACATGTGAATACTTTGACATGCGTACCTTTCCTACATGGTGTATGTCAGACACCGACATTTGAATCTTGGAACTATCTCACCATGTATTGGCTGGATAGGATTTGTAGCCAGACAATTCCATCATTAGGATTGGTGCTTGGGCGTGCGTCTATGTATCTAAAAGTATCAGATTCACACATGTGCACTTATTCAAAGTGACTTGAAACCCCAATTGACATGAATATCAAATCGGACATATCCACCGGACCCAATATCTCGCCAGCATTGAGCCTCCAGCTCATTCAATTCCTCCTCATTGAATGGAATCGAGTCTTTGCCTGATCGTGCCCACTGGAAACAGACACACATACTATTGGCCGTGTACGGCCCCAATGTGCTCTTGACCCGATCAGATCCCACGACTTCTGTTCCAACTTCGGCCAATCCTGCTGCCTCCATGTCACCGGGCAAAGTATTCCAGCCTACCTTGAAGCGAGGCGCGAAAGTGCCGATGAGTAGTTTTTCGATGGTATGCAGGGCCTCAAATGTTGATTCGGGAAAAAATCCGCCCTCGGACCAGGCTAGGAAGTTGCATTCTTCCCATTGTAAAGCACCGCCTGGCTTGAGCAAGCGACTCAGATTCGCAACCACCGGTCGCCAGTCTGACTCTAGAAGACCCATTGCAAGCATCCGAACATGAACCAAGTCATATGTCCCATCAAGCTCTTCTGGGATGGGCTCTCGCGCATCAAGGACGGACAGTTCAACGTTACTCGGAACTTCCGAAGGGAAAAATGACTTGGAAATATCGTAGCCATGCAGGGTGCCCTTTGGATACAATGGGGCAACCTTTATAAGAAAGTTGGCCGTTCCAGTTCCGATGTCTGCAATTCGAGCATTTTCAGGGAGTCGAGCTCTGATAGTTGGATGGATCTGGTAACCGAGGTTCCTGTAACGATTCAATGTCAGTGGAGATCTCGGGAATTCAAATGCTTTGAATTAAAGAGTATGAATTCAAAGCCCCAATCAACCTTGAAAGGTCTACGTACTCAGAAATGAGATTAAATTGTCCGTTCAGGCTGGATAAAACGCATTTGAAGTATCAGCTCGTGCATTTTTATAATCAATTCACACCCTAGATTTCAATTTCTATGTCGACTTGGGTAGTGGACGAACCGTGAAACCTCCCCTGTGGTGCGTAGCATATGCTTTTCGTATACCTCATTCGAAATCATCGTGAACACGTTGGGCAGCCAATGTTGAAACCCTCTGAATACAATGGAGTGTGGTGAGGGGAGAGTCGGAAACAGAATAAAATATAGGCTTTCTGTGCTGAATGACTGGACATTTGTTGACCTTTAATCAGATACTCGTGGGGCGCTTCCACTGTTACAACCGGGAGGATCGGCCCTCAAGGCGACCGCAACTTCAGAGTACCTCGCATGCCCAGGTGGGGGCCAGAAGTGATTGCCACCTGCGAGAGATCGCAAGAGGTGGAATGGCCTTCTCGAAGAAAATGAGCCTTTGCGGCTGGGTCTGCTCCACGAAAGCTTCATGAAGCCCAGCGCCTCCGAACCTGGCATACACTGTCGGGTTAAGAGTCACAACCAGTCTTGGATAAATTTCAGGGATTGTATTGAAGCATACTTATAATCTTTCATATATTCGCACAAAAGCACGGGACGGGGAGGAGATGATCAACACGCCTCCCGTGCGGGATTTTACCCAATCTCAGTAAGCGATCACAAAGGCCCCACTGTGACAAGTGGGTCTACTTACACCTCATATCCTCCTTCCGTCTTGACGATGGGGGGGGATTGAAAAGTAGATACATGTATATAACGAGCAACTGGTCCAAACACTCTGCACTGTAGGGAATTGACCAAATCCTAGATATCGGTGCTTTTGCATGGGGTGAAGATAAGCATTGTGTATGAAATGGAAGAGCCATTTGCCACAGGAACCTTTGGAAGCGATGTCCAAGACGATCTACACTGAAAGCATTTGAATATCACCCTATCACAAAACCATCAATGAAGCTTCCAGCATTGTACAGTAGACAGTATGAGAAAGGTGGTACCTACAGGCCGATTTTCCTAGGCAATGCAGTCTTCAGCTCGTGTGGACCCTCAGCCCCGGGCGAATATGCCCAAGAACTGATTGACGGTCTGCAGTGAGGGATTTTTCTTCGCCCCCAATCTGGCCCACCTTAACGTAGAAATAATTGTAAAGATCGCCCTACCAATCTTAGAAGGTTTTATGAGCCCCATTTCCTGGCCCCCAATACCCATAAATCTGTGACCCACATCTACATGTAGCCGATAGAGATACCCCAGAGCCTACCCGAGGTTCATGCTCAGCTTGAGTCGGAGATCTGGAATTCCATCAATGGCGAGAAATCTTTTGACTCTAATTCTCTCCTTCACATAGACACTTTACGCAGTCCTCTTTAAACATGACCATGAAACATTTCGACGTCTTTGAACATAAGGTGCTATCCTCCTATGTGCGCGAGTACGCCGGAGCAACAATTCTTAATCAGGAAGAGAAGCTTTATCTTCCCGTCAAACAATACGTCCCACAACGAGGTCATGTGAGCACCGCGAATGTCCCCGCAGTCACGATCATTGCGGCCGCTGCTATCGGCCCACCCAAGGAAGTTTACGAGCCTGTTTGGGAGGCTCTTTACGAGCAATCTTCAGCGCTTGGCTTCAAAATCGGCAGCATCTGGATAGCGGATCCGGTCAACATAGCACAAGGAGAATGTCTCAACCATGGAAAATTGGGCGAAGATCCCTCATGGATGGACCATAGCCGGGACCTCATGCAGATGATCAACCAATTCCGCGATCAGATGCCTCGCCCTCTCATGGGAATCGGACACAGCGCGGGTGGTGCGCAAATAGCAAACATAGCATTCATGCACCCTCGTTTGCTATCAAGCCTAATTTTCCTCGATCCGGCCATCCTCAAGACACCCCCGACACCTTTCAGAGAGCATCCTGTGTTTCATAAATTCATTCTCGGCCGGCCTGCCTCGTGGCCGTCGCGCGCGAAAGCAGAGGCCTCGCTCACGAAATCCCCCAATTATATGACCTGGCACCCGCGTTCCTTACAACGGTTCTTTGAGCATGGTCTTATTGAACTCACAGAGGCAAACCCGCAATTAGAGGACTCGAGCAAGGAAAGGCCCGTCGCTTTGACTACCTCCGTGGCACAGGAGATACACTATATGGGCAGGAGATCTCTAACACAGCGACTAGCTGATGGAACATTGATCACAAATTATGAAGAAACGCCGGATCTCGATCCTATAGATGCTGAACGGGATGACCCTCTTTATCGCCATGAGATGCGTGCCACATGGGACCGGTTACCGGAATTAAGGCCGTCAGCGAAGTTTATTCTTGGTGGCAAATCATATACCCCTTTGCATGAACTTCAGGAGGGTGCTCAGAGGTGCGGTACTGGGCGGAGTGGCTCAGGGGGCGCTCAAAAAGGTCGCGTATGCCAGGTGGTGTTGAAAAAGGGATCACATTTCTTCCCAATGGAGTTGGTTGACGACACTGCAAAGGAGTGTGCGACTTGGATATCGCAAGAAGTACATCGGTGGGTCAAGCAGGAGCAAAAATTTAGAGAGGGGATTAAGCAGCGCCTCCAGAATGGTGATCGTATTGGCGAGGAGCTTGCGCCCTGGATGAGGGAGGTGATGGTTTCATGTGCTGCTATAGGGAAGGCCAAGGCAGCACAGGCAGCAAAGTCAAAGATCTAGATAGACTTGAAGGTAGAAAGCAAAAGAGGATCTGAATAAGACTATTCTCAAGCTCTGGAACATTTGAGGGTATCTCGGACCCAGCAAAAAAAAAAAAAAAACACGAAAAATGGTGACGCAGACCCAAGAGAAAATCATCCACCTGATGGGTCATGCTCTCCGCTCCACCCTTCCCGTATATCTGCAAACCAGTTCGTATGGAGCAAAGAATCAAGTTGGATATGAACAGACATATTTGTTATCTAAAGAAAACAGATCAAAGAATAACGTGACTCCTGTGGATTAACTCCACTCTTAGCCACTCCAAAGCATACCAGAGCGAAGGAAATCCTGGCTCATGATTAAACTGACATCCGCGCTCCGAAACTGCATCATGTCCTCCCGGCGCAGGCCACGCAACTGCTCACGACCCGCAGTTGACAAAAAGTCTGTGTGAGACTGTGACTGGAGCTGATCAACCAGAGAAGACCTGAAACTTTGAGGCCGCACCTGGTTCGCGGCTGGGTTTCCGCCTGGAGTGTCCTTGATTGCAAGGCTGGAGTGACGGGGAGTAAAGGCCGGTAGATGGCCGAGAGACTCTATGTCCGTGGAGGAAGTGCTCGAACCGAGAGCTGAACCGTCGAAAATGCGTGGATCAAGGTCGCCTTCTGTTTGACGGTGGGCGACGCTCTGAGTGGTGGTGACCATTTGCCCTTTCACAATTGTCTGGTTCTCGAGCGCAGTTGTATGGTTGGCCATTGTCGTAGTAGATTTGCCAATCCATAGCATCTGCTCATGCTCTCGAAGGTACCGGGCACCGCTGAAAGACTTTTGCACAATCTGGCGAGTTTTCATACCCAATTCACGACGTTGCTCGGTTTTCTCATACATTCGACGGGTGATTGCCGTAACCTCCTCGGCTGTGGGTGATGAGCTCAAGATTGGTGCAGACTCATTATCTCCACTGTATTGGCTCCATTCACCTAGAAGGGCCAGCATGGAGATTTGAGCCCTTGCCAGGGCGAGGGCATCATTTGGTGCGACCACCGCACTAAACCGAGAGAAATCATCTGGATCGCTGAGAACACGAAGTGAAGCACCCACGTCTGTACAGACAACAGGTGCCCCAGTCAAAGCTGCTTCACCAAGGGCAAGGGGTAGACCTTCCGAGAGGGATGAGTTCAGGAAGAGCCATGTTTTTTCCAACACTTTCATGGGATCTGCAGTGCCACGCAACGTAACTCGGCCACGAAGACCCTTAGAGGCGATGATCTCCTGACACTCGGTTGAGTAGGTTGGTGCTTTGTCGATGGCACCGTAGATGTCTAGGTGGTAGTCATCAAATTTCCACTGGTTAATGATGATATCGGCAGCAAGTAGCGCGGTTTTGATATCCTTGGCATACCACACGTGAGATAGCATCGTTACTGTCGGGCGCTCGGCTTTGATCTTCTTCACTGGTGTGAACTTCTGCATGTCTGTGATCCCATTGACGACAGGGTCCACCTTGCGACGGAATTTGTTACGGTGCTCAATCTCGCCCTGGCACGTTCCAATCTCAATTTCCCATCCCGGGTTAAAGAAATCAGCACATGGAAGAATGACATCCGCGTGATGAAGGGTCAAGACAGATGTGATGCGTATCAGGCCAAGAAGGGCATTCCGCACAAAGGGGGAAAGTTTAGACAACGCAGACGAGAGACAGAGGTTCGTTTCTCGCCAGGCGATGGCGTGGTCCCAAATTTGTAGCGTACAGCCCCTCTTGATCTTGCATACCACGCCATAGGAAGCACTCACACTGTGATGTGAAGCCTGAAAAACATCGGGAATCTTTTCGGGGACTGGAATCGAGAAAATGAAAAGATAGCGGTACCATAGCTCTAAAGCAACATCCAAGGAGGGCAGTGTTGGAAGCTCAGTGTCAAACCACTCGGTAGATGGAGTCGCATTTGGCATTTCTTGGGTGAGCCAAAGATCACGCCAGGTTTGTTTGACAAGCTCACTGTTCCAAACTTGCGACCAGTGCCGTGATTCTTGAAAGTACGTATTGAGATTGACAAGCGCCCTTGTGGCTTGATGGATATCAGCTTTGGAAAGGTTTACTGTGCGTGCTCCTTTCACTAGTGTCGTCAGTATCGGGATGAAGTTCATCCTGATGTCGAAATTGCTTGCTGTGGAGACAACATCTACTTCCGAATCCAACTTATTGTGTAACAGACCGTGTGTTGGCGTCAGAAAATCCAAGCCCCAGAGAGGAATTATCTTCAGAGATTCCACATTTTGCTCCGTCTGGTGTTTTGGAATCCCAAAATCGTTCGCTGACTCGCAAAGCATATGCCATCTGATGGTGCGCAAGGAGTTCACCATATCACGTCGACAGGCGGAGACACCTCCGCCCTCGTTGGGCCACGTACCGGTGTCGGCAGCCATCACATGGAGAGTACTGTCATTGTCAGAAGACATTTCCTTAGAACGCCTTGTGATAACGGCATCACCACCCGGCCCAAAGTTGAAAAGATCACTCATTTTGACTGCCAACGGAGTCCAACTGGAGACATCGTCATTCAAGTCCGCACTAGCCATCATGGCATCCGCGTGAAGATCTAGATATTCTTTGGCTGCAGATAGATTTCCCCTGTCACGACTGCGCCAGTAAGGGGCGAGAACACTATCTCGCCGCAAAATCCGATCATCCATCCACCGGACGGTAACTCCGTCCAAGTCATCACGATCCTTCCATGCCTTCCACATCAAAGATCGAGCCCGGGATGTTGATACAGAGAAGTGCTTCTTTGTCAGTCCCAAAAACCGGGTTATGGCATTCGACCTGAGACTTTCACAAGAGGATAGGGGGTCATCATGGACGAAGCTGGTATATTTTGGCTTGGAAAGAATTCGGAAGGAATCATGTTCGACCATAGGAGGCGTTTTCACCTCAGTTCCATTGATAGTGGTGATAATGGTAGGATGAAATTTATGATCATACATCCAACGACTGTGGAAGACATTGGTACCTTGTGAAAATGTTGCTTCGGTCACCCTTGAATGTGGGATCCATCGGTCAACCTTCTCAGCATAGTGAAGAGGAGGTGCACACCAAGATACAATGCAAGAGGTATGAGGCATGACAAATTCGGCCCGAAGGAGGTCGTCATCAGATTGGGGATTCTTTCGATAATGGTACTTGAATCGGACGAGAGTACCATCTTTGATGTAAGACCCACTTTCTATGAGACCCTCGCGGTTGTATTGAACACTTTGGAGGTTGTTATCGCCTCGTACACAACGTCTTCCAAGTGGAATGCGCACGGCCGCAGGTTTACCCGGCTTGACGCTCATTTTGGAGGGAACCCTGTGGTCAAAGTGGTATTCGTTAAGCAGAATTCCGTCTTTGAATTCTTGCTTGCTGAGAAGCAGCATGTCGTCGGAGTAAGTACTGCGGCACTTAAGCGCCTTCGAATCCAAGGGCTCAAAATTGTGGTCGCCAACATACTGATTAACCTCCAGGATACCGTCAGTACTTGCGTGTTTGAAAGCTGTAAACGTGCCATCGAGATTTTCGATGGTAATCCGGCTTTTTTTAATGTGTATGGTCACGCCTGTGGCCTTCTTCCACAGCTGCTGCACATTCATGCGCCTATGTAATAAGAACAGCCAAAGGCCAAAGTCCTGCATAGTCTTGGCATAAACCCAGACCATGTTCAAAAGAAATACCACGGGCACGCGAAAGAACGTCGGCAGGGATTGAGTGACATGATTGAATTCTCTCTGGAACTCAGGATCGGCGACCAAGGCAATCATAATGAACTTGCTTATCAATCCAAGCTTAGTATAAATCAAGCTGAATGGAGAGCATACTAAAGAGACCGGACTTGAAAGTCTCCGGGGCAAATATTGGGTAAATTCAGGAGTCTTAAAGTCTCTTGAAAAGCGGACTTCGCCTAGCCCAATGCGAGGATATGCGAGGATGCTGATTGCCGTGGCGACTCTGAGATTGCATCTTGCTATATGCAAATCTATGTCGTCGGTTCCAAAATGAGAAATGCTCTCTTTGAGGGCTTGCCGTTGGCTCTCAGTGAGAATACAAGGCTGACCCAGGCAGCGGCTCAGCAATGCAGTTCGAACCCCGATAGGCAATTTATCCCAGTTAACATCCGGCTCCAATCCGAAGCAAAGGTGATGAAGAAGTTCTCTCTTGGCCCAATGTATAACAGCAGATGAATTTTCTTCCCCATGGAGCTGTGCAGTCATGGTTTGCGTTAAAGCGCTGGAAACAATTCCTTCGGCCAACGCTGCGTGCTCATGAGGAATACCCATGGTCATCTCGGCAACAGAGTGAATTAAAGTCTCTGCAATAATCTTGCAGTTGGTTGAAATATCCAGTCGCTGATCATGAATACCATCGATACCAATGAATATCATCAGCTGGCTTTCGATGATGCAGCTCAAAGCTCGGACTCCCGGTGGAAAGGAGCTATGTGATACTAGCTCGACGTATATATCTCCTTTATCCCAACCAGAGATGACGTTATCAATTATCGATTCCGAGTTTGGGAAAGCTTCCCTTATTCGCAATTCTTGGCTGTGAGATGACAGAGCGCTTTTGACCTCTACTGCAGGGTGGGCCGCAGGGTCAAGGCCAAACCGGTCATCTTCGGGTAAGAGTAAGATGGAGTCAAACAAACTTTGGAGCTCTTGTTGCGACCATTGAGCATCTGCCCAAGGGGCAGTGAATGCGTGAAAAGTGTGTCCAAGTTTCACGAGAGATATGCTTTTGGGAGGCATCCCCAATCTCGCGCTGCAGAACGACAGCAAGGCAGAAGTCCAAGTTGCAACTCCGAGGCCAATAATCTCCGAGTAAATAAAGTCAGGAAGACATACTCTGAGAGCGATTGCAACTGGAAAGCCCATGCAAATTCCGACAATTAGAGGTTTGAGTGCATACGGCCCAGCGAATATCTTTGTATATTGGTACCAGATGAGACCTGTATAGGATAGCACATAGGCGAAGAAAATAACCATGCCTTCCACGGTGGCTTCGAAGGTCCACAAGAGAGCCGTGGAAATTGCAAGACTCCAGACATGCCAAAGCAGGAATTTGAGGAGAGTTCTCCAGTAAATCTTACGTCGGAACTGCACGACTCTCTTCTGCGAGGCATGAATATCATCTTCTGTTTTTATTGCATTTGGCCTTTGGCCACCAATGGTCTCGTGAATCTCCTGTGCCTTGGTATCAATCAGAATGGCACCAATCAGGTAATAGGCTAGCGCAAAGCCGGCTGCCTTGCGATTGACATCCGTCAAGGCCCCACTTAAACCAAGAAGGTGGCCACGACACAAGAGCTGCGTCCACTTATCAAGCAGAGCAACAACAAAATATAATGCACCGCAACCAATGTCATTGCTTGATTGACGCCAGTGGATAAATGCATTGTGCAGTCGCAGGCCCTTCTGTGAACTCCGTAAAGTCTCCAAAGCGACCTTTGTTTGGATATTCCAGCTTGAACTGAATGGAATGGGCTTTGGGATATCTGCATATCGGCAATACCAGTCCAAAAGAAAGTTGGTTGACTCCCAATCCCGGGCAAGGTCTTTGACCAATTGATCAGTCGTTGATTTAGAGAGAATACTACGCGATCTCTCTGATAAGACATTCTCTAATAGAGCTTCTCTGGCCAACTTGAGCACGCCTGGATCACTCATGTTGGCGAAGACCTTCTCATTGTTGTCACCATGGGTAGCAATGTACCATTTGCGGATTTCATAATCGTCAGTCCGTCGAATCGATTGATACCAGGTCACCCACTTGGAGGTCGTTGAGCGTAGGCAGAGAAGAAGCACTCCAATACAGAAGTATAAGACAGCAATGTAGATAGCCGAGTCATTTCCAACGAAGGTGGTGATGATGGGTGACAAAAACAATATTGGTATAGACATTATGATTGCCTTGCGCCCCGAGAGGAATGGAGACCCTGGGTAGCTGAAGCTTGCGAGGCAAGCAAAGGTCGAGAAGTAGATTGTCAGGGCGACAAGATAAAGATAGAAAACAATACCCGCACGGGGTGTTTTGACAGCAGATATTGCGATGAAGCCAACCAATCCTCCCGCTACTGTAAAGGCAATACCGGCAATTAAGCGGATAAAAACAAACATATTCGCAGCAGCAAAAGCCATTGATATGAGGTAGTACGGACCACCACATGCAATCCATGTACCAATAGCGCCCGATAAAAGCAGAGAGATTAACAAGGCTATCGTAGCACTGTCTTGCTCTTCATACGTCATGTATGCAGACAGATATAGGCCCCGTCCGATGATGCTGAGAAGAATGATGTCAATCAAAGCGGGAATTGCAAAGACACCCAAGAAGGTGAATCGCTGGTAAGGCCTTATCGGCTTCGCTTTCTCATCTGGGTCGACATCAATCTGAGCTCCGGCGTAGGTGGTTGCGAGTTCGGGTGCCCCATTAACCCAATCGGGAGGCTGATTCATGTTATAGTATGCCCGAAATCGATCAGAAAGAAGCTTTCCAAAGACACTCGGGGAAACGTCGAAATAGGCCTCACATCTTGAGCCAAGTGCAAATGATTCAGCGAATGAAGCAGCCTGGTCCGACTGATTGTTGAGTAAGGGGTTGCGGTCTGTCACTTCGATGTAAATTTCATCGAAGGCACCTTTCCTCGCAGCACAGAATAACGCCAATGCTATCATGTCGACATATGCATCAATATGGCCGTCTCTCACTATTTCACTGAGTCCTTTTGTGATGCTAGCAAGATCATCCTCTCGATGAGTCCTCAAAACTTCAGTGAAAACCTGGTCAACCTGATGAAAAAGATCGATGGAGGTTTCGAAAGAAGCATGTTTGCATTGTTGGTCCCTGTACCAGTTGACTCGACGCTCGACAAGGTCTTTAGCAGAGACAGATTGTTCCAGGTACCGGACAGTGTTGCTTTCTTTCAATTGAGCCAAGGAAGGGGCATCCAGTAGTTTTGTGCGGATGTAAGATAATATGCTGTCTAATGTGTGACTTTCGGAATTCGTAAGTGACAGATGCTGCAATAGTAATATCCGTTCTTCTGGGCTGAGATCATCGATATCCTGAACCAGTCGGCGAGGAAGACCGAGGTTTGGATAAAGATCTTGCGACCATTTCGCGAATGCTGTTTCTGCTTCAAAACATGCATGACGGGAGAGTCCCTTTGCAGATAGGAAAGTATGAAGGATGGTCCCAGCTAGACCCTGTGCGTTCTTGGATATAAAGATCTCACAGCTGTCGCTTTCGATTTGATGAACAGCCCAGAATCGAGTTTCTGGGGTTTTCCTAAGGCCAGAGTCTAGCGCAAGGTTAACGTGCAGTGCATCACTTAAAGCCAAATCAGAAAGCTGTTTGACTGAGGCTATAAGCTGTCTGTCATCACTCGAATCCACCAAAGTCGCGTGGAATTCCCCGAGCAGTGCTCCAATCTCCTTGACCTTTCTCGTGGGAACAGGATCAAGGAGACCCAAATCTTTTAGACGTTGCTGGGAGTTCAGGATTTCAGAAAATGCAAGAGCGTTGGGATCTGAGCCCAAAGGAAAACAACCAAGATGGGTGTACTCTTGTCCATTTACTGAAACAGACAATGAATTTCCCTGTGACTTTCCATGCGCACTCCAGTCTGGGGGGTCACGGAGGAGGAATTGTGGTTCTTCTGGATATATTTGCGCATCTGCGGTGGATCCAAGAAATCCCTTAATTGAAGGGAAGAGACGTTCCAGAATGAGCCACCCCGCTTTTCCACCAGAGGGTGAGGAGATGCCAGAATTTGAGCGCCAGACTTCATGAGTCTCCATTATCTTCGCTTCTTTCAGCCAACCAAAAGCGGAAAGCGGCTCAAGGATTGGCGTGTTCAAATCGGAGTTCTGAAGAGCAGACTCGGTGCCTATCCATGGAATCGCACTATAGAAGTTCGACCACTGAAGCGACCTTCGAACAACAGCATTGGACAAGACTGCATCATCAGTCACTGTTTCCCACACAAGAACAACAAAGTTTCTCGAGCAAGCCTCGGAAACACAAGCTTTGATGGTTGACTGGAGAGTGGTCATTTGAAAATAATCGCGCTTCTCACCCTCGCGCAATATGCTGGCATTCCGAATCACCAGACCAGACACTGCCCTGGTTTGCAAAACAGTTTTATTTTGCAAAAAGCCCGGTGGCTGTGTTTCCAAATATACAGCCAAACCAAGGTTGGTTATAATTTCAAACAACTTTTGCTGGACGGAAAGACTAAAGATAGCCTCCCAGTTGGCGAGTAGAACGCCAGAAAATGCAGTTTTGCTCAATCTGCTGTTCAAAGCATCCTGGATTTTTTCAATCCTTCTCACTGTGTCATCTTCTGGGTAACCAAGCTTTGCGAGGTCAAGTCTTGCGAGTACAAAAATCCGTTTACGGCTGCGAATGGCTTCTGCGACATCGGACTGAAATGGATCCACGACCAGAGTATCCCAACGCTCCAACAGTCGCTCTTGTGTTTCTGTGAGTGGGTTTTCAAACTCTCCAAGGTATACGCCAAATGAAGACGGCCGATGGCTTTCAGATCGAATACTGGTAAGTTTGAGGTCTTCGGAAGCCAGTTTCGCAAGACACAGAGAAACCTCGGAAGGCACAATATCTACTTGTGGTTTTGACTGTAGCAGCCTCATGGTCAGTATTCAAGTCTCAATGAAGCCTTCAACAACCCAGGTTGGAGAATGTGGTATGAATTTACCTTATAAAGTTTGTAGATCCTCAATGCCACGGACCAGAGAACATATACACATCCAATGGTGATACATGCGAGCAAAACTCCGATTATGACCTTTATATTGTCAGTGTCGTGCTTCCATGCCAATGATCAGGCCAAGGTGCTACTTACAAACTGCCACCAATGGCTGTTCATTCCACCCCAACCTACAGGGTGTACAGGAAGAATCTCTGCCATGTTTATGGGAATCCAGCTTCCAGGATTTTAAAATTCCTGAGCTCCGAATATCCAATAGAAGTGTTGGATATGGCGTATAGCCGGGTCTAAGGGGTCTTCCCTCTCTCAAGTCCTGTTCATGCAGGTACCATTTTCATTCCTTCTGGTGGGAAAACACCACCGTCAACGAGTAGAGACGCTAGAACCACGAATGGTTGTTCCAGGCAATTGAAACGTTGAGATCGAATCCTATATCGCGAATGCGAAGGTGATAAAAATTCAGATTTTCGCCACAAGTCTCCGGGCCGACCTGCCTTGGCTAAGGATAAAGCTGTGCTTCAAACAGAATGATTCTCTTGCTCTTTTAATAGTTCGTAATTCATAGGCAAAATATCATAACAGCCGATGCCCGAAATAATGATGACAGCAAGCGTTCAAATTTTTTTACGCACTAATGATGATAGGTGGTGGGGTCGTTCGCGGGGCTGCGGCTCCTCTCCGACGTATATCCGGCGAATCCCCCAACTTCCACTCGCGGTACTGAAGGCTTAAAGTCACCGTACCTAAGTTCAATTTCATCTACAATTTGCTGGGAAATCCTCCGATATCAAGTGCCGTTGCAGATCAAAAGTATGCACGACCGGGGCATACGGAACAGGGTGACCTCCACAGTGTCTGCGTCGGACCCACTAAACAACTTTTTTTTTTCACAATAATTCAGTTGGTGTTCGCTGGTTCAATTACTGGATAATACTTGTCGCTTTTCATTTTTGGTTCGTTCAGCACCAGGATTAAACCTTCACGAGCCCCGGGGCCACAGTCATGAATACCATTGGACTTTGAGAATGGCAAAGGATTGTGGGTATGGAGTACCCACTTTATCGTTTTTTACGTATGAGCTGCCAATCAAATGTAGTATAATTTAAGAACAGAAACATGGATTCCAAAATTCTGTAATATAACCACGCTGAGCATGGGGAGTCGTAAATTTCGTGGCCAGCCACATTATGCCTTGTCCAGTCCTGGAGGACGTGGCCAGTCTCTATATATCTATGGATCTAATGTGTGTATCATAAACAAAACAGGATCTAATGTCCCATTTCTCCAAATCGTAAAGCTTCTGCATCGCCATCTCATCGCACGATGCTCACGCTTCTGCAGCTGTCAAGGTCTTGGGCCTTCCATACCACTGCTCATGCATATCGAGCCTCAGGGACTCGTTTTCGAGAATTTCCGAAAGCTCGAGAGTGGTTTCTCGGAAGCTTTGGCCCACGTGGACCATTCAAGCCCTGCCAAGTTCTCTGGGCAAGGTTTATATTCCCGCATGTGGAGACTTGGGCCAGATCATCTAGTCTGCACTGGGCGTCTGTGTAGGTTTGCAAAGTGTGTCTTCCGGACCAGCCGGTCATGTTCGTTGGATTCCGGTTTTATCCGCGGGGAATGGAGGGTTTGAGTGAACAAGAGTAAAATCCCAGAAGGCAAATAATTGAACAGTTGCTCCTCGGCGGATGATGGCTCTGCTGTGAGGTATGAGAATGTTCGTAACTCAAGAAGGAAGGATTGCTCATGAGAGTGTTCCGTATGTCCTCCTTCCAGCATTCTCGCTTTGCTGTCGTTTTCTTGTTTGTGCAAGGTAATTTTGGATATACTTCCACTGAGCTGCAGAGTTGAAGTAATCCACAGAGCCATATTGTTGAGAGAAAGAGGTTTCTCTAACCCAGGCATTGATCACTTCGCTCTCTGGTGCGGAGATTGCGATAATCGAAGGCTTTTCAATGATCTTCTCAGTGGGTGTAGGGGGCGTGGGAAGGGGATTCAGTTGACGCGCTAATAGAGTTGCTCTGTCGTGCATGCAGTCAAACTCGTCCAGGATGTCTTCTCCTATCAACTCTTCAAGAATGTCCTCTCGCGTGATAATTCCAAGAACCAGGTTCCTCTCCTTCTGACTGACCAGAACCATGTGGTGAGTACCTTCTTGAAAGATCTTCAAAACATTCAAACAGTTCGTCCTTGAATGTATGGTCGGAATTGGAGACCAGTCAAAATCGCACACCCGTTTGCATAACTTGGGGTTGTATCTGACCAGTTTCCTTGTCACAAATACGCCGAGAATATCCAAGCGGTTGTTGGGGGCATGCACAAGAATCCGGGAATATCCTTGAATCCTGATCCGGTCAATTGTGTATTCGTCCAAGACTGTATCGGCTGATAGAGAGTAGACGTCTTCGATGGGTGTCATGATGCGTGTGGCAGATTTGTCGATTATCCCCAGAGCACCATGAATAATCTTCACTTCGTCGGAATTAAGGCGTTCTTCGGGGTTTCCCAATACTGTGTGAAGGGAGAACAAAGCCTTGAGCCCAGGCCTCGTAAACCCGGTGGCATCGTGATCTCCGACGAGGGCATCGAGCAACTTGGCAATGGGCCACGCAATCGGGGCAACAACATTCATGAATATGGAGACATAAGGCACCATATACGCACCGACTGTGAGTGAGTGACGGGCGCAAACGGATTGTGGAATGACGTCGCTGAAGATCACGACGAGGGCAGTACTTGCCAGTACTGCTAGCCCGCCATCGAGGAATTGGTCTAGCACAACAGGTAGAGCCTCACTGGTTATAGCGTTGCCGAGAAGTAGGGCCACAAGAATCCAATGCTTTCCTCGTTTCAGAAGCGCAATGACCTTTTTGGCGTTGTGTTGATCGGCGGGTTCGGCGGAAAGTTCAATAACACGGAGATAAATATCATCTTGAGTCATCAAGGCGATCGTCAAGCCTGAAAAGGCCCCGCACAGGAGCACGAGCACAGCTGAAATGCACACATGTAGCCATAAACTTGGATCTTCCATTTCCTTTGGTAGAGAGAAGAACAAGTGAGGAAACTGACCGGCGGCAAATAACGGATTGGACGCCGTATATTAACGAAATGAGTAAAATTTTACGTATGACACCCAACTAGCCATACATGGGCCAGAATGTTTGGAATCAACGGCTGTCTCCATATTATTTGCCTTCGATCCCTTTCATACTGTGTCCACTGGGTCCAATTCTAACCGCTTGAGGTTAGATGTTTACCATTTCTTACCATTGGGTATTCCGCTGACGAGGCTTGTTCTAGAACCCATAGAAGGGAAAGAGTATCGACGCACATCTGATTTACTGCGCCGGAAAGTACCGAAATGAAAAAAATTTCACTTTCGATCGGTTCCTTACCAATCGGAGTCCGTGCCATGTAGTTTATTATTCCTGGCTTGCATTGAATAGCGCCTGTCAGCCTTTCAGGGATATTTAGTCGCGCGTGGCGCTCTCAAGACTCTTCTCCTGGAATACGGAAATTCTTGAACTTCAGTGCTAGAAGGGTAATGTTTGACAGTCTCCGCCAATCCACTGTTATGAGGGCCAGTAGATGTACCACGGGGTAAGAGACTCATCCCTCAGTGGCTGGCTGGGCGGGCAAAGTGGAGCTTAGGACTTAGCCGAAACGTCTATGATTGGGTACATGGCAGGTAAGTGGAGACGTGCACCAATGGGGGCGGAGACTCTTACTTTGTACCTTGGGAAGTACTACAGGGCTTAGATATTTATTTTTTTCTGATGGTTGAACCAAACCAGCACACAATTTCCTAGAGCTTGAATAGTGTGTCGCTTCACGTGGGCCTTTGGTTCTAGGGGTTTAACAACTTGATCCATGGATGCCACACGGGACGCCCGACAGTGTCCACTGACGGTGGCGTACATGAGAACATCGCTGGATTACGCTACGGGTTCAATCGGGTTAATCAATGCGCGCCCTGTAGATCGGAGGCATGAGTCGCACGACCACCTTCTCCTTTGAGGTTAGAAGTACAATATTTGGGGAAAATCTTTCCTGATACGCGTCCAGTACGCTTCGAGCCATAGCTAATGTACCGAAGTCCATTTTCGATGCCTGACGATCCACTATGAAACTTAGTCAACTAATGCTGTCCATATACAAAGGCAGTAGGATGAAAAGGGTAAGACATTCCGACGGAAACAAATTTGGTGTTTATTCATCAACCTCGCGCAAAGACCAGGGGCTGATATTGATCTAGGTCTCCGTTCCCAACCATGTCTCCTTGCAGGTATATTCAGTCAACTTAGCGAGTCCCTTCCATTGCCAGACCTAGAATTATATATTCCATAGGTAAGGGAGGTCCGCGTTTCGCACATGGGCAAGGGTTAGATCAGAATCCCATTGGACCACGCTAAATTGATCCACCTGATTTTCAATGGTGTTGACCTGCAGCGACTATGTGGATCAGTATCTGACATTCTAAACACATGTAGAGTTCTCATTGAATACTAAGGTGACTTCCGTGTTCCGGACGCTTGGAGGAAGATAGTGCGCCAGTAAATGTAATCTCGGACGCATTCCGCTCGGCAAATAAGCAACATATCTACCGTGTCTACAAGCAGCAATTCACGAATAGCGAAATTGATGAGAGGAATGTTTGTGAGTGTCGTAAGCTCAATAAGCGCTAAAACTAAGAGTAGCTAAGTCAGAAGCTAATATCTTATTCCAAGGTTGGAGGCCGGCACTTCCACTCTCAAATGTTGGCAAGGTTGGACAGGGCATTTAAGATTCCGAGTCATATATATCTTCCCTATTATCATCTCATTTAGTAAACTTACAGACTTCATTTTAGCGAATTGATCATAGAAGGATGTTCTTGGTTATTTCCATTAGAAACTGTGGGTGCTTCCAAGTCACTACTCAACATTCGTGACTTGCTCGACACGAGGTCGAAGCAGACCTCGAGAGTGATGGGGAACATCTCATGACCCTCGCGCGGCAAGCATATTTTTTTTTCCTTGTGTACTTGTGTCTCTCTTCGGTTTCTCCTGAGGTCCCCCTTTCCATGGTTCTCTACTCAACCCAGCCCTTTATTACATCCTTTTTTTGTCCCAAATTGGGGTGCAAAGTAGACAGTGCTCAACCTCTCTTATCTACCGGCTACCCCCTGATCGAGTTTGTACGCGATCTCACAATATCAAGCTAGTAGGTTAAAATCTAGTGGAAATATTATTATCAGACTCTTGTTTAGAAACCACTCCGTCTGATAAAGTAGCAGAGTTTTGTCTTGTTCCCGAAAAGTCTTTATTTAAATATGCCATGAAGCTTTGTAAGTGGTCGATACGCGCGTCCTCCTGAAGCCGTTCAGACTCTTTGCCAGTTGAAGAAGTTATTTGACAAACAGGCACCTTTTCCTGCCCAAATTGAGCCACCACACATGTCCACATGGACAGGTTAGTGGCCGCGTCAAGCATCCGGGCGAAACCCACAAAACGTTTCACACAAGGAGCGGCAAATTGATCCAAATCCGAGCATGAGTCCCCAGCACCCAGGTGGAAGATGCCCATGCTCAGATTCAGGAAAGGATGCCCGGGGATTTGCACAAGACACGAATCTCTGAATTCCAGTGCAGCTGAAGCTGAAACTTTTTTCAGTCGATGGCGATACTATTCTCGCAAAGCCAGCGACCGCGGTTGCGGTGCTCCACACGGACCGTTGCGGCAGTCCCACTGCTTCCAGATCGAGATAGTAACTCTCAAAGTTCATTGAATCTTGACAGGACTACTAAAAATAAAATTATCGACCATTAAATAAATGCGTGTTATTGTATGATAGAACATATTAGCTGGCTCATCATCCTAGAAGATCTTCGAAAACATGGCGTTGCGGGTGAGGTATTGTTTCACAATGATCATGTCTCGTTCGTCATTACAAACTCCCCAAGCACGCGTATAGTCTATCCCGTCTTAGGATCATATGCAGCTTTATTTAGAGCAATGCTTGTGGAAGATCCTCTTTTCAAACCTCTTGTGAAGCATACTAACCTTGATATCGGCAGTGATATTCTACCGCAAATGCACTTTGATATCGCCAAGTTTGGAAGCGATGTACTTGCCCAACTCTGGCGAGAAGGAAAATCGAAACAAGCACCTCTCGCCTCAAGCAGCTGTCCTCCTTATGCTACCATACAGGAAATAATAAGTCATGTCTTCTTTCATGAGTTCAGGTAGTGGAGGTTTCATATAATGGCACATGGACTGTCTCCTTCTCGCCGGGATCAGGAGTGCTTTTGCCTTACTCCTTTCTGCCTCCTGTCAATCGTTCAACTCATTGCGAAACACATCACATGACGAGTCCTGAATTGGAAGTGTGGGATTGGTATGCACTGGATGCTTCATTTGTCTGTCAATTATTTGTTTAAGAAGGAGCGATTTTCGAGTATAAACCCCCCCCTTTCTTTCTCGAATTTCATTCTTGTTCTTCCTTATTCCTCTTCTCATTCCCACTCTTACAAGCCGCAGTTTTTCAGCTCCATCAAGCTCAATAGAAAAAGAGTCGAGAAAGAAGAAAAATTGTTAATGAAACAATCCCATAAGCATCAAAGCTTCTGGCGAGAAATAAAGCCAGAGGCCTTCGTACTGGACGTGTCTATAACAAGCGCAAGCACTGGTCTGATATGAGTCTTTAATAAGGAGTAAGTACCAAATCAAAAACAATGTGAATGAGCAAGGGAGATAGAGAGGGAAGACGAAGTCCAAAAGAAGAGAGAACCATTTTCATCATCACGAAAGGCACTAAGCCTAAAACCAATTGGAAACAGTATCAGACATCCTTGATATCGTGATGACCGCAACCAATTCGGGTTCGCCTTTCCCTTCCCTGATGAATCATTATGTACTTCATCAACGGAAAGATGGCAACCACCACTGTGCTGAATCTAACCCACATTGTCTTCCATCTGGGTTGGTGCGTACATCTTTCTGATGACTTCCACGCCTTCTAAGCTTCTCTGTCAACCCTCTTCTGAGAATCCTTCCATATCACCGGCTCTGAGCTGACACTTCTATCGGTGTGCAAGATCTATTGTTGAATTGGAGAGGAGTCCATCACCAACCCTGCGTTAGCATATTCGTGAATATGATTGTTAACTTTCAAGTTCACTTCCTGAAAGCTTGTTAACATTTCTCGGAGCCAGCCTCGGCACTGAGGTTATAATCAGAGCCAGTCCATAATTTGTTTCGCAGAGTGGTTCTGTAATTGGTTTCAAAGGGTCTTCGGGTTTCTGATGAATGCTATCAGGCAGCGTAAAGACCTCATTCAAGTAAACTCCGTAGTCACAAGCCTTTCACCTCACTTTTCACTCGTCCTCTCTCATTTTAACACAAAACGGGCCCGAAGATGCATCATGAAGATGATTTGTTTGAGCACTTATCAATCATATCTAGCATTTACTCTTGGCTGGGGATAATCTCATACTTCGGGGAGGGTCTCTTTATACCGGAGCAGATTTCTCTCTATGCCATGCCTACTTTATAAAGACTCGCGTAGGGGGGAAAGGGACATACCAAATATCCCAATCAGAGAGCACCGAGAAATACTGCACACAGTGGACAGACCTTTTTTTTGCCAAAGGAGTTCTCCTTTCTTGTTATATTCAGCGAGCAGCTGGCCAGCCGCTATGTCTATAGCATATCGCGCAGTTGAATGTTTTACGTCAATAGTATAGCCTAGAAGGCAACGGACATGAAGCCTTTTGTATAAGCAAGGATGGCCTGAATTTGTGCCACCCACAAAGCGGTACTATTGTGTTGTTGTTGATGGTGGGTTAGACCTTTAGATGTTTTATACAATTTTACTTGGGCCAGCATACCCCGATTTACGTTGGGTGCCAGACCAGGTCTCTGCAATCAATGTTCACGGCAAGCAGTCAGTACATGAGCACTCGATGATATTTTCCCATGGCGCCTGACATGTCAGGGATTACTTAAGGCTCAATACGATGTCCGAAAGATATCGGTGAAAATAATCGAAGACCCAGAATTGCTTCAGCTCTGGGGAATGGACTCTACCCGGATCACAATGGAAGTTGCCACACGGCTTCCACGTGCAATTCCTACATATGGCGTGCCAACGCGTTCAAATGTGCTTTGCTAGTCAATCCATGGAACTGACAACGTGGCTAGTATCTTAACATCCTACGCCAAACCAGCCATAAGGCATCGCCACGAAGCTCTAGATTTAGACAGAGTTGGGTACTAATTGATTGAACCTATTGAAGCGGAATAGTTTGCCAATAACAGTCCACACTTGCAGACGCCATTTGCCTTACGAGGGGCTTGAGGTCTTTGTTGGAACCATCTAGCAGATTTAAGACGGCCTTGTGAAAGATATCATTGGTCTGTTTATAAGTGAACATTATTTCCATTTACTATGGAAATGACATTAAAACCGGACTATTTTAGGTATCAAACGAAAACAACTGCCTTCGGATGTTCTTGTTATTTTCAAAACTTGGTAATCTTGAACGTAAACGAATTAGGCTCGGATGACTGCACTGAATTATTTGCCAGCGCATGCATTCGAGATTACCTGTCACTGGGCGTGTCTGACGTCGTGCATAAGATCCCGAGAAAACCCCTGCATCTCGCTTTTTCTGACACCCAATTGACTCTCGTCGTGGTCTGGGAGACCGTTGTCCGTAAGTTTAATTAAAGCATCTAGGGTCCTTTCGTGTTCGGGGACTACATGCACTATGGTCCCTGAAAACCTGACTGAGCTCGGCTGGACTGCCCCCATCAAATACCATATTCTCGGATTTAAAAGCGATCCCGCCTATTTTGAGGCGTACAGTGGATGATTGAGGGGCGCTTGGCATCCCGTATTGGGAAGAGTTGGGTTAGTGTCGGGGTCAGGGCCGAGATGCCCTTTCCGAGGCGCTTCGCCACTTTGTCCCGCCATGGCTTTGTAAATTAGATGGATTAAGCCGACAACTCGAGCTAATGATGCCGAGACTTTCTCCTTGGAGAATTGACTTTCTGGCTGTCAATCCCGCCTAAAAGCTCCCTCAATCGAGAATTTTGATGCCTGAGCCATGGTATGACAGCGATGATCATGTTCATCACTCGGTAGATCAGCATTGGTTCCACCACTTTAATTCATGGCCCTATCCTCTTTTCTGGGCGCACCAAACACCGGGCCCTTACATTTTATCTTGTCCATGAATGGGCGCAACTCCCCTTTGTGGCTCGGCACCTTGGCACCCAGGAATCTAGGCTGCCGGATTTCTTTCTCAGGCTTGTGATTATTTCCCAGCATCCAATCAAACAGCCGCTCTCCCCGCCTTTACTCTGTTCCCACCACGAACGCCTGATCATTGGTCTCCACATGGTACTTCTGGGAGCCTTATGGCTCGCAGGAGCTGGGACTGTCCAATACTGAAGCTGGGCCTCAGCCACCACCCCCAATTCTGCGCTTGGCTACGCGCCTTGGACCCTGAATTTCTTTCTGAGCTTAAAGATGTATATTTCCTCTGGATCCTGGTCATTCAGTTTTACGCCTTGATGACTCCATAACTTGAGCCAATGCGACCAGCAGGACTATCACCTGGTATCGCTTGCACTGAAGGGACAATTTGATTATATTACGCAACATGCCGGCGAAGGGCGGCTGGATGGCTTGGTCTGCCAAAAAGAAAGCTCTCATCTTCGGTCCCATCGGTCTATTGATCATCGCCTTGGGTGTCGGTCTGGGAGTTGGCCTCGGGCTAGGGCTGAAAGAAAGCGGAGGGGATGATGGAAGTGAAGGAAGTGGAGGAAGCGGAAGTGGTGAAACTGGGACTGGAACTGGAAGCGGCAATGGCAATGGCAATGGTACGACAGGAGGAAACACAACAGCGATATGGCAACCAGAAGTGGGCACCAAATGGCAGATCGAGCTGCTCTACGTTTTGAACGACACTTCAGTAGACGCAGACATCTACGACATTGATCTCTTCGACAGCCCAAACTCAACAATCACAAAACTCCAAGAAATGGGACGCAAAGTGATCTGCTATTTTTCAGCAGGCACCTATGAGGACTGGCGCAAAGACGCAGACGAATTCAAAGCCTCCGACTTGGGAGACAGTCTCGAGGATTGGCCTGGCGAGAAATGGCTCGACACAAATTCGAAAAACGTGCGGAAAATTATGCGACAGCGTCTCGACTTAGCTCAGGCAAAGGGCTGCGATGGTGTTGATCCGGATAATATTGATGGATACAACAACAAGAACGGTCTCGGGTTGACCCAGGATGACGCAACCAGCTATGTGAAGTGGCTTGCTTCACAAACACATGGTCGAAACATGTCACTCGGGCTGAAGAACGGGGGCGACATCATTGACTCGGTCATTGACAAAATGCAGTGGTCTGTCAATGAGCAATGCGCCGTTTATAAAGAATGCGACGTTTACTCGGCCTTCATTAATGCCAGCAAACCAGTCTTTCATATCGAGTATCCGAAGGGAGATGATACTAACAACGACAACACAGTATCGACAAAGCAACGGAATTCGGCTTGTAATGCAGCGATTTCTGGCAACTTTTCAACGGTCATCAAGAACATGGACCTGGACAATTGGGTCCAATACTGCTGATATCTATTGATATCGAGTCTGTAAAACCACACATGTACTATTATACTTCAAATTATCCGAGTGTTTCTGGTATCGATCCATAACTTCGCTACTTTGATGAATCAAGCAGTAGCGAAACTTACCTGTTTGCACTTGGATATAGAAGTGGATCGAGACTCGAGATCCCTCAATTTTGCCGAGACGGCTGGGTCAGCCTGCGACCCTTGAAACTCTTGGCAGACTGAGGGGAAAATACTCCTGTCAGAGTGCAATTGGTCAAGTTTCGAGCGGTTTTCCTGACTGTACGCAGATGGTGAGAAAGGCTGCATTAGTGCACGGCATTGTTGCCCCCAGGGCCTTGTACATTGCCGCCTCCAAGAATTTGTTGGAGCTAGTAATTTTCACATCACGGGCATCCATCAGATTACCGGTAATCTTCAAGGCAAGCTGATTTGTCTACCCCTTTGTAACAATATAGCTCTCACCGACCAATGGAATCAGACGTGTCAGAAAGTTGGATCCATCGGAGTATTAACTTTGATTACTCCGTATACTTTCTACTCCTGCATCTCACTACTTTCTACGAAACCAGGGAAACTTCACGAGATGCAGGGGCTGAGGGGGAAGCTAGGGGACTAGCTTGGGGGCGATCCTTTTACATGACCATCTTGGTAACTACTGCAGGGAAAAGGAATTTCACCCGAGACCCAGGCCGGTGAGCTCATAGGGGGGTCTAGCAGGATCTGGGTCTGTTGCGAAAAAAAAAAAGTCTTAGCGGAGAAGTCTTTCCCGTGTACTAAAGCCGGAACCCCCGGGATGGGTGGATCCCACGATGGATCACATCTCGAAGCGATTTGGGCTTTAGACCGACGCCGCTCCGCGAACTAGGTTGATCAATCCTTTTATTGAGAACGCGAACAAAAAGAAAAGAAATCTGCCATGGTTGGGAAGGATCGAGAGCGCTAAGATCAGCGCGCCCCCAATGAGCGGATCTGCCCGGTTCCTATACACAAACCATGGGTGTCCTTTGTGGATCGGTGGAAGAGATGGAGTTCAGATTGATCAGGTTGGAACCGATGAGATGGGCTCCATTGCATCCGTTCCCTCCTTTCTTGGAGGACGATTATTTCCTAAACGGTCATACAATCCTCTGAGATGTTATCCACTAGCTGCATATCGTGGGGCCGAGGAGAAAAAAATGCTTAAGCGAGGTTTATGTCGTGCTCGTTTTGTTTGTCTTTTGCCAAGCGCTTCTAGAATTTGCCACATCAGTCGCTTGCTCCAGACGACTTGACGTGTGGCTTGTTATCTAGTGGCTTTCACCGATACCAGTGGCTCACGGGGCGCGATTCGAGATGGAGATATCCAACGGGGTATTAGTCGCGCATTGCCAATGAACTCTTAAGGCGGGACCCAGGCTATCTCGACTAGCGTGCCAGCGAATACGGAGTCTGCCTATAGCCTCTATATTGAGAACCACTCAAACACCGGTTCGCACTCGCTAACATCAGCCCCTCTTCCAGCCTCTCGATGTGGCCTAAAGGAGACCACCACGGGCGCTAATTCAACTAGCCAAGGGGGCGTCGTAATCCACCAGGGATTAAAACGGGTTTCAAACCCAATGCTCTCACTATCATCACCTTGGGCCGCGAGCTTTGACAGATGCGCAAGACTCATGCTTAATTCGTTCATCGAATACTTTGGTACCGCTCGGAGTAAGTTTCGGCTCAAGGGCAGATCGAGAATCCTTCAATCGCATCGATAGGCAAGGAAATTTCCTCTTTAGTCAATTAGATATTAAATTCTACGAAGGTGTGGCTTCAGCCACTTCTGTCGACAAATCAAGGATTAAGGGTACAGGGGTAATACAGAGATCCGCGATCGCATTTACAGGTACATGTAATGCTTATGCGGTCATCAGCAGGGACGGGCTGTCATGTAACCAAGAATGACGTGAAGATGTTTTCTTTTTTCGAAATTTTAGGTATGCGAACGGGATTTACAGTCCGTCCGGTTTCTCCATTGTTTCTGTGATATTGCAGCGGGGACTCTCGTTATCGGTGGCGGGTACCCAACACGAAGGATCCCGGCCAAATATCATCCCACGGTTTCAATTGTGCTCGCTCGGGTTCAATGCTAGACTTTTAACTGGCGATTAGAACCCAGACCCTATAGATCAGGTTTTGGCGACTGCAGAATGTTGGGTCCTGCATGTCTCACTGAGATCTAGGCGGGGGACGCTGGTTATTGAATACCACTATGGGTCGCGTAGACTAAGAGGATCGTGTTGATTGGGGGAACCAACATAGTGTTACAATTCTGCTGCATAGAACTCTTGTCTACTGCTGGTAGGAAGACCTAGGCTGTAGTGACACAGCCCGTCGATATGGTCGGCATATTGCACCACATCCACCACCTCCAGAGAAATCAGTTTCGGCCGGGGGCGCATATACGTCTATATAGGGTATCTTTATCCAGAAAACGACGGCTAGGACTGCGTTCATATTTAGCAAGAATTGTTCTCCCCAGTGGTTCTCTACATTGATGGCGCCAGGTATCAAATACGGTAAAAGAATGAAAATTACACCAATACTGTTCCGGTCCACATGGCCAAAACAGGAAGACTGGACCGGGATTCCGTGGATTCATTTTCTGTGCCTCCAAATCATTCATGCACCTAATATTTAGCTTTGCGGTAAGGAAACAGGAGGGGTGAGAAGGACTCCACACTGGAAAATTTCTCTCCCACAAGAAGCCGAACATGGATCCATCAACATCCGTTTCCAATTGCTCCAGAACTCGGCAGACTAGCTCACAAAAGATATCTGAAACTCAGATGCTGTTTCAAATAATTGCCAAAATGATACACCCTGGTATGCGTACAAATTTCTTCAAATCATCAGATCGTTGAGAATTCACGATGGGGCCAATTCAATCTCAGCCGAAATCAGATCGACGAACTCGGCCCACTTCGACCCAAACTTAGCATAATAATCGGTGCTAAGGTGTGTGATAAAAACCTCATCGGCAACTTTGCGGACCGTTTTAATTAGATGGTGCAGTTCCGACCCTTCCATACCCTCCGGCACAGAGTGGATCAAGGCAGCGCGCTGGGTACGATCTTTGCCCCGTATTGGCGTTAGTAGGTTAGCCCCAAGCCGCTCCTGGAAGGTGCTATAGGTCTCCTCGAACACGACTGTCGAGTCTGCAGTGGACAGGTACCGAGAGTCGGGAAACGCGCCTGGGTTATGGATAACCTAGCCATGGCATCTACATTAGCTCTGCAGGGGTTGATATATCATCGCTTGTAAATCCCGAATCGGGTAATTGATATGCAGTATGGGGATCATGAACAGCAACTGTACCCAGAAAAAGCAATGGCCAGGAGATATACGATGTGCAGCTCTCCAATCCAACCAGCAGGGGAAGACACGCGGGAAACCGGGGATATTATATCGGAGAGATATGACAGGAATGCAAGGGGGAGGGGGCAGTGGATGAGGCCTGTTACATGGCGAACGCCAACGCAGAGTGGATGGAGCAAGAAAATTGGGGAACTCACATAGGGATTCGAGCCAAGCCCATTTAGACCCTTGGTCAGTTGGGTCAGATTTTGCAAGTAAGCCAAGGAGTGGACACTGTATTGCTGCGGTGTCTCATCGAAGAATATACCCCGAACGGCCAAATCGGGGTTGGCAGACTTAGTCGGCCATTCAGCGTAGGTTTTGATATCCCGGTAGACTGCGGCTGCGTTGCGGGTTGTGTAAGAGGTATGCACATAACCTAGAAGCCGTACATTGGCGTACGAAGAAAGAATCGGGATTGCACGAGTGTAGTTGGCATCAGGCAAATCATCGGGTCCTGGACCGTTACCAGGATTGATTACAATGATAAATTTGACATTTGGGTGGGTGGAAATCCTGATTGGCATTCAGTAACAGGGTTTCATTTTCTTTCCTTTTTTGCGACCGGCAATTTTCAACGCTTTTGTGATCTGGGGCCATTGGAACCCAAAAAGCAGATTTCTATGCCGTGTAATGCGTGGCAAGGTACCGGTGGCTTGGGGTGCAGATTCTTTTTTTTAGAATTCGGGAGAGGGGCCAAGGGTCATGGGCCGAACAGGAAAGGTCAAACATACACATCTTCAAGCGGAGACCATGCTCCGGGGTTAGGGTAGATGTAGAGTGGTACGATGACTCTGGCCATATTGATTGTAGCTGAGCTCAGCCGCGGAAGAGAATGACGATATTCATAACGAAGATGAACTAGCGCCAAATGAGGATTTCTGGTTTGGGTCATTCGGCTCACGTGCTTCAAGGGTCTATATTTGAACCAGAATAAGTTACAGGTATATAGATCGAGAATACGTGGTTTCGATTTATAGAACTGCTATTTTACCGTACAGTTTGTTAGGGTGTTTTTTTGGACTATGTGAAACAATACAAGACGACTTTTGTTCTCCAAGTCATTAGCGTCCTGCACTGGCTTTAGAACGACAGTCTCGACCATGTCTCGACCATGGGATGCGCAAGGTCAATCTCAAATTGCAATGCCGTCATTAGCCCCGGCTGATGCCCTGAAGTACCCAGTGGATGCGTTTAGGGCAATCGGGCCGTGGAGAACATGTACCAAGGCCAGCCGCACATATGACCCACTGTCCACGGGGAGTCTGCCTGCCTGCTATTTGGTCTATGCTTTTCCCGTCCGCCCCCATTTATTATTTAATTCATAATTGCCATTATTGTCACTTTCGTTTTTCTGTGGCTTATGCCTGGTGAATCTTCTTCCCTCCATTTGCGCTGACGGGCATCAACTTTTGCCAAACCCAGGGTAGCGCTAGATAGAATCTGGAGCTGTGGGGCGACACCAGGGTTCTCTTCTCGTTATATAAATCTCGTGTGGTTACTATCTGGGCCCATTCCAGTTCTTATTTCACGCGCATATTAGTTTTCGGGAGTCAATCCTCTGCATTGCCAAAAGTTCCCTTCTGGCGGGTATTAACGCCTCTGTTGTCTGCCCTAGCACTTCAGTCCATTCTTGTTCATCATGGACAGTCGACGTCGGTCAGACACGAGTACTCCCGTGGAGGGTGATTCTCCAGACTTTGTGGACACTCCAGCAACACAGACTTCGGACCTTTTCGACCATTTTAATGAGCTGTTGCAGAGACTCCCCATCGAAAGCCCGTACATTTTGGTGACGGGTGGGTTAGGCTTCATTGGTAGCCACACCACATTGGAATTGCTCAAGGCCAATTATAATGTGATTGTCATCGACAACCTGAGTAACGCATTTGAGAATGTTCTCGACCGCATTGAACTCCTTGCCCGCAAGTTCCACGAGAAGAACGGAACCGAAATGCCATCATTGCGGTTGCATGCTCATGATTTTCGAGACACATCGGCTCTTCAGTCGCTTCTAGAAGAATACCAAGTTCCATCAAGATGGGGTATGGCGAAGTCGAAGATTGCAGGCGTGATTCACTTTGCCGCGTACAAGGCCGTCGGGGAGAGTATCCAGAATCCATTGAAGTATTATGCCAACAACGTGGGTGGCCTGATTGACTTTGCAACAATGCTTGGGGATTTCGGTATCAAGACATTCGTATTCTCCTCTTCTGCTACTGTGTATGGCACTCTGGCCACTTCTGGTCTGCCGTTGAAGGAGGAGCTCTGTGTTCACAAGGAACAGATATATACCGACAATACAGGGGCAGCACAAACTCTTCAACCCGGATGCACTGGCATCACCAACCCATATGGACGCACCAAGTGGATCGGTGAAGCCATCCTAGCAGATCTTGCTGCTTCGGATCCAGAATGGACCGTTGTCGCTCTTCGGTATTTCAATCCCGTTGGGTGTGACTCGTCCGGCCTGTTGGGCGAAGACCCCCGGCAAATCCCAACAAATCTTCTCCCCGTGGTTGTCAAAGTAATGACTGGCCAGTATGCGGAGTTGTCAATCTTCGGGACCGACTGGGAGACCAAAGATGGCACAGCTGTCCGAGATTTCATCCACGTCACTGATCTGGCCCAGGGCCACATTGCAGCCCTCAAAGCCGCCAATGATGGCCAGCTGAGTGATAATTTCCGCACCTTCAACCTGGGCACTGGATCAGGACACTCTGTGCTGGAAGTGGCCAACACCATGGAAGCCGTCACCTCCAAGCCTATCCCCAGGAGAGCTGCGGGTCGTCGTGCTGGTGATGTGGGATCCTGTGTCGCTGTTGTCGATCGGTCTCAAGATGAGCTTCAGTGGAAAACAGGGAAGTCACTGAAAGATGCTTGTCAGGATATTTGCAATTTCTTGGATGTCAGCGGCCTTTCTTCATAGGCTTGGTGATCGATTTTCTGTTTCTTTAGTTTCCAGGGCATGTCTGGAATTCCTTCTTCGTTCTTAATTTTGACCTGCAGGACTGGAGATGACTTGAAGTCCTGTGGGTATACTTTTCAGCTTGATGCTTGTGCTTTTTTATATTCGGACTAATGAGGCATGTCTGTCCTTTGTGTTTTTGTCATCGATACCACCGCGTGGTTGTTATGTTTCGGAGTTTGTTCCATGCTTCCAATTTGTACTCAAGATTCCCTTTCCACCGTCAAATTCGTCACAGTGATCGTGATCCCAGTCTCCAAGTAACTGGAAAGACTCGATACTGTAGATCTGAGAAGCTTCCCTTTCCCTTTTCTCTGTCAATACCCTTCCCCCCATCCTGTTTGTTTCTAGTTGATCCGTTTTCACTTGTTCTTTTCAACTCACTATTCGACGTACTGTTGCTGCATACTTTCGCAAATAGTGTACGATGTCGACCGCACATACAAGCTTAAAATGTGGTTTGAACTATTATTCAAAATGAATCTCAGTCTTCATGTTCACGGAAGGCGTCAAATTGTCGAAGTAGATTGATAATGAAGGAAGATCATTGATTGCAGTAGGTTTGGAACGTCGAAGTTGCCCGAGATGGGACGGTCAATAATACCACGTGACCCCTCCGGCTTGGCATCGGATCCGCGCCGCAAGTTTTCTGATTGAGTGTCCGCGCCAACATTGCGACTATTCCTCACATTGACCCCGGTATACATACCCGTGGTTACTTTCACTCATCGCGACAATGATTTGCAGAAGTTGCCGGACGAGCATGCTGTCTCGGCTACCACAGCAACAAGCCCTGACATGGACATCATCACCAGCACGCCAGCTTCCTCTGGTTCGCAGCCAATTCCGATTCTACAGTGATAAAGGCACCAATCCTTCCGTCATTCCCTCATCTCCTCCCAGTCCCCGCCAAACCTCGGTCGGCGATGTCACTACTCCGTCCGCTATTTCCTCCGCCACCCCCGGTATCTCCCAGCCGTTGAGCACCCCCGAGGCTGTTCACATTGATGTGCACCCCGGTGCCGCAAAGCCCGTTGTTGAGCGCCCACCGAGCAGCTGCCCCGCCGGCACAAAGTTGAACGGCTTGAACTATTTCAAGAACAAGCCTGAGGTCCTTGCGAAGGAGGACCATGAGTACCCCGACTGGTTGTGGGACCTTTTGGGTGATTCAAGCAAGTCAGCCAAGGCCGAAAAGGGCGGAGTTGACCCCAGCAGTACGTTCGACTATTCTCAAACATGCTACGCCTCTCCATACTAATGTGTTTTTCAGCTTTGAACAAGAAGCAACGGAAGCGTTATGAGAAGAAACTTGCCGCCCGCGTTGGTGTTCTTCCCCCCAAGATCCCTGCCCATCACCACGCCCACGACATCACACCAGCACCATACAACCGTGAAGGACTCCCCGAGGGTGGAATTGCTGATGCCACCGAGAGTGTGGATCAGCGTATCGAGGTCACCAGGAGTGCTCGCCAGGCCCGGCGGAAGGCCATCAAGGAATCCAACTTCCTGCGTGGCCTGTAAACACCCGATTGAGTGTATTTGTTTCACTATAGGCGTCGACCATTGATCTTTGAAGAAGCGGGCTCGTCATTTTGAAGCGGTGTTTTGACTAGAATGGCTCGCCCATTTCAATTGCCGCGGTGGGCGCATAAAACAGGTCCTTCCAGCCTCCGGCATGTATTATTACGTCGAATTGATTTCTCCATTGTGCTATATATTCAATGATACTTGATCTACACATCAGTCCAGTTCCACTACTCACTCTATTGGCGCACTAACCACAGTCTTAAACATCCTGCGGAATCGGCCACTCCTTCTCCTCACCCTGCCCCTCCAACCAGGGCAAGGTAGCATCCCACAAAGCCCGAAACTCACCGTCACCCAAACCCATCAATTTCTCCCAGAGCTCGCGATCGAACCGTTGGAGAAACGCCAGATGGCATGCGAAGAAAATATCCGCATAACCCGCCGTCTCCCCTTCGAAGAAAGGACCCTTCTTCCCGTCCCTGCCCTTCAGCATCTTAATCAACGTCGCACACTCCTTCTCCATCGCGCCCCAAAGCTCTGCAATCTCTCCCTCATCTGTCGGCCGGATCTCCGCCAAAGGCTTCCCAAATGACTCAGTCCTCGTCCGCACGAAATACTCCTGTCCCCGCGGATCAAGTTTAGCCGGCACACTGGGGATGATTAGCGCCCGGATCGCCGGTCCCAGAGCCATGGCGAGCTTGTTGACCGCGAGGAAGAGGGCATAGCTGGCGTCGCCAGACGGGAAAAGCGGATGATCGGGGAAAACACGGTCCAAATGCTCGACAATGGGAAGGGAGTCCATCATTGCACCTTGGTTGTCGGGTATGGATTTGTGTACGATTGCGGGGAGGGTATACGCATATCCGACTTTGTTGGCTTCGAGACCGAACCCCTTCATCAAGGGTGCGATGTCTGGGTAAGAGACCCAGCTTTGAGTATACGGGATTTTCTTGAAGTTAAGCGCGGCCCGCACTTTAAGAGTATTGGGGGACCATGACTTGTGTGCACCTGGTGCCTGGTTAGCCGTAGCTCCTCATTTGGTTTGACTTGCGGGGTACGGACCTGGGAAGGTGGAGGTGATGTCGAAGAAGTGGACGGTGTCAGACATGGTGTATAGAACTATTGAGTACTCTAAACAGTCCAAATTTAAAACAGTTTAATCTTGTAGAGAAAATGGAACTCGTTGATGTTTCCAACGCAATTTATAAGGTGGAGATCATGGATTTGGATTTCTCAGCAAAGAAACAGGCTTTACTCCTTTTTAGCTAGGTCTTACTACTTCTACGTGCGGGGATCGAGTCAAAAATACCAACCAATAATTCATCCTGACATGGTGAAACTCTTCCAATAAGCCTCATATAAATGTCTATAAAAAGTGGCAGTCAAGCCCTAAGGCGAGGTCTATGCCAAGCTCTTTATTGGAGCTCACAAATGGAGCCACGTCTTAAGAAAGTGGAGAGTCGATCACAGTGGGACACACGTGTCGCGTGTTTATCCTTTTGTCTTAAGTTTCATTCTCTTTGAAGCTTACACTTTTCTCTGCACTTTTCAAAATCAACATTCACGCCTGATTCTGGAGGCCAATCCTGCATTCCCCCTGAACCTTTACTGCGGGGCAGCTTTGCAAGTACCAATAAGCACACCGCAAGTATCAAAAACCTTACAACAACCCCACCAAAAACCCAAGCCAAAAAGCTCCGTTAAGCATCTTATCACGGTCAAGGTCCAATCTCTTTTCAATCAGTCGGGCTGTATCAAACAACATTGCGATAATGCAAAAAGTCGAGAGCCTCGTTGATCGAGCGCGGCATCTATCGCTCCATTCAACACCAGAGACACCTCTAGACACATTCCACTCGACAGTGGATAAGCATCTGCAGAAGATCTACGAGTCGCTCTCCACGCAAAAAATCGCAAAGTCTGACTTTTTCAACCATATCCAGCGGGATGAGAGCTCTTCTGAGGGTCAGCTTGACCCGTTAAGCTCGCTGGATGCCTTTCGCGCGTACATGAAAGATCCTGCCTCTCGGGCACTGAGCGAACCAAAGGAAATGGATCTTTCAGCACCTATCTCGGATTATTACGTTTCCTCGAGTCATAATACTTATTTGACGGGAAATCAGCTGTATAGTGATGCTGCGGCGAGTGCGTATACGTCGGTATGTAGAGTAGTTTTGGGTAATGTGGGATATGTCTAACTGAACTCAGGTACTTCTACATGGTTGTCGATCTGTTGAGATTGATGTCTGGGATGGTGAATCCGAGGATGAGGATTCGAATGGGGAGACTGATAATAGCGAATCCTCAGAAAATGAGGAGAAGAAATCGACTTTGAAATCCAGACTGAAGGCGACTATCAAGTCTAAGATTGGCAGTGAAGAGAAGGCCGCCAAGGAGCTTTTGCACCGGAAGAGCTCCAAGCCCGCAGATGTCAGCGCCAGCGGCGAACAGACTGTCGTGCCTGTGCCGGTGGAGCCTCGCGTTTTGCACGGCCATACCCTCACCAAGGGAACATCCTTCCGCGAGATTTGTTATGCGATCCGTGATGCTGCATTTGTGAACAGTGATCTACCTGTGATCATTAGTTTCGAGGTCCATGCGTGCTTGGAGCAGCAGCAGATGATGGTAGATATTGTCAATGAGGCGTGGAAGGGTCTTCTGGTCGAGATTTCGCCGGACGTGGAACCTGCTAAGTTGCCTACTCTGGCGGAATTGAAGCGGAAGATCTTGATTAAGACCAAGTCCACACCTCTGCAACAAGCTGATCTGAAAGCCGAGCTAGAAGAGGCGTCTGAACCTTCAGATGAGACCAGTGATCAGTCTGTGGACGCGCAGCAAAAATCTGAAAAGCCCGTGAAGCCCTCGAAGACCCTAGAAGCTCTAGCAAAGTTAGCCGTATATACGCGGGCATATCACTTCAGCCGCTTTGACCAGCCAGGTATGAAATGGACCGATGAAAACAGTATGCAAAGAACCAGACACTAACACTTTCCCGTAGAGGCGAAAGTCCCCCACGTCTTCTCTCTTTCCGAGAAAGCAGCCCGCGAAGCACACACAAACTACCGCGATGCCCTGTTCGAACATAACCGTTGCTCACTAATGCGAATCTACCCCTACGCTCTCCGCGTCACATCCTCAAACCTGGATCCAGCTTTCCATTGGCGTCGCGGCGCCCAGCTAGTTGCCTTAAACTGGCAGAGCCTTGACAAGGGCATGATGCTCAACTACGGCATGTTCGCCGGAACGCAAGGTTGGGCTTTAAAGCCACCTGGGTACCGCAGCTCCGAGGGTCCCACAGACTCGATTAGGCGAACAACGCTCGAATTGAAAGTCGAGGTCTTTGCAGGCCAGGACCTTGCGCTCCCCCTGAATCACTCCGAAAAGGGATTCTGCCCTTACGTCGTTTGCCAACTGCATGTCGAGGAGCCCGAGGGTCCTGCCGCCGCGGATCGGGACGATGCGAGCGATGACACAGATAAGAGTAGTTATCGGCGTCATACGAAATCGGCGTCGGGCAGGAACCCAGACTTTGAGACGCAGAGTTTGGTGTTTCCCACCGTAGTGGGTATTGTCGAGGAACTCAGTTTTGTCCGGTTGGTTTTCCCCCTTTCCCGTGTTCTTATTCGGCTTCGTGATACTCTCGGCTGCGTTTCTTTTGCATTTCTTCCTCACTCGATGCACGTTGTCTTGCATGCATATGTATAACGGTTGGTGTGGGGCTGCTTGCATTTCTTCAATTGCTTCCCGCCTGCCTTTTATGACATGAAGCATGCGACTTTGCAGTAGTTCTGTATTACAGAATACCTCTGTTGTGTTACTATGCATCGTTGCCTTGAGAGAACTGCAGCACCGTTCGACTTCCCCAACTTCCCCGCATTTGCATTGCAGTCGGAATTGAGAAAGTATCTGTAATGCACATTGGCTGACTTCCAAATTCTACTAGGTTCAAGATCAAGGACGACGAGTTTGTACGGGACTCCTTGGCTGCGTGGACATGTATCCGTCTCGACCAGCTGCGAGAGGGATATCGATTTATCCACCTCCAAGATAGCACCGGGGGAAAGGCAGGGGGTGTCCTATTGGTGCGGATCACCAAGAATATTTCCTAGTCACACAAGCTCGGATAATAGCAGCTTGATAGGCCTTTTCTTTTTCTTCGTAATTAATCAATCGATAAGAGATTGGGCGAGGGCATTCAGGCATCGATGCTGCCTTACCGTTGTACAACATGCCGTCATCATTGTAAAAAAAAAAAGAATCGAGAAAAAAAGAAACTAGGGGCTGAGAAACACCGAATAGTACATATCTTCAGACGCAGCAGGGGTAGTGGTACGCCCGAAATCGATAAGTGGGCGCCTCGCATAATCTTTGACGGATACCGTGCACATGTACGTCGACAACCTTGGACTTCTGCGCCGAATATGACGGACAATTGCAGAGCATTACAGAGCAAACTCGGTCACGCGCATATGCGCGACGTGGTCAGTCTTGTACTCTCGACCCGTTTAGCCGAGATCGGCTCGATCAAAGGGCAATCCCAGTTTCTGAGATCAGATGTACTGGGATTAAGCCCTGAGACATGCAAGGAGGCGTTATTTTATATTACTTAGATGTGGTGCAGTGCCACAAACCCCGGGCCCCTGGTGGAGATCACTTGCCGACTGCAGACAAGGCTGCATGGCACTGCCACGGGCGCGATCACGTTCCAGAAGGCAGCCTTGGGATGCAGGCGAACATCAGGAGTTCAGGCAGTTCGGGGTCTGGTGCAATGCGGTATGCGCGCTTAAGTGGTCTAGCATTAGAAGTATCCACAACATCCTGCGGGCTATAGGGGTATATGTAACTGATATGTAGTTCAGGAAGCTACTAGAAGAGCTGGGTAAAAGGAAGCCTGCAAGTTTTCATCAAGCCCTGGAACAGACCCCGAAGTTTGGGGTTAGCTTGGAACGTGGAAAGCCCCCAGGGCACTCCTTGAACAGCAGGATTTGGGTTGCATATAAGCAATCAAGAAAGTTATACTGCATGATGCGCGCCATCGAGCCCCACAGTGTAGACTGTCATGCAAGTTGGGGGCGGTTAAGGATCCATATACGGGACAATGGTTAGAAATCAAGAAATCAGTTCTCGCCAAGTTCTCGAGTTCCGCCTGCAATACGGATTGACCGAGTTCCATTTAGACCAAAGTTACCGCCAAGGGGACATGCATCAGATTGATCAACCAGAGTGGGGCGTGAAAGACTGATAAATGCTCCGATTCTGGGAGATGATAAGGTTATAAACCACTCGGGTTTAAGGGGTAAATGTTCAGCTCGCATTGTCTTCGACCGGAACGCCACGAATAGGCAAAGAAGTAGAGGGGGAAACCACTAGTGACTCTATAATTTGGACCATCGTGGAGGGGTTCACAGTGACAGCTACACGTACAAAGTGGCATGCATGGGGCCGATCACGATTGGACAGGGAAATGAAACCACAAAGAACAGAACGACGATCCCACACTAGTCCCGGCTTAGCGTATCGATGAGCCAATAATCGGGAATCATCACAGACGACCTATCGCATGCGAAACTAATTGTAGGACGTCAGAAATGAACGGACGAATCACCATTGATTGACCGCGACCGAGGTCAACCGAGCGGGTCCTAGCGATCTGGGGCAACGGATACGTCAACTTTGGCTTCTTGGACCAATTCGTATCGGATCGGCCTCTTGTTTCCTCTTCGGACTCTTTGCCTTTCAGGGTAATGGGTCACCATGCAATGGCCCGCTCGACGAGTCTCCTGTGTGTAGGAACAGAATGGCACCCCATCACACCCCATCACACCCCCCACCTCATGGCAAACATGAACACCCTCAATCCGGATCGCTCGGGCAGATGCAAGCCATGATTGGCTCTATGCTTGGTGGCGTTCCACTTGAGGGTTTTGACGCTATGTTCAGCTGTGTAGGAATGGATCGATCGTCAGGGAGAAGCTTTCACCTACAACGGGAGCTTCCGAATGTCGACTCACCGTATTGTATTTAATTCTTTTGTGATTTTTCCAATTTTAAATTTCCAAGGTTTCTTAGCCTCGATCGATCGTGGTCTCTGTTCCTGTTCGGTCCTGGCCCTGTCCCTGTCTTTTTCATGCCTTATAAGGGCTGCCTTCCAGCCTGAATTGAATTCTTCTTTACCATCAAGTCCCAAACTTCAATTGCCTTTGTACGCTCGAGTCAACTTTGCCCTCCCAATCCACAAATATTACCTATATCCTCTTCTTATTCAATATGTCTCCTTCTACGTGTGCGGCAAAGGGCTCGTGCTCCCCAACAGTCAACAAGGTTTGTCCATCATACCAAATCCATAGTCCTGGGACGAACGCCCATATCATATCCTAACATGTGGATCAGATGCCCGGAGTCCGGTGCCCAAACTGTCAGGCTAAGGGTCAAGAAGTATGGGTGATCCCTGGCAAAAGCTGTCACGTCTGCTCAACGCCATGCGCATGATGGTTGCCTAAGGATATATCGATTGATCATATCAAGATCAACCGAGTAAGACATGCTCGTTACTTGATGCACACCTGTCAGGGGGTCTCAGACGAGCTGCGATATCAATTTATTCAACTTCAGCGACACATCCAATAGTGGGTTTCATGAGCACGAGCTTGTATACAGTTGGTAATGAGGCTACTGGTCAATTTTTCTGGAAAACATTTGGTCTTGGGAGTGATTTGGTGTTATGCGATTCGACGATTTATGATGTACTTTCAACGGGTTGATTTTCGGATTTGTCTTGAAGGTTCAATATACACGAAAGTTTGTTAGCATTTTTAGCGGTCTATCATATCTTCTAGAATCTATCATCCGCGTACTTTTTTCACTGCGCATGTAGTACTTTTGTCTTGTACGGGTGACGTCATTGCCGTATTAATAACCGGGACACGCTGGTAGGGCAGCTCTACCTTGTTTAAATGCTTATCATGATACTCCGTTATCTAGCACAAAACTTGCTTCCTTAGGCTGTTTCTACCGAGATAAGAAGAAAACAACAATGGCGGACAAATACTCCATTGGAACTCGTTCCGAGAGTGAGCGCCTAGTACGCGAGTGGGGTTTCCAACATGTCTTTACTTGGTCGGATGGGAGGTAAGTGTACTCCCCTTCATGAGGGGAATCGAAACTAAGGGTGCTCAGTAATGCATACTACTCTCCTCACACCCATGGAGGTTTGACTACCCATCTCATCCGTCGTGGTTCAATGACGGTGACCTATCCGGAAGACAACGTCAATGGCCAACAGGTGAGAGAGACCTTTGGTGTTGGCGCGCGAGTAGATGTACCTGCAGGAAAGGTTCATGAAGTGTGGATTGGGGATGAGGGGTGTGAATATGTGATTGGAGAATAAGTCATGACTTCTATGATACTAGATAGGTGTCGGATCCAGATCCGAGTGGTATATACGTATATCCTAATGCACAAAACGGAAATCAACCCTTTAAATAAAGTCAGCGACTGATGTTCCTGGCGTATGAATCAACATTTGAACATACCTCTTATTGCCCAGGTGGCTATTCTCAACGACGTAGCGCTCCCTCTCTTCGCTTGACATATTGTCCCAGATAGCGGCATTTTGCCTAATGATGGTTAGTACAGAGTTATCACGGCAAGTAAGGTACAACATACTTGTTTCGCCACACATAGTACATCTTAGCAGCAATGAACAACAGTCCACTCCAAACAGCAACACCAATCAAAGCGGCATTGCCAGTGCGATAGTATGGCTTGTCGCTGGCTTGGTACACATTGTTACCGATGATATTGCTGACCTGCACTGACATATTATAAAGTGCAGTAGCAACCGTCCGCGTTCTCACTGTCCCCGCATTGCGCGAGGCCATCGCCACAATAATGGCATGAACGTACGGCATGGAGAGTAGCAGGACGATCAGAGCCCATCGAGCCCAGGTACTGGCTCCAGCCGGAAGCACTTCCAGAGCGATCAGGAGGACTAGAGCCCAAAATTCGGCAAAGACACCCAGCAGGAGACGCTGATTGAATCTTTCGGAGACCCATGTAATCCACAGTAGGTTCACGATGAAAATCACGTAAGCCGGGATGGTCAGTAGGTTGGTGTGGAAAGTACCAAAGCCCAGCGATTTCAGTTCTAGACTGATATAGCTGGAGGTGGGAACACTGGGAATCATCCAGGTCAAACCCAGCAGGTAAATGATCCACATGTCGTAGTCCTTGAGAGCGCTCCAGAGCATCTTGGGAGTAACCGCCTGACGGTTGTGCATGCCTCCCTTACTGGGGTCATCCCGCAAGATACGATTGACCATAATCTTCTCCTCGTGCTCATTGAACCAGCCGTTTTTGCCGCGGAACCAGCCAGCAGTCTGTGTCGGCGAAGCGGGCATCCAAAATGCGGCGATGATTCCAATCACACCGGTGATTAGGCCTTCGAAGGCGAACAGGTATCGCCAACCACCTGTGCCTTCCGAGTTGTGGATATGCAAGAATCCGTATGCGAGAAATGCGCTGACAATCGAAGTTGCTTGGTAGGCAACCCAGAAGTAGCTGAGACGAATAGGTAGTTCCTTGGTCTTGTACCAGAAGGATAGGAAAAGGATAGTGTCCGGAATACTGTGATGTATTAGCGATGAGCAGCGTATCACGCCAAAAGGTCACTTACAATCCACCTTCCAAAAGACCAAGCATCGCTCTGCAAGCGTAGTAGCCACTCTTATTCTTCACGAAGGCCTGGCAAGCCGCAATCAAGCTCCAGGAGACCATTTGGATGGGGATCCAACGGTCGGGACCGACCCATTTAGAGATCAATTGGGATGGCAATTCGGCGAAAAGAAAACACAGGAGGAAAATTGTTTGACCAGTGTTATAGTTGTTGGTTGTCAAGCCTAAGTCCTCCAACATATTGTCGGAAGTGGCTTGAACCACATTACCACGGTCCAGCTGAAGAGCGAAAAATGTAATACAGGCAAATGTACAGATCCGCCAGTCGATCTGAAGAAATACATTAGCGACCTCAGGGAAGCGAATTGCATTTCAGCAAAGTCATACCTTCCGGACAACTGCCTTTTCTTCGTCTTCTGTCCATTCAAACTCTGGGTCCCAGCGGTGATATCCTTCATAGCTTTCAATAGGCTTATAATATCGGGGATCCTCTGTAGTATCGAACGCACAGTCAACAACCTTGACTGTCCCGCGTCGGTCCTCTATCGAAGAAGCAGAAGCAGAATCACTGGTCGAGTGGACCTGGGCCGTATCCTTGGAATCATAGTCCGGAGCCTCACCGGGCCCGATGTTCTTCACCTCCTCGACGGTCATCTTGTAGGACCTTCGAATGCGATCGGAGATGGCGTTCTGGAGACGGGTTGAGAGCTGTACAGTTCTCAGGAAGGACGAGATGCCAGCTTCTATAAAGGCAGGAAATTTTACTTTGGGCATGAAGCCTTTGTGGCTGTCTATCACGCCATTTCGTGGGTTAAACTTGGCTTGCACGTTTACGCGTTGGGTGGGTATGAGGGCAGCACATCATGTCTTGAACTTATGCAGGGTTATAGTTCCACGCATAGAGATAGGAAGGTGCCGAGCCTTTGTCGTTTGCGTTTGGGCTTTTGAGTCCAGATGGCGTTCCAACCCCACTCCGGGATTCTATAGTGTACAGAGTGAATTGGGGAGTTCACATTACGGTCAACATACAAAGGATCTACAAATATCGTGGCTTCTACTGCGTTGGCCTTTTGCTACGTAGGCATAAAGACGACAAATGTTTGAGATGATAATTGACCTGAGTACTATCTCAAGACGATAATTGATCTGAGTACGATCCAGCCTGTTTTGTAGATATTCGCAATTTGCCAAGATCACGCAAGAGCAAATAAATTGACGTTAGTTTGGACGAGTAGCGGATGTCGCTCTGTTCAGCCCCACTACATGGTCTGGATCATAAAGTCCACTGTATCCACCCTGATTATACATAAGGCTATGTTGAGAGAGCTGTATGTTTGGTTATAGTTATATATCGACTCCCATTGGCCAGAAGATCTCTTGAACCCTCGGTACTTGTCTGAGGTTCAGGAACCATCCGCATATGATATCACGCTCTTGGAACATGGAGTACACACATACAATTCCTCGTATTGCTATATAGGCTAAACACATGAAGACATTATAAATTGAAAGGTTCACGTTGTCCTCAAAGTCAAAATCACGCGAAGCCGAAAAGTCGGCGAATCTGTCGCGCAACAAAAGTTGTCTATCACGTCATCTCCACCAATCACGACGCAGGAAAAGTGAGTTTTGCACGCAAGTCTTGCAAAGAGAGCAGCAAACCCCCAAATTCGCATCGCTGCTTTCCACTTGTACTTGGCACGTCATCAGATAACGTGCGGTTGACGAATCAGATACCTCATGGAGGCACGTCATACTTCGCACGCCATTCACATAAATCATGAGGATTTCTAGATCTTCACGTCAAATGGATTTTAATCCGAAACCCCGCATTAGCTGCGATGATACTGTACCTTCTATTTTGACTCGGGCGAGTCGTGGACCCCGCAGTCATGGCGCAATCTTGAACATCGGAAATATGCCGATGAGTGTATATAGCTTGCAGTTCTCGCCTCGTATGATTGATGTTGGTTTTAAGGGTTGAACATACTGTACTATCTACAACTTTCTAGCAAAGGAGAACCCTCGGGGCCTTGTAAAATTTTTCAAGATGGCCCCTTCAGTTACTGAGACAGTCGGACTTCGCTCCGCGACGTTTACCGTGCCTCTCAAGACCGACACAGGCCATAACAAAGAGAACCTTATTGGATACAAGTATGAGAAAGACGCCGAGCTCAATGGGACAGACAAGATTGCTCCAGCCTCATACCCCAACTACCTACCCGTGTGGGACAACGAAACACAGAGGTATATCAATCTATGAAAGATCAAAATCGCAAACCCTAACATCGTCTCTATAGATACCCACCCCTAACTATTTTCGAGCACTACGATCACGGCAAAGATGCAGACCCCAGCTTCCCCGATCTCCTACCCAAGGGCCAAGCCGAAGTCGACGAAATCACACCCTTCATTGGCACAGAAGTCAAAGGCGTGCAACTGAGCAAGCTATCCAAAGCAGGCAAAGACCAGCTTGCGCTATTCGTCGCTCAGCGCCGCGTCGTCGGTACGTACCAACCCAATATCTCAATGGCCAATCACTAATAATTTACAGCCTTCCGTGATCAAGACTTCGCTTCCCTCCCAATCCAAGAAGCAGTCGATTACGTCGGGTACTTTGGCCGCCACCACATCCACCAAACATCCGGCGCTCCCAAAGGCTTCCCAGAAGTCCATCTTGTCTTCCGTGGTGCTGACGACCGCACTGGTAGCAAGTTCCTTGAGCAGCGCACGAATACTATCACTTGGCACAGCGATGTGACCTTTGAGAAGCAGCCGCCTGGCACTACCTTCCTGTATGTACTGGACGGGCCATCGACGGGTGGAGATACGCTCTTCGGAGATATGGTACAGGCGTATAAGCGACTTTCGCCGGAATTCCGGAAGCGACTGCATGGGTTGAGGGCTGTGCATTCGGGGGCTGAACAGGTGAATGCTAGCTTGAATGGGGGTGGGATTGCGAGACGGGATCCTGTTACTTCGGAGCATCCTATTGTGAGGACACACCCTGTCACTGGAGAGAAGGCTCTTTATGTGAACCCGCAGTGTAAGATTTGCCCCTTGTCTCTATTGGGGTCCGAGTTACTGCGTGTTATGCTAATGATTTGATATGTAGTCACTCGGTATATTGTCGGCTACAAAAAGGAAGAGTCGGATTACTTGCTTAAGTTCTTATTTGATCATGTGGCGCTTTCGCAAGATCTGCAGACCCGGATTCGTTGGAAAGCCGGCACTGTTGTGGTTTGGGATGTGAGTAATTCCCTGATACCTTTTGAATGATATACTGACGGTCCTAGAATCGGTTGGCTTGTCACTCTGCTGTTTTCGATTGGGAGGATGGCCAGAGAAGACACATTGCTCGTCTGACCCCACAGGCTGAGCAGCCCTACGAGACACCGTTTGAGGAATGAAAGGGCTGGAATAATCAGGATAGGATCAATAATTGTAGTTTGAATGCTTATGTACCAAATTGAAACACGCCACCTTTCAAAACTCGCCCTTGGAACACAAGTCAATGGGATTTTGATTTACAATTCTCTCTCTCGTTGCAACACCTCGATTCTTTCCTCGCGTTGCAGCAGATGATAAGCAGGATGGTCTCTGTATGTAGTCTTATTACTCTCAGGGTCCACCATTTCACCTAGCAGTGAGTCTGGAGCGACATCTTCCTCCACCCAACGAACTAGAGTGTCCAATGCGGTCTTGGGCAAAGCGCCTGGGCCGCCAAAGCAGTGCGCTACACCAGGAGCCTCAAAATGACGGAAGTACTCATCAACTTTAGGATCCATAGCGAACACTCGATCGTAATAATCACTCGTGCCACCTACGGGAATTAACGGGTCAACAGTACCGTGCCAAGTGATCATTTTACCACCGGAACGCTTGAGCCCAAATAGATTTGGATCATCAGTGCCAATGATTGACTGGTACCAATGTTGCGACTCATGGAACAGGTCATAGAAGTCGTCCAATGTGATACTGGAGATATCATAGTCGGGATCTTTCTTGAGAAAGAACTTCACCCATTCTGTTGCAAGGGGAAATGGCACGGCAGTGCATTTATTGTCCGCATCACATTGTGAATTGGCGACCATGGTAAGTTGGGAACCCGGGGTAAAGCCATACCACAGAAACTCCCCATTGGCTGAGCGAGGGCCGTCCCAGAGACTTTGCACAACATCTGCAGCCTCGGAAGAGATGAAACCCTCGGAATTGCCGCAATCGACCTTTTGTCCTACAGTTTCATGTGGGCTGAACTTGCACTTTCTGTAGTCATCAATGATGCCATCAACAACGCCGTCCAACCCATCACAAGCCTCAACTGCAGCAGCTGAAATTTTATCGAGAATGCAAGCCGGGACTGGGGAGCTTGCTGTTTTCATAGCCACATAAGACCAGATTTCTGCCATATTCAGCTTGTTCCAGTTCATAGCTGGGCAGCCAGAGAGATATCCGTCGTAAGCAGTGGGGTAACGCTGTGCCAGCATCATCGCTTGTCGACCGCCAGAGGAGCATCCAGCAAAATAGGAGAACGTGGGCTCCGATTTATAGAAAGAACTCGCGATAGCCTTGCCAATGCCGGAAGTTTCGAATAATGAGACATGTGCGAAATTGTTCAAAGCGTAAAGGTCGACATTGCCAGGGCTATTCAAAGCCCACGTCTCGACAGTCATAAGGCTGGGGTCATGTCCTCCATCTGTAGTCACGGCTGCATATCCACCCGCAACGCCTTTCAGAAGATCGCCATCACCTGGTAGTCGGGTTGCATACCCACCGCCGCCAAGGCCGAGAAGGCGGTTATTCCATCCTTCGAGAGGGAGGAATACCGATGTTGTAATTCTGTCTTCTTGTCCAGGGTGTGTATATGTGACAGTGACATTGCAGAAGCTAATTAGGGCATCTGTCTGTACCGGTGAGCTCAAGTGTAGAATTGGAGGAGGATTCGATTGATCGAAACTTGGATTTGCGGTGATTGAGAGTATCTCGACACCGAACAAGACTGGCTTTGATATAGCTGCTGAGCTGCATGACGAGCTTAAATCGCCTGTTGCAAGTACAAAAGGAGTCAATATAGTAGCAGCCGCCCAGAGCAGGCTGCGATGAGTCAACATCCTGGCACAAAGGAAATGGTTTTGATGAAGGGTGAAGCCAAAGATTAGCTATATGGGTGTGGAATCAAATAAGGACAAGAGAAGAGTTGAAGAGGTGAAAGGAACGAATCCGTGAAGAAGTAAGCTTATCAATTGTTTGCCGGGAATCATAACCGGATTATGATTTTCAAGGCGGGGAAACACAGTGTGGCTGAAAGTATAATGGCAGTACGAAGTAGAAATCACTTATCCAACAGATGCAATGGCTGAATACTCTGTCCATCCAAGCTAATCATCATATTTGATATTCTCCACATTTGCTGTACGATATTTAACCATTGTTGTCCCCCACAATTTACATAACACTCAGACTTATGCACAATGGGCTCCCGAGGTAGAGTGAAGGAATGAGGACGAGAATTTCTGAGCCTATAGAGAAAAAGAGCACTGGATAAAGGATCATAAAGGCAAAAAGGTGACCGACAAAAGGCACACGTACAAGAATGGAAGAAGGATATTCTTGTACGTGTGCCTCTTGTCGGCCACTTTCGTAAGACCGACGTCTTGCCGTATTGCAGGAGCGACGGTGACTTTTCTTTAATAGACAGAGAGAAGATTTGGGTCTCGGGATCATTCTTATGAATGGAGATTTAGAAAAAAAAATCCAGTATTTGTAGAACTGTTAATTGCTTCGACGTCATTTTCATGTAACTCTGCTATACCGATCCATAAGTCCAACAGTCCACTCGTTGAATTTTCTCGCAGAAGGAGGCAGCATCTGGTTACTATTATTCAATGCAGTGGATAAGGCTTGGAAGATCATCGAAGGAAGTTCCAGCTCCTCTACAGACAAGGGGGATGGTCTACCCATATCACGATTCAGTATCGAGTCAACATCCTCTGTCGTTTGATAAAGCACTTTCATAGCTTGTCGTGCATTGACACTGTGCCCTGAGTTGGAATTGGAATAGCGAAGATCAGGGTTGAAAACCCAAAGCTAAAGTCGAATTAGCAATGTAGATCACACAATGGTAAGGGAATAGACGTACCAAAAATCCGCTCTTTTGTCCACAGTGGATCACGAATCTCCGTGCGCTTTCTCGCTCGATTAATTCGAGTAGTTGTGCTGCGACGATGAGTTCGGCGGGGTGGCTTTGCCATTGCTCTTCAGCTGAATCATACGACTCGTTGGTATTTAGAGCCACATTCGCCTTCAGCAAGCGCCAACCATTCGCAGAGGGATCCTCCATGCCGATAATTGCGTTGCAGGTTACACAGTCCAAGGTTCGTTGTTGTAGTGATGCAGGATTTGACTTTGCTTCCTCTTCATTTCCCTACAGAATATATCATGTCAGCGGATGAAGCTGAAGAATACGTAGGCGGGAACAAGATTATGTCGGGAATAGATAATTGGTTTCAAATCAGTGCAATATAAGGCTAGGCCTGTCAGACATGTAAAATATTGGTCACACTGGATGTGCCTTTCCGTCTTCATGTCAATCCCACTTCTCTGGAAAGGGCAGCCCCAGACCGTCAATTAAGACTGAAAGGGTACGAAGAAGTTTCGAGTCAGATGGCAGCCAGAACAGTTCCAAGCTAGACGATGAAGCACGAAATCCATCTAACGGGAGAGGATGACTGCGCCGCAAAGTTTTGACAAGGGTTGAACCGCTTACCTACCAACTCAGGTCCGGAATAGCTGGATATCAATATAGGGCAATAGTATCGAAGGCCACAACATTGAACGAAATGGTCTCCTTCTAAGTTGCCCAGAATAAAATAGCAAATCATAAAGATGTGGGGCATAAAAACATGCAGGGGCTATCATTTACAGCGGGATGGGTCTCACCTTTTTTAATCCCACGCAGTCTGATTCTGCAAGTAAGAACGTAGCCACGTCGATAAGAACATTTCCAGGAATCGCTTCAACGCGACTACCAGCCCCGTATCCTTTGATCTGGGCATTCTGCTCCTCGATCTTAAGCGCCGCGGTAGCTTCGGATTTGGGGTCATCTTCATGGGGATCCGGCTTGTGGCAGTGCCAGAAGTCCATCATCTCGGCCCAGTTCCCACTGGGGAGGTCTTTCCACGTCCATCCCGGAGCGCGGTCCTGCTCCTCAGATATACTAGGAGGACCAGAGGCATCCAAGAACTGGGTTCCACAGGCACGACACCGAATGCGAGTCGAAGTCGACATATCGGCCGCCGTCCAGGGCACATGGTCATCAGTCAGTTCATCTTGTGTTATGAGAGCTGGGTCAGTCGGATCGATCTGCATTCTAAACGAGTAGTCATAGCTCGCGTCTGTAGGTTGTTTTGATGGGGAAATATTGGTATTCAATATTCGGCGCGAGGCATCGCTGACACGCGCTGGTAACTTAATAGTCTCCGTCACATCATGGAAAGGTTCCGGTAGAGACACCGTGACTGCCTTGCGAGAATCCGAGAGCTGTATCTGTGGTCGGATCGCATCGAGAGCTGGTTTCCGAGGAATCGAGATGTAAAGGGTGATTTGACGAATGTTAGGGAGAAGCTCAGCATGCAGGTAGAGGGGCACATCTGCATCTGTCTGCAGTGGTGCCTTGGACATGTCCACTGACGAATCTGAAACCGTCAATTGCTGGACCATGCGGTTTATGCAAGAGACGGCAGAAGTGTCGCGCAAACGCGGTCCTCAGACAAACAGCTCAAATATGGTCACGTGGTGAAGCGCCATCAATGTAAGTGGCCAAGCCAATTTGGGTCTATGGATTTAGCGGGCAAAAAGTATGGAGACAAATTATAAGAAAAGAAATCTGGACGAATCCAGTACTGTTGGTTCCAGAGGGGGTAACCCTCAACTTTGGCGTTATTAGCACCACACTCTATCCAACTGAGTTATGGAACCGTTGAAATATGTGCGCCACTTTGTTGTGCAATAAGAAGGGCCTGCTGTGGATCTCACTTGAGTCATATCCACAACCCTGGAGCCCAGCATTGATAGAAGCGAATTGAAATGAGGTCTCGATCAGGTCAAATCTTTGAGCAAAACCGTGAAGAATGTTCGGTTTCTGAGCTATTTCCATCTGCCGTGAGCGAGATTTTCTTCCCCAGCATGGCTGCAGTTACGCTACTACGAGGAATTCATTGGCTACGGGGCAGGTTATATATATATATCGTGTAACGATACAATGTCTTTTCCACGAAACCGCGCATCCAAAAGTAACGATGTATATGTACAAAACAGAAAAAACAGAAGCGCAAGCAAGGCATTGGCGCAAAGCAATGTTCTTTTGAACCGGCATAGAAACACATTAGTGGGTATAACCATGCTATTAAAAACAGAACAAGTCAGGGCGCAATGGTGGTAGGAAATCTGCATTAGTAGTCGTTCATTCAGAAAGGAAACACCAAGCATGAGAACCATTATTATCCGCCAAAGATGAGTAATCTAGTCATCGTCGAAGATCTGGAAAGTGTTGTTGAGAATTGTCTCAATGACGCGGACTTGCCAGCCAGCATCGGCAATGTTGCCACCGGAGTTAGCACCCATCAAGGTTGGTCTGCAGGCTTGATGTCAGTAAGAGCTCAGAAATAATGAGAAAAGGGAGCATACCCAAAGCAGATAGCAATGTTGCCAGCGTTCATGCGGTTCTGTGAAGAGTGTTCTTGAACCTTGTTGAGGTGCTGGGTGAATATTAGCAAATGCAATCAAATCAAGCAATGTCGGCAGTTGGCTTACCAAGATGATAGCACGCAGAGTGGCATAATGAGCATCAGGCAAGTTGTTGATAAGGGCATGCAATTTATCTCGGCGTTGGGTATCATCATCGACGCCTAAATTTCGAGTCAGCTACAATCATATCTCAAGGTTTGGTGGGATTATAACTTACGGGCAGCCTCGACGAACTGGGTGTAGTATTCAGATGTGAACAGAGGATCAGGAAGATCCCGGAAGAATTGCTTCACAAGCCCAGCGACACTATTAACATCATGATAGAAGTTTTCCGGATTTGTAAGGTCGATCTGCGACGAGTCTATGCGATCATTAGCACGAGATTCAGCTTTCTCTTGATGGAATGAAAGTGCTCACCGTTATCGAATAGCGCCTTCATGTGATTAATATGATTGGCACTGCCAGATAGTCGATAGATACCCTCCAGATCGAGACCGAAAAGCTCAATAGCCTGGAAACATTGATACACAATGAACGGCACTGCAGTTCCATCCCGGGCATACAAATCATCCAATGACAACCCAAATACGGGCTTCAGAGGAGGCAAGCTGGTCTTATCCATTTGCGGTGGGTGCATCATTGGCGCAGCACCCATTGGAAGAGGTTCATGAGATGGTGGCCCGGAGGGGTAAGGAGGCTGAGCTGGCTGAGCTGGCTGAGCTGGCGGAGGCGCAGGAGATTCCACTTGTGTTGGGTAGGGTGACTGTTGGAATCGATCGGTACTCCCCAACTGAGGGCTCGGAGAGACGTTTGGCTGGATGAATGCCGTAGGAATAGAGGATTGGCGCTTGGCTTGAAGACTCTGTTGCGAGGCTGCAGCTGGTCCGCCACCAAGAGTCTAGTTGATCATTAGCACGAGTCGAACAAGGAATCGATTTTGGCAACATACAGGGTGGCGTTGATATTGAACCTCTGGACCAGCAACGGCACCGGGGTTTCCTTCGTGGCTCAAGATAAAGTCATGCAAGTCTTTCTGATTGTCAACCTCGCGAATGACTTCGGCAAGGCTTTTAGGTGCAATTGACCCGTTCATTTCTGTCTTGATAGGGCTCACGCAAAGACCCTGGCCCAGCAGGAGCTTCTCGTTGAAAGTAGCTACAGTAAATCAGTAAGATTCCACATGAACTCTCCTTTTAATCAATACAAGGTAAAGGGAAAGGAGAAAAACCACATACCAAACTTCTGCTGCTGTAGAGTCAACCCCGAGTCGCACTCCGCAATCAGCTGCTGGAGATTATGCACGGCCTGAGGCCGGTGGGTGGCCACCAACTCCTGGCGAGCTGCCTGCGCCGCCTGAACCTTTGACGCATAATCCGCATCCGCATGCTGAACCTTTCGCAAAAGATCCTCCTCATGCTGCGCAGCGGACTTGTGACCCTTCAAGCCAAACTTGCCGCCCTGTTTGTCACCCGTGCGGACACGGTCGTACTGTTCTGCCAAAGAGTCGTACTTGGCCTTTGCCTTCTCCGCTTGCGATTCTGCATCGGCGACCTTCTTCTCCGCTGCCAATCCTGTCTGCTTCCATTGCTTGCGGCCGCGTTCGATATTGGAGGATAGCTCTTGTAAATCTTCGGACATCTGGTGGAGAGAAACGGAAAACTGCAAGCCACATTCGGCCATGCGCTCGTGCAGTCGGTGAATATCCTTGTAGCTGGAGCTGTAGGTTCCTTGGCGATTATCGCTGCGGAGCGCGGCATCGTTCACGGCCTTGGACAGTTTCCTTAACCCCTGAGCGTGTTCATCCTCCAATGCGCCACGCTTCTTCAAAAAGGTAGAGAAGTCCTGTCCATATCGGTTAATATCTGCTCGGTTTTCGTCGATTGACTCGTTGTTGGGGCGTTACGAACTTTGGCGGAGGCTACACTTTGCTTCAACCGAGCCAGGAGGGTAGTAATACCTATCTGCATGCGACACCGTCCGTATTAGCGAGGGATTCAGGATGCGCATACTTTCAAATAGCATGACATTTCTGAAACTCACCTCTGAATAAATAACTTTGTCGAGGCGTGCCTTAAGCTCGTCGGAAATGACGGCAGGTGGCTGTTCGGGCGTTTCGTGGGTGTGACCGGACGAGCGACCGGCGCTGCTCGGGGGCGCATCACCCAGCGTGGGCAACGCGGTCGGTTCTGGAAGTGCTGAGTCGGACATCATCCAGAGGTATTGATCGAGTCCGAAACAGAGGGAGGAGAGGGAGTATTAAAGGAGTGGGAGGCTATTATTATCGATGACACCTGGGTGGGCTTGGCAGTGGGGAGTACGGTTAGATGGCGATCAATGAGGTCAGACCACAGGGAATGCTGCCGCCTGCGAAGAACCCAAACTTCCGCCCAAATGCGCAGTTTTTAGCTTAGTCCCAGGTACAACTCAGCCACAGTCGAATCCACAATTGAAGTCCAGGGAATCATTTCTAAGTTTGCCTTTTAGTTTTAAATTGGAACTGGCATGGGATTACGTTGACCTGTAGTACAAAATTCTGAATCTTGAAACCTGAAACACGTTTCCTATGTCGTATGTCGTATGTCGTATTGAAGTTAAGATCATGGGGTAAAGGTTCATGACAATTCCTATACATTGTAAAGTCATAACCCTAATATTGTTTCAATGTTCTACACACGGACCTTAGGACCTGTTCGTTAATTCTGAAACAATTGTTCAATACTCCTCTTTATCTTCCAAAGCTGTGTCACCACTTTTTCTTGGTTCAAAAGCGACTTGTTGATGCTCGTATTGGTACCCCGTAAATCACAGAGAAATAGAGCAGTCCCAGCCCTAGGAGCATGCCCTAAATAGAAGAATTTATGCGTATTAATAATCTGACAAAGTCAACGATCTGGAGAAGATCGGATAGCCTCTTGACCCACATGCCACGGCCCGAGGTCAAAAGTGTTCTCCGCTGCAAAGTCCCGTGCTTTCATTTACTTTCAAACTCGATTACTGTAGTTTTGTCTTGATCTGAGAATCTGAGACATACCACTGATTCGTAAAATCTTCTTGATCTAAGGTTACTGGTCCTCGTTGTGATGTCTTGTGCAGCTTCCTAACTATCCTAGTCATCCCGAGGTCCCCATCATGTCCGGAGAACTCAACGTCGCTGCAGTGCTTCACCCGAAGCCTGAAAAGTTCCAGGAGGTTAGTTCTTGACAGCGCCTGTCATTCATTCCAGCATTTGAAGATTCTCATTGTCACAGGTTGCTGCCCTCGTCACTGAAGTGGTCAAGAAGGTCAAAGAGCATGAGCCCGACACCTTGCTCTACTATGCTTTCCAGGTCCAGGAGAAGAATGAGATTGTGATTATCGAAAGGTGAGACTATGGCTATGAACCCTCATCAGACTGGAATGCTGCATCTGCAATAGAACCGTGACTAAACTTCAATCGCTTCATTTTCTTAGATATAAGAACCAAGAAGCCATCAAGACTCATGTTAAAGCCCCCTATTTCAAAGAGTTCGCGGCCAAGATTCCAGACTTATCTGAAAAGCCCTGGGAGTTGCGAGCTGGAACATTCTTGGGAGGCGAGCGGGGAGTGTCGCGGCTGTAATCTAAGAGGCTGTCTTTGGATATAAATAGCGAGTTCCCTGTCCATTCCTGTAATCTTAGCGTTCCAGCCGCCAGGTTTCGCCCGTGATCTTGATCCTATGCGATTGGTGCATGATGCCAACCGGTTGGCGCCATCATTTAGCAATACGAATATCCTCATGAATTGAATGTCATTATTAATCGTATCGTAATAAGAATCAACCCGAAATCCGAGAGGTGAGAATGGTGGAATATAAATATTAAGAAATTAGTTGATGGAGTAACTGATCAATATTTAATGTGGAGACCTGGACCATTGCTGTTTTGAACCCGCGCGATCTTTTGTAGCAACTTGGGCTTAGCTGAATCCTTCATTTTCATCTGTGCTTTTGCTCTCCTTCTTCTCTTTCCTCTTTGATATTACTTCTCCACACTTTTCTTGGTTTGGCATCTAGGTAAGCTTGTCCATCCGCCCCTCATTCTTTTGCGACTTTGGTGGTCTCCACACCCTTTTCTCCCCCTCTTTCCCCTAGCTTCAACGTCGGCTCATCCCCTGAAGCTCCTGAACCAACCAGATCCCACATCGTTTGGGGTACTCGCTCTCTACGACCCGCGCCTTCATCGTTCTCCTTTTCCGTGTACATACTTTCACCATGGCGACGGGCCCGGCTACTCAATCGCTGAAGGTAAGCCATCGAATCAAGCATCTTCCCACTAGGACAGGCAACTAATTGGAGATTTACAGTGCGTGGTGACTGGTGACGGTGCCGTCGGCAAAGTCAGTAACCCCCCGAATCTGCATACCCTTTCAGCTCCAGTCGCGATGGAAAGATTGACAGGATTGTTCGACCTTTTTAGACATGTCTTCTGATCTCGTACACAACGAATGCGTTCCCTGGAGAGTACATCCCGACCGTGTACGTCTTCCCCCTTGGCTCGAATCATGCGACATGTAACAGGAGTGCTGACACCAGCTATACAGGTTTGACAACTACACTGCCAGCGTGATGGTCGACGGCCGGCCGATCAGCTTGGGACTGTGGGATACCGCCGGACAAGAAGATTACGACCGCCTCAGACCGCTATCTTACCCCCAAACCGATGTTTTCTTGATCTGTTTCTCCATTGTCAGCCCTCCGTCCTTCGATAACGTGAAAGCCAAGGTACGAACGTCGCACACGGGCCGCCTGAAAAGGGCGAAGATCCTCACTCTCCCCCTTCTGCTTCCACTCGACTAACATCATGATCGCAAATCTCCAGTGGTACCCCGAGATCGATCACCATGCCCCCAACGTTCCCATCATCCTTGTCGGCACTAAGCTCGATTTGAGAGACGATCGCGCGACCGCTGAAGCCCTCCGAGCCCGTAAGATGGAGCCCGTTTCGTACGAGCAAGCCTTGACCGTGGCCAAGGAGATCCGCGCACATAAGTACCTGGAGTGCTCTGCGCTGACACAGCGTAACCTGAAGAGCGTGTTTGACGAAGCCATCCGGTATGTGAAAAAAATCCCAGCTTTCGGCCCTGAATATCGCAAGAAGAAACTCATCGTATCATACAGTGCCGTTCTCAACCCGCGCCCTCTCACGAAATCTGGGCGCAAGAACAAATGCCAGATCTTGTAAAGGTGTTATGCATGGCCGTTTCCCTCTTTTCACGTATGCTATAATGAGTAATATATAGTTAATACGGCGTCCGGATAGCCTGAGGCTTTCGTGAAGGTCTCTTTTTGATGAATCCATTGACTCGTTTTCTCTTTTTTTCAATTTTTTCCTATTGGGGGCAACCACGTTCGTTTTGGCGATTTCACCGTTCGTTTGGATCTATAGAATAGGCATTTTGAGTGATTTTTCTATTCGATTCCAGTGCTCTTTTGAATCTATACATATTAGGTCGGTGATACTGCTTCTACTGCTTTACTGTAGAACCTGGATTGGAAAGGAAATGTTCATTGCATTCCACTATGCACAAAAGACGGAAATTGGTATCGTCTAAGGAAACATGAAAACATATAGCAAGGCTTTTTAGACCTCATCCCAGGATGTACAACAAAAGAAAAGGGACTCGGAAAAGAGTATCAAACAATGCAATGGACAGCCAGCTACCCAAGGTGTAGCTCTGATATAGTCCATAAACACCATCTACCACAACTGACCCCGACGACTGGGGTGCACACCGGCATACTTATCTTCATCAGCAGCAGGAGCAGGAGCAGCATCGCCACCACCAACCGCATTGGCACCAGTAGGACCCTTGCGTGCAGATCGCTTGTCATGATCATGCTTGTTCTGGACCTTCTTGGCTTCCAGTGCCTTGCGCTGGCGCTCATCGTTGAGCTTCTCGTTCTTAGCCTGGATCTTTGCCTTGCGGTGATCAGACTTAGCACCGCCGCCACCAGCACTATATCGTAAAGTCATGTTAATATATCTGATCGAACAAATCCTAACTGCGAGCATTCATGCGAAGCGTAACAGGTAGTCCAGATGCACAAGGAATTAAACTCACGTCAATTCAACATTGATGCGACGAGGCGGGTATTTTCCGTCGTCGAAGGTGGAGTGGTGGTATAGCTGGAGACAGGTCTTCATGCGATCGTAGTTGTCGAATTCGATGAACGCAAATCCACGGCTTCGGTTCTTGGAATCATCCTTGTTGGTGGCGACACGCACGCTAGCGGGAGGGTTCTTCTCAAAGTGTTTTGTGACGGACTCAGTGTTTGCAGAGAAGGGCAGGTTACCTGTAATTGTGGTCTTGATCAGTCGCAAATTCTTGTCTGGGGCTTTGTTATGCGACGAGAACTTACCGACAAAGCAAATGAATCGGGAATTCTTTTCTTGTGAAGCTTCCTCAGTCTTCTCGGTCTGCTCAGGCTGCTCTTCAGCATTGGCTTTGGTGTCATCCTCAGCGGCAGTCTCCTTCTTGGCCTTTTTCTCCTTCTTGTCCTTCTTCTCCTTCTTTTCCTTCTTCTCGCTCTTCTCCTCATTATCGCTCTTCTCTTCCTTGTCGCTCTTGTCCTTCTTTTCCTTCTTTTCTTTCTTCTCCTTCTTTTCCTTCTTCTCTTTCTTTTCCTTCTTCTCCTTCTTCTCCTCCTTTTCGTCAACATCCATCTTATCAGCAGGCTCAGCTTCGGCCTCGGCGAGCTTGCGCTTCTTTTCCTTCCGTTCCTTCTTTTCCTTCTTTTCCTTCTTCGCCTGCTTCTTCAGGTCCTCTTGAACGTCGTTCACCTCCTCGACATTGTCGGTAGCCTTGCGCTTCTTGTCACCCATTTTGAAGAGATTTGATAGGTAAAAATTGTAATTGAGGAATAAGGTAAAAAGAAAACCGGTGTCGCAACGCTCAAAAAATTTGGGCGGAGACGGAAGAGAAAATCATTTCTGCCGGCGATCAAAAGGGCGGTGAGATGATAACAGCCCAATTAGGTAATCTGCTCTATATCAAATTTCTAAATTAAAGGGTATGCACCTCGATTACAATTTGTAGTGCGGAAGATTGAATTAGATGAGCTCTAGGCTCAGTGTTCGTGACATAAAAACTGATCTATACTTTTAAGCGCCCGCCAGATGATCATACTCCAAAAAATATCAAAATCAAAAGATCAAGATCTGCGTCTTGTTCTTCTTCGCCGCATATCGCTCGCGCAATTCGGGACGAGTAAGCAGCTTCAGCAAGGGGAAATGAGTGTCCTTCATGTCAAAGATACCGCGCTGCTTCTGGTCAATGTGCGATCCATCAATAACAATGCGTTGCAGCTCATTCAGTTTCAAGTCGCCTATGCAACCCAGATTAGTAACGGCCTTGGGACCATTCATTATTGCGGGTAGCTTACCTGACTCGACCAGATCGGACACCCGAGTCGGCGTTCCGATGCCAATACCCATCCTAGAAACTCGTCAGCTAAATGTGAAATACAACGAGGCATACGAGCATATTGAGGGAATCCGTACTGCGCACGTTGGAGGAACTGCTTCGCTTCATCCAGCTTGATATGCTTTGCAAACAGTTTGCCAACAATAGATTCCCTGGTTTGGAAAGATCGAAGAGCCCTGCGTGCCAAATTAGCATTAGCGCTAATTGGTCTGAAGTAAACCCGTCCTTATCTTACCTGACAATATCTGCTGCTCTAAGGCCAGCGCCCGTGATCACAAGTGTATGAGGGGTGCCCTTTTGCTCCGATGCCTTTGACAAGTCTGAGCCCTTGGGACTAAATGTCTTGAGGAACTCGGGGAGCTTCTCCAGGGTTCGGGGTTCGGTGTAGGCGCTGGTATCGAGGAATGTGGAATCTGCGAATTGTCAGTGGTTCCCTATCAGACTACAACTAGCATACGAGAACATACCTGAGACAGAAAGATCATTCAGTTCAACTGCAGACAATTCCTTGTCCAGCTTCTGTGCCCTCTGGGCAAAGTAATCAGCCAGCAGCTTGCCATCCATCCGTCCAATAGACTCGTCGATGCCGTTCTTGCGATCCTGCGCATTCGTATCCTCCTGGGGTTGCTTCTTCTTTTGCTTGCGCTTTTTCTTGCTTGGACCATCTGCCGAGGCAGCCGGAGCTGCTGCAGGCGCTGTGTCGGGCTTGTCTTGCTTAGCGTCGTCTGCTTGTCTCTTGCGCTTCTTGTCTAGCTTGGCGGAAAGCCCTTTTTGTGCGGGAGCTTCAGTCATCTTGACTAGATCTTACAATCACTCTGTAATTGAAATTGCAAAAGAATTGATAATCGTAGTGATATCAGGTTCGAGCATCGCAAAAAAAAAGTCCGCTCGAAAATCCGCAGCTAAGTCAGCGGGCCCTTATCGATAAGAAATGTGGTCAACCAATCAAACGCGGGCCCGCATTGTTATGCCTGACGCGCCTCAAACACTTCAGATCTCGCCCGTTCCACTTCATTGTCTTTTAGGCCAATCTCACCATTCTGCTTCGCTAATTTGGGGGTTTTGGTGTCTATGATCCGATAGAAATCCTCGCTCAAGCTGCGGAGATGTCGACCCCGAACCCGCGTGGCCGTCAGTCACCGCGCAATTCGGGTGCTGGCACTCACACTCCGTCTGGAGACACAAAAGTGACAGGGGTAATCAATGTTTCCCTTGAACAGCTTGGGAATTGCTTTGCTGACTGCTCTTATTAGCTGCAGCGACTCCCGAGCCATACACGATACCCACTCACGCCCAGCCGCCTCGTCACTACAGCTACTCCATCTGCTCAAAGATCTGCTTCTCGATTTACTCCCCGGGCACGGGCTACAGGGGCCCCAGCAACTCCGTATGGACTTCGCGCACGACAGCAACGTGCTACAAACACTCCTGGCCGTGACCGCCGACGAAGTGGCAAGGTGCAGCGAGAGACGACGTTTGATATCCTAAGAAATCTTGGCAGAGCGCTTGCGCCTGTGTCTCGCCCGATTCAATCGTCACCGCAAGAAGCACCGCAACCCATCGAGGAGCCTAAAGATGAAATTGAGGAGCTCGATAATGAGCCGGTGATTGAGCCGCCACGCCTTTCTTTGCCTATTCAGGAGAGTGAGGATGGGAGCGAGGAAGCGGGCTCTGACACTCCGCCACCTCGGATGTCTTTAGCTTTCGATGATGATGATATCACATATCGGTCTGTTGAATATCCTCGGGATCTTGCAATACGAGATCGGGAACGACTTTCTATGATGCCCGGAAGGCCTAGTGAGAATTTCGGGGGTATACAATTAGAAAGTGACTCCGATGATGGAGATGATACGGGTATTGTGGGTGACTATGATGGCCATGAGGATACGATGATTAGTAGAGGCGATTTTGACCAAGGGTAAGTTGAGTGAGATTTCTATTGTCTATGGTACAGCATGGGCTAATATCACAAATAGTGGAGAGACGGAGGATCTCGGCCGGTTCCATTTTGATCTCGATTTTCCATCTCCGCCTCCAGCCCCAATTGAGGACACAGAGGATGAGCATTTGGGCGACATGGACGGATTCGAGTTGTCGGCACCGGATATTCAGCCCATTGCCCGCTCATCTTCAGATGATGATGCCGGCGGTGATTTTATGGGCTTTGACGGCTTCGATGTTGCACAGCCTGCTTCCCGAAGCCAGAGTCCCGGTATGATTGGCGGAGGCTTGCGAGACGAAGGACTGCCTCTGCAGAGCAAGGAGAAGAAGCTTTCTCGATATGGGATCCCTGTTCCAAACTTACCTACTGGTGTGGTCAAGAAGCTAGCTACACGTTTTGCGCGCACCAAAGCAGGATCGAAAACGAGACTCAACAAATCTGCAATGGCTGCCATTGAGCAGGCATCTTCGTGGTTCTTTGAGCAAGCGAGTACAGACTTGGCAGGATATTCCAAGCATGCGGGACGAAAGACAATTGACGAAAGTGATGTGACAATGCTCATGAGAAGGTCAGCTATGCTCAATTAAAGCAAGCCTATGAACAAGTGCGCTGACTTTAGCCCAGACAACGTCATATCAACAACTCGACAACCATGTTTTCCTTGGCGCAAAAATATTTGCCCAAGGAGCTTCAGCAGGATATGAGGCTAGCTATGCCGCCGTGAATGTCTTGCGCCAATCAGAAACCTATTATACAAAACTCCAAACACCGATGGGAAATGCGCCAAATATGAAATATCCCAACCAAGCCGACTACCAGTTCTTGTTCTGGCGAACTCGGCGCAAGGCCTCGTTAGGCTTTTTCCGGATAAGCATCCACATCATAATGGATGTCGCCAAAGAAAGGCCGTACCTGGAAAACATAAGCAACACGCTCGGGAGCTTCAAGGGTTCAAATGTATAAGATATGTGTGCTTACCATGTGAAGATGTACTGTGCGTGGTTGTTTCTCAAATTGACTTCTGCGGCGCGGCCAATGGGCATGCCCTTGGCTAGGCGGTCATACGACTCAAGAAGATCAGGCACTGCTAAAATAGTCAGTGTCTGGCGCATATCAGCAGTCCAAGGTTGGAATATCATACCCATAGTGCTCTCAATCCACACGGGCTGGCTGCCGCTCAGCTCAGCCATCTGCTCGATGTCTGGGAAGTAGAACTTCCCCTCCAGAGGCTTGTTTTCCGGCGTAAACATATTCTTCTTCCACGGCTCTCGTAGCAAACCCTCAACCGTAATCTCGCCCTCAAGCAGACTGTCGGGGCGATCCTTCTGATCAGCCAACTTCCTAGAAATCCAGCCTCGGTTCACGAGAACTGTGCTCTGGCCGTCCGCACGCTCGAGGGGAGTCACAACCATGAACCCATCCTCTCCTTCCAACATGCGAGGTCCAATGAGCATCTCCTTGTCATGTCGAAAGTGACCTGTGGCATACACACGACGGTAATCGAAATCGGCGATGGCCTCTGGATCGATGCGCGGCGGGAGGGGGAGCGGAGGCCTAACCAAGCGATCCTCGAATTTGGCAACCATCTTAGTTTTCTCGTCCAATCGCTTAACCTGCCATGTTCCCAGGCCAAAGGCGATAATTGGAATTAATGCTATGCACGAAATACTTGTCAGAAATGGGTTTGTCATATGATTCCAGACTGTAGGAACTGCGTGCCAGAATGCAACATACCAAGAATGATGAGTCCCGGTCCATGTTTCTGGTTGACCCGCACAAGTTTCGCGGGGTTGTCCACATCCAAGAGACCCTGATTCAGCTCCCGGGCTTTGGTGAACTGGCGCCGTTGTTGCGGACATCTAGTGCAGATCGAATCAAACTTTGAAGTCGCGTTGGTGTGTCGGCCCACCCGGATAGGCAGAGTCCACGTGGGAGAAGTTCTCTGTAAAAACAGAAAAGCCGGCCGCATTTTGAACAGCAAGGAAAGTGAAGCTGTTCAATTGGACAAAAGTGCAATGAACGATCGTTGATCGGGGGAAACGAAAGTCTATGCGGATTTTGGTTCGGAGATTCTAGGCGGTCACGCTGCGGCTTCCGCTTGTTGCTCTCCGCATCTCCACAGCTGTCTGCTTGCTGTTTAGCACTTCTCAAATTGACAATTTACTCAATTACTGGTATGCAATAATGACCGGTTTCTACGAAGGCAGTCTTCAAGATGGCATTGCCCTCGCCCTGAGGGAAACAAAGGCCGTTGTTTGCTTCGTTCGAGGTCAGTGATAGTGATTCCCCGCATGCGAGAGAGCCGGCCACCTAATCGCGGTGCATGTGCAGACGACACGCAGACGAGCTCGACGTGGGAAGAAGAGTATTTTGATGGCGAAGAGGTATAATTCATTGCGTTATGCATGATATCCCTCAGGGCTGGGTCATTAATTATGCTTCTAGATTGCCCAAACACTTGACGCCGGAGCAGTTCTATTACGTATTACCGCCGGATCTCAGGAGGCTGGCTTTTTAACGTCGCTATGCCCCATCGCCAAATTTCCGACAGTTATCGTTATCAAGTATGTCCAAACAATTATCTCGTGGCATTAGATCGCCCCGGCTGACCGGTTGGGATGGCAGCAATGGTACATTAAAGGAGTACCTCGTGCCGGATATCTCAAAGGATGCCTTTCAGAGCCGGCTTGGGGTAGCTGTGAAGGTTCAAAAGCCTTCAGAGCCTGTTCAACAATCACAAAGTAGCGCTCAAGCTGTAGCCCCTGTCCCAAATGTTACACCGAGACAATATCCAACATACCCAACACCACAGGCCGCCCGTGTGGCTGCCGCTTCAATCCAGCCGAACCCCCGTGAGGACAACAACAGTACAGGAGAAAGTGCGACAAATAATGCGAAGAAGACTGTACCAGCAAAGCCCCAGCCGTCAAAAGAGGAGCACAAGAAACCGATCGCCAAACAAGAAAAGGTACCCTTAAAGTCGAAGCAGACTATTCCCAGCAAGAAAGCCATACCCTCTGGCGAAGAGCGCAAGCCACAGTCACCGGTGCCCCGTGGACCCCCCAGCCAATACCGACTCCAAGTGCGATTATTCGATGGAAGCTCTGTTCGGTCCAGCTTCTCACCCACACAGACGATTCGCAGCGATGTGCGTCCCTGGCTGGATGGGCAAATGGGCACTGAACAGCGCCCATACAACCTTAAGCATATCTTGACTCCTCTTCCTAGTCGAACACTCTCCGTATCTGAGGAATCTCAGTCACTTCAGGACTTGGGGCTGGGATCAACCGCTAACCTGGTCATGGTTCCCGTTTCTTCCTATACAGATGCATACTCAGCTGCAGGGTCAAGCTTGCCTGTTCGGGGCATCTCGGCTGTCTACAACGCTGTTTCGTCTGTTGCAAGCACTGCCACAGGCCTCGTAGGCTCGTTCATTGGATATGGACCGACCGCATCAGCCGCAAATGGGAGTGGATCACCGCCTGCATCTACATCTGCATCCTCGGAGAACACTCAACGACCACGCAATTCGGGACTTAACATTCGGACTCTAAGGGATCAGCAGAATGACCGGAAAGACAGTCAATTCTACAATGGAAATCAAGTAAGTGACTTTCTGCTCGTCTTGCATATTCCGACAACTAACTGTTTGAAAGTTGAACTTTGAGCCACGGGATAAGGATAGGAAGGACAATTGATTAAATTCGATGGTTAGCTACTCTACAACAGAGCAAGTCATGACTGTAGTCTGATTGCATATGATTACTTATTTGGGCTACTGTATCTTGATGGGAGTTTCCACACAGTTGTAACAATGGGTAGCAATCGCTACAGCACAGCGTCATAGTCATCTCCATTTTCGGTACTGAATATTATTAATTTGGATCCCGGCCTTCTACATGTCTTTTAAAGTAATTAAATCTTTGAATTGATATTAATTTGTGTCTCTTGAGCAGCCACGAGTGGACATGTCTGCCATCAGCTCTAAGCCAAGAGAGCAAATCTTGATTGGATATAAACTCGAGGAGAGATGGTATAGTGTACAGAAGCGCGATACCAGAGTCGCGATGCAGAATGATTACATCCAGTAAGGGAATATAGATGAGGATATTGCATTAAAAAAAAAAGACCGACTATTCATTCCCATCGGGAAACGTTTAGTACGGCTTAGCAGCAGCCTGGCAAGCCTTCTATAAGATTGTTAGCAGCAGATCCATCATTTGTAGTCCCAGAAAATTAGGATCGGACAGGATCGGAATAGAAACGTACCAGCTGGTCCATGTACCAACCACAGATGCTGATGTTGCCGTTGTTCTCATCCATGCAGTTGCGGAAGTCACGAACGTTGGCCTCACAGGCAGGGTTCTCCCAGGTCTGGTTGGTAGCGCTGCTCTGCCAGAGACCGCTGTCCATACCCTGCGATTGGGCAGGAGGAGCCTGCTGGGCCTCAGCGGGGGCGCTGGAGCCACCACCGCCGAAGAAGCCACCGATGGCGTGGCCGATAGAGGAACCGACTGCGACACCACTATAAATCAAGAACGGGTATGTTAGCGGCGGTTTCTGGAGAATAAAAATGATATATATAGCCCGGGAGTTACCCGAGGTTGAAGCCGGAGAAAAACCGTATCAAAATAACCGGGCCAGATTTGGGGTTTGGCACTTACGCAGCGGTGGAAGCCATCTGGCCGAAGAGACCGGGACCGGCGCTCTGCTGAGGAGCGGCCTGCATGGGAGGAGCCTGGTGCTGGGGAGCGGCGGCGGTCGAGTGAGGCGCCTGCTGCTGGGAAGGAGCCGGACGGGCGGGAGCAGCGGTAGGGCGAGAAGGAGCGCTGCGCGCCGGGGTGGGAGCGGCACGACGTTGTTGGCGAGGCATTGTGATGTGTGTGTGTAGTGACGATGATTTACTGAAGATCTCGGTAGTTGGCAAGAAAGAAGAGTAAATATAAGGATTCCAAGTGGAGACTGGAAGAAGCTAGAAGCTGAGTCAGTCGGCGAACAGGCAAACTCCGATGCAAATTCTATGCATTGTGATTGGTGCGAGCGGGTTATATAATCCGCAAATCCATCACGTGGACCCGGACATTGCGGGCATTAACGGAATTTCTACTCTACGAAGTAAAGCGGTCGCGGTTCAATAGGCTTGGTGGGTATCTAAATCATGATGTACAAATATTGAGGAGACATGGAGATTAATGAAAATGAATAAGCCTCATGCATGAACTGCAGTACCCAAGAAACCAAATATAGCTCATCGGCAAAGACATCAAAAACGTTGAACGGAGTTTGAGGATCAATGGGCCTTGCAGACAGTGGCGACAATATCGTTTCATGCTGTCTTTTTAGCCTTACGAGATTTCTCCTTCTTCTTTCGTCGCTCTTTCTTCTCATCGTCGCGTTCGGCTTTGTTGAGCTTTCGTGGCTTTTTGCTTTTGGCCTTGGTATTTTGTTCCTTTTTCCTTAAGATTTTTTCTTTCTCTTTGTCTGAACCGCTTGGTTGAGCGTCGGTGTTCGTTTCTTCCTCGGAATCGAGGTCCGAATCGGCTGTGGACTGTGCGGTGGATGGTGCAGCACTGGAGGCGCCCTCGTTTTGGGCTGCGGAGTTCTGTGCTTCTGCGGCCATCTTTTTGGCTATCATGGCAGCCTTTAAAGAAGCGCGTGCCCTCTCCTTGGCCTCTCTTTCCGCTCGCTCCAGATCGTATTTCTCATTACCAGCCTAGATATAATCAGTTGCAGGTCTTGATACCATAGTAAGATTGTAACTCACAAGACCATGTTTGACAAATCTGTTTGCAGCCCCCTTATCAAGTGTCATTTTTCGCTGCTCGGGCTCGGTTTCTAGGGCCTTGATCTTCTCAAAGTATTGTTTTACTCGGGTGAGCTCCCGGAACACGGGACGTTGTTTAGCATCAACGCCATACAGTCGTAGATAACCTAGAGATGTGTTAGCATAAGTCGAAGCAGTGCTTTCTGGTCAGAACATACAAAAGAGTAGAGACTCGAGTGTGTAGGTGACGAGGACATGAAGTTTAGCTTTGTCCATCACGGGCAAATTTTTGGAGGTCTTTGACAAGGATTGACCCAGGAGGGGTTCGAGAACCTCCTCCAGATCATCCACATGGTCATCTAACTGCTCAAGCAGCGGCAATAAACTTGCTGAATCCATGATGTGGGTGAGTGAACGCAGCAAACGTGGATTTTGCGACAAGAAAAATTATGGCCGGTGCAACTGAGGCGGTGGTTGCGGGCGGTGGAGCTTCGCGGCCTGGATCGTTTTGCGCATCACTTTTCTGCATGCTAGCGCGCGACATTTTTTCTCGCCGAGGTTCGCCAATAATCTTTTTGGCGGGAGAATACAAAGCATGCTCGATCAAGTGCTTCAAATTTGGGCACCAATTGCAATTTGACCACTTCAATCCACCTGGTACCGAACCTACTTCTCAACCACCCGTCTCCGAACCTCCGACACCTACTCGGGGAGCCTCCCCCGACAACTTTCAAAGTGTTTTCCCTACTTGCTCGCCGCCCGCTATGGCGGAGTGGGCTTTCTGATATATGTCACCAAACTCGCTCCCGAATAAGTGAAAGGCCGGTGGTCCGATACGTATCGACGTGGATGAACGATGTGGAAGACGTGTCTCGCGAGACTACAAAGCCCCCATTGTCCGGGCGAGTACATATTCTCGGTCTTGGAAATGTGGGCTGCTTCATTGCACATGCCCTGGCCTCCAGACCATCCCGACCACCGATAACATTGCTTTTGCACAATTGGTCAGTCTACCAGGCTTTCCGCCGCAAGAAGAAGAGCATTTCCCTCCAGTACAACGGATTGGATGATATCAAGACTGGGTTCGATGTTGAAGTTCTTTCCGATGGCGTATGGCATGAAGTATTGAAGGAGGAAAGCAAGGAACAGATTGAGTCTGACATTCCCTTTGATCAAGTCGAGGATATCTCGACGGATGTAAACTATGAGCACATCGAGTGCTTGATTGTTACTGCCAAGGCCAGTGTTGCAAAAACGGCTATCAAGTCTGTCAAACACCGCTTGACAAAAGACTCAACTATTGTCCTTATGCAAAATGGCATGGGAGTTGCTGAGATGCTCAACCATGCGATATTTCCGAATCCAGAAGATCGCCCGACCTATGTACAGGGCGTCGTCAGTCACGGTCTGACTAGGATCGACAAATTTCATGTTTCCCATCTTGGTGTTGGTACAATGGTCTTCGCGCCGAGCACTACGGAGAAAACCCCAGCGCTTCTGGCTGAGGACGATACTCATTGGGCCCCCACCACAAAATATGTTTTGCGCCTGTTGGCCCTGACTCCATCTTTGGTTGCTACAACTGACACGCCTGCTGCGCTACTTCAATACCAACTCGAGAAGCTGGCAGTGAACTGTCTAATCAACCCCTTGACCGCGCTTTATGATTGTACGAACGGCGAGTTGCTCTACATCTTTAATGTTACCCGAACCATGCGCTTGCTTCTCTTCGAAATCTCGAGCGTAATCTACGCTCTTCCTGAGCTTCAAGGAGTTCCCGGGATCGAGGAGCGGTTCTCTCCTGAGCGTTTGCGTCGACTCACAATGGCTATTGCCAATGATACCTCACAGAATACCAGCTCAATGCTTCTTGATTTGAGATCGGGGAATGAGACCGAAATTGAACATATGAATGGCTGGATTGTGAAACGAGGAGAGGAGCTGGGCATCAAGTGTGCGTTGAACTACATGATGAGACTGTTGGTAAAATCCAAGGTTATTGTACATCAACGCCGAGGCAATGCATCTATCCCACTTGCTACTGAAGGTGTCCCTTCGGTTGTTGATTTTGCCGATCAGATTACGACCACCAAGGCAAAATGATCGAAATCCACGAGAATGTTTTGCATACCTTAATCGGCATTATATTCGCAAAAGCACCAGCCTCATGGAGGCTTCTATTTTCATCAAGTGCTTTGATCAGTCATCTAGTCCGACCGCTGAAGCGCGCTCACAGATGTCTTTGATCTGTCCCCAGCGACGTAGCAAGGTCTCTGCCTTTTGACGGTGCTTTCGAACTACCTCGTTAGACTCAAGAGCTACCCTTATTGCGCCCATTGTTGCATCGGCTTCCGAGGCATATGTGTGCAGCCAACCCTTGATAATGGTTTCCGACTTCTGGGCATCCACATTCTCAGTCGAACCCTCGAGAACAAAGTTCCTCCAATCTTCCTCCTTCATGTACATTAAACACGCTGCAACTTCGGTGCGGTAACAAACCCCGTAGGGGGTGACTTGATATTCACTGTCAAATATTAGCGAAAAGGGATCCATGTACCAAAAATTGCTTGATTCGAGAACAGACCCATAATATTGGTTGAGCCACAGCTCTTCCTGCTTTTCTGGGCTGTCAATGTCACGGAAGACAACGTCGTCAAGGTAGATGCAATCTGAATCGTTCTTCTCGAGGAAGAAGCCATCTTAAAGGAAATTAGCATGGTGGACACATCATCGTATCATGACGAGGCTCACATTCGGCCAAGAGGAAATCATTGGGATGACTTCCATAACTCATATAGACTTCATCGCCCTTCTCATAATCCTCTGTAGCTCGAAGGGTATATTCGGTCTCATCAAACTTCACATCACACTACATTACAATTGAGAATGTCAGATCAAACACCTCACGTAGTCATCGCCAAGAATCACATACCTCAACATCCGAATGATTGAAATAGTCCGCAAAGGGCAGCAAAGCCATTGCATCATTCCGATTCTCCGGTGGCTCTTGATCAGGTCCAACCCAATAGAAACTTCTCGTATTGAGAATGAGCCAGTGGTAAGAAAAACTCCGCCAGTCAGTCTCCGGAAGAACCGAAGTGACATCCGTCCATGCCTTGCGTAGCCGTATCTCCTGCTGTGGCTCCAGTTCCTGGTGCTCTGTTTCGTACTTCTTCGTCCGAGGTCCTTTCTGAATGGAGTTCCACCGACCAGCGATACAAGGGGGAAGCACGTTCGGGATTGGAACCGAATCACTCGCGTCATCACTGTCTGGCCAGGCGAGACCGCCTAGTTCCCTTGGCCAGAGCAAGGGCAAACTGTCCTCAAAGTCTTGACGTGTTGGCCAGGCTTTAAACCACAGCTGATACTTTTCAAGTTCTTCTTCGCTGCCGTGGGTCAAGAATGCAGCCATGATTGATTGCACGGCTGTGCCTTCGGGGAATTGGGACCTGAATGGCTCAGGAACTTGGTCCACTGTGAATATCACATTTGTAGGTACTTGTACAACAGCTTCACCTTTCTATACACGGAAGTTTGATCAGTATATTTTGCAGTTCAAATTGGCTTGTTGCGTCCTACGTTGATTTTGCGCGTCGCCATCATTCCTAGGCCGCGTCCTGGAAAACGCGCCGGAGTGACTGCATCGGTCATTACACCTTGGGATAGAGCCCATTCAGTGAAGGCTTCATGATTGGCACCAGGCAGATATTCGGGATCCATTTTTAGAAGCGTCACTGGAAGCCCTTCCAGAGAAATTCTGTAGATCTTGGATTTGTCAAAAAAAATATATATATGTACAATAAGCACAGCGATTATGGGAACTTACCAAACGCTTAATAATAGGCAAAAAAAATAGTTGTGGGGGAGAAAAAGTCTCAAATTCAATTTCAGAGAACTGACAACCATAAGCCACCAATCTGAATGATCAATGAAGAGTGTCAAGTGCCTTGCAGATCAGATCCAATGAGGGCTGTGGAGTAATGTTTTTATCGATAACCCGCTTATCGGTCATATAGGGCAGCCGATAGGGACCTGGTGCGCCGTATTCCCGATTGTCGTACGATCGTCTCGATTTCACCTTCTCAAAGCTGGTGTTATCTTGCTTGAGGGTTCACCATGTCTGTCCTTGGGAAGCGCGGAGCTTCCGAGCTTCGAAATTTGGCTGTGTCAGGTCATAAGCTTTCCACATGCACGTTGCGCCCTTTCTCCGTTCTCAACCGCCCGCCACCAAACTATCCTGGCCATGTCCCATTGACAACCATTGAGCGAGGTGCGCTGGCTGTGGGCTCAGCAATTGGGTCTCTGATCAATCCTCGCAGAGCAGGTATGGACCTATTTTATACTGAAGTTTCTTTTTCCAAGCCTGATTGAAGTCCTATACTATACTTCTATAAATAAACATGACCACTAATTAGCTCTAGACCTGATTGCAGCTCTCGGCGAAGCAACGGCAACTCCGTACTTCATCTACCGTCTCAGAAATGCTATGCTTTCTGATCCAACAGGCCGCCGCATCCTACGCGATCGTCCGCGCATCACCTCCGACACTCTTCAACTTCCCTACCTCCGCACCCTCCCCGAGAACTCCGTTGGCCGAACATACGCTACATGGCTTGACCGCGAAGGTGTGTCACCTGACACTCGGGACCAAGTCTACTACATAGATGATGAAGAATGCGCCTACGTTATGCAGCGGTACCGGGAGTGTCACGACTTCTACCACGCGGTTACAGGACTCCCCATTTTTGTAGAGGGTGAACTGGCATTGAAGGCGTTGGAGTTCTTGAACACGCTCCTGCCAATGACGGGCTTAAGTCTGTTCGCCTTTGTGAAAATGAAGCCTGCCGAGAAAGAGCGGTTCCTGACACTGCATTTGCCGTGGGCAGTGCGGAGTGGACTTGGGAGCAAGGAGTTGATTAATGTATACTGGGAGGAGGTGTTGGAGAAGGATGTTGATGAGCTGAGGGCAGAACTGAATATTGAACGCCCGCCTGATCTAAGGGATATCCGCAAGATGATTCGGCAGCAGCAGAAACGAGAGAAGGAGCAGCAGAAGCAACAGCAGATGTCGGGCTGAACATGTCGCATGGGAGTTGAAATCTCTCATCCTCTTACTACCTGCCCAGCAGGCAATTGTGTACGATTATCGCTTATGTATAAATATCTTCAGCGCGAAAATAGAATTATGAACGTCAGATTAGACGAGTAAACAGACCGGAACACCTGAAGTGGATTTTTGAAGCCAAAGAAGGCCAGGTAGAATAGACGACGCACCCCCCAAGGTTGTACCAACGCAGTAATTAAAAAGGAAAGACCGGCAAGCTATGACTCAGTCACTGCACCAGTCTAGTTCTTACAGGTCAAGTAGATCGTCGTCATCGTCCCAGCCGCCTTTGCGCCGGGTGATCACGATCTTGTGTTCTTCCTCCTCCTTGCGCTGGTTCTCGGCAACCGCATTCAAAAGCTCTTTGAGCTGGTCCTCGGAAACCTTCTGTCGTAGCTGGCCAGACTGAGCTAGCATGATGAGTCGGCTCTCGATGTCGTTTGCGCGCGATTCCTTGACGAGACGAATACGACCGAGACGGTCTGCGGCGGCGGGCTCGAGAATCTGGCTAAGAATAGAGGCACGGCGGTCGGCTGGTATTTCGTATCGAGTCAGAAAAATGACCGTCCATTAAGCCTGTACTTGAAGTTCAGGTGGTCGATTGGATGCGTCAGGCCTGTCTCCGCGGGATAGCGATAGACGAATAATTAGGAAGTCACCTACATTCAGCTTGTCTGGCGCATAGCTTGTTAGTCGCTAATAAGTACTTCAGCACAGAAGGCATGTATAGACTCACTTTCGCTGTTCTTCCTGGCCGCCATCTTGGCTGGGTCCTCCGCGGGGACCGCCCTGTTGAAGCTGTGCAAGACGAGCTCGCCTGATCTGTGTCGCATTTAAGCATTTAAATTCATTCATCCGAAAATTTTCTTACCTCTTCCAGCTCTGAGTCTGCCATGCTGAGAGTTGATGCACGTGAGCAGAGTCAATATGTTATGAGATGTCAAGTTCCCGAATCGAGAGAGAAGATTGTGGTAACCCCACCTCTTCCGCCTGAGGCTGCCACGCGGGGGAAATCTAGGCGTCAAAGGTCCTGAATATCTATATGAGTAAGATAGTACATCAATTTCAATATCAACTATTGTAAGTGAAAAAGGAATGCTATCTCAGATTCCTCTATCTTAATTTTGCTTCTATAATTTCTTATTCCCTGTCGGATTTAAAGTCCGTGTGCCTGTCCATGGATATAGAACCCGTGTGTATAGATGCATTTATTGATTTTTCATCTTTATGCCTTGTTGGTGTTCATATGCATAATAGTGTTATCTAATTCAACACTAAACGCCACTATCCTCCGCGTAGCGTAAACGTCTAACCCGTAAACGAGATAAGGACGCGTTACAAAATTGCTGGGGAGATTACGTGCTGCGCCCCCCTCTTTTCCTCGTGTTTCGTGTAGTTAGCGGGGGCAAAGTTCAAGAGCAATCTTTGCCTTCTCTTTAGTCTAAAAAATGAGATCCAAAATACCCGAGTGGAACGGTGCGCGATCGGCTGGCATCATCCGGGTTAGTCGCGACAGACTATTTAGTATGGGAAAGTTTGTCAAAAACATAGTTCGATCGGAACCCACATGCGTTCGGGGTGGGTATACCGATCCTCAACAGAAGACAAGGGGGAAAATAGGCACAGACTCTGCATAAAATACTCCGTACGAAGTGAACAGAGAGAAATTAGAAAGTGAAACAAACAAAATAAATGAAATCGATTCGTCACGTTCATCTAGTCGATCACCTGCTTCCGGGTGTGATAGCCCAATGACTAAGCTGGGCATATTCGCCTCTTCCTGCGACCCCGATCACATTTGACCTTTCTATCCACCAGGGGAATTTCTATCCCATTTTTCCCTCTAATTCTTCTCTCTCCTTCACTCTCCTTATTGTCAGTCCTTTCACCATCGTCAAATTTCTCCACCCGGGACCGCCGTCTTCCGGTCCGCCCGAACTCCCGTTCGCTTCGATCATTTGCGGGGACCTCGAAAGTCCAATTCTTTCCTGGCCCGTGTGAATGGCTCAGGTGCCTTACTGACCAGAGTGTTGCTTGGGTGTGAATTGGTGGATTAATCCGTTGAGAACGATAAAACCCCCGGCGCTCATCTCACATTCCTTCGACGCCGTTTACGTCACCCATCATGGCCGAGTAAGCCTCCAGTGGAGAGAAGACCCAGTTGTATTAGACGATCGCTAACCGTTTCGGCAGCCTTATTGCCTTTCAGACATACCACCATAGCAATCTACTGCCACCCTCGAGCTCGACCATGATTCCTCGTCACGCCCATAAGCGGTCATTATCCTCGGAGTATCGAGGCCTTACCCCCGAGAAGACTGTCACCAAGGCCAAATCTACCACCGATCTCTCCGAAACAATCTCCAAAAATGGCTCCAACTCCCAATTGGCCAGATATGAGGAGGACAGTTTCAACACCTTGCAGGATCCTCGACTGGCTATCAAAGCGGAGGTTTCACCGTCGACGTCATCAACCCATCACCCCGACCTGAGCAACGAAGTTGCAGCACTAAGTGTGAAACTGATTCAGGCGATCAATAACCAAACACAGTTGGACGATAGTCTGGGTGCTACGCGCCAGGAGCTAGAATTGGCCCACGGCAAGATACAGGCGTTGGAGTTCCAGAATGAAAAATACCGACGCGACATCGACGAAAAAGTCTACATCAGAAAAAGCGATTCGGACCGTGAGATCATGCAGTTGGGGGCTGCGCTTGCGGAGGAGAGAACGCAGCGCGAAATCGTCGAGAAAGGGAAGAAGACGATTGAGCAAGAACTCGAGGCCCTCACTGCAGATCTCTTCCAGGAGGCCAACAAGGTGAGAATATCTCGGTCTTTTCATATCCTGCTTTTTTTACTTTGAGCTCATTCTGATTATCTTAGATGGTTGCTGCGGCTAAGATTGAACGAGAAGCGGTTGAGAAAAAGAATGAGCAATTGCGATCTCAGATCAAAGACACCGAGCTGCTCCTCGCATCGCATCAGGATCAGCTGGCAGAACTCAAATCGGTAATGCAAGGGATGCATCTTTCTAAGGATGACGTTGATTCCCGCACCGCGTCCACCGCACCTTCATCTCCGGCGGGGCCATTTCAAACGCAAGGAGCCACGCAGGAACACGAGCCGAACCATGCTGTTGCAGCCCCGTGTAACCCAGAAGAACTCATTCCTGGCCCCTCGTGTAATTTCCCCGAGATTCTTCGGATGGTGTGCCGGACTGATCTGCAAGCCTATGATGACTTCCGAGAGCTACTTACGCTTTCCCGGAGCTCTAAGCCCCCTAGTCGCGCTGGCAGTGGCTCATATGCAGGCTTGAATGTTATGAGCTTAGCTGGCTTCGGCTCGGGTTCAGCCTCTGCGAACAACTCTCCTACCAAGGGAGTTACTAGCTCTCCAAGTAGCTTGGCGTCTCAACTGGGCTCGCATATCCCTTTGAAGGACACTCGGTTCTATAAGCGGGTGCTTATGGAAGATATTGAGCCTACATTGCGGCTTGACTTGGCTCCAGGGATTTCATGGCTTACACGACGTACGGTGATAAGCGGCATTTGTGAGGGAACTTTGGTGGTAGAGCCAATGCCAACGACGACAAAGAAATACGAGTTCCCCTGCACCGTCTGTGGCGAGCGCAGACCGGGCCCGCAAAATGAAAGAACTCACCGGTTTCGAACTTCGGAGAGTGAGACAGCCCAACGGTACTCATTATGTATTCAGTGTTTGGAGCGGATTCGTTCGTGCTGTGAGTTCACTGGGTATTTGCGGCTGATCCTTGATGGGCACCTCAAAGCTGGTGACAACGACGAGGAGAAGGAAATCTGGGAAGAAACGATTCGACTCAGAGAGCGAATGTTCTGGTCCCGTATTGCGGCTGGCGTTGTTCCACTAGTCCGCCGGGCCGCCGAGTCTGAAGCTGAAGTGGAAACCAAAGAATTGAACGTGAATGTCTCGGAAGAGACTCGCGAGAGTGGGCTTCTCCACCCTACAGACAATGCCATTGTTGAGTCTAAACCATATGATATGTCTGGATCGTTTGAGTCTACCCAGAGCCAGAGAAACTCAAGCATTTTCGCTCCTTCTCTTCCTGACTTTGATATGGCCAAGCCCGGGACACCTGATCCTCACAGCTACCAAAACGCGGAGATCGATGATTCCACTTCTGATGTGCCTCAAAGACGAGGCTCTGTTGATTCCGACGTCAGTGTTTACGAAGAAGCCAATACTCAGACTGAATATACGGAGTCCGAAGAAGCCCAGACCCCCACCGTTCATGAAAAAGAAAGCGCCGAAGTTACTGGCCAAAGCAGTCAATGAATCATAGTTGATGCTAGCCATCAATATGAATACCCATGATTCGCTTGACCAGTGCTTCTTCATGACCCATCTCGATGCATTTCCTTGGCCCTCCTACATTTGAGCATATTCTGGCAAGACACTGATAGACCCTACTTACTTTCCCTGCAGCAATGCTTTATACGCTTTTAATTATCCAGCTCGACCTACCCCTCATCCTTGTTGCATTTGCACACCCTTCGTCGATATCCCTCTTGATTTGAACAATTTGCTTCATCCATGTATTATTATTACTACCTTACCCCTACCATGTATTCATAATGTCTTGTTTCCTTTTGTGTCGCTGACATTGATTGCTCACATTGTCACTTGCATTGCATCACTGGAATGTGATACCTAATGCAAGTCCTTGTTTTCTGCTTTGGCCGAACAATCCCGCACACAAAGTGATGGTTACTCATGCTTCATCTATCTGCTTTTGTTGGCGTTTGGCTTTATGTTCCTTGTTGTTGCATTCTCTGGGCACAAACTCCCGAGAAATTGGACTATTGAAAATAGATGGCAATCAAAGATTGTTTAGGATCCAATACATACCATATCATGCAAACTGCCTAGCTACAATTCCAGGAAGAAACATAATTAAACAGGCTGGGGGTATTATATCATCTAGCTGAAGGGTATTGATACTGTGTCTGTTTATAGAGCCTACCTGCATGTATGTCGAGTCGTTTCAATTTCATTGACCAATTTGCAAAATCTCAAATTTGTCTGTTGGATTAGATGGATCTAAACCAATGCGGCTTACCTGGATGAGAATGTATGACCAAGAATGAACAGGAGAGACGGGTTGACATTCGCAAGAGAGGAGGGGGGCTTTATATCGAAGATTGCGCCTTCCCAAATCAGATCATTGACAAACGAAACATCCTATGCAAATCAACCCAACACTTTCAGAACCCGTGATAGATTAGGCCATTGGTCCTTGCCCCAAGAGACCATCGGAAGCTTGTTTCTCTCATGATCGGGGTGAATCACTACAAATCTCCAAGGTCATCAATTTCATGAACAAGTTCAGAATTAAAGTTCAATCCTCATGAAAGGGTTCACAGTAGGCTAGAGTCAAATTTCATTCTATTCATTGAGCTACATCGATTTGGTCCTTGGGGGGATCTTTGGTCGCATAGAAGGTCACATGATGACCCGGGACGCAGTTATCTGTGCGGACAATGAGTTTTTGCTGGCCTGATATCGATTAGATCGCGTTCAGACCTCTACCTTGCTAGAGAGCCTAAGCATTTGTGGACTCCCAAAGTTGGTTAAAGATCTCGTATTCGAAAGGTCCTAGTAAATGCATAGGTTACAACGGAATAGCCCTAACAACGGAGTAAACCCACCGAAATACCATACACGGTAGAACAGACGAGCGCTTACTGTGTAGGTATCAAACAAGGTTTATGATGGGACCTTCTTTCATCTATAGCATAGCCCGTACGGATTGACTTCAAATAAAAGTATATACGGACTGTACTACCTTTCTAACGGATCATGTCCAGACACTCCTTCAATACGACCCGAGGACTTATTCCCCGAAACCCAACAGGCTGAGCATAAGGGGAACTCGTATGAGTGGGTGCAGGATCGGAGATGCAGATGGTAAGCAATGAGGCTGAGCTTGATGTTGGATCTAAGTTGAGTAGGGGCTGAAATGCGTGCGTTCTATTGGCTGATATGAAATGTTTTCCAGTCTTACGCACCGAGACCCGTTTGAAGATCCACTTGTCGAATTGTCGATCGTGATTATTCATGCCGTTTACAATAATACCTTGGCGGTACTTTCTGTGAAGTGGCGCTAGATGGTCCTGTACTATTCTGATTTAATGTATTGAGCAGGGACTTAGACACTTAATGAGCCTCAAAATTTAGATTTGTATAGCTAAGTCAAATTCCACGTATATGGGAGCATGTCTCGCGTAATGGGCTGAAACTTTGACAGGTACCATGCCCCTAGTCCATAACCCCTGTAGCTATCAGGGACTTGTATGTTCCACTGTGCTGTACTTGAATATTCACCGACTTGGCGCAGGACTCTTAGTCATTTGTTTGTAAAGCTTTGGATCATTCGATACACTATGCAGTCTACATTACCTAATGCGGAAGGAACCATGTCCAATAAGGTACGATCGAACTTGCATTGAAGACAACGTGGCGACTAGAATAGTTTTGCTACGATTACTCAGAGGAACTTGAATCAATTAACTTTGAACTCCCAAGTCTCCGTAATTAATCACACTACCCACCATCTCAATACCACTTTCCAACTGAGATGTATGCCATCCATGGGGATCTATTCAATTCAACAGCCACGGATATGGTAGATGAAAATATCTCCACTATGAACTATGATAAAATGGAAAGCAAGGCTTCTAGTAGCCCTGGACAATTTATGCAAAATCCAAGGCATGTTCACTCCGCTTTGAAAGATGGGCGTAAATCAGAACTAACACGAGTTAGTCGAGGAGAACATGACTCTAGAGCCATTTCCCTAGAAGATCCAATTTTTTCCCAGTCAGAGGAATTCTCTCTGGAAGCAAGTCTTCCATTGATGCAGTCTTTTCCAACCCAACTTTCTTTGACACATACCGAAACCACTATAAACAGCCTGGAAGAGACACAAGCCATGTCCACTCTTGACGGGATCCCAATATGCTGGAACCACGACTGTAACGGAAAAGTCTTTTCTAGCTGGAGCAACCTGAGGCGGCATCAGCGAGAACGTGCATCTCAGGCTCCCAAGTGCTATTGTCCGCGGTGCGGGGCGCATTTCAGCCGTACAACAGCCCGAAACCAACATCTTACTAACATGAGCTGCAAGCGTATTCAACGCTATTCAAATGGTCGGGTGAGACCAAGTCGACAACATTCCAAGAGGAGTATGGAACACAGTTATGAGAATTACACATTAGTGACACCCTCGGGGACAATTGTCGGAGGAAAGTCATTTCAGTTGTTTGATTGCTATATGACATAAAGATGACCTTACAAATCAAAGACTATCTGCCCACCGAGTATTACAAATGAATGCCTCAGCAACTTGTTATTCAGTTCGTTGCACAGTGTTTATGCCCCGACGTTGGATTTCGGAGCCCCTTGGCGGTACCACTTGAAGCACGATGTCTCGCAGCAATCATAGTTCTTTCCCACCTGCAAGATCATCAGAAAAGTCATCTTTGTTTTTTACTACCCATGTGTCCTCGGGACCCTTAGTACCTCTTACACAGTCGTCGGTCGGACAGTCAATTTTCGTAACCGTGATGATCCCGAATCTCAGACACGGGATGCGTTGATTGCTCTTGATGTGGTCCGTGCTCAGTTGGATGAGAAAGGAGCGAAGACTTGGAAAAGGACACCGAGCTCTTTCTTTTTGTCTTTCTTTTGGGTCCTATGTCTTGCTTGGGTTATGGATATGGGATCTTGGTATCAGAGTGGAAAGAATACATGAGAAGGAATGGTGGGCTATCATTTGTCGAATACAGAAGTTCTGTGGAGATGATATAGAAGCATTTAAAGATTGAATGAACTTGCAAAAGTATAAGACTTTACTCTTCAGTGTGCAATTGAGAGAGACAATGTGCACATTCAGTTGAACTCGTCAAGGGATATTTTAATTGCGTTAGAAATGATAAGGCTATTATACAAAAAAAGCACATCATCCAATATCCCTTCCCAATCGGCCCGAAGAGAGAACACGCCCTGAAACTCCAGATGCAAAGGAATAGATAGAAGCAAACGGCTGGAAATACTTTGGCGCAGCCGGATCAAACGTGAAATCATTGCCGAGCCCGTTGATGGATGTGTCGGATCTGGTCTTCGATGTTCATATTTTGGGGGGTATGCACACCGGGGGGACCGATCGGTAGACCGGGAGGTGCAGAGACGCCAGGAGGGAGCGGGCCATCTGGTAGGCCAAGAGCCATGCGCTTGCGACGAGCCTCTTCCTCAGTATCCATACCAGGTTGAAGTGAAGAATCAAAGACATCGCTGCGTTGGCTGGCCAGTCGCTTGAGATTGTTGACCACATCAGCAGTAGAAAGATTGGTTGTAGCACTGCGCGCATCTTGCTTGGCGCGCTGTTCCTTCCAGCGTGGGTCAAGAAGCTCGATACGAACGTGCTCATCCAACTCTGCAACGGGAATTTGCTGGTGACAGTTGGGGCAAATTGCTGTGGCACCTTGCTGGCGACGGGCCTGGGCGCGTGGAACGTAGTCCTGACGGATGCGCATAGGGGGTTGACCCGGGACAGCTGGGGCGGGAACTTCAGGGCGAGCTTGCTGTGCTTGGATCGGTAATGGGCGCGGGTACTGTGCATTATAATCCACGGCGGGCTGCGGGTATGGGTTTTGGAATTGTGCTGGGTATGGGGAAGCGGAAGGTTGGGGTGCGAAACCCGGCTGGGGTTGGGCCGGAGAAGCATTGTAGTAGGTGGGCGCATCGAGATCAGTGGGCATGGCCTCTTCGATACGCAGCGGGTTAAGAGACATGGCGGCTTTCTGCTCCAAGGAAGCGGACTGCAGGTCATTGAGCGATGTCGGGGGAGGCAAATCATCTTGCTCGTCGCTATCGGTGAACACAACCGTCTCCACGACCACAAAGTCATGCCAGTCAATTTGCGCATATTCAATCCGCTCTTGTTCCTCTAATTCCTCCTTCTCTTGCTTCTGTAGCTCCTGGTGCTTCACCCAATCGGCGCGCTGCTTGGCGCGCTCTAGAACATGGTACTTGTTCTTGACACTGTTCTCCAATTCGGCAATGCGCTTCTGCTCTGTAGTTGCCTCGTCGATGCCTTCTGATCGCAGCAAAATAGTGTATTGATCGACCAGCCGAGTGAAGAATTGGTGGAGACTATTGAAGGGTCGTAGGAATTCAAACTGAGGGTTGCGGGCCTCCCGTTGTGAAAGTGCGGTCAACCACGACTTGCCTCGTTTGGCAACGAAGAGTGCGGTGAGTTTGACGACCTCAAGATCCTGCGCATGGCTAATTGGCATGCGCGCAGAAAAATGAAACGCAGGTGGCTCGGGAGGGCCCTGGGGCTTTTCAGGTTCGGCGGCAGGAGTGGCCTCGCCCGCTCGTCCCGCAGCAATTGACGTTCCTCGGCCATCCTTGATTTCGGTTAGACGCCATTGATAAAAGGGCGCGTAGGCATCTCCGGCGTTGAGGAAGGAGAATTTCGGGTTGTTTTTTTCTTTATCACGGACACGGTCTAGATGAAGGTGAGCAGAAGTCAGTATGAGATCATTTCCCATCGCGGGGAATTGTTTGGGGAGACATACCCTCGAAGACTGGTCCATTCCGAGCAACGTATCCGGCGGTCTTCTCCACGATAGCTGTGGTACGAGATTAGCTGTTTTCTTGTCGCGTGTGTCAGAAGCTGGGACTCACCTTGAATATCTTTGGGAGGGCGGACCAAGCCCTCAGGAGGCTTGTTCATGTCCTCCGACAAAGGAGTATTTCCATTTGAGGATTCCATAGCGACGACGATGGGAAGAAGTGATAAGACCGGGGAGTTCTTTTTGGCCTCATGGAAGTTGCTGACTACTCTCAATCTGCACCAGCCACATCAACCTTAAGTGTCAGGTGTGAAGTGTGGCGGTGCTATCGCAATCTGACTGATTATGTAAGTTGTAGGTGTCTCTTTGTTTGCACCTTTGCATTTGCACCTGATCCGCATTCATCGATATTATTTATGTACATATTGTGTTCTATATTGATTAACTATTATCTATCTTCAATCTATACTGGAATTCATAGATTAGAAGACATCGAAGCCAAGTATATTTCTTCTTCACAATTCCACTTTAAGGTAAAACAGACAATAGAAAGAGCAGTCTCACTGTACTCCTCGGCGCTAACTAGAGGCTGAAGTTTAAGGGGCCGCTTTCTCTTGTCCACACTCCGCCTCGGTCGATCTGGCCTCTCTCTTCTCTGCTTTCGTCCATTCCCTCATCCTCGTCCTTTTTTTTATTATTCTTTTTCTTTCCTATTATTTCGGACCCTGTCATGGGGTCTTTTCTTTTGACCATCTACGATCATTAAATCGTCCACCTTCTACGGTGACGGGCTGTTGAGAGCTGCAGCGAAGCTGTCAACAGTTACTTTTCTCGACCTCAAATTTCATTAATTGTCTGCGACTGAATCTTTTTCCGAGTCTACTACTCTTTTCCTTTCATCTTTCTCTTCGACTTCTATTCGACTGCCCTCGCCTTCCCTTCGGTTTCCTGCGCCCCCATACCTCGTGCATCCGCGGAGATCGTGACAATGGGTCAGAAAGCCAAAGACACTCTGTCTGTGCGGCCACAGAGCCGTGGCCGTCGCTCCCCTAGTCGCTCGCCGCGACCCAAGAACCGTAAACCTGTGCAGCCACCGCCCAAAAGCTATGCCTCCGATGGTGTCAAGGACAATGATATTCTCAACCTCCCCGCCTCCGACTATACACTCCTCGTGCTAGTGACGCTAATTGGCGCCGCCGTGCGTCTCTTCCGCATCTACCAACCTACAAGTGTAGTCTTCGATGAAGTCCAGTATGTTTTGATCTTTCCCGGACCCATAGAAACAATAAGAAAGTGCTTGCTAATGGATGTTTTCCCCCAAACAGCTTCGGTGGATTCGCTAGCAAGTATATCAAGGGAAAGTTTTTTATGGATGTGCACCCGCCTCTGGCCAAGATGCTGCTTACGCTAGCGGGCTGGCTGGCTGGCTTTGATGGTGAATTCGATTTCAAGGACATTGGCAAGGACTACCTCGAGCCTGGCGTTCCCTATGTTGCTATGCGTATGCTGCCAGCAATCATGGGTGTTCTAACGGTCTCGTTGATGTTCCTTACGCTGAAGGCTAGTGGTTGTCGGTCTTCGACTGCCGTCATGGGTGCTAGCGTTGTAATTTTTGGTAAGGATCGCAAAGCTTTCATAAGCGAGCATACAAAACTAACGAGAACTTTAGACAATGCGCTGACCACTCAATCCCGCCTGATTCTTCTGGACTCCCCACTGGTGTTCTTCACGGCCCTAACTGCTCTAGCATTCACATGCTTCTCGAACCAACAAGAATTGGGTCCTGCTTATGCCTTCCGAGGTCCCTGGTGGTTTTGGCTGGCCGCAACAGGTATCTCCCTGGGTGCCACTCTCAGCGTCAAATGGGTTGGACTATTCACCATGGCCTGGGTTGGGTCTCTCACAGCTCTTCAGCTGTGGGTGGTCCTCGGAGACTCGAACACTGTTACACCCCGATTGTGGTTCAAGCACCTGTTCTCTCGCGCCTTCTGCCTGATTGTTCTTCCTGTTGGTTTTTATATGGCGATGTTCGCAATTCACTTCACTTGCCTAGTGAATCCTGGTGAGGGTGACGGTTTCATGTCCTCGGAGTTCCAAGCTACCCTAAACTCCAAGGGTATGCAAGATGTGCCGGCTGATGTGTCCTTTGGATCCCGTGTCAGCCTTCGTCACTTGAACACCCAGGGTGGTTATTTGCACTCGCACAACCACATGTACCCGACTGGTAGCAAACAACAGCAGATTACGCTCTACCCCCACAAGGATGAAAACAATGTTTTCCTTTTGGAGAACTCGACTCAGCCCCTAGGCCCCTTCGGAGAGATCGAAGGACCATTTGCCTGGGATAACCTTACTGCTACCAATAACTATATCGAGGATGGAGCCGTCGTGAAACTTTACCATCTGCTAACTCACCGACGCATTCACTCTCACGACGAGCGTCCCCCAGTGACAGAGGCTGACTGGCAGTTTGAGGTCTCGGCCTATGGATATGAAGGCTTCCCTGGAGATGCGAATGATCTGTTCAAGGTCGAGATCGTCCCCTCAATGTCCGAGGGAGATGTATCTAAGAAGCGCGTTCGGACCATTCAAACCAAGTTCCGGCTGGTTCACGTCATGACTGGCTGCGTGCTGTTCTCCCACAAGGTCAAACTTCCGGACTGGGGATTTGAGCAGCAAGAAGTCACCTGTGCTCGTGCTGGTACTCTGCCCAACAGTGTTTGGTACATTGAGTCTAACACACACCCTATGATTCCCGCCGATGCCGAACGAGTGAACTACCGTAACCCAGGCTTCCTGGGCAAGTTCTGGGAGCTGCAGAAGGTTATGTGGACCACTAACGCTGGTTTGGTTGAGTCCCACGCCTGGGACTCTCGTCCCCCCTCATGGCCTACTCTGCTCCGCGGTATCAATTTCTGGGGCAAGGAAGCCCGCCAGGTCTACCTCTTGGGCAACCCCCTCATCTGGTGGTCGTCCACTGCCGCCATTGGCATCTACCTTGTTTTCAAGGCCATTGCGATTCTTCGTTGGCAGCGCAGCTGCAACGACTATCGCCATGTCTCATGGAAGCGCTTCGACTACGAAATTGGCACCAGCGTTCTGGGATGGTTCTTCCACTACTTCCCGTTCTACCTGATGGCCCGCCAACTTTTCCTGCATCACTATCTGCCGGCCCTTTACTTTGCTATTATGGTTCTCTGCCAGCAATTCGATTTTGTTCTGAACCGCGTCAAGGTCTTCGGTCTCGCCTCGCGACCTGGTATCGGAAAGACTGTCATGACTGGATTCGTACTCCTTACCATCGCTGTTTTCACCGTATACTCGCCCTTGATTTACGGCAACCCTTGGACCAAGAGTGCCTGCTACAAGGCCAAGCTCCTGAATACTTGGGACTTCGATTGCGAGAGGTTCCACACCGACGTAAGTGTTCCAACGTGGCAGCCTCCCCGTCGAGGATATTGAGTGAAACCGACGAGACGCGTGACTGACATGGAATTTTTCAACAATAGCTGAGCCAGTACCACTCTGAGGTCCCTGTCCTGGGTCAGGCGATTCCAACAACATCCATCGCTGCACCTCCCCCTCAAGTGCAACAGGAGCAACCTAAGGAGCCTGAGCAACCTAAGCAACCCCAACAGCCTCAAGTCCCCCAGCCTCCAGCCCAAGAACCCGTAGGCGTCCCCCAAGACCAGCAAACTGAGGAAGCCGCTGTTACGGCTCCCAAAATTGCCGGCTCTATGGCTCGCGTCGAGTATCGTGATCAGCATGGTAACATCCTGCCCGAAGAACTCGTCGCCTCCCTGCGCGCCGACGGCAATGTCAAATTCGAGACTCGCTATGAAGCAAAGTCCCGTCTCGAGCACGCACATGAGGTCCCTATTGTGGATGGACAACTCGCACCCCCGCATCCAGATGTCGAGGGTCAGAACCCCGAGACTGGTGGACGTCCCGAAGACTCGATTCCACCGGAGAGGCCTGCCTCTATTGCGCAGGGCAATGAGCGATCGGCGGAGGAATCTAGTTCCCCTGAGGCAAAACCCGCTAGCGAGGGCAACGAAGCTACTAAGCTGTAATTATCACAGCTTATGTGAAGTTCAATATGTGTGCGATCGGGACGCCTGGAAATGGAGAGTTTGGAGTACGTTGCTAAAAGCTCCTAACATGTATCATGAACCGTTTTTGAGACAGTCATTGTTTTCATAGTGATTTGTTCAATGTTTGAAATGTTTAGAGTTAATCATTGTTTCTTACTGTGAAGGTTCATTGTAACACGGGCGGTCATGGGACTACTATCTATCTCCAGAGATCACCTGGGCAGTATATATACATCCAGGGCTATCCATGCATACCTAGTTGCAAGTCTAAGGTTTTAGTTCGGTATCGGGCCTCGAGAGCCTGTATAGGTATCTACCGACTTGGTATATTTTCACAAACGCTTCCAGAGTTGAAATCTTCAGTATCATCATCATTGATTGATTATGTATACCTGTAAAGCAAGGTTGGGAAAGCATACTCCGCATGGTTCAACAATAGAACAGCAGGAATGTCGGGCTCAGGAGGCTTTCAGGGTTCTAATTTCAGTGATAGAATGGTTGGATTTGAGAGAAATGGACCATGACTGCAGACTTGGAAAGGGGCTTTTTACCTGGGCCTCGAGACGGATGCTGAGCTTTGTGACTCGAGTACTATCTGTCTGGGTAGTGGAAGTGATAGAACCGCGGGACGGGTGATGTCGGAACTCTTGATATGGGCGCACCTCGATATATATGCACAGGACAATCACAAGGTTTCAAGCATCCATCGATAATAGCAACTTCCAGTCTGGATCAATTTCAAGGTTATAGAAAAGAACGTTATGTAAAGTTAAACATAAGAAAGAGACAGGTTGTCAATTGATTCTCTTTACGAAAACGGAATACTATGCACAATCTCTGGTAATCGCAAACACAAGTCCAAAGCCACTCTCCCCAATTCTCCACCAGTAGTATACAGCATTTAGCCGTCAAAATGGCAAATAGCTTTCACAACATCTTTTAAAGGGGCTCTCAACTCAATAAATTTAGTAGTCCCACTCCTCCTTGCCGTACTTGTTGAACTTCTCGTGGAGGTCCTATCATATGACGCGAATCAGTCAGCAATTCTAAAAAAGTACCTAACAAAGAAATGCCCATGAAAAAGAACGGAAAAGCCGGTGAAAAGCATAAAAAAAGCTAGCTCAAGGCCAGAGAGGCCGGAAGGATTGCATACCTCGGGCAGGGTGACATTGGGGACAATGACAGTGTTCAGAGCGCTGGGGGCGGCGCGGAGGGGCTGGCTCTTGTCACCGTTGGGGTGGTACTGGTACTTGTAGATCTTGCCATCCTCGGAGGTAGCGTGCCAGGGCATGGAGCTCTCGCCAATGCGGACGTTGCTCTCGGAGGTGACGGAGGTGGGCTTGGAGCCGAAGTACCTAATGAGTCGCGAACATCCGAGTCAGCCAATTGTAATTTTCGTTTCTTTTACCGCATTGCATGCGGACCTCTTCGGTCCATTGGTCCGGCGTCATCACGACAGGGTGGCGGGTAGCCACCCTAACGTCACAAGGTGCATCGGGAGATCGGGTCTTGGGCGCGGGAAGAGGGGGGTATTTACCAGCCAGCACCGAGGAAAGCACCGGACATGATGCCGAGAAGGACCTATAGCAACAGGAGTTAGTCTGGGCGCCTTTGGACAGGTCAATGGCAGCCGGATATCCGTACGTAGAGCTCGGGATCACGCTTAGGAGCCTTGTCAAGGCTGGCCTCCTCGACCTTGGAGGACATGAAGCGGCGCGGGGCAGCGCGGAAGATGGGCTGGCGAGCCAGAGCCCGGCGGGAAGCCATGGCAGCGATCGAAGACATGGTGGCAGCGAGTTGTGCGTGGATGGTGGGTTATCGCGGAGGGCTGGAGACGGGGTGGTGCGAGAGAATCGTGAGTATGGAATGATGTTGGCAGGTCACGTGGTGGAGTAGATGAGTCAGCACGGCTTTGAGCTCATCGATTTGTGGATTTGCGAACTTCGGGATTCTCTAGTCGCGGTCGTTCAACTCGTGCCTTTGACTCTCTTGGTGATTTACACGGAGAGTAATGTAATTGGATTTTGATTTCTTGCGGTTGTCAAATTCCAGTTACGTTTCATCCTCAAGGTGTGTTGTGTTCCTTGTTAATATTCTTCATTTTTGATCAGGGGGTTCGGGGATCTTTCCTCCCCGGATTTCCAGACGCGTGGAGGTGCAAAAAGCACTCCACGCATTCATCCAAAGGGCTATACTAATCAGGCATTTGACAGGCTTTGATTGCTTCCTCCAGTCTTTCTTTATAATACATCATCATCCAACTGTCGCTCCTTTCCAAGTTCGTTTTCGCTCCCCGAAGCATCGCCAACCTCCGATTCACCGCGATTTATTTGCGCAAACCACGTGTTTTTATCACTACCGGAAAGAAATATGAAAGTACGCGCAACCTGCTAGTAATAATCTATTGTCTTTCGCCCTTTGGTTTTTAAGCCATGGCAAACTCCACAGAAAGCCCCGAAACTGGCGACATGAATCAACCCCCGACCCAGCAACATGTTTTGGGCATTCCACGACCTCCCTCAGTGGGAGGCATTTCCTCGCGAGTGACGGATATGGCCTCCGAAGATGGAGAGAACTCGCAATCCTTTACATCACCACAGCCGCCTCTTCAACAACAGCGCCCTTCGGCCTCTCGGCGTGGTCCACCCCCAACAAGGAACTCGGTGACAAGCAGACCAGGTAGTTCGGGTAGTCGGCTGAGCAGGACACATATTCCTTCTCTAACTGCCTCGGCTTTTTTTCGTCCGATGAGTTCGCAACGACTACAGGCGCACCGAGGCACTCGACCAATGACCAAGGGAACAGTATCATCGACCGATGAGTGGGGAGATCACACAAGTCAAAACAGAAGAAGCCTGATTTCGAACAGCACATATCAGCAGGGATCCCTTCCTCCAGTAGATATGGAGCCCCCACCATCGCGGGGTACAGAGTTCACAGATCCGATCATTCCTGATCGGAATACTTCAAATGCCAGCCCAATAGGCAATACAACAGTACGAAGCCTCGGTGAGAGCGTACGGCTCTTACGGGATCGAGATCAAAACAGCAAGAAGCGTCCCGACCACTTGAATCTCAATGTGAATTACAGCATGCATAACCCGCATGATATGCCTCCGAAGTCCCCACTCTCATTCTTGACATCCCAGAACAAGGGATCTGCTCAAAATGGGCATGATCCTCGTGGCCATTCCCGGCTTTCCTCCGCTGGCTCTTCTCCTGGACCTGCAGACATCAAGAAGCAACAATTGCCAAGGGGCAATATGGGCAAGAACTACGAATATTTCGTTGGCAACACCTTTTTCTGTGGCGGCGGTCGACTTCAGAACTCGAGAGACAAACCCATCAACATTCTTACGGGGATTTTGGTGGTTGTTCCATCGGCCTTGTTCTTTGGATTCTCAGCCCCTTGGCTATGGCACAATATCTCCCCTGCCATCCCCATCGTTTTCGCATACGTTTTCTACGTTTGCTTTTCGTCTTTTGTGCATGCATCCGTTGTTGACCCTGGTATCATGCCTCGCAATGTTCATCCCATGCCTGCAACTAATCCCGCGCTTGATCCATTAGCACTTGGACCACCAACCAATGATTGGGTTATGGTGAAGCTTGCTACCTCGGAGTCTGCCGCTATGGATGTTCCCGTGAAATACTGCAAGACTTGTAGTATTTGGCGGCCGCCTCGATGTTACCACTGCCGTGTTTGTGATAACTGTGTGGAGACACTCGATCATCACTGTGTCTGGTTGAACAACTGTGTTGGGCGCCGCAACTACCGCTACTTCTTCGCTTTCGTTAGCTGGGGCACCTTACTTGGGTTGTTCCTGCTCGGCGCTAGCCTGGCACACATCCTGGTCTACATGTCAAATGAGAACATTTCCTTCGGCGCTTCAATTGCGAAATGGCGTGTGCCCTTTGCAATGTTTATCTATGGTGCCGTTGCCACTCCTTACCCGTTATCACTCTGGATTTATCACTTGTTCTTAACTGGTCGGGGCGAAACTACCCGAGAATACCTGAACTCCCACAAGTTTGCCAAGGCTGACCGCCACCGGCCATTTACCCAAGGAAATGTTCTGACGAACTGGATCTCGGTCCTAGGACGGCCTCGTCCCCCTACCTACATGCAATTCAAGCAGCCATACGAAGAAGGTGACCAACGCTATGCAATGCAAAAGCGCAAGTATCTCGTTCGCCGTGACGTCGAGTCTCAGGCGGGGATTGAGATGCAAGAGGTCGGTCCCCATCAATAGGAATCACCATAAAAGCAATATCTCATTTCCCCTTGTTACGACCCATGAAGACGACACGATTTCTTTTCTTGATCATATACCAACTTTCTTGGGATATGTTTTCCCACTCTACTGTTCTAATCGTTACATTCATACCCTTCCATAATTTCCTACTTGTTATGTTACCCTTGGCGAGGCATTATCATGTCACTGACTTTCTCTGGAATCTTTCTTCATGTCTTTTCTTTTTGACACCATATTCTCCTGAATCGATGGCTCGATTGTCTGGATAATCCACAGTCGTGAATATTCGACGGCCTATCTATCCTACTACCTTCTATTCCTTTTTTTCTGGGCCCCCCCGCTTGAATATGAATATTCTACCTTTCTATGCAGAAATCCGTGTCTTGTGCATAAGACCAATGTTTGTATGAACCAACCATAGAAATCAATCCAATCCACCAAATGCCATAAATCACGCGTAGAATAATGCGGGGGTGAGACTTAGCAGAAATTTAAACATTCCAGATGCCATGTCATACGCCTTTAACTCCTTTCTTAGTTCGCCCTTGATTGGATCGTCAGCAATTTCGTTGGCAAGTTGGGTGTTGATGTTGCACGCGTCAGACATCCCCATTCGCCCTCAATTGATAAGAGGCGCGCGGCTGCTGATCTTCCAACCTTTCCACCCCTGATATTCCCCGACCCAACTACTCACTCAACACCATCTTGAGAAGGACGATTCCACCCCGTGGATTGTCTTTCTCCCGAACTGTGGATCTACTGTCCAACATGGCGCGCCGAACCTCCCGCTTGGCCGCGTCCGCAACTCCCGCTCTCGCTGACGTCCCTGCTACACACGACACCCCCGACGACACGATGAGCCTCGACATGCCGGAGCAGCTCCTCACACCAGAGGCTAGCCGCTCGGAGACTTCAAGCAATAATGAGAACGCGTCGACCGAGGAGCAACCGGCACAGCGGCGGAGATCAACACGAGTCGTACGCGCATCGTTGCGGGCCACGGAGGCGCTCGAGAATACCCCGGTCAAGAAGGATGATAGCACCACCTTATCAAGCCAGGCTTATGTTGATAGTCTGGCCAAGGCAAAGCGCTCGCGATCCGGGCTCCGACATAGTATCGCCGTGATGCAGTCGTCGCTGCGGACCGACTCGGCCCTGCCTACTGGGGATACCTTGATCGAAGACCACTCAATGGTCCCCGATACACCTATTTCGAAGTCCTCGCAGGAACTGCAGTCCGAAGATCTGAACGCCTCTCTTCAACAGCGGACTCTACGAAAGCGTGTACAGAAAGCACTGACTCAGGATGAAGAATCCGCTACGGCAAAATCAACCCCCAAGAGCGATTCTCGTCAATCACTACGGCGATCGACTCGCGCCAGTCTATTGAGTAAGGCCTCGGAATTTATGGAACGAGCCAACAGTGTTCTGGGTAAGCGGTCGAGGGATCTTGGTGACAAGAGCAAAGAGGTTGGTCGACGTGCTAGTCTTCGTCCCCGGAATGTTGCGCCGGCCAAGGAGGAAGGGCCAGCCCCAGTCGCAGAGCGCGCAGCTAAAAAGCGACGGGTCTCCGAGAGTGATTTATCGGACTTGAAATCCAAGGCCGATTTGCCCTCTGAAGAACCCACTGCCCCGCCTATTATCAAGTATAAGCCCAAGGTGTGGTTGACCCATGGGCTGTACAGTGGGCAGGAGGCAAGTAGCTCTCCCCCAAAGCAGCGAAAGAGTAAAAATTCAGGGAGAACTAGTCTTGATATAACCAGAAAACGGCGCCACCTTCCTTTGCCGATATTTGGGGGTCTTCGGCTTATAAAGACTGAAAGGGATTACCTGCTTCCATTTGACATTTTCTCCCCACTCCCACAGGGTCAACCCAAACCAGACGAGTGGCGAAAGACCAACAAAAGTACGTCTAAATCAAAGGCACGGTATCTTTTCCATGGCGGCTAGAGCTAACCAATATTTCCTTCTAGATGTATTTGTGGGTGATGCCGCCAGCGAATGGAAAGCAAACAAGAAAGTAGAATTGTCTACTTGCATGTGCGATGAAGAAACCGGTTGCGATGAAAATTGCCAGAACCGCTATATGTTCTATGAGTGTGACAATGGCAACTGTCGATTGGGTGCAGAATGCGGCAACCGAAATTTCAGCGAGCTCAAGAACCGAACAAAGGCTGGTGGCAAGTACAATATCGGTGTGGAGGTTATCAAGACCCAGGATCGAGGGTACGGTGTGCGTAGCAACCGATCTTTTGAGCCAAACCAGATTATCGTGGAGTACACTGGAGAAATCATCACTCAGTTCGAGTGTGAAAGGAGAATGAGAAATGTGTATAAAAACAACGAGGTAAGTAAATGTCCGAGCATCCTATGCTGCGCGGTGATTGACTGAAGGCTAGTGTTATTATTTGATGTACTTCGATCAAAACATGATCATTGACGCCACACGAGGGTCCATTGCTCGATTTGTCAACCACTCTTGTCAGCCCAATTGTCGAATGGAGAAATGGACCGTTGGCGGAAAGCCACGCATGGCTTTATTCGCAGGAGATCGAGGTATCATGACTGGGGATGAGCTGAGCTACGACTACAATTTCGAGTGGGTTCATCTTGCAATTGTTCTGACAGCCCTTACTGACGACTTCTAGCCCTTACTCCAACAAAAATGTCCAGCAATGCCGCTGTGGAGCACCAAACTGTCGTGGCATCCTTGGACCTCGGCCAAAAGATAAAGATCAGCGTGCCAAAGCAGAGGCTGCCAATGTGAAGGTTGCCAAGACCGGTGGTACGAAGAGAAAGCGCGCGACGGCGGCTGGAACCGCGACGGCGCAAGCAAAGAAGCGCAAGTTGCTCAGTGCGAAATCCATCAAGGTCGGTGTCAAGAAAGCTGTGAGCAAGGTCACAACTACGCGCGGCAAGACAACTACCAAGAAGACTACCACTACCTCCACAGCTCGTGGCCAAACAAAGACCAAAATTGTAGAGAAAAAGACCGTCAAGTTGCCCACAGTCAAAGCAGCATCGAGATTCAAGGCAGCCATTCGCGCCCCCCAAAGAAAGACAGCATCCGCAAAGGCAGCCACTTCACCGGCTAGAAAGACCAACCAGCTCAAGCGACCTTCTGCTGAAACCAAGAAGAAAATCCTTGCCAACGCTGCAAATGGAGGCAGGTCTCCGACTAAGTCTCCAGCCAAGTCACCTGCGAAAGGTAAAGCACCAAAGGCTGAGACAAAGTCACCCCGCAAACCCGTCGCGAGAAAAGCACCTACCAAGACCCCTATAAAGGCCAAGATGCCCACTTCCAAGGCGAAGGGTGCAGCCAAGAGCCCGGGCAAGACTACAAAGGACAAGAAAAGTCTGGGCCGCAGCGTGAAGAGCGCAGCCCGCAGTGTTGTCCGTACTGTGAAGGGCGCCACTAAATAAACATGCCCAACGATATTGGACCAGGCAATCTGGCTTCCACAGCCACCACTCTCGGTCATTGGACCTTGATTTTTTTCAGGCTAAATGTCGAGTTCCTTGAACTCTCATCTCTGATTGGGGAGATCTACCTGCTGGCCTATCTTAAACCCACTGCCCTTCCCCGTATTGTTTCTGCCTTTGCCCCTTTAGCTAATCACTCCTGCACGGTATTTTCTTGTTACGTTACTTGGCACTTGAGATGGCGTTTGGCTTATTCCTTGAGTCCTGGTTGCGCTGACTTGTTTTTGTTTCACCCCATGTTCTCCTATATCATTTTTATTCTCTTCCCCCTTATCCCCTTATTCCTTTATTTATTTTCTTCTTGTTCGAAATTCTATTGGTCTTTTTCATCTGCGCCATGGTCACGAAGTGGATTTGCTTTGGGTTGGTTCTTTGTCGGCATGGTATCCTCGGAAGTCAGATTGGTGCTGTCTCTGTGCCTCTTAAGATGTTATTGGTTTGTGGGTATTTGGAATAGGTAGAAACCTTGAAATTCAACACGTTTTGGGCTGTATAGCCCAAGTCCTGAATACTATTGGGCCAGTCTCAATCGAAGAGAAAACCCCGTTGTAGATTTCATGATACCTAGAGGTGACCGAGTTGGAGATGTTCTAGTTACCATATACATATGACAACGCTCCCAAGGTTGAAGTTCATCGGAAAAGAGAGCATGGTCCGTTTTGGCTGCCTTCATAAGATTAGACTACAGCAATCACTCAGCCACTATCTAAATATATAGATCAAATAGTACGAAAGTTCGGGCACGCAGATTTAATAGAATCAAGAATTTGGAAATCTGGAAATATTAGAATCTATTCCAGTTGAGAATATATGTTACAGAAAATACGCCCATGTCGACTCCAGACAATACTCCAATCACGCCGCAAGAACCGAGGATACATACATCATGAATTCAGTGAAGAAAAGAAACAGAAATGAAAGGGGAGACCGCAGAGGCGCACTCAGGCTAAAATCATGTAATGTTCATATTATACATGATCAATATTATGCAGATTCAGAAGCTGGGGCCGGTTGCAGCTCTGGCTCATCTTTTTTCTCTTCGGAAGCAGGAGCAGGAGCAGCAGGCACAGGAGTAGATGCAGGTTCTGCCACCTGCTGAACTGCTTCTTCAGTTGGCACAGGCGGCGTTATCTCACTTGGCTTCTCTGGTTGGACCTCTGCGCCTGGAACTTCTTCCTCGGTGGTCAAGTTTGCAGCGGCTGGCTCCAGAGTAGAGGGCTGAGGAGCCTCATCGATAGGTACTTGGGTGACTGGAGGTGAAGGGGAGGCGGGCTTTGCAGGGACCTCGGTTGCAATGGGCTCCTCTGGTTGGGTTGGCTGTGTGGATTCTGAGGGTGCGGCGCCCATCTTCTCATCTTCCTTTTGCTCTGCAAGACCAAGGCTAGGATCAGGTCCACTGGGGCTATCCTGCTTGTTCTCTGTCTCGTTGAAAATAGGAGCAGGCTCGTTATCCCGATATTCAGCTGGAGATGGGATAGGTGCTTCGATGTCTTGTTCGGATGGTTTCCGCTCCGGCTCATTCGACGGCTCTGAAGGAATTTCTCCCACAGGCTTATCAATACTAGTAGATGTCGAGGCGTCCTCAGTAGGAGGCTGGGGTTCCTCCTTTAATCCGGTTGCTGGAATCTCAGCCGCCACCTGAAGTGGCTCTGGCACGGGCTCTGCTGGTATAGAGTGCAAAGTGGCGTGTTCTCCAGCAGTAGGAGTGGGCTCGGGAGCCACAGACTCCTCCTTAGGCACCGCCTCCGATGCCGAGTGAGTTGAAGCTTCACGTTGATCAGGCGCAGCGGGTGATTCTAGGGATCCCGCACCAGTTGGTTGGTAATCAAGACCACTGAATTGTTCACTTGGAATGTTTTCGGTCTTCGCTGTAGTAGGAGCGGGTGCGTCAGAAGCGGCGGTAGTAACCTGGGGTTCAGTTTGCAGTGCTTCGAGTGCCGCCGGTGGTTGTGGGACCGCTTCTTGTTCCGTCACAGAAGGCTCTGAGACATTATATTGTGGCTCAAAAGTCGCGTCGGACATTTCGACATCCTTGGGCTCATTTGGAGTATCAACAGTAGGCTGGTCCCCAGACTCGGTGACGGATGGGGCTTGTGGGGTTTCCGGGGTTTTCGCATCCATCATGGACTCGTCTCCCTCATCACTGTCATCACCTTCATCACCGTCCTCCTCATCGTCATCCTGTCCAGACTGATCGATTGACATCTGTGAAGGATCTTGTCCATCCTTGGAAGCACCATCGCCGGCATTTGCACCAGAAGGAACGCCATGTACGCTCGAAGCATCGGCCCCTTCTCCCGGAGCAAACATGACCTTCTTCTTTCTACCCTTACCGATACCCTTGCCCTTGCGCTTTGGCGGCGGGGGCCGTCTTTTAGGTGGGGTCATCACAGAAGCCGAGCCAGCTTCCGCAACCACGACACCCTCTGAATTGACAATACCAACGCCTTCAACAACCGTGCCAGGCGCGGGCATCTCAGACTTGACAGGCACGGTGCTCTGCTGAACAATAGCCTGGACGTCACCAGTGATCTCGCCTTCAATGCGATGACCCTCCGGGACCCATGCTTCATAGATAGAGATCTTGCCCGTTTCAGGGTCCGTTTTCTTGAACTTTGTGCGCCTCATGGGACCAGGCCCAGACCCAGATCCATCGACAGATGTCGTACCACCATAAAGAGATGGTAAGCCAGATCGTCTCTTCGCCAAAAACTCTACCTCCGCAGGCTCCAGGTGTTTAGGAAGTGTCATCCATTTGCGGCTGGTAAAGGTGCGATCCGCCGAGTGGGCACCGCTAGCTCCTTCTTCGCCATCCGCTACTGTTCTATCGTCCTCATCAGGGGCGCGAGCATTTTGGTGAATATAGATACAACCAGCACGAGCGGCGCGCAAGAGGGCGCGACTGCTTGCGCCCAGAAGCTGGCTGTCCCGCGGCATAGCTAGTTCCGGCAGCGCACTAGTTCCACCGGGTCCCTGTACTGTGAACTCGGAGTCTTCCGTCTTGGGTATTTGGGAATGAGTGTGTGGTTGACGCGACCAGCGGCGAACGGGTAATCCTTCGAAGACATCGTGGTCGATTTGACCGGTTCGGCGGTTACCGTCGAGCTGGCGCCCTGAACGTGACGACCGGAACTATATAAACGTTTAGTGAGATTGTTCTATTAATATGCTATTTCCTTGATTGGCAATTGCTTGATAGCTTGCTTGGAGCTTCCTGCTTGCACTGAATGAGAGGGTTGCGGTCGCAACGGAGACGTACAGTCGATGGCATTATGACTGGTCCTGGGGTGCTCCCCACGCAAAAACCAGCAATCGGTATCCAAAGAAAGCCAAAAGGTCGACGTGGAAGGCGGCGGAGAGAGATAGACGTGGATGGGGCGGAGTTGCTTTCGGCGCGGTTCCCAATGTCGCAGGATCTCATCCTAAGGAGTATCATCACGTGATACATATCTATCACATCTTGATATCCAATTGTTTTATAATCAATGATATACTTGTAATTCTCTAGTGAATCATAGAGGGGAGAGACTAGATTTCTATTCTGGTACTCGGGATAAATGGATTTGTCTCCAAAGACAGCGCTCGTACTATAATACAGGAAAAGAATCAAACCCAAGGGCCCTTCAATGTGGCAACATGGAGTACTCATTCGAGATGATTAGCAATATTTGCATTCGATACATGTTGATTAATTCCAGCTAGTATATGTCAGTATGAAAAGTAATTTGGACAATTAGTCATAGGAACAAACATACCCAGGCTCCTTTTGACGGACAATGCTTCCATGATCACCTGTCTCCTTGCCCTGGAGAGCATTAGGTGTTAGCAGAGCAACTCGACCTCAATTGGTTGGAAGTGCTTACTGTCTTCTGGCCCTCCACGACCAACTTATCCATCTGATAGAACTGGCTGATAGTTGTTTGCCTCTGTGATAAAAGTTAGTGTGACTCTCTTTGGCATAGGACATGAAACGTGACAAGGCCCTCAAGTCAATCCCAGAGGCACAATGCGCATCTTGGAATCCACCTTCCAAGGCACCCATCTCGCTCTTTGCCCAAAGAATGAATAAATAAATCAACTGACCTTCAGCAAACGCAGTTCCTGCAGACCACTCTGAATCAGCTCCTGTATCCGGCGGTCCTCCGACTCGTTTTGATGCTCGCGGAACGAATCGCGCGTCTTCCGGCGGGCGTATTCGCGGAAGTTGTAGTTCGAGAACTGAGTAGATTGGCGCATCAGAGAGCGGAACTGTTCAAGCAAATATAAACATTAGTTAAATGTAGGCGATTGAGCTGTTCTCAAGAACTGTATTTTCTGGTGGCCGACTATCACCGGGTATGACTTACCAGAGACCGCACCTGGAAGCCGGTTTCACGATGCAAGCTGGCGACAGACATATTGAAAGATTTGGAGTGGAGATTGGTGATAAGGTAGTTTGCAGAAAAAATATAGAGTCACTGGTGAGAACGAGTGCAATCTATCGGACTATTCAATTGTTAGATATCAGTGTCACCGCGTCCTATATCACTTTCACTGACAGGCCTGATCGTCGAAGAAGGATCGCAGAAAGCTTTGATTTGTTGTCAGGTTGAATCAAGAGATTGCCGACGACGATTGTATCAATGGATGCGGTGCGCGACTGCGGAGCTTATATGGCGTTGACGAAGGTGGCGGCTCGGGCTCCGGCGATATCACAGGGCGATCGAGGGGAAGTATCGATACCAAACAAGTTCGATAGACGATAGATGTTTTGTCGGAAACAATGCAGCGGCAGTTCCAGCCAGATATGGTAGGGGGTGAAGAGTGAAGAGAGTTGTGATCTCGGACAAAGCGCAGGGCGGGAAATTCTTTTGCGTTCGGAGTCGCCAATGACGGAGTTACCGGGGCCGAGCTCCTGCTCCACGGTTCTTCCTCCCCCCACAAACATTTGCGTCACATTCTTCAGTGATTGATGGTTTTTTGAGAGATTCTCTTCTTATTCTAGCGATTATTATGCCTCAGATACCAACGCCTCCTGCATCGCGACCAGGGTCGGAGGCTCCTGAGGTGGAGATCAAGCCCGCGGAGGCCCCGGGAGCTTCAACGGAGTTGCTCCAGTCGTTGGACATCCTTCTGGAACAGTACTTGCACTTGCTTGATCGACAGCAGGAGCTACAGTCTGGGCTAGCAAAACAATTGTCTTCGGTATATGATTCTGTTGTGTGAAGCCGTCGTGTTGTGCACTGCTAATCCTGCCTAGGGATTTCTTGCCCTCGCCCATGCAAACTACACCTGTCCTCCCGGCCGACGATATGGCGCGGACTACTATGATGAACGGATGAAGGCAACCAGGAAGATGTATGTGGGCCTAGATGGTCGTTGAATTTGACAAATGGTTAACATGTCAATACCAACAGTTCGGTCCAAAGGAGACCTGAAGATGACAACGAAGCTACCGACTCGACAGAGGCTAGCAGAACCCCGTCGGAGGCTGAGTACCAGTTCAACATCGAGTACACTCCGAGCTGCACGCCCGAAGAGCCAGCCGAGACAAAAGACAAATTGCAGTCCGAAGACTCCAAACTCCAAAAGACATCGAAACTCGACACTGGGATCACGACCGAGAGTGATTCACCAGTTGAGGATTCCGTCCCCAACAAATCCTCAGTAGAGTCCAAGGCCCCCAAGAAGTCTAGACCCAGTGATCCTATATATTGGTACGGAATCTTGGTGCCGCCATCATTACGCACTGCTCAAAAGTCGTTTACCGACGGTATTCAAAACGAGGTACCTGCATTGGCGGCCGTGGTGGTCGAGATGCATGGTCTAGAGGACAAGATTAATAAGATACGGACTGAGCTTGGAAGCTAAATTCCTCCATCAGATCCTTGCGAATCAAGCCAAAATACTCATGGATACACAGAGCGCAGATCTGTCAATTGTTGACCAGATACTGTTCGTCCAGGGGCTCTCACAACGGGTTTATGGGGCTATTTTGGAAACAGGTACCAGACCCGCTTGTCTCCAAAGATGGACCTCGTACAGTGCATGGACTCCACAGACCAGGATCACCATACCGACGCGAACGGTGGAAATCCTTCTGGTTATAGCTCCGCCATTAGTCTCCAAACTTGCAGGATATATGTCTGCTATAGTCCCCCTTTATACAAGTCTCCGAAGCCGTGGCGGATTGATTCCCAAAATAAAGTCGACTTGCCCTGTGCGGTGGTCATAACGCTATGTTGATCGGGCCCTCTTCTCTTAGCCGTTAGGATGTTTCACTCCTGGCGTTGACTAAATTAAGTATTACTCCACCGTCCAACGTATGTTCTGGTGTACATAATGCGCTGCGACGTCAGAGCTCTTTCTCGATATGATTATGGTATTCCGAAATTATCGCGTTCCTGGTATCTGGTTTCTGTTTTTTGGCGGGACTAAAATGACCACGGTCCCTCAACGTGAGACGTAGCGTCGGAGACTAACGTCTGGAACGAACCCCACTGGTCTAGCGCCGAGATCTGTCATTCGCTCGGCCCCAATACTCACGTTTGATTCGTCACAGGGTCTAGTGCCTAGACCTGTTGTTTTCTTGTGCTGTGTACCGACCTGAATTGACTCCTGATAGGATACAACGGCGGTCGCAGGTTGTCAATTTCTTCACACTTGATAAGAACCATGGAAGTTTAGTGCTCTATGTGATTGGTCTACCGGATCAACTAGCCTCTGATAGATCGGGTGACCAGGGAAGAAATATTAGATTGCAAGGAGGCACGGGTACTGAGGATTAATTAATATTAAATATCTCCGTGAAGCTAGCCTGCTCCACCGGGACAATTGCTGATTTCGCTTCCACGGCAAAGCGAGGATTTAATCTAAAACCGGGGGGGTTTGAGGCTGGGGACTACTCCGATATTATCACTGTTGGCGTTTTCTCCCTTTTCTCTTTTCTTTCCTTTGTTAGCGACTTTCTGAAGAGAGAGCTGGAGGCTCTTCCCCTCTTTCGTTGGTGTAAGTCACCTGTGGTCATAATCCCTTGCAATGCTAAAATGAATAAACGCCAGGCTCAGTTGTTTGAAACATCGCTGGTTTGATACCTGCGATTTCCTCTCGTTCAGTCTTTATTCCTTCGACACATTTGTCCAACTGTAAGCCCTGTTCCATAGACAATGATCGGCCCTGGATGCATCCTGACACTTTTTCCCAGAGGCATTGAATGCCCTTCCATTCATTATAGATCTTTGACAGTTTGAACCAGTGGTTCAAGCTTATCATTCTCGGTAGACTGTTTAGGCAGTTGCTGCAGAATTCACTATCATTTTTCAAACGGCACCGTTCACTCGTTTCGCGTTTTAACGCTATATACATTCTTTTCATTGCTTGATCAGGGAATCGAGCAATTTCATCACTGCTGTTCAGTTCATACTGTCGCAATCCAGCAGATTTTGGCCCCGACTTAAGTTCTTCAGACTTGATCACGGCCCACTTGATGCTATAGTAAGCCCGAGCTGCAGATCCGCAATACGAACCACCAATCTGCGATTCGACAGCTAGGCCAAGGGAGCAATGCTTCCACCAAATCAAGCCAATTCAGGGCCAAGCCCAGACTCATCGGGACCTGAGCCAAGCCGCTCAGGCTCGGTCAAAAGAGCACGTCAGTTGCTGGAAGCCGGAGTACGACCAACACGAACAACACCCCCGGCCCCAGCACAACTGCCTCCTCCTCCACCAGTTAGACAGGCCGCTCACCAGACGCAATGGCCGCTACCGGCATCCGGCCTGCAGCCTCGGCCTCTTGCTCCCCATCAACCACGTTTTATGGCGCCTCGAGGTCCCCCGCCACTTCGGCCCCCACGCCCTAGTGATGTGCCCACACAGGTCCCTTCGCCGTCGATTTACTCTGTACGAAGTGGCGAGAGCCCTGCGCCCAGTGTGAACCTCCACCCAAATCCGTATCCTTACCCAACACGGCAGGCAAGGTCATTTTCGCATCCAAACCCGCATCATCAGCCGCAGCAGCCTCGCCCGTTGACCAGCGATGGCTCCACCAGCCCGACAAGCACGGTGGACTTGACTCCTCGTATTTCGATTACAACTGATGATCTTTTCAGGCACTCAACCTACTCTGCTGCTTCGTCCACTCCTGGTATGGCTCCGATCCCGTCTCGAGAGCCACCTTTGCCACTAGCTCAACCGCGACGCCCGCCTGCCGGATTAAATGTCCCCCCAGGTACGCGACGCAGCCAGGCTCGTAGATCTTCTGTTTCGCCGATACCAGAGGAGATTCCAGATCCCCGTCACACACTGGGATCCTTCGCCTCTAGTCGCGCGATCCCGTACAGCTGGGGATCCGGGCCTCCTGAATCAGACATTCTGGAAGCATACTTGGACGACGAGTCAAGCGATGAGGAGGAGGAGGAGACTCATACCAACAGCCTTGAAGAGGCAACCCCTGTGCGAAGTGTCAGCGTTGGCAAGAGGCAGAGACCAACAATGCGCACAATCATGAAGTCGAACCCGGCCTCCGAAGTATCGATCCCTGATATGCCCGGTCTCACACCCACTGGCACCAAGGAAGGGTTCAGCAAGAATGTCGTAGGAACACCAATCGCGCCAGGCACGCTTCGAGTGGTGAATGCTACCCGGACGGAAATCCGCACCCCCAGCCCCGTGCGCCGAGGATCGATCTCTTCGCTGTCTGGAGAGTCTTACGTGGACCCGGAGAAGCCGCGCTTTGCCAAAAATGACGATAATACGTACCGTGGTGCCTTGGAAAAGGAGCTCGAAGGCCTGCCTCTGGCTGCGCCGACGATGAGTGACAAGAGACCGAATGGACGCAAACCTCCACGCCTGGATATGAATGCTTTGCGGGATGCGGAGGCCCGTGGAAGTCTCTCGAGCTTGTCGGATCTGATTCGAAGGGCTACTCGACTGGCCTCGAACCTGGACCGCGGAAAGACTGCCAGCCGGGCTGACCTCGCGGCTGCAGGTGCGGACTTTAGAGAACTAGGTGAGTTTGATGTATGGCCTGTGCTAAATGAGTCAATGCTCACAATTTCTAGAACATCGGGGTCGCAACTCCGGATCGTTGTCTGATATCTTGGCGTCATTCCCTAACCCGACCCCCGACGGACACAGCTCCTGGCCTGTATTCTTCGGCCGTTCTAATCTACGTAATGTCGAGCCTCTCGCCTCTCACGACGATGCCCCCGAAGGTCCGAAGCCCAAGCGTCGATGCTGCGGAATGCCTCGAAAGTGGTTCATCATCCTCTGCATCGTCATCTTCATCATCGTCGTTCTTGCCGTCCTGCTCCCAGTCTTCCTGGTCGCTGTGCCCAAGGAGGACACAGCCAACAAATCCTGTGCACGCACGACGCCGTGCCACAACGGCGGCGTCAGTGTATCGAGCGGTTCCGAGTGTTCCTGCGTGTGTGTGGATGGATATATGGGTACCCAGTGCAGCATCGCCGGCGATAGCACCTGTGTGACGGCGGAAGTGGACAATGGTAGCGTCAACAAGGAAGCGACGATGGGCAGCTCCATCCCCACTTTACTGGATCAATCGGACTCTAAATACGGCATCGAACTCGACGCCGTGACCATCATGGCTCTCTTTAGCATTAACAATGTTACCTGCCGGACCGAGAACGAGCTTGTGGCCTTTAGCAAGGTGGAGCGCAGCAACAGCAGCAGCAGCAGCGATAATGCCCGTCGCGCGGTTACACTTCCACTAGGAACCGAAAACCTCGACTCTGAAGAGAAGAAGTACAAAACCCCTTCAAAGTTGGCTGGATTAACTGGTGTTTCCCACGTGGTGCATGCGCGCGCCATGGCCACTTCCAACGGTATTCTTTATGACAGTGGAACCTCTTCCACCAATACTAAGTCATCCACTGAGGAAGACTCCACCGCGACCAGCACCAGTTCGCCCACGGCAACCACCACCGGAACTGGAGCCACATCTACGGCATCTGCCACGGCCACCAGCGTTCCCTCAGGGGTCGTGGAGTTCTCGCAGGTGGCGGTGCTCTACATCCTGGAAAAGACTGGGTCGTTTGACTTGGCACAACAATCCGAATCGGAGATCCAGACGTACTTGGTGGATGAGTACAATTCAGCCGCAAACCCATCTGTGGAGGTATTAGGATGGTATGGGTTAGACTTCGCCAATAAGACAATCAGTACAGGGTGACGAACCCCGCATCATTGCTATTTCAGGTTCGAAGAGTTTCCATTGTTCTGTTTGGTGGGGGGGGAAGAATTAATTTCTGTACATGTATATAAGCCAGATACCACATATGTTAAGTTTTCAGGGAACTCTCCCAGGGACTCGATTTCAGGGATTCGATTTCAGGGACTCAGGGTCTACGTAGATAAAATTTCCGAATTTTTATTCGTGGAGCACCGGAAAAGTATTGAGGACGTAGTCATAATGCAGAATGCCCTGAAAAGGGAGTGCAAGTGGATCCAAAGTGGATGCCAAGCACTTTTCTCGGATGAATCGAGCCTTCGATCACGACATTTTTGGCGGAGGTTGCGTGACGGTCACGTGCAACAAAGCCGCGCCAGCTATTGACGTTGGAGTATAAGACCAACGCAAACGGATCCATGTCAGATATTGTAAACCATCTGTCAATTCAGGGGAAGGGGAAAGGGCTCGTCACCTGGAGGGCTGAGCAGAGCTTATACCATGCCTACGTCGTCAGGAGAAAATGCCGCCCCCTGAAAATCAGGGAAGAGAGGAGATGATCCCCGCTGTAAACGAGTACGGGCCCCGATCTCCGCAGAGAATATTGACACCGCGGTTACTATGTACGATGGACATACTCCATCGTGGCTACAATATTAGTTAATTAGTGTGGTCAATTCTGGGAAGTGGCCACCTGGCCTATAGTACCGGGCATGTATACTCCGTTCCGACCTGTAATTTGGATCTGACATTAAGGATTGGATCATCAATTATGATGTACTGTAACCCTCTGATACATAAAAAAGGGTTAGATGAAACCACGGAACCCCATCAGGCTGAGACCCTGGAGGAAGCACAGAGAACGCACGCGTGGACGCGACAAGGGAAAAAGAATTAATTCTAGATAAATCCGAAACGTCGAAAGGGAATTGATAGTCCCGGATTCCCCTGGTTCACGCTTCTGGCTGGATGATGCGGCGCAGCCAAGACTCCAGTCGGATCCACAGTTGACGACTGTCCAGGCCATGATTGTCACTGGGAGACGTACGACGCCGAAGCTTGGTTAGCATGATAAGACGGCTGATTTTTCTCCTTTCGATTCCTCCTCCACTTTTCTTCCTTTCTGTATAATACCTGGGGGATTCCTCACAAAAAAGTGTCTTTTTTATTTTCTTTCATACACACATATTCACAATGGCCAACGCTCCCCACGGTGGTGTCCTCAAGGACCTGATTGCCCGCGATGCTCCTCGCCAGGACCAGCTCATCGCTGAGGCTGAGACTCTCCCCGCTATTGTGCTCTCTGAGCGCCAGCTGTGTGATCTCGAGTTGATCATGAACGGTGGTTTCTCTCCTCTGGAGGGTGAGTCCAATCCCGCTTTCCACTGATCCGGATTCCTCCCCTCAATTGCGCCCCAGAGAGATCTATGATCCATTCCTCTGCTATTGCCGCCATTGCCAACTTCCCGAGTTTCAATGGATGGGAATCAAGATCACAATTGTTTTTTTATTCTGGGGCGGAGGGGAACCTTGCATACATTAGGAGGGGTAATGGCTAATTCCGATCTCACCGCCCATAGGTTTCATGAACCAGGCCGATTACAACGGGTATGCCTAGAAATGATGCCATTGAAGTTCGATCACGCAATATCTAACTCGTGCATAGTGTCTGCGAGGACTGCCGCCTTGCTGATGGCAACGTCTTCTCTATGCCCATTACCCTCGACGTCAACAAGCAGACCATCGACGAGAACAAGCTGAAGGCCGGTTCCCGCATTACCCTGCGCGATTTCCGTGACGAGCGCAACCTCGCCATCCTGACCATTGACGATATCTACCGCCCCGACAAGTGAGTTTTACAGCGTTTTTTTCCCTTTTGGTCATGTTCTCGTGCTCTCGTGTTCGGGCAATAATTTTGGGGGGCCCGTGGTGGAGGGGTTGATCTCCGGTTTCGCCGCATTTCCTGCCGATCTCTCTCCGAGACGAACCGGTTATGGATTTTTTTCTGGCTTGGAAATCTGCCCTGCTCGGAAATTTTGGTCATACATTTCTTTCCAAACGGGTCCCCCCTTCCTTGGCCTTGGAGATGAGTGGCGGCTCTGGCCATGGCCTTGACGTCAAAACTTTTACGCAATATGAGAGATCAAGGGCCGTGCTTTTGGTAGTGGGGCTGGGCTGACGTGGATGTTCCCCTTATTTAGGACCAAGGAGGGCAAGCTCGTCTTCGGTGGTGACCCTGAGCACCCCGCCATCAAGTACCTGAACGAGACCGCTCAGGAGTTCTACATTGGTGGTAAGATTGACGCTGTCAACAAGCTTAACCACTACGACTATGTCGCTCTGCGCTGTAAGTTCTATTTTTTTCTTACTGATTTGTAATGATTTGCGCCATCAATCTAACGCGCATCTTCAGACACTCCCGCCGAACTCCGTGTTCACTTCGACAAGCTGGGCTGGTCCCGCGTTGTCGCTTTCCAGACCCGTAACCCCATGCACCGTGCTCACCGTGAGCTGACCGTTCGCGCTGCTCGCTCCCGCCAGGCCAATGTCCTGATTCACCCCGTTGTCGGTCTCACCAAGCCCGGTGACATTGACCACTTCACCCGCGTCCGCGCCTACCAGGCTCTTCTGCCCAGCTACCCCAACGGCATGGCCGTCCTGGGTCTGCTCGGTCTTGCCATGCGTATGGGTGGTCCCCGTGAGGCCATCTGGCACGCCATTATCCGTAAGAACCACGGTGCTACCCACTTCATTGTTGGTCGTGACCACGCTGGTCCCGGTAGCAACTCCAAGGGTGAGGACTTCTACGGTCCTTATGATGCCCAGCACGCCGTCGAGAAGTACAAGGATGAGCTCGGTATCGAGGTCGTTGAGTTCCAGATGGTCACCTACCTGCCCGACTCCGACGAGTACCGCCCCGTCGACCAGGTCCCCCAGGGTGTCAAGACCCTCAACATCTCCGGCACTGAGCTGCGCCGCCGTCTGCGCTCCGGCGCCCACATCCCCGAGTGGTTCTCCTACCCCGAGGTTGTCAAGATTCTGCGCGAGTCTAACCCTCCCCGCGCTACCCAGGGTTTCACTGTCTTCCTGACCGGTTACATGAACTCCGGCAAGGACGCCATTGCCCGTGCTCTCCAGGTGACTCTCAACCAGCAGGGTGGCCGCTCCGTCTCCCTCCTGCTCGGTGACACTGTCCGTCACGAGCTCTCCTCCGAGCTGGGCTTCACCGCCGAGGACCGCCACACCAACATCCAGCGCATTTCTTTCGTCGCCTCTGAGCTGACCCGCGCCGGTGCCGCCGTCATCGCCGCCCCCATCGCTCCTTACGAGCGCTCCCGCAAGTACGCCAAGGACGCTGTCTCCCAGGCCGGTCAGTTCTTCCTTGTCCACGTTGACACTCCCCTCGAGTACTGCGAGAAGACCGACAAGCGCGGTATCTACGAGCGTGCCCGCCGTGGTGAGATCAAGGGCTTCACTGGTGTCGATGACCCCTATGAGGCTCCCACCAACGCCAACCTCACTGTCGATGCCTCCAAGCAGAGTGTCCGCAGCATCGTGCACGAGATCATCCTCATGCTCGAGACTGAGGGCTACTTCGAGCGCAACTAGGAAGCTTGACTGGTTGTTTGCTTCGTTTTTCTTTTTACGTTTGGGTTCTGCCCATAGAGATGTGTACTCGCTTTTTAATTGCGATTGGATTCCCCTGAATTAGACTTCACAATCAATTCCTTGTCCACCTATAAACAAGAGTAGATGATACTGGATTTTATAATACATCACGTCCATCAAATTCAAGTCTGCCCTGATATATAGATGCAATGAATGCAATGGCTCAGACCATGTACAGCTTGACGCCATATTTAGTAAACAAGAGAGCCCGTCTCCCAGCAATTCACCGTGTCGAGCCACAACTTAGGATCGCTCGACCGCTGCCTTAACCATTTAGAACTGACCGCAAAGTCCAACCTGATCTTAGTTCCATGAAACTTTCTATCCTCAAGGTCATGGATTTAAAGCGACCATTTCGCCCTTCTTCTTAAGATAGCAGGAGGAACAGTAGGAAATCGGGGTTGCAAGAAACGAGGATGATGATTAGTAGTAAGCTGACTATGAAGCCAAAGCGGAATAATCCTCTAATCCTGCAATATTTACCAATCATCGTCCAGAACATCCATAGCATATATTTAGCACAACGAATCTGACAAGTAACGTTGCACCGTGTCATAACCCCGCGCTTCCCCTCCAAACTTGCTGTTTCCCTTCAATATTCCCACTACAATTGGAATCCTACTGCACCTCTGGACCTTACAATAACAAATATCGATCTGACACAAAATGTCCAACGTCAAGCTCTACTACTTCCCAGGCGCTTGTTCACTGGCACCGCATATCCTCCTCCTCGAAACTGGCCATGCCTTCACCACCAAACAAGAAGTTCGAGGCGGCTCTGACGAGCTCCGCGCTTTAAACCCCAAAGCCAAGGTCCCTGTCCTCACAATCGACGACACGGTCATCACTGAAAACATCGCTATCCAGACTGCAATCTCCAACCTTGCACCAGAGAAGAACCTCCTCGGTGCCCCGGGAAGCCTGGAGTCGGTCAGAATCCTGGAGTGGCTTGCATGGATAGCTACCTCGATCCATGCCACTGGGTTTGGGTTGTATTTCCGTCCGTTCCGATTCACCACAAGCTCCGATGAGAAGGCCCACGAGGAAATCAAGGTTCGGGCTAAGGAAATGCTCAAAGATGCGTTTGATCTTGTTGAGGAAAAGTTGACTGGAATTCATGCTGTGGGTGATCGATTTACCGCGGCGGATGCTTATTTGTATGTGTTCTATCGCTGGGGCTCAAATATTTGGGATATGGAAGCGACGTTCCCCAAGTATGCGGCCTTGGCGGCAGCGGTTCAAGCTAGAGAGTCGACAATCAAGGCTCTCAAGGATGAAGGTTTGTGATCTACTAATCTTCGATGGTCTCCTCTTGCGAGAAGTCTATGATCGGCCTGCTTCTACAGTTTGTGACCCAATTTCAGCAATTAAATACTGCGTAGTATATTGCATATTAATTACAGTCTATTCTATCAACCTGCGAGACCGTCTGAAGTCCAATTAATCTCATACCTTCAAGTTTTCAGTCGAACTGGAAGGTGACCTTCGTGGCTCAATGGGCCGGTTGAACAACATCGCCATGCTCACAAGAGCTTTCCCGAGAGCGCACAGTAAAAGGGGAAACTTCGAGTTAATCTCGCGCTGGGCAAAAGCGCCAACAAAACAACCCGCGACCAACATGATGATAAACATAACCCGCCGATTTCGCAGCCGGTTCTTCAGCTTGCCTAAATTTGGGTCCACGACCAGATCTATAAAGGCAGCAGTCGCCATAGCAGTCGTGATTTCCGTAATTTTCAACGAACGACTCATAGCGACCTGCGCACCAGAGGAAAAGGCCAACAACGCAATCACAGCCATTGCAGCAGGTCCATCCCGCTTGACAGGCCATTGGTGCTGAACGATCAACGCGCAGAAAACAAACAGCGTCTGAATGAGATTGCTAATCAACAACCAGAGCCGTCGCCGCACACCGATATAGTTCCCGAGCTGGCCCATGATAAAGCCACCCGCCACAAAGAGACTCAGACTGACACCGATATTGGGGAAGCTGTATGCGTTTCGGGTCAAGCCTGCGACGCCGATCGCGAGGAATAGTGTGTTGCCTGTTTGGTTGGAGGCGAAGCAGGAGTAGTCAGGCCAGGCGGCTGCATCTTGTATTCCGGTTGCGAAGGAGAGAATGAGGAGTTCGCATTCAAGGAGTAAATCCTCGCGGATGTCTTCCATAAGGAATTCATGCAGGCGGGATTTGCGGCGATCCTCGGTTTTTGGGAGGGTGAGCGCCATGCTGGTGTATGTTTCTACCACGCACAATTATTAGTCCCGGCGACCATGAGTCGTTGGCGCGTTTTAAGTGTTTCCGATTCACAGGTACATTGAAACTCACTGGAATCTAGGATGGTGTTCATAAGATCAGGTGTGGACTTGTTTTTGAATCTGGTTGCGGAAGTATGGCCAACGCCAATTCCAAAACATTGGTTGACCAGTTCGTCCGATTGAAGGGCTGAGATACAAGCTTTATATTTGTGGAACAATTATTGTGCTGTCTATGATTGGGACCATTTCTTGGCTGTGTCAGCTGCCCGACATTCCAGGCTGACGTATATTCATACGTTGTACATAGTAGGCGAAGGGGATGTGGAATTCCAGGCCAGCGGTTCGAGGGGAGATCGACCACGCGAGTGGAGAAAGCCAAGTTCTGGAGTATGCAACACTTTGAGACATCCTGCTTCACGGGAGAAGACCATATGGCGAGATGACGTGTCTACTTGGCCGATCGATCATTTTGTTGATCCTTTGTTGATCCGTCCCCACATTGTATCTACAGAATCCAGATCTGCCAAGACGATGGCGCGGACTTTCAATTTGAAACAATGAGATGGAATCCACAGAAGATCCTCAAGGGGGAATATGTGTATATATCTCGGGAAATGTGTGCAAGATCAGTCTAAGTATATGAAATGCTTAGATAAGATGTCCCGAAGCTTAAATTGTCGATCAGCCGGACTATATCCATGGATTCTCATCAATCATCTTAGATATGCGCATCATTCTGCGATAAGCTGGACTTGAGTAGGGAGGTCGTGATAGTGACACGCAAACAGTGAGAATATCAATCTCAGCAATGAGAGGACATTATCTAAGGCAGATGTAGAATGCATAGCAGAGTTACTTGCCCTCATTTCCTAGTTGGGAAGTTCCTTAATAGCAATCACTCTCTTACTTCTTCACCTTTTCCTTCCTCTTTACCATCTTCTTCTTCCTTTCTTCCCTCCATTTTCTATCTCTCTTTCTTAACGACACCCTCTGTTATCGCTTTCCAAGTTCCCCCCCTCAACGTACACTTGTTTGAACCCACCTTCACCATGCCAACCACAGACTTCCGCATGGATTTACGGGATGCCTCCACCCCACAACGATTTACGCACCTGAGCAGAGTCCAGCCTGGAGACTACGATGGCTCCATATCTTTTGATTTCCATGACTCCGATTCAGGAACCAATATTGAATTTCAAGTTGTGGTATCAGGTAAGTGGATCCTCCCAAGTCCCCTATCCTCGGACCCACACTGACTTGAGCCTCAGACCCTTCCGACTACCCCACAGATCACAGCTTCGTGGTCTTTGCATCATCCGACAATGTCGCTCCACAAATTACAACCGGCTTGGAAAAGGCACAGGATAAGGGTACCTTCACTGGCGTTTCCATTCACGATGTCCTGACCACCGTCGATTGTATGGTGCATAATGCACTTCGCGACCCGAAGCCCCAGTCACCTGGAGGACCAGATTATGACGATGATTCCGATGGAAGTGACGGAATCATAGATGAGTACGAGGAATTTTCTGACGATGCAACCTTCAACCTGCCTTCCCGACAGATGCTCACACTTGCGCTCCCCCAGAAGCTTCGGTATGACCTTCGTCTTGCCAAGGCAGCGGGATTCAAGGTTGGCTGTCTGGGAGACGTGACGGGGCCTATTATTTTGTCCATCGCTCGTCGCATATCCAAGCTGGACATCTCAGAAGAGGCCATGCAGGCATGGACTGTGGAGCCCTCGGAGTACCTGGTGCTCTTGATCCAGTATTCAAACGGATATCAGGATATGCAAGGCATCTTCGACATGAAAGAATCTGCGGCCCCTTGGGTTCGAATGCGCATTGGGCTTTGCGACTCTTACAAACCTTCATCTTTCCAGGCTGCCCTCCTTGCTTTTCAAGCACCTCCCACATCATCGATAACTGAAGTGGATAATAAGCCCCCCGACACAAAGTCAATGGCCAGCCTCAGACCGGTGTTCATCGGGTCATCACTCAACAAACTTTTGAATGAACGACTACTGGGAATCATTACAGCCCGCAAGAAGCTCAATCTTTCATGGACAGGCGCAGAGTTTTTTGTTCACGCCAATCAAGGAAAGGTCATCAGTGCGGAAGATGCAGACAACCCTCAATTTTACATACAAGATACCTGGGTCTCGCCCCCTTCAAGTGCCCTAGTCTCAGATCATTACCAGGATATGGGACTAGACATGACCAGGACTTCTTTCCCCCTAGTTGCCATGCAATTCACTCTTCGCCACTTCATCAGGTGCGCAGAGTTTTGTCTTATATGTCATTGCAAGACCTTCGATGGCTTCGAGGTTCTGAAGCCATATGTCTGCTCCAATGGATTGTGCCTCTATCAATACATCACCTTTGGCATGGGCTCCAGTGTGGAACACGATATTCGGACACAGCCCTTTGTCGTCGATCTTCTCGTGTCTTTGGCTTACGCCAGAGCAAAGACGGGTCTTCTTGAGGATTTCCCAACCGGTTTAGGGATCCTGGTCCCCGACGAGGAAAAAGTGACATCAGGAAAAAAGGGGGCGAAACTCTCTGAACCTCCCAGCTACCACACTGGCCGCTTGATCAAATCCTCAATGACTGTGTTTTGCCAAGCAGCTGGAATCACAGCTGGTGACTGGATCCAGGTCATCCATAGTACGCACTCCCTGACGGCCAGTTGGCACTGTCAGGTGCAAGATGTCGATGAGGGCCTCGCTTTCATTACTCTGTCACAGCCAATCCCCACGGCATCCCAAGTTTTACTCCACAGCACGTTGCCTGAGGCCCAGGATGTGAGTTTTGTGTGTTATGATCAGAAATTCGATAACATGAAACCTCAAAAGAAGCAGGCCGTCATGCTGAAGATACTGGACACACTGCCAAGCATACAATTGATGGAGCTGTTCCTCGGATCCTCGGATTCTGAAAAGGTCCTCTCATCTTGGCGTGAGCGAATAACTCCTGCCGCGCTTGACATGCTACGGTGGATTGTTGCCTCTAATCGATCATGTATTCTCCAAGACCACAACGATAGAAATCATCTGGTCAGTAATATGCCGGGTTACATGCAATTTCGACTTGTCCAAGGTGCCCCAGATAAAGAACAGCGCTTTATCAACGCCATCGAGTCAGTAGCAATGACCAAAAACCCAAGCAATCCGACATTATTTGCATGGCATGGCAGCCCCATCGCTAATTGGCACAGCATATTGCGAAAAGGGCTCAATTTCGATAAAATCAGCAATGGCCGAGCATGCGGGAACGGAGTGTATTTTTCAAGGCATTTCACCACTTCAGTGGGCTATACTAACAATCTTACTTTTCACCATCAAACTGGGGATAGGGTTGTTTCCGAATGGCCCCACAGCAGACTGAAAATGCAAAGTGTGCTGTCCCTGAATGAGATAATCAACCGCCCAACGGACTTTGTCTCTCAAAGCCCGCACTTCGTTGTCGACCATCTGGACTGGATCCAACCAAGATATCTTTTCGTGGGAAACCGTGGATCCGTGGGTCCTAATCTGCCCACTGTTCAGACATCTGATTTCGTGCCGTTCTACAGCCAGGATCCCAAATACCCAGCAATTGGCTCCAACGGCAAGTCTGTCAGGATACCTCTTTCAGCAGTCAGCAGCCAACGACGTCAAATTTTTGGTACTCGGTCCCCGGTGTCATCACTCAACTCACCAGCTCGAATTCGGAAAGAGTCCTCCGAAACCGCCACGTCCTCCGAGTCGACAGATACTAACACCTCTAAGATAAACAATGACGATTGTGCTAGTGTTTCAACAGCAACGGATGATCTCAATCTATTAATATCCGACTCTGGGACAGAGGATGGCATCACTGGAGCCACGGTCGATACGGAAATCGCGGTCGAAACTAAGACCATTGAGGAAATTCCATCTGAAAGGAATTTGCAGATGGCCACACCTCCCACACATACAGCCCTCGAGACCGACTTTGTGTCAGGAACTCTGCAGGCGAACCGCCTCCCGATCATTGCACCACCCCGGTATGCAACAACGACTGCTACAAAGTTACTCCAACAGCATCTTCAAACCACGCTAAAAGTCCAGAAAAAGGAGGCACCTGCAGAACTCGGATGGTGTCTTGACCCTAATCTCATTTCAACGGTATATCAGTGGATCGTCGAGTTGCATAGCTTTGACTCTGCCTTGCCTTTGGCTCAAGATCTCAAGGCAGCAAAGCTCAATAGTGTTGTCCTTGAGCTACGGTTCCCAAATGACTTTCCCATGAACCCGCCGTTTGTTCGAGTCATTCGGCCTCGTTTTCTGGAGTTTGCAGCCGGTGGAGGGGGTCATGTTACTGCCGGAGGGGCCATATGCATGGAGCTGCTATCCAACTCGGGCTGGTCTCCAGTTACTTCCATCGAGAGTGTTCTGCTGCAAGTTCGTTTGGCTCTCAGCACCACAGAGCCACGGCCAGCACGATTGGCCAGATGTTCCCGAAGGGATTATGGAATTGGCGAAGCAGTGGCGGCATTCAGAAGGGCTTGCTTGTCTCACGGATGGCGAGTTCCCAATGATTTGGAGCTCATCACGGGTTGATTTTCTCCCTCAATTTCTTGTATCCTCTTTACTTGCCATCGTCAACTCTTAGGATTATTCCCTTCTCGATTTCAAGACACTTATGCTCTGTTCACTTTCTTTCATTGCCTAACAAGAATTATTTTGCTTTTCTGATTGAATATGTGACCACTTTTATTACCTGCACCGCGCATATGAAGAAAATTTTCCCCCTTCACACTCCTTTGATGATGTATCCTCACCTGAGTCCAATTCCGAGCTTTGCTTTCAAATCCAGCTTTTAGATTACCTACAAAGCGTCCATACAGCACGTTTGAGAGGTCTCACCTTCGTTTCATCCATGCGGATTCCAATCACATAGCAACTTTCTTTTCTTGAATGAGCTTTGATCGATTCTCATAAACCCTAACAATGATCACTAGTCATGATAGCTAATATTCCCTTTCATCAAGTTTTTCTTTCAATAACCTGTTCTGGCCGAGTAGCTCCTGCTATTTCGACTATTCGGATCCCTTAAACTGTGTAGCGTATTAGTGCATGACCCATGGGCCAGGGACCAAGGATCTAAAGGAGGAACCTCGGCTACAGCGGTTGGATAGGCTTAGGTATAAATGGTTAAAGAGAGGCAACGGCGTGAAGAGAGGACGAGGAAAAAGTTGACGGAGCTTGGGGCTGTACCGTGGAGTTCTGATGAATCCAGCAAGCTGACAGATAATGTTGTGCCAGAGGCTCAAAATTCGTGTCTGATGGACAAATTGGAGAAGCATGTAATGAGAAGCCAGAGACAAAAGCAATGAAGATGTGATATTATTTATTGACTGCCGGAACATATTAACGCAACGCCTATTCACCAGTTGGCATCCTATGGCAACTGATAGCGGCCCAGAGGTCGGATGCCTTAAGAAGCCTTCCGATCTCAATGAAGCGATAGCCAATTCAATCAATTGACTATTACATCCTTGACATAAGTAAACTCAACAGGTCCAGTGAGGCCAACTTCCTGCGGCGAGCTAGACCCATAGAGACTAGACCACACTTCAATCAACTTATTCCACAAGGTGGTGGCGACGGTAATGACAATATCTAGGCAATGGGATTAGAACATGAATCAAAGCACAACGGAATTAAACTCACCATTCTTTCCGTCTGAAATGTAGTTAGTTATATCGATGGGCTTGTTGAGGAATTGATCGACCCCTTCCACATTCACACCATTGACTTCTAGTCCGTACGTGCCAGTCACGCTACCAATATCCAGCAGAACATGCAGGCCGGACTTCTTAGTCAAAGTCACGGTTGTCGAGTAATTCCCAATGCCACTGGCATTGACGAGAGAGGAGACATTTGGCCAGGCCACAAGGTCTGTTAGATACACTGCGGCCAACTCAGTCTTCACTGTGTTTGGAGATGCGGATCCTGTCTCATTGATTTTGGCGGGTCCCCAGTCTTCGACTTCCAGCTTCCAGCTCGTGGGCTTTACAGGAGCAGGCAGGTTGTCCGTTTGTATCCGTACGCTTTTCCCACTGGATGTTGTAGCAACACATGTGGTGTTGGAGAAGATGTGAATCTCACCATTCTCGACATAGGACTCGCAATCCGTTGTTATTATGTGTTTCTCCAGCTTGGGAGCACCCCAAGGGTTGCTTGTTCCAACACTGCCTATTGTTAGACTCATATAGGTGGCAATTGAGAGATGAGAGTGAGACGTACTAGATTGGAAGTGCAGCGGTCGATGCCAAAGTGATGTTCACCTCAGTATAGCCACTGTTGCTGCGGAACGCAGCAATGGGATGCACATCACTGGTCCAAAGGTCAATCCAGTATGGGTTGCCCTCACCTTCAAGCTTGATAGTTTGGGTAACAGCTTCGTCGCCATTATTATATATCCAGAAAAGATGTCCATCATCAACAGTGCGTTTGTACGAGATAAGCGAGTTGTTCACCCCACTTGGGTACTTCACGGATGGTTGAACGGCTAGGGATTGAAGAGCACCAGGAACACCACTTGCGGCTGTGACCGCGCGCGTTGTTGATAAGGCTTTGATCTTTGCAAATAACTTCGCAAGGTTGGTTGCAGTGGTCTGGGTACTTGCCACATAGCTATAGCTGAACGATGTTTGTGGAGTGTCACCGACCAGGATAATCGGTAGTCCTGCCTGGCCGTAGGATAACAGCGTCTCTGCGGTGCTCACGTCAATAGAGGAGTTTGTTACCACCAGAGCCTTGTATTTAGGCCCAGAGGGAGCCAAACGACCATTCTTGACGCCAATATTGTAGCGAGCCAGCAACGAAGGGGTTGGGAATTGGTAAGAGTAGCCAGCATCATTCAAGCTGTCATCACTCCACGAACCACCGATACCCCAATCAGCATTTAAAATGGCAACATCAATGGAGGGTCCAGAGTTCTGTAGTAGGCCTTGCGCGTTCCTCAGGTATGAGCTGCATTGTGTCGCGAACATCCAGTGAGGCTGCCGGGGACCCCATGCATCTGCGAAGCCAATGGAGCTGCCCAACGGAGTGAACGGGGCGAAGCCTGGCCATTCACTAGTCTGCGAGTAGCTATACGGATGACCGTGTATCACAGCCTGACTGACGCCCAAAGCCATGTCCAAATTGGCAGTGCCAAGCAAGAAAAGCCATGTCACGCCATACGCTTCATTCATATAAGCACCGAGCTCATCTGAGAGGATCGTCGTACGTCCCCCGATGTCGCGCCCGGTGGCTAACACACGGAAGGCGTCGTTGTCACCATCAAAGCCAAGGGACTCGCCTTCGGGGATATCGACGATACTGGCGGCATATGCGCTGTCAAAAGTAGCTGTGTATGGCTGAATGCGCAACCGGAGACCGAGACTGTTGACCCAATTTTTGAGACCACCAAGGCGATAGTCGGTGTATAGATCGCTGACAGTTTGATAGAAGTCATTCAGGATCTGAGTGGCCACTGTTTCGTCACCACTGAACGTGTTGGTGTCCTTGAACACGTAAAATAAGAACGGAGTGAGATCGTATCCCCGTCTTTGTTCAAATTCTTCTATGAAGTCGGTCGTCCAGTATTGCTTGAGCTTTAGCTCTAAAGAGTCCTCAAACATGGAACCATCACTCCTATAATATTTTATCAGGGTCAAGAAATCAAATATCTCGTGAGCCCAAGAATGAGACTTACTGCTTGATTTGTTCCTTGATCGAGTCGGTAAGGATGTGCGAGTTCCAGAAGTCGATGCCCGCCTGTACACCATGAGAGCTGAAGTGGTCCACGATATAGGCCGGGGAGGGGTATGTGACCTGAGCGTTTTCAGGACTAGCTGCAGGTTATTAGAGTCATTCATTCCAAGGGCGATGGCAAATGCAGAAGAAGGATTGAAGACATACCGTCGTACATGTTCTGTATCTGGCCAGTCCCGCGATTGTAGGCTGCGACCACAACATAGCGCCCATCTGAGGGAGCAGTCCAGCTCAGAGTGTTATTCGATACAGATGCAGAGAGGACCTTGATGGTATTTGGAATGATATCCACAATAGTGCTGCTGTCATTGGTCGTGGTAGTTCGTGCCGCGAGCACGGCGACGAGCTTCGGGGTTGCATGGACAATATTGCCTGTCTGGTTGCCGGATGGTGCGGCAACAGGCAGTGGTAGGGTCCCGGAGAAGCTCTCACCTTTCTCGAGGAAGATCTGACCATGGACTAGCTCTTTCATTGTCTCGAGTGAGTCAGGGGTGTAGCCTGGAAAGCCAGTCGGCCAGTGGGGACCTAAAGTCATATCGACATGGCCGCCAAGTCTGAAGTGAAAGAAAATGTCAGCGGCGCAGATGAAAGTCAACAATAGATACTTACTTGTTACCCTCTGTATAGGCACATTCAACTGCTGCAACCCAGCGAGATTGGCCAAATCCATAGATTTTGGGGTCCATATACGCATGATCGCTATCATAGACATCACTGATTTCACCGCCAGCGAAACCAGCGTTGACAATGTCAGAAATCTCCGACGAGATCTCATTTGGATCAATTGAACCGCCTGGCCACCACCATCGAAAACGCGCACCCTGGTACTTTGAGTATGCTGGAAGTTGTCCAGTACTAGCCTTTTGAGAGACAGCAGAGGCCGAATGCAAGAGGTGGGCCACCAAGGCCGCATAGAAGACCTTCATCTTTCTGACTTCTGGTTGACAATTCCTTCAGGGCTGGTGGTCATGGAGCTTATATACACGGCGAGATAGCGTTCATCTAGCATTGCATTTTCACGGGCATCAATTGCCCCGAGCATCATCAAAACATTGATCCCTGAGCATCTTGCAGATTCCCCGTCCCCCGCATTACCCCACAGCTTTCATGGGTAATCCTGGGGGAAGTGAGCTCGCGTAGGGCTCTCGCGAAAAGCGAAGGGGCCGCGAAAAGCATCACCCGGTGAAAGTTACCTTAGCGTCCATGGGGTTCGCTTTGTATTATACCGAAGATAATATGGGCTTCGCTGGTGGTACAGATGTACAGGATAAACCTTAGCAGCTGCATGCCAACACGTACAAATTGACTGAGCTTAAACACGAAGAAACCATCCTAAACCTTCTCCAACACTCCATTGGCTCGGAATTTGGTGGGTCTCGGGATTATGTAGAATTGATCAATCGGAACTTCCCCCACATACGCTTACTCCGCTTTAGCATGATCCTCCCCACAAACACTAGCTACTATAGCTGCAAGACTACACATTGGTGGAAGCTGTTGAAAATTTGTATTTTATTGATCACAAATGTCCGGGTTATCGGTGAATGCATAGGCCCAGGCCGCCTCGGACTCAGTGAATATACCCGTTGAAAACAAATCCTCGTAGCTGATCTGCTCCATTCTTGCCTTCTGTAGAATATTCCTCGTTATAGATAGTCGTGCTGAGACCCCAGGAAGAAAGTTCATCTGCTCCATACAGTACATAGAATCTTGTATGAGCGGAAGATGTACAGATGTCCGATCTCCCCAAAGACTATCGATAATAAGTGCCCAGCAGGCACTTTCGAGGAAAAAAGGGTTGTTTGGGAGGGACTAGAAAAGTTAGTCTGTGTGTGATGATGTAAAAAAAGAGATCCGGACCTTTTGTATGGAGTTGGTTCCAAATAATCGACAGAAAAACCGGATGCTTTTAGTTGCGGCGTCGATAGCATATTGACATGCCTCGTCCACGATGGTGTCGTTTTCGCTTGCCTCCAAAGACCCAGCGTGTGGAAGGCCCATATCTACCTTCGCGATTCTCTTTGTCGCTCGTAGAATCAAAAAAGGACGATAGAGCAGAAGGATTGAGTATTGAAGCACTGTAGAAAGATCGTGAATAAATGTATCATTAATGCAACACTACGGTCAATATACTTACATACAGTCCCCATGTCAATCTCGTCTCTAGCTAGAGGGCCCTGATGGGGGTTTTCTGAAACCCAGAATTCCTGAAGTCGGCCGTCGAGGGACCTTGATACATTCCATAGTTCTTTAAGATCTACTATTTCGGGTCGATGTAATTTCTGAATGTCGGAAAGGATGGAGAAAAAAGGTTGCATGAGTCCGACCATCGTTTCGTCGCTCTTAGGTAAAAACCTGAGACTGTTTGAGAATACGGTCTCACGGCCTAAGGCAAAACAAACGAAGCTTTTGTTTCAAGAAATCGTCAGCTTAGGCGAAATGGTGGTAAAGAATGCTGACAACCTTTCATGACAACAGAAGGCAGAAATGATAGCCTGCTCTTGTGGGGTGCGAACCAGTTTGTCCATTCCGGCTGCTAATATTTTGGGAAGTGTTGCCCCAAGTCGCATATATGCCGTGGTGAAACAACCAGAGTCTATATCATGCTGAATGTAGAAACTCACAATTAGTTTAGGCCTTACAGGTAGAGCGTGTGAGACTTATCATCAATAAATCACTCTGGAAGACTAGAACATCCCCCACGATATCTGCTGATAGTGTGTTTCTTTGTGCCTCGGCAATGAACATACTTCCCACGTCAGCATGGCCTGCCGTTATGGAACCAATGCTGAGCATAGGAAATAAAATAGAACGAAGGGCCATGCCATCAGGGTCCGTATGCACACCTGGCCCACTCAAGAGATGAGGTAACTGTGCCCGGAGAGTATTCGGCGATTGAAACGGAAGAACCTTCCAAGCCATGTTAATATATTGATCGAGGAAAATAGATTGCATTTCCAATGGGACCGTATCTAGCGGACCTGGCAAGCTGGGATTGAGAAGAGGGCGATGAGATGGTTCGGAGGCGGCTATCACCTGGGAAATATAATCCAGAACATCTTGATGGTGCCGGCTCTGCGATTTCGCCTCGGGGTCTATTGGTAGACAGTCGTTTGATTGCACTATCAAGTCTAAGATAAGACTAAGTACGGCCGCTGATGACGTAGACCCAAAGGCTCTGGTAACGGTTCCTCGTGAGGACAAGCTGTCGCTTATTCGAAGAGTGTCCAAGATCGTACGTAGCTGGCGCAAGTCTCCTTCCCTGCCTACCGTGGCAAGTGACGAGGTATTATTAACCGAATGATCAGTGACAGGTTGTGAGGGAATCAATGAGATGCGCTGAGTGGAGGCTACTTTGGCTGCATCAATGTCCCTTCTCCGTGCTCTGTTTCGGAAGTTACATTGCACCGAAGTCTTTTTGCAGCGCTCACAAGGCATTAAGCCATTGCATTTCAATTTGCGCTGCCGACAGGGCTCGCACGCTTTGAAAACCTTCGACCTTCGACTTAAAGCAAAATTAGTACTCGGAATAACATCGTGTAGTTCCATGGCTTCGTCGGGGGAGGTCTCGTCATGCTGGAATTGATTTTGATGCCGCTGGAAGCTAAGCACCAGGTACCCGCGGGTCACTCCATGCGGGGTTCGGCCTCGGGGATGAGGTACGTGGTCTGGATCTTGAAAAAGTGTATTGGAAATCTAACCAAATCGGGACACGGAAAGCCTTCGCTATTCGAACACCGGTAATTGGAGCATGCCGTGCTCAGACCTACTAAGTGGACAAACGCGGGGTGAACACTAATACGGAATGGGAACTAGTCGCTAACAGATCAATACACTCAAACACTGGATCAGTGCTAAGGTATATCTGATTTAGTACCTAGATTAGAAGTGAAGCTAGGGAGCTCTGGAAGTACAGATAGTGCGGCGATGGAGGGCTGTCAAAATGTTGATAGGTCAAGAATCTGTGTAGGGAACAGGTGCTATTCCGGGGTCGAATTGGGAGTAGACTAATAAATGCCCAGACTGAGAATTACTTCGTGAGAGAGCGCCCTCATAAAGGCGTCGTCTAGAATAGGAAGCCCCAAACAGTCAAAGAGAAAGACGTATAGTGACCTACTAGTGACCTACCTAGGCACTAAATTATTTGGGCCTGGCCATGACCCGTCTTGAGCGATAACATACCCATAGCGAAAAGAAAAATTGCAATATATCAATATATCACTAGACAGAACTTTTACATCGGTTAAGAGGAGATTTCAATTAGAAAAAGCCCCACCCATTAAAATCATCTGCGAACCGAACAGCTGCCTTCAGATAGAAATTTTCGTGGTCGTTCCAAGTCGTAGCCATCTGTGCCAACGATCGAATAGCTTTAACGTAATGCACGTCCGTCGAATTTTCACCCTTGACCGCCATATTAGCAGCCCACTTCCAGTCTCGCCCCTGGAGGTCATATCCGTGGACACGGTCCAAATGAATCTCCGGCCGGTGTTGACCGATGAAATTGGTGAGGGTCATCAACCACCACTGCCGAAGAAGTGGGATCTGGAATTTCGCCGGGATCAGTGGTAGTAAGACGCGGACTGCGTGGCTGGTGGTTAGGATGTGGACAAGGAAGAAGTCGTACTTCTGAGTTCCGTGGGTTGCACTGAAAAGTGCAGCGGCAAGTTCTTGACTCTCGCGGAATTGTTCAATTGGGTTCTCGATTTTCCAGGCATTCCAGTGATTTAGTACTGATGCCTCATGGGTGTTGAGAAGGTTATGGTGGTCTGGAGTACTGGGAAGATCGTCGAATTGTTTGTCAGATCGGACTTTATCGAGAATCTCGAAGAGAGACGTTGTTTGGTATGGCGGCTCTGTTTGTGAGTAGGCTGGGTCGTCCAAGTACTTATGCGTGCTGTTGTAGCAGACTGACGCCAATCCAAGTGCTTCAATTGCAACTTCACGGCTATTAATCTCGTAGGCGTAAGCGAGATGGATGAGAGGGTGGCCCACTATGCGTAGGTAAGTATTTGAGTGTCCGGTAGATAATTAGTGACGAAGTAGACATACAGTCTGCGAGAATCGAACTGAATAGAGGATTATCGCCAGAAAACAGGTATTGGTCAATGACTTCTTTCCAATCGTAGTTGAGTCGAACGAGCTCGTCTTCGTAATAGTCCACGAATGCTTTTTGATATCTGCTCAATCCTGTTAGTGCCGAGTCTCGAAACAACTCTCTTCGCGGAACAAAGACAACTTGTTTGAAGTATACGATACATACTCTCGGCATCCTAGGTGACTTCTCCAGTCTTCATCAGTCACCTCTGCGGGTGAGTCTTCCCATGCATCCAATAACTTGGACTCCGTCTCATAGATCCGGGTCAGGTCATCTGCGTCAGCGCCCTGCAGGAACGCCCCACTCAGAAGCTAGAGAAAAGTTCAGCCGGATTTCAAGCAGTGATGGTTATCGGAATGGGTCACAAACATGGGGCGCGTGATTATGGAATGCCCGGTGATTGTATAGAATAGCATAGTTTGCATGATTCAATTTCAGCAGGTACTTCAATGCCCGTGCGGGCTTCTCTGGCGCTTCGATATCGTGCGTCTGTACAGGTGGTATGTCTATTACCTTCTTCTCCCTGGAAAAAGGTAGAAATGACCTTAGGGAAGGCAATGAGACTGACAGCATGTTGGTGGGTTATTGTCTGATGCTCGTTTAAGGAAATGCTGTGTAATGGCGGGGACGTGTGACGCAGTCGGTCTTGATCGTCACACCTATGGAAAAAAAGGGACCGGAAAAAGGGCGATCCCGATATTTTGATCGTACTGTAGAGTGTTTAAGATTGACGGTCAAATCGGTCCACCGTCTCAACGTGGGATCCGCCGTAGATTGTTGGGAAATTCAGGCAGTCAGGCATATGATGACGTAATTGGCCACATCCATCACGTGTTAAACCTTTAATACTGTATACGATCATGTGAGAATGATACATTGAATATATTGCTAAAGTATACTAATCATACGCGGCTAATCCCCCTGAAATCTTATTTCTTCTGTTCCACCATTGGAATCGGTTGTTGTGGGTGATCACCGACTTCTCCAGAGAGGACCTCTACCTCGATCCGGGGGCCGACATAATTCTTCCGACCGTCTACAATCCAGGTGATTGAAGAGATAACAAACACAATACCAAATGCGGCGACACAGTAGTCTATGTACTGGTTAGTCATAGTCGTTTGAACGTAATGGAATCTGTACATACTCATGTTGCTGCCAGTGGCAGGCAGTTCTGGAGGGAAGAGGAAGAGGACAGTGGTGAGGGAAACGTAGACCAACGAAATCTAGCATAATGTCAGTCAATTTTGCCAGTAAGAAAAAAAAAACCATTCATGTCTTACAATATTCAACACCCAGCCAAGGACATTGGGTAGAACGAAGGATCTCTCAGGAAGTGTGTTGCGTCCTCGAATACAGTTGATTGCGATCGGAATGCCGTAGGCAAGATCCAAAAGGACCACTGAAGCCGAGACAATAGCATTGAAAGCGCTGGAAGAGCCGAGGAAGATCAGGCCGAAGATGATGACCAGAGCAAGATTGAGGTAGAGTGTATTCAGAGGAACCTTCAACCCAGGATGGACTTTAGAGAAGAAGCGCGATGCAGGTAAACCACCATCACTAGCCACAATTAGCAAGAGTTAATTCAAACAGATCAAGAACGAACATACCGTGCAAATGCATAGCACATACGACTGCTGGTAGTCATGATAGCAGTAGTGGCGAACAACATGCAAACAAGAGGGAAGCTAGGAAACCGTTAGCCCTTCATCTCTGGAAAGTGACATGCAGACAGGGATAGCATACATCAACAGGCAAATGGCGCCGGCTTTGTTGGCAGTTGCATGGTATAAAATGGCCAAAAGTGGACCTGCAGAAGATTCGATGATATCCGTAATACTGCCCGCCACGAAGAGCAGAACGACGAGGAAGATAACACCAGTCACTGTACCAATACCAACGCATGCGATCATAATCTTAGGTCCTTCAACCGAGGGGTTGGGGATTTCTGCAACTCGTCAGCTTCGTCATTGGCGACAGATTCGATCTCATTTTACCTTCGATCATGTGTGCAACGCCATCCTGTTTTCATGGTAAGCATATATCAATAAAGATTGACGGAGGTAATTACTCACAAATCCAGTGACACCAAGTCCTCCTTGCAGAAGCTGTCGTCTTGTTAGAAAATAAAACATATACTCGGGGTCGCATTCCAGAAACATACTCCAAGGAGCCAGGCAACGCCATCGGGCCCTATGATTAGTGTCAGCGAACAAGTCCAAATAGCCCGAAGAATTTCACATACATCCTGTCGTATTGTAGAACTCGCGGAAAACAAAGTCTCCAGAGTTGAAGTCTGGCGCTGCACAGGCAAGGACTGTGATGCAAATGACAGCGAAGCCAGTAAGCGACCAGGTGACTTGACACGAGTTAGTACGTCTATGGAGCCCGTAGTTCGAATGTTGACTTACATGCAGCCTTGTTGAAATAAGGCAAAATGCTGTTACCAAAGGCATTAATGAGGAATCCCGCAATGTTGTAGCCAACATAGATCAGGAATTGGTGCCACCGCTCGGATTCGTAGCTCTATGGCAAGGGTCAGCCGATGAACGGTCCTCAAAAAAAGATCCTTTACATACGGGGTGCATCAGCGAAATCACGCCAATGACGAGCTGGCTACCTAGCAGTCCACCGGTAGCTACTAGCGCGACCCAGCCAGCACAGTTCACCCAGCCGGTGATCCATGACAAGATGGGCATCCATCTCTCCCAGGAAATCACAGCCACCCAGTGGTATTGACCTCCAGCACTGTTCTCGTTAGTCCGAGTATACACACAGGGTTTCTCAAAGTATCTCACGTGGGATAGGCGGAAAGGAACTCGGCGAGTGAGGCGGACATGCACAGATTACAAATTCCGGCAGTAACCAAGCCTAGTGCGGTTAGCAAGCATTGAGAAAAACCGGGAAAGGCGCATTACCCCAGACAACGCTAGAACTGCCACCCGATGGGAGACTGAGGGAAAGACTAGCAGACAAAGCCGTCCATGACTAGTTTCTCGATTAGTACACTCCCGATGCTTTACCCTCAATCGATACGTACATTCAAAATCGCAAAGGCAAGACCCAACATGGACCTGTAGATAAATAAGTTAGTCTTCGCCTCGGATGGCGCATCGAATAACGTACAACAAGGAGAATTGACGTTTCAACTCCGACTTGTGACCCATCTGGGCCAACTGCGCATCATCGTCACCATGGGGGGCATAGTCTTTGAGTGGAGGATCATCCATTTTGGTAAGGGAACGAAGGGATGAGAAAGGAAAACTAAAGGAAAAAAAGATCAGAAACAAAGGAGAGTCTCATAATAAGAACCGGCTGACATGACGACACTCGAAGATGACTTTCCGAAAATATTGTACTCCACGTCCGTTTCGATCGACGCGGGGGAGCGTATCGGGGCTTCACGTAATAGTTTTGGAGTAATGGAATCAGTGGAAGGTGATAACATGCTGACTTTCTGATTGGTTCGGCATGCCGACCACGGTGATATCAACCAATCACTGATAATCAGGGGAATTAAGTGTTTGGGCGCGGTCCGGGGGCTTGGCTCGCTCCAGAGCTTATCCCTGCATTCTATCCTGCCATTGGCTGTCTATATATCCACCACGATGGCAATCTTGGGGTAACACGACCTTCTTTTCTTGATACATGCCTATTCAGTGTCACGCAGGGTAGATATCGAAAGTTTTTCTAGTCGGAGTATAGGTGGTCTCGACCAAGTATAGTATGGCATAAAGTTTGCCATCGGATCAGCTGTCCAAATAGGAGTCTGTTCCTATCTCAATGAAAGAAATGGGTCATGGTGGATATGTGGGCCCACCCTACTTATCTGTTCCTTCACCAAATCGCCCTATGTAAAGATTGTCACTCACCGGTCACGATCCACTAAAATTCGGCTAGAAACGCCCCTACACTCGCGCAATCGGGCTTGCAGGGAGAGACTCACCGGGAACTAAGCCCTTTCAGCCCAAAGTCAATTCTGTGGGAGACCGCGCATGCAGGTCCGCGCTGATCGGCCGTTTCTAGAAGCTTTCCTTATCATTCCTGATAGGGTTCCCGTGGCTGATTATAGGGTTCCGTCCACGTTAAGCCCCTTGGAGGCAAATCTCTGTCTGGAGGCAAAACCAAGAAAGAAAAAAGAAAAAAATTGAAAAACTGTAAATTGGTACATTGACAGAAGCACGATTCTATCATTTTCTTCATTACATTAAATCCCCGACATATCTCCCCAAGGTCCTTCCAGAGGCCCACGGCAACCCCGGGGTGCTTCCCCGTGAGTGTGGAGAGGGTTGGGGTAAGTACATATTAGCCAACTACCAGCCCTTTGACCTCGCTTTTCGTATCCACTTTGAGCTCCATTTGGACGTAGTGGAGGTGGATGCTTCGACCTAACAAATGTAGCTAGCCCGACATGCAAAGGTACCACATGACTTTGTGGTCCAAAATTTAGCCTACTTCCAAAGTCTTCTCATGTTCGATACGTTCACAACGCTCTCGACTTACATGACATACAGTGTTTTGGTTATGAATTAAACTAGGAAAGTGGCATTGGATAAGAGAAATGCCAAGTTTTGGCTTAGAAAGTGGCCATGATACCAGCCAACACGGCCGCAGTAATCGCCAACGGTCCACCCACAAGCACACTAGCACCATTAGCCGAAGTGCCCGAAGCATTTGAAGCAGCTTGAGTTCCACTGGCTCTCGTCTCCGTCGTGTTTGTGGTGGCGGAAGTTGCATTCGTACCTCCAGCCTGGGTGGCCAGGTCTTCCCTATCAAAAGCAACTAGATTTGCCGTGAACACACTTGCCGCGCTGAGCTGCTGTTCCATCCCCTTCTCGCCGTCATACTTCTTACTGTACCATCGCACTCCACAGGTGTCATTTGATTCGCCGGTGCAGGCTTCCGCGGCCGCCGAAGCGGAGCCCTGCAGACGTGGCAGGATGTCATCCACGGTGTACGGGGCAACGGTAGAGACCAAGGCCAGGTCACGCACAAAAATACCCTTGAAGAGAATTTCGTTATTGTTGCAAAGCTCCCTCTCTTCGCATTCGTATTCTGACATGATATCTCCACCATACTGTGCAGGGAAGAAAGTAGTGAGACTGGTGTTCAAGAGGCCATCTACGCCAGATTTCCACTTCGAGGCGCCGTTCGTCTAGTCTATGTCAGCGATCGTATCCTAATTCCAGAAAGAACCTACTTTCTTACCAGGTTATACATATATGCTGCACCGGTGACGTATGTACCATAATTCATAGACCATTGGACGTTATCACTAGTCGCGCAGTGGTTCTCGGCGTTCGTAGAGTCAGAGATAATCCAGGTCTCATTGTTCAAAAGTGGGACAGAAGAACTCCAGTCCCAGATCTTCTCGGCCCAGTCGGAGTACGTTGTGTTCCCCGTGTATCGGGCCAGGCGAGCAGCTAGCTCAAAGAATTCACCGTTGGACATGGCATTCTTGATACCATAGCCGGTCTCGTACGTATAGATCTGCCACCGTAACCCGCCACCACACGTGCTATCATCCCAGCGGCTCGCCTGAGAATTGAACACGGCGGCTGCCTTGCTTGCCCATGAGACCTCCGTAGACGTTTGCGGGAGGCCGAACTCCGCGGCTGTCATGGCCGCAAGCCCCCAAGGCGATTGATCGTCGTTCCCAATATACGAGCTATAGTTTGCAGTGATGTAGTCATTGTTGTCGCCGCTCTGCCAGTTCATTCCCTGGATTACGGCCGGGTTGTTCGAATCGTCGCCAGTTAGATACCAGTAGTGAATCATCGTATCGAACAGGATGCTACCCTCCCACCATTTGGTAGGGAAAGCGCCAGGAATGTGGCCGGTCAAGTTGCCCGTATAGTATGACATGGCGCCATATGCGGCGGTGTGAGCTGCGCTCTTGATGGACTCTGATACCATGTTAGAGGATTCTTCGGGTCTAGGCGGGCATGGCAGGTAATGGTAGCTCACTTTCATCCTTGATATCGAGATCAATGGCAGAGGCCGCGCCGGCCAAAAGAGTGATAACCGACGCTGTTTTCCACAAAGTCCCAAGCATTATGAGACTGTGGGCTGGCTAATCAGCAAAAGGAAAAGAAAAAAAAAAAGGGGGGAGGGAAGGGTAGAAAAGACAAAAAAGAGCGTTCGACGCTCCACAAACCAGGGCGCCACTGATGTTTTTATTTCGCTGAGTGAACGAGGCTCTGCTGTGGAGTTAGTGTGTTTGAAGCTTGTCTTTCCATGGCCTGGTGGAGTTGTGCGACCTCCTAAACCGTTCCCAGGCCCTGAATACGGCTGAGATCCTCGCAACCATTTCTTTCTATCGTGGGGGCTAGGAACAACACCGTCTGTAATTGGCCAACGGAACGAATTTCAGTACTGTCTAGACTGCCAAGACTGAAGCTATCCTTGTTTTGGTATTGGTGGGACCAAAATTCCCCGGGTGATTGGTCGGAATTTTCAGGGACCAAAAGATTTCTACGCTAACCAACGATATTAGCCGGGTGTTACATGTAGACCCTGAAAATCCCGGTATAAGCAGTGCAGGTGACATAGTCGTAAAGCCATTCAAACTTTTTAGGGAGATGCTACATGTCAATCATTTGGAACATAAGTTGGCACTCCAAGAATATAATCAGAACTTTGTATCCCCCTCACACCCTAACTTTGCCTGTTTTATGAAGAGCGATCGATCGTTCCGGAAGGCCATGCGATTACAGCATGGATCTCAATATCATTCCCGAACCCCTCTTTCTTTATTTAATTTGAGTTAGTCAAAAATCATGAAACTATTGGGCCTTCGGGCCTAATATTAAAATGTCGACCGAGATTGTGTAGGTGCGTACCTGTTAGGACCACTTGGTAGACTCATACCTAGGGAACCCCTATTATCTACAATACTCGATTCCTTTATAGTATTACAGTACAGTCGCCTAACCTCCAAGGATGACATCTAACCTTGCTTTCTGCATCTCAATCCCCTAAACTTCGGGCTTTTGAATAGTATGGATTACGGATCAGAGGAAATATCCAACGCTTGATCCTTTAGTGACATGAAAAATCCGATGTATGAGCTGGAAGATTGTACGAGTATATTGTATCATCTACATGAATATGATCTATGGATATGTGTGGATTTGCTCATAAACTATTGAATATGCACGGGTTGATAGTCAAAGCCTCCAGTTGAGATATGAGAGCCTTTGATGATCTAATGGTGTTTGATGTGTTTCGAAGCACCTCTATGGCAATCTATTGGCAGTATATGTACATGTTAGACCCAGGACATATAGGCGATCCAACCACTGATAACTTGAGATCTGGCGTAGTAAGCCAGAACCGCCAAGCATTACTACAGACCAGCAATCGGGACACATGGCACATGCATCGAGCCATGGCGTCTTTAGTAAATCTATGTTGTTTCCGACCTAATCAGAGCCGCATCAAGGATGATAATAAATCACGGCCTTCATATATTACTTTAGGTCGGCGGCTCCTGATCGAAACTTTATTTGGGGCCGATGACATTCTTATTAATCAACTGGTGTGGAAATGGTGAATCAATCCCTTGGGCTACCGGACCCCACTTGCAGCGGTTATTTGTGAGTTCTTATTGGGTAAATACTCACCCGTCTTTTAAGAGTGTACACACCTAGCGTCATTTATAGTAGTCCTCTACCACATCTACACCTATTTTGGGTTTTCCACGGCGGTTAATAGACCCCTCATAATTGCGTCCAAACAGCGCAGGATGGGAACAGCCCCCGTTGGGTTTTTGGCCCCTTTCATGGTTCTTCGTGAACATGCAAAAGGGCTAGAGACCCCTTTTACTATTATAGTCTGCAATTCTGTTTTTTTTTTTTTTTTTCTCAAACTCCATCCCCGCCAGTTAAACATATATACATTCGTTTTTTTTTTCCTTTGGGAGGGGCTATCAGCCGCACGATCCAATGCATTTTATCCCATCTGGTCACCGACACTGTCATTTCGAATCAATAGTGATCGCCCTAATTCTACTCATACCGACGAGCTATGCAACATGTTACTGGCCAAATGGGGATACCCAGGACGACTATGTGCAGTGTCCAAGCGGACTAAGCTGTTGCTTGAAAGGCGAGACGTGTTTATCGAATGGGCTCTGTTTTACCGCGAACTTTGGGATTCTCTACCGCGGCGCCTGTGCCGATGAATCTTGGCCGATCGCAGAATGCCCTCGAGCATGCTACACAGGTAAATGAGTGCTTTTTCATTGATCAGAGCAAATTCCAGGAGCTAATGCTGAATGGGTATCAAGAGATCGATTCTGGCTGGGCAAATCTATTCCAGTGCAATACATCAACTGACCTATTAACATGCAACCATGACTACACATCCGCTGGTGTTGTCTGCAATGGAAATGGAGTGGGCACGTATGATGGATACACCAGCGCCAACGTGACGGCAGCCCAAGTTGGTATAACAGACGATGCAACGACAACCAACACCACGAATACGACGTCGACTTCTGATAATGGCTCAACCAAGACCGGTTCTTCAAAAATTACAGTTACAACATGCCCTTCAATCACATCATCTAAGAGTAACTCCGAGCTTCTTGTCTTGGGTATTGGTCTTGGTGCGGGATTGGGCGTACCCCTGTTAATAGCGACAGGGCTCCTGTTATATTGCAGTGGCCAGAATCGAAAACAGAAGAAGGAAATCCAGCGAATATCTGAGATTGCTCCGACTGTTAGGCCCCAAACCTGGAGACCGGATCGTTCAAATCGGGCAGAGTTATATACTTCCTTTGTATACCCAGAACTGGAAGGCTCAAATACTGGTAAGACGGAGTTACCAGGGTCATGCCCATCTTATAAAAATTAATATTGATACGCAATTCAAATGTTCGCTTCTCAAAAGTCATCCCCCAAGGGTCCCTCAGATTGCTTTCGAAGACTATGTATTATCTCATCGAAAGCATCCATGAATAGGTAGGTATTCTCGGTAAACTAGTCGTTATCTCATAAATCGAAGACTGCTACTATCTTAGACTCCCCCAGTCAAACTTGGAGCTAGATACACGCCTCAAATATAGGGTACCGGCAAAAGCCAATCCGCTCCCTTCCCCCAAATGCACTTTCTGAAACGACGGTATGGTACAAACAGTTTCAGCCATTGAGATGTGCGCGGCAAGTTTACGCTTTTCATTGGTCAATTTCGTTCTTGGATCTTAATGTATCGTGCAAAACGCATCTGCATGGATCAATATGGCCCTTGGCAAGCAAATCTATTGGTGTGGTACAAAGTATCTTGCTTGACCAGTATCGTTACCTTGAGATTGTGGGTTATTGCTAGTCGAAATACATCTCAAGCGGACCCCCGGCTCATCTTTTCATGCCATTGAAACTCGTGCGTTTGTTGAATTTGAGTCTAACAAGTTGCCTCACTAACCTTGCATTAGTGGATGCACATCATTCTATAGGCCCAAGCTAATGAGGAGCCTTGATCTGCATTGATGGGGCTAGAGCAGACTACGAGCCCTTAGTCGCCAAGCGGAAGATTTTCCAACTTTCGGGGCCCACGCCGTGAGGGTGAATTGTATCCCTGAACAACAAATCTTCATCTTTACAATGTCCCAACTACGAGCTTGAAGGCATCTTCTGGTGCTTTTGAATAGGGAACTTGGGAGGTAACAAGTTTGGGATTAACCAGTCAAAGGTGCAGTAATTTGATCCTAGCCCACCTCAACCAACTCCAAAGCATGAATAATGATAATAATAGAAAAAGGTATATATGTACAACAGAAAGACAATTGCCATGCATGCATGGTAAGCATATCGAGAGACGCCATCTGGAACCAAATGTAGCAGATGGATGACAAAATAAATAGAAAATGAACCCAGAATCCCTCGATCAACGAGCGGTTGTAATGCGAATGATCAAGGTATATGCATCGTGTGTTCTGGCGTGGAAATGCTCGCTTCAACGACGGAAGGGACATGAAGTAATGCAGCAACCTTGAACAGAATGAAAAACAAAAAGATTCATGGATAACAAAATCAAGGATGTATTGATTTTTCTTGTAAGAGGCCGGGGAAGTGGAAGAACAGAAGAGCCACATTCAAAGCCTGATACGCCGGGCATCAAAGTAACCCAGATTTACTGCGGTGTCGTTCACACCTACAAAAGGTGCCGCATCTTCAAGGAGTTCCCACGGCCGGTTTGGATACGGACCGACGGTCCGCCCCCGTTGTTGAAGACGAAGTCGATTCGCTGTGAAATTAAGCCCTTCACCAACATGCGCACCTGAGTGCGTAGTCGTAGACTGCGAAGAATGAGCAGGAGCAGGCAAGTTGGGTGTTGGGGTGGAACCTGCTGCCGGGGACGGTGCTGCTGCTGATTGGAGGTGAGACATTGTGAAGTCTCCCATTGGACCTAAAAGATAGAGGAACCGGGCGTCACTCTGCAGACCGAGCGTTGGGCACTTCTCCCTGAGAAAGCGAGAGCACTGGTATCTTGTCTCATCCGGAAACACGTCAATTAATGACGCAGCAACATCTAGGGCATGGGTTTGTAACAAAATGCCTGGACAGGGTCGATAGTCTTTGGGTGATCCCGCCCGGGGGAAATAGTCTGCGCCAGGGAAAAGGCGTAGGACATCGGCTGGAAGACGAGAAAGCGCTATACAGAAGATAGAGACCAACAACCTTGATGGCTCGTGGGAGGCATTGACCTTTAGGCCAGATGGCAGCATGAACGAGGCACGATGTATGACGACCATCCTTAGCAGAGCTGAAAACCAGAAGGCAAGAGACCGATCGAAGTTCGACCGCGCTGGACTAGGCGTGCCACCAGTTCGATCATCACCTTGCATCGTTAAAATCTTCTGCAGCAGGCCATCCATTTTATCAACGAGGGCAGACACAACTGCGGAAGTTGCAGCATCCTGGGTGCTGCCAGCAAGCTCCTCAATTATTGTGAGGTAGAGTTTTGCGGTTTCCAAAGATCCCGAACTGTGAGGTGTGGCCAGAGAATTAATTGATGACTCTTCCAGTACAGGGATAGAGAAGAACTCTCTCTCTGCACGTTCGCGAATCTGACGGACAGCATCTGGGCTCATGAGCGCAACAAGATCGACCCAGTGGAAGTTGTGGGCGCGGGAGTTGGCTACAACGGTTTTGAACACTGCGTCTGCGATATTGTTTCGATCTTCGTTGTCGGAATCTTGATGGAAGAGAATCTGAAGCTTCAACTGGCAAAAGGGGAGAGACAGGTCATCGGTTGTGCTGGCCAACTTTTCGACTTGTGAGATCACAGATGAGGCGTCTTTTTGGTGATCAACCCCGAGCAAGCTGTCGAGTGCTTTTCGGAGTGGGCCGATGGCGTTCGGATACTGATCGACGAGCTTTTTCATGCAACTTTGCTCTACGCAGCCGGGGTTCCGCACAAGAAGCTCACGCAATAGCGTCACAAGAGAAGCCTCTCGATCATTTCGCTTGCGGACATCGCCAATATCGAGAGATGATGCGGCGTCGCACACGATACTAAGGACCTCATCGAAGCTCTTGGCTAAGAATTCCTGTTGCGACAAATAGAAGCGGTAAGAGACCAGATCAGAGTACCTGTCTTCTGCGGGGGGAGAAAACAGATCGAGGTACCTGTCCTCTGTTGGGACAGAAAGAAGAGTATCAACAAGGTCTGCTGGCAGATCTTCTGCATTGGGAAGCGGAGTCGTGGAGTAGCTGAGCCTTCTCACTAGAGACAGGAACGATGTAATTGTAACGCATCCCACCCCAATCAGGGAGGGAATAATATTCAGTAAAGTAGAACGATCAGAGGATCGTAGATGAGTGCAGACCCAGCGAATCAATATCCCGTCAAAATGTTTTGGCTGGAAGGATCGCAACTGCGCCAAATACTGACAAATATCGTTTGCTGACAATTTGCCCTTGCTGAGCTGAGATTCCAATTGCTTCGTCAATGTATTAAAAATGGTATCCAGCGTGGGCTCATCCATCAGATTCCCGGAGAGTAGAAGATGATCTAACTTCTCGCGAAACAAGGGATCTGTATTCCCGAAAGAGTCGGGGATGTGGTCGGAGACTGGAGATGATGCAGCCAAAACAGCCTTGTTCCCGATGCGTGAAAGGTCTTGACGAAGGATCAAAACCGTATTACACTCATGGGGAATACGCAAGCCAAGCTCGATCAACGAAAACATTAAATCCAGACTCGGGGGGTTATATCGTTTGATAATTGTATACGCATCGACCAGCTTGCGGAACAGATCCGATGTCGCCCCAATCATGCACAGTGAGTCGAAATGATAGTTTGTGGTATCAGCAACCGATGCAAGGACAACGCTATTCCTAGAGCTTGAAGCGCATTTCAAGACATCTGCCAACATGGAAACATCCTCAAATGTTTCGAGAATGTCGCGAACAATCTGAAATTCATCCGGTGTAAGTATTGACACAGAATGGACACCAACCAGGATTGATGACCGAGTGGTTGAGGCAGTGACCTCGCGAGTATGTTCAACAACACCTCGACGTAGCCACTGACCTATCTCAGCTTTCACAGCCCAGGTCAGTTTAAGGGACAATGAGTCAGTGGTCATTTCATTGTGAGAATCCATGTCAAAAATTCCCGGGAGACGTCGGCTGATAAGTTGCTTTATATTGGCAAGCATATTGACTTCATCTGCAGCAGAAAACCCAATACGAGCTAGCAAGGTGCTACGCAAATTGCCAACATGTTCCGGGAGACGGCTAACGGGAAGCTGTGCTATCAATGCAATGTCGATATGCAGGTCAGGCATTGATTGACGGTAGGAAGAGGCATGACTTGTAACATCTTTGGCCATCAGCCATTGAAGGTATCGGCCCACTGAGAACGTCTGTGACCTGACGAGCTCAGAGATTGTATGATATACATTCTCCATGTTCAACTTCTGGTTACGTCCGGCTCGTGTAAGAAAGTTGAGAATATGATCGTCCACATCCACTCCTGCCGCCTTCCATTTTCGCAATAGACGAGCGCCAGCGTAGACTCGGTAGATTCCATGGCGGAATGGAGTGGACAACCATTCCAACAACTTCGAGACCAAGACTGCTCTGTCCTCAACAGCTACCAAACAGGCCGACGAGACTGCATTGATGTCATATTCAGAGAGTATCGAATCAAGGAGGCGGATAATGCATTGGTTTGGTGATCGCTGCGGTGTTTGCTTTGTATGATGAGGCTTTTGTACTCGAGCATTACGCTCGGTGAGGTTTTGCAATAAGGCTCGGTCCACATTGTCTGTGAGATCAAGGCACGACATGACCTGGCTTTTGTATTTCTCCCATGAGTTTGGTAGGAGCAATGATGAAGTATGTTCCTGAACCAACTTCTTTATGAACCGGGAAAGTCGATCAATGAGGGGTTTCAGAGGCTCTCGCTTGGCCTGTGTAGCCTGCCGCAACTTTTCGAGTAGAAGTTCGGCCAGCCGTCGCCCTCTACGTCGATAGCGTGTGATGCTGCTCCAGTAAATGCCAAGCATCATAAGCCAGACAGGAACCGTGCCGATTGAGGCGGCTTCGAATGAAGACAGGAACCACTCAATGAAGTGATCATGATCAAGAAGATTCTCAAAAAAGAGACGGGCAGTCAATCCAATCGCATAAGTCATCCTCGGTTTCCAGTCAGAGGACTTGGGCGCACTGAACACAGTCTCAAGAAACTGCTGAACGTTTGTCGTCCAGTCTCGTACCCATTTCGCTTCCAACCCCACAGCCAGAGCACCACTCGTTCCTTTCCGCTTAAAGGCGCGGATTTCATTGGCGCCGACACACTTTGCGAGCCAAACTGCCCGTGCAACCGGAATCCACTTTCCAAGGCATTGATCAAGAAGGACTTTGCCTCGGATACCATGAGGGATGGTTCGGCTCAGCCGACGCAGCGGCACGGACGGGTTGGCAAGATCTCGAAGCCACGCCTCTCGTTTATTGTCGGTGAGCGTCACTCTTGGTGGCGGCTTGAAACTAGATGGCGCATGAACGGTGTTGTGATGTTGACGTTTTTCCAGTGCAGCAGAAAAGACGGTTGAAAGCATCTGGAGCCCTGTACGGTGTTTTAATTGTCCGTACAGTGCAGGTCGGGCCGTATTGGATTCATTTTGAGAAACCTGGGTCCTGCTATAGTAGCCTTGTTTCGCCGCTTGTTCATTCAAGACATCTTCTGGATGGTTCCCGGTCCACGGAGTGAAATCGGCAACTTCTGATATTAGATATTAGCCATATTCCTAGATACTGATAATAAATCCACTTACTCTCGCCTTTAATCGCTGGGGCCACGGAAGGAGTCACAATACGAAATGGGATTGTTTGAACTTTCTTGTCCGGGGAAGCCTCCCTTGATCTTGAACATCCATCTAGTCGATTAAGAGGGGTATTACTCCAGGGTTGGGGAGGGAATGGGGGCGGAGATGTAGGCCGAGACCCCGTCGCACTGCCTGGAATCTCTGACATGACCGCCTGAAACGACCACATGGGTCGGCCGCGCCATGACAGTTGAGGTCGTGAACTGGCGCTGGCCGGTGTACTCCTCGCATCTGCACCCTTTGCGGATGAGCCTGCATCACCAATCTTGGAAGCACCTGATATATCCAGTCTTGGTCGTTTTGGTGGGGGCTCCTTATCATTCGGGTCGTATCCATTATTGGTCAAGTCGACCACTGCCGATTGGCGCGTCTGAGGCTGCGACGGGGGTAGAGGCGGCTGGGAGGTCACCGATGAGGGATCATATTGAGAAGACATTTGTGCCAAATCGACCCTTCCGGGGCCAGCATTGAGTGGTCGCATCGGGTGACCCCATGGTTGGCCGCCGGCAGAAGAATGCGGTATCATCTTAGGTTCATCGTGTACCGTCCGAAGGGTGTGTAGTTTGAATCATCCGGAGCCGGGGCGAACAGCGAGAAGCGCCGATCGTTATTGATTGAGGAAGTCCAAATCGCAATAGAAAGAGTGCTCGATCTGATATATCCAGGTCAATTCGATACTGGTTGAGACGCGGATGCGGGTGCGGATGCGGTTGACTGGCGAATAAGGCAGGTTGGGAGAGGATAAATCGAGGGAAGGGAGGCGAGGCGACGCAGTTGAGTGCCTCGACGTCTTGACAAGAGAGGGGTTTGATATGTATGGATCACGTCCAAGTCTACAAATGAGGGATGGGGTGTTTATGAAGGAAAGCGATAACGTAAGTCACGGGCCAAATCAGCTCCGTCCTCCTCCGTGGCCTGGATCCACAAGAATGGCCGGATCGACGGCTTTTGCTCTCCACAAGAATGGGCCCTGTTTTATTTGCTTGACCATTTGCTTTTGAATTGCTCTTTTTCATCCCATTTAATTTCATTCTACTGTATACGAAATCAGATGTCCGGAGTCATTTGCCCCTTTGGGGCCGAGTGCTTGCCGAGTTGCCGTTGGGCCTGAAGTTTCTCATAATCTAGGACCGATATCGTCCCCTATCATGTACTGAGGCCCTCGTACCGGTAAAGTCTTATGTTTTTACGTATAAATCATGATTTTCCGTCGGTGGAACCCCCGCATCCCCCTGCCTCAATCAGCCCATTATATGTATTGTTTGCCCCAACATGTACGACCGAGGTCTATATGTACTGAATATGCCGACTTTCTTTTTCTGCTTTGTTTGATCCATACGGAAACCGAGCCTGATCCGAGAAATTAAAATATACCACTGTAGATTTGCCCTTCAGCCTCCTTATCTCCGCGTCCACATACCGTATCGGCCCACCGTCGGGTCGCTGCAGCAGATCTATCATACGGTGTGCTCTTATGACAAGCTGATTTTTTGTTTCCAACATTCCAGTGTATACTCTGAATATCGCTGTAATAATTTGCCGTTCCAAATGCTGGGATTATATGTCCAATTTCGGGAAGTCCTTGGTATATGTCTTGCACAGTCGCAAATGTAAAATTGCACGATCTGCACTGCATTTGTAGGCCCAATTCCGTGCTCTCACCGACGATTTCGGATCTAGTGAGATCTACAAGTGATTGTATGCAGTGGCCCGATCATGCCTAAACTTACACTCGAAAATCGTAAATATGAAGATAATTAAATCACCGCAATGCTCACACTATGCTTATCAAGCTGAATATACTAAATGTACTCCATAAACTCTACCTACAGGGGTATGGTGGATGACCATCTTAGCTATCAGCTCCCCACGGTTCGGGTCTAGCCCGGGGGTAGGCCTTGGCACGGGGGATCTCGAGACTTCCTGACATCTCCCATCACCCATCAACCCATCAACCCACCATGGCGTCAAACAAGGATATGCGGAGGGCTGATCTCGGTGAGTTGTTTGCTGTGCTCTTCATGCGCTTGGGCTAATACGAAACGCTGCGATAGTGATTCCCTACGTCGACCCCCCGAAAAGCGGCAATGAGGCCGACATGTCCAGTACGTCCACGGTTGCGCCATCACCAGCACCTGGCAATGACACACGTCGGATGCAAAAATAATCTGACTGAGATAATCAACAGGCACCATGTCAAGCACAATGCCCATGGCGGCGGTGAGTGGATGCAACTCGACTTTCAAGCAATGTCACGCTAACACGTTCACTAGATGTTCACTCGGAACAGGTGAGGCTATTCCGCGCATTCAGTCAATTCATATCGTTTTTTCCCCCTAACTGATACTTCGGCACATTTCAGGATGATTGGATGGTAAGCCAGAAGACCCTCCCTCCTCCCACCCAGGGCGACCATGCAACGTCTCTAACATCGCCGCAGGGTGGCATTTGTCTTCTCACTCCAGGGTTGGCTTGCTGAGTCCCCTGACCAGAAGAAGACTGCAGCAACTCCAGCTTACATGTCTGTTCTCATGTCACGTAAGTTTCCTCTACTCTCCAGCCTGGAAGCCTGATCAACTAACCTCATTTTCTCTAGTGATGGCCCTCGTCGTCGTATGTCTATCTGTGACCACTCACCTAGCGACTCTTGCCTAACATTCCTCTATAGACCTATTTCCCTCTCTTCCTGCCTCCTCAGGCGAAGAATGCCCCCGCCGCTGCCATGCCGTCGGCCTAGCGTCGAACCCTTGTGATACCTGCGAATCCACGAGCCCATCCCAATTACCTTGTTCCCGTCCGTATAATGCGGGTTTACGGGCTTGAAATGCAGTTCCGTCTAGACTGGATAGATGCTAGTGGTACAATCCTTGGATGTTGAAGTGATCGTTGTAGGCTCACACTGTACTAATACCCGGATGGACTTTTTTTCGTTGTAATCTTACATTAATTCATGGCTATCCATCCAAGGTTCGAAATACATGTAGGCTCATCTATGTAAATCATTAGATATACTGCTATATTAAGTAAACAATAGTGGCGACTTCACTGGTAAAGGCACTGAGAGTGCTGGAGGGGCAATCGCTGCTGAGTCACACACCGCTTTCCCCACAACGTGACTCTCATAATCTCTTCCCGCCCAATACTCTTTCATTCCTCAACTTCTACCGCACTCCAATCTTTTCTCTCATACGCATATCCTTGCGATCGCCTATCTTTCCAGAGATATTGAATCTCACTTCCAAATCCTTTTACCAAAACCGCTTTTAAGGAACATTTTCGACAAAAGGCCGAGTTTATGTCCATCGAAAACCTCAAGACCTTCGGTAAGTCGAGTCGCCACCATCCCCTCCTATAGTAACCCCTCGGCGCTTGTTTGGCATGCGCCGTCATCGACTTTTGAACTGGTGCCAAACGCTATGAAACCCCTCTGGGACTTGTCCATCTTGCTGGTTATTCATTCTGGCACTATGATCGCCCAGGCTCACTGTCGAGGGCGGTGGCGGGGTAAGGATTTTGTTCTGGACCAAGGCTGACTCCTCCACCTTACGCAGACCCCTTCGCCGACGTCGACGAAGAGAACGGTGGCAAGAATAACGCGAAGACTGAAAATTACGTCCATATTCGCATTCAGCGTACGTTTTGTCTATGCAGCTTCTACCCTAACCTGTTCCAACACATAGTATCACTACGGCTTCCGAATTGCACGTTCCACTAACAGTCCTTGTGATACAGAGCGCAATGGTCGAAAGACCCTGACTACGTGCCAGGGTCTCCCAGACAAGTATGACCAGAAGAAAATCTTGAAGCGTATGAAGAAAATTTACGGTTTGTTCATCATCACCAACAGAGGCTGGTTCGCATCAGACACTGACTATTGATCAGCATGCAATGGAAACATCGTCAAGGATGACGAGATGGGTGAGGTGATTCAGCTTCAAGGCGATCAGCGTAAAGATGTCTATGACTTCTTGACCAAGCCCAAGCCCCCCAAGGAACTAGTGAAAGCAGCGGAGGAGGAGGATAGCTTCAAGAAGCTCAGAGGCTACGGCATGGCGATGAAGGTCAAAGTCAAGGTATGTCTTTTATTGTATGTTTCCATGTATTTTCATCTCTAACTATTGCACAGGTCCACGGATTCTAAGCCTGTCACCATACCTCGTTCCAGTCCTTTCTTCCCAGTTTAAGTTGCCCTGTGGACGGTGGAACAGACATATCCCCATCCCTTGTGAGCCGTACACCTCGCAGATTCATAAATGGTGAAATGTTCTGCCTCCTCTCTCCGTCCCTCTGTGCCTGGCATGTTAGACTTGGACTGTCGTCGGCCTAGCATATGCGCCTGAAACTTTCTCTCCACAGGAAAGCGTCCTCATATTCGATCGGCGTGTCATTTTTCTAGGACGGGATCACGATGGAACGAGGCGTTGGAGATACCCATATCTGCTTAAGCAGACCCTGCTTTATTGTTCATCAATTACAAGTCTGTTTTCTATTTTTTTTTGCTATTTTTGTCATCGTCGTACGGGTCATGTCGATTGCGCCTTGCATCGTCGCCTGATCGATTCATTCAAGGAAATTTGGAACTAGAAGAGTCATACTATTCTTCTTCATCGGTCCCTACCTATCTCCTTGTTGTTTCCGTTGGCTCCCTCATTGCGCCTTTTTTTTTTTTTTTTTTACAATGCGGTCTCCAGTTTATTGCGTATCAACAATGAATATGAAATGTCCATTGCATTCCTCTGATTCGTATTCAAGTGTATAATGAGAAGTCTGAACCAAACTAAATGGAGAAGGTTTTTCAAAGATTGGTGAGATATAGGAAGAGGAGAACCCAGTGGGACAAAGTGGGACTGTACCCCATCAAGTTTGGATAGGATCAAAATGATAATCCCGAAAATGTACAACTCCAGCCCTTGTATCTTGATCTGCAAATCAAAAAGACTTGGTGGGCAGCCGCGTCCATGCCACATGGATCACGGAGAAAAGACAAGCAAAAGAGCTCCGAAAGGTAAAGCTCCAAGCTACAGTTCTCCGCCGGCGACACGGTCGTTCGCAACTCGCATGCGTAGAAATATTGCAACAGCCCAGTCCCATAGCTTTCGGGTAATCACGAATACAGGGACCTCCGGTTCGTTTTCGCGGGTCAGATGCAGCTGCATCAAGAGTGAGGACATGCTAACAAAGCTAGCAACGGATACAACCAACAGAGACGCTGCAGTTTCGCGCTTGATGGTTGCATGATTTTGGGTTGCGTGGTAGACGAAAGTAAGAGTCTGTAGCCATAGGTTGTTAGCATAAGTGTCCCACAGGTCTAAAAACACGGTTGATGGTAGGGAACGTCTTACGGTGGTTATTGAGATCCAGGCTGGTAGGAGAAGTCGAGGATCAGACGATGCACCAGAAAGATAGAGGACCCAAGAAGTGATATATGCAATCAAGCCGTTTGTTGTCAAAAGACGAATCACAACGGCCGGCGGGGTGTAATTCAAAAGCCTATTCGAAGCATCGATATCAACATAAGAGCTCTCAAGCAGAAGCCTGGGAATATATATACTGACCATCGGGACATCATACAATCAGCAAAGAAGTAAGAAAGATATGCGGATGCGCAGCACTGGTAAAACAAATGTTAGCATACGGCCAAGCAGCCTCTTCGAAATCAAAGAGACCAGACATGTCAATCCACAGAAATGACTTCAACATACCCACATAATGGCCAATGCCACTTCAGTAACCCGGAACCTTCTCTCAACATCCCATTCCTGACCCACGCTTCCGACAATCGCCGCCGCCCACCCCTCCCGTCCCATTCCCGGTCGAATATGCAGCAGCTCAGCTAGGAAAGTAAAGGCGCACCGTAACCCCCACCATGCAGCGGGAAGTGTACTCAGAGCCCGGCAAACCAGAAGAGGAATATGCCACCTTCGATCCACCCCCAAAATCACAGCTACCCGCGGATGAAGCGGTGAAGAGGCAGCCTGACCAGCATCGCTGCCGAGTGGGGTATGGGACGTAGAGGAGGTTGGGGACGGCGGGGCCACGGGAGACACGGCGGAAGCCACTTCTTTGGCAAATTGTCTCGACGAAAACGAGACTGGAGGCTGAAGGAGTTCTGGAAGGATGGTTGACCGCGCGAGGTTCAGGTCTGGCTCGCTAGGTATTTGGGCGGGAGGAGAGTAGGGCGGAGGAGAGACATTACGTCGAGGAGCCAGCCTTTAAACACAATTACGGCATATGCGGCCGCCGCGCAAGCCTGTAGAATAGGCACAAGGGAATAGGAATGCTCAGGTATTGGGATTGAGCAAAGTTCGTAGCCCAGAGTGTGCTGTTGTCGAGTCCCCTAATCGCCTGGTTTGTGGAAAGAAAGGAATGTATGCGGTGTAGATTTGAGGGGTGATCAGACTCTGCAGGAATAGCCTATGTAGAGCAAACACTGACCGAGTCGAAGATGACCGGAACAAGAAGAGTGGAGAGCGAAAAGAAGAGCAAGTGGGGACCTTCGTTCTCTTTACGCAGCTTCCCGTACCTTGAAATCGCGGAGAGTGACACGTGACCTGCGGATTTTATTCCTCCTTCGCGGACTTTCACGGCAAACACATCCAACTTCCCAGCTACAGTTCGCCATGGCGTCCTCACTCCGTCTTCCTGCTGGCACCTTTGCTAGCAGTGCACGCTCAAGCTCCTTGATTGCGCAGACCTTTGCGCCGGCTTCGCACCAATACCGACCCTTTTCCCAGGCCTCGCAACGATGGGCATACAAGAGCAACAATTTCTCGGCCAAGAACGTCACAGGCCCTTCGATGAAGGCTCGGTCAAAAGAAGCCCTCAGTGGCCAGTTGCCGAATGATCTTGGAGTGTTGCCGGGAACCTTTGTCCGGCCGCTGTGGAGGGATCTGCCCTCGATTTTCCAGAGCCCGCGGGATCGGTGGCAGATGGAATGGACTTGGTTGAAAAGCACGGTCCAGAACTTCATGAGGTGGGTGACTTGTTCAATATCTGGTCGCGTCGATATACATTTGTAATATCGAAGTTTGCGGCATGGAATATCGGAATATTTGATTGCGGCAATTGGACAACAGCTAAGATTATTGGCAGCTTGATGATTTATTGCAAGAAGGACAACAAGTTCCCCTTGATGTTGAAAGAGCGGCGGAAAATCGCACGCCTTCTATATGGCGATATGTATACTGCCTTTGCAGGGTAAGCATCCGCATTTTAGCCCTTCTTTCCCACTTTCCAACCTCATATCTCACACCTAAGCTTTAGGGGTGATGTTTCCGGCCTTCGTCGTCTTTGTGGTGACGGTCTTGCCAAAGATCTCATAGCGCAAATCGAAAGCCGCCCCAAGAACCAGCAAGTGACCTGGAACCTAGTCAAATGGCTTCGTGGACCGAGTACCTATTTCACTGGTATCCGTGTTGTGTCAGACCGCGCAACTCAGATCCCTGAAATGACCAACTCCGGTATTCGCCAGATTGTCCTGCGTGTGACCTCCCGCCAGTCCATGTCCAAAACCACATCACAGCCTCGTGGGAAGGGTCCTACGGCAGAAGTTGTTGAGGCCCCTGCTAAGGAGCAAAACTGCGAGGAATACTTTGTTATCCAGGAGATTCGCTGGAATGGTAACAGTACTGGTTGGCGGGCCTGGGGCTATGTCAAGCCCACGGATATTGATACCGTTTACAGCGACCCATACTTCGCCCCAGGCCTGACTGCTTTGGAGCGCATTGAGGCCATGAAGAAGATGACAGGCCAGTAATTCCCTGGATTGTGTCAAGATAGCAAGGTTTCTGCCTTGTGATTCTATCCGCAATTCAAGTCTCGAATTGTATCTGGAGCAATCTCTTCCGACCAATATCCAGATGCTTATATTGTTGCAAAGCCAGCAATCTGTATCAAAATGATTGTATCTGTTCCACTTGGTTTTGTCTGTTTGTTTTATCAGCATTGATCTCCCATCCTCACTTCCTTCTTCGGCAGGCTGTGCAGACAGTATCTGTCGGCCCTCCTTGTCCTGTTGTTTGTTTATGAATTTCTCAGCAATATAGAGCATCTATCCTTTCATGTACCATAGTCAACCATGCTTTACAAGTTCAAACTTGCACTACCTTTCCGAGGTTTTCGCACTGACGTGCTCCTCGAGCTACTTTGCTGGACCATGAATCGTCTATTTTGTACTTTCTATCAAAATCAAAGAACGCACAAGCAACAGATACAATTTGGAAGTTATAACTAGATTATAGCCACGTGCATCAATGAACTACCTTATGCCTCTCTTTTTGCAAGGAAGACACATCAATGTCCTAAAACCGGAACCTCATAAGCACTATAGCGGAACAATATAAACCATGCCTGCGACTTCGGGACACGCAAAATTACACAGTGTGAAAAACAAATCCAATGATCTGGAACCAAAACGCAAGCATCGGTATGAAATACAACATAGAATATAGAACACAACTGTGGATCAATCTTTTGTCTCAAACTTGTCTTCAAATGGACTTTGACGAACAAGATCTTGTCAACGAACAGCTCCGTGAAGTGCTGGACCCACTGTCAAGTAGCAACTTCCCTTTATTCTTTTCTGCCTCCTGCTCCTGCTTCTTTAGCTTTAGCTCTTTCTTCAGTGACAAAATCACCTCTTGTATCGCGGCTTCACCGAGGTCTGATTCCAGTTCCACAAGCTGAGATCGCACGTGGAAGGCAATACGATATGGAGGGGAACAGGATCCAGAGCGCGAGCTTGCATGGCTGGGTGTCGATACTTGGTCTTCGGATGGAGGTCCCGAATTGGAGGTTGGCTCTGTGGTCCGTATATCGTGTCCTTCAACTTTCAGTTTCTCATCCTCTTCTTTGAGTGATTTGAGGGCGGGAATCAGAGGGCTTCTTTCCCCAAGCTCAAATATTCGTGCGGAACATTTTTCTTGCTCTTTTTCGTCATCGGACTCCGTGTCAGATTCATAGACGCGAATGAGTTTTGGTGGTTTCTCTAGCCTCTCGGGCTCGAGCAACTTTTCTATTCCTTCATTTTCAACAACCTTTTCTTCGGTGTCTTTAGGCTTGGTTGGCGGCAGCGTCACTTTGACTTGAACATGGGGCGGGGCCAATTGATTCTGATGAGCCGGGTAGGGCTCAGTATAGGGCTGTGGAGTAAAGTAGCTACCAGGTTGGCTCGTAACACTAGCTGGTGGGCTCAAACCTGCACTCTCTGGTGTGAAGAACTCGTGATAAACCGCCGGGCTATTGTCACCATATTGTGGCTGGCCGTTGATAATCAAAGCCCCGCCAGGAATGCCAGTGTTGTAAATATCTGGAGGCGGAAGAAAGTGTGGGTGGTCATATCTCGGTTGACTATTGACAATGAACGGATGGTTATTAAAGCCGTCATTTGGGTGCTGTGATGGCGGATAGTAGAATGATGGATGTCGTTCGTTGTTGTATGGCATGCCATTGACCCAGTAATGTGGGCCAGGGAAGCCACCACGCAAATGAGGCAGAGGCAATTCACCATGTAAATGAGACGCAGGTAAGTTCTCCATTTGGAATGGTGGATTGTGATGCTTAGAGAATCCACGATAGCCACCCCTGTTGGCTCCGTTACGGTAGGGTTTGTTGTATCGATAGCCGTTGTGATTGTTGTTACGCGCTGGTTGAGATGAGCTGTGGGGTCTGGTACGAAGAGGAAGACCCCGGCCCACGTTCGGTATGAGGGGACTGCCCTCCATATCGAGGAGACTCAGATAGTACTTGGAGTCTTTTTGGAAGTACTAAAAGCATTGAAGTCAGGGTAAGTCTTCTGTCCGAGGCCAAAGAGGATCTTTAACCTACCTTGATCGCGTCTCTGCAGTCATCGACGTAGGCAAATGTGACTTTGCAGATAAAAGTCCATGTTTGAGGTCCTGTGGGGTATGATTCGATGCAGTAGACCTCCAAGTGGCCTCGGTCTCCCAGTGCAGAGGAAACATCTTGGTCCGTGATGGGAGCCCCCGAGCGGAGACCAAGACAGGCGGTTCCTTCCATCTAGTCAGTTTCAAATTTGGAAATGGCGACGAGAAAGAGCTGAGGGAAGGAGAGAAAAAAAGGCAAAAGCTTACGTCTTCCTTTAGCCCTTTCAACTCGCAGCCACCGGTCATGTAGAGCAATACGTTCATTGGGATCCAGCGCTGCATTGGCATGTTCCACTTTCTGGGGTGAAGATGTCAGAATATCTGAGGGGCATAGGGAAAGATAGTTTGACTTACCTCAAACTGCACAAATGCACCCGGGAGGCCCTTCTTCTTATCCTGCTTGATCTTAACATGACACGGGCCATAGACGGTGAACGCTGTTTTCAGGTCTTCGGTCATTTCCTCTGCTGCAACCTTCGTGGAAAGACTAAAGAGCCCCAGTTAGTATTGTTTTCTTCGAGGGAGACAAGATGTACTAGCTTTCCAACAAAGACACAAGCATCTGGAGGGAATAAGCCCTGGGCATTCTTGGCTGATGGCTCCTCTTGCAACCGATCCCCACGACGAGGATACTTGTTCTCGAAATCGGGTACCATGACCTGAATAGCCATGACGGGTTTATATATTCAAAGCGAATGGTTTTTCTATATTGATGCTTGATATGTCGGTGATAAAGGGTGGATAAACAAAGGCAGATATGTGGACAAGAAATGGCTGTGGCAGTGTATGGAAACAAAAGATAGCATCATCACCCCACCTCCACAGTCATTTTAAACACAATATCCTCATCTGGACAGGACTAAGCCCTTTCTTGGGCCGCTTACGCTTAGGAAATGGGAGAAGGACAAGCTACCATGGCTATGTCCGGGGCTTACCACTTAAGAGCAAGTCGTTTTGACTCACAGCCAGACTATATCTTCATGCAAAGACTATTACCTTTCACTTAGGTACGGTACATCGATAGATTACCTTACTCAGGTGGCCGGCGACATTTTGGGTAGCGGAACTGCTATAATTGTCATCGGCATACACCCATGGATCCTGAATCTGCATCGTTCTGGAGATTTACAGTTTCACTGGAAGCTGTGTTTAAAGTTGTAGACTCGGCCGGTGTCGGTTTAGATTATCTAGGTATGCATGACGCTCAATGTGCGTAACATTTATATATTCTAACCTATAGATCGATCCTCAGCTTTCCTTCCAAGGTTATGCGGGATAAATTGACCATCATGGCTTTCACTCTCTCTTATTTCAATGATTCACAGAATAGATCGTTACGTGTACCTAGATCTGAATTCAAAAAAGTTGAAAAAGCATTATGGATATAGAGTACTTTAGCAGCATCGACCCCTTTAACCTCGATAAGGCAATTGGCACAAACTTCAAGAACCTTGGAACCAGACTGATGAGCTATGGCATTACAAGGCAGATGCAGAGATATGATCCAATGATTGGTGAGACTCTGCAAATGCAAACTAAATTTGAAAAGAATAAATGATTTTTATGAACTCTGGGAAGTATAAATTGCTCAAGGCGGAGCCATCTTATCGCGGGTGATCGGCGCTTGTAAGTTTCACGCCACCTCGGGAACCAACCTCATTCTGAAGCTTCCTCTTCCAACTCCTTGGTCTGTCGACATTGAACCCTCATACTAGCAGAAGATGATTCCTACCCGGAGCTTAGCCGCTCAAGGCAACTTCTTCAGGCGCAGCGCCGAAGAATTTGGCCGCCTCTCGAAGATCGGTACGACCATTCCCCCATAAGTTGCTACCAAAACTAACCAATCCAATCTAGCCTGGAACACTGAAGCCCTCCACACTCCCACCAAACCCTATACCCTCCTCAATTTTGAAGATGAGCGGACCGTCTCCGACTGCAAGACATTCGCCGACCGTGCCGTGGGTGGTTTCAGCACCGCCGAGCTAGACTACGAACCAGCCGAACCTTCCTCCAACACACCGGCCCATGTCCGCTTCCACGGAAGCATTTCTACAAAACTCCCAGAAAATTGGCGAGTGGAGCGAACTGGTATGTCATATGGGTCATAATGACCCAACACGACAAGCAGGATACTGATCACGTTGGATTGCGAACAGGATATGCCGCATTCCGCAACAAAGACCGCGGCCTTTGGCTCTTTGGCCGCCTCTTCTGGGACGTCGACCCCTACGCCTATCTCGCGCTTCGCATCAAGTCCGACGGCCGCCGATACACCGTGAACATCCAGACAGAGTCTGTCGTTGAGACCGATATTCACCAGCACCGATTATATACCCGACACCACCGCATACAAGACCGTTCGCCAATTTTGGACCAAGCCTTGCACACGAAGATGTCCGAGGACGCGGAGGCAGCGGAAGAACTATACCCCAAAGGCATTCCCTCGGCGCTTTCCGACATTCCTCCTGAGTCCACCATCATTTCCTCAACTTCTAGCACAACTACCTCCGGTTCAACCGGCTGGGAGACGGTGCTTCTGCCATTTAACGCGTTTGTCCGAACTAATCACGGATACGTTGTCGAGCCACAGACTTCCATTATCCGCCAGCGGGTAAAGAGCATCGGTATTGGTCTCACAGACCGTATCGAAGGGCCCTATGATTTGCGCATTCACAAGGTGTGGGCGACTAACGGTATGGGCGAGGCAGATATTGAGGAGGAGCGTCGGATCTGCGGCGCCGATGCATTGCCACTCGATGAAGGTGTTCGGTCTGCTTGGATCGAGTCCACTCAGCAAGCCGAGGAGACGAATAGCCAGAAGAAACCCGAGAAAAAAGAGAAGGGGCTGAAGGGTCTCCGATCAGAGTGGGAGGAATGATTATTTCTGCAACATTCCCCATCACAATTTGTACATTAAAGCCCGATGGATCTTGTCCTTTTCGCGGCACTTGGAATAGGCAGAGCGGATAATAACATTTGGGGCATGACGTTTCAATTCTTCTTTCCTCGTCCTTGCGTCTCAATCATAAAGGCTGACGTATAGGATGACACTTGTTTTCAATCAATCTCAAGACGTATAAATATACAACGATCAAAACATCCTCCTCTAGTTACCTCCGGTAATCTTCTCCCAAGCCTCCTTATACTTGGCAGCGGTCTCTTGAACAACCTCCTCAGTCATGCGAACACCATCCTTACCCTTTAGGCCCTCGGAAACCAACCAGTCCCGCAGGTACTGCTTGTCGAAGCTTGCCTGGCCCTGGCCAATGGCATACGAGTCCTTTGGCCAGAATCGAGAGGAGTCTGGTGTCAGAACCTCATCAGCCAGGACAACCTCGTTTGTCTCCTCGTCAACACCGAACTCAAACTTGGTGTCAGCGATGATCACACCGCGCTCGAGCGCATACGCGTGCGCGGCCTTGTACAGCTTTATAGCCAGCTCGGCAACCTTCGAGGCGTATGGCTCTCCAAGGATGGCGGTAGCTATTTCTCGAAATTAGCTTGATGCCCGCGACAGTTTCACTTGATGAGTATTTAGACGATGACATACCCTGATCTGGATGAATGTTCTCATCGTGCTCACCCTGCTCCGCCTTGGTGCTAGGAGTGTAGATTGGACCATTGGGGAAAGCCTCGCTCTCCTTCAGTCCGGCAGGGACAGGGATTCCGTGAACTGTTCCGGACTTCTGGTATTCCTTCCAGGCGGACCCGGTGATGTATCCGCGGACAATAGCCTCAATAGGGAGAATACGCAGCTTGCGCACTTGCATTGCCCGGTTCTGCAGTACTGGCTTCAGGGATTCGGGGATCTGGGAAGGGAGGTCGAGAGTGAGGAAGTGGGTGCGCAATCCGGGAACGTTATCGGAGAGGATCTTGAACCATGTCTTCGTGCAAAGAGTGAGGAGAATGCCCTTGTTGGGGATGCCCTGTGAATTATGTCTCAGTACGTATAGATTGTATATAATTGGGTCATGCATGTGCAAGTCATACGTTCTCCATGATCACATCGTAGGCGGATATACGATCAGTCGCAACGAACAGCAAGGTCTTGTCGTCAACCTCGTACAGGTCGCGGACCTTACCACGAGCAACAAGAGGCAGTGCGCCTTGCAAGTCAGTGGTGGTCAAAGCATCCGTCATGGTGGGAATTGCAATTGAGTTTAGCAGGAGCACTGAAGACTGGAGAAACTAGATGCGTCACTCGAATCATTTTTTGGCGGGGCAGGAGCATTCCTGCCTCAGGCACCTTATCGTTCTTTATCGGCGACACGATCAAAACGCGCCCTGGAACGAATCACCTTTGATTGCGATCTCGATCATGGGCCATTTCTAACCATGACACGCTATCTGACACCGTGGAGGATCTCTCTACTGTGCCTGATAACTGTCTACACGGACGGCTTCGTCCCCAACTCATCCGCCATCCATGTGCTCTCATTCTTGACCGCGGGTCTGTTTCCTCTAGATCCCGCCGATAAGCAATGGGAGAAACACTACTTGTCCAGCATCGCCGAACTAGAGGAAGTGCTATCGGGCCACGAATCCTCAGTTCCGGGTCGAACAATCTGGGATCTATTTTTGAAAAAGCTCTGGTCGCTTGATTCACTCGATGCACTGGAGTGGTTCTTTTCCAATCATCTGCCGACCCTTCTCACCAAGACGCGTGAACAATTACTCCAGGACCGAGACAATGGCCTCGCTCCAGAGCCCGATAGTATGCGGCTATCCCGCAGCTCACCGCTTGGTGCATTTGTGCGCAGGGCTTACCTTGAATACACTCGGCTACAGTTCCATGACTCGGTCAAGCTATGGTCTGGCTTTGTGAAGTACCGTTTACCGACATATCATGTCTATGCGCGGAGGAATCCGTCTGACAGTCATGATCCAGTCGATATTAACCTCTTTGACCAAGGCCTGGACTCTACCAGTTACCTGTCTCGGGTGGTTTATGGCAACATTGGCGACGAGGAAAGGGACGAGGGCGTGGTCGGTGTCAAGGATGCAGAGCGTCTGGTGGAATTTCAGGTTGGAGAACTACAGAGTATGTGAACCATATTCACTCAAAACACATCCCATCGATTATCATATACTAACCCGAGCAGGATTGGGAGGTAGAGTGCCAGATGAGATGCGGGCACAGCTCAAGCGCATCATGACATCGGAGTCTTCGGTCCCAGTCCTTATGTACTACCTGGAGTAAATTACCCCACCAATCAAAGTGCATATTTTTCCAATCAAGCTGCTAACATGACCAGATATCTCGATGCCTGGCGAGCCGGTGACTATACGTCAGCCTTTGACAACCTGCATCGATACTTCGACTACACTATGCACAACAATCAAGACCGCAGTGCATATCAATTTGCGCTACTGAACCTGGCTATCATCCAGGCAGACTTTGAGTGCTTCAACGAAGCTATATCCGCCGTGCAAGAAGCTGTAGCCATTGCTCGCGAGTCCCATGACATGAACTGTCTTAACTTTTGCATGAGCTGGCTCTATCATTTTGGTAAAGCATTCCCCGAGCAGATGCGAGAGGTGCAGAACAGTGGCATGCTGGGCAACGAGAAAGAAGGCCTTGCATTCCTCAAGGCCAAGTCGAAAGAGACTGATATGTGGTCACTGATGAGTACTACGTTACTGAGTGAGGCCAAATTAGAGATGCAGCAGGTTAGTTGTGGCGCTTAAAGATTTTGACAGGCCTTACATATTGATTATTCTCAGGGCGAGAGTCTTGCATCGATTGTCGAATCGTTTGTGCGGGCTTCTCATGTCAATGTGACAAAGAACCTGTCGACCCCCACGGGCGCGTACATGGTGCTTCAGAGCGCTATGTATGCTAGGATAGGTGGGACCTAAACGTTCGACTTCTGTGAGTTACAGCTAACGTTGGTAAACCAGGTGCTACCCATCTTGCTTGGCTGAACACCGAAATCTTCCGCGAATGTTATACAGAAGGCCATCCATTCGACGACTATGTCAAAATTACATTCAGAAACTGCCAGATTGTATCTTGCCCTTAGCCTCATCTCCCTGGTTTAATAAATCGCTGACCACACCTGCAGCTGGCACAAAAGGGAAACTACAAAGAAGCCTTCGCACGCATGAACAATGTCGAACCTGAACGACTCCGAGCCATGAAATACAATAATGCCTGGACATATTACTCTGGGCTCCTCCAACTCAAACGACAAATCTGCCGGTGAGCCTCACAGCAAGTCATTCTGAAACAAGATACGAGATCTAATGATTCACAGCGACGACAAAGTAGCAGTAGAACATATCCTGTCTCAACTTCAGGCAGTCCAACTAATAGACTTTGATCTTCGCCTCCTTCTCGCCTTCCACACAATTGAATTCACAATCCGCCAGGGGGACCATGGCCGTGCCCTCCGTATGGTCGAACAAGCCGCCCACTCCATGCAACCCGAGAACTTCGACGTCCACTCCCAAATCAAACTCCTCTGCTTGAAGGCTCGCATCCTCGAAAAATCTGGCCACCCAGAGCGTGGCTTTTCGCTCGCCATGCGCGCCGCTAGCATCGCCCTTCGCTCTAAAGTCCTTTTTGATCTCTGGGAAGCCATCTGTACCCTCGCTGCTGTTCTCCTAAGTCTACACGAGTTTGAAGCTACAGCTGAGCTTATCGAGAGTATCATGCCCCAAGTGCTGGAGAGTGATGACTCTGCGCTGATAGCTCGCGCATACTCGCTGCTCGTTGATGCGAATATGGGCATCGCGGGCGAATTATGGGCGCGTCTTGGGAAGGAGAGCATACCCATGAGGAAGGAGTATGTGAACCGTGCGATTGGCTATATCGACTCTGCCTACGACTCATACGAGGAGATCGAGGATATCCTTGGCCAGACTGAAATGATGGCTAAGAAGGCAACTGTTATGCATATTACGGGTGATCCAGTCTTGGCTAATGATTATGCTGCGAAGTATCTGGATCTAAGGAGGCGGAGGGGAACTGAAACTTGATACAACACGGATTCTGTTCTGTCCATGTATTTTTAGTCTGTGGTGATGTTGTAGTTGAACGATTCAGGGATTGAATGAACCAATACATCTTGGATGAATGAGACGCAAGATGTTTTTGTAGTTTTTACCACGTTTCTCAAGTCCATATGGACTTCCGCTTAAAGTAAATAGCAGCCTCTAGGAACTTCGAAAAATAAACATCCCAAACCAATGATATTGGATCTAGGTATACGAAATCTTGACAAACGAAATAGCACCAATGACGGAGTACGACGAGCTTCACTTCATTCAATCACTTGGGGGTCCAACGGCTCCCATCCTTCGCGGGTCTACGTTCCCGTGCAACACAACTGCAGTAGATATACATGTAAATTTGCAGCCAAATGCTCTCTTCCAGACACACATCGATAGGCTCAGTTCTCGAGCCTTGGGGGTAATCGTCGGGATTGAGGGACGCACTTAGGTGGCCTTGTCCTTGTTGTGGTAGTTGACATCCGAGTTCCAGCTGTGACTAGTTAGCAGTACTTCCAGGATTTGTGCCATTGAATTGATTCGGTAAGACGATTTCGTTTGCGCACAGTGGGCTTGTGGGAGGTTGGATAGGTGGGTGTCCGCGAGACAAGGATATCAAATCGAATGGGCATGGGTCGGAACTTACAAGATGGTCTGCGAAGGAGGTTTTAGCGATTTGGTCTTGCGATTAACAACATCAGAGTAGAGTGGATTGCACATACCTGGTCACCATTACCCCAGGGGTAGTTCTTGGAGCGGATGTTCTGGTAAGGGTACTCGGTGCGTTCCTCAAGAGGGGCCATGTGCTCCCAGTGCTCCCAGTGCTCGTTCCAGAGGGTGTAGGCGTTAATGCCACCACCGATCAGGCAGGGGACGACAGCACTAGAAGGAATGTTAGCTCGCCTGTAGATTGGGCACTACGCATTGTAAAGGTCGGGCCGCTGTTTCCGGTGAAAACGTACAAGATGGAAAGCTTGCGCCAAAGGTCTACAGAGCCATTGAGTTAGTACAAGCCACTTTGAATAATCGAAGTCACCAATATTCATGTGAATCCATGACTGGCAGCTTCAATTGGGATCACGCACCGCTGGTGGAGGCAGCGTGGTGCTTGACAGCAGCACGCTCGCGGTTGAACTCGTTGTCGGCGATCCAAGAGGGCTTGGCCTCGGCGCTGTTGAAGCGGCGCTGGGCAGCCGAGCGGATCGGTGCGGCACGCTGGCTCAGGCGGGCAACGTTGCGGGAGAACATTGTGGTGGGTGAGGGTGAGGAATTGTGGAGGTGGGAGGGGATTCTGGGCGAGAGATCGTACGTTGAAATCCACGCCGTTTGAGTGGTTTGAGGTCCCGTGATCCCCCCGTGATTATGTAACCTGATGTCACTCGATTGCTTCACGTGATATCTTCCTGCTTTCGAAGGAGAGGTATTATTTGGTTGCGCCTAATACACTCTTTCCCTTACAGTTGATCACTGCGGTCAGCTTTAATTAAGGGGATTGGAGAGTATTAACTGGATATGTGCTGTCCCCTCGTCTGATCAGTTGATCATGGGGTTTCGCATCACGACATGGAATGGTAAGATGTTTGTGTTAGGCTTTATATTGATTCTTCTGTCGTAATATGAATGCTAACTTTTTGTCACAGTTAATGGGATTCGGTATGCACTATCATCTAAATGGACTCGCGTCAATGGCCACTGACTTCAAAAGGAACCCGTTCTCTTATGAACCATGGAGAGGTACCCGCACTTTCGAAGTAAGTGGATGAAGTTGGTCCCACGCCATCTAAAGTTCCCCCTGACTGATTAAAACTGTAGTCCATGTTCGATATTCTCGAATCCGATATCGTGGTGTTTCAGGAGGCAAAAATCCAGCGAAAGGACTTGCGAGATGACATGGTCCTGGTGCCAGGATGGGACTGCTATTTCAGCCTGCCCAAGTTCAAGAAGGGCAAGTCACGTTGCTGTCTGGCTTTTGATATAGCTAATCTTGGTTAGGGTACTCTGGGGTAGTTATTTACACGCGTAATGCGACCTGTGCGCCAATCCGGGCCGAAGAAGGCATCACAGGAGTGCTTTGCCCCCCAAACTCATCGGTTGCCTTCCGTGATATGCCGGAAGAGCAGCAAATTGGCGGTTACCCTACCCTCAGTCAACTTACAAGCCCACCTTTTGCTTCAGAGCTGAACGACCTGGAAGATCAGGGTGAAGCCGCACTATCCAAGGAACGAATTGATGCTGCAACTCTGGACTCTGAAGGACGTTGCGTTGTTCTAGAGTTCCCAGCTTTTGTTCTCATCGGGACATATTGCCCCGCATATAGGGATGAGAGCCGCGATTCTTTTCGCATGGATTTCCTCAATGCTTTGGATGCTCGGATACGGAACCTTGTGTCCCTGGGGAAGAGGGTGTTTGTGACTGGGGATATCAACATCGCTAGGGCACCTATTGACTCTGCACACGCGTTGGAGGGTATTCGCAAATGCACCACCACTGAACAAGAATTTGTCACTAGTCCACCTCGGAGGTTGTTTAACGCTTTGCTGGCTGATGGTGTGGTGGTTGGTAATCGGGAGAGCGACAAAGAGCAGCCGGTTCTTCATGATATTTGCCGATCTTTTCACCCGAATCGAGCGGGAATGTATACCTGCTGGGACACGAGACTCAATACTAGGCCTGGCAATTATGGCTCAAGAATTGATTACGTGCTGTGCAGCCTTGAAATGCGGGAATGGTTTTCCGGTTCAAATATACAGGAAGGCCTCATGGTACGTACTGGATATGGGGGACTCATGAATTCTGAGCTAACCTTTTCATTGTTAGGGATCTGATCATTGCCCCGTTTATGCCATATTCAAGGATTGGGTGCTGCACGATGGTAACATGGTTCATATTCATGATATCATGAACCCCCCCGGAATGTTTGAAGGTGGCGATCGTCAGGAAGAATATTCGAGCCAATACATACTGCCCACGTCAGGACGTCTGCTACCAGAGTTTGATGTTGACAAGCGGCGGAGTATCAAGGATATGTTTGCACGCAAACCGCCTAGCATGCCGCCCCGGTTACAGTCCAAACCTAGTGCTGTCGAGACTGTGACCGCACCCATAAGCATCGAGCAAGCATCGCCGGCACCCAGCCAAATTGATTCGGATGATCTGCTGAACACGCCAGATGATTCCTCAGCTTCACACTCCATGTCTCGAAAGAGACCACCGCCACCGCCAACGGTTCCTGCCAAACGCTCGAAATCTGCTGCAGTCCCAAGTGCTGCCTCCACTGCCGGCCAGAAAACACTCAAAGGATTTTTCAAACCCAAGGCTATTGGCGGTAGTGCTTCATCTCATTCACCCGCAAGCACACCCTCTTATGGTGCATTGAACTCTGATGCAGGGACATCGTCTTCAAGGCTTTGTGCCACTAATGATAGCAGTATGGCTGAAGGTACTCAAAGTACTGAGCTCCCAATTGATACACCTGCTGCGAGCACATTGAATTCAGTGATACCGTCCTCACCCAACAAGCTTGAGCAAGATACGGTGATCGACCCGATTGTCAGCAAAGAGGATTGGTCTAAGCTCTTTACCAAGAAGCCCGTCCCTCGGTGTGATTCGCATGAAGAACCCTGCATCAGCTTGACCACCAAAAAGCCAGGCATGAACCGTGGCCGCGCATTCTGGATATGTCCTCGGCCCCTGGGGCCCAATGGTGAAAAGGAAAAAGGGACACAATGGCGATGCCCGACATTCATCTGGGCCAGTGATTGGAACGGATCCTCGCAACCGGAATCATGATAGAAAGTCACCTACGAGGCCACAATCTTATCCAGGTATCAGAATATTGCATTCTCAATACCAATCTAGCCTTTTGTTTTGTGTAGTTGTACCATGATTGCCATGTAATCAAGCCAGAGGGCTTATTATACGTCGACTTTTCAATTAGGGCTGGGTGGACCGTAGAGTGGAGTACATCTCCGGCTGCCAAGTATGTGACGATCTACACCCCACGTGGCACATTAACCTAATCAAATCTTAAAAGAAACCTAGGTTGATGATCACAATATCTATTAGTGCAGATTCGAAATATAAGTTTCTTATAAAAATTCAAGTCTGAGACAGGGGTTCGAGAAGTGGAACATGAGATTATGTATGCCCTCTATAGGTTGAGCATGCACTGAGGCAGTGAATGAAGATCATGCGAGTGAATGAAAAGATGCAATGTCTGCAAAGAGCATTAAGGAAGAAGCTTGGTGTCATGACTCATAGGCTCAGTCCAGAGTTGATCGTCATGGTAACATCTCCCAAATCGGGACACCCTCACAAAGAGTACACCACATTCACTGTCGCCCCACCATTCACTCTCTTCCCTTTGTTTACAAAAGCCTTGTTTCTTTCTCTCCTCTCTTCCTCCTTCTTCCTTCCCCCACCCCTCTTCCACTTCCACTTTCCCGCCCTTTCCCTTCTACAACTCCCTTTTTCCTGAGTATCACTACTCATTGTGCTCTGAGGCTTGCCTCCTCATCTTTTATTACGACGATAAAATGGCAACGGAGTTTTCTCCAGATTGGTCAGCGGTAGTGGTGTTGCTGTTTGCCTACCTGACCACAATTCCATTTTGGCGTGCTACGCGCATTCTCTCTCTGTGGAATCCGCACTCGCACACTCTTTCTCATTTCGCGTTGAATATCATTAGTGGAATTCCCTACAATTTCTTTTTGCGGCCGCTCACTATCCCACTCGAGCCTCACTACGTGATTCAGAATGGTCGCTTTTTTTTCGACCCAGATATGAATCCTCAGCAGGTTCAAATTATGCCTGATGAGCTTGAACATTATGTGAGGGAGTGGGGACCAGTTGGGATGCCAACTGAAAGGCCCAAGAAGCGGACCAAGACCTTGAACAGCTTCATGGCCTTCCGCGGTAAGCTGTCATACAGATACTGCTTTTTGAGTATTTTGCTAATTTTATGAAAGCGTTTTTGGCTCCTTTGTTCCCTGACATTCCTCAGAGGGCCAAGTCCCCTTTGATCGGGCACATGTGGGTTGGAGATCCACTGAAACCGCAGTGGCAAGTCCTTTCTGAAGCTTACTCCCAACTACGCGAACACTTCGAGCTTGACGATCAGCGCCTGTCCTCTTTCATCGGTATCACCAAGGGATTGTTCAACATTCCGGATCCCGAGGCTTATCTGATCCACATTGGTTGGAAGATTACTGAAGGGCTTGGTGACTCATTCGACGTCTTGAGAACACTCCCGCGTCAGCAGTTTACGCTCCCACCGACGCCTGTCACCATTTATGAAGTCATTGATCACTGCGTCAACAACATTCATGGTTACACTGCTGGGCAGAAGCGGGACTCCATGTGGCCCTCTAGCTTGAGAGAAAGAACTGATCTCATGGCTATTCATTCTTCCGGTGAATCTGTTGACCCGCTCTACTGGCTGTTTAACGACGAAGGGTTTATTCAGGATGGTCCGTATGAAGAGTTCTCTCTTGAGGACATGTATGATGAACCCGATCCCAACATGGATCCGCTTTCCGACCTTGTCTTTACTCCAAGCTTTGAGCTCTTCATGCTTGAGAACAAGGATCGACACGAGAACGCTACAATCGCCGAAATTGCCCCAGGATTTCCCCATTTTGATCATTGGGAATCATTCATCAATATCGGCAAGAACCGGAGCGCTTGAGTGCGCCAATGACTTGGAACTCAGAAAGCTGTACGGCTTAACATACTCCCAATGGGTTCCATCTGCTCCCTGATACGCTCAGAGATCTCTCCGATTCTACTTGCTCTCTCGATATGATGAGCCCGTCTCTTTCGGGTTTCTCATTTCTCTTTCCCATCTGCTTTTCGGTTGCCCATTTATGATTACCTTATCCATTTGCTTTTCGATTGCATTTATGTTTACCTTTCCATTTTGCTTTTTCCCATCAATGTTCGAGGCCGGCCCAGCAGTTTACATCCTCAAAGATGTTTACCTTTTCCGGTTTGCTTTCTCCATTTGCTTTTCCTGGTTCGTGATTCGGTCAGAAGTCCTCTATGTATTTCGGAGGTCGTGTTTGTTAGCGAAAGCCAGTGGTCATGTTGTGGGCTGCCCGTCTGTGGTTGCTAGTCCATCTTGACTGCCGATTGTAAGTAGATTAGCAAATACAGTTTTTTCAATTCTTTCTGAAGGCGTTCTGTTTGTTTACGCGTTACTCCTAACCTTGCAAGCGCTCCCATGCTCGACATCCACAGTCCAGCTCTGGATCATGACGTCTACACTACAGATCCCGGCTCAGGATCAGCTCGCCCGACAGTTTTCCTTTGTTCTAACTTTCCAGGTGCTGTCACAGCTTCGCTTGACCATTCACTGACGTCTGGTTTTTCTTTGTCCTTCCGCTGCGCCAAGCCGCGGATCCGTGGGTCCGGGACCCACACGTTCCCCGTCTCTAAAATCATGTGGATCCGGGGAGCTCCATGGCTCAGCCTCGACCTGCTTGTGCAGGCCCGTTTGCCAAGGCTTTCTTTGTTCCGAATACCTGGTTGGGGGCGAGCGACGGGCACTCGCTTGCATTTGATGAAAGAGGTGTTGACTCGAATTTTCTTTGCGGCTGTGTGATTGGCGTTCACGCTGGGCGTATGCGATGTGACGAGGAACGAGAACTTTGGTGGCTTGGATGATAAGTTTGACTACTGACAGGTAATACGAAGATCGGGCTTCATTATGGGTCCGCTTTAGGAAGTTGGATTGGGTCCACGGGACTTCGAGTGTGGGAGGACTCGAGAAAGTGATTGGCAAATAAGAAAGTGCAGTAATATTCGCTAATCACTAGCTACTGGTAAAAGGATGAAGCACTATGAAATATGGAAGGAACGGTCTCCAAGATGATTTCAGGATATACACAACCGGGGTGAAAATTCAAGCCACGGGAAGGAAAGAGACATGTGCAGGGAATTTATTCTTCTTGGTATGAGATCTTGCGCATCTCGCCAAGGCGCGTGCGGGCACGGGCGAGGTTGTTCTCGAGTTGGAGAATTTCGACCTGGAAGGACAAGACTGATTAGTTGATGAACATTGAAGAAGGGGCTCGCGACACATACCTGTTGCTCCATCTCGCGCACCTTGAACTCGTGTGAGCTCAGGGTCGTGTAATCCTCGGCTTCGTTGTCGCCGCTGTGCTTCTCCTTGATGATGTCCTGCACCTGACGCACCAGGGCACGGCATGCAGCCCCCACGGCCTTGCTGGCTGTCTCCAGTCGGTCCTGAGTCTTGCTCATAAAGGTGGCCTTGACACGACTGGCAGCCACCAGCTGGGCGGTGCTCGCAGCAACATCGTTGGAGGCAACAATAAGCTGCTCAGGAGAGTTACGGCCCGAAATAACACCATCGGCGGTTTCGATCAGGGTGTTAGTAGAACCGGCAACTGCCTTGGCTGCAGAGATGAGACCCTCGGTCCAGCGATTGTTCTTCTTGTAGAAAGCTGTGCGGGACGAGCTTCCACGGCCCTCACGCACAATCTCCTGTTGTGTCTCAGTAGCAGCCTTGATCAGCTCGGCGATGGCATTGGTCACGGCAATAGCAGCCGCCAAAATTGCATCGTTGATGCGTAGCTCGTAAGTCGAGTAGCCATCACGGGGTTTGTTCTTCAACTTAGCCAGACGCTGGGCAGCGGCTTCAATAGCATCAGCAGCCCGGTTCAGCTCCTGGTCTACAAGATCTCCCAGATCGCCGTTAGTGCTGATCTTGCTGCTCTTAGGTGAGAAGGATTCAACCAGCTTCGAAAGCGACTGGAGATCTCGCTGCACTTCCAGATTGTTGTTAATGACAACATCAGTCTTCTGCAGTGGCTCCATGCCCTCAAGGCGGAAGGACTGTAGACCACGGAAGAAGCGCACAGTGGCCTGGGCCGATTTGCGGGCTGCATTGAATAGCTGGTCAGAGCTCTTGTCATCGTTGGCGAAGCGGGACAATCCCTTGGTGTTGCTCAGTGTGTCAGCAACGGATCCGGAAAAGACGGATACAGTGCGAATGATTTCAGCATGAGGGCTATTAGGGCCGTCTGCAATAAAGTTGTTGAATGCAGTGGAGAACTCAGTGGCCGACGCAGAGGCCTTCTCAATCTGCGAAAGCACATAAGGTGGCGACGCGTTCTGATTACCGGCTTGCATGGAGGAGTCGAGCTCGTACAGAGAATCATCCACGCGCTGCACACCGGCCTGTAGCACAGAATCAATGATGTCGTTGATCTTGGCCACGGTGCCGTGGAGAACTGTGTCAATCTGGCTGTCCAGGGCATGATCGGTATCACCTTGGTTCTGCATAAGAAGGCAGGTTAACATAAATGTTTCAATACGAAACAAGGGTTGCTCTTACCAGCCGGAGTTCCTCGAGCTCCATCAAAGCTTGCTCCATGCCAGACTTGTAGACCTCGATCTCCTCGTCCTTCTCACGAAGAGACAATTCGTGATCTCCATCCCACTCCGACTTACGGTTGGAGACATCTTCAAGGGCCCGAGTTTTGTTCTATGACTGTTAGTACAAAAGTCGAAACATTACACGGGGCAAAAACTCACTCTTAGAGCCTCTTCCAAATCGGCCATCTCACGGTTATACTTGGACAGCATAGTGGAAATCTCCGTGCCCTTTGATCGCTCGGCATTCTCGGCTCGTTCGAGCGCCATGCGAAGCTCCCGCTTTACCTTCTCCAACTCATCCTTGTTGGTACCAGTCAAACGATCCCGGTCGTGCAAGGCACGATCACGCTCACGGATCATATCAGCAAGCTCCAGGTTCTTGGTCTTAAGCTCGCGCTCTAACTTCTCGCGACGCTCAATGGCTTCTTGTGCTGATGCTGCCTTGAGTTTAAGGCTCTTGGTGGTCTGCAGGAGATCCAGATGCTCCTGTCGCAACTGCGAATAGAGCTTGGCCAAAGCCTCATACTTTGACCGCCAAGTGTTCACTTGCTCCTGTAGAGAGCGAATCTGCTCGTCCTTGGAGGCACTCTGTAAGTTGAGGTTGGAGTTCAATTGATTCATCTGTCCCTCCAAGTCCTTCACACGGCGATCGTACTGCTGCAGCATCAGCTGGTCCCGCTCGTACTGAGCACGAGCGTTTAGGTTCTCTTGTTCCAGCTCGGCCAAACGGCCCTGGGTGTGTGTGGAAAACTGGTCCCTGAGAAGCTGCTCCTGTGCTTCCTGCTGGGCTCGAAGTTGCCGCGCCTGCTCCGCCTCAAAGTTCGACTGGGCCTCCTGCTGAGCACGCATCTGCTCCCGCTGCTGCTGCTCCCACTGTTGCTGGAGACGCGCTTGTTCCGCCTCATACTCTTCTTGTTGGCGCTTGGCCTCGTTCGTCCAGAAATCATTGATGGGCTCTGGTTCGGCAGCCACCTTGGGTGGGGGCGAGGGTTGCGCTTCGACTTCCTTCGCCGGTCGTCGGGGGAGGGCAGGGCGATCGTCCTCTCCAAGAAGGTTGGGGGGATCCTGAGGCAATTTGGGAATGGTGATCAGACTAGTGAGGTAGCGCAAGTTAGAACATTCGTAGTAGAACCGAACGAGACGATAGTGCTGGGAATCGTAACGGCCGCGGAGTGGCTCGAGAGCCTCGTCATCTCCAGTTGCTTTTAAGAAAAATCAGTCAGTAAACTTGAATCTACAGCATAGCAAAGGATTTGAAACATACTTGTGTGCATGGCTCTCAACATGCTCGTAATGAACTTGTAAATACCATAGCTCTCCTGCACGAGACCCACCAGCGCAGAGATACGGCACTCATTATTTGTTCCTGACTGGAAGTTGGAGAAGATGAGTTTCTGGAAAGAATCGATCTGGTCTTGCAAGGTCATGAGATCGGTAATGGTCTCGTAGCTGCAGATGAGTTAGCAGTTGCTGCCAGACTCAGGACAGGTATTCGTGCGCACCCTTCATTCGGATCATTGATCGTCTTCAAACTAATGTACTCCTCGTATTCGAACAGGCCTGCATCCATTAGACAATCGTCCGTCCTGAGATTCACTGATTCACTCCGCGCAAATCGACATACCATTAAATTCGGGGTGGTTGCGGTGGAAATTCAGCTTCGACTCGAGGAAAAAGACATATTCGCGAATCAACGGAGCGTATCCTATCCAAGCTCGTCAGTACTGAAACAGCGGTCAATTGCTCCGGTCTCGTCCCATGTCATACCTCGAACACCGTCACCTCCAACTCCTCGCATCAAACTATCGATCCAATTGGCATGTTGCTGTGCCTCCCGCACGACAATGGGGTGGCCTTCTTGGAGAACCTTGTGGATGGTAATGAGAGCCTTAAACGTCTGGACCTCGTCGGCGAGAACAGGCTGACTATGGCGCAAGGAGAATAACATTAGCCAAATGCACCAACAATGATTTATAGCCAGAGTTCCCTAGCCTCCAACGATCTCACATACACTTTCATGCCTGCCCAAAAGGCCGCTGACGACTTGTGGTCCCACGTGTACACGATACAACTCCGCACATGTTTTCCTACACAATGACCGGGAAACGTCAGTGGGGTCGAACAGGGGAATCAATCGAGAATTATTCGGTTCTTCGCATCGATCAGGACATACGTTTCGGCGCAGTTTCCTCTGTCGCAACAAACAATCGTTAGCCTCCGGACACCTCCTTTCCGGCAGTAGCCGCCATCTTTACACATGACGCCCACGGGGATGGAGCACGTACCAATGCTGGTGGCCTTTCGAATATTAATGGCCAGGTCGGCCTCCGTCCTATGCGATTGGAGTTATTTGCGAGCTCTTCGAGGGGCAGGGGAGGGGGAATGTCGCGAGGACACCGGGTCCCGCTTACCGACTCATCTTGAGCGGAGATGCAACGCAGGTTCAGGGGGATCAGGAAAGAGACGAGCTGATCGGCAGATCCCGAGTCCGTCAGGTATGATGCGCCGGGGGAAGTCAGATAAAGAGAAGAAGTTCGGGGTTCCGCACGTGGAGCGCAATGACGTTGGGGGAAAGCTGGCGCCTGTCAGTCTTGGCGCCTAAGCCCCCCTTACCATAGAACTACACAAGTATACAACACGCGTACATGCACATAGTCTAACCCCAGGCAGCACTGATTCAGATGATAGCTTGGTAATAGGCAAAATAATCACCTTCTACAATTAAATTTCCTTTGGACATGTAATTAGCGGGATAGGAGTGGTTCCATTGCTTACGAAGGTCGCCACTACAGCGACATACCATTCCTTTCAATTTCTATATACTTTGATAAATTTGGAAGATCCAGTAGGAGCCTCTGTCCTGCAGACACCCCACAAGCCCAAAAAAAAATAAGATATCCCCTTGGCGCCGCGTAACTAAAGGGGGATAAAACAAAACAAAAAGCCTGAATCATACTCATGGATTTCTGTTCGGATCGGCTTCCTATCAGATACACTGGCCATCATAAAAAGTACAGTCATCTATGCCGATGAAGCTTCAACTCGTCCTGAGAAAGGGGCTGCGTCTTGGCTATCTGTCGGCGAAGAGCTGGTCTGGTCAACGGACCGGACGGACCGAGTTTCTTGTCCGTCCTCGTCTTCCCAATGAAGCTCTGTCTCAATTAGGTTTGTGCTAGACGAATTTTGACTCGGGTGAAGGCTTGTGAGAGTTGAATCCTCATCCAAATTCAGTTCACCCACGACCGGGCTGTTTGGTGCAGAATCATGAGGTGCTTGGACCACAAGCAACTCATCCACGCCTTCAGAGTGCATGCTAGGGGGAATGGGTTTCCTGCGAGGCAAGGGCGGTGGCGGTACAGGTCGGGGAGTCCCCGTGCTTGGCCTTCCAGGTGAGGGAAATGGTGCTACAGGCTTCCGTTTGGGGAGGGTACCTGAAGTGGAGTTTCTCTTCAGGGCAAATTTGTCCGGGCGAGGCAAGGGGGCACCAGGTGGAGGATGGGGATGCCCACGTCCAATAGGCTGTTCCGGAGTACCTACGGGAGACCGGGTTTTGTCCTGGTGAGCATTCGACTCGCCTTTGCCAAACACACCCCAGCTCCACTTCTTTGCGGCGGCAGCAGTCGTTCCGATATTGATGGTGCCAGCTTTATCCTCAAAGGTATTTGTTATTGACTTGGTTAGGGTCTCCATGGTGCTACGGCGCGGCTTCTCGTTGGCAAGAGAGGTAGTAGAGCTGCCTCGAGAGCTGCGTGTGCTAGATATAGGGTTGCCCTCGAAGCGAGAGAAGTGGTTGACATGGTCATTGGAGAAGTTCAGGCCCTCAAGAGATTCTGCAATTGAGGATCCGCGGCTGTGAACTGCACTCTCGGGAACCATGAGACCACTGGTAGGTGGCGAGCCGCTTGGGGTTCGTTGCGGAGAAGCAGGCGGAGAGCGACTTGAGATTTCAATCATAGCACTGGTTGCGCTGCTCTTCTCGTCGCCCTTGGTGGTGTCGGATGTGGCTTTATTGAAATTGGCATTGTCTGCCGTCACCACGGGATCTGCTGCATGAGAAAAGGTCTGAGACCGAATGGCACGAGGCAAAGGGCTATTATCAGGTCTTTCGATGCCCGTAGATGTTGCTGTCGATGGCTTGGTGTTTGTGTCCGAGGATGACGACGGCAACTTCGAACCCCTTCGTGCTTTCACCTTCGGCGAGCCAGACTCGGGAAGAGCGGGCATGCTCATCGTCCGATCATCTTTGGTCTTCAAGACCTCAACAGAGTTAGTGTGACCAGTCTTTGGAGTTGCTGAGGCATCGCCAGATTCATCAGGAATCTCTGCCTCGTCACTGTGATCAGGCACTTCTCGTTGCCATATACCCCCGCGGAAACTCTGTCCCATGGTGTTCAGGAAGGGAACATCATCCCAAAATGGCAGAACAATGCTCTCTGCCATCACTTCACGGATTTTGCTTTCGATGGTACGCAAAATAGGGCTGAAGGTTATCTGTTTTGAGCTGACGATGGGCTGTATGTCCATCGACATCTGTGGCATTGTTTCAAAAGACATCCAAAAACGATTGCTCGGTGGAGGTTTGAAGCGGACTAAAAGATGACCCTCTAATTTCTTGAGCACAACTGCCAACACAATATCAACTTCCCTGGCCTTGAATCGAGGACCCAGATCAATGCGCACGGTAGCTGAGATTTCGACGCGGAAATTGCCTGTATATTGAAGATCCGCCTCAATGCAGCAGTTACCATCGGCAGTCAAATCCTTCAGCCGAGGGTTGGTGATAAACGGGGCCCCTTCGCCCATATCAATCCTCTGCAAGCCAATCTTGCTGATGAAGTTGGGTTTGTTCACACGAGATATTTTCTTCGTAATTTTGCTCCGTAGGAATTCCTCCACCTCAGGAGTCCGGTAAAGAGCCAAAAACAACCGACCTAAGAATGCATTGATCCATCTGGTTTGCAATTGTTCCTCAGACGAATGCAGGCGTTGGACCAGAGTAACAATATGTTTAACATCAAACTCTTGATGTTTGGGCGGACGATCCGCAGAATCACGCATCTTGGACTGGTTCTGGAGCATGGCAAAATAGAAATCCTCTTTCTCAGACAAGTTTTCCGAGAACAAGTAGAATGGTGGTGTCGGTCCACCCAGGTCTCCAAGCGAATCCAGTCGCCGCGAGAGACATATGGCATTCCTCTTGATCCATAGCTCACCCTCGGGGATTTCCCCTTCGCCACCAAAGATAGACACAGCATGATGAGCAAGAGAAATCACATATCGAACCTCGACCTGATTTGCGTCATCATAAAGCATTAAGTGGCCATGCCTAGTTATTAGAGCCCGAATGTCAGCATATCCATTAGTAAGTCATCATTGATATGGTGGAGGGCATACCGAAGAACGATGTAAAAGACATTCCGTGCTCGCTTGGTGTTCTTCCCATTCGACTTCACGGGCTCAATACTAGGTGCCTGCTTCCGATCAAACAAGCTGCGATACATGGACTGATAAACGCTAGGGCTTTCGGCAGCAACAACCTCTCCAGCCGGCGTCGTTCTCTCTGGCGGCTTTCCATTGACACCCCCAGGCACATATTCGCGACAAACAGCAAAATATCCCGCAGCAACATCCGAGTCGTGCGTTCGGTGGAACTCCTCCGCCAGCTGATCTGTCCCGGACTTCAAGCTATACTCATCGTCGGCAGACCGACGGACCGCATCGGAAGCTTGGGCACTTGTCTGCTGCGACAGTGGCGCATCCGGAAGGGTTAAGTAGACGAAAAGCAGGGCCAATGACAGGACCAACGGGACGAAGGTGAGTCCCCCGAGCACGTAAACGATGAGGAAGCTGCCGAGCGAACCCATCGGGAAGGTCGATCAATGCGGACAGGCTAAGATCTCCATAATTCGGGGGCGGGAGAATGAGAGGCTGCAAAAAGTCGAGCTTGCTAAAAACAATGAGAGACCGGCTCCGAGGTATTAAAACAAAACGAGTGCGATGGGGGAAAATTTGGGGAGAGCAGAGTAGATGAGAAGTGGAGTTGTAGCTTCCACATATGACGGAAGTGCTGGTTACCAAATCCGTGCCCCGCAGGATCCGACCAGCTGTCAGGAACGGCCCTGGAGAGACTACAAGTCTACAACTCCTTATATCCACCAGATGATGAAAAATGGAACTCCGTTATTTGCGTTATTCTAGAGATCAACTCCCTATATCATGCACATTCAAGCCAAAATAGTCCCAAGTCCTTGCTCTAGAACCAGCGCATTCTAAGATATGTATACATGTTCTCTCGAAATGAAAGCTTGAAAGAAAAGAGGGGAAAAGATCAAAGAAATATATATGTTTACAAAAAAGGGTACAATCCTCCAGTGGACTTCCACTTACTTGCGCCGCCGCATGGTTTTGTCACACATATCGATCAGACCAGTCTTGGCCTCACAGTCGGGGAAGTCGCTGATGGCCTCAACGGCCTTATTGGCGTATTCTTGGGCCAAGCGACGCGTTTGCTCCACACCATCACTGCGGTAGACAATCTCACGGGCCTAGGTGTACATAATTAGCATCGAGCACAGAATCAGTTTTAAGGACACAGCACTCACCCGCTGCACATCGCCTTCCTCGCGGAACTTGCGGCCAACCAACGGTCCGAGTTCAGGGTTGCTCTTCCAAGCAAACAAAAGCGGCGCAGTAGCCAAACCCAGCTCCAAATCAGCTCCGGAGGCCTTGCCCAGTTCAGCCTCAGTAACGGTATAATCCAGCATGTCATCCACTAGCTGGAACGCCAGGCCCAGATTGCGACCATACGCGTAAGAGGCCTCGATAACCTCGGGCGCACTGCGGCCTAGAACGGCAGCAGAGCGACACGACTTGCTGATCAGACTGGCAGTCTTCAGATAAGTCTTTTGCAGGTAGTATGACAGGGTCTCATCGGTGTATTGCGGGTTGGCCTCATCCTGGGCGGTGTTCTTCAGCTGCATAAATTCGCCCTCCACCAGGTTGGCGATCACAGTGGCCATCAGCTCGGTGACTTCTGGGTCGCGCAGCCGGGCCAGAGCCACGGAGGCGCGACCGAGCAAGAAATCACCTGCCAGCACCGCCATCTTGTTTCCGAAGGCTAAGTTGGCCGAGCTGTTGGCGCGACGGGTCACGGCGTTATCGATGACATCGTCGTGAAGGAGGGAGGCAGTATGAATGAGTTCAGTGATCTCAGCTAGACGGCGCTGTGAAGGGAGAATGTTGTCGTCACCAGCAAAGCTGTACTCGCTCTCGGCATTTCGGGATACGAGTGGATTAATGTTTGGGTTGGAATCGTCGAGGATTGATGGCGAGCTAAGCGGGATATCAACAGGGCTTGGGCTGGCAGGATTCGTTTGCTTCCGAGGGTCCAACGCTGTCGCCTGGGACATGAGCAGGACCAGCATCGGCCGCATGTGCTTGCCCTCGCTGTGTGTATAGTATTTAGCGACCTTATCTAAGGCTGGGTGGCCTGACCCCAGCAATTGGCGGATGTTCTTGCTGAGAAACTTCAATTCCTTGCCAACCATGCGTAACGGGTCGACTGAGATGCCCTGAGGTCCCTTTGGCATGCCCTTGAGGATGGCCTGGGCGGCTGACACGGCGGCACCGAATGGGGAAGCATCCTTCCGGCGGGTCGGGTGGTATTTTCGGGATTGAATAAAGGTGTAGGATGAGTGGAGGTCTTCACGGAGGCATTGGGAACACACGGAGGTCGACGACGGTCGCGTGAGAATCAGCCCGGTGGCCGGTACGGTGCGAGCTCGCATGCTCAATGCAGGGCTCTAAAAGTTTTTATGGTGATGAGATCAAGCCCAGAACATGTGAAAACAAATCGAGTGTCAATGCTGCGGAGGTTCGGGGGAGGTGTTACAAGGTTGCGCAGGGAATAATCTTGCGGGAAGATTTCGAGCTCTCGGGCCGGCACGGACCATCTCATGGTGTACTCCGTACCAGTTCCTCTCATCCCGACTCTACATTACGCAGCAACTCGATGGTACCAAACTAAATGAAGCTCAACCTGATCATGAATGTAGGTTTCTGTAGGTTTCTCATATGATTTTACGCACATACTCTACACACAAGGAGCCTCTTTGTCTAGGGCAGACCCGGAATCTTATGCAAGAGAATCATTCCAGTATAAGAGACACAGAAGATTGCGCCGGCCATCTTAGTCCTGCACATTCCCCTTCGTACACATCCACCACAAAGAGAAAGGAAAAAGCGAAATCGCACAATTAACACATAAGTTGAAGAAGGCCGCTACGAGGTAGAACCCATGTAGATGGGGAGCCTGTGCGGAAGAAACGCTGTATCAATTACGAGGATCCACCGTACTTAGATGGCATCGAAGTCACCGCCAGCATCCTCATCGTCCATGTCTCCTTCCTGAATCTCCTTGGCCAACTCACGCTCTCGCTCTCGTGCCTCTTGGGCACTCTTCAGCTCCAAGCGATGCTGGTTCATGGGGAAGCGCATAGCCTAGGTAGAAGAAATGTGATTAGAACAGATCTAGAAGGATCACGAAAGGGTATATTTACCTTAACACTTTCATCATGAAGGGTAAGACAGGCGCGAATGCGCTCATGGAACGCCTCGCCAGGTTCCCGGGTAGCGTAAATGTCACCAACCTCCTTGCTCTTCATGAAGCCGTGCTCGTGGTCCAATGTAGCCTCAATGACGCCATCGCGGATGGCCTTGGCCACAATGTATTCAGCTGACTCCTCACTATCAAGACCCAGACGAAGACAGATATCCCGTAGGGAAATACGCGAGTAAGACAAGGACATCATACGAATACCGGTCTTGATCACGTTCTGCCGCAAACGAAGGATCAAAGTGTAGGTACCGTCCTTCCGGAAGGTGGAACTGTGAGTGTTGACGATGTTCAAGAAGCCATCTAAGTCTCCAACACTGACAGCCTGCGCGAGCAGCAAGTATGGGTGCATGGCCTTCTCAAGGGCGGGCTGACGGAAGACAGAACGATCCGGGATGTCACCCATCAAAAGTTCCACAACAACGAGCAGCTTGTGGGAGGCCTGGTAGAATCCACGGGCACTATGGCTGGTAGGAGACTTGCGGGTGGCCCCGATCAGATGGCTGTGGGCCTCGGTGTACTGCAGTTGAATGGCACGGATACGGCCGAGGTAGTATAGATACCGGGCAATCTGATTGTTGGAAGCAGCGGCAGGGAACCGGTTATGCGAGATCAAAAGATCTGCCTGGGTGATATGGGAAGTTGACAGGTAGTTGCGGAGCAGCAGAGTCATGACGGTAGCCTGCGTGTCGACATCCTTCCGGAGAACAGATGTCCGCAGAGCTGTCAACAATGTTTGCCGAATAGTGGTGACGGCAGCTGCGGGAGATGGAGGGAGCGGAGCGATCTGCTCAAAGAATAGAGAATAATAAAAGTACACACGAGCGGCAAGAGAATCCAGGGTGCGGCGATTCAAAGTCCGAAGGCGTTCAATCAGGCTAGTCGAGAACTCGGCACCCTTCTGGATTTGTCGCTGGTCGAAGAGATAAATCTGTACCAAGATAGACAAGTACGCGTCCACCTCGGGGAGAATCTCCTTCGGCACTGTCTTATTCTTCTCAGAGTCCACCTCCATCTTTGAAGCTTCCTGGACACCCTCGAAAGCACCAGCCTGGCCAATGGCCTCCAGCAAAAATGATGCCGTCTCACTGGATTCCGGGTATGTGTCCACGATCACTTCGGCGAGGACCTCCGGGGTGATGTATTTCCGCATCGACGATATGGAGCGTAGGACACGTAGGGTGAATCGGGGATCGAAGTGGGCTACGGCTCGGTCGAGCAGGGTGAAGTTGGTCTTGATGTCTGTCATTAAAAAAGGAAGGGTGGTGTCATTAGCCATGGGGTCTTCTGAGTCGGGATGGGATGGGAATAGCATCTACCTTGGATGGCTTTGGTCGTTGGGTCGACCTCGGGCTCGGTCTTCTCAGCATCGTCATCTTCCGAGCCCTCCATCGTCACGTCCTCGTCCTTGTCCTGTCCTGCCTTGTTGGATGATCTGGAACCCTTGGTTGGGGGCACTACAACAGTCATCTTCTCGTCACCATTCCGGTCCTTGCGGGTGTTGAATGAGGATTTAGGCGCACCTGCCGTATCCTCTCCCATCTCAACATCCTCAGAACCATTCACACCATTCTCGGTCGACTTGGATCCGTTGGCGTGCGACTGGTCATTCTCCTCCATTCCGTTGTTCGCGCCCTTGGCGGCGCCTTTCTTAGCCGGGGCTGCTTTGGCCTTGTTGGCGGCGGCGCGGGTAGTCGGCGCGGCCTTGTCTTTAGCACTCGAGCTCTGGGAGTTCGAGTGTGCCTTTTCACCGTTAGCAGATGAAGAAGCGTCAGATTTGTTGTTTGATCGAAGAGAACGCCTTTCGGCCGGCATCTTTCCCAAGCTGTCGAGCTCAGCTGAGCAGTACCCAAGCTAAGAGAGGTAAGGAGAAGGGCGGTAGAATGTCACTGAATAGAGATAGGATGCAAAGGAACTAATGGAAGACCAATGAGCAACAAATAAGTCGTGGAACGATGGGGGAAACAACAGAGCGACAAATGGATGAGGTGGATGGGGGATGTGATGTCAAGAGACGAGGACGGGCGCAAGACCAGAGGCGTGCTTAGTCAGGGGGGAGCTTACGGCGCCAGACTCCTAAGCAAGAATCATGCAGAACCCGGTCGTTATGGCCTCAAGCAGGTATTTAATTGGAAGTAAATCAGAACATATATTTCAACAAGTGAAAAGAAGGGGGAAATAATGCAAAGAAAGAAGGGTCTTTTAGTACTAAAATTTTCAATCAATACGGTCGGGTGGTTTGGCATTTTGCTGCCTGAGGTGTTAACTGGTAGCTGTGCTTTAACTATGGATCTTCCCAAAACAATCAGTACAGAACTTCGCTCTCTATACAACACACACCTACACACACTCACACCATTACATCACAATCATGCCGCTTCTCGATTCCCACCTAGAACAGATTGCACTCTCTTCAAGTGCGATTGCTGAACTGCCGTTGGTCTTTAATTCATATTGAAATTGCGCTTTACTAATTAGCTCCCCCAGTTTTCCAGCGCCCCGCACCTTCACAAACGCGTTGCTGGGCTCTCATGATATAACCGCTTTGATCCGGGACACTGAAGCCCACGAAAGAGCCCTATTCCAAGTGGATCCATCCACCAAAGCACATGGATCACGACGTGCCACCCGACGCGGGACGACCTTCTCCGCCGAGTCCGACAACGAATCTATGGCCACTCGAATCTACTCCGCGCGGAATAATCGCAGCCAATCGGCAGTGGCGCGTGTACTAGGATCGGACATGATGGATGAAATCAAACGGTCTACAGGCACATCCACTCGGGGGGCTCGGGGGAAGTAAACATTGAAGTCCTACTACGCGGCGCGGAGATTCTATGCAATGTTTAGTCAGTCCATGCCGAAGACTTTTTCAACCCCGATACATGCTAATCAGATCATTAGCCCTGTTCCGGGAGCACAGGAAAAAATTGCCAATTTGCGCTACCGCCATGAGATGATTGCCGAGTCCGTGGCCCAGTTAGAAGGCCGCGTTGCCACAAATACCGCAGAATTGGAGCAAATGCGCTCTTCTTACGATGATGAGGATGACTTTGCTCCCGCATCTTCATCACAGCCAGGAGTACCCGATGTCACGGACGAGGACATTGAGCAAGAGCTGGCCGAGATCAGGGACTTGGAGCGAAGGAAGCGAGCTCTGGAGGAGCGAGTCACCGGTATGGAGCGAGATCTCGGTGGTCTTATGGGCTGAAGTCAAATTCTCTGAACATATTCTCTAAAAAATATTGGAGTCTAGTTTGCTGCAAACTCGTGAGCAACGCCTTGATGGGTTGAGATGGGTACGGTTGCCATACCATTTCTACAAAGAAGCAGGGCTTAGCGACGTGTGACTCATGCTTCAGGACGCATGACCCTTTTGATTCGTCATCTATGCCTTGGTGACTATGAGCTTTGCGGTACCAGTCTTATTTTGAAGAGCGAGTATCATGCACGAGTGGAAACATGCATTTCTTCGCATTGAGAGCCGACCCCTCCCATGAGTTCATTTTAGGTGATATGCCATGAAGCATGTCAACTTTACTCAGGGACAGGCTCGGCCCAACAACTTTCAGTTTGACGTGGAATTTGTGATGATACCTACCCCTTGATGACACTTGATGATGCATATGAACTTACAGGGCTTTGTGGATAACAGTCATACCTATTAGAACCTATGATACCCGGGCAGTGTCTCAATGCCCTCATCTCTGTATTTCCCTCCCACCTTCTCTTTCTCAATTTACTCTAGTATGGGAATCTTGCTTGGTACAATCAAAGCTCTTTCATATGCTCTTTTGTGCTACTTCGGGACCTTGCACCTCTCGATCTCGATTTGGCAATTTTCTACACTAGCCATATATCAACCACCGTTCAAGATAGGCACATATATACCAGACAACTTGGCTAGTTAACTGGATTCATGGATCCGTAAGATTCTGTGTATAGAATTATACAGACCCACAATTGTCATTATTACTGCCTGCGGTAGCCGTGGGTGCCCCAGGCCTAAAATATACCTGGGCAAAAGCTAATAAAGTCCTTGAATGTCAGTTTCCGACACTATTGGAGAAAAACCATGACTCAGGACAGGAAATCCGGATTTCCTTGATCATTGTATCAAAGTTACACAGTTCAACTCCGATATTCCATGTCCTCTACGCTGTAGACGGTTGCCAAGACTTACCGCCGACTTCACTCCAAGGCTCACCATCCCACGGTCCACCTGCCATCCCAATCTCTTCAGGGTGCCATACATCCCATCTACACGCGTCACTCCCGGGCGCATTGAATACTGTCGTCCGGAAATCATTCTTTCGGGTCTTCCTTTCGCCCATAGTTTGACCTGGGCGCCTTCTCCAAATCCCTTCCTGAAATAATCGATCACCGAACATTCGAGATGGACGGGTCGCAAGGCCAGGCGGGTCAGTCCATGGGCCAGCCGGCTGCGCAGCAACACTCCAATCTTATTCGAACCGACCAAGTGCAGAAGCTTCCACACCTGAACGAAGCCCAGAAAGCCCAGCATACCCAGCTCGTTCGCAGCTTCTGGGAGCAGTTGAACACGCGTGATCCCCAGAGCCACGAATACCAGAATGCCCAGATCAAACTCTCCCAGTTGTCACAGAACTTGATGAAGGGTATGCGGATGTTCCAGCAAAACCGTCAGCAAGCGATCCAGCAGCATCAACAGCAGCAGCAACAGGCTCAGGTTCAGGCTCAGGCTCAGGTTCAGGCCCAGGTAGCTGCACAGCAAGGTCAACAGGGTCAGCCAGTCCAACGGACCCAGTCTAATAACCCGCAAACTCTCAACCAGCTGCTGCCGCAGATTCAGGCCAAGGTCAACTCCCTCAACTTTTACCTGCCGCCGAACGTCACACAAGAACAAGTCCAGACATGGATTCCTGAGGCACGATTGCGATATGGCATTGCGCTTCAAAAGCAGGAGGTTGGACGCGCGCGGTTGGCAGATTTGCGCCAGCAATACTCGCAACGCCAAGCGTCGGCCAATATGTCGCAGGAGGAGGTACAGGAGTTTAAGAATCGGCAGCTGGCAGCAGAAAAGCTGTTCCGAGAGGGTAGTGACTTCCTTAACAAGTTCAAGGAACAGCAAGAGAGCTTCAAGATGCAGTCGCAGCAAAACCCCCAGATGAGTCAACCAGGACAGGGCACCACTGCACCGGTAACTCAGCCCGCTCCTGCCCCCCTGCGGCAACTCAAGCGGCACCCAACCCTCAAGCAGGCAATGCTGCGGCTGCCGCCGTAAGTGGCATGCCTGGACAAGCGCCCACGCCGGCCCCTCACACCATCAACTCTGCAGTGAATGCGGCTCGTAATCAAGTGGGACAAACCGCCATGTCACCGTCGACCTCGCAGCCTGGCCAGGCACCTTCACCGGCTAGTGCCACTCCTGCTTTATCGAATGCACCCCCTCCTGCTCAGCGACCTCAGCAGCCTCCATCGCAGCAGGGGACTCCAGGACCAGGAGGTCAAGTCACTTTCAGCCAGACTCCTAACCTCGATGGATCTACCCCGACCCCAACAAGCTCTCAGCCGGTTAACCAAGGGCCACCTCGTCCGCTGTCGCATCAAGCAGCGATGCAGCAAGCTGCTCAAAACTATAATACTAATCAGAACCAGCAGCAACAACAACAGCCACATCAACAGCAGCAGCAGTCAAACATGAATCAGGCTGCCGCCAATCAACAAACTCACCCACCAGGCTACCTTGCCAATCGGTCAACTGAGGCTTCTGCTCGTAACATTAACATGCACATCCCCAAAAACCTTAACGTCTCCACACCTGAACCAGTCTCCATGCCTCCTTCTCGCCCCTCTCTTACTGGTGGCCCCAACCATAGCAATATGGGCGGTATGATGAGCCAACCCGCCATTCAAAAGCACCCTGGCTATGTCCTTGAGGGTGAAGGTCAACATGTCCTGAGCAAAAAAATGCTTGATATCCTCGTTCGCCAGGTCACTGGTGGTGGTGAAGGAGAGATACTGACTCCTGATGCCGAAGAGGTGAGATAAAACACTTTAACAAAAAAAACAATCAACCAACTGACTCTGCTCTCATTAGTTCGTTCTCTCGATGGCCGATGACTTTGTTGATGATGTGATTACCCAGGCTTGCCGTCTCGCCAAGTTGCGCCCATCTTCCACTCTCGAGATCCGTGACATCCAACTCGTCCTTGAGCGCAACTACAACATGCGTATCTCCGGTTTTTCGACTGATGACCTCCGCACCGTTAAGAAGCCCCAGCCTACCCAGGGCTGGCTGCAGAAGATGACGGCCATCCAGGCTGCCAAGGTCACTCAAGGAAGATCTGAATAAATGGACTTCATTTGCTCTATTCTCGATTGACACTGTTTATCCTTATTGCGTGCGGATCCATCTTGAACTCTTGGACCCTGGAACCCTTTATTATGTACCCATCGAACAATATCCTTTCAGTTCCCCCTGCTGTAATCCACAACTGGATGCTTGAACTCAAAATCTTGTCTCTACGAAGAGACGAAGATTCTCTACGGCGTTCTTATGGCTAAAGGAACTATCTTTTCTTGTCACTCAATCTCTCCCCCTTTGATATCCTTTTCCCCCTTCACCCAGGGCCCTTTGTTTACTCTGTCGGGCTTCGTTCTCACTCATATCCTTGGGGACAGGATATTTGGGCTACTCGACGATGGACTCGCACTTGCTTCGTTTTTTTGCCTTCCTTTGTGTTTCATGGATGGGTGACTTCGGCGGCGACTGGCGTTTCATTCCTTATCTCCATGCTTACTTCCTGGGGAATCTTCAAATACAACAGTCAGATAGTTATGCCTTATGGAACCAATTTACTTGATTTTCATTTTCATCAAATTTGCTGTTACTTGTGTTTCGGTGTTTTGCTATATTACTTGCTTATATACTCAACGGCACTGTTGTCCTTACTGCGACTAGCTCAACAGCTTCAAACGATCACTTGGATATTTGTTGTCTATCTAATTACTATGTACATGAGGACATATTAAAGAAACTAAAATTTCAAAATTGAAAACAATGCATTCTCGTTCACCACGACTATAGGTCGAGTAGAGTCCAGGCACGCTAAAATCGAGTAGTACACAGGAACAAGTGCTTACTCATGATCTATGATTTATTAACTTGAACAATCAAGGTCCAACAAGGAAAAAGGAAAAAGGAAAAGAGGTTGTCAGAGAGACAAAAAAAGAATAAAGGAAATCAAAACTTTCCCACGCTGACGCTCTGCTAGTCTGGATCTTGGAAAACAAATAGAATAGAGACGACGCGGTCAAGATCATTTAAGACAAATGGTATAGTGATTGATACAGGGTATGGATTTGACGCAGAAAAGAGACCGAGACAACAGAGTCCAAAGAAAAAAGATATAGGAAAGGGATGTGGAAGTGGTTCGGGGAAATGGAGTCCGCTAATGAGGTGCGAGTGACAATCCAATTCTGTAATTCGCTTTGCGGCCGTACATGCTCTTCTTTCTATGCCGGTGGTCGATGGGGCCTATCATGGAGACCTGGTCGATAGACAGAGCCAGGAATGAGGGTTGTTGGAACTGTGATGCGAAGTGGTGGAACACAATAGACGGAGATGAAAAATGAAATCATTGGTGACCATTGTTTGGAGATCATCAAAGTTGGTAGAGAGAATGTGGAAAGGTGGTCGGATCAGTCAATCAACGAAAGGAGGTCGTGTGGTGGTACACTGTAGATCGTAGTGCAGACTGCAAGTCGATGACAAGTCTTGCAGGAACAAAAAGAGAGTTGATTCAAAAGAGAACACAATGGCGTTATTATCAGGGATAACGCAGAGAGGCTGAAAATGGAGCTGGAGGCGAGACAGGGGCACTCGACAAACAGGAAGACAAATATACACACATCACTCGTGAACATCAGCAGTTTCTAGCGAAAAACATGGCAGGTGGTGCGAGGAATCCAAAGACAAAAAAATAAGAGCTCCTCGCCCGACTCATCGGAGCCGGGGTTTGAAGCGAACGGTCTATCGAGAAACAAGGGGGATATCTCGCTGAACACAAAAACAAGATCAAGGACGAAAAGCCATGGAAGAGTCAATGCGGAAATCCAGACATAAGGATGACAATAATTTACCGCCGAACCGGGCTGGCAATCGGTCTATCTCCTCGATCAACTTCCTTTCCTTTGCTGGGGGGGACTGGGGGTCCATCCATTGGGGCGGGGGAAGTTCCTTGTCAGTTGCAGGACGGCCATGTCGACTGTGTGAACTGTGGCCGCCCACGCTGCTGGCCTCACCCGCCTCATCCACAATAGGAAGTGTCGAAGTTGGCCCAGGACCCGCAGCATCTGCAGGGTCCCACACAGTGGCCAAGGTTCGGGGATGTGTGACAGATACATCCTTCGCCGCCTCCTTCTCGGCTACATGCATGGTTCGCTCCACGGATGATGAGCGTGATTGCCTATTCTCTCCTGATTGGCGAACTGAGGCTTGAGACTCTCGTCGGCGCTCAGCCTCTTCTTTAGACATGGTAATTCCCTTAACAAAATTAATGAAACGATCTCCGTATCCCTCTGGTGGGATAGGGGAGATTTGAGTTCGGTCATTGGAGAGACCCTTGAAGAAGTTTTCGAACTTCTTGACGGTGCCGTAGTGAGTCAGACAGTCAATGATACCCAGGTAATAGATTTCTTCACCGGGCTGGCCATTCTCATGAGTAGCTCGGAAACCTCCATCATCGGCATAGAAGACGTGGTACTTCCGCTCGTCCAGGATTTCTTCCGGCATTTTCGCGGTTGCCTTATCCAATGGAACAGGTCGCTCGCGCTTGATCAGCATGCGAAGCTCTCGGGCTTTGCGCTCATTCTCCAACTTGGAGGGTGTTCGCATCAGCATATTGGGGCTGGAATCCTCCTCGCGGTCGCCACCAGGCTGGAAGACTTGAAGTGTCTTGTCTCGCAACTTCTCTTCATTTCCCCGTTCAGCATCATGGATTCCTACTAGCAAAGAATAATCCATGATCTTGAGCCTTTTGAGCAATTCCACATCGCGTTTCAGCTGCTCAATGAAGAATTCTCGCTTCGCAGGTCCACATTGTAGGTGCCGATTTCTTCGGACCCAGTTCAAGTCCTTCATCGTCGCGCGCGGATTGCGCTCGAGGTCTGACTCCTGCAGGTCCCGACCAATCGTTGAGCCCTTCAGGTCGAATGTTTGGTGGATATCTCGGTGGGGAGGAAACAAGTTGTTCATCACAACAAAATGAATTTTGCGGCCATATGCCATTTTGACACGGTGCAAACCATAGAACTGTGAAATAAGAGTATTGGGATTCTTCTCCACATGTCGGTAGTACTCTGGCAGGATCTTGCGGAGGAGCTTATGTTCAGCGTGGTGGATGGTTTTGATGATATACTTGTAATCGCGCGAGAAGTAGAAGAAACTACCGCTTTTGCCTGGCGAGCCCAATTCGGACAGGATATATTTGCTGGTGAGGGACATCAAATAGTCGGCAGGATCAAGGCGAAACTTGGCTCGCAGACTTCGGAAGACCCAGGGGGCGTAGTCTTTGAATTTAAAGTCGTACTTGGCCGACGGAATCAACTCGTTTCCGGTACTGTTGCGCGGTCAGTGAGGCTCTCCATGAATTACCAGGTCTCAATGCTCAACGTACATATCAAAGGAGAATTTATGCTTGGCGTCAAAGTCCGCTGGGGTAAGTTCCCGGTCCATCTTTGCGTTGATGCGCGACACCGTGAAGCGAATTCCAGTCAACATGTTGTACGCCGTAACGTAGTTGACATGATTCTGGTCGACTTTGGTACCCACAATGACTCGTTCGTCGTCGTCATCTTCGCGTCGGCGCCGCGAAGCACGTTTTTGTTTGATTGCTTCTGCCCACCGGGCCGCCTCCTCATCTTGGAGTGTCTCATCCAAAGGCGGGTCTGACTGTGTCTTTGTGGCCCGGCGAATTAGGCCGAGTGATGTGCGTCGATTTCCGCCCACTGTGGGGGACAATCGACCACTACTGTAGGCAGTCTCTTCATTTTGGTCTCGGCTATTCCGACGAACGCTCGGAGTGCGCGGAACCTGCAGTGAGTGCCGATGTCGCATGCTGGACTGTTGCGGTTCTTGTGCGGAGGCGTTCTCAATCATCGAAGGTACAGGTACAGGAGGTGAGGAGTAACGGTGACTGGGTCGCGGGCCCGGGGTCAACCGATCCGGGTCGGGGGAGAGACGGCCTGAGTCTTCGGCGGGGATCTGTAATAATGAGGTCGAGGGGCTGGTCGCTCGGTCTGAGATAGAGGGTTCATCGGCGGAGGGGCGTGGGATATCACCATTGGCCATCGGCTTCCCCTGGACCGAGTAACGGTGGCCGTTGGCGGCTGTGCCATTGACCGGTTGACTTGACATCGATGCTGTCGTGGAGCCTGCTCCAGGTCCAGCGTCCGATGACTTCCGGTCCAGCATGGCTGATGGCCGGCCAGCATCCCGGGGATCTCTGGCGGACCCGTTGCCTAACGAATGCATGCTGCCGTCCTTGGAGTGCGGCATCTCGCGCGTATAGGAACTGATGCTCGAGCGGCCATTCAGGGAGTAGGCACTGCCGTTCTTTAGGTTTGTGAGCAATTGCCGATCATTCTGATGGGTATCGTGGTTCGCGTCGCCGGTGGGTGGTTGAGGCCAGTTGGTCCACAAGAAGGTGTTGCCGACAGAGGCTTTATCGTGGGACTTGCGAGGCGAATCGAACGAGCGAGGGTGGGTGGCCGTTGCTGTGGCCGTTGTTGTTGCCGTTGCCGATGGGTATGAGTCGTTGGACAAAGACGGCATGGTTTTCTGGGTGGTTCCTTTTTTTGGTGGTCTTCCACAGGAAAACGGGGTGACGTGAGGTCTGCGTGGACCGGCAACCCGAGGAGACGGCAGTGACCCTGTTTGGCGGAGGGGCAAGGATGTTGAGAACCGGACCTTGTTCCAGCGGATTTGAACGAGTGGAAGGGGGGTTGGGAGGAGATGAGGTGGTTCGGAGAAAGAGAGGACAGGGTCGTTCAGGGTTAGGATTCGTCGACTCCTCACTTTTTTTTTTTTTCGCAATGCGACCCGCAGAAATTTTCAACCGATAAACATAATTCCCCGACAGGGAAAAGAAGGGGAAAGATTGAAGATTGGGACGATTTCGGGGCGAGAAAAGACTAAAGGGACTTGCCGTCAAGTTGCGTGTCGTAGTAAATTAGTGTACGACTCCACTATTCAGCTGCACAAATACTGTGTACTAGATCAGGGAACACCCGAACGCCCCGAGTATAAAATCTCTAATCCTCCACGTATACGATGTGAATTTTCAAGGTCATTCGGTTTGAAGATTCATGCAGATTATATGAGCAAGGCCTGAGCGCACATCATGGCCCAAAACCCCTCTCCTCTGCAAGGAGAACTGATCGTGACGTACTTCGTACACCGTATGTGAGAGATGTTCTTACGATGCTTACTACGAAGGTGCGTGGGGGCGGGATTGTCCCTGACCCAAACTCCTCATTATACAGATAAATAGGGTCTTAGTATGGATGTTTACTAGGGGATTTAGCTTAGAGGATTTGCAAGCCGCAGGGTTTTTTGTGTCTAGATTTCCCCCCTGAATACTCACTCCATTCCAAAAATAGCCCGCTCCACCAGTGGATGAAGTCATTTCGACGATGCCTGATTCTGCCATGTACTCCTTAATGTACTCCTTAATGTGCTCTATAGACCTTTCCCTGTCAACTTAAATTGAATCAAAAGTACGGTCCGTTCCGATATTAAATCGTCTACATGTATTTCCTAGACGAGAAATTGGCCCAGAAGATACAGGAGATGATCAAGTATTTTAGGATGACAATCAACATGAAAATGTGTATGGAGCTGAATAGAGTGGCCTATCTGCACGGAGAATAATGGTAATAGCGTGTTAATTATCAATAGTTCAACTGCGCTAATTTCTAATTTCCGCCAATTGGTGGCGCAGTGTTGAACTGGCTTATCATCACAAACATTCCCGCAGCAACGGCGTTTCAACCTGCGGGGTCATGAAACCATGACCCTAATTAACGTCCATATTAGTCCCACTGATAGGCCTTTTGAGACCACAGCTCTGCCAAGATGTCTACAATCTATATCGTACAAAGGAATAGACCCAGTTCGGATCAAGTAGACTCCAATTCCACGAACGTCGTGAGATCCGATATGGACGAACAGATGAACAAAACAATTTCCCCATTGAGAACCCACCACAAGACGCCATCCCTTCGACGTGGAAGCAGAAAAAATAAAAAAGGAAAAACCAAGCCATCATAACGAAGATATCCCAGAACCAAGCACAAAGGAAACCCATTCCGAACCGCCAAATCAATGGATCGAGGGAAAGAAATTACATGGGAAGAGAAAAACAAAATGGGACCCTGATGACCCTCCCGGGAAGAGCGCACGTAAAATGGGAGGGCATCGTTGGGTCAAAAGCGACCAAAACATCCTCTATTTCTTAGCCGCACGCTTCTTAGCGGGAGCCTTGGTTGGCGGCGGCGCAGTGGTCTTGGTAACCCGGCCAGACTTGGTCTTGCCGAGAATCTTGGGCTGCTCAACAATTGCGGGAGCCTGTACAGATTTAGTTAGTCAACCATGATATCGGATAAAAGGGACGAGAACATACGGCAGTGGAGGGGGTCTTGGTCTTGCGGGCCTTTCCAGAGTTGGCCTTGGGCTTAGCAGCAGCCTTCTTGGCAGCAGGCTTCTTAGCAGTGGTCTTGGTGACCTTAGCGGTAGCAGTCTTCTTGGGGGCGGCCTTCTTGGTAGCAGCGGCCTTGGGGGCGGCAGCCTTCTATGAAGAGTAAGTACGACGATTTTAGCGACAATGATACTCGACTGACCTTGGGAGCAGCCTTGGTAGCCTTAGTAGCCTTAGCAGCAGGCTTCACGGCGGGCTTAGCAGCGGGCTTGGCCTCCTTCTTGGCCAGCTTCAGAGGTCCGGAGGGGCCTGGAGCGCGACGCGTCAGCGATAACAAGAACAAAAGTACAGCCAGATCGACCTTGAATACATGCTAAGAAGCATGATTGGGGGAGGATCGTTCTATAACTGGGGATACGAATGCGCACAAAAGCGCAAACCAGTAAGACTTACCCTTAGGCTGGGTGAACTCGCCCTTCTCGACGCCAGACTTGATAGCCTTGTTGAACTGGGCATCAAAGGCGCTCTGAGACGCGAAGGTGATCTTGTTGTTTGCCGACACATACTTCTTGATGGCCTGGCGGCTAAGATGAGGGAAATTCCGTTAGTTCATTGGTTGCGAAGCGGACAAAGGGAAAAGACGCGACCAAGGAATCATGGTCGCGCCGGTGGGAAAACGCAAATACATACCTGGAACCATTGCGCTCTTTGAGCTATTGTCCAAAAGCCCAGTCAGTAATGAACAGAATGATATAAACATAAATCCTCTTTGAAGTGGTGGTTGGCCATGCCCAATGGCTGGACGTGTCACGGTCGGGCGCGCGACCCGCCATCACAACAAGACGGAAAGATCATGGTGATCTACTCACGTTCACAATGGCATCCTTGATCATATCTATATCAATAGAATCAGCATATGTTGGCGACACAGGCGATATCCACAACGTTTTTACGCGATGTTGTGGTGGTTAAAGATCAGACAAAACATACCACGGTAGGAGGTGTGCGCAGCAGGCGCAGCCTTCTTGGCTGTGGCAGTAGCTTTCTTGGGAGGCATGATGTGAAGAGGTTGATGGAAGATTTAAGAGTAGAAGATGGAAGTTGAGAGACTTGATCCGACGCGTCGAAAATATGAATTTGAGGAGAAACAGAAGTAGAAAAGCAGCAGCGGAAGGGGTGGGAAAGGCCGGCGGGGCATCCGTGATTTATAGGCGGCCGGTGTTGACACAAGATCACCCCCCAAAATTGCTGGTCCTTTTTCCTTTTTTTTTCGTCCTTTTTTTTTATATTGATTGAAATCGCGAAATTTGGTCTGGATTGCTATGTTCTCATCTAATCTATGTCTGATGAAGTGACTTTTGCGTACTCGCTTTCTTTGACCTTTGGGGACTCTTGGGAAACTTGGGACAGTCACGCGTCTATCCATCTACTAACTTTGTGCGCATTCCCCCAGATGGCGGGTTCCATTCTCAGCCCTGGGACTGGACTAGATTTGAAAAAAACTACTCGTGATCATGAAGTCCAACAAACACGAGTCGAGATTGCGCACTACCTGCACTAAATCTCTGTCTAGTGGATACAATACACTGCCTGTGGGACATGGATTGAAAATGGATTTGTCCAGACATTCCAGCGCGACCGGAGAGATCGTCCCCTCCTCTTACTTTTTTAGAAAGTAATAAAGCTGGGGTATGGAATTTGATCTTCGTCCTGGCCTGCGCGTTTCTGGAAGCTAGAGCCTGGAAATAAGAATATGCTGAAAACGGCGTGAACCCAAGCCGCATCGAACACGTTTCATCTGAGATATCTATATGCCGCAGCTGGATATACTTCGTAATGCGGATACTTTATTGCCTAAGCTTCGTCTCCTTGCTTGCGATGTGCTGGAGGGACCTGCAGCGTCACGAGGTGTGTTGTCATGCAGCGCCCCGCTCAAGTCTGGATGTGCTGTGGCGGTCCATGGTACTGTTTCGTTTGGGACTCGATGATTCCTTGACTTTGAGTTCATGTCTACATGTTATCTGTTTGCTCTTGCTCGTTTCGTTTCGTTTCGTTTCGTACTTTGGAAACCCTAACTTGGCCCCTCGTTATACTGTAACCCCATCTCAACTCTACACCCACCTGTATCGATCAACCTCTTATCGCAGCTGGAAATGTCTCTTTTTTTATTTGAGTGTGGATGAAAATCATATGTCTATCTCTAATTTCACTTTCTTTGTCCTTGTCTCCAAGTATTTCGGAGGGTGTGAAGGGAGACTGGCAGATTGGCCAATACGTAGCCCTGGGAATGCCTACCGATTCAGTTTGCCTAATATATATTCCTGCAGACCCGCGATGAACACGTTAACCCCTGACCATGGCAATCAATACAACCAATAAAAAACAAGCACAGAGTGATTTCCATTGAAAAGGTATCCACCGATCGCTACTGATGCGCCCACCCCGAGGTCCGCATCCGACTTAACGGGTTCGGTGGGATGATTAGGCATCGACCCGGGCTATGACGCTATTGCCCACATTACAAATCTCTATTCCGGCATATGATATAGGAAATGGACAGGTCAAATGGGCGAATTTAAAATAACATCCACTTCCTTCTTCTTACTTCCAAGGGCAGAGGGATTCCATCGAAGCACTTTGAGGTGGGGGATCAAGAAGTTGGTCCGATCCAATGTTACAGCGGCATCGAATCAAGGCACTCCCCACACATGATCGTGATCTTATGTTCTCTCGACCTTTATTTAAAGAATTAAATATGTATATCGGTTGAATTCACTGACTCAAGTATCCTATAGCTGTCATTTTCTTCGTTGCAACATTCCTGGTGGAGATCACTTGTTGTTTCTTCATCTGCCAATCTGTCTCATCTCGCTTATCCCGCGACAATCTATACAACTGCACCAAGAATGGACTCCACCTCTCAAGCAAACAACGAGTTCCATATGAATATATGGCTGTGCAAACTGTAAATAGTAGTGTAATTATTCGTAATTGAGATAATCTGCGGTAAATTCTTCCATGTGGAAGCGAGGATCAGTAAAAAGGCGAGAATAACTGGGTCCCTTACTTCACCAATATTTTCTGATCCTAGGCTCATACAGCCAAGTATGTCTTGTTCACCACCTACAATAGACACAAAAATACAGGATTAGGCTGGTTATCATGAAAGTTATTTATTTTTTTGGGGTATGGTATGCTACCTCATGCCATGGCTGAGGCCAAGTTAACAATGTCACCCCCACATTGAGATCAGAAAAAAACGGACCCCGCAACAATGAAAGCTATGCAACGCCAGCGCCAAGATCATAAAAAAAGAGTCAAAAGATGGTCATCCGTTTAAAGGAGATGAGATGGAAGAGGGAGAAACAAGACCGGGCGATCACCAGCCAAGATTTGGTTTAGCCTGCACCACGCGGCTTGGCCTTCGCGTCTTTCTTCGCCTTCGCATCGTCCTTCTTCTGCTTCTTTTGTTTTTGGAGTTTCTCATCATGCTTCCGCTTGAGACTGGCCTTCTCGTCATCAGTGCGTTCCCTTGGCTTAAAGAATCCCTCTAAACGTGACTGCTGCGCGCTCTTCAGGTTCTTTGTCAGTCGTGCTGCACCATTTCGTACACGGTCCTCGTTGAATCCCTTGTCGGTGACCAGAAAGTCAATCAGCCCATCCACATTTGGAGCCTCCCACTTGAAATCACAGTCGGGGTGGTCTGCATCGCGCACATCTGGAGAGATGAACAGATCACGCGCATCTTGGTATGGCCAAACCTCCGGGACCACGTATTTCTTCTTTGGGTCCTTCTCCATGAACTCTAGTACTTTCTCCAGGCTACCATGTTCACGGATTAGCGCGAGAGCAGTCGAGGGTCCAACTTTGGGAATGGGCTCGAGGTAGTCGCAACCCAGCAGAATGCAAAGATCGATGAACTATAACATCACTATATAAGCCGCAATCCTGAGATATGTCACATAGATACAAACTTACTTGACTGCGATCCATCTGCAGGCCCTCCAGTGCCCGATCCAAGTGAATCTCCTGGATGGGCTCCTTCCTTTGCTCACTGAAAGTCAAGTGTCTCAACAGAATGGGCGACTCAAAGCATAAAGTATCCATATCCTCCGATGCAGCCGCGTAGACCTTGCCAGCGCGTGCGAGAGTTGCGCATTGGGCTTCAGCTTCAGTGGGAGCATCGATATAGGGGATACCCATCAGCTTCAGAAGCTGCTTACATTCTGCGTTGTGCTCGCGTGTGACTCGCACCCCGCGTCGCGCAAACTTCTCCACATCCTCCGCAGTACCAGTCTCCTTGGCTTCCTCGTGAGCTTCGTGAGCTTCAGCCTTGCGCGCACCACGCTTTGCCAGCTCGCCGGACTTCAGCTTGGGTGGGGCACCGTCGAAAACGTATAGCGGTTTGATGCCATTGTCGACCATTCGCAGGGTTCGGTAAAACATGCCCATCAAGTGTGATGTTGTCTCACCAGTCTCATTCATAAGCTGCTGGCCCTCTGAGCGCACGGCGATCAGGAAACTGTAGATGCTCATAGATCTGCAATAGTGTTAGTTTAGGAAGCTTCGGGGGCCGAGGTCAATGACGCACGCATCCTGTATAAAGCAATTGATTAGCCACTGATATTTGGAGATTGGAAGAGAAAGGCGCTATGAGTTTCGGACATACAATTGCGACCTTGCGGCCGAAATGGTTTTTGATCTCGCCCGTCTTAATTGCATCGGGGGCATTCTCAGAGATCACCTGGAATAGGTCTATCATGCTGGTCAGCGAAGATGTCAAGTTTGATAAGATATGGCTCACTGACGTTTAATACCCATTTTGGTGAGACGAGGTGTTATTCAAGAATAAAGAATGGCGGACGAGGATCGCTTCTCAAGGTAGAGGTTTTTGAGACTTCCAAGAGAAAACGAGAGAGACGCGTTCGGTGGTGAACGCGCCCACGCATCATAATTAAACCAAATCAAGACTAGCGCAAACGGCCGACCAATCATGTGATTTGAGCTAGACAAAGGCACGTGACAGGTGGTTCGGGATTCTAGACCCACTAATGCCTCAGGCGACAACTCAAACGGTCGAGAATCCCCGACCCCGCTCTCCTCTTCCCCGGAGTCGCCCATGCGGAGAGGTTGTGTCAACATCACAGCATGAAGCGGAATCGCATCCAGTTTGAGAGCAATGGTGATGCTTCATCGGCTTCTCCGCAAGATGGCTTCACCCCGGAGGATCATTCGCGGCAGGCACATGTTCCGAAGATCTCTCGGCGGATCCGTGCATGTACAGAATGTAAGCGGCACAAAGTTCGCTGCGACATGAAGACAGGTGAGTCGGATTGTTCGCGATGTCGTCGCATGGGACTAGATTGTGTTGTCAACAAGAGCCTGCAGACATTACTGGAGGACGAGGCTGAGTAAGTCTGCGCCGTTGCTAATGCCGACATTTGCGCCGCATTAAAGCAAGTGAAATGCTAACATACCGTCGGTGCTTAGATGGAAGAATGTGATTGAGCTGGCAATGACGGACTTGCTTAGGAAGGCTCAACTCCCGGAATTATCATACTACCAAGCCGGTGGTAGATCGATCGAGACGCCCTCGAAGAAAAGTCGCCGAAAAGAGTCGACCGTGTCGGTGGATGAGACCGGGCATGCGATAAGACACAATGGCAGGAATATCTCAATTGATAATACTGCTGGTCCAAGCACGGGGTCGAGCTCGTCAAATTATGCTTTCTCGCAACACCAGCCACAATTTTCAATGGATCGGGAAGAAACCTCTGCCACTTCGTTGGTGACAGCCCCGATGGGGAGTCTTTACGAGGTGACACAGCTGAGCGAGAATCGTGAGGGCTCCCCCGGGCAAAATTATGCGCCTGACCAGGCATTGGCGACCGACTTCATCTCCCGCGGTGTGGTCGATCTTCGAGAAGCGGAGGAATTGTTCTACCATTTCGATCAGGTGCTCAACCGCTACCTTTGGGATGGAGCTTTACTAGCACATAAGGACTTGACGGCCGCCAGGAAGTCTTCTTCCATGCTGTCTGCGGCTATTCTGGCTGTGACGGCGCTCCACCTGCCGTCCAAAGAACGTACATTTGACACTTGCTATACCGAGTTTGCCAAACTGGCATCGGAGTCGATGTTGGGACATCATCATACTCTGGACGATATTCGTGCTCTGTGTATCGGGGCATTTTGGCTGGCAGATGTTAGCTGGAAACTCTCTGGTTATGCGGTGCGGATTGCTACGGAGCGCAACTTGCACCAATTCTATCGCAAGGCTATTCAAGGGTCTCCAGAGCACAAGGAACAGGCTCGTCTGTGGTACCTCTTATATGTAAGTCGTACAATGACCCTGACATATAACATTTGAAAATCTAACAGATGATAGACGCTCGAGCATCATTTCTCTATCGCATATGGCCGACCACCAATCATCCACGAGGATGCCAGTATCACTCAACATAACATTTTCACACAGTCTGCATCAGTATCACAAGGCGACCTTCGACTCCACAGTCAAGTTGACCTTTTTATCATTCTTACTCGTATCTATTTTGCATTTGGTCCCGACGTTGATCTCGAAGTACCCGAAACCGAATTCCCCAAGATCGACCAATTTGACATAGACTTGGGCGATTGGAAGTCGGCATGGCTGCCCCGTCTTGGTAAGCATAGTTGGTGAACACCGTGCCTCCCAGGTATATTTGCTAACCAATTATTTAGCTGGGAGTCGACATGTTGGTGCATATCCTTACAAAGCTGTCTATATGCACTATCATTTTTCTCGGCTGCAGTTGAATTCGGTTGCTTTGCGCGCCTACCACTCTTCGACCTCTTCAAAAGCCATGTCACCGGAGCGCAGGAAGCGCGCCAATATTGCCATTGAGTCAGCTATTGCTACCCTCAAGGTTGTCTTAGACGAGCGGGATATCCAACTGGCTTTGGTTGGTGTTCCGTTGTATCTCCACAGCATGATCACCTTTGCCGCAGTGTTTCTGTTGAAGATAGCGGCCAAGGTGTGTTCTAATGGCCCCAATTCGGGAGGACAGGGCCAAAATAGTTCAATTGCCTCGGCCGGATTGCACGTTGACATCGGTTATGTGCGGGTCTTGGTCGGACGTATTGTAGAGATGATGGTCTCCTGCAGCCAGAGGGCTAGTGAGCGTCATCTGAGCCACCACATTGCCCGTGGCCTACGGAAGATGCTCACTGGACTGGAAGAGTGGGAGAAGCGTAACTGTGGCCAGAAATCTTTGGGACCAAACCCACAGGAGACGTCGCTCTTCAAGCCAGTCATTATTCCAGGCGCCCAAATTTTAGGTGAACGCGACACCATACTGAATCACCCCCCGCCGCTGCTGGGAGTGGCGCCTCTGTCTGCCGAGCGGAGCAACGGGTTCGAGCCGTTAACGAGCAAGCCTGAATCTGGTCTGTCAGAAGGATCAATAGATCCTATGATGGCAGATCTTTGGGGGTTTGACGAAGACTACTTCCCTACCGGAGTGTTTGATTTCCTCCAGAGCCAGATGCCGGCGTAAAGGGTCTATACCGACTTGTTCTACTAATTATTCTTGTACATGAATTATTCACTGGTGAACTTAGCTATCAGAAGTACTAGAGATCACGATTGGATACGTATCCACTCCAAACAGCATAGCGGGTGTACTTACCCCATGGGCATTAGATTCCAATGCCGAGCCCGGGCCCGAGTCCACTTTGGCGCTTCCGAACCAAAACGACCGAATAACACCGAACCGAAAACAAAGCGTGGCTCGGATAAGCTGTCGAATCGCAAACTGTAATTTACTAGTAGCATTGCTAGATCCATGCTTTCGAGTGATCTTCGCAAGACTGCACACTTATACCAGTTTCATGGCTACTCGGTGATCATGACTAATTGCCGAGGTTCGCCGTCACTAGTGGATATTTGATGGAAGCTCCCCCGCAACTTCTTTCTTGATATCATACCTTCCCCTCCACTCTCTTTGCCAATTCATTATTTTGTTTGAGGGTTTATTCTACACTTACTTAAAATGATGAACCGCTCGCTTCTACGTGCGGCTGCGCGCTCTTTACAAGCTGGACCCGCCGCTAGCCGGCGCTATGCCTCATCCGCCGTGTTTAACTGGGAAGACCCCCTTGTCGCAGCGGAGCTGCTCACAGCAGAGGAGCTGGCAATCCAGGAAACTGCACGACAGTATTGCCAGGACAAATTACAGCCACGGATTCTTGGTTCGTTTACCCCGGAACTCTGAATCTTGATGTATAGCATGATCTAACATTTAGCGTCTCGCAGAGGCCTACCGCAACGAGGACTATGACCGCCGGATCCTCGAAGAGATGGGTGAGCTCGGCCTGCTGGGCGCCTCAATTGAGGGTTACGGCTGCGCTGGCGTCAGCACTGTCGCCTCCGGTTTGATCACCAAGGAAGTGGAGCGAGTTGATAGTGGATACCGGTCGGGCATGTCGGTGCAGAGCTCCCTAGCCATGACAGGTATCTATGAGTTTGGTACGGAGGAGATGAAGGAGCGACTTTTGCCCGGACTGGCATCGGGCAAAGTTTCTGGCTGCTTTGGGCTGACAGAGCCCAATCACGGCTCCGACCCCGGTTCCATGGAGACCGTTGCGCGCGGGCACCCCACGCAGAAGGGCGTGTACCTTTTGACCGGAAGCAAGACCTGGATCACCAACTCCCCCATTGCGGACCTGGCGCTTGTGTGGGCTAAGCTCGAGTCTACAGGCAAGATTCGCGGATTTGTTGTTGAGCGATCCAAATGCCCGCCCGGTACATACGAGACCCCCGCTATTAAGAATAAGACTGCGCTGCGCGCATCCATTACGGGTATGATCCACATGGATGACTGCCCTGTTGGTGTGGAGAACATGTTGCCCGATGTTGAGGGTCTCACCGGTCCGTTTACATGCTTGAACAGTGCGCGTCTGGGCATCGCCTTTGGCAGCATGGGTGCATTGGAGGACTGCCTTGCTCGTGCGCGTGAATACAGTCTTGAGCGCAAGCAATTCAAGGGTAACCCCTTAGCCAAGTACCAGCTTATTCAGAAGAAGCTGGCTGATGCGGCGACGGATGCTGCTTACGGCACGTTGGCGGCCGTGCAGGTGGCTCGTCTCAAGGACGCCGGCAAGGCCACCCCGGAGATGATTTCGATGATCAAGCGTCAGAACTGTGATCGTGCGCTGCAAAACTCCCGGATGTATGTTTCTTGTGCTTTTCCCAACCTGAGTCTATACTAACTTGCTACAGTTTGCAAGAAGTGTTTGGCGGCAATGCCACCAGCGATGAGTACCACATCGGGCGTCATGTAGCCAATCTGTTTGTGGTGCAAACTTATGAGGGTCAGAGCGATATTCATGGTAAGTGCCCAATTCTTCGACATGCTTTGGGCCGAGACTAATTGCTTTTTGTCAACAGCCTTGATTCTGGGTCGGGCCATCACAGGCAAGCAGGCCTTTGTTTAAAAGATTGTATAGATAAGAATGTACATATTTCGAATGATTCAAAAATGGAGTTGAACAGGAAGCAATATATGGACTGAAGTACGAGTGATCGTAATCATATAAACACCTTCAGGGCACCTTCCTTATCGAGACAACAGTGGGCGCCTCACCCGCACGTGACATCATCGAGGGGCAGTTTTCATTACCAAGGTATCGTATTCCTGCATACCGAGGATTGAAGGAGCCATCAAAACTGGGGAGTATCGAGATCTTATATAAGAATTATGAAAGGTTTATGGAAGTGAAGGAGAGATGAACAATTAACCCTTTGCCACTTGAATACACAAATGACAAAACCCGCCCCAAACCAGCCCTACGAGGGTCCTCGTAACCCGATCAAAATTACCCGGCATATTCTCGATGTGTCATATCGTGGCGTGTATTGGTAATACCGAGCCAAGCCCACCCGCACCACTTTTCCCCTCTTTTATTCTTTCTCATTCTCATTCTTCTTTTCCACACAAAGACGTAACCGTACGTGGAGGTCCGCTCCCCTCATTTTCATCCTGCTGACCTTGATAGTCTCTCCCCATCACTCTACAATCGTCGACATGGCTCTCAAGCGCATTAACAAGGAACTCACTGATCTCGGACGGTAAGTCCTTTGAGCCAGATCTGTCGGGATTAGCAACTAATGTTATCACAGGGATCCCCCCTCCTCCTGCTCCGCTGGTCCTCATGGAGATGATCTGGTATGGCCCTCCTTTCCTCGCTCCCTCGCGTTATATGCCCGGTCATCGCCGCCCTGAATTACCCAAGTCTTATCGTGTGGCGGGGCTGAACGGCTGAAAATGCCTTGTCGATCATCTCGAAAATGTTGAAATATAACGGATAACTGACATATGCTCTTTCTTGCTTTATAGTTCCACTGGCAAGCAACTATCATGGGTCCTGTAAGTTGGAAATTCCTTTGAACGATTTGGTTTGTAAAACACTATGGTCGGAGGGGAACGGCTGAGGCTGAATGCCCCTCCTCACCGCCGGGGGAACATACTCGATCTCAAAAACGCATGGATGCTAATAGTGTTCCTAATTAGGGTGACTCACCTTACTCTGGAGGTGTCTTCTTCCTCAACATCCAGTTCCCTACCGACTACCCGTTCAAGCCTCCCAAGGTCAACTTCACCACCCGCATCTACCACCCCAACATCAACTCCAACGGCAGCATTTGTCTCGACATCCTGCGTGACCAATGGAGCCCTGCTCTGACAATTTCGAAAGGTTCGACAGCAATGAAATACCCTGATGATGAAACAAACCTGTGCTAATTCATTATAGTGCTGCTTTCGATCTGCTCGATGCTCACAGACCCCAACCCCGACGACCCGCTTGTGCCTGAGATCGCACATGTCTACAAGACGGATCGCCCGCGGTACGAGGCGACAGCCCGCGAATGGACTCGCAAGTACGCTATTTGATCGGCATTTTCTCAACCAATCTGCCCAATACCAATGACCCCCTTTTCCATCCCGCACGACCCCTCAGTCTAATCTCTGTCGCCTCTGCATCATCTTTTCTTGTCCCCGTTAGATTCAGATCCGCGAAGCCTGGCGTACCGTGGTCGTAGAAACTTGCTGTGTTCCGTTTCTTGCAGACTTCTGTTTTTTAGGTCTATTTTTCATATTTTTTCTTGCTAAACCATGTTTGGTGTCGTTTGTGTGTGTTAGTTTCTGGGACATCATGCCCAACGATCCTTATGACCAATTCTCATGCATTCATGGCATTTCTCCAAGGGGGATATTCTTTTTTTCCAGGACTGTTTCTTTCTCCTGCGAGATGACCACAAATTCCCCAAAAAAAAAGGAAGCTGAAAATCATGTCTTGGCTGTATACCAAGATCATGGGACCTCTTCTTGAAAGCTGTCCCTTCTGGAAAACCGTTGCTTGAGACGTGCACACGCTTGGGGTGGACGCGAATCGAATCGGAACAGGAAGTCGATATGGAGGTGATGGGATCGGGCCGTGGTAGCGTGTATGGGAAAGGGGACTTTACGAGGTTTATTTCTTTTCTTGTCATCAGATAGCACAATCCAGGCAGGCCCATCGTCTTGAAATGCTTTTGCTGTAGACACCGTAAAGTAGACTCAACTATAAATCGACGTTGAAACTTGGAACTCCTCCCGTATCATTCCACAACTCATGTGTAAGCCATTGAAAATACTTCGGTGAAGTGATATAGTCAAGATCCAAAATCCAGTTCTGAAAGAGTGAGCTCAGCCACGGTAGCCACGGTTACTTTGGCAGATAGAAAAGGGTTATCAGATGCTTGCTCCATTGTATGATCGAATAAAATACACTGCAAAACAGATAAGGGCTTGAATAGATTGTAGCCCATCTGTGTCGAGTAAAGGATCAATACGGTCAAGGGCCAAAGTAGAGTAGACTTGTGCAGCTTCTGTCTCGGGCTGCCCTAGTACCAGTGACGCGATGGCAAAACTTTGCAGCTATTACCCATAGCAGAGCCATCTGGAATAAGTGTCAAGGAGAGCCTACCATAGGAACAAAAAAAAAGCCATGGGATCAGCGTCTTTCGCATCACCAACTGGACTTGCCTTTTGGAATTCTTGTTCCATCCATCTGAAACTGGACCTTGAAGGCATGGATGTTACTAATGACATACTTTTGAAACGGATAGCATGGCTGACTTTCCAAGAAATGGAAGCTTATCCGAGCCTGCTGGTCCCCAACTGGACCTTCCAGGAAGCTCACCTCCCTACCAGGATAAAGCCTATAACCAAGCGACAATCAATGCTAGCCCTGGCGATATATGAGAAGAGAACCGCCGACGAAGAGCCGAAAGCTTGTTGCTCCCACCCTGCAGCGCTGAGACATATAATCTTCGTAGCTGAGCAGATAAGCTAACCCGGGCTTCAAGATTTTGCATGTAGTCTTTTGGTCGATGGAGCTCAGTCACAGGATCCTCGAGGAGGCACTCTATGTTTGAGATGAGAACGAGTTATTCACATGAAAGCTTCAAGATACGTCGGTCTGCTAGATTGCAATGGTTGCATCTAGGAGTTTGTTCATCCCACTATTGCATACTCGAATCATTCCACGATCCAGGGTCAAAGGAGTGATCGCGGCAGTCTTTTGAAGGAGGAAGACGTACCTTTGATTTACACTGCTTGCAGTGAGCACAGGCCAATGGGGTTCATTCCCCAATCAGTTACCGCTTTTTCTGATTGACTTTCTCTTGCAGACTCATGCTGATTCATGTTCATGATATGGTGCGGGGAGCGGGGAGAGTGCCGCCATCACTCTTATCAACTTATCTTGAACTTTACTGTATCTTCACGGTCAAACCAGTTCATCTGATTGAAAATTTTCCTTGTATTGAAACATACTTTCGCTCAAGTTGCTGTTATTAGCGACTATTGGTATCTTGTATCATTTGGGCAGCCTCGGATCTCAGATTCTGATAAGTAGGCATTTGATAGCACAAAGAGCAAATTGGTAAAGGGATGATTTCACCTTTAAAGTCCATCTGCAAGAATTCCAAGGACAAACTCCAATGTTTGAGCATCTAGATAAGGCAGACATGGAGTGCCGATCAATTCGCAAATCTCATGCCTAAGGTAATATGGCGGTTATCTCGACCCCTCATACGAAGCTCGGAAGGAGCCGAGACCTGGAGTCTCCAATTTGGCAACTCATTCCGCTTCAGCTTCCAAGGTTCCCATTCCATAATTCTTTTTATTCTCTGGTGTACACTCTCGCTCTTTCCAGAAACACCGTTTGCTAAACGACCAATATACACTATGTCCTCAAAACCGAGAGTCGTGGCCCTGGGTCATCCCCAGTATGCAGGTGCTGACTACATCACCGAATTCCAAAAAGAGTTCAACTTTTCCGTATTGCATGCTACAAACCGTGCCGAGACGCAGAAGATGTTACCAGAAGACATCGCCGCCAACGGCCCCATAGACGCCTTCCTGATTCGCATGGGTACCCCGCCCTACGAACCTTTCGACCAAGACCTCCTCAAAGCGCTAGTCCCAGACTGCAAGATCATCGTATCAGCGAGTGCGGGATACAATGAGTTCGATGTGCAATGGATGGCAGACGAGGGAATCTGGTTTTGTAATACCGTAAACGCAGTAGCCGAGGCTACGGCAGATATGGCCCTGTTCTTGATTTTGGCTGTGTTGAGGAATACAACCAATGCGGAGAAGAGTGCTCGAAATGGGACCTGGAGATCACCGAATGGCGGTGGGATTGTTCCTGCGCGAGATCCCGCCGGTCTCACCTTGGGAATCGTGGGAATGGGTGCGATTGGGAAGGTGAGCATTACGATTTTTGGAAGCAACCATGTGTTAACAGATTCTGCTATAGTACATTGCCAAAAAGGCCGCTTGCTTCAACATGAAGATCGTCTATCACAATAGGAACCAGTTGTCTGCGGATGAGGAGGCTCGATATGGGGCTACATACTGCAACACTTTGCATGATTTGCTTGCTACAAGTGACGTTGTCTCACTGAGCTGTCCGCTCAATGCAAACACAACAAATCTGATTAGTGAAGCCGAGTTTGCGGCCATGAAAGATGGCGTATTCTTGGTCAACACTTCTCGTGGTGCGGTTCTTGACGAGAAGGCCTTAATCGCTAGTCTGGAGAGCGGCAAGGTGGCACGCGCTGGGCTGGACGTCTTTGTCAATGAGCCGTCTCCCAATCCATGGTTCCTCCAGAGTGACAAGGTAGTTATTCAACCGCATCTTGGTGGCTTGACGGATGTTGCCTATCGGAAAGCAGAACGGGAGTGCTTTGAGAATATCCGGGCTTTTTTTACTAAAGGACATGCAAACTCACCGGTAATGGAGATCAAGGTCATAACATGACCGGCTCAGAGTGTAGTTGGGCGTGTTGGATTGGTTTGCACAGGATGTTTCATTTGTCTGCCAATGTTCTGATTTCAAAAGGCGCGATTTGGTCTCAAAGCCGTCCTTTTTATGGAATGCCAAACCCTCTCTTTCATCTATTATTGATTCTCCTCATGCTCTCCCATCCTTGCAAGCCGCATTTTCTCAGGTCCATCAAGTGACAAAGTAGGGAATAGAGTGCATATTGGTGGAAGATTAATACAAGGCATCAAAAATGAGATAGTGATGGAGCTGCTGACTGAATACGTAGTAATGCTCACTGAGAATTATCCGCTTCCATCTTTCGCTCAATCAAGTGGAAATCTGATAGGTGATGCTGCATAGTAAACATTCCGAGGCGACGATGTGGTTAGTAAGCATGCAGTGGAGTTGGCTTTGAACTACGTTATGGGGCACGTGCTCATCAATGACCGGAGTTTTTTCAAGGTTTAATGGTTGGATCTGATCATTCAAAGATTGACTAAGTTCTCCTATTCATATCTTCGCCGGTTTCGCGTTGTTTGGCGAATAAACCAGGCTGTGCAAGTCCGAATCCTTGTACAGCGGCAGATCTCTTAGAACGTTCGGCGATTCAGAGCCTCGCATGAGCTCATTGACCGGCTTCTGTTCTCCCAATGTTCTCCATTTCCAAGCCTTCACGGCTGTACGATCTACGTTCACATTCTCCATGATATCCACGACCAAATTACCAATATTCGGGAGAAACTTGAATGCATGGCCACTGCCTCCAGTGGCAACCATCAAGCCCTCTTTTCCAGGAACACGATCAACAACAAAATGATTGTCGAAAGTATCGGTGTACCAACAGAGACGTGTTTTGGAAATAGGAATGCCTTCCTGGTGTAACTCTGGTAGATATTCAGTAAGGAAGGCCTGAATGACATGGTATGCCGCTTGAGAAAAATCGGTAAATGGTTCTCCAATTGGAATTAATCCATTGCGCTCGGCAGATGACCATCTTGTCACAGGGGTGCTGCGTTCTATCCCATCTTCGTGTCGTACTGGGTTGGTAAATTTGGTTCCACGGTATCCAATCTTGAAATATCCCTCTTCCGTTCTTGGAAACCCGTATAGACCTCCATAGCCAGCAGCACGCATATTGAACATGAATGTAGGGAAGTTCTGGGGAGATAGACGATTCCATAATGTTGATTGACGTGGAATTTTCATAATCATCACACTGCCGGCAGTTGCTTCACAAAGTCCGTCCAGTTCTGGTAGCTATACTGGCGTCCATCCACCGCAGGCAAGAATGGTCATAGATGCGTGATGTATTTGACCATCGCGTGTGCGAATGCCGGTGACTTTGCTTCCTTCGTAGCAGAGTGATTCCAGACGGCCTTCTGAATCCCCGAAGATGAAACGTGCACCCAAGGAGCGTGCTTTATGGAGAGCAAATCGACACGCCTTGTCGGCGAGTGCCATCCCTCCCGTTGTGTCTAGAACTCCCACTAGTGGCCGTCCTTTATTCTCCTGCTGAAAGGGATCCATATATGCAGATAAGCCACGGCTGGTGGCGATTTCACGATGTCGTGGATTTGTGGTTGCTAACTGTGTGTCATGATGCCCGGCTTTTTCCATTCCCTCAATGCAAGCCACCTCCCATGGTGGCAGTTCCTTGCTCGAGACCATAGAGAAACATCCATTTGGCACGAATACGCGATCTTCACTGCTCATTTCCGGAGGTACAGTCTTACCGCTGGCAAGCTCTTCATTCCACTCGTGCCAGGCCTTGATAGCCTCGACAGAGAGTTCTTGGTATTCAGTCTGGGTACCATATGCCGAGCGAACGATCTTGTTAATATCAGCTGACGCAGCATCGGCACCCTTGAAATATGAGTATTTCGATTCATCGTAAGGTTGTCTGTCGAAAACAGTGACGGAATAACCACGGCGAGCTAGATGCAACGCAGTGCTGAGACCGAAGATTCCGGCCCCGACGATAAGAACAGAATCGTTTGGATTCATTATGGCGCTTCTCGGGTGGTGTCGAGTCTGTATTCACTTCAAAGGTTGTGATCTTTGTATTCAGGTCATGATAGGGAGAAACCGAATGGTACGGATTCTCCCGAGCTCCACTAGATAAGACACCATTTCTCCACTTTCTCCACTTTCAAGCTCGACTGTATACAGTCTTCTTATCTACGTCTTGTCCCGCGACATGTAACGTGAGGTAATTTACCATGATTTACATAATAGATAGTGACTGACACATTGCTACCATATGTGTGAGGAAGTCACAGAGGAAGTATGTCAAAACTTCTCGGAGATATGAGCAACAAGCACAGGATTATCAGTAGGTTTTTAATGGACGCTGCACGCCAGAAATGATTGTCATCCGAACCCACGATTCCATGGATGTGATGCATAAGTCTCCATGATATTCGCAAATCCTCTCGTTTTTTCTTTGAAACGCAGAAACGCAGAATCAATTTCGGCGGTTAATCCTCTGAGCAAGCATATCAACCATCCAGGTCAGGTTCTTATTCATCAGCATCTTTTCAATCTCCTCCCAAGATTCGGATGAAAACCACGCCTCGTGCACATAGTCAGAAATAGTGCGACACTTGGCCGCAATGACACATTCTGCTCCGTTCATGAGTTTTTTGAACGCACGGGATTGATGTCCTGCAGCGGGCTTTCCGACGACTCGAGTGCATTCCAACTTCCAATCAATGAAGGTGTCTATCAGCACATGAGTGAGCTCGGTAGCATATTGGATCGGAAGAAATCGAGTGCCCCGCTTCAATGGCCTGTTGATAAGAAGGCCAATGCCAACGGCAAATGCCAGTGTGCTGGAAGGGGTTGGATCTCTGCTGATAAGTCGGAGAAGGTTGAGTTTCCGATTGCCATATTTTCGAGAGATGTAGCTTTGTACGCGGTACTTGGTGGATTGGGATGCAAAGTTTAGGCCTCCGATCTGGTGAAGAGGTGTGATGATGTCTCCATCGGGTTCACAAATCTCGTTGCGGCCAAATCGAAAGATATTATCCATGATTTGATTCCAGATCTCGGCTGGAAGGGACTCTAGGGTGGACATACCCTGTTGTTTTTGGTTAAAAAGTGGCTATTGAGGCATAAAGGTGTACATACACGCGTTGGATATTTGAACTTGCTGCTTAGATTGGCCTTGAACGACTGTCCCGTCACCATGCCGGTTTGCTTGGAAGATTTCTTGCTCTGAAAAGTGCCCTTAGCTGGATGTTTTCTTGCCATTGTGACAAGATAGCAAATGTGGTCCGTAGCGGTGTGGTTTTGTTTGATCTGAATGGTGAAAGTGACATGTTGCGTATAGGAAAGAAGAATGGTTTGATTGTACACTCTCCACCAAGTGAAGTAAACAGATCTCATTCAGGGAGATACTCTACAACGAGAAGAGTAAACAGGGCTCATTCACGCAAGCTGTACAGACCTCATTTTGTTCCAAAGAGGTCACTGAAGCATCCTTATATAAAACAGTATTAGCCACACACAGTCTTTTCCCGAGACGCAGAGATCCACATTTAAACATAATCCAGAGACTACACAGATACTCAACCAATCCAACGCCGTCCATCATGATGGACAACCACCCGCTTCCCCTCACCATACTCGTCCTTTGGTGCAAGCCTTCTTTGCACCCTCTGGGACTGCATAAGAGTCTCCTTATATGTGATAGCTGCGATCATCTTCTGCATCTTTTGACGAACCATTTCCCGGTGGATCTCTCGCCACACCAGTGTGTCAAACCATGTAGGTTCCAAGTAGAAGGCCACCATCTGACACTTGACCACCAGGACCAACTCCACCCACGCCGGTGAGTACTCCACGACTTTGCGAGACATGGGCTCCAGAGAATAATCCCACGGCCCCGTTGGCGGCGCGAAACAAGGAATCTGCGTCTCAGCTTTACGTGCCCGTGAGAATAAAAGCGCTTTCATCATGGTCTCGATCAGTTCCATGGCAACATGGTTAGGTAATGTGGGGTGATCTGCTGGGGACGTAGGGTTCAAGAGAGTCCCAATAGCAATGGAGAAGGGGAGAACGCTGTCCCCAAAGGCACGATCGGCTAGATAATGGGCGAATGACTTCACGCCAGGAATTAGCGGCTTGAAGGGTTTCCGAGCAAAATAGCTCCATACGGCATGTTGAAGGGTTTTCGATGCCGAAGTGAGACCGGCGATTCGGTGGAGGTTTATGAGTTCTCCACCGAGGCCGTTGAGTTCTATTGAGACCGAGAGAATGATATGGTCTAAGATCAGATCCCAGAGCTCAGTAGGTAGAGACTCCAATCGGGACATTTTTGGCTACAGTTGCATTGTTTTGTTTAGTGGGATTTACGGAAGCAAAATTGAACAAAGTACGTACTGGGGACCGGGTATCAGCGGAGGTCATAGATGAAAAAAGAAAAGCAGATAAAAGATAACAGTCAGAATAAATTAAAGACAAGCCGAGAGGAAAACAGGAGAGGCTGAAAGAGAGTGTTTAGGCCCGAGTCCAAGACTAAATAATCGAAATCCTTGTAAATATTGATTGCGACTACAAGCTGAGAGGCGCTCGAAGCGGGGTTGTACGCCCAATCAACGCCCTCGGTCCTCCTTTCCTTTTGCCCACTTTCGCACGGCAACCCGGATCGGCTCTACCAGACCATATATGGATCTCCTTGATATTCCCTTTTCGGTATCCTCCAAGGTTTTTGCACTGACACCGTGAGATATTGGGGCGAGTGTGCAATTGAACAATTCTGGTTGGTGATAGGCGTTCGCCTGCCGTAGCGCTGCTTTTAGCGGAGGAACGTGCATTTCTGTCCCTAATCGTCACGTTAGCGCAGCGCTACTGCAGCACGGCATCTAGATCCCGTGTGATACATATGATAATGGAGTTGAGATGATCATGGAAACTGCCAGAAGTCTCATGTTCCATCGAGGCCACTGCGAGTTGAGATTGCTTGGTAAGTGACGCGTCGTATGTCATGAGATCGAAAGGGCTGTTATAGCAGAGTCACTCTGAGCAAGCGCTACTTTCGTAAAAGAAGCTGGGTTCAAATCTCATGCTAGTCTCACAATCGAATTGCTCGATTGCCATGAGTGGGCATCTGTCTGTATCAAGATGTCCATATCCACAGACCTGTCAAGCAAAAAAGACAGAAGACAGAAGGCATGGGAACAGAAAGAGAGATAGATCAAGGATGGTTCTGAAAAGTATTACAAATTAGAAGACAAGGAAGAGAAGTAAAACCTCTTTCAATAGCACTTAAGAATACGAATACTGCATACCCAGGTACGTAGCCACGCTTTATATACTTCTTATTCGAGACCATATTCATTACCTACGCTTAAGTTTACCTTGACTTTACGTAATGTCATATATTTGCTTGTTTGTTCCCAAGTATCCAACATTACTTGTTCATTTCTATTTCCTTTCCCTTCTTTCCTTTCATCCCCCAAGATCCCCGTTCACGGAAAACAAAAGACGAAGTGCCGCGTTTCTAATAACGTACGGATCAACAATACACTCATACTTGAACCCAGCCACATGGAAAATAATTTGTAGAATTGAGGTCTTATCTCTCAATGTATATGCATTTTTGGCCAATCTGTATTGTATCTACCTGTCTGTTTATAAATTCGTATCCGTGATAATTAAAGGAGCACGCCACCTGGGCACCTGATTTGTCGTATATGCTTATATGTTGAACCGAAACCTGCAAATGCAAAGAAACAAAACCAAAACGATGAAGATAAAAAGTAAAGAAGGACAAAAATAAGGAGAAAAATGGAAAGTGGAAGAAGAAGAGGAGAGAAGAAAAAAAAAACAAATAACAATCCGTAAATGCAAAATTCATCAAACAACCTGGCTCCGCCAGCTACTCACTTTCGAGCCCGCACGACTGCCCTCAGCCTTGATAGTGCGCTGGGAAGCCCGCGACACCTGGCTCACGCTATCAGTCGGCTTCACCACATCTTCAAATTTAGACTTGGAGGAGTGCCTCGATGCCTTGGAGTGTTTGGAGTGGTGGGAGTGCGAGGAGCGTGCGGAGCGACTACCAATTTGGCTGATAGAGTCATCGGGTGTGACGTGCGAGTTCACATCGAGATCAATCACACTGTCCGGAAGTGGGACATCGCGAGCCGACAAGTGTGACTTGCCTTGATGGCTAGGAGTGGCGGAGTAGTAGGTCGCATTGGAACCCGCCGGCAGGGGAATGTTCCGTGCAGAGCGAGTGGAAGAGGCGACACTGCCCGCGCCATCCTTGTCCTTGACGGATTTTGTGGTCGAGTAGTGGTGGCTGTTGTTGCTATGGGTGGAGGCTGCTCGGTAGACTTTCGAGCTATTACTGTGGGTGGAATATGTATCTCTGTCATCGTTGCTGTGTCGTCGTTGGCTGTTGGCTTGGGGTGCTTTCAGAGTGGAGACGGAGTGCACGCTGCCTGCGCGTGGTTTGTCCGCTGCGTAGCTGCTGATGAAGGTGCTGGGGCTGTATTCTTCACGCCAGCCGTTCATGGAGGCTGGGTATTCGATGGCTCGAACGGGTGCGTTCTCAGGGATGCTGAAGACGCTGCCGTCCGACGCGCGGCGGCCATGGTCATCAAAGAACTCCGTGCCTTCGTAGATAGTACTGGCACGTGGGTTCTTAGAGGTATGACTGCGACTGAGTGTAGACCGAGGGGCTGACGCTGCCGTGTAGACACTGCGCGTGGGAGGCGCTTCGAGGGCCCGATACCTCTGTTCTTCCGGATGGGATACTTGGGATGGGGGTCCCATCAGCTGATGATGCTCCGGCGTGTAATGCGGCGCAGATTTGCTGGTTTTCTCATCGGAAGAGGACTGTGAGTCACCCATGACCATCGCGTAAGCGATTGCCGCGCCCGCTGCGGCACCAATGAGAGTTCCAACAATGGTCTTTGCTGCTTTACTGCCGTCATCGACCGGCTTCTGGACAGTCTGCACCGTATGCACCGTGTAGGTTTGGGGTGCCGGTTGCGCACGAGACACAGCGGATGGCGCAGAACGCTCACGCTCATATGTTGACTCGCGCTCATAAGCTGTAGGCGCAACGGAGGTTGGCGCAACACTCGTAGGCGCTCTGGAGACTGCACGAGACTTGGCCTCCGATCTGGGAGGAGCGATGCTCTCGGACCTCAGCGAAGTAGCTCTGCTACTTTTGGAGACCTTCGAAACCACCGACCCATTCTCCAGCAAGGCAATCGTCGGTCCTCCAGCCTCCGATGCAACCACTGAGGCACCCGATCGGTACACAGCCTCGATGCTGTTGCCATCCAAGTCGATAACCGCGGCACTGAAAAACGCCGACTGGGAATCCCGGCATTTGGGCTCAAAGTGAATCGTACCACCGGCCTTTAAAGCGGAGATGAAGAATGAGCCCACGGCGTCTCTGGAAGGAGCTGGGAATGCAACATGGACGGCGCTATTTGCACCTCTGTCGAAGTATATATTAGTACCTTATTCCTTCAGATTGTATATACCCCATCACATACCCTGGCTTCCGCTCGGTGACCCAGAAATCAGCAGGTTCCCCCTGCTTCTGACCGAAGCCTATATAGTCATCATGCCGACCAATAAATTGGTATCCGAGAGGTTGCAGACATGATAGGAAAAATGAGGTAGAGGTTGGGAGGTGTGAGACGGTCAAGGTCAGGTGCGAGACGGGCATATCGAAGGAGCAAGGAGGTTAACGTGCCAGTTCGTCCCGACACACAAACCCAGGAAAATGGTTGGATAAGAAGTTTGGAGTTCAAGACACAAGGTCATGGAGAATGGAAAGGGACAGGGGTCGTGAGAATGGGATATTATATACGGTGAGGGAACCGGATTCTATAACAAGAAGCACTATGAGACCGAGGACCCGACATGCTGCCAGGGACCGAATAAGGACAGGGAAAGACAAGCGTTAGCCAATCCTAAGCAACCGAACAAAAGAACGGAAAAAAAGCTGCCCAAGCTGGTCATCCGGTAGTCCACCGCAGTCGTCCGAGAAAGGCAAGCCCCAGCCTGACTGGGCCCCCCACTGGTGATGCGTGGTCCGATACGATAGTATGGTGGGACCCTGGGAAACACCTGGACATGCCCATCCATTGTATTCCGTGGTGAGTTCAAGCGATCTGCACGTCGGTAAAAGGTGAAACGCCCCAATACCATTTGGACGTGGCACGCGGCCATGGAGGGTCCTGGGTTGGAAACGGGAATTGGCTTTTCCCACAGGAACCCCGTCGAATCATGTCCCGGGCACGATTCGGTGAGGATAAGTATGGAGATGAAAGTGGATTCAAAGTAGGGAGCTTAACCACTCCCGCCGCTCGGATCCCAAGAGGGCCAGGTCATCGCGGGGACCCAGTGTGGATCGCTGCAGTGGCGGGGCGGGTATTGGAATGAGAAGTTCTGTTCTGCTGGACAAATGGTGAGGCAGCGCTAGTGGAGAACAGGGCGGACTTGGCCCTTTGGAATCTTCTTTCCACCTTTGGGGGCTTAGGCTTCTTCCTGACCGCCACTATTCATAGAAGCTTTCCGACAAGAACCAGAATCCCTATTCGCAAATGACTCACCTGATAATTAGGACAATTCATCACAACGTAAGATTGATTCAAGATAGGAGAACACCAAAATGCAGGCGTGCGGGTCTGGGCAGGCGTGCAGGTTTAGTGGGATTTACGTGAATCCATGACTCCGATTAGCCTAGAGGATTTTAGTCTTGCAGAAAGTGAGGCGTCTGCCACGTCGAGAAAACCCAACCAAAGAACTCTGTCTTAATCACGCAAATACGTTATACGAATGAACCATCCTACGCATCTATGAAAAACGACTATTCAACCGAAAATTAGATTCGATACCGTATGTGCCTGATCTCAGGAGCACAAGGCTCCTGATCTATGTATGCTAGTTCACTTTTCTGGTCTCATCGCCACAGTCAAACGGAGGGGGACCTGTGGATGGAAGAGCTCTGGATCAGGACTGAATGGCGAAAAGGAACCAAATGCCATCCAGTCCGAGTGTCTCTTGGGTCGAAAGGACGGAGAAATTCCCGTCTGGTCAAAATTCCCAGCATCCCAACGCAAAATCATCCATGGACCTGTAGGCCCCCAAGGAAATTAGATTGCTGGTCAGATGCCCCTTGCAAAGGGTTCTCCAAAAACACAATAATGAGAGTCAAGTAGGAGCTTCAGATCCCCCAGTTGAATTTCAAACCAGGAGATCCGAAACCATCCCGTCACCTCGGACCGGTCCAAAACCCCGCAAAAGAAATTCGTGGCTTCATGGCAAGCTTCAACAGCATTGCCGAGCAGATGGCGAAAAAGCACGCACGCAGGAGGCGCACGTGAAATTCCAGCCAGATTCGCTCACAGAATGTCCCACACCTCCTCGGCTGCGTGGCAGAACTTGCTACAGGCCACACTGGCCGAGAGACTGTAGTTACTGATACTGATCGTGTCATCCTTGAACGAATCGGCAAAGTCATCGTGACCCTTGGCCATAGCACCGACAAAGATAGCAACGCTCTCCTTGGGGCCAATCGACTCAATGTAGTCCCGGGTCCGCACAACGGGGGCCTCGAAACTGAGAGTCACCTTGCGGCAATTGGGAGGCAGGTGATCGGTGATGGGGTTCTTGATCACCTTCAACAGCTTCTCTTGTGAGTTGGTGGAGCGGATGGACAGACGGTGGAGCAGCTGGACCATCAGACCCGCAAAACGCTTGAAGGTTCGGGGAATGCGGACGGAGGGGTTGACTTCGATCAGAACACCCTTGGCAGTGTGGATGAAAATTTGCAGGCGGCCAGCCTTGTTGACGGGAGAGTCGAGGAGAGTAAGAAGACACTGGGAGAAAAAAAAAACTTGTAAGCTAAAACATGTACACTTAGATCACCCGTTTCTCTCGTACCTGGTGGGTGATATCCGGTCGAGCTTCGCTAATATCACGGTTCATCTTGCGCATGATACCAATGTGCTCATCGCTGTTGAGGAGCGAGTATTTCTCGTCCTTGGCTCCTGCGCGGCCACTTGAGGCGCGGTAGGTTTCGAGACTGGCATTGGAGAGAATGACAATCAAACGCTGGGTGTCCTTGTCATGGGCGGGAATGGGGGTATGCTGTTCCGCAACAAGCTGAGGCAGCTCTGGCGGGGGGCAAGATTGGGTTCCTACCAGCTGGTCAGTCATTGCTGGAGATATTTGCGGGGTCGGCCACGAATGAGAGTAGGCAAGGGACAAAGAAGTGTCAAAGTGTTGGGTCGCACAATAACGTCACTGAAGGGCAACTGCATTGGATCGGCAAAATACCTTGCTCAGGTTCTGCCATTGGAAGGTCCAAGGGTCCAATCCAATGACCCCAAACTAGCCAGGAAAAAAAAGAGAAAAAAACAAGAGAGATCAAAACTTTTCAGAGATACATACTCGCACGCTTCCGCTTGCCTGCTGTTTGAGAGCTATCAGACATGGTTGAGGATAATTGGGGGGATAAAAGATTGGAGAGAAGAGAAGAGATTTTTTGAAAAGAGTTGCTGTCTCTCTCCGCCAAACGGTTCCGCGGGACAAAAGCGGGACCAAAAACTCAACGTTCGGATTCAATTCTATACTTTCTCGCTCAATGTCGGTTTTTTTTGTGGTCTGAAGATAGACTGGAGGACTGGTCATTTGAGGGAAAGTATTGCAGGAATCATGCGTGTTAAATAATCGGAGAGTTTTGTAGTAAGCTGCAATGTACCGAATCAATACCGATCTCGGGGTTTCTTTCCAGTCCTCTGACTACTCGGACTCCGGCCGCGAGCTTATCCTGCACGATGTTGCAGTGGATTCGCAGATTCCCGCTCTTGATGGTATATGCGAGATCCGAGAGTAGAACACATGTGCAATACGGACTCTTGGAGGTACTCTTATACGGGCAACTGATGATCCAGACCCTATGTGCGTGCGCAAATGTGTAACCGGTATGCATCTGATTTCCGAATCCAGTGCAGCTTACAGGAGTTGGGCAAGTCATGCATCGAATGCCATCGAAACCCACCTTGAGTAGCGCCCGGGCGATCCTTATGGGGCCAAATCCCGTGGCACGACGTTCACTATTCTAGGCGCATGAACGTTAACAACGCAAGCAGATCTCCCAGTGATTTCTAATTTGGCTTGTGCCAGACGTCCCTGGACTTGAACTTTGCCACGGAGTTGAACCGTACAGGATGACATGAACTCTGTGATACCAGCCCTGCGCCATGAAATCCGGGGGGAAGGTGAGTCCTCCTCTTCTATTGGATGAAGCCGCAGATTGCATTTCGTAACCGGCAGCGACGACACCTGGGAGTTCAACCTCCAATCAAGCTTGATCACTCCATATCCGCGACGGGCAATGGCCCAATCAGCGGAAGTCACCTCTTTCTCCTAGCCTCCCCGATCTGCCGTGGAAATAAAAGGGAAGATGCAGTCTGTTGATCGTTATCCCACTTTGACAGCGGGGTGAAGTTGGGGCCTGGCGCCTTACTCATTCGAATAGTAAGGTGGTTGAGAAAAGAGCCTCGTGTAGGCTCCAACGTGTTATTGGGGCGAGATCATCAATTAAATCTCACGCTGTTGGCCTTGGGCCCCATGGTGATTGGTTCAATAGTTGTGTTGGAAAATAGCTGATCCCTGATTGACTGTGCTTAACAGAGCAGAAAGGGGGAGAAAGAGCTCGTCCCACCAGACATACCAGGATGCCAGGATACCAGCCATTCAGGAATTCCGGGTATTAGGTAGCAATAGAATCATTCGTCTTCTATTCTCTTTTCGTTTTGCTTTTTTTTTTTTTCTTTTCTATTCTTTCTGGGATTATCTCATCCCCGTTGTAATACTCAGTGGCGATTTTTGACTGGAGACCTTATTAAACCTAAGCTCTCCACATTCCAGCTACGCCTTAATAATTCTTACAACGTCCTGAAACAAAGATTATCTTCCCAGTTTCCCCCAGCTTTCCCAGCTTTCCCAGCTTCGTCAAAACTTTGACGGCGTCGGTAAGGGATAAGAAAAGTGAGTGATTCAATCCTGGACACTAAACAATATGACCTAAACCAGTTAGCGCCACGCGTGCAGTGGAACCGGACGATCCGTAAATTGCAAGAAAACCCCCGTGTCAGGGAATAAACATCTTCTCCCCCACCATATTTCTATAGATCTCCAGGGAGATGCCGTGGACAGTCACCAATTCATTTAAGCGGTACGTTCATCCTCTTTCTCAACGCATTCTCCGCCCCCACTAATCTTCCCCTCCAGAGGCCTGATGAAAACATACGGAAGACCGACATGGCGCGTCTATGACGATGAACGAGCCGCGAAAAAAAGACGCGTCCAAGATGAGTCCGACGAGGCCGAAACCAATCTTCAATACGCGATTCGCGAGTCCTCCGCGGCCGTGTTATCCAGCCCATCGCGCCGGAATTCCGTCGTAATATCTGAAGGTACTGTGGACGACATTGACGACCTGACCACGCCGCCCTCATCGCCACCACCACGCCTGACCCCTCCGCCCGCGAACACGCGCAAGCCAACTTTTGCTTTCTTAAAGCGCAAACATAAGGATGTGACGACTGGGTCCCCCCTGACCGAGGTCAACTCCAATAGTCTGCGCTCCTCTGCGGATCCACCGAAGCAGAAGGCGCAGAAGCCTCAGGCACCGTTGCGCCAAATGCAGATTGATTTGGGGAACGAGGTGCGGAAGACGTGTGCGACGTGTGGGATGGAATATGTTCCCTCCAACACGGAGGATGCGGCGCTACATAAAAAGTTCCACGAGATGAATTCCACCGGGGTCGATCTGGGCAAGGCATTTATGCGCGCAAATGCGTCTCGCTGGGTTTACGAAGCGACACGATTTGAGGAGGGCTACGTGGTGATTGTGGACCGCAAAGCATCACCCAGTGCGAAGAACCAAGCGAAGAAGGTGCTCGAGGTCGTGAATAAAGAGTTGTCATCTCCAGAGATTGACGAGGAAGTGCTCTGGAGCCAGACGGAGGCCCCCGAGCATCGGAAGGACCAGAATGAAGAGGAAAAGGTCGACCGATACCGGGTTTTCCTGCATATGAAGGACAGCCGATGTGTGGGACTTTGTCTAACAGAGCGGATCTGGGAATCACAACCCGTGATTCTTGGGGAACAGAACGGTACCAACAGCTCATCAGTATCAGTGAAAGATGAACGACATCCGGCTATTGTTGGCGTCTCTCGCATTTGGACCTCTGGAGCATCGCGGAGAATGGGCATTGCGCTCGACCTGCTGGACTGTGTGGTTAGCAACTACATATATGGCATGGAGATCTCTAAGGATCAGATTGCTTTCAGTCAACCCACCGAGAGTGGAAAAAGACTGGCCTCCAAATTCTTCGAAGAGGAGCAGACATGGCATGTCTATAACGAGCGGTGATGAACTGAACAGAAGTACGCGGTGGTTCTATTGTTTCTTTTTTTTCTTTCTTTTTTTTGTCTCTGTTAAATCAAGCACAGGGGATCGGGGATTCTGGGATCGGCTGGGAGGTTTTTATTCTTTATCTGAAATCGGGCTTTGTTGATTCTTTATGCCCCATGCATTGTACCATATAGCATTCTTTTTCTTTGTTTGATGTGATCTAGATCATTCGTTTCTGTCACCCCGAAAAGACTTAAATTTTTTATGTTTCCTATTGGCTTCACATCATTGAAAACCCCTGTAGTTTATTGGACTTGCGACCGCAGCCTCTCGGGGAGGCCGGACGCTTCGATCGGAAAGCGGCGCGTAAGGACCAAGAAGCTCGGCGGGGGACTTTCTCCCCTCTTCCATCTTCTAGGACGAAAGCCCTCACCATAAATCGTCGCGATGTCTGCTTTCAATCCCTTTCGTAGGAATCTGGATGGTAAGTGTCTCTCCCCGATCATGCCTTCCCAATGATGCCTCATGGATGCGTTCCCGCCACTTCCCGATAAGACACGGCCCAACAGGCACCCCTCAGTCCACCCCTCAACGACTTTCATTTAGCTAACAAGGATGTGATACAGGCGGCGCTGCCACGGCGATGGGTTCGACGGCTCAATCTACGAATAATATGGCCTCAAGCCTGACTTCCAGCCCTGCCCAGCCGATTCCCTCGGTGCCTGCTTTCCCCAGAAAGTCATCGTTGTCGTTGGAGATCGAAGAGGATGACTCGACCTCCTCAGATGAACAAACAACAGACCCGTTCAATCCGGATTCCTCGGTCAGCGATACAGAAGACGATGATAATATGCAGAGCTCCAAGAGCCCAGCTCCCGGTGATCGTCCACAACATCCCCAACATTCGTTTGGGTCTGCTCCACATCAAGCTCCATCCACGGACGGATCGGCCACACCCCCATCAGAAGGTCCATTGACCACAAATGAAAACAATGAGCGCTCAAAAGCCAGCTCGACAACATCTAGCACCGATCAAGATATCCCTTCAGCGCTGAATCAGTCGGCTGGGGGATCTGAATATAAACAAAGCACAAGTCCTACCACTCGGACTAATAGAGACAAAAAGCCACCGCCGCCGCCAAAGAGCCATCATGGTAAACGGATCAATACTACAACCAAACTACCATCGTCCCCGTCGGCACCTTCTCGATCAAATTATCCTCCATCATTTCATTCCACGTCGCCAGAGAGCTTGACCACTTCCCGAACAGCAGTCACCCCCAATGCCAGCTCGGGCCTACCACCAGTTCCCGATTACTTCACTATCCAATCACAAAGCCAAGCGGCAACAGGTTCAAATGAATCACTTTCGCGCAGTGGCTCTCAGCATAAGCGTGCGCCAGCCCCACCTCTCAGCCGACGGCAAAGCCAAATGCGGTCCAAGTCCACTGAGTCCAAATCGAGTACCAGTCGATTGACCATGTCCTCGCGGGAATCTGAGGGCAACGATAGCTCCCAGCCACCGAGTCCTGGTCCATCAAATCTGTCGGCGTCGTCTTTCTCGAAAGATCGTAATCGCATGAGCATGCCTCCGTCATCCTCGGCATTCTCTGGCGACCTTCGTGGTGCATTTCCTTCAGCGGGAGCTGGCCATCTATCACCTTCTACTAACTCCCAATCATCCCAGCCTGGGCGACGAGCCTCCTCATATGGCAATTTAGCCAGCGGATCCTCCGTGGCACCGCCACCGCCGCCTCCCCCTCGACGGGCGCGGGATGGTGCCCGTAACACCGAAGGGAGGCCTGTGTCACAAATTATTACTACAGAGGAGCCGCTGCCTCAGCCGTCTAATGCGCTTGATATATTGGCCGATCTTTCACGATTACAGAAAGAGGTGGATGACCTTCGTGGACAATATGAGAGTCGCAAGGCCAGCGAGTAAAGAAAGACTTTATTCCTTTGATTTTTGTTTTGTTTTAATTGATCACTGTGGCAATAAGCGGATGTGAGCTCAGCTGTATGAATGTATGAAATATATCCATTGTTTTTCTTTCTTACATAAAATCTGGGATCCCGCGATGAGATTGGATGATCGGAGTGGGCATGACGTCGTAAAAAGAAAATGTTCCGCTCCAACAGTTCCACCCGAACTGTACCTCCCCGCAATTCTTTCTCATCATCACTTATTTCATCTTTCTCTCTCCTACTTTCCCTTCCTCTCTACACTGCTACTAACTCACCTCAGCTTGATTACTCTTTCGATCTCGACCATTTGAATCCATTGTACTGACATTGCATCTTGACACAATGTCGACTCCAACCCTCATCAACCTACCACCTCCTCCTTCGGATCCCGTCACTCCAGACATGGGACCGTAAGCTTTCTCTTTCCCTCCGTCGTTCAATGTATATGGCGCAATAGGACATGGATGACTGACCTTGGGTGGGGTGGTTTGTTGGTGGGCAGAGGCACTCCCAATTCCGGCACGACTTCCCTGTCTGCGCTGTCAACCACCGCCATCAAAGACGGTCACCAGGGCCAACCCTTCCCTCACGGCCGGCACGCTCACCATTCTTCCACCGCTTCTATCTCCTCTACGAACACCCTGGATGCGGAGCGCGCAGATCGCATCTCTCGCCTGGCCGGTTTGGAACGAGTCGCAACCGCACGAGCTGGCGGTCAATCACCGTCCAATGCCGCATTTCCTTTGTCCCACACACCCGGTTACTTTGACGGCCTTGCAGCACTCAAGGAGCGGAGCACCGTGGGCAGTGCGAGCGCTACAGGAAGTATCGGTGGTCACACGACCTGGGCGAGTGGAAGTGAGGCGTTTGATGCCGATAAGATGAGCGAAGGCCCGGACGATAGCGTTTCCAGTGTAGGCAATATCAGTGATGAAGGCAATGCCAGTCTCGTGGGCTTTGGTGAGGGTGCCAACAGCACTATCAGCGGCCCGACCTCACGCCCAGCTGGTATGAATCGCTTGTCCTCTGGTGGCGCCAGCGCCCGCCCGACTTCTATGGGAAGCTCGAACGTCAACCGCCCGAACCCGATAGCTTCTTATGTCCAGCAACAGCAGCAACAACACCAGCAGCAGCAGCAGCAGCAGTACTCTGCCGGGGATAGCCCTATGGTGTCATCTTCTCCCGCTGGCTCGAACACCCCAGAGCCGCTCTCGGAAGATGCGCGTATGATTGACGGCATGACCTTTGACCAGGATGTGGTCGATACCACTGCTCGTACGCCTCGGATTGTTACGCCGTCCAACCAGGGCGCCAGCGGCTTTGGGACCCCGACCCGTGAATAGACTTCTTGGGAGTCAATGGATTAGCTTGAAAGAGATTTAGGATGGAGTTCTTCTTATGGATAGTTTTCGCTTTTTTTTTCATGTTTCCTGGGGATTGATGGGCTGGTCATTTTCTCTAGTTTCCTTTTTCCCCTGGTCTGTGTTCTTCACGCGGAACCCATGTATTTCTATGCGGGGGCGGATTCTTGGGAAAAAGGGCAACAAACACCACCAACGGTGGACACGACAGATACGGATATTGATATGAGAACTCTATTTGTTTGTTATTTTCCAGCGCAGTTAAAGCAATGTTCTACATTCCCTTTTTGATCTTACGACTAGGGCCTGTAATTTTAGGTACTACGTGGCGTTAAAAAGGAAAACCTGCTCTTTGATTCGTTTCGCATGACTAAGACTGCATTGCAAGTAAGTTATGGAAAGGCGCTTCAGGCTTCTTTAATAAGGAAATCATGAAAACTAGACTCAGGGATATATACGTAAAACTAAGTATAGAAGATCGGTGGTAGTTTTAATGATGGCTAGGCCCGGGGGCCTAAATGACGGCATGCCGCCTTCGAGTTGATGCCGCTGCGAAACACCCGAATTTTCTCTTTGACTCTTCATCCTCCCCACCTCCACCCCTCAAACTCCACCACTCCTCCCCCTCGGCTCTGCCCTCCCTGCTGGCATTGACTTGTCTAGCATAGAACATTAAGAAGATTCCGACAAGATCATTTCGCTGCTCCTCCCGCATTCCAATTGAGTTTTATCTCAAGATTTAAACCTGACATTCATCGGCTCGCCACATCGACTGATTCCATCAGCCTTATCTGAAGTTCTTTGCCTCGAGCTTTCCCATCGATCGCTCGGTTATCTCAGTTTCACCGTTTGCCTTCAAGACTCATCGCAGTCGCGCTTTCGTCAAGTCGCGACTAATAGACTCGTCTGAATTGGTTGGACTGTGTCTTGTTTGCTTTGAACTTGTGCATACATTCTTCCCACCGGGAAACAGGAAATTGAGGACATTCACACTGCTTCCTATTCTTAAGGGACCAGATACTTTGAAGAACTCCTTTCGTGGCAACTTCACTCCAGCTACTTGAATTCAAGATGGCGGCTCCTACGCAGCTAGCTTGTGTGTTTACCCTTCTCCTGGGACCAAAAGTCGAAACGCCTCAAATGACACGTGCTGACTTGCCTTTTAGACCGCACTCTCAAGGGGATTGGCATTATGGATGCCGCCCCTACTTATGAGCCTTTGTCGGGCTTTGAAAGGTAAAATATTGGCCTAAGAAATAACGAAAGCTGGAAATATCGCTAACTTGGCTTTTGCAGACCTGAGGGGAACCTCCGCTGCGGTGCATACTCGCCGTGTGGCCGTTATTACGCATGGGCGTCTCCCGAAAGGTAAGTTTGTGTGGATGTCTGAAACATTGTCTTGGATTCTAATTGATTTCGGTCTACAGGGTCACCATTGTTGACGCTCGTGCCGGCAACGTTGTCTCCACGATCAACGCCGAGAACGTGTTCGAGTTGGGCTTCTCGCCCCTCGGTACCTACCTGATCACTTGGCAACGGCCAACCAAGGACGCCAACGGAGATGCTACCAAGAATCTCAAGGTGTGGCGCGCGGTTGAGAGCGGTGATGAAAACACCATCGTTGGCCAGTATGTCCAGAAGTCGCAGACAGGCTGGAACCTGCAATACACCCCCGACGAGAAGCTATGTGCCCGCGTCGTGACCAACGAGGTCCAGTTCTACCAGAGTGATAACTTGTCGACCGTTTGGAATAAGCTGCGCGTGGAGGGGGTGGCGGATTTTGCGCTCTCCCCAGGACAGACCCATTCGATTGCGGTGTTTATTCCTGAGCGTAAGGGCCAGCCCGCTCAAGTCAAGGTGTACATTGTGCCGCAATTCAATGCGCCGGTCTCGCAGAAGAGCTTCTTCAAGGGTGACAAGGTTCAGCTAAAGTGGAATGCATCCGGCACAACTGTTATCGTGCTGGCGCAGACCGAGGTGGACCGCACCGGTAAGAGCTACTACGGCGAGACCACCTTGTACTTGCTCAGTGCCAATGGTGCTTTTGACTCTCGAATTGATCTTGGTATGTATTCAGAATATATCGAAAGAGCTATGCAGATAGGCTAACATCCCATCAGACAAGGAAGGACCCATTCATGATGTGAGCTGGAACCCCAACTCCAAGGAGTTCGGTGTCGTCTATGGCTACATGCCCGCGAAGACCACCATCTTCAACATGCGCGGTGTTCCCAAGCACCATTTCCCCTTGAGCCCGCGTAATACCATCTTGTTCTCTCCCCACGGCCGATTTGTTCTGGTTGCCGGCTTCGGTAACCTCGCGGGTCAGATGGATCTCTACGACTTGGACAAGAACTATCACAAGATTACTACCGTCGAGGCTTCTAACGCCAGTGTGTGTTCCTGGTCACCGGACGGACAATTCATCCTGACTGCCACCACCAGCCCCCGTCTGCGTGTTGACAATGGTGTCCGTTTGTGGCACGTCAGCGGTGGCCTCATGTACAACGAGGAAATGACTGAGCTGTATGACATCGACTGGCGTCCCCAGGACTCTGCCCAGATCCCGCTGGGTGACCCTTTCACAAAGCTGCCTGTGCCTCACCCATCTGCTACGGCCTACCTGGCCACTCGCAAGGCTCCCGTGAAACCCGCTGGTGCTTACCGTCCCCCGGGTGCCCGTGGCCAGCTGACCCCTCTCGCCTTCAAGCGTGAGGACCAAGGTGGTGCCGCTTTTGTTCGGGATGGTGTTCCCGGCGCTAGCATGAACGGCTTCGGCAAGCCTCGCCGCCGTGAGGTCCCCGGTGCCGATGCTACTGAGGAGTACCTGCCCCCCGGTGCCGCCCCTGGTGGTGGTGTTCCCCTCCCGCCCGGTGGAGACGAGAAGCTGTCCAAGTCCGCCGCCAAGAACAAGAAGAAGCGTGAGGCCGCCAAGAAGGCCCGTGAAGACGGTGTCCCCGACAACCAGCCTCCCCCCAACGCCCCCACTGGCCCCAGCCCAGACCGCAACCGCAACCGCAAGAACAACGGCCCCTCTGCCAATGGTAACGGTACTGTTAAGCAGGCTGCTGCTCCTGCTGCTGCTCCAGCCCCCGCTCCAGAGCCCGAGGATGTCAACCCCTCCGCTCAGGACAAGAAGGTCCGCGGTCTTCTGAAGAAGATTCGCGCTATCGATGAGTTGAAGATGCGTCTTGCCGGTGGCGAGAAGCTAGAGGACACTCAGATGAAGAAGATCCAGACCGAGGATGTGGTCCGCAAGGAGCTGGCCGCTGTTGGATACGATGGATAAACATTGCATCCCCTCGATACAGCCCCTATGTACTGAATAACCGATATGTCGTGATTATTTAGATTTTCTCACAAACGATGCAGATAGGTCGGAGCAGAGGGAGCCGTTCTAAAGCTTGCATGAGTCGAGATTGTATACACGTATATATGGTGCATTTACCTCCCGTATATTCTTTATTTGCCAAATAGGCAAAGCACAAATGAGACCCAGATTGCATTGACTCGTGTATCCTATGTAGTCATGACCGTGGTCATCAAATCTATAACAGGATAATCGCTCGATGGCGGAATATATGAAGCCGAAGGAATGAAGGAATACAGGAACAAGAAACTTGAGAAAATTAAGATCACAGAACCTTGTTTGAATACTCATCTTCCCACGAAGCAACTGTCTTGAATCATCTCTTAGGTCTTCACAACGATTCTAAACATCTCATCACAGGAGCAACCGGTGATCTTGTAGCTCATGTTCTATATCGCCTTTGATCGACAATGTGCCCGCGTCAGAATACGCAGTCTCATCTTGAAACGAAGCGAATCGCAGCCATTTCCAAAACCAGGGAACCATGTTCCGAAAATCTAACCTTGAAGGCCCCCAGACCTTGAAATCTCGCCTTGAAAGACGTGGAGAATCTCTTTTTTATGAGCTCTAACGCCTACGAACCACAAAGGCGGGTTTGCCAACATTGGTATATGGTCGATGCTGCGAAGGAAGTGGGCGTTCAGCATGTATGCTTTCACTATATAATCTTCCTTGCTGTCGTTAGGGGTGTTGGGCTAATACTATGGTTCCTGGTAATAGGTCTGGTATACATCTCTCTCCTTCGGTGGAATTGAATCCAATAGAAAGGCAAACTTGATGCAAGGGCACTTGATGACACAGACAATGCTACAAAAGTACATCAGTCAATCCCTCTTGAGGCTATCATATATTCCTGATGGCTAGTAAAAATCTAGATCTGGCCTCAGCTTCACATCTGTCCATGAGTGTCAATACGCAAATGCCTTTCTGCTGGGTGGACTGGCATCCCAGTCCACGGTGCCTCACCTGTTTATCTCCCTCTCGATGGTCCTATGGCACTTATACTCCGGTTTGAGCTCGATGAAGCTACATCCCAGCTCATGATCTGTGCCGGAAAGGAGTATAACAAGAAGGTTGTTGTCTTGAAGGGCCAGACGATCCTGAACTTCGCTGGAGTTGTTAATTTAATTAATAGAACAACGAGTAAGTTCAGATAGAGTTGTTTTCGCCCGAGAAATCGGTTCGATTGAAGACTGAGATGATAAATTCGGAAAGCCCGAAGCATTCTCGGTTCGTGCTGTTGTGGCATGAGGCGATTTTGAGCGGTAATGCCAGCTTTACGCATCACCTTATGGCGGAGTTAATGGGGTGAAAGCTCATGCCGGCTGATGAAGCTATACGGGGGCTTGTGATTGAAAATTCGGATGAAGACTGGCATCATAACTATACTAATAGTGATAAGCACTGAATGGGTCTGAGACATGAATAAACTATGATATTGTATATCATTCGGGTCCACATCTCATATTGGATGTACTAGCTCGGGTGGTCTCGTAGAATAGATCATAAGCGAGGTATTATCAAACTCAATCTGTTAAAGAATTCTGCGTCTGATCATGCAGACTATTATTGTTATTACATATGTCCCATCGGAGCCCTTCCAACACACCACAATCGTTCTGGACTGTATCCCCCTTCTGTGCAACGTGGCTACCAATGTAGGAGCTTGTCCGAAGACAGACTGGCATCCACGAAGTCAGAGAAGAACACAGCGATCCCAGAGACAAATGTGGGCGCCGCGACTTCTGCCGGCTAGGCGAGGATCGCAGAAGAATAAGGCTAGGCCATGGAAAGCCCTGGTTGATGGCGTTCGATATATCGCATCCGATACAGAGCTTATTCACTTCCGAGGAAGGAATTTCAAGGCATGGACCTCGCCTTGCGCTCCACCTTGCAGCGCGAATAAATTAATAAATCTAAGAAGAGAGAGAGAGAGAAGTCCTAGGGTGAGCAGAAGGGGGAAATATCGTGCAAATGAAGAGCCGTTCATGGGTATCATCTATAACTGAATCTGATACCTTGGATCAAGCGAAGATGCGGGTCCGTTTGATAGGGCTGTTCATACCGTTGAGCAGCCGTCCCATTCCCTCCACATCTAGTTCGCCTCGTTGCAACATCATTTGGTCATTCGCTGTAGCTTCTTGCTGTGCACTGTGGGTCGAGTTGCTGTCTTCGGCAGATTCGGTCAGACGCGGCGCAAGGATCATCACTTGGTGTTCCGCAGCGACCAGCACGTCAAATGATTGCCGCTCGGCAGCACGAGAGCGGCGAAGAGGTGCCGGAAGATGGCTAATTGCCGTGCAATTCTCGCCCATTAGGTTCACATCCTGGAATGGGGTCACACGGCATCGGTTGGAGGCATCAAGAGTGCCGGATGCTCGGACAGCGTTACGCCAGAGTGAGATCAAACTTGGGATCATCGCACTCTGCCGACCATGACGGAAGAGAATTGACTCATCCGGAATGGCTTCTTGAGATGAATTCATCTGAAGGACAGATATTTGTCCTCGGAGAGAAGGGGTTAGCTCAGTCATGGACCCCTTCAGAAGGGTATCCTCGCGAACCCGCTTGGTAGATGGTGTCATCGGCGCAAACCGCGGCCGGTTCTCTATCTCAGAATGTGTGTTGGAAAGGGGAGTTGCAATTCGACCGCTGACAGCATAGGCTGTGAGGGACCCTCCAGTTACGCCTTGCACAGTGGTCTGGCGGTGCAACGGGCCCTTCGCAGCCCCGGGGCCAGCACCTTCAATATCCCAAACACCCCATTCGCCATCTACTAGAAGCACCATGACAGCGCGGCCACCCAGTACCCAATCGGCATCAATGATGGTCTTGCGGCGAGGGAGTCCCGTGGGGTTCTGCTCAAAACCAGGATACAGGCTGATTAGCCAGCGACCCTCTGTATCAATGGTCTCGTATTCTTCATTTGTATTCGATGCCCGCCGCGCTGTCTTCGGCCCCTTTTTAACAGAAAAGCAAGAATAAATTTTGACACATCCACTGTGGAATGCTACCAGCAGATGAGAATGGCGAGCCGACGGGTAAGTAGAGGGGTTGAAGACAATGGTTTGAGCTGGTGAGGGCAAAAGCCGCCGTTGAGAGATGAGGTCCTCTTCAATAATGTGATAGAATCCGTTTGACTCTTCGCGAATCGGAAGCCGATGTAACAGAAGCACGCCGGGACCCTCGGCAGAGTGCGTGGCCACAAGAAGGTCCCATTTTCCCGAACCTCCAGCTCTGCTGCGCGAATTCCTGCGTTCTTGGTCATCTTCGGTGTCCTGGCAGGTGAAGGTGAGAGAAACACCGCGAGGAATGTCTTGATGGGTCACGCCTCCATTGATAGTCAAAGATTGGATGTGCCAACTCTGTGGGTCGGTCTGTGTTGGGTGAGGGGGGATAAGAGGCAAAGTAACGACGTGGGTTGAGAAGTCCGAGCAGACTGCCGCTATGACGATGTTGTTCTTCGCAATGGGCGGGAATGGATCCAAAGGTGAGCGTGCTTCTTCAGGAAGAACACGAGGTATAGCCAGATCGAGCACGCGGCTGCCCAAGGGAATGTCGACTTGTCGCAGGATGGATTCGAATGGAAATGCAGGGTCGACTTCGCTCTCCTCCGAGACAAAATCATAACTTGATTCTTCGGGGGCTGGGACTGCTTCGGGGACATCCTCCTCATCGGAGTCAATGATCATGACCGAGTCGCCGTCATTGTTTGCATTGCTCCTGTTCTGTCGTGAAGCTTCAGGCCTTTTCAGCTCTGAGAACTGCCTTCCTCCTCTCCACACAACTTTCAAGCCAGTTTCGTTGCCATAAACAATGATCGAAGAGCCATTAGGAGCTCGGAGAGGATATCCTTTAGCGGCGTGGATGCGATGCGGTAGTCGATAGCTGAATTTTGATCAATCAATTTAGTGACTCTATCCTGATCGTTAGAAAAGCATTGACTCTTACCTCAGTTGCAAGCCATCTTCTCTCTGTCGAACCAACGGTGTCGCGGGAAACGAAGGCATTGCGCTGGTTGCGCTGACGGAGCGCTGTAACTCGGGAGCACAGGCGCCGTGGACGCCGTTAAAGGAACCGTTGAGATCGATCTCAATGAGTTGGGCTCAGAGATAAGTTACTTCAGACAAAATTAGATAGTGAGTAAAGGTTGTGGAGTTTAGAAGTAGAGGTGGTGTGGTTGCGAGGGAAGAGGAAAGTTGTTTTGCTCGGAAGCAAAAGAACTTACGTCGATCCAATCCGCGTTCCTGCGCGTCCTCCACCTTTCGGCATTCAACAATCAACAACGCTCGACAATGCCTTCTGGGCCAAAGATTTCGGCTTAAACTCTTACTTCCCGACCATGGAAAACAGTTCATTCAGGAATCCGGGCCGTCAGATTGTTTATGACGGCGAACCGCCATCGCTACTTTAGTTGAACAAACAGCCCACCATGGCTTCCACTCGCTCGCTCGGTCTCCACGAACCATCCGCCGTCTCCTACTTGGTTACAGAGGGAATCCTGCCTCCTGATCCCTCAAGTGACCTGTATCAATGGACCACATTTGTCGATGAGAGCGGTTTGACGGGCACCGTCGACGACGAGCTTGTATGGACGAAACATTGCGCGGTATGGTCCCGCGCAGGGATGGTGAAGAGAGTCTTTCGAATGGATCCAGAGAAAGAGGAGATTCGACATGCTTTGTTCACGCAATTTACGGCAAGCCATGCCCAAAGGTCTGCAGGCAGCACGGGTTTAAATCGATTCCACACCACCGACATGGGAACAAATACGCGGGGAGGACAATCGAAGCGTGACGGAAAGGACTCAACAGCTGGTAACATAGGGTCAACATTGGATCTCCATGGAGAATCCCATGTAGCTGTGGTTGCTCCCCAGCAGCCCCATAAGAAATTGGAGAGGGCTTTAGTCGTGGTGCTCAAATCACAGGCACATATCTTTTTCATTACGGGAAATAGCCATACCGTCCCTCTTCCATTTGAGGTTGAGTCTGTTTTTGCAACTCCCCGTGGACTCCTATTCCAAAGGAAAATACCAGATAATAGCGCAGAACGCCAACACCAATCGGCACCACCAAATTCATTCATGACCACTTCGCTATTTGACCCTGGTGCGTCACAGTCAGGTACACTGCCTACTCTCACCAAAGACAAAGGGCCAATCTTGAAACTATCATTGCCAACAAGCTCTACATCGTTGCCGAACTCCAATTCAAGCACAGACCTTCCCCGGGTTTTCTCTCTCATTGATCCTCATTCGGAAATGGGTCTAGTTGTTACTTCGCAATCCTCTCGCTGGTTGCAAAGCAGCGTCAGCAGTACCAAGAAAAGGCCCTCGGGGCTTGATGTACTAGACCCAGCTGATGAAATTGTGTATATCTCCCCAAAGGATGAGCTCTCGGGTTTGAATCAAGTTCCAGCAAATCCTCTGGTTTTGGTGGTCACGGTGAATGCAACTACTGGGCTCTATACAGTTTGGACTGCTCGATATAGGGACGATGAAAGCAGTGCTTCGATAAAAGACAAAACTCGACGGCAAACGGAAGGGGCTCGGTCCAACAGACGAAGCTCTCATTTCGGTATGACGCCTGGCGCCGCTACTCCAGCTGCACGTCCCAGAGAAAGTTTCGGCCCATGGACTGAGAACTGGAATTCATCTCAAGCGCCTGACTCTAAAAACGGCGGCGAAGAAGACCTGGCCGCGCGAGTTGCGCAGGACTTTGGTGATGTTGGAGTGCCTCTTAAAACTTCCAGGAGAGTCAGCTCATTGCTTGCACGGACTGATCTGGCCACAAGTCAGGACCGCATCACATTCTCAGACCTTGCAACGGGCAGTCAAACCAGCACTATGCACCATGGTGGGCTTAGGCAATCTATGGGAGCCGGCAGCATGCGTGGAAGCTTCGGGTTCAATCCTCGTGGATCAATACCTCCAGCAGCAGGGCCCGTCTACAGCACTGCAGGCAGCTTTGTGGACGCTCCGGTGGATAGGCTACTAGAAGAACTTAACAATGATTTGTTGTCCGAAGGGTTTGAGAATATCGCCCTCCGTGAATCTGCATCGGGTCTGCCCGAAGAGCTTTTACTCACCAAAATAGAGAGTTTCTCTTCCAGATTCTCCGGAAACTTCCATGCCTCGACGCAGCAAGCCTCACCGCATCGCTTAAAGGTCTGCACACTTTCCTCCTCCGATTACGGGAATACACAAAACGGAAACGCCACCTCAGTGGCAGTGTGCATTGTCGACCAAGATTCACACAACATGACCGTTGTCAATTTGCGGGCAGAACGCGTGGCAGTATCAAAGAATCGAAAAGTTGTACCTGCGAACTCTAAGAAAGCCAAGCACTCCGAGAGGCGTCCATTACTGGTCCATGCAACCGGTATCCAGCATGCTCCCAATGTTGGAGACGTCTGCAGCGTCACAGACGGTGAGATCTCACGGATTCTCACGCTGACCGTGTCCGACAATGGACAGCGAGAATTGTCCTTACAGACCCTCTGGGGTAGTCCGACCAGAATCGATGTTCCGATTCCATTGCAGATCTATGAGCCCCATGGAATCTCTGCGAGCAAATTTGTGAGTCGCTCACGGGAAAGCGGTATGAACCGGGTCATGGCCGACCCCAATCTCGTTTTTCTGGGATTCGATCATGCTTGCTCGAAAGGAAAGGTTGACTTGGTCGATACGGAGAAACGACGGCACAGAATTCAAATTCGAATGGAGCCACATAACGATCTTGTAAGAAAAGTTCTCAAGGTCTGCAAGTTCGTTCTTCGTGACTCGGAAAAAGCAGGTGATGGGATGTTAGTAGCCTGGTGGGAGGTCATGAAGTGGCTTCGAGGTAAAGAAGACATCGAAAATGACCTTGAGTGGACTGCTATGGTCGTCGTTTTGTTTTCTTTGGCTGTGCCGTTCATTAAACCGCCACAAGCACAAACCCCTGCAAAGCGAACACGCCGAAAGAAGGGTCTTCTCCGGTCGAGCAGCGGCACTTATGTGGATCTGGAAAGTTGGGAATCTATGCTTGATCTTGAATCGGCATCTTCTGGCGTCGTTGCACCGTGGATGACGAATAGTTCTTGGGGATGGATCGTCGAGCAAGATGCCATCGAAGACATGGCCAGTCGCGATGCAACACGTGCCCCCAAAAGTGAACAACCCAATACGAGTCGATCAACATACCGTCAAAATACTTATCTCAACAGATGTGCCTCGCTAAGCCGTGACTTCCTGCAAAGCCCACAAGGAGCTAGGGCATCCGGCCGAGATGGTTACTTACCTATCGCCGGAGTCTTTCCTGAGAATACCAGGTGCACTGCACTCGGAACCATACTGGTTGGTCTTCATCTCCTTCGAGAGGAACAGAAACTTTCCACCTGCGACACGGAAGAATCTCAACGTCCTCTGGGGCTCCTTGCCCCAGTCTTAGCGCAACTTGGTGGCTGGCTGGGTTGGCAATCTTGGAAATGGACCGAGGATGCTTACTTTGGCACTGAAATGGCTAGCATAGAACGCTGGCAATTTGAAGACTCTCAGATCTCCTCATTGAATGTTCCTGCGGAGCCATTTCCTCCCCCGTCTATATTTGCATTCCTTATTGACGCTGCACGTTCATCCGTCAGCCCATTCCTCACCCTACTTGATGTTGTGACGGCATCAGATCGACTGCCTAGAAAGGGACGAATGTGGCGAGAATGCTTCAACATCACCCCTAGGACATTGGCCCTGACAGGCTTCCTCTCTGATGCTCACAATATTTCAACACCTCTAGAAAAGATCAAGCTTTTACATCGATGGGGCTTGACGAAAAGCATAATTGACACGTTTCCCGAGGGTGTGAGTGCGCCATTGTATGAAGCTGTTATTCAATGCCAGGTTGAAGCCTCGACATCATGGAGTGCAAGTCTTCTAGAACTGATTGACCGGGAGGATCTTTACATGTCGATGAATCCAGTTCATGCCCAAGCTTTTGCGGCACCCCAGCACTCTGTGGTGTCTCATGACGCTGTCCGAGATTACCATTATATCAACACTTCGGCTTTGGAGATTGACACCATCAATGCCTTCGAGGCCTCTGCGGAGGCTGATCGCTTCTCGGTAACTCGTCTGGTCTTCCGGGAAGACAAGCGCTTCTTGGAGGCAGCCCGCCTTCTGAATCAGTCTAAAGCACCAGTTGCTGACTGTGTTCCCGAGCCTGATTGGACGGATTCCGATCTACTCGAGGCCCAGAAAGAACTTGTGCAGCTCGTCTCATTTCGCACACTGTCAACCCCTGCAGGTCGGGCTATGCTCGCCTTCAGTGGTCGACTACCTTTGTTGACAGAGAAATTGCCAATCCCTTCATTCTCGTTGCAGTGCGTGATGAAGCCATCAAATGTCACGGTTAGCGCTGAAAGAACCGCGTTCACTGAGGAAAAGGTATGCTGGGCGTTCTTCCATAATGGTGTGTCAACAGGCCTAGCAATCTCCAAGGCCTCAAAGGGTATTGATACGTCTTGGATCCTGTTCAACAAACCCCAAGACCTCACGAACCGCCACGCTGGATTTTTACTAGCTCTCGGTTTGAATGGCCATCTCAAGTCCTTAGCTAAGTGGGTAGCCTTCAAGTACCTGACTCCAAAACATACCATGACATCAATTGGGCTTCTGCTCGGTCTGTCCGCGTCATACTTGGGTACTATGGACACACTCATCACTCGATTGCTATCGGTTCATGTTACGAGAATGTTGCCTATCGGAGCCGCGGAGCTCAACCTATCGCCTCTTACCCAAACTGCAGGTATAATGGGCATTGGTCTACTTTATTGTGGCTCCCAACACCGGCGCATGAGTGAAGTTATGCTGTCAGAAATTGAGAATGTTGAACAAGACGAACAAGCCAGTACTCACGAAGACTTGCGGGATGAAGGCTATCGACTGGCTGCTGGATTTGCGCTAGGTCTGATCAACTTGGGCAAGGGTAAAGACCTGAGGGGGATGCGTGATATGCACATTGTTGAGCGCCTGCTCGCAATCGCCGTTGGAACTAAGAATGTCGATCTCGCACATGTGCTGGATCGAGCCACCGCGGGCGCGACAGTTGCGCTGGCTGTCATTTTCATGAAAACCAATGATGCAATTTTGGCCAAGAAGATTGATATTCCCGACACCACTGTGCGATTTGACTATGTCAGGCCAGATCTCTTCCTCCTGAGGACACTGGCACGGCATCTCATCATGTGGGATAGCATCATGCCCAATGTTGAGTGGATAAAGGAGAGCCTCCCAAAGATATACCGAAAGCGGTCTCGTCTTACAGCCGTGGGCCATCTTCGAAGTGAAGACATGCCCTTCTTCAACATCATCGCTGGTCTCTGTCTAGCACTCGGGCTTCGCTTTGCTGGCTCCGGTGATACCCAAGCAAGAGATCTGCTGTTGTATTACCTAGATCAGTTCATCCGAATCTCGCGGCTTCCAGCGATGAGTTACGACTCTAAGCTTGCTCGCAATTCTGTTCGCAATTGTCAGGATGTGGTGTCATTGTCTACTGCAGCTGTGATGGCCGGTACGGGCGACTTGGCATTGTTCCGGCGCCTACGCTCTCTTCATGGGAGAATAGATGCCGATACCCCGTATGGCAGTCACATGGCAGCTCATATGGCAATAGGAACGTTGTTCCTTGGTGGAGGTAGCTACACACTCGGCACCTCAGACCTAGCTGTGGCGACGCTTCTCTGCTCCTTCTATCCGATCTTCCCAACTACCGTCCTTGATAACAAATGTCACCTTCAAGCATTCCGCCACCTCTGGGTACTCGCCGCAGAGCCGCGGTGCCTCATTCCCCGCGATCTCGATACTCGACGCCCGATCTCCATTCCTATCACTATTACATCGCACTCCGGCTCCATCAACACCACCAATGCTCCGTGTATCATACCGGACCCTAATGAGATTACACGTATCGAGATCCGTGGCCCAGATCATTGGCCACTTGTTCTGGACTTCAGCCAGGATGGTGCTCTTCGAGACAAATTCCGCCACGGTGATCCTTCCATCTATCTTCGCCGCAAAGCTACATACACCTCCGATGCTTCAACCTCCGTATTTGCATCTACCCTCACCGGTTTAAGCGACGCCCAAGATATTCTGCCTGGATCTGCAATTGTAGCCGCTCCCAATGCAGGCAAGGGCCTACCACCCTCTATCTTGCGCAACCGCAATGCACTGCTTTCTGAGTTCATGTCAGGATCTACGACACCCTCGCAGAGCCCTTGGGATTGGGTTTTCCACCTCCCCTCTCTCCAAGGTCTTGATATCCGCGAACGCTCTCTCGTGCTTCCTTCGTCATTCCCAACACCATCTCCTCGCATTTCCACCGAGCTAATTACCTCCCCTCCTTGGCTCCGGACTTCTGCCGTCGACGCCCGTCTTGCCTTGTCGCACACCGTGCGTAACATCGTACAGTCTGCGCGTGGCCGGGGGGCGGACTCTGATGAGATCCGTGACCGCATCTGGCAGCTTCAGCTTCTATTCGACTGGCTTGATCGTTCGCAGGGTGATGAACAAACTGCTGGTCACCAGCAATCGCAGTCGCAGACACCAGTATCAGGTCTGTGGCTAAGGAAAGACTTTGTTGAAGGAGCTAGGTGGCAGGTCTGGGGAGTTCAGGTTGAAGATGAGGGCGTTGATGCTGGGTCTTGATGAGTTTTGTCATATTTGATGTGTTTCTTGTTTGCTGCTTGGGTTCTTGGCGGCTGGGTATTCTTGTACAATATGACATCCATAGTATGATAATGCACCTATAATTTCATGACTTGTTATGTTTCTCGGTTTGTATGACGTACATCGGTGTTGGATAAAGAATCTAGACATTCTAGTTCTGAATTAACTTTTAATGACTCTTGGTTCCAGTGATTTGCAACAAACCTAGATTGAGTCAAGCCAATTCTCTTTTAATTTAGCACACCCTTTTGGAACTTCTTAAGACAGAATTACGAGAATTCATTCTGAAATAAACATGCAGCGTGATGTGGAAGGTCTAAATGAACAACCGATGGAACATAAGTTGAAACCTGCCATCATCCCCTTCGCAGGCCGCATTGGAGGAAACCAGGACTATGTGGTTGATCGCAGTAATCCATGCAATGCCGAACTTCTGGCGAAGGTGCCTGATGCAGCGCCTTTGAGAACCTTTCGTGATGGATTTGATTTTCGCGGTTTCCTTGATAGTGGCGTTTGGAAATATGCCTTGGTTGAGTGTATTGGTACGATTGATTCCCCTCGTCAATTCCCATCACTAATAGTTGAATAGGTACAATGATGAATACGTTCGTGACAGCATGGATAGGAGTTCATCCGCCATCAGCTCCTGTAGTTCCACATACCCAGGCTGGCATATACGGGACGACAGGTTTTCTTGCACCTTTGATTGGTGGTATCACTAATTGGCTGTTTTTGACGCTTTTCATTTTTACCTTTTCTCCAGCAAGCGGTGGGCATTTGAATCCAACCATTACACTAGGTACCTTTTTTGCACGGCTGATTTCATTTCCTCGCTTGATTCTATACCTGGTCGGACAAACTGCAGGAGGCGCTTTGGCCGGTTTGATTCTCGAAGCTGCATATGGTACAAGAGACTATCTGGTTGGAGGCTGCTTCGTTGATACACAACTTATACCAGTGAAGGATGCCTTTTTGCTGGAATTTGTTTACTGTTTATGTCTAGTCTTTTTGGCCTTTGGTGTTGCTCTTGATCCACGTCAGGCTGGGGTATTTGGACCAGCTCTATCCCCTTGGCTGGTTGGGCTGGTTTTGGGGCTTCTCAGCTGGGGTTCATCTTTCACACGAGCTGGCTATGAAGGAGCAGGTAATGAAACTCCTAGACCGGCATTGTCAGTATACTCACATTTGTCGAAGCTCTGAATCCGGCTCGTTGTTTCGGCGTCTACGTGGGATCTCGGTTCCCGGGTTATCATTGGATTCATTGGGTATGTCTAGCAAGATCTCCCCCACCAGAGCCTCAACTAAGAAACGAAAGGTTGGGTCAATCCTAGCAGCAATTGGACATGGTGTTGTTTATCATATAGTTCCACCCTGGACAACGAAGACTCCACATATCTGAATGAATGTGGACTTCCAAGGTTGGTACAGGCAAGTAGTTAGCTCTTCATACATGTGGGGTAAATTAAGTGGAAATACGAGGTTTCAGTCCCTTTACAATCTGCTACTAAGTATGCTATAAAGCGGGTGACTAGCGACGTCATTACTTTTCCGAACAGCATTACCCGCGAGTCGGATTGGGTTGGAGAAGTCGGAAAGGAGTCTGGCCAGAATTAAATCATGACTGATGATGTCAATGGGGTTTGATGAGAAATGTACGTGTTAATGGTTTTCCTGCGAGAAAGATTAACTCAAGTCTACCTAAACGTCAATAAAGGGTGAGAAGTACTTCAGTGTCTATTTCTTACTACTGTCAACAGCCCATCATGGCCCCTCGAGTAGCGATTGTTTTTGTAAGTTTTGATTATACTCCACAATATTCTTTGCTTGGTATCTGACTCTTCATAGTACTCGCTTTACGGCCATATTCAAAAGTTGGCCGAGGCTGAACTGAAAGGCATTGTCGCCGCTGGCGGCAAGGCAGATATTTACCAGTACGTGCAATCAGCTTCATGAGTTCCATAGCTAAGCCCTACATAGAGTTGCAGAAACCCTGTCAGATGAAGTTCTAGCGAAAATGCACGCGCCGCCCAAATCGTCTTATCCTGTCATTGACACCCACAAACTGCTGGAGTATGACGCGGTGCTTTTCGGAATCCCTACTCGCTACGGTAATTTCCCGGCGCAGTGGAAAGCGTTTTGGGACAGAACTGGTGGCATATGGGCTTCAGGCGGATACTGGGGAAAATACGCTGGTCTGTTCATTTCCACCGGTACCCCAGGCGGTGGTCAAGAGTCCACAGCTATTGCATCTATGAGTACCCTGGCTCATCATGGATTTGTTTATGTTCCATTGGGCTATAAGAATGTCTTTCCGCTACTGGCGAATCTGGATGAAGTTCACGGAGGATCCCCATGGGGAGCTGGTACTTTTGCGGTAAGTCTCATCATGCCCTTGCTGTCTCATCATTTTACTCATGATTGTAGGCTGCGGACGGTTCACGTCAGCCCACTGCTTTAGAGTTGGAAATCGCCGAGCGTCAGGGCAACGATTTCTGGACTACTGTTTTGAAGGTCAATTTCTAAGTGCTATGTGAAGCCTATTCAAAAGTCTTGTCTCAAATGTTGGATTTATAGTTCGTCTGGAACCGAATGCTGATTGAATTATGTACCTGTATAAGAGATGACTGTATAGTCATGTTAAACTTGTTTCTTTTATTGCTTCTGAGGTTTCAGGGTACCAGGTAAGGACGATATAACCAAGGCGTATGCATCATATATATAAGTCAAAAGCCAGAAATATAGACAATGGGAACCCAACACTAGGCCATACTACTGAGACCGAATCTGACCCTCCTTCAGTAACCCACGGTCACCACCACCGCCCTTCTGCCACAGCCACACGCCCTCGACGGCCCACGCGGCAGCACTGGCATGGCGGCCAATGCCCGATGCAACGGGCATATTTGTCTCACTCTGATCATCTTTCTTATCCTGTTCATCCTTACCAGCTCGGGATTTCATCCCCGGGAATTGGCCAGATGCACCCTCCGCTTCAGCTAGCATGCCTGCCACAACACCCTCCTTCTCAATCACATGCCACAATCCCTCTGATAGCACTCCACCGCGATCCCCGAATTCCGCACGACCAAGACGGAACAGGATTCGGCCTATAACTTGCCATGCAACACAACGTTGAGCAGGGAACGTCGAGCGCGATAGGATCGCCAGTTCTGGGATAGTATACCCCGCTGCATGTGGATCTTCGCCGTGATGATGGAGACCAAGGGTAGTCGGGAGAGAAAGAGAGGTATTGGGGGAGATAAGGGTTCCACGCAGTGAGAATCGAATGGCAGAGGGAGAGATAGAGACGGCGCTGCTGGCAGGATGATAAGGAGATGTAGAGTCCGGGTCCTCCTCGTCGGCGGAAGGCGGTTTGAGCCACGAGAGCCCAGAGGGGTCGTGAGCCATTTCGGGAAAGTAGTGGGATTGCATGTCTGCGAGAAATTTGGGGTCGTTGGGGTCGAGTGTTGGCATCGGTTGCTTTGGTTGTGGGAAGTGGAAGGTTTCGATCATAGCCGGGTCTAGGGATGGGCGTTCAGATGCCGGGTGAAGATCTTCTGGAATTTTGGAGGGAGGGAGATCATCGTTGGTTGGGCGCTTTGGAGATGTCTTCTGCGGTTTGGGAGTCGGTTCTGGATCCTTGGGCGTTGGCTCCACGGCAGGAGCCGGGATATCGAACGAAACGGCTTTCTTCGACTTTGATGGCGCCGATTCAGTTGGCATTGGCTCTGCCACTGGCTTTTCTAATTCCTGGCCCATCTGATCATCCTCGTCGATTTTGGCCCGTCGGAGAAAGCGTTCTAATAGACTCGGGTCTATTGAAGCCATCAGTTCTTCTCGTTCGCGCTGAATCTGCGCATCCGACATGGATGCCAAGTGCCTGCTGTTCTCGGCCGCGATCGAAGACTTTTCATCTTGGGTAGTTGGTGTTGAAGTCTCATTTGACTGGACTGGCTCAGCTGCCTGAGCTGCTTGCTCTGATCGTCGTTGCTTGAAGGAGGAAGGCTTGTTGCGACGTCGGTGGGCGGGAAAGCCAGTTGAAGAGGCGGTGGGCGTGGGAGCTGGTGGCGCAGCTGGGGCGGGGTCTCGTTCCTGAATCTCTCCAATGAGGGAGAAAGGAGAAGGAACTGGATTCTCTGGAGGATTGCCCTCGTCTTCCAGGTCTAGGACAAAACGCTCACCTCGGAAAGCCATAGCGCGCAGATGGGAAGAAGTTATGTCAGCGCGGGGCCTGCGGCTCAAAAAAGCTAAAATGTGGATGCACCACACTAACCATATTGGGTTAGCGTGTGAATTGTCCACACTAGTCCCAAAGGGGCGATCCTGCGCAACCAGATTCGGAAGCTTTGATCCAAGCTAGTCAACTTCTAGGGTTTCGCAGCATTTCGTTAGGCAGCATTGCAGCTATGGAATAAAGCCGACTACTCAAGTATTTTACTCAATCTCATTCGAGTCAAGTGCTCTTCGGCCCTTATGCATAATCTCATATACGTAGAAGCCGGAAGTGATAGCATGCTCGGCTCGGCTTCTGGAACTGATCTCCGGTAAGGCAATTTAAGCATATAAACATATTACAATGCACTTTTTAAAAACTTCCATAGCCTTGTTGAACTAATCACCTGGTCAACCTTGTATACACCCGACGGATTATCATATCCCAAGGTTGTGTCACTCGGATGTATAGAGGGGAAAAGGGTCTGTGTGCTCAAGTATATACGCCCCACTGACGCCAGATCCGCGCGCATGGCTTCATTAGTATAGTTATTTCACTGTTTCTAGAAATTTAGAATTTCACTTATGTACTTTCTTATCCCTATTCAAGATTTCGTCTTAAGTTCAATCATAAGTGATTGACTTCTCTTGTGATTGGTTGATCTATGAATGTATTGGATTTCTGATTTCCATACATATCAAACCGGGAAAACTCCCAATTAATGAATCGACCACATCAAAACTCCTTGATCGCTTTCCCCTTTCTTACCCTTTTTTCTTCTTCTCTTTTTCCTTTCCCTCTTCTTCCCTTTCTCTCCTTAACTCTCCATCTTTTCCTTGATCCCCATTTCCCATTGTTTCATGTTCAAGTTAATGTTCATGTTCCCGGTTCCTCGTTTGAGCTATAACACACTTGTCTTATCTGCGTTTCCCCCCCATTCTCTCCCCATTCCCCGTTTTCCTTTTTCCCTTTTCCCTTCCCTTTGGTGATAACCGGTTCCCGACCGTTGAATATCCCCACCATCGGTATCCATCAAGTCCTTATTTATATTTTTCCCATTTTGACCATGTCCACGGATTCTCCCATGGAAGTGACCAAGGATGATGGACCGGCCATCGAAGGCAAACCGGACAACCGACGTGCCTCTGTACGGTCGCGTCGGAAGAAGGGCGACGACACCAACACCACCACCGATACTCCTCCAAAACCTAAAAAAGAACCGAAAGAAAAGCAAACTCGAGCAACTCGTCGCAGAAAGAATTCTAACACTCCTGCCGCCCCTCGCAAGAAAGTCAAGCAGGAGCAATCAGAAGAAGCCACACCCGCGGCGCCAGCACCTGCGACGGCAAACCCTCGGAGTCCTCCCCAATCACAACCAACACAGCAATCACAACCCCAACCTCCACCACAACCTCAATCTCAACCTGTCCTGACGCCTCCGCAACCTGCTCCTGTTGCCTCGGCGCCCCCGGCGCCGACTTATACAAGCCCTCATCCTGCACCGGCCGCAACACCCAACTATGCCTTGTCACAACCATATTCACAACCGTCGCAACCTCCACCCCAGTCGACTCAACCTGCCCCGCAACGCACCAGTGGTCAAAACTTCGATCCGATTAGATCGGCCTTTGACAATCCCTCTCCAGCACCAGCCTATAGTCCGACGCATGCCAAGTCGCCGCAACCTAATTATCGTGCAAGCGCGTCACCCGCGATCTCCAGCATCATTGACCCACCCGCCCAAAATGCCCGCATATACACTCCACTGCCGCGCTCATCCTCGGCTCATGTTTCCGCTGTGTCCTCCCCAGTGCCAACGCCTACATACCCATCATTAGGACCGTCGGCGCTACCCGCGTCGTCACCGTCGCATGGACCGGGCCAGGTACCACCGGTACTACAATCTTCCAGCCATTATAGCACTCCCTACCCGCCATCAGAGCAACGTCCATACCATTCACAACCTCCGACATTAGAGTTGTCACCACCGGCCTTGCAGCAACAGCAGCAGAAACCACAAGTGCAGCCGCAGCCCCAGGTCCAGGCCCAGTCGCAGCCCCAACCCCCGCAACCACAAACCCCAGCGCAGAAGTCTACGCCACAACGACCAACTCAACAAGATGATGCAATGGAGATTGACTCCAAGCCGGTAAAAGAACAGCCGGTGCCGAGTGCAAAAAAAGAAAAGGGTGCTGCGACGGCTTCTTCATCGAAAGCTCCATCTCCCAAGCCGGCGCGCGCAGCCAAGGAAACTCCACAGCTCCCACAAGGATCTGGCTTAATAACCAATGCGCTGTTCGGTATGGGAGGCGACGATTCTTCCAAGTCACCCGACTCGCGCACTACCCCCAACATAGTGGTGCACATCCCGCTGTCAAAGGGCAACCAGATCATCAATTTTGCGCAGCTGGCAGAAGAACAGTACGGCTTTGCTGCCTTGCATCCTCGTTTAGCGGCTCATAAAGATCGCCTCGCCCGTGTGGCTGCCGCTGGTGCTGCATTGGAGCGAAATGAGAAGGGATTGACCGAAAGTGCGGATGAGGACTTGAGTCTCGAGGTAGACCGCGACAGCGACGTGGATGGAGATGTCACCATGAGTGGTCCGGGAACTGGCACTAACGGTGTGACTTCGGACGCCGGGGACGGCAAGAAGAAACGACGCAAGAAGGTCGAAGAGTACGATCGGGATGATCCTTTTGTAGACGACACGGAGATGGCGTGGCAGGAACAGGCTGCGGCCAGTAAAGATGGATTCTTTGTGTACAGTGGCCCACTGGTGCCAGAGGGGGAGAAGGTCCAGGTGGAACGGTCAGTCTCCTTTCAACTTCAATGCTTCAAAAGTGAGTACCATGCTAACATTTCGCAGTGCGGATGGAACGATCAAGCGCGGTCGAGGACGTGGCCGTGGTGCGGGTCGCGGCAGAGCATTGGCTTCACATCCCCATGTCGCCATCGCTGCTGCTGTGCCCATCTCACAGGATACCGGTCTGCCTCTCCGTGGGCCCGGTTCAAGAGGAGGCACCTCGCGCAGGCCACGAGGAGCTAAGAAGGCCGATCAGGGTGATAAGGGCACCCCTGACCGAAATGGCACTACTGCATCTGCGGCCCATGAAGGTCGCGGTGGCCGTGCAGGAGGCGCTGCGGGATCCGGCCGTGGGGGAAGTTCTGCCAGCACTCGTGGTGGTAAATCTAGCTCGATGATGAGCTTGATGGATATGGCATCCTCGCCTTTGTCCAACCCCACTCCGAATATCACCCCTGTCCCGGGCCCGAGTCCTTTGGCTGGACCGGAGTTGGTTATGAAATAGAGATAATGTTTGAGTTGTGTGTTTCCCTTGCGAGTTTCGGGTGTTCATGGAGAATGTTCTACGGGTCTGGTGTCTGAAGGTTTTGGCGTCCGCAATGTGAAGTATGATGTTTTTTTTTTTTTTTTTTTTTTTTTTGTCATTGTTTTCTTTCGTGGTGCCTGCACTCCCATCTATTTACCTGCTCGGGATTTTCTTCGAGCCTTTGCTCTGTATCTATATTTGATGATGTTGTCATATGCACTGCGACTCCGTAAGACTATGGGCTTCTCACACCACCTGTTCTAGCTATAAATCAAAGTCTTGCATTTTAGCTCATTCGGAGTCATTGTTCCTGTTCCGCTCTGACCTAGATTCATGATCTGTACCATGCATCATTGAGATCTTTATATCACGTTGAATAAGGAGTGTTTGTAAATAGAATTTATATTATCATCAAAAACTTGCACTCATGTACGCCGTATCATGCAGGAGCATATCTGAGCAGGAAAGCTAGAAAGAGATGAAGGAAGATGACAAAGCCAAGGTCGTCGGTGTCGTTGTCGTGGTTGGCGACAATCAAGTCATAGAAGGGAAGAAAGACAAAAAATTGAAAATGAAAAAGAAAATGAAGGAAACGTTGATAGAAGCAAGGAGACAAATAGAAAGAATCCCACGGATGACAGTAGAGATGAAAAGAGGAGAGTGAATGAAGCGGAAGTCGGGAGAGGAGGGATATGTACTCTGCCCTGGTCATTCTTTTTGTCCATTACACGCCAGGAAAGGTAAACGGGCAGATCGCCAAGTCGAACAAGAGACACACCAAAAAAAGCAACGAGGATCTTAGTCATCAAATGCTAAAGAAGCATATTCAGCAATCGGCAATATGATCTGGAAAATTCCCAGTACATGGGCTCAAAGACGCAACTATCATGTGCATATGCAGATACTCTGAGAAGATCATCATCCGGGATAGATTATCATCTAGATCATGCGCTTCAAGAATTGGCTCCCGGCATATAGCCGGAATAGCCACGCCAGTTCCCGGTAGAGGCAGGAGCAGGTGGAGGGGGCCCGTTAGGGGGTGCAGGACGCATTGGCAATGTCCCGGGAGTCAGACTGGCCTGGGGCTTATTGTTGTTTGTGCTCATAGAGCGCGGGCTCATGAAGGGCCGAGAAGGGGCATCAACAGCAGACACTGGGTCGCCGATATGACGGGTCGGGCGCCGGCTGGAGCGGTCGTCGTCCATTCTGGTTTCCAGCGAGAGATGCTCCAAAGATGGGGGTGGCGGGGAACGCGTAGAGCGCGAAGCAGAATAATGATTGGCCGGCTGGCTGCCACCGTAATAACGATTGGCGGATGATGCATCACTGGCGATATTGAGGGGGATGTCACCCGATGTGGGTGTCTGGTGGTAGGGAGATTGTTGAGGTTGAGGCGGACGGACTGATTTGCTTATGGGGGCGGGCTTAGGGGGAGTTGGCACTGCAGATGTAGGAGTCGGCATTGCAGCTGATGGGGCGCTTGTTGTAGATGGAGTGCTCTCTTTGAGCGATTTTGGCGCTGGTGGTGCCAGATACGATTTACGATTGTGTCTTTCCATCATGCTGATAGCCCACTCTTGCAGATCAACAGGTGTGCGCTTAGCTGCTTGTAAAAAGGCGTCCTTGTCCTATATTCGGGGTAAGCAAAAAAGAAAGAATAAAAGGCACGGTGTAGATAGCACGCACGTAGAGCTCTCGAGGAGTGGGCCGTTCCTCGGACTTCTTCATCAGACACTTCCCGACAAAGTCGTGCAGAATGGGCGGGAAGGCATCACTCTTGGGCAATTTGGGGGCAGATTCGTGAACAATCTGCTGGAGCAGGTCGAGAATACCCATCGGCCCTGTACTGGCACGATTACCTGCGGCCGGATCGGAGTGATCGAATGGGAACTTTCCTACAGCCAACTCCATGACTGTCAACCCCACACTCCAAACATCGGATCGAACGGTGTAAGCGCCTCCCTGAATACGCTCCGGAGCCATATATGTTGACGTTCCGACGAAAGTATCGGCAATCGAATTGACTGTCTCGGTGGCAACACCAAAGTCACAAAGCTTAATGTTTCCCCGGGAGTTGACCAGGACGTTAGATGGTTTGATGTCTCGATGCATGATGCGGTGCACTTCGTACAGGTAGACAAGACCAGCCAGCACAGACTCCGTGATCTTGCCCAGTACGTCAACTCGAACGGGACCGAAGTCTTTTGAGACACGATCGAGGGACCTAATATATCCATTATCAGCCAGATGCCCCTCATTAGTTTCAACTTTGGTAATTTTACCCGCAATCCATGTATTCCATGCACAGGACAATATCTCTCGCCTCATTTTGGAACGCGCCATAAAAGGTCACAATATTGGGGCAGTTGCAGTCGTGTCCGACTCGAAGTTCTCGTAGAATCTGCTTCCGCACATTCTCCTTGGCCTCGACTCGGATAATCTGGTGGAATGGCAGTCAGCCTCTAGAGCCCACGTCGAAACAGGTCAAGTCTCCCTTTGCCTTACTTTTCGAGCCATCACAACCTTGGTCGATGCATGCATCACCTTCGAAACCGTACCTCCATTTCCAGCGCCCAGCTCTTTTAAAGTCACCAAGTCCTCGCTGCGGAGATCTAGTCGGAACTCTAGGCCGATTTCTAGGGTATCTGTGCGGTTGCTCTCGCTATTTCCAATCGCCCCAGGAACCTGAGCATCCCCATCAGAGGCGTTCGCGGCGGGTTTCGGGGCTGCATTGAGCGCTAGACCTTTGACATTCTTGCGTTTCATCGTCCGGGGTTTGAACTGGTCCGCCATGGCGCCGGAGGGGGAGACAAGATCTCTAGCAGCGTCGGGGGTTCGAGAGGAAATAATAGAATGAGACAAAGACGGACGTAAACACGCGAAAAAAAAGTTACCAGGGAACGATAGCGCTAGGCCAACGACCACTGTAGTGGGAGGGAGGTTAGGTTTGGAGTCGCGAGCTAGCGGCGGGGAACCCGATATCACTGATGGTCTTGGCGGCGCTGATTGGGCCTTGCGGGCGCATCGATTGGACCAACAATACTGGTAGAAAGATTAGTCGGCGCCAAACAGGGTTTTGCAGAAGTAATGCCGTTCAGGGGAAAATTTGCCAGACGTTGGTTAAAGGGTTCAGGTGGTTTACTATCACTGAAACACATGTTCCTGATTGCTCCACCCTCCCTTACCCCATAGGATCAGGCTTTTGGGGGTGAAATCCCCTCTGATGGAGATTCATGAATGCCCAAGTACGGAGTAATCTAGAGGATATATGGGGCAAATTGCATGGGGTCCGAAAAGATACTTATAGAATAGTGAGGGATCACATTTCATTTCATTCTGGGAATAATCTCGTTTACTAATCATGTTATTGTTGTAATAACTAACCAACTACAGAAATTTAAATTCAAAATATTGATCTCATTAAAGGTCGTGTGGCATCACGTGACAGGTAGCTCTTCAGCCACACTTGTCCCCCTTTGGGTCGATCCAGCACTAGCCACACACACTCCAACCAATCACCGCCACACTGCGTCCTCTCCCTCGTAGTCTTCCTTTCTCTCCAGCTCTAGCTTTCTCTTTCCCGTTTCTCTCCACCACTCTCCTTCTCTATCATCTTTGCGAGTCGGGTGCTGGAGCATAATATCTCGTGTCGCAATCTCCGTCTTTTCCAGCTCTCGTTCAATTCCGCAGTGAAGAGAGATCCTTTCGACCAGCCATCATGAGTCTGCGGGACCTGGTTGAAGGCGAGGCCCTGGATGATGATGAGAATGACGCCGACGTGGCCGAGAATTCCGATGGAGAAATCCAGGAGAGAACAGGTCGCGCGAATCATTACGACGACTCGAGCGAAGAGGACGAGGACGAAGATGATGATGAGGATGCCGCTCGCGCTGTAAGTGCGAACATGAAGCCAACGAAACTTGCGCACTGACATGGAATTTCGAAATAGGTTCGCGAGGGGTTTATCGATGATGAGGACGAAGAGATCGAGGAACGCGCCAAACGTCGCCGCGAGAAGAAACGTTCCCGCCCTCGTGAAGAGCACCTCGATGAAGAGGATTTAGAGCTGATTGGAGAACATGTTCCTGGACTCAGTCGAGGGTCTGCATCAGAGGTACGTTGATGTCCCATCATGCCTGCGATGAATAACGAATTTGGGACGCAATAATAAGATGGCGGGAGTTTTTGCTAACACCGTGACTTTTCTAACTACAGTCCAAATTCAAGCGTCTGAAGCGAGGCAAAGATCGCGACTCCCGACAGCAAGCCCAAGGCATTGACGATATCTTCAACTCAGATGAAGAAGAAGAGGCTCCCCAATACACTCGCACCGGCCACCGTGGCGGCCAGGATGAATTTGACGACTTCATCGAAGAAGACACCTTTTCTGACGAAGAGGGACAACGGGAGCGAGATGATCTCGAGGTTGCACCTCCAATCCGGGCTTCTATGCCTGGTCTTGGGGCTACTGAAGCAGCGGGGTTGGATGAAAATGCTCTCGAAGATATGCGCGCAGCGTTCGGTGATGGTACGGAATATAGGTTTGCCCTGGACATTGAAGAACAAGAAGACGAAGAGAAGGAGGTCGAGGAAAGACATCTGGATCTCAAGGATGTGTTTGAGCCCTCAGAGCTCGCGGAACGTATGTTGACGGACGATGATAACGAAATCCGTCTACTCGACGAGCCTGAGCGCCACCAGGTCGCACGGAAGCCTTACAAACACGTCGTCTTGACCGAGGATCAATTCCGAGAAGAGGCGGTTTGGATATCCAATCTCATGTTGCTCAAGAAACGCATCGAGCCGGAGCTGCGTGAGCCGTTCCAGCGCTCTGTGGCCAAGATGCTGGAGTTCTTAATTACAGACGACTGGGAGGTCCCTTTCATCTTCCAACATCGCAAGGATTATATGATTCATGCCGTTAAAGAGCCAATTAATGGGAGTGACTCTGCGGATGACTCTGCACAGTACAGCATCCGTGCTGAAAAGCTATTGAATATGACCGATCTCTGGGATATCTTCGATTACGATCTCAAATTCCGTGCCTTGGTCGACAAGCGCAATACCATTCAGAAGGCCTATGACAGCATTCAGACTCTGTTCAATATCGAAGATGCCAACGTGGAAGATCTTTTGGCTGCTGCTGCAACCATGGAGGAGCTCCAAGATGTGCAAGACTACATCCATTTCCAATATGCTTCTCAGCTACGTGATACAGCCGCAGTGAATGGGGAGGCGAACGGCGAGACACAACGGCGCAAAGCCACCAATAAATCGTTCTTTGAGCGAGTGCGAAATGGAAAGGCCTACAGCCTGGTACGAGCATTTGGAATCACCGCCGATGCCTTTGCACAAAATGCCTCGAAAGAAGGCCGTCGGCAATACACCGAGGACCCTAGCGAGCTACCCGAAGAATTGGCGGATCAATTTGTTGACTCCGATTTCTCCAACTCATCACAGGTTCTCAAGGCCGCGAAGTCCATGTTTACTGAAGAGCTCGTGATAAGCCCTAAGATGCGCAAGGTTATCCGCCAGGCATACTACATGAACGGAGTTGTGGATTGTTTCCGAACTGAGAAGGGTTTGCGCCGAATCGACGAACAGCACCCATACTACGAATTCAAGTATCTCCGCAACCAGCAACTCAGTGACATTGCTCGTCGTCCAGAGATGTTCTTGCGTATGCTGAAGGCTGAGGAGGAAGGTTTGGTTGACGTTCGGGTACGGTTCGAGAACTTTGATCAGTTCCGTTCACGTCTTTACGCTGATATCGAGTCTGACAATTACTCTGAAATCGCCGATGCATGGAATCGTCTTCGTCGTGAAGTTCTAGACATGGCCCTTGGCAAGCTGGAGCGTGTCATCAACCGCAGCGTGAAAGAGAACATCCGACAGGAATGCGAGAACCACGTGGCCAAGGAGTGCCGTGAAATGTTTTCCCAGCGATTGGATCAGGCGCCTTGCAAACCCAAGGGGATGATTCTAGGCACAGTGCCCCGGGTCATTGCTCTCTCTACTGGAACTGGTGTCGTGGGCCGAGACCCCATCCACTGGGCTTATATTGAAGAAGATGGTCGCGTGCTAGAGAACGGAAAATTCCAGGACCTGTCGTGTGGAGATTCATCCCGAGGCTTTAACGATGGTGCACACGTTGCTGCTTTCATGAATCTGATCAAGCGGCGCAAACCAGATGTCCTCGGTGTCTCTGGTATGACACCGGAGTCTCGACGTCTCTACAAACTTTTGAACGAACTCATTGAAGAGAAAGACATCCGCACCCAGACTTATACCGACGATCATGATGAGGAGATCACCGACCGTCTTGAGGTTGTCATTGTCAATGATGAAGTTGCCCGACTCTACCACAATTCCCCTCGGGCCCGTCAAGATAATCCGGGCTTCGGACCACTTACTCACTATTGTGTGGCTCTGGGTCGATACTTGCAAAGTCCTTTGAAAGAATATGCTTCTCTTGGTCGGGATATTGTTTCAATCCAGTTCAAACCCGGCCAGCAATTGGTGTCCCAGGAATTGTTACTTAAGCAACTCGAGACTGCCCTTGTCGACATGGTCAATCTCGTGGGTGTGGATCTGAATGAGGCAGTTCACGACTCACTTACGGCGAACCTTCTTCCGTATGTTTGTGGACTTGGTCCTCGCAAAGCAGCCCACTTGCTCAAGATTGTCAACTTGAACGGTGGAAATGTGGATAATCGTGTGGAGCTGCTGGGTGTCAACGCCCAGTACCCAGCTATGGGTGTCAAAGTGTGGAACAATTGCGCCAGCTTTGTTTACATTGACTACGAGAATGCCGATGCCGATGCAGATCCACTGGACAACACCCGTGTGCACCCTGAAGACTACGATATTGCCCGCAAGATGGCTGCCGATGCTCTTGAGTTGGATGAAGAGGATATCAAGGCAGAGACTGATGAGAATGGCTCTGGGGCAATTGTTCGCAAACTCTTCCGGGATGAGCAGCAGGATCGTGTCAACGACCTGATTCTCGAGGAGTATGCTGAGCAGCTGGAGAAGAACCTCAATCAACGCAAGCGTGCTACCTTGGAAACTATTCGTGCAGAATTACAGCAACCGTATGAGGAACTGCGCAAGCACTTTGTCTTCCTGGGCACCGAGGACATTTTCACTATGTTCACGGGCGAGACACCCGAATCTTTGAAGGTTGGCATGGTGGTACCTATTGCCATCAAGCGGGTGTTTGAGGATCATATTGATGCCAGGTTGGACTGTGGGGTCGATGCGCTGGTCGCAGAGACCGAATTGGGTGTACCCTACGACCTTTCTGTGCGCAACGTCTACCAACCACACCAGACCGTGCCTGCCAAGATTCTGTATCTCAACAAGAAGGGCTTTACCTGCAATGTGTCTTTGCGAGAAGATCAGGTCAGTCATCCACTCCGCCGGAACCCAGACCTTGGCTTTGGCGACTGGGATGAGGTGCAAGAGCAAAAGGATCGGGAGTCCCAGCAGGAGAGTACACAGAGTAGTGGTCAGGCCATGCGTGTCATCAAACACCCGCTCTTCCGACCATTCAACTCTACACAAGCGGAGGAGTACCTGGGCTCGCGGAGTCGTGGTGAAGTGGTCATTCGCCCTTCATCCCGGGGACCCGATCACCTGGCAGTCACTTGGAAGGTGGCGCAGGGCGTCTACCAGCACATTGATGTCCTCGAGCTGGACAAGGAAAATGAGTTCTCCGTTGGTCGCGTTCTCAAGGTCGGAGGCAAGTACACCTACAGCGATCTGGATGATTTGATTGTCAATCACGTCAAGGCGATGGCCAAAAAGGTTGAGGAGATGATCGGAAATGAGAAGCACCAGGATGGCAGCAAGACTGAAACCGGTAAGTTGACCCTTAATAGTTCCTTATCTTAGTGTTCCTTTCTAACCTTCTTGACAGACCAATGGCTTGAGACCTATACCAAGGCCAACCCTCGTCGCTCAGCCTATGCCTTCTGCATCAACCCGAAACACCCCGGTTACTTTTACCTTTGTTTCAAGGCCGGCGAGCACTCTCGACTGCAGAACTGGCCGGTGAAGGTGATCCCCCAGGGCTTTGAGTTGCAAAAAAACCCATATCCGGATATGCAGGCCCTGTGCAATGGCTTCAAGCTGATGTTTACCAACATGAAAGCCAGTCGTCGATAAAGGGACCATCTGTATAGTGTACTATTTTTTTTTTTCTCCTTTTCTTTTTTTTTTCTTCCCTATCATCGCGAGGGTTCTGTTTCTGCAGGGAATGCAGACCGAAAACAAAATCGATGGGCATATGCATTCAATCTTCTTAGCCCCCCCTTTTACTGAATCTTTCTCCAATTCCTGTTTTGTTTTAATTTGATACACCTATTTGGTGTTTAGGGAGGGGAACCTGTAAACACTACACAATGAACACGCCACATTCGGCATTTTTGAAACATAAATTGTATAAAATAGGATTAAGCTTCCCAGGGCTTGAACTAGTACTTACCTAGGCACGTATGAAATCCATTGAATTAGATCCCGAGATTCGTACATGTGAAGTGTGTGTCGGCCTCGGGCCATTTAAAGCTTTACGGTTCCGCTTTCCCCCGCCATCAGGTCGTCCTATTCTTGAGATATGTGATAGCTTAGAAATAGAACGCAAGAGAAAGATTTACTTCTTACTTCTTCAGCTTGTTATTGTTGCGAAAGGTGTTATTTATAGTTGCTCCGCCTTGGTCCTTTTTCCCGCCCCTTCAGCCGCAACTCCCGACAACAGCTTGTACACTTCGCGGATCTTCTCCCCCTCCAAACTCCCAACATTGCGCAATCATGGCGGCCATGGAGGAGCTGCAGATCCATAGCAAGGTGAATTCCATGACACTCAGGAGCTCCTGGTCTCAATCTAATAATCATATTTCTTTGTCTATGATTAGTCCTACTTCGTACGCTGGATCAACGTCAGCGCCGGCCACACCATCTCGTGGAGCATCCAACCGCATAAGAAATCTGTGAACTTTGGAATTTTCAAGCATCCTGGTCAATCGTCACTGGCGTCCCATCTGCCCGCTTCCGATTCGCAAAGCACCGACTCCAACGAGAACCTCCCCGCTACCGCCGCAAACCCCGGCTCCCGCAATCAGCAGACTACCGTCATCGAGAAGCTGACAGCCATTGGCCTCAAGTCGATCAAATGGATAGGAAAATGTGAAGCTGACAGGATCTCTAAAGGCACGTATGACGTGCCGGCGAGTGAGTCAGGGAATTACGCGCTCGTGTTCGACAACACCTTTTCCAAACAGGTCTCCAAAACAGTCACCCTTGTCCTGCTTACCTATCCGACCGGCCTGCAACCCCATGCCTCCGCATCCATAGCGCAGTCTCAACATGCGGCTTCTACGGAGTCGCTACCACAGAGCACCGGTCGCCGACGAGGCAATAGTCGGGCCACCCTGCAGGCACAACGGTCTGACTTATCGGTTCCATCGAATATCCAAAGCGGGATTCTGCAGAAACGGCGGAGAAAACGTCATCAGGGCTGGGCACGTCGATATTTTTCCCTAGACTTTATCTCGTCGACTCTCTCCTATTACCATGACCCAAACTCGTCCGCTTTGCGTGGTGCGATTCCACTCTCATTGGCGGCCGTGGCAACCAACGAGAAGTCTCGCGAGATCTCAATTGATTCGGGCGCTGAGATCTGGCATCTCCGTGCCAGCAACGACCATGAGTTTGCGACGTGGAAGCAGGCCTTGGAGAGGGCTTCCTTGAAGAATACATCGCAAGACAACGGCTCGCTTGCTATTGGTCCCCCGGAACTGCGGTTAACTATGCCACCGTCCGCTTCTGCGGAGGAAGAACACGAATGGAGTCGGGTCGAGGGCCTAGTGAGCAAGGTGTCTGGCACTCGTGATGCGGTGCGTCGGCTTGCCAAGGACACTGATCCTAAATATCTCGCGACCGCGCCGCTGCCATCCCCCCGGGAGCCTCGCAGCCGGGGTCGCTCGCCGAGCCCTCATCCTCCTGGGACTGACCCCCAAGGAGACGCGAGACGTCCCTTCTGGAAGCGCAAGACGAGTGGAAATTCTACTTCTAGTGGGAAGCAACCGGGCGCCAATTCCTCCCAGCTGGCAGTGCCGGCAGGCTCTGGTAAGCCTGCTAGCATCACAAGCCATGCGGATGGCCTGGATGATATGCATGATAATTTAATGGCTGTTTTGCGCGATCTTGACAACGTGGTGTCAGAGTTCTCAACGCTCATTTCAGAGAGTAAGCAACGACGAAATCCGCCCCGATTCTCCATGGTGCCTCGGCGCAGCATGGAGTCGGATATCTCGCAGGAATTCTTTGATGCTCCGGATGGGGGCGCCCCGTCCCCACTCCTGACCATTCAAGATAGCGATGATGAAGACCCCACCGAGGATCGACCTGCCCCGGCTGCCGAGGATGTAGAGGATGATGCACCCTCAGACAGTGAAGATGAACCGGATTCTGCTCCCCACGATAGCACCGGTACCTCGCCGCTCTTCCCAACTCGCGCCAAGTCTTTGGCTCCATTGCCTCTAGATGCTGTACGTCGACGTGAAAACATCACTGCACCCACCGTCATGCCTCCGAGCTTGATCGGATTTCTGCGGAAGAATGTTGGCAAGGACCTGTCCCAAATATCAATGCCTGTATCCGCCAATGAACCCATGTCCCTGCTGCAGCGTGCAGCGGAGATCCTGGAATACTCGGCACTGTTGGACAAAGCTTCTCAATTATCGGATGCTGTCGAGCGACTGATGTATGTAACCGCGTTTGCCATCTCCTCTATCTCGAGTAACCGAGTACGGGAACGCTCCATCCGCAAACCATTTAACCCCATGCTTGGCGAAACATATGAACTTGTCCGCGAAGATCAAGGGTTCCGTTTTATTGCTGAGAAAGTATCTCACCGACCTGTACAGCTCGCCTACCAGGCTGACAGCCGCGAATGGAGTCTTGCTCAATCTCCGATGCCTAGCCAGAAATTCTGGGGCAAGTCTGCTGAAATTACTACCGAGGGCCGCGTGCGCATTACCCTGCATGCTACGGGCGAGCACTTCAGCTGGGTCCCCTCCACCTCTTTTTTGCGCAATATCATTGCTGGTGAGAAGTACGTCGAGCCTGTCGGTGAGATGACCGTCTACAACGAGTCCACGGGCCACCGCTCTATCTCGACTTTCAAAGCTGGAGGCATGTTTTCCGGCCGTAGTGAGGAAGTTTCCACTCGTGCCGTTGACTCTTATAACAAGCCGGTGACGCTTGGTCTAGTGGGCACCTGGCCTTCATCTTTGAACCTGACCCGCGACGGCTCCCCGTCTGGTAATCCCATCTGGACCGCCGGTCAGCTCGTCCCAAATGCTCCCAAACACTACGGATTGACCTCCTTCGCGGCCACTCTTAATGAAATCACCTCCATCGAAGACTCGCGACTTCCACCCACCGACTCCCGTCTCCGTCCTGATCAGCGTGCCCTAGAGGACGGTGATCTGGACCGCGCCGAAGAAGTCAAGGTTCAGCTGGAAGAAGGCCAGCGTGCACGTAGGCGAGAAATGGAAGCCGCCGGCGAGAGCTGGACTCCGCGCTGGTTTACGCCTGCCAGCGAGGATACCGACGGAGAGGTTGTCTGGCGTCTTAAGGGCGGCAAGGATGGATACTGGGATGAACGTGCCCGAGGCAACTGGTCCAATGTTATCCCGGTGTTTGAGACCTGAGTATGGCCTTTGATGTGATTTGGATTAGTTGATGCTTGGAAGGTTGTTCTTGGTCTATTACCCCCTCATACCTTTCATTTTGGCCTCTATCTGTTGTTTACTCTTTAATCGAGCATCTTTTCGGAATTTTGGTGATAAAAAAAACAAGATTATTACTTCCTTCATGTGAGGGCTTGGCCGGTCTAACTCCACTTTGGATCTCATTAATTACTAATCAACAGATATATCTGATATCCTTTCATCTCCACGGTAAGAATTCATGGTGTAGTATTCACACATTGACCCCAAATCGGTCAGAAATGGTGATTGTCAACTAAATTCGCCAAACCTCCCCGGGGCCGTTCGCTGGGGACACACACTATAAAAATCATACGTCTACAATATGACCAGAGAATATAGTATCATAGATAAAGGGGGATCCATTCTTGCACGGGGTATCACCGATCCGCCCTATATCGTACATGGACTCGTCTATCCAGTTAAAGCAGGGTATGACCTAATTCCCATGCACCACCAACTCTAGAATCCGCCGAGCCTTGGAGCCCTCGAGATATTCTCGGCCCTCGCTGTGCTCATCCTCATCATCATCTCCGACCTCCAAATCAACTTGCTGACTAGCTTCATAGGCCTGTCTCACGGTGTCTTCATCCACGCGCACACCACCTTGCACCAGCACCTGGATACTCTGTGCCAAACGTGCAATCTCCCTCCGTGTCTGGGGAGGGATCTCATCGTTCTGGCTGGAGTAGATTGAACTTGACACCATCTCCTCCATGCGACTAATCGCAACGTTCTCTGAAGCCGATGTTGTCGCGGCAGCACCGTCCGCATGCTTGGCGATGTAGATATAGCCATTAACGCCGAGATATACATCCACCTCACCGCCACCATTGTGTGTTTCCAGCGTCCATACCTGTCGTCGTGATCGTACGACTCCACCAGTGCCAGTTGCATTTCCCGGGACTGCCAAAGACCCAACGCCGCCCTTCACACTAGAGCTATTTGCCCCACTGCCACCGGTCCCGGTGACGGCTAGGAAAATACCATTGCGAAGCTTTCCGTATTTCAAAGACCGTGTATGCAATGATGCCGCACCATCCTGGTGAACGCTCTGCACCTCAGCTACTACCAAGTCACCCTCGCAGAAGAAAGTTCGGATCTGAAGCTCGTCGGCGCTTGTTCTTCTTCGCAGGATACCACCGGGCAAGTTGATTGCGGATAGAGGAAGTTGTGCAAGGAGGGGGGCGGCGACGTCAACCTTCCAACGTCGAGATTGCACCTCGACAATGCGACCAACGACTAGATCACCGATTTCGGGTGTGTATCGTGCTCGCAGTGGGTGGACTGAGAGCAGTTTGTTGGTTTTTTGAACGGTACCGGCGACAGTGGCTACAATAGATGTCGATAAAGGGTTTGTGAAAGTGCCGTGACCTCTGTAGGGACGAAGAGGTTAACTCAAGTCCTATGTGGATTGGATACCCCGCGCTCTCTTGCGCTTTGCGCGGGGGCTGGGAGGGTATTTGGGAGCTCACCTCATCCATTGGGGATCATCAGTGACAACTTCGCCAGGTGTCACAATTCCTTTGCCAGCATTCTTACTTCCCAGGCGGGCCCGCTTGTTTGATCGGGTGACGCCGCTCATTTCAATATCGGAGTCTGAATTGTCGGACATGGACTCGTCGGAGTCAGATTGGTAGGGACCGAGGTCCTCTACAACGGGAGGCAAAATCGTGATGGCCATTTTCTAAGACTGGGAGATCGATCAGAGTTGATGGCGGAGATATTTGTTGGAAAATGAAGCTCCAAGATGCAGCGCGGTCCGAGACTTTTTGATCCACGTGACTGGATCCACTTGATCTTCATGCTCCACTTTATCGCTATCACTATCGGCAAGTAGAAATTACGGGTGCTCTGCATTACATTAGGTACACTTTCAAGCTGCTGATTTGATAAAGAAGAATTTGACAAGGATTGAACAATGGAAATATAATTGTGTTGAATGAATTGATTGGTATGCCTCTATTATGGCATGTTCAATAGCAAAAGGGTTCATATAACACCCGTTAGAGAGCCGAAGAAACTTGCAGTCATGAAAATAACGCCGACCAGGTGCCTCCGATGGAAGTGACAGCCATCTCGGAGAATAGTATTTGTGAGCTGGTGAGCTGGTTCAACAAGCCACACAAATCCGGTAATAATACATCGGATGAAAAGAGAATAAAACAGAATGAGAGTCGAGATACACGTTCCTCCCTCAGGCCTTCTTGGAGTTGCCTTTAGGAGTTGAGTCATCCTTCTTCTTTTTGGATCGGTTGTTCCCACCCTTGGGCCGATAGCCGGTATCCTCATCGCGCTTGCGTTTACCCTTCGGAGTCGGTTCCACATCCACTCCATCTTCATCAATGGTCTCCTCTTCCTTGCGCTGGGCAGGAGCCCGTTTCGAAGTCCGGGCATTGGAAGGTCGTGATGCAGACTTCTCGGAAGCAACCTCATGATCTTGCAATGTTTGGGGTTGGTTGCGTCGCAGCCAATTGAAAACCGAGGCTGGGTTCCGCATTGAGGCCTCTTTTTCCCTTTCAGCGAATGTTGGCGCGTCCGGGATACGCGCTAATTGCAGTATAGCAGCCTCATCTCCAAGCTTCGCGTCCAGCGCGAGATAGTGTTCGGTTTCATGCTCTGGGGTGAAATACCCAAGTTTGCGATCAATAGAGCCGATATTTTTAGCGCCATCTCCTGGAGGCGTCGCTTCGGTATGTGGCACTTTGGTCAGGTCGCTGTACTGTAGAGCCGGTGCAAACTCCTTGTTCCGCTTTATACTTTCTTCCACTTGGCGGTAAGCGCTGGGAGAAAAGTTTCCGCTAGCGAGTCCAGCTTTGGCTTCTTTCAATGCCGTTCGCGCAAGGGTCGCATCGTTGACTAGGGGTGTAATTTCTTGCTCCGGAGTTGGAAGGAAAGGAGCGTCACTAGGTAGTTTCAGGCCGTATCGCATGGAGGGGGAGACATGAACACTTTCATTGAGCTCTATCAGGACCTCAAGTAGTTGACTAGTGATGAGTTAGAGATACTTCTTCCACAAAGGTCACTAGGGCACATACTCGTTCTGTTCCTGAATTCGTTTGGACAAGTCCTCGATTCGGAGCTCTTCGCGAATCAAATTCTCGTTTTCTCGAATCCCCAACTCGAATTTCTGTTTTATTTTCGCGTATTTTTTCCTGTAAGCATCATTAGCTTTTGTTACTCTGCCAACATGCGAGGGTCGTCGTACTTAAAAGACCGCACCGACTGTTTTACAGGTGCCGGAGCTGGAGCATCTGGAAGTGTGTCAGACACTGCAGACCCTTTCATATCCTGTGCCATGATGAGATAATGGGATGATGAAGATGGATGGAATAGATGGAAGGGAAGAGACAAGGGTTATGAAAGAAGTCACCCGCGCGCGTGCCAAGCTCGGGCTGCGCGAAGGGCGGATCTGGCCCGCCGTAAAAAAATCATTAGCGTCGAATGTGAATCTGGAGAAATTCATCTTCTGCGAAATTCAATTTTTACTCTCCAGAAATTTTCCAGGAGTGATTTCACTGCCAGCGCCATGTCTGAATCACCCCCACCCGATGTTGCCCACAAGAAGCGCAAGCTGCAGGAGGGCCCCGAAATCGAGATTGATGTGTCTGCACCGGAGCCGCAGTCTAAGAAAGCCCTGCGCAAGGCGAAAAAACAAAAGTCAGAGCCTTCCACTGAAGGTTCTGAAAAGAAAAAGCCTCAACCCGCCAAGGCAGCAACCGAGGAAACTCCAGCCAAGCGCTCCGACTATGGCGTTTGGATCGGCAACCTGGCTTTCTCTGTGACAAGAGATGACCTGCGCACCTTCTTTACCAGCAATTGTACTTTTACCGAGGATACGATCACTAGAATTCACATGCCCAAGGGACAAGAAAGATTCGGAAAGACCCAGAATAAGGGCTTTGCCTATGTCGACTTCTCCACCCCGAAGGCCCTCGAGGAGGCATTGGCTTTGAGCGAGCAGCTTGTGACAGGCCGCCGAGTGTTGATCAAGAACGCAAAGAGCTTTGAGGGTCGGCCCGAGAAATCCCGCGACCAGGAAGCTGCACCCATCAAGCCCGGTCATCCTCCGTCCCGCCGCATCTTCGTCGGAAATCTGGGATTCGATGTCACCAAGGAAATCATGGAGGGCCATTTCAGCCAATGCGGTGCGCTGGCTAATGTGCATCTGGCGACTTTCCAAGACACAGGAAAATGCAAGGGATATGGCTGGGTGGAGTTTGAGGATCTTACTTCGGCCGAAGCAGCGGTGAGAGGCTTCATGATGGTTGGTGATGATGACGAGGATTCATCCGACAGCTCGGATTCCGAATCTGAGAAGCCCAAGAAAAATCCCAAGAAGAGCTTCAAGCGCAAGGTATGGGTGAATATGCTTCTGGGTCGCCGCATGAAGTTGGAGTTTGCGGAGGATGCTACCACTCGCTACAAGAAGCGCTTTGGTAAAGATGGCGAGGGTCGGAAGAATGATTCGGAATCTAGCGAGGCAAATGGCTCCGAGCGACCTCGGTCCTACAAGCCGAAACGACCGGAAATTGATGACTCTCGATACACCAAGGAGACCGTGCAGCGGCTCAGTGGTGCCATTGTTGAGTCTCAAGGTTCGAAAATCACGTTTGACTAAAATTGTGGAGTTCGATTGTTCTGTCGCTCCAGCACATGCATTTCTTCCGATTGGGCTTCAATATATTCTCTCCAGTCTATCTTTTAGTGGGTTCAATGCAGCCAATCCACAGGCGTTTTTGGGCAATATTTGGGCCGCCATTTAGTAATGATCTCCTCTGTGAGCTGCAATGGCGTTGACGTGGCCATGAAACTGAAGCCAAGTTTGAGAGGAAATCCGGATCTTTTCTGGCGTCTCTGGGACTTGCAGCTTCATAATCGGGGTAAATTTTGTTCTATATTCCATCCTGGTGGTATTTTTGAGCCTGTCAAGAAAATATTTATGTTTATTTAGACAGTCACTGACTGATGTGATTTATGTACATAAGACAATTCATCATTAGGAAAGAGTCGAGAATCTAGCATCTAGGTATTTGCCCAAGTGCAAATAGTACACCCAAGGTCCGTGGTGATAGTCGAGTGCTGGTTGGGCGTTATCAATCAAGGGTGGTCGCATGCACCCAGTTACTGATGCTCCCTGCATCCCTATTGCAGGGCGACCAGCATGGACATATCATCCGGTATTACGTACACTGGTACGACCTGAGATAGCAACCCCTAATCCAGGGCTCTGTACTAAGTACCGGACTCTGAAGCTTTTATAGTTCAAGATATAAATCACGTAATCAATTAAGAAATCTAGACGCCAGGCAGAATGACTTCACCGCCACACTAGACCCGATCGGGGGTGACGTCTCTTTGCGATGTCATGCTTGTTGCGGTTGAGAATATCATTAACTGCTTCTCTCTCTTCTATATCTTCCCTTTGCCCCTTGCTCTTTTCTTCTCTTCTTCATCTTCCATCACCTTTTCTGAGCTAGAGTGTTTCATCTTTCTCTTTCTTTCTTCGTATTATTTATGCCCTTTTAGCATTTGCTTATTCTTTTTTGGGGTTTACCTTCCTTGTTTCCACGCCCACCTGCCTCATCCGCTTCCCAGTCTGCCTCCCATCGCCACTCCGAACTGGTCTTAGCTAGTCAAACGCAGCCTCTATATCTCCAAGTCGGTTTTCTTGGTTCTTTCAAACCCCTCCTGTTCATCAAACACTCCATGGCTTCCCAGCGACGTCATATCGGAGCAAGCCGCAGACAGCGCAGAGATGAAGATGGGGAAGACGAGGGCTCTCTTGCGGGCGACCTTGAAGATGACTCCTTGAGTGAGGGCTCAGTTCACAGTCACCAGGAAGATGAGGATGCGGATGTGGAGGGCAGTGAAACAGAAGACGAGGCATCGACGGGAATGGGAACAGGCAAGGTGAACGGCAGAAAGGTCAACGGACGAGAGCCAAGACATAGCTCTACATCACCCACCAAGCCGGGGCTTAAAACCACTGTTTCCGATACCGAGGCGATGCTCAACGGGCTGAGAATTTCCGATGACTTAGAGGAAGTCCAGTCTCATCAGATGAACGACGATCGAGAGCTCCAGACCGGCCGAACACCGTCGGCCCCTCCTACCGAACCGAAGCGGGAAACACTGGCTGCTCGAAAGCGCCGGGATCACGACAAGTACGTAAAGGAAAGGGACCAGAACCCAGCCTTTGTTCCAACACGAGGCAGCTTTTTCTTGCACGACAAGCGATCGACAGAGTTGGGCTCCAACAGCCATCGTTCTTCCAACAAGGGCAAGTCCCGGCCGTACGGTCTTATTGTGGATGGCAATACTCAAAGGTATACTTCGATCTGTTACGCACGGGTTATTGCAGCTTGCTAATCTATGAATCTCCAGGGACCCTTCCAAGGCCGATGCGAGCGGCGGGCAGTGGGCTCACGATCTCCACGACACCGTAGCTGGAGATGAGCTGCCGCCGCCCAAACACCCAGTCCCCTCTGCTACGCGTCAACCTGCGCCGACAGTTCCTACTGCCCCCAGATCATCTCCTCCGAATCGAACCTTTTCAAGCACTACGTTGCTGGGAAATGTACCGGTCGTGGTCTTTCTGCCGGGGATGGCCCAGCCGCAGTCTACGTCCATGGCTAAGAAACAGCACACCCGCTTGCCTCAACATCGCCCTCCCTTGCGCCGTGACAAGCCGGTGCGAATTTCTCTCCCCGCTCAAGCTCCTCGCTACATATTTCCATCAACCGAACGTTCATTCATCTTCATTCCTCGCGCGATGCGCCCGAACCAGCACACATACCGTGGTCGGGGCCGAGGTGGCGGATTCTACCCACGTCGCCCAAGTTTCTACTCCAATTATGCCCCAAGCATTCCTCCGAGCCGCCGGACTTCGCTAGGCATGTCATCCCAAGATGGCTATCCCTCTCCCGCCGGTTCAAGCTACTCGCGCCCGATCATGATGCCGCCTGATGCTAGCAAACCTATTGTTCGTCTACCACCTCCACCGCGCCCAATTGTTCCAATCGCCTTTCCCCCGGCACCTTCTGGGATGCCTATAGGCGCCCCAGGGCCCATGCCTCCCATGCCACTTCCACATCCTGCGTATCGTGAGAGTCAGCGCGCTCCGATTCCAATGCATCAACCTCGTCCAAAGAAGACAGTGTCGGTGGCAGATATTGAAAGTCCTGAGAACTTCCCATTCAATCCTCCCCAGCCTCAGCATGAACAGCCATTCCATCATCAAGTCCCCGTCCCCGTCAATGGTCAGGATGTGGTCACCCGTGGCCCGCCTAGCCAATCGTCTGCTACTCCGCTCTCCCAGATCCCCGAGAGAGCAATCCACGCACCGGCATTTCAGCCTTACCCCTCATACCCACAGCCCGGGTTCTATCCAAGTTACTACCCTGGTGGAATGTACTATCCCGGCTCAGGCCCGGAATACCCTACCTATAGTGGGCCGATGGGACCTGGTGCATCGGTACCAAACTTCCCGCCCGGTCAACAGCCTATTCCCAATCAAGCCTCAGGATCATCTCGAGAGCAGCCATCTCAACCAGGAACGGTCGCTCATGAGTCTGGTGGCACTGTTTATTTCTACGATGCCAACCAGATGTACCCCACCTCTAACTACGGGGCACCCGGGTCTGGCCTCGGATCCGGGGGCGTGGTGGGGATGGGAGGCATGATGACGCCGCCCGGTACGGGCTACTACTTCCCCCAACCGCCGCCGGGCGCTGGGGGGCTATATTACGGCCAGTGATTGTGTCGTACCCTTTATTTTTTTTTTTTCCTTTTTACTCTATTTCTCCCTCGCCATCTTCCCATGCCCTCCTTCCTTTCATTTCACTTTGCCCTTTATGGCCCTAATTCTCACGGGGACCTTTTATTCTTGACCTACTTTCTTTTGGACTATGCCTTTGTCTCACTTGGCTCCACTGTTAGATTTGGATTTGGCTGCATTTGAGCGTTTCCCCCATGATCCCCGCAAGGCGATAACATACTTTTGATCACTTTGCATGATCTAGGCCTTTTCTCTCTTTTTTTTTTTTTTTTTTTTTGGCATGACCTCATGTTCTCTTCTGGTTTTCCGCTTAACGGGGTTACGAAATACCACCAAAAGTACCAAACTTGATTTTTGCCAGAGTAAATAATATCGAGAAAGTCACGAGGAAGTCTTTTGTACTGGTATAATGTATATGACTATACATGCCATATACCCATTCCCCGCTTCCTCTGTACTTCCATGTACCAACTACGTATATCTATCTACTTGCAAAGTGCCACGGGCCTCATTACCTAATCATACACCGCCCACGACACCAGCTGACCCAGTGACCCCGATTTCCGTACAACGATTGCTCTCCAGGCTTCTTTGCTTTCCTATTTCCTTTCCCCTCTTCATCATTTCTGTAGTTACTCCATCATCCGTCATCGTCTCTTCCCCTTTTGTATTTTCCAGACTCTAGTGGGCTCCTTCAAACCCTTCCCTTCTCTCTCTCTCCTAGTACACCCGTCACCTTATCTAGCTTCACTTCCCCCCATACTTCTTCTATCATCCGCTTTCCCCCGGTGGTCTACATCATGGCCACCCCAGCTCTTCCATCACATCCAGGCCCGGATCACCTCGTTACTGTCAAAGTGCTCTTCAATGACAGTAATCGGCGATTCAAGCTTCCGTTGAGAGATCTTCGGGCTCAAGTGTTCCCGCAGAAGGTAAGAGTGTCTCCACTCTAGCTCCGACCGGACATCCAGTCCGCCCACATTTCTTATCGTGATAACGATCAGTACCATCCTTGTGCTGGAATGCCAAGATGGATGATCATTCTTATCCGGAAATGAAACACAAAAACACCCTAACTTGGTTGCTTGTCGACTGACTAATGCGTTGGGTTTAGCTCCGCACTTTGCTCGGCGTTCCGGCGGATGTTAACGTCATCCTTGAACGCTATTCCGACAGCGCCGGTTGCTACATTCACCTAGACAGCGACAACCAAGGGGTCTACAAACAACTTTACCGAGCAGGCAAAGCCAAATCCAAGCTTCGCATTAAGGCCAGCACCGTCGATTCATCAGTGCCTGCGCTTACGGAGACCTCGGCTGAACCCGTGAATCAGAACCCTCCGAGACACAGCTACCTGGAAACTGTCTTAAGCTCCCCCATCCCTGCTGGCTCCACTGAGACTCTTCCTACCGCTATTCCTTCACCACCTGCTCCCATTGACCCCACTGTTGCCTCCGGTGGGTCCCTACCGACTGCAGTGTACGGAAGGAAGGAACTTGCGAACACAAGCGAGCCTCAATACCGCAACTTCGAGATGGAGAACGACACACTTCGCTTCCCAGTTATCTCTCACAACTCCCCTAGCGGGATGTTCTGCATTGATTGCAACAACTGTGGTCGCTCGATTGCCAATGAACACTTCCACTGTGGTATCTGCGAGAACGGCGATTACGACCTGTGTCCCGCGTGTGTTGCGAACGGTGCTTTGTGCCGTGGAGAAGGCCACTGGCTTATCAAACGCTCGGTCGAAAATGGAATCGTGACCAATAGTACTACTGAAACCATTCCCCCTCATCAACCACAGGTCCAGGCGACCAAGCCGCTTGTCTCTCGGCCAGCACAGAAGCCAATCACCGAGACAGTAGCGCCAGCTCCTGCCCCAGTCTCTACGCCTGCTTCTGTTTCTCGTAAGGAGGTGATCCCTCAAGAGGAGAAGCCCATGTGCAACGGATGTTGTCGTGGTATGTTGTTTTCTAGTCCAGTGTTAATGTACTATCATTACTAACTGCCTTTAACAGAGACTGATGAGAGTAACCTGGTGCGTTGCAGTCAATGCGAAGATTACGATCTGTGCCTCCGTTGCCTCCTAAGGAACAAGCATGGTCACCATCCTGCTCATTCATTCTCGCTTGGGTCGGATCGCAACTTCTGTTTGAAGAACTTGATCTTGTCTCGCTGCCTTCCTGGTCGTCAGTTCCAGCATGCAGCTATCTGTGATGGCTGTGAGAAGGTAATGATTTACCACCCTTCCAATATTATCTATTTATTTCCTTTTGGAAAATAATCTTACTGACGTGGATTTTAGAACATTGTTGGCACCCGCCACAAGTGTCTCGATTGCCCTGATTGGGACTACTGTCCGGAGTGTATCGTGAATGCTTCCCAGAGCCATCCCAGGCACCGATTTGCCCCGGTGTATGAGGCCCTTGCCGAGCAACAGTCTCATGATTGGGAGATCCATTACGGCATCTTCTGTGATGGACCTCTATGCAAAGACAAGCCTGCCCAGAGCTATATCAATGGTATTCGCTACAAGTGTGCCGTCTGCGACGACATTGATTTCTGCGCCAACTGCGAGGCTCTTCCAACCCATACCCATAACCGAACCCACCCATTGGTGAAGTTCAGGACTCCTGTTCGCACTGTGACCGTAAGTACTGTCACTGACGACCTTACCTTGGGTGATCAAACTGCTGCTCCTGTGTACTCCCCTGTCCAGTCTTCAGTCTCCAACTGTACCGCCGAGACTTCCGAAGAGAAGGAGCCTGTTGTGGAGCAGGCGCCTGTGGAGGTTGATGCGACCAAACCTGAGGCCCCCTGCTCCGCCGAATTGGCTGACTTCCAGGCGTATTTCATGCGCGATACTATCGCTGATGGCACCAAGTTGCCTCCCGACACATGCTTCCGTCAGACATGGACCCTTTACAACCCCGGACCCAACGCTTGGCCGGTGGGTAGCGACGTTCGCTTCTCTGGTGGAGATGCCATGTTCAACGTCGACTCGGATCACCCCTCAGATGTCGAATCCATCCACTTGGCAATGAAGAGCAACAGTCTGACTACTCCTGTGGAGCCTGGCAGTACAGCCGACTTTACTGTGAACCTCCGAAGCTCCCAGCGTGAAGGCACTGCCATCTCGTACTGGCGTCTCAAGCTGCCCAACGGTGCTCCCATTGGCCACCGTCTCTGGTGCGATATTCAAGTCCAGGCAACTGCTGAACCTTTCATGGCTGAGTCCGTGGAATCCCACACCAATGACACCGAGGTCACTGGTAGCCGTATGATCTTTCCCAAGTTGGAGAAAGAGTCTCCTGAAACCAGCACTCATGAGGCTGTAACTGCCGTCCGCCCTCCGCCCACTGTTTCGACGGCTTCGGAAGGAGATATTCTCGAGGATGTCGAGAGCCTCACCCTTGACGAAAATGATACTGACGCCGGTTTCCTGACCGACGAGGAGTACGATGTTCTCGATGCTAGCGACCAGGAGTTCCTGGAGGCGAAGCAGTCCATGCGGTAGACCGAGTGACTGTTGTTATGATATGAAGGGGACGAGATGAGAATTGCAATGGTAACGGGAATGGGAATGGGAATGGGATTGGGAATTTGCACAATGCTATATCTTTTTCGGACTAACTTGCCCAACGGTCACTTCCGCCATGACCTCGATAATGATTTCTTTTACATCTTACGGATTTGACGTCGATGTTTCCAGCACTTTTTTTATTTGTTCAGAGGTACTCTGGGCTGCAAAAAAAAAACAATCATTGTTGCTTAGGATATTCAATTGCATTGCTTCTTATATATGACCTCCTGTACAGTAGATGTGTTTGTAGGCTTAACTCGGACCTCTCTTGTACCCCACACAGATACCTATGACGATCTTGAGTGGGGAAAGGTATGAGAAATCACATACCCGAGGTTCTTTTCTGTTCACTGTTCCTTGTTCCTTGTTCCGAATCTCACATCCCCTGTCATCATGGGGGTTTTTCGTTCCTTATTCGGCATTGGCTTGGTGGCGGGCTTGGTAGCCTTTTGGCTGCCTATTATTGTTCATTTTGTAAAGATCGGTGGTGTATTTGAAACTCCAACCCCAACGGCTCTAGGAGAAGGTCAAGGTCCTATTCGCATTGAGGATACCATCCACTGTGAAGACGTGCATCATTACCGCCCAGCCAACTTGCTGTTCACCGCGTGCGAAGATACCAAAGATACTCGTTTTGACTGGTTTCCGGGCCTAGGCCATCTGAGACCCCATCCACCAGCCCGTGGATCCATTCATGTCATTGATCCGAAGGTGAGTTGAGTTGCATGAGGCGAAATTGGTCAGGTGTTGATACTTCCTTATGACAGACATTCAAGTCCAAGAGGCTAGCTTTCACGAACTTCGAGGGTTCATTTGTGACCCACGGAATCGACGTGATTGAAGACCCCACGCAAGAGGACGCGGTTTATATCTTTGCCGTCAACCACTTGCCTAATCCCGAACATTTCGAGTCTAATGAGCCTTCAGAGAAGACTTTCAAGGCACGGTCTCAAATTGAGCTGTTCCGCCATGTTCTGCAGTCTGATTCGGTGCAGCATGTCCGTTCTATTCTCCACCCGCTTGTTCGCACCCCCAATGATATCTACGCCGACAGCCCAGAGTCGTTCTACGTGACCAATGATCACTTTTACCGGGATGGCACCATGCGACTCATTGAGGATGTCTATCCGCGCGCCAAGTGGTCGTCCATCATTCATGTCCAGCTGACCAATCTGCAAACGAGCGATGCGACAGCCGGCATTGAGGCCTCAGTTGCCCACTCTGGTCTCTGGAACAACAATGGTCTTGGGCATGGTCGCACTGAGAACGAAATGGTCATCTCCAGTGCTATGGGCGGCGAGCTCTATCTGGCCGACCGATACGCGATCAACAACACACTTTCCGTGCATACCACCATCCCTTTCACCACCGTGACCGATAATCCCAGCTACTACGCTGATCCTTATCGCACAAGCTCAGATGATGCGAGTGGCTTTGTGGTCGCCGGTATCTCACAGCATCTTAAGCTTGTTAAAACTGGGAAGGACCCGAATGGTCTCGACCCAGTGCAGGTCTGGTACGCCCGACCTCAGCCAAACTCGAGTAAATGGGACACGAAACTGCTTTTCGAGGATGATGGATCGCGAATCCGCACTGGTAGTGCGTCTGTCCTGGTCCCTATCGAGCCTGAGAATGGGCAGAAGAAGGCCTGGTTGTTCGTGACTGGGTTCTTGTCCGAGTCCATGGTGGCTGTACAAGTTGAGCTGTAACCACTCGTAAGGAGCCCATTTACGATCAAAGTCATACTTCTACCTGTATTCGTGTCTTTGTGTATATGAATCCATGGTGTCCTAGTATTCAATATCAATTCACATCGTACCTCGGCTTTTATAGTTCTATAGCTGCCTCAGGTGTCCATAATTTCGATCCCAGTTTCATCTCCGCGTCGCACTACAACACCTACAACTTCCTTCCACCCTCTCACCATTTCAAACGACCATGTCGTCTCTCGCCCGAGGAAGATTTATCCTCCGGTCACCCTGTCGGCCTCAATACAATGCATTTCTTCTCCGCCAATCCCACAAACTCTTCTCAACAACCTCCGGATCCCTACAATCGCAACCTTCAAACGATAAGAATGCCCCCAACATAGTAGTCGCACCAGAAGCGCACGAGATCAACGCACCATTAAGCACCCTCCCCGCCGATCTATCTCTCCCAGAAACCCTCCCTCCAACCGCTGCAATCCCCGCCAAACTACAACGCTTCATCGCCCTCGGCCGTGCATACCTCACATTCTACAAGACAGGCTTGAAGAACGTCTACCGGAACTACCGTGCTTCGCTCCCATTAAGAAAAGAATTAGGTCTACCAGCGTATCTCCCCATTTCGCCACCGCGCAAAGTCTCGAATCCCATTGCATCTGAAAAGGCATCGAATGTTGGGCCTGCGTCTTCGAAGAATACATATGATATACGCAATCTGGGGCTAGGGAGAGGCCAGTTCCAGCTTGTGAGGCGCTCGGCGAGGGATGTTAGGCGTATGATTCCGTTTACATTGATCTTGATCATCTGCGGCGAGTTCACGCCGCTGGTTATTCCTATCTTTGGGTCGGCGATTACGCCGGCTACGTGTCGGGTTCCGGGGCAGATTGCGAAGGAACGTGAGACCGCTTCGAAGCGGAAGGCATTGGCGTTGCAGGCGTGGATAGATGCGAACCCGGAATCGGGGTTGGGTGCTATGCCGGAGTCGACAAGTGACGAGTCATTCAAGCTCTTGATACAGTTGGCCAATCCGGCTTGGGTTGGAACTGCTAAACCCGCGTCTGTGTTGCAGGCATGTGCGGTCTTTGGACTTGTTAAGAAGCATGACCGGTTCGCTGGGACTGCGCTGACCGGCTTGATTTATCGACGTCGTTTGTCGCAGTACCTGGAGTATCTTGCTATCGATGATGCAATGATTCGCGGGGGTGGAGGAATTGAGAAGCTGAGCTACGCTGAGGTGCGGATTGCGTTGGATGAACGTGGTGCCGGAGAGGTGGGCGATGCTATTCGTCGCGATTGTTCAGTGGAAGAAGTTGAATCTTTCGAGAGAAACTGGTTGAGTAAATGGTTGACGTCGAGGGAGACCTAACATGTTTGCCTGAATTAGATTAGATTACTTTTGGTGGGTCTGCTTTGTACAGTAGATTGACCCTGTATTATATATAAGATAGCCTATCTACTCTTGTCTGGTCCAGTGCCCAAATCCATTTGATTGTAAGATAGATCAATTTCGGGTATAAAGACGTCAAGCTGAATAGATGAATGCCAATTTGGACAACAGATCATATACAATGTCAATTTGATGCAAACCAAGCCTTAAACCAGGAGAGGAGGGGGTATATCGGACCAACAAACCCGCTTAACAAAGGTCCAAATAATCAACAAGATTCATAAGCAAAGCCCAGCTTCCTCCTCAGACTGCCGACTTCAGTTCTTGGGCCGATGACGATGCTTGAGGTTGATTTTGACTTCGCATCTGTTTCGCCCATCGCAACCCACAGCTGTTACACAGGTCTCGATTCCCGCTCGGACCACGACGCCATTCGGGGGTGTTTTTGGTGTTGCACATCGAACACGATTTCTCCACGGAAATTGCGATCTGCTTCCGCTTGCGTTTCTTGCGTCGGTTCAGCAGGCGCTGTAGCTCATCGGAGAGAGTTCGATTCTGCTTTTCTAGCTCACGCAATTCAATCTGCCAGCTGGATCCGCGAGTGGGATTCAATTCTGTAAAAAGAGTGGCAGGCGCATCGGAGGGGGAGATGCTGCGATTCCCGGTGGGCAGACCGTTCAGGCCAATGACGGTAGAGAGATCGGGCATACGTTGCCCAAGAGCGCCGTACTGGCGAGGCGGGTTAAGATCGGAGGTAGTAAGGGTGGTTCTCTTGCTTGTGCCGGGAATATCAGCCATGGCATCATCGGCGGCGGCGGCGGCAGCGGCAGCAGACGGGGGGAATGCTCGTGCAAATCGGATTTGAGCAACGAGGAATGAGGGTCTGAGACCGTTTGTCGAGTCTCCAGCGTATAGAGTGGTGTGGGCGGACAGTGATTGGCCCTTTTTGTGTCGCATCCGGTGTCGGAACGACGGTGGTTCCTTTTTCCCCTTGTTATTGGCATTGCTATCCTCATGAACAACAATCGAAGCAGCTGCCTCCAGGGCTTCCGAGATGGAGTCGGGCCCATCTTCTGGCTCCATAAGGTCTTGCAGGCTCTTGCCAACAAGGTCATCAGGGGTGCGTCCCAGCACAGGTTTGGACTTGGTTGTCACAAACAAGATGACACCAGACAAGGAGATCTTGGCCCACACATCATTTTCGGCTAGCGCCGCCGAGGAGCCCAGGCTGGCGATTTGATTCAACGCATACACCGGTCGTGGACGGCCAGTCATCACGAGGTACTTGCGGCCTTGGTTGGGGTCAATGTGCCAAGCACCGTGACTCTCAAACCAAATGTACCCTTGATATTTTTGGCGGATGCGATACACAACACTGATTGGAGCTGGGGTGGTGCTCGCCCGCATGTCACGAATCACGGGTCCAATATCGCTGGGATGGCAGACCGTTGATAGGGTCTTCCCCACCAGCTCAATGGAATCGTATTCCAAGATCCGCTTACAGGATGGTGATAGATATAGGAACTCCCCATTAAAGGACAGCACGTGGATCAGATCATCCGTGTTCTCAACCAAAATGCGATCCAAGTAATTTCGCGATAAACCGGAGCCCGGAACACCCACGGCATTGAGGATGGCCGTCACTTCGTCATGACCAAATTGGATTGCAAGATCAGGTCGCGTCCGGTAAACCTCTGGCGGTGGTACTATATACTGCGGTAGCTGATCCCGTTGATAATTGATACTGTAGGTGCCATCTATTGATAGTGGTCAGTTAGGGCCAGGCAAGGGAAGCAATTCATGGTTACGTACCAGGGTTTCTCCTGGTGATCGCATCCGGTTTCTCGACCAGGTCGACTTGGAAACCGACATAGAATCGATATGCTTCGGAATTCCATTGGATGGGAATCATGGTGATCAAGTTCATGAAGGGCTGGCCACCCTTGCGATAGTTGATGATACTTGCCTGGATCTCACTGCGTTCATCGATGGTGGACCGCAAGCGGTAGACGGTCTGTCCATCAACAAAGGTCCGCTTCATACCAGCCTGAAGACTGCCGTTCGGGTCCTGCAGGAAGCGGCAGTTGCGGTCGACAATCTCCTCTTTGGTGTAGCCCGTCAATCGTTCAAATGCTTCCGACACATACACAATCGGTTGATCTTCGCGTAGTATATCGCAAAGAACAAAGGCACAAGATAAGTCGACGGCACCGATATTGATTTTGGGATTCGGACGAACCGCTACTCGGCTCTGTCGATATTGTTAGACCTAGTCATCCCATACTCACACAAGGATACTCACCAAAACTCCCAGGACATCGAAGCCACTGCTGGAGTAGATCCCCGTGTGCTCCGAGTGGCCCGCATCAGGAGTGTTCAATCCAGGAGACTGGTCTTTCTGCACAGGTTTCTTGGGCTGGATCGCAAGAGGCTGGAGAGGCCGCAGGGTGGATTGCCCGTAAGGGGGCTGCCGTACGCGATCTTGGACAGTTCGAGGTCGGACCTGAGACTGATCGCTTGCCCGGGAGAAGTCAGAATCTCCGAAGCTCCCTGACGAGTTGGTGCCGGCACTGTTGTAAGGTTCGTTATGCGGTGGGAGTACATTCGGGGGCTGCTGCTGTGGTGGTTGCGGTTGCGGTTGCTGGGGCTGTAGTTGCCGAGCTTGCTGGTGTTGCTGTGGCGGTGGCGATGGAAGATATTGCGGGTGGGGTGGTAAAGGTTGGAAGGGCGAATATGAGGGATGTAGTTGCGGCTGGTCTATGGGCGCGAGGCCCATAGAGGTGGCGGGGTAGGTCGTGGGCACGTAGTTGAAAGCGTTGGGATCGAGGCTCATCTGCATGGCCGGGTTGGTAGTGTCATAAGCCAGCATGACATTAGAGAGACGACCCTCCAGATCCCCCTGTGGTCCTGGCCGGCCATAGGCATTCAGGGAGATGTTGGCGTCCTGCGACAACATGGCACCGTAGCCGTAATTCCCCGACGGGTTAGGAAAGGCCATCAAGGGGTCCTGGGACAGAGACTGCGGCAGGGAGACACCCCCCTCCTCCTGAGAGTCATCACGGGAGGTAAAATCCAGGTTGAATTGATCCATGAGGGGATAGCCCAGGAAAAGAAAGGAAGGACAGTGAGATAGGCCTCGGCCTTGCATGGAGGGCCCAGAAATGCAAAGCTCAGACAGTGATCCAAACTCTCGGGAAAGAGGGGACCAGCGGGATGGAATCCAGTCACGTTGGCCGAGGGGACTCCACTTATCAAAGAATCATTCAAGATCGATCTCAAGAGTAGATGATATCAGGGTAAATGGCCGTAGATGTCGATGTTCCTTTCCAAGAAGATGAAGGAGGGAAAGTTGTGACTCTCCTTTCTCCTCTTTCATTCTCAAAAGTACAAGGTGACTGGACCCACTAAATACGGGGAAATCAAAATTCGAACTTGTAGGACCACGGTGAAACCAGATCTATATCTCATATAGGACGATATTACTATAGCTATTCTAGCTATAAGTAGCTTTATATCTGTCTATATTCTTTCTAAATTATCTTTCGTTTATTGATGATGAACAATCATGGTGTTCCCAAATATTCCATGTATTCTTTGATACGGGAATGTAGTGGATCTATCACATTAGCATTGACACCTTTCAACCTTCTTTGACAAGGGGGGATTTGAATCTACAGTCTGGATTTATTTGAAATCCATGGGCCTACACATGAATCAAGGGTATAGAAAAGCAAGAGAAAAGTATAAGAAGACAAAGCCTCTGTTCCAACAAATTCTTAAATGAGGTTCTTATCTACTGAATCTCTCTGTTTTCTCCTTAAACTCCCTCTCTCTCTCTCTCTTCACACAGACTTCTCTCCCGCCACCGAATCCCGGTCAATACGGTAAGGTAATCTATTCAAAAATCCCTCATACAGAGTCCGTCGTGTATTCTGTATAGTCAAGGTGCCTGGCATCCGTCGTTGGTCGACGCGATGGCAGACAAGATCTCAGTCACCATCTGCGGCGACGGAGGATGTGGTATGTCCCTATAACCTTTTTTCTACTCCTGGGACCTAGAGTCCACTGTGATTCGGTGCCATTGCTGTGGGAATGCTTCGCGATCGAGATCTGATCAGATCGGGGAATAGGGAAATCATCCATCACTATGCGGCTGGTCCGTAGTCAATGGATTCACGAGTAAACACTCCCCCCCCCTGAAATGTCGAACATCAATTGCTAACATCCAGTGATTAGATATGACCCAACGATCGGTTCGTGGACCTCCTTTCCCCTTTGTGATACATTCGCGCGTAGTGACGCGACTGCCGCGTGACTACGCGATCGGTAACTAAATGTAACTCCCAGAGGACTCATACTCAGTCACCCGCACCGTCGACGGCCTCCCGTACTTCTTATCCATTACCGATACTGCCGGTCAGGAAGAATACCGCGGACTATGGACCGCCAACACCCTCAAATCCGATGCCTTTCTACTGGTCTACGACATTACAAACCCCGCCAGCCTTGAAACATTGAATTATTTCATGGAATTGATTGATATGGAGGCGGAACAGCGCGTGGAGGATAATCAACGATTGCGCAAAGAACAGGGTCCTAGTGCCGGACCGGGGGTGGGCACGCCGCCGCCCGTCAAGATCGTGGCTGGGAACAAATGCGATCTGAAAGACGGGCGCACCATCACCTCTCGAGAGGGGCTGGAGTATGCGCGTCGACATGGTTGTGGATTTATGGAAACGAGTGCGCGGGAAATGGTCAACATAGAAGAGACGTTTGCTCGTAGGTGAGATGTGAAAAAAAGGGGGACTGATCGCATGCTAAACCAAGAAACCTAGATTTGGTCCGTCGGGTCGTTGAAGCCCGCCGGGTCCATTCGCAGGGCCCAGGTCGGCCCCCATCTCGAACTGGTCAGTCCGTTCAGACAACGGCATTGCCCCAGACCACCACGGATGTTACCAAGCGCAAGGCACGGTCGCGGCGATTCGGAATTGGTAAAGGCCGAGAATCGCCCGAGACGGACTCTAAGGTTGACGAGGCGCAGGGATGTTTGATCCGGCGACTATGCTGTGCCTGTTTTTGACAATATATACCCTGATTGGTGTTCCTGTATATTTTATATTTACGTAGGGGGCCTTTGGAAAATATGGTTTTGATTCGCCAAACCCTAAGGACGTAATATTGGGCCCTATTTTGAGAGGCGTTGTATGGAAGGACTGCGCGGACCCAAAACGTGGGCTTGTTATCTGTTATCAAGTCGGAATCAAGCTCCGTGATATCTGGAGCAACCCCAAACAGGGCCATGAACGTCATTCGGGCCAGATCAGGTAGATAGTTGCGGTTCTAAGACTCCAGGGCTATCCAATGAGATCCTTACATGTGGGAGAGGTACGGTACCTGTGTCGGGAGATATTGTTCGATCTTTGTAACCTGGGGCAGATCGTCAAAAGAAAACCGCATGCCGCATGCGGAGACCTCCAGTGAAACGCAGGTGGATCAGAGATCATGGATCAGGGCGCCACTTTTGAGTCTTATTCTCGTGTTCTGAGTAACATTGTTCTAGACGAACCCCGATCGATCGGGTAGAGTTTTGAATTTCAGATGGTCACGTCATGGACTTGAAGGTTGCAGGGAACCATTATCCCATCACCGTATTCCCGTGTCTATTCATTGGATATCGGGACAGGGGACTTCATACTCATGAATCACAGCGGGCAGTTGTTCAAGTTTCAACTGCTCATCATCTGAAGATCGTGACCAAATTATGATTCAGCGCATAAAACCCGTGAGGATTCACCATTTGCCCCTGAAACGGGTTTAGTGTGCCGTTATACGCGGCATAGTGATGCCGAATTTATACACATTATTTATGCAGCCAAGAGGGTCCTTTTTCGATTTAGTTCGAGATTAGTGGGTTTGGGGGATTTTTTATTGGATTTTATCGAATATTACTTGATATTACTCTTTTACTCCTTGATCTCTTGTCCATCAGTCCATACCTACATTAAGGGGAGGATTAGTTTCACGGAGGTGCAGTCCCTCCGGATATACGTCACGAAAAGTCTCCGAGCCCGAAGCTCCGTTCTCCGCTAGTGAACTTAAGTGCGAAATGCCGATTTTCCATTCCAACTCCACTTATGTATCCGTATAATCAGTTAAATAAAATAAAAAAAACAGAAATTAAAAAAAGAATAAACCAGAAAAAGGAAAAATTAAAGAAAAAAAAAGAAAACCGGCCCTGTGATCACCACTGTGGATCCGCAGTATAGACTTATGATTCGATCCCGATCGACTGCTCTGTTAAGGATTTCTAAGTAAATTCGAATGCACTTAAATCCCTCTTTTACCAGGAACTCAAAAAGGGCCCCATTCCCCCCCCCTCCTTCCCATCATATTTGAATGACTGGTATATGACACTGCAACCGAAAAACCTGCCAAACCCTACTCTTCCAAAGTCAATTGTGGTTGAATGGTACATACTTCGACATCGTCATTAGATCATTGACTGGTTGACGTCGATCACTTCCCTCCCCCGCCGCATTTGGAAGTATAGCTCGCCCAAAAGGATTTCCCTTTCCAACACACTATTTCGCTTCTACAACTGCCATATTGGTGATCTTGTTCCCTTAATATTGTTCGACCCCGATTCCATATACACACAATCATGGCGGCGCGTCAATCAACACCAAACTCCGATCACTCACACTCTGATAATGTTCGCAAGCGTGTATGCAAGGCTTGCGATCGGTGTCGCTTGAAGAAATCTAAGGTATGTCATCTAGATGGATGCATATCCAACATCCAGCGACTGACCGATCCAGTGTGACGGATCATCCCCATGTTCACGCTGTCGGGCAGACAATGCTGTCTGTGTCTTCGGCGAGCGAAAGAAGGCTCACGATAAAGTGTACCCGAAGGGGTGAGCAATTTTAACCCCCAGATCTACTGTGGATGATCCCCAACTGACCTCCTCCTCCCATAGTTACGTTGAGATGCTAGAACAGCAACAAGCCTGGTTGGTCCACGGACTCCAGGAGCTTTATCGTCGCAGCACCACCGGTGAAGGCTGGCCGGGCGATCGATTGAAGGCCGAGCCCAACGGCCACCCATTGACACACGATCTGCTGACCCGCTTGGGCGCTCTCGATCATACCAAGGGCGAACACTTTGAGGAGAGCCCAGACTCCATGCAACAAGACTTATGGCGCCACGGCATGCAGCGTCAAGAATCATCGGACGGTAGCTCCGAAGCCCAATCGCCGGTCGCTCGTACACGTTTCTCGTCCGATGCTTTCTCACAGTCCCAATCTCAAACTCAGACTATGCCCCCGACGCCTCCAACGTATCACCAAAGCCCGACGGCTCGCGTCCCTATTAAGCAAGAAGATACTATGTCTGGGAACCCATCTTATGGCATGTCTATGTCCGGCGTTGTCAACCCACTTGCACTACAGAGTCCACAGCAATGGCCGACCAGTGGATTTGGTTCCTTTGATGATATGGAAATGATGTCTTCAGCGGATTACTCGAGCTTGTCTTTTGACGAGCAGATCCCGTCACCAATGTTTAATCGTCAGATGCCGATGAACTGTGTCTCTTCAACAGACTATGAGGATTTCAACCAGTTCCTCAATCCGAATCCTACAGAGATCACCTCGATCTAAGGATTATATTTCTTTTCTGACCCTTTTTTTTATTTTATTAACGCCGTATGACGTGATGCATGTATTACTATACATGTGTTTTTTTTTTTTAACTTCTCTTTTTCACATTCTTTATTGGAGTTATTCTCCCTTGGATCGGGATCCTGTACAGTTGGGTTCGGGTTATGGCGTTTGGGTTCAAAACGGGTTTCATGGCGTTCTATCGGGGGCTTTTTTCTTTTCCATGTTAGATCTGAAGCAAACCGGATATTCAAACTCATTGATTACTCCACCTTGACTAATCCAGGCGCATGTCAGCGCGGATATACGCCTTATCTCCATCTAATGGTTGATTTCCAATTTCTCATTCGCATTCGAGCTCGGATTTTGAATACGAGTGATGCAATTTAAAGTTTTGCGTTGTTTTCGGCGCCTAGACCTACAGCTCTGCTTCTTTCTCATTCTCTTGATCAATAATCCGGTTTACACTGAGTCAGCGGAAGTATGTGGGTCGATAATTTTTTTTCTCTTTTAGGACTCCACTCTGTATAGCTGTCCAAGACGGGAAATGCCCGAGATGCCGAGATGCCGATTGTCAATTGCTGCATTGAAAACGAATACGATGACTAAGAATACAGCAGGATTTTACTTTCCGTCTTAATCTACGTGTTTAGGCAACCAGCAGTTGAATAAGTTAATAATTTTTGACATTTGCCAGGGGCACCAGGAGCGGAAAGAACTGACGCCAAGTCCGGGGTAAAACAACATTTTCGGCGCTCGGAACCCCGTTTCGTCCGTCTCGGATGACAAGTTGCCTAAACCCGTGAACTTTGGAGTCCTCCGTCCTCCGTTCATTTTCAGGATTTTGAATGTATAATAATCCAAGATTTATTGCATGTGTAAATATGCATGGTTTTACATTACAGCCCTGTACCTAAATCCCCCAGGTGGAGTCACGGGGTGAACCCTAGTTTCCAGGGTGAACTCTAGTGACCAATGGCTTGCAGATATATCCTAGCTTAGTATATGGTGGTTCATATACTATAACGTTGAACTTGCCTAAATACCCAAACTTCTCATTACTGTTCGTGGTCCCTATTTAGGCTAAACCCCGGTGCAGAGCTTCAGATCAATTTATCCCGGTGGGAGATTCCGTCCCAATGCGGGGTTCCAACGTCATGTACTTGAGACCCTGAGCTCTCCCACCTTCTGAAACCCCCCCAACGTTCAATCCAAATAGAGCAATTCATCATGTCTGCCCCTGAACAAGCTGAATTCACCTTCCTCCCTCTCGGTGCCATTATCCAAGAGTTCCGCGTGGGCGGGAAGAACATCGTCCTGGGTTTCCCCACACAGGACCACTACATTAAGCACAACACCGCGCATTATGGTGCCACCATTGGTCGTGTCGCCAACCGGATTAAGGATGGCCTCATTAAGAACCTAAACGGTCGTGAGTACCAACTGGCCAAGAACAATGGCCCCAATGCTCTTCACGGCGGTGAGAAGGGCTGGGGAAAGCGCATCTTTGATGGCCCGCATACCGTCAACCGCAATGGTCGCGATGCCTTGCTTTTCAAGTACCTGTGCCATGATGCGGAGGAAGGGTATCCCGGTACCATTGAGGTACGCGTATGGTACACAGCTAGCAAGGAGGATGAAAAGTCGGTCCTGACGGCTGAATATGAGGTGGAGTTTGTTGGGGATGAGTGTGAAGAGACTGTCGTCAACATCACCAACCACAGGTAAATTGCCCTCTTTCAGCAGCGAAGTAGAATCAAGCTCAATCTCACCAATTACGGATATAGCTACTTCAACATTGGTGATGGCGCCACTATTACCGGCACCACCGCCCAGCTAGAAACTGACAACTACCTGCCCCTCGACTCCACCGGAATTCCAGAGGGCGGGGTCGCCAAGTTCCCCCGCGATGTGACCAAGCCCTTCGAGTTGCAAGCCACCGGCCCCCATATCGACGACGTCTTCATCATGGAGACTGACCCCTCCAAAATCCCGCTCGACACTCGTGGTCTGCCCGTTCGCCGACAGGCCCAGTTCAGCAACACCAGTACCGGTATCCATCTGGAGGTGCACAGCACTGAGCCTGCATTCCAGTTCTACACTGGCAAGTACATCAATATTCCCTCTATCGATGGAGCCCCCGCTCACACCGAGGGTGCCGGGTTCTGCGTTGAGCCCAGTCGCTTCGTCAACGCCATCAATGAGCCGGCGTGGCGATCCATGGTGTTGCTGAAGAAGGGACAGATCTTCGGGTGTAAGAATGTGTACAAAGCCTGGACTACTTAAGGGCTGCCGAACTTTCACCGAGTTTGGGCCATTTCGATTCTATGTATATTTTACCTCTGGTTCTAGATTTCCAAGGCAAATTAGTGGATCATCTTGGTTTTGTCAGCGGGAGTCATAGACCTCGGCCGCAGATATAAGAACCGCGAAGCCGAGCCGACGTTTTAGATGAAGCCGATCCGCGGTTCTTGATTCGGCTTGCCTTCACCTCCGATTCGGGTTCCGAGAAAATCATTTTTCGTCAAAATTACTACACATGGGCACCTCTGTAAAGATGAATTTGTAGATATAGATTTGATCCTCAAGTAAATTGTAGAAATTCCAAAGTTTCATGGTTTTAAGTTCTCGACATCACTTGGTACAAGAAATCTTGAAACTTCCCTGTTTGAATCACTTAATCCCTCACTGTCAAGTTCTCCAGAGGTGGATCCCATCCAGTATCAGATCCCGATCCATTCTCGTGTTTTAGAAAAAAAGTTCCCGGTTTATGCAAATCCCTGACCCGCTCAGCGGGTGCATAACCCTTCCAGAAAAATCCACGGCTCGTGCAAGTGTTCTCGACTGGGTCTTGTGGAGACTAGCCTGTATTACCTTTGTTTTTCTGGTTTTGGCTTCCAAAAGCTCGAACGGATACAGTAGTTCACACAGAGGGACCAATAAGGTGGTATACTCCTGGGTCCGTGCCGTTTTTCCGGAATGTACCCGGTCTTTGTGCCGAGTTGCGGAAGTTGACAGGATCAGGATCGTCAGAACGGGAAGACGGGTAGAACAATGTTTCTTATGGTTTAGCTTGGCACTTTGTTTTCGGATTCGTACACCCGTTTACTGTACTGGTTTCCTCTTTCTACCGGATGTTGATGATCTTCGTGCCGCGGAGCGGAGAGCGGATCTTGCGGATATAGGCAATAGCGCGCACGGATTAATGATTATCTCTATTCGGCGCCGAACCGGATGGGGCTGTGATTTATTGCTGTTAGATCGATACAAATGTCAATAATTGGTTTTTCCAAGGCTGATTAGTTCCAAACCTGCTCTATGGTTGCTCTATAGTTATTTTGTGGGGTTACATAGCTATATATGCAGTAGTTCATTATGGATAAGCTCGTCATGCATTGCATAACCCATGACGCCGTTGCTAGCATGATTATGATATCGAATTTATGCACTGTATATCTAGGTGATGAATCTTTGAAATATGATTCTGAATACTTACATCATTCAAATGTTGGATGTATGGAGAATTATGCAGACTCGTGGACACTGACTTTCTAAGGTTGGGACCTCGGAAATATAAACTGTCCAGGTCGTTCAAAGATCGTAGACAATAGTCACATCCCCGACCTCAACCAAAACCTTACACCCCCGTTCTCAGCAATTGGAACCCTGAAAGCTTGACGCCTAACCTTGAAATTAGATAAAACAAAAGAGATTCAGCTCGTAGTAATGCATATATGTACACATGCACTGTTGTCCAAACACGTGACCCTCCGAATCAGTCCGATCCCCGCGGGGAGAGGGCAACTTCAGATCCCGTAGATCTCCCCCACCTTCCACTTCACTGACATAGAAATGGCCTCAACTTACGGTGATGTGCAGCACCTGCTGCCTGGCAACTATAAGCGCCTCATTGCCAATTGGCTAGAGGAGGACTGTCCCAGCCTGGATTATGGTGGTTTTGTCGTTGGCGAGTCGGAGGGTGAGGCGCGGTTACTGGGAAAGAGCAAGGTACGTCCAACGAATCCTATGATACAAGCATGCAACTGATGAATTTTTTATTTTTTTTTGAATAGGGTATCATTGCAGGTGCTCCATTCGTCGACGAGGTCTTCTCACAACTTGGATGCACGTACGTCTATAATCCATATCTCTATATACTACTCACTTGCTACCCCGCGATTCAATCGACAATGAATACTGAATAACCCGAATAGCATTGAATGGCACATCAAAGAAGGCGAGGCCCTCTCCCTTAATCCCGTCCAACACTGCGCTACCGTCCGCGGCCCAATCCGCAAGATCCTCCTCGGTGAGCGCGTCGCTCTCAACATCCTCGCCCGCTGCTCCGGCATTGCCTCCAAAAGCGCCTCCATGCTTGCCGCCCTCCGCGCACAGGGCTGGCAGGGAACCCTCGCCGGAACTAGAAAGACAACACCCGGGTTCCGTGTCGTTGAGAAGTACGGTATTCTGATCGGTGGTGCCGATCCCCACCGGCATGATCTCAGCCATATGACCATGCTCAAGGACAATCATGTCTGGGCATGCGCAAATAACCGCGCCGCGGCGGACGGAGGTGTTGCCGACCCGAAGGATATTGTATCAATAGCGGCGGCTATCCCAAGGGCGGTACAGGCGGCCAAGGCAGCCGGTGGGTTTGCGACCAAGGTGGAGGTTGAGTGTCGCAGCGTGGAGGAGGCGAATGCGGCGATTGGCGCTGGGGCCGATATCATCATGTTGGATAATTTCACTGCGGAGGGCGTGCGAGAGGCGGCAAAACAGCTGAAGCAGGAGTGGGCAGGCAAGAACCGCTCATTCTTGATTGAAGTCAGTGGTGGTTTGACCGAGGAAAATGCTGCGGCGTACACATGTCCGGATGTCGATATCTTGTCCACCAGCTCGATCCATCAAGGTACGAGCATTGTTGACTTTTCCCTCAAGGTCTCGCTGCGGTAGAGACATCTGTTTTAGTATTATTCCCAGGAAAGCATGAACCCTCAAAAATGGATTGTGAAATAAGATACAATAGAAACGAAAGAAACCAAAAGAAAAAAACACCCCAGAATCTCATTTCAACGCCTTCATGATCATCGTGGTTCTCTTGATCATCACATAGGGCGTACAAGTCAACAAGGCTTGGAAAGTCCGAGCCGCAAATAAAGGGAGAAGGGTATATAGTACACAAAACATTAAATTGCATCATCTTCACCTTAAACCTCGATATCCAAGATGATGCCTTCCCCTTCACTAGAGCTGGGATTCTCGTCCGAGACAGGGGCTCGATTGCGTCCAGCTTCAATGGCCCCAGAGGGTTTTCGCGTACGCTCACGCTGAAGCTGATCACGGAGCTTCTGGTTCTCATTATCACGCTCCTCCAGTCGCTTTCGTGCACCGCTACGGTCAAGAAGACGGCCTTCTCGTTCTGCCTTGAGACGCTTTTCCAGCTCGTGCAGTCGGTGAATCCACTTATCATCCCCACCCTCCCAGTTGCTCTGTTGTCCACTGCGCGTGCGGTACACCATTGCCCCGGAGTTGTTGGTGTTGGCTAATGTGCTGCTTGAAGACGAGTAAGTTGGCTGCGGCAGACCGGAGGTACCGCGGGAGAGGCCTCGTTCCGAGCGTGGTTTCTCGCTATTGCCCGATGTGGAGCTTTGACGGGTCAATTGTCGCTCTGCATCTGCAGTAGAGCTGAGTGACGGGGATCGTGGACCCGATGCCATCACTGCTGCCGCCGCGGAGGATGCTGCCCCATGACCCCGTGAGTTAGATTGGAGCAAATTGATCTCGGCCTTCAATAGTCGATTCTCTCCTCGCAACTTGGACAGCTCTGATGATGAGCTTGAATGCGAGTGGTTACCTGCACGCATGTTCTTGACAGCTTCTTCAACACGATCGAGTCGCCGGACACGCTGGGCAAAAGAATGCTCGAGATGCTGGTAATGCTTGTTCAAGTCAATCTCCACGGCTCTGATACGGCCCTTGAACTGGGCGACCACGCCCTCAACCGTCTTAATAGCAAGCATCAGGTTGCGGCTAAAGCCAGGCCAGAACAAAATATTGCCAATAACTTCCTGACTGGGGAGGTTGCCGTTGATGAGACTGTTGGAATGCGCCCAATCTGGGCCACAGATCGAAGAGAGTCGTTTCCAAATCGCCAAGAACATCGAGTTACGTTCGTTAAGTTGGTCCTTAAATTGTTGCTCAAGCGACGTGAAGCGCTTGCGATCCTGATTGCGAGCATTCTCCAGGTCTGTGATCCGAGAGTTGCTCTGAGTGATGGTGCGAGAGGCCTGCTGGTGAGACTTGAGTGCCTGCTCGAAAGATTGTTTATCAGCCCGACGGGACTGACGCTCGCGCTCTAGGAGTTCCGAGAGTTTCCGGGACTCAAGACCGTGGCTTTCCAGGAGAGCATCTCGGTTTCGAAGTAGCGACTCCTTCTCATCCAGTTGGGATCGAACACTCTCCAGCTCAAGAGCGGTGGATTCTAGCTCCTTCTGAAGCTTCATGATATTAGAGATCATGCTTGACCGGCTGCCGCTAAGATCGCCGAGTGTCTCTCGAAGGTTGTTCTCAAGATCCATCAGCCGCTCCCGCCAAGTAGATGTCTCAATCTCCTGAGTCGATAGACTCTTCTTCAATCGTCGGACCTCTTCCTTGGCCGTTGAAGCTTCCCGGTTCAGCTCGTTCATGATTCGCTGGACTTCTTGCTTCTCCTTGCTTCCAACCACCTCCCGCTGGTGTCGTTCATCCGCAAGTCGTTGCTCGAGCTCTCTTGTCTTTTCTTTCTCACTGACCAGACTCATGTGGTACGTCTTCAATTCTGACTCCACGTCCCCGATGCGAATCTTATCACCATCTTGCTCTTCTCGGAGGAATGCGATTTCATTCTGGCTGGACTCAATTTGCACTGTCAGTCTCTGTACCTTGGTGTTAGCCTCATAGAGGCTCTTCTCCAGAGATTCCATATCGCCGTGGGTCTCTTCAAGCTCCCGTTGGACAGCCTTGTACCGTTCTAGATTGTTTTGTGCATCCTCTTCGAGCCGAATGATACCCTCGCTGGCCGAGCGCATCTCTGCCTGCAGCACTCTGAGGCTCTCATCCTGGTTCCTTAGGTCTTCACCCATACGCTGACACTCAACAATCTTCTGATCAAGCTCTTCGCCAAGGGCATCGAGTTCCTCCTGAGCCTCAGCCCGGAGATCTTGGAAGGCAGCATCGCGCTCATCAGCCATTTGAAGGGCCTGATCTCGCTCTTGGAGAGACTGGTCACGCTCCTGCTGCAAATTCGTCATTTCCTCTTCGGCCTGATCCACATCAGCTTGATATGCTTTATCCAGAGCCTCCAATTCCATAACGTATTCATCCAGCTGGCTGCGAATGGCCTGGTTCTCGAGTTTGAGGGTTGACACCTGATCCCGGAGCTGCCCATTCCGAGCGTCGAGCTCCTCACGATCCATATCACTACGTGATAAGCCGCCATCACTGGGTTCGGAGCCTGGTCTTCCTTGCGCTCGGGAGACCGAACGGTCAAAGATACTGTCTCCAGCCACAGACCGGCCGGTATGACGACCATGGCCAAGCTTCAATTCCTCGATTTCTTGGTAAAGGCGTTCTTTTTCTCTGTTGCGAGACGTGAGCATTGAGGTTTGGGCGCTGACCTCCTTTCTCAATTCGGCATTCTCTTGCTTCAAGAGTTCAAGCTCCACCATAAGTGTGCTATTGGAGGCAGTGATTGCAGCAGCGCCACGGTTTCCATCTCTGTCCGACGCTGAGTTATACGAAACAGTCGAGCCACCTCTATCCCGCGAGGGTATTTTTGGACCGCCACTAGTTGATGTGTAAAGCTCGCTTCGCAGACGAATGGTCTCATCTCGTAGCTGGCGGTTCTCTTCTTCAGCCTGCTCACGAGCTGCTGCCTCTGCATCAAGCATATCCTTCCACATGTCCTGTGAACAGTAAATAAATGAAAAAAAGAACTTAGACAGCAACAAAGGAATTGTACTTACCCTCTCTTCTCTCGCCCCTGTTTCTGACGCACCAGTGCGATTCTCGCTCAACGATTTTACCATTTCGGCCAGGCGTCGCTTCTCACTCTCCCTTCCAATACTTTCAGATCTCAACCGCTCGACTTCAAGCTCATAGGTTTCAATTCGCTCACGCAAATAAGTGATCTCGGTCTCATTTGCGGTTTCCCGATCGCCTCCCTCGTCTGAGGCTTCAGGGTCGTGGTTGAGCATAGATTCCTTGTCTGATTGCTGATCTTTCAACTGTTTTTCTAGCTCACGGATCTTGCGCTTCAGGCCTTGACTATCTTTCTGGATCTTCAGCTTATCCGACTTGAGTTCGACATTCTCTGATATCATTTCCTTTATTCCTTCCTCGGACCGCTTATTCAGTGCTTCGTTGAGAAAGTGAATGCGCATTTTGAGGTCGAAGTTTTCTTTTGAAAGACGATCAATGGTACTGCTTTGCTCTTTGAGGGTCATGTTGCGGCCAAGACCACTTCGTCCAAGCGCCGGAGTTAAAGCACCAGCGCGCTTTTCGGGAGAGGGTCCCATATTGCCATAGTCTTCTCGGAACCGTTGCGCAAAAGTGGTAGGTATCTGGATTCCCTTGACACGCTCTGCAATTGCCGTATCCGTCGGGAATGCTCGGTCTTGGGGCTTGGCCTTGGGCGTCGCCGGTGCTGATGTGTCTTCGAATCCTGTTTGATGCCTAGACGAAAGTGGTGAATTCTCCTCTTGCAAAGTCTGTAAACCCCCATCAACTTGCCCGACAAGGGGCCGCCTCTCCAGGGAGTTCTCTTCACTGTAGCCCGAGACTCCAGACGCCATACTTCCTAGGCTGGTCGTTCGGGTCATGTGGCCGCGCGATCCTGGGTGCAAACCGCCCCAATTGTCCGACGCTGCTCCTCCAGATTGAAGCGCATAGTCTGCTCCCAGCGTCGCATCACTATGTGTACCATCTGTATTGGTCGTATTGTTGCTTGCGACTGAGGAGTGTGAAAGACGATTGGCAGATTGGCGGCTAGTCAGGTACTTAGGTCGACTTCCACTACGACGGCTGCCTCCGGCACTGAAGCTTTGATCACTGAATAGCCTTTGGGCAGGGGACAGACTGCGGGAGGACTTTCGAAGCTTGGAGGGTGTAAGTTGTGATTCATCGGACTGAGATATTCGAGATCTGAAAGCTCGCTCGTCTTGAGACAATTGGCTGTCATCAGGATTGTCTTCCGATAATATGGATTGGTTGCGGCGCAAATTTCGAAACATGGCGGCCGCTGAAGGCGATGAAGTCAGCGAGTCAAGCGTGCTCTCGTTGCCGACGAGATCTTCTCCACGTACAGCCGTCGTAGGCTCAGCTTCGTCATGGTCTTTGATCACATAGGACTCTTCTTGATAGTGGCCATAGTCTGGGTTTGTGTCCGATGGCGGAATGAATGAGAATTGTGACGATTCAGTTTGTTGGGTCATGTCAGGATCGTAACCACCATCCACACCGACTAGGTAGGTATCGTCCGCGCCAGCCCTTGGGCCAGTCGCGGCCATGTCAATGGTCGAGGGCTCCGGTAGAAAGCTCGACTCCATGTCCATCAGTTTGTGGCGCATTTCGCGCTCCTCAATGAGCGTTTGGTTGTTGCCTCGCTCATGGTCGCCATTTTCGCTCAAGGGGAACAAGCTGCTGTCGTCGCGATCGGTCAGGGGAGGGAGAATACTGATGTCTTCATGGTCCGACACAGCGGTCGTTGTTTCATTCTCGAGTGTTTCGGGCTCGGCATCAGTGGTAGATGTAGCAACTGCTGGATGCTCTTGCGCGTCGTAGTTCCCGCTCTCTGTTGTTGAGTCGCCGACGGTAGTCGGGGGGTGTTCCCCCGGCGCGTCCTCGGCCATGAAGAAATTCGAACTCTCTAAAGCGGCATCTAGGGGTGAAAACTCTTCTGGGATGTGGAATGCGCCAGATTCGTGAGAGGGGATACGCACCGAGGGCGGGCCTGGGATGACGATCGGAGTTGTAGCTGGGGCTCTGGTCGACATGGTGACCGGCAGTCTGGGCGTTGTTTTGGGTCTCCACTAGCTGTGCGTTTACCCACTTGAGCACCCCTGGCAAGTGAACAGGATTCAATCTTTATAAGGTTTGACAAGTTTGTGGATTGATGAGTCTATATACAAATAACATCATATTAAGAAATAAGAAGACTGGGCTGAGTCAAGCAGGAGCGACTCGAGTCAACAATCTTAAAGTATCAACACATCCAGGCACCACATAATAAAGCTTATTGCCACGCGATTATCTATAGGACTCGACTATTACCGCAATACTTATTTTCATTGACTAGTTCATAGCGGCATCGATAAGGATTTAAGATTCAACAAAATAACTAATCATGGTATCCATAGCCTCGGTCGCTTCGTAGTGCCAAGCATTAAAATCAAGATACATAGTCCAACCTCGTCCCCGTAGAAATGAAAAAAGCCAGTCCAAGCAAGGCCTAGCGGGGTGAAAAAAAAAAAAAGTATATACACAAAAATGATGAAAAGAGAAGAGAATTAACCGCCATGTCACTTTTGAAGATGTATGATGTATATGCCGAAATCCCTCAGCCTGGAGGGTATATACATCGGTTTGCGTCGGAGTCGAGTAGTTCATAAGATGGGGAAAGAAGAAGAAGAAGAAGAAGAAGAAGAAGAAGAAGAAGAAGAAGAAGAAGAAGAAGAAGAAGAAGAAGAAGAAGAAGAAGAAGAAGAAGAAGAAGAAGAAGAAGAAGAAGAAGATTCCCAAAAGAAGAAGAGACCCAAATGCTATAGACCTTAATGCGACTCAGGTCAAAATCGTGGCATCTTCAGCTGGTTCTGCAGTTTCGGTCTCAGCTGATCCAGTATAATAGTTGTTAGAAGAAGCATATATCCTCTCCTTCTGCTTGATGGCATTGCCAAGAGAATCAATGTAGGTTCGAAACTTGACAATCTCACGTAACAAATATGATGATTTTCGCTCCCAGTTGGCCATCGCCTTGGCAGAGTTTGGGTGCCTGGGAGAGAAGGCCAGGTGCATGGCCGGACGCAATTCATTGTGTCTCTGGAGATCGTCTTCAACGTTCTTCACGTATGCCTGCAGCGCCTTGAGCTGCTCCTCTTCGGTCAAATTCGAGGCCACCATGCTCTGCTGAGGGGGACTCCAGTCGCTGATGTTGACACGATCCGCAGGCAGCCTGGGTCGCACACTTCCATGGTCAATTGAGCTGCGGATCGAACTCTGGATGCTAGGACGAGGAGCTCCCGAGGATGGTGGTGGGGACCGATCTTCACCAGTATTGACCAGCGCGCTGTTGATCACAGCGTCGCTCCAGCCATATTCAATGTTACTAATACCTCCCACCAACGGCTGCTTGGAAAGCCGTGCACTCCAGTAATTAGCCGTGGAAACGAATTCCCGCACAATCTCCGGTGTACCGGCTTGGAAGAGATGGACCGCTCCAGTGGGCAAGCTTAAAGCCCAGACATGAGGTCGAGACTTTGAGTACCCAGGAGGGGGCAGTGCACTCGCAATAGTCTGCCGGAGCATAAACTTCCAGAGTTCTTCCGCATTCTCCGTCCAGTTGCCACCACCAACCACAACACCACCGCGCTGCTTCGCTTTTTGCCGCATGGATTTAGTCGTGTTGTTGAATGAGAAAAGTCGCATCCAGCCTTGCTGGATGACCGCGAAACAATCACCCCAATTTCGATCCTTGGCGCGCTTGTCCACGGCATCCAGGTGATGCTTATGTTTGACGCTGCCTTCTTTGGCCCATGGAGCACCAGCCAAAGCCAAGGTCTCGTCTTCGAGGAGAGGGGTCGTTCGCTCCGATTCTTCATAGCTATAGACGGAGGTGGCGGAATCTTCACGAATAATGGCCTGGCTCAGAGCGTTGGCAAAACCAATAGACTGCTGATACTCGCCGCGAGGATACTCCGAGCCAAACGAATCCACCGAAGCGGATGTAAATTTGCCCAGAGAATACTTGCTCCACGTGCTAGATGTAGTTGGGCTCCAAACAGACGATTGGTCGTCCAGGCTGGTGCGACTGGAGCCCATCATTGACGGGGGATACAATCTCCCAGCCCGAGACCGGGGCTTAGACGACCACCGCGCAGCTGCGTGGCGAGAATCAGCAGACCGGCCGCGGGGGAAAATGTCCGAGCCACTCTTGCTGATGGTACTGGGACTTCGGCGAAGCGTGCTTGTGGAGGGACCCAAAAAGTTGTTAGAAGACATGCGAGACACCTCTCGCGCCGGCGGAGCACCATGAAGTGGAAGCCGTTCCTTTTGGATAGAAGTGTAGAAGTCTTTCAAAACTGCCTCAACTTGCTGTTCCCAGGCTCTCACAGTTCCGGTAAATGGAGTGTTTACCAACGGACCTGCTTCAGGTTTGCTCTCATTGGGGGTTCGGCCCGTGTTGTCCCCTTCCCAGGAGCTACGGGCAACATCAGGTGGGAATGTTGGAGAGCGAGCAGATGAGGGCGCCGAGTGTGCCGAGTCGGGGCCCGAAGTTTTAGAGCGGTTGATCGGGCGTAGCGTTTCAAACCCCTCTGGGGCTGCATCCATTGCAACTCGATGGATTGTGGGCATGGTGTTTCGCACGAACTGGGCTTTGGTCATCTTCTGGTCAATGTCGGCCAAGTGGAGATCGGTGTTCAACAGAAGAATAGAATAACAGATGGTATGAACAACGTCTGGTATATCATTAGTAAATATCCAATATATGAAAACCAAGCTTGACAGAGCTAGACCTTACCAGTCGCTTTGAAACCATGACTTGGGTTGCAATCACACCACCGATTCGAGAAAGCATCCAACACGCGGTCCACTTGTTGGGTCTCTCCTTTAAGCACCAGCCGTTCACAAAGACTGCGGAGTGCAGCCAGAATATTATAATTCGACCAGTCAAAGAGTCGCATGTAAGCCTCTCGGACAGTGGCCCGATCAGGATCGCCAAGCCAAGCTGCAGCGGGATCATTACCCACCACTTGGTCTTGACTATCGAAGAGCTTCTGGGCTTGCTCCCGATCCGTTGTGGTAGGTCCATCCTCAATAGCCTCGCCTGGTCCATCCATTGTGTTGTCCATGTCGTCGTCTGGTTTCGGCTCTTCGGATTCAATCACTGGTGTAGTAGAAGCAGTTTGGTAATGTGAGGCTTCAGAGACGGCAGGAGACTCTGGGACATTGCTGTCTGACGGAAGTGCTAACTTGTTGGCTCCTGTTAAGCTGTCTTGGGGTGCATCGTAAGCGGTTGTAGTCTTGGTGGTTGTCACTTTAATGGTACGTGAGAAATCCTCCACGACCGGTGAGAGCGTGGTGGCAGCCGTAATGATTGACCCCTTCTCCTTCCCCTGCAAGGGGGGATCGGCAAATGCAGTAGACTCAGTCCCTTCACCTACTGAAGATTGATCATCGGTGCCGCAGGTTTCTGCTAGCGGCGAACGATCCTGGCCGCGAGAAGAGCTTGGAGGCTGGAGGGTGCTATTGCTCTTGGAGCCAGCTCCGGGGGCTGAAACACTCTGCCTGGGCTTCTGGGACTGCAGGTCCTCCGGACGTTTTCCCTTAACATCTTGCTTTCCGGGTACCTCATCAAGGTATGGATTCATGACCTTTCGCAAACTGCTCACCGGACTGGGTTGCGGTTTCATGGAATCCAAGGCATGCGGTGCCAAGTCCTGAGGCAGGACGATGGGAGGTGGGACATTATCAGCCACAGACTTCTTCCGCCGGCGAAAGAACGAAGATTTCTTGTTAACCACTTGATGGGGCCCTTGGCGAGTTGGGGTGGGAGTCGTCGTTACTGGGATCTTGGGTGGCTGCAGCCTTGCTCCCTTCACATTGACCGTCGTCCCAGTGGAGTCTTTACTTTCAGTTTCCTGGAGATAGGATATGTCACTGGCATTCGAACCTGGAGACTCTGCTAGATTCGGCGGTGCGTTCTTGGATGAACCAAAGACACGCCGGAAAAATCCCGGGCGTTCCTTGGAATTTCCCGGATTGTTGTTGTTGGTGGTAATTGTGGTGGTTGTGGTAACGGCTGCTGGTTCTGGAAGAGGGGGAGGGAAAGCCGGCTTGTTGTAGGATATTGTTGGACTGGGCGCAGGGGGATCCAATGCTGCCGGATATACCGGGGGGAATTCGAGACTTGCGTCACCCGATATGTCAAAGTCGTTCTCTCGCATTTTGAGGGTCCCTGTGCCAATATTCTCTGGACGAGCCTTGCGGATCTGCGGAGCCTGTGCAGATTTGACACTATTGCGCCGGGATGCCACTGGTGTCCGTGACGCGGGGCCGGTTGGAGTCTTGTGGTCGTTGAATTTCCGTGGTCCTGCCGGCACACTCGGCGTTGGCGCTGCATCATCATCGTACATGATCGAGTCCTGGACGATACCCGCATCGGAATACGGGATGTATTTTTTGGGACCACAGTCGAAGCTGGCCGAACGCCGATCTAGGCCATCTGAGTCCGCCCGTGCCCTGGGAATTCCATATGTATAATCCGTTGTCGATGAGCTGCCCTTGCTGCCCTTGCTGCCCTTTCGCGCATCGTTCGATCTTGGCATGGTTCCTGCACCACTTCGAGACCCAATGGCATCTCGGCTGCGAGCACTGTCCATTCTCCTGGGCACTGACTGGTAATTGGAGCTGCTGTTGCTTCGGCGACCCTTGGTTGTGATTGTGGCGTAGCGATTGCTTCCGTCGTCGTAACTATAATCTGCGTCGGATGACATGGAGGAAGAGAAAGTATGACCTCGAAACCGGCCATGAGGGTCGGTGTCAAAGGCTGAATTGTACAGCCGGTAGTCGTCCATAATGGACGAATCAGGGGCCCCAAACTGATCAAGCGAGAGAAGCATATTGTCTACAATGGAGGTGCGAGCGGCGTGCTTGGGGGAGAGCGAGAGGTCATGGGGGTCACGCTCATCCGTGGACTCGCTGACCCGCGGCGCATTCTCCATTGCATCTGGAAAAGCATCTCGAATAGAGGGCCGGGCCGGATACTTTTGTTTGGAACGGTACTTGGCGGTCTGAGAGGGAGGAGTGCGTGGAGGGGAATTGGTTGTGTAGACATCTCTTTGCTGGGACATTGTCACGGCTAATGACTTGGGAAGTCAGTTAGTAGTGCACGAAATCATAGATTCGTTAAATTCTTCAGGGCCTAGCGCTCACGCCGGGTTTAATAGGCCCTAATTGTTGGTCCTAAAGAAGGATTCCTTGCTGCAGGAGCTGCCACGTACCGGCAATGCCCAAGGCTATAGTTTCTCGGAGCTTTCGTGGCCCAAATGGCGTCCCAACACGAGACTGCGGAGCTGGATCCGGATCGCAGAAGCGAATTGAAGCAGGTGGGTTTTCAGACGGTCATCGCATGTCCAAGTAAGGGGTGATGGCAGCGACGGCTGCGTGCAGGACAGACAAGAAAGGCCTGAGGAACAAGAAGAAGCCGGGGGCGGGACGAACTCCTGAGAAATTAAAAACGGGGGTTTGGTACGGATACACACAAGTGGAACCAGGAACCAATGTGAACCGTGCGAGGAATGTATAATTTATGTAAGAAACATCAAGCAGGGTCAACAGTAATTATCATGGGAAGTTAATCATATGTTACACTATATGAATTTCAGTTCAGTCTTTTTAGATCCATTGATGAAACAGGGGGGGGGAAACAGGCGGTATGACACTATCTAATCCCGTGGATTTCCAATACTCGAAGTATTCTCAGGGGCTTAATATTTTAACTCCTCATTAATCTCATTTATATACACATACAAGGATCAAAAGACGGTGAATGTTTTTCAAATTTCTTCATCAATCCAGTTTCCATCTGACACCTCTCTTTTTAACATGTCCTGGGTCCGCATTGATGGTGGATCCCCCCATCTCCAAAGTGGGGATGGTCCTCACGCCAATAATCTCCGAATTCTTTCAGTGGCAGATATTACTCCACAGGCATTAGATGCTCATGATAAGTAGCAATGTGATACAGAGTTTCGTAATCCAGTCAACCCTCAAATAGAGGGGTATAACTCTATGTTCCTGCAAGTCGATACATAAGATTTACAAGGTGAGCCACAGGGTACGAACATTGATAAGACCCCGTATAGAATTATGTGGCCAACATGACTTGCGCTTACTATTTGACCCCCTTACAGGAAACACAGATCCAAAAGCCTAACATGCATATCAATCATGACATGTACCGGTATAAATCCAGTGAAATCAAGTTGCCAGCATGGCCCAAGGGCATACATGATCGTAACCATGGAATGACGGTAGCACTAGGATGAGTTATCAATTATTCTTAGATAATTTGACCTTGAAAGCTATCACCCATGCACTATTGCAAATGGTATATCGTGCTTTGACTAGGTATTTTCTACAGTAGCCAGTATGTACTACATAGACTTGGAGTTAAAACCTGAAGTATGGGGCACCAACCACGTGACGATGACATAACAGTCTCCGACACGTCGTCTCATACTCGACAAGTTGAGACTCCAATGATCCCCGGCTCTTGACCAGAACGGGCTTTCGACCATGAACCCGCACATCTCCGTTCCCCGCCAACATGCTGGTCCAGCCACCTTTGGCTCCACGCCCCGCCGTGGCTCAAGTGTGCGCATGCCACGCTTCTTCAAAAGGTAAGAGGTGGAAGGCCAATCCAGGAACATGGAGAGTAACGGACCTTTTCATTATAGACTATTCAAATTTCCCCAGATGGACTTTGAGATGGCCATCTGGGAGATGACATCCTTGTTGATTGCACCCAAAAAGGTCTTCAAGTCCATTTACTACCATGTAAGTTGAGCCCCGGCTTTGTTGCTAGCATGAAGCTAACCCGCATCACAGAAACGTGAGTCCTCTTGTCACTTCCAATACCAATGATATTATGCGGTAGGTTCATAGGGTACTGACTCTTCAATAGAAACCAAAAATACCTGGCATCGACCAGACCCGTCCTTCACATATCTGCTCTCCTTCTTCCTCCTCCTCACAGCCTTGGCATGGGGCCTGGCCTACACTCCCTCCTTTGGTGCTATTGTGAAGCTCTCCATTCTCTTTATCTTCTTCCACTTCATTGGGTCCTCCCTTCTAGTTTCGACAATTGGCTATTTTGTCATCGGTCGACTGTTCGGTCCCAATGGGGCGGCCGCATCTCTCGCCAGTCTCCGCGGCTCTCGCGGCCGCCGCCGAGGCGCAGCACAGGGTCTCTTCGCACAGCCCGGGGAGAAAGAGCAATTGGAGTTTGGATACTGCTTTGATGTAAGACTGTATTTCTTATGGAACTGAATAAAAGGTTCTAAAATGCTAACCTTTCGCGCTCTAGGTTTCGAATCGTGCTTTCTTTCCTTTGTACCTCCACCTCTATGTGGTGCAATTCCTACTCCTCCCACTTCTTACTCGCAGTCCGAGCAATTTCCTAGCCACCTTCCTGGGGAATACCCTCTACCTCTCCGCCCTCATCTACTATACTTATATCACCTTCCTGGGCTACAATGCACTACCATTCCTGCACAACACAGAGCTGTTGCTCGTTCCCATTCTGATCTTTGCCATTTTGTGGCTAGTCAGTCTGATTGCGGGCTGGGGTGTTGTTATGCAAGGCCGGAGTGTTGTGGGATTGTTCTGGGGAGTGTAACGCAAGAACCAATGCCCTGCATTTCGCTCGGTGGCCATACTCTTGGTCATCTCTCTAGGGATGTCTACCCAACACCCTGTGTACGAAATTTCATTTTCCTTCATTTCTTTTTACCTTCTGATGTCTCTGTTGGCTATGCATCGAAAGATTAATTTCTGTGGTTATCTGCTTGGGGGGCGTGTCGGTGTACATTGCGCTTTTTGTTTTATATATCAGAGGCATTGTCATAGCTTCTCTACGGTGTTTTGATCGAACCCAAAAATATTAGGTTCCAAGGTTGCAGTTTTTTTGTATCAATTGGTCGTGATTCTTGATAAATTCTCCAAATCAAAGCATATTGGAAATGAATCTATTTCTTCTTTCCACCCTTCACCGTCTTCCCCATAGCCGCAGCCCTCAACTTCTCCTCGCGCGCTAGAATGGCCGCATTGCGCTCCTTGGCCTGCTCATCTCTTTCTTCCTTCTCAGCCTCCTTGCGAGCACGCTCTGCCTCACGCTGCTCCCGAATGATCTTCAATCGCGCCAGATCACTCCGCGCCTCGTCGGTCTTGCCCTCGGCGTGAAGCTTCAGGTACCGCTCCCGGGCTTGTTGCGCCTGGAGGGCTTCACGCTCTCGTCGTGAAAGCTGAGAGACATCCTTAACAACTTTCTTGGGCTGTGGGGCATCTTCATCCTCCTTGACTAGTTGTTTCCGCGACTGAGCAGTGTGGTTTGGGTTCGCGGGCAGCGCTTCATCCTCCGAGGCATCGGAGTCCGAGGGGGGTAGGTCTCCAACCTGGGCAGCGGTCTTGTTGCGGCGGGCCAGTGCAGCTTGCTTCTTGGCTTTGGCTTGGTTGCGGCGTTCCTCACGGGTCAATTCTGCGGAGTTAGCGGTGGTGCTGGTGCTGGGCCCGGCGCCCTCAGCGTCGCTCTCTTCCGAGCTCTCTTCGGAAGAGGATTCCTCTTCGCCGGAGGATGGGACTTCATCAGCTGGTTCCTGGTGGTTTATACTTATCAGTCTCTGAATCACCCTTTGAACGAGTAGAGTGGGGTTTGGTGGGGTCGGGGTCGGAGGGAGAAAAATTAAACATACGCGCCACAGGCCAAGGGCGTTGCCATCCTTATCGAGAGGCTGGAGATCGCGACTGAAGTGTTTGCCTCCTGTTTGCAGTGTGTGAGCCTTTCAAGAGGGTTGAATTTAGTTGAGATGATTGTGCATGCGACCATACCTCCTCGTGAGGGCTTGAACTTTCCACCACGACCACGGGGCGCTGGCATGATGTAGAGCTAAAAGTAGATTTGTGAAACCCGGAGCGGTTTATGTAGTGTTTAAAGGAGACTCGACGTGGAGTTGGGTAGATATCTGTGATGCGCGAATTAGTCCCTTCATACGGGTCATTGCGGTGAGTCCAATTTCGGGAGAATCGAGACAGACGAATATTATATCGACAGGTTATAGACATGGAGTACTCACGTACGATAATTCCGACCCAAAGTTGAAGTGCAAGTGGAAGAATGGAAAGACAAAAAATCACGACGAGTCACGGCGGGCGCATTAATCACATGTGGGGTTTTGTCTCGTCCATTCAGATCTTCGATTATGTTGTTCCCACTTCAACCTCTTCGACCTTTTAGAACATCATCTATGTACGGGGATTTATGAACAAAAGGATTTTGGTATTTACATTCTCCACGCAAGGGATAACATAATAATTACTTACACGCGGGTGATGCCTGTGCCCACCTTGCACACTCGAGCTCCGATCAGCGTCACAGTGCCTGCAATAATCGCACTGCCCATGAACATCTGTGCGTACAAATATTGTCCATCGTCACTGGATACTAGGGCACCAGCTATAGGTGATCCGATCAGGGCAGCGACTGCCACCACACTAAGCACCATGCCCATACGCACTCCGGTTTTCTTCAGGTCGGTCGTGAGCGTGCTCAAGGTAGCAGGGAATAATGACTGGATCCCGGCTGCACTCAATCCATAGAAGGCGGCAAAGGCCCACAGGCCATCCATGTTTTTAACGGCAGCCCAACAGTATGCCACTAGAGCAGTGGAGCAACTAAACGGGATCAAAAGGTTCAATGGACCGGTGAATTGATCCGCCATGAAGTTGGGAATCAATCGTCCGACCAATCCAACTCCATTCATGACCATCAAAAGGTAGATGGATGTCGTATCCGAGGCACCGATGATGTTGCTGCTGAAACTACCAATATAGAAGAAGGCTACATAAAGCCCCCAGAAGTTCAAGAACATCCCCACGGCAAACAGCAGATATGGGAGCTCCTTGAACGCTGCCCACTCCACCAGAGGCCCACTGGTGCGTGGTGGCAGCCTTTGTTTGAAAAGTAACACACAAGGAAGTAACGTCACCAAAGTTATGAAGCCCAGGACGCGCATGGTCCACCCATACCCAATTTGTGGCAACAGACGCAACACCACGGCCGGGAACACGAGTCCACCGGTGGCCGAGCCTGACGCCGTGAGACCGATCGCTATTCCTCGCCGCTTATCAAAGTAGGTTGAGATCAGAGCTAGTGTCGGGCAGAACATTAGTCCGCAGCCAATCCCTTGTCCGAGTCCCTGCGCCAGGAAGAGCTGCCAGTACTCTGTGCAAAGCGAGGTCATGAAAATACAGAACACCTCCAGTGTGGCCCCGACGGTCAAAGTGAAGCGAAAGTAGCCCGCATCAGTGGCTCGTCCAGAGAAAGTGCCGATAAAAAACAGCAGGAAGATCTGGATACTGCCCACCCAGGAAATGTCTGATGGGGATCGGCCTAGGGAGGTGGTGTAGTATGTCTGGAATACCCCGAAGCTGTTGATGTAACCCCATGTGTTGAAGATGATCATATGCCCCAAGGCGACCTGTAGCCATGCCTGAAAGCCCCCATCTGGCGGCGGGCCGAGATCTTTCCCGGATTCGCGAGTCCGCACGGCTGATAATGTGCGCGCTACTGCGCTCGAGTTGGTGGGGACTTGTGTTAAGTCATTGTGAGTATATTCATCGCCAATATTCGACTCCTCGTCGGACGAGGGACTTGGAGGGAAAGAGTCGTTGCGGTCGACATTGGGATGGTCCTTCTCGTTGAACATACTCGGAATAATCAATGGCGGATTGAATTGAATGTCGGATCAAATATCTGGGTCTGCCATGTCTGTATAAGAGTTGAATCAGAAACCGGGGAAATTTTAAGGAAACAGTTGACTCATGTAAGACCCATTAAAAATCAAATTCCTGCCATTCAAATTCAACTGATGAAAACGGGTTTCGGGCCGATCACGGCCATTCGCACAGAATGCCGAGCTCGGAAACCAGTTATCCCTGTGTAGATGTGCATCTATGACTGAGTTCTGTTCCACCTTTCGGGTGCAACTGATTCATCTATCACGCGGTTTCTCCATTTCCCCGCGGGGACGTTCTATTCCCCACAAACAAACCCGGGGAGAAATGGGGCATCGGATGTCTCGGCCTCACGTATATACTCGGAATGACATTCGGGAAACTCCCGACTCCACCGCTATCTAACATATTGACAATTCGAGGCTCATGCATCTATGGCAGCATTACAAAGAAATAAAACATGATGAGAACCCTCGTACCGCTCACGACATAAAGTGCCCACACTCCAGGATAATTAAAAAGTATGGAGCAGGAAAAGAAATCAAAGAGAGTCGGAAGTCATCAAATCTGAATCAGTTCGTGTACGAGTAAAAGAAAATCATATGAACAATGCATGGTCTGGTTTCAAAGCCTTGGTTCTGGTAATAGGGCCATGACACCCCCAGATATGAAAAGGGTCCCCTTGGTCAAACGTTCGGGATTCTCAATGGTCCTGATTGGAACTCTGGTTAAGCATCTGAATAGTGTTGATCACGTCGGCTGGTTCCAGCAAGTGCCAGTTAGCATCCGTTTGTTTCGAGCTGGCACCCACTGTCACTGAATAGACGTGGTCTTGCGGCAGATCGAACTTCTGAAGCGCACGGAACATGTCTGAAATGATTCGTTAGCAAAGATGATTCAATATCGATGGATTTTGATCTTCCATACCTTCATCCGTAAAATCATCCCCTAAGCACAGAATGAACTCGGGCGCTTTCCCAGGCTCTGTGCCGTATTCATTCACCAGCCGCGTAGCGATGAAACCCTTGTTGACAAATGTGGGCCGAACCTCCAGGTTGGCTTTGCCCGCCATGACCTCAACGTCCCACTTCTTGGCCACAGTGTCTTCCAGTGCCTTTCGGCACTCCTGGGCCTGAAATTTTCCGTATTCCGGGTCAGACCGGCGGTAATGCCAGGTCAATGCCACTCGTTTCCGCTCGATGAATGAGCCGCCAGTGCGCTCGGTATAATGCTGGAAGACATCAAAGACCTCCTTTTGCCATTCCTTGATATCTGGTTTGTCGGCCAGATTCTTCCAATCGTCGGAGCCCGGCTGACGAATGAAACAGCCATGCTCGGCGCTGAGCCCTAGCTCGGGAATATGACCCATCCATTCATCCAAGAAGGCTTGGTCTCGTCCACTGATAATCCAAACCGCATTCCGCGGATCAGCGGATAGCGTCTTGAGGGTACGCAGAACACGATCGGATGGAATGGCCGCTTGCGGGTCCTTCACAATGGGGGTCAGAGTACCATCGTAGTCGAACATAAACAAGCGCTTCCGTGCTTTGCGATATTGTCTGACCACTTTTGCGCGATCTAAGGCGGGTGTAGCAACGGATTGATCAAAAGACGAAAGATTGGTCAGCAGTCGGTGGAGGAACTGTCGCGACCACGCGCCCACGGTGTTGGTTAGAACATGCTTATAGAGCTTCAGATGCTGTTCTCTCCGTTGTGGTGCGGGCATCTTGAGAGCTTGGTCAATCGACCCAGCAACACCCACCAAGTCCCACGGGTTGATATGGATTGCGCCTGGAAGGGTACCTGCGGTACCGGAAAATTCAGAAAGAATGAGAGGGCTGTGGTTCGTCTGCTGGCAAACAATGTACTCCAGGCTAGTGGTGTTCATCCCGTCTCGTACGGTGGTGATCAGTCCGACATCGGCCACGCGTAACAAAGCAAAATATTCATGGGGTGATAGATATTGAGGGTAATATTGCACGGGTGAGAAGCTCAACGAGCCAAATCGACCATTGATCGTAGATACCAGGTTGGAGATTTGGCCGGCAATCTTGTTATCTGGATCCTCCTTCTCTTCCTCCACGCTGGTTGGGCTAGTGACCTGAATAAGGACGACTTTTTCCCGCCATTCAGGGTATCGCTCCAAGAACAACTCAAATGCCTGTAACTTCTGTGCCACACCCCGAACGCTATCCAATCGGTCTCGACCAACGATGATTTTGCGTCCGGCATATAGCTTGCGGATACCTGCCACTGCCTTCTCAATCTCTGGGGCGCCGAAGGCCGCCTTTTGGATCGCACGCGCATCGATTCCAATGGGGAATACATCCACTGCAACGTGAGCTCCGTATGCATCCACACCGGCCGAGTTGGAATCAAAACCTAGAACACGCGTGCAACATGAGGAGAAATGTCGGGAGTATGAAAATGTCTGGAAACCGATCATGTTTGCACCAAGGACACCGGTCAAGATTTCCTTGCGCTTCGGCAGACACCTCACAAACTCGCTGCTAGGGAAAGGAGAGTGAAGGAAGAAGCCTACATAGATATCAGGTATCCGTTGTCGAAGCAAGCTAGGCAGAAGAAACAGGTGGTAATCATGGACCCAGACGACATCACCCTCCTGATAATCCTGCACGATGCGGTCGGCAAACAACTGGTTCAACCGGATATAATCAGCCCACCACCGTCGCTCTGAGCGTCCGTCCGTGGGGCCATGCTGCTTGTAGTGTAGGAGAGGATAGAGCTCCCTCTCGGAATATCGTCGCCATCGCCCTTGGTCTTTGAGAACAATGGTATCTTGTGGTTCCTCTGATGCGTCAGATAACCAGACCGGCAAGATCCGGCCATGTCGCCCCGAGGCTAGTTGACTATCCAGCTTTTCTCGATCCTGTCGTTCGACGCTGATCCCATCGACCAACGGATGCGATGGAGGCTTTTGGGTCGCATTCACCGGCACTGGAGCAGCAGCTTTATTTATGGGGCTTGCGGTCGGGTTCTTTGAACCAGGCGGCAACTTGTTGGCGGGGATGGGTTGCAAGGGAGCCTTGGCATCTAGAACGGGTTCAACCTCTCCGGTCCAACCCACCAAGGTATGCGACCAGGGACTCTCCTCTGAAGCCAGGTCGGCAAAGGAATCAAACAGGGCTGAACTACCGGAGCGGGGCTTGAGGGACTGTTATCTCTCGCGGGTAACGGGTCAGTTGGCCATTCTCTCAACTAATAATCATGGGAATCGTCAACATACCCAGTCCGAGCCTGCTTGAAATTGAAGCTTGTAGGGAATACAGAAGGCGGCACTAATCAATCGGCCACTCAATTTCAATTCAGGATGTTGCGTTCTCGGATCAACCTCCGGTAAAACGGGTGATGATTCCCCCACTAAGCTTAAGCGTCGCAATAAGTCTTGCCCCGACGATGTAGTTCCCTGGGACTTCTCTGGGATCGAGGACAAATCGGATGAATCTATTCCCTCGGTGCTAGTTCCCGGAACGTTGGCGAAGTAAGACGGTGCATCGCTGTCTGGTTGGCTTTTCTTATCGGCATCCAAGCTCGGGGTCGCATTGGTGGCATCGGTATAGGCTTCCTGCTTCAAGGCCTTCAGCCCCGGCCCCACGAGAACGGGGTCCGGCTGGCCGTCGGGCACATCCGCGGCAGGGTTCTCTGAATCAGACATATAGAGAGTGATCTTTCAAGTAATGAGAACGAGTTGTAGACGAGTAAAGGTGGCAATTTGACTGCAAGCTGTCAGTTTCTCATGCAATTGTCACATGCCCTTGGAAGCGAGCCGTGACGTGAGCAGGGCGGGGGGAAGGAGCAAGCTTCGAAGGTACTTACCTCGGAGCACCACGGGGGTTGCGAAAAGGGTTTAGGGATTACAGGCATACAGCCATATGGTAATTCCTTCAAATAGTCCAAGGTTATACCTTACAGGGGAAGAGGGGAAGTACAAACGTGGTTGTAGATAAAGTTGGAGGGGCAAGCGGTGTGAGAATAAAGCCACCGGATCAGGGTGGAGTTGGCCAGAACATATATATCCAGAAGATCACTTCGACGTCATGAACCACCTAACTGCTAGGTATTGTCATGCAGCTTGTTTATGACTTTCCAGAGGGTTCCATGGTCTCCGACCTCGGGAGTTTGGAATAATAATTGAATTGAACCTGAAATTGTCAGATCGTATTCTCTTACTTTTTACGTGCAACCGCCTAAACCGCTGCCTCAGGCCACCCCCATGTCAATAACAGCGTCTCGGTTGGAAATTCCTCATTTCTCTCTTTTCCCATGATCCGCTCGTGGCGATGCGGTGGTCCGGCATCCAATCCACTCGCCTTTCACACCATGTGCCCCGGCGAATCCGTAATATTCTCGCCCAGGATGCCGACGTTGTTCCCAACAGTCTTCGAAAAACCCTAGAGGCGCATCGCTCCTCGAATCGGGCCCGCATAATCCGCAAAATATACCCCCGTACCCCGGCCGCCGGACTTTTTCGCCCTTGGATCCCACCTGAAAATCGCGCAGGTTATTCACCCCCAGAGTCTACACACCCCGTGTCAGATGAGTCGGAAGTCAAGAAGCCCAGCAAAAAGCGTGCTCGTAGCCGCATTCCAGGAACGAAACCTCGAGGACCAGAGAACCACTTAATAAATGCAATTCGAAGCGCAGACCAAAGTACACCGGAACAGCACCCATGGGTCAATTTCCTGGCTCCGGTCAAGATCGCTAGCGATGCAGCTACACACCTAGATGCGGAGATCCAGGCTCTCGACCGCTACCTGACCCCGAGTCTGAGCGAACAGAATCAGATCACCCAAGTGAGCGCAGAGATTAGATCTCTGCTGGAGCCAGTGGCTCCGCAAATACCACAGATCATCGGTTCTCATTACACAGGTCTGGCGCTGGCGCATTCTGACCTGGATTTCCTTCTACCTTTCGAAGACCTCCCACGGTCTCGACACAACCCACGAGGACCAAGTGCCACACGACCGAAAATTCAAGATGCCCATGTCAGCCTGCTGCGCCAGGTGGAATCTACGTTGCAGAGTAGTCCTATGTTGACCGACCAAGTCAATTGGCCCACAAAGGGTAGACCCGTTCTCGAGGCCCGGCACCGGCCGACGGGCCTGCTACTACGCTTCCACTGCGGCGAAAGAGTCCCGGCAACCACAAGATACATTCGGGACTATCTAATCGACAATCCCGCCCTGCGGTCCCTATATATCGGGGCGCGAACGTTGCTAGAGTCCCGCGGGCTCTTCGGATCCACACAAGCAAGTATTACATCTGAAGCTTTGGCGATGTTGGTAGTCGCTTTTCTCAAAATGAACCACGGTCGCTATCCCGAGCCCTATCACCTGGGTGATAAGTTCCTGGATCTCCTACGACTTTACGGCACTGATATTAACCTCCAGTCTGTGGGCGTTGCAGTCAACCCCCCGGGCTTCTTCGGCGCTGAAATCTTACGCCCTACTGGAGAAGATGTCGAGCCAGCGTATCGCCGTGGTCAACGATCGCTAATTGGCGCGAAGCGCACTGCTGCTGCAAAAGGAAATACGCCTGTGGATCGAAGACTCTGTGTTCAAGACCCGACTCATTTCATGAATGATCTGGGCCGTTCGTGTACTCGCACGCCTGAGCTGCAGAACGCCTTGATTGCGGCACATGAGCGGCTTAGTCGTACGTGCGATACTTGGGCGGGCCCAGAAAGGAATATCTCGATTTTGTCAGCTGCCCTTCAAGCCAATTTCGATGAATTGGACAGACTCCGAGGGCGGATTGTACGGCCAGTGGATTAGCCTCAACTAACCGGAAGCTGGCTGATCAGTATGTAAATTATTAAAGACGGATCCGATGATGGATCAGTGATACCCTGTATATATACCTATCTCTTCTCCGGAGAAATTTGCAAATAGTCCATTATATTATCTTGAGACTGGCTTGATTATAGAAGAGCACGAACGCCTAGTTGCTAGCCCATAGCAGAAGTCTATAGAAATCGGCCGCTTTTGAAAGACTAAAGAGACAATGTATCATCTAGAACAGCAGCGCTCAAGAACGCAATAATATAGGTATGCAATATGAGAAAGAATGGACTCGAAGAAATTATTTGAGGGGGTTCAACGAGAAGCCAAAGGACGCCGCCCAGTGCGAGTGGGAGTGAAATTAGTTGCTATGGAGAGGTTAGTTGCAAGATTCAGAGTTTGATCATAGGAATGAAACCTACTAAATTTCTAAGGGGGAGATTTGGTCCAAAGCGTAGAGCCAATTGCCACCTTGTTCTTCTTTTTCGAGCCTGTAGGTTACTTAATTAGCAGGAGGTTCTTTGCCCGAAGTGGACAGCAGGACATACCAATCATAGGGCCAAAGGATAAGATGACCTTGAGTTTTGTTCAGCAGATCCTCTGCACACTGCTTGTCCATCACGTCATCCGAAGCATGGAATTGTTTGGAGCCAATGGTCGTTGCTCTTCGTCTGCGTCTCCGTGATTGAGAGGCATTGAGATTCACTGCCTCGGAGTAGTCGACATGCGCTGAATTAGAGCGGGGCTTCTCAGCGTCCTCTCCAGCAATGGGGTTATCATCATTCCCATTTAGTACGGTTCTCAACAGGTGTGGATCGGATGCAGTCTTGAGGCAAGACTTCTCGTCAATGGAGGACAAGGTTTCTTGCCTTGCGTGTTCAGACTGCGATCGATCGCCCTGATTTTTGGAACCATGTCCCGTCTGCAATCCAATCTTTTCATCAGATTTTTGTGAGGTGTTTGTCTCAACGACAGGTACGTCAGTCTTGGGGCTGACGAAAGAGATCGGCGAGCCAAGTGGTGCAGAGGCCGAGCAGTTACCTCCAGTGGGACCGGTCTGTCGCTGAGCAGGCGGATTGAAGGCCTTGCTCGGTTGACTTTGCATCTCGGCGAAGCGCTCACCGTAAGCAGCATATTCCTTGTACTCTTTCCAATTCTTCACCTCGCTATCAGGCATACACCGGAAGACAGATCGGTAAATCTTCGTGTTCTTTTCGGCAACGGCCTGCCAAGTATCCAAGTAAAACGCATCATTCACCGGGTCTTTCATACAGTCCTTGTCAATGAACACTCGCTTTAGCTCTGGTTCGGAAGAATGGCCGTATCGGGAATGATCATGGTTGTCCTTGGACATCAGGTTACCAAGACCGGATTCTGAGTCGCGACTTGATGGCTCAGAGACGCCATGGCCATGCGACAGGGTATCTGAGTTGGTATTGGCCTCAGAGTCACGAGGAAGTTCTGTTGAAGACTCGAGCTTGACATCCTTGCGGGTTGACTTGGCCCAAGACGGCTTTGGCTGTTTGATGGTACCTTTGCCCTCTGAATGAATTGGAGAGACAAGAGACTCTCTGCCAACAGGTGACATTTGTGAGTCACGACCAATTCCCCGACCTGCTTTCTCGGCAGCTTTCAAGTTATCAATACCCTCACCGTCTACATCCTTTCGATGTTCGGAGTTATCTGTAACACGGGGATCGGTAGTCAACCTCCGGTTGCTCTTCAGATTTGGATTGTTGCCCTGCTCCCAGTCGACATCATGATTGAAGCTGTGCATGTCTTCTGACCGGGATAAAAATTCATCTTGAACACGGTGCCTGCGCTCAATCATCTCTCGCTCATCTTGCCGCTCAATGACTGACGATTCTGAATCTCGTTGCTGCCGTTCACCGGCTGGCCTGCTATCCTCCTCGGCGTCCTGAATCTTGCGTAGCTCCTCCTCAGTTGCAAAGTCATGCTCCAGAAGCTCGTCAACGTCAATCCCAAGATGCTCCCGCATTAACCGCATGCGAAGAGTGTGGGGGAATCGACCAACGAGGTATGGTTTGCCGTTCATAGTGGACATGATCATATCGGTATCACGGACCACGGATGCAACCTCCGAATCACGAGAGCCCAGCATGGAACGTTCGTTGATGTTTGCTGATCCAATAATGGCGGCACGATCATCGACGACCATGCACTTGGCATGGATATAGAGCTGTTCGGTCACCACCTGCTTCTGCGGCCCGATTTTGCCCCAGGTTCGCAGGCTGAAAAATTGAATAAAATCTTCCGGCTCGATACCCAGTGCACGAAGACGACCGAAGATTGATGTCTCACCGCGACATATGCTGCGATATTGACATTGCATGATCAGACGTACACTAGTTCCGCCCTCACTGTCCACAGTGTTTTGGAAACCCGGCATCAATGGAATGACGATCACAGCGCGCCATGCTTCCTCATTCTTCGCTGCGCGAACAATTCGTTCCACCAAGGCATCACCAATCAGGTTCTCAATCTTTCGACCCTCGATTTCGCAAGTACTAATAAAGAACTGATTCTCAATATAAACAAAGTGCTCGGATTCCTCGATCAGCTTGACGTAGGCGTTCATAATGCTATGTTCGGTGACATCCGGAGTACCTGTGGACCACATGCTGCTGGAACGTAGTATTTGCACTTCACATGTTCCATCCAGACCCAATGCCTCCAAGTCAGCAGGGTTGAAATCTGGAGGAGGTAGGAGGAACGGCGTGGGACGTGTTGGTTTCCGCTGGCGCAGGATATAATTCCAGCGCTGGACAAAGTGCCGGGTGAGATCACGAGCGGGCTGGCCAACCACATGCATCGAGATATCATGCCAAGGCATTCTGGGGACAACGTTTCGATCATACATTTCCTCGTATGGCTTATCTAGATCATAGAAATCCTGAATTCGTGGATTCGAATAATCTTTACCGGGCCATAATTGGCAGTTGTCTGCATCTTTGTGCATGTCTGCAGTTTCAAAGCCGGTAGGCTTGTCATCGGTCAGTTTGTGCTGAGGCGTATCCCAACGCCCGAAGCACAGATCAATACCCCCGACGAAAGCCAGCGTATGATCGATAAGACACAGCTTTTCATGGTGGGCCCAGAAGAATGTGTTCTGGCGGAATTGATTCGGAGACCTTTGCACAAAAATATTGGGGTGCAATTCAAGAAGAGAAAACTTCGAGTATTCAGAGTCAATCGGGATGGCGGAGTTGATGTTTCGGTACATGATAACGAAGATCTTGACGCCTTCACGAGCTTTTTGCTGTAGGAGACGATCCAATCGCCACTTTTGGCTGATGGCAGCTGGTCGACGCATATACAATTCTGGGCTCAACCACCAGTCATGGATATAAATCACATCTTTAGCCTGGTTGATTGCTCTCGAAACAACCCACATGTGATCCCGGGCATCGACGAGCCACTGCGCAAAGCACTTCTGCCGCACTGGAGCAAAGCTGTCAAATCGATTAGGACGCATCCAAGGCGTATTTTGAGCCATGAATCGAATGGAGTCTTCGAACTGCTGGAGTTGGCGTTCATTTCGTGCAAGCAGTTTCAGTTTGCGTTCTGAGTTTTCAAGTCTTAATGTATGGTGCTGAGGGTGTCTCGCAGATTGCTTTGCAGATTTGGCTAGGTCCTTCGCTTTTTGATTACGGAGGCTGATCTTTGGAGTTTGAATTTTGAAATGCGAGTCCACAAGGAAAACATCATAAATGTTCATCTCCTCGGGTGAATCCACACAAACCACGTAGCTGTGTCGGACAAGGAACCACTTAGGCCAGTGTCGCTTCTTAATGAGAGATGGGTTCAGGGCTCTCCGGAAGTCTAAGCCCTTCGATGACTGGATGATCAGGAATCCCTCTTTGCCATGGTAGCTGCCTTCAGCGGCGAGACGAACTCCTAGAGCGGACAACTCAAGGAACTTGCATAAACGATTGCTATCAGCCCGGAAGATCAAGAAACGGATCATCTTCTGCAAGTACATCTCGAGTTTCTTGCGTTGCCTTTCAGGGTATGTTTCCCTTTTGCCACCTTGGACTCCTTCATGTGTAGATGAAGGGGCTACAACGGATTCCCCTTCCTGGGGGTTCGTAATACTGGACTTTCGACGGGCGAGAGGACCAGACGGGCGGCGTTGATGTTGCTGGGTCTGCTTTTTCTTTTTTCCTGCTCTCTCAGTCCCACTCATCGGCTCCGGTCCAGTCTCATAGCCCCCGTCTTCATCTTCGTCCTCGAACTCACTTTCTAATCCTCTAACACCCCGCAAATACGGGAATGCACTCCTGGGGAAACGAGGAAGACTAGGACTGTTCTCACTGGTACGCAGCTGAATGTACTTCTGTGTCCCAAGATGAAGTTTGTATTTCAAATGCAGATTGGCAAAATCTCTCAAGGTTCGAAAGATGATCCACTTCATTCGAGTCATGCCACTGCCGTACTCCAATTCGATGCGGAAGACCAGATGACGATCGCCAGAGTGGGAATCGATGCGACTATCTGTCACACGGACTTTCAGTTGTTCCAAGAGAATCGGAATTCGTTTGCTTCCGTGTTCGTCTCGTTGGAAAAAACTAGCCAAGATCAGGGCAGCTGGTACGGCCGAAGCTAACTCAGCAAGCAACTCTGCCGACTTCTTATTGTCCACCGTATTATCGACCTTGCGCCGCTGCCCGATCAGCTTGAAACCAGCTTTGATCTGTTTCCATCTTTGGGCGCTGGCGCTGGTGCCGCGTTCATTTCGATGGCGTCTCCAAGTGGCCGCAAGGCTTTCGGCATTATCCGAGGGACCGGCCAGACCGGTAAGCCGTCTAAGGTGACTTGGCCGCTGTTCGTCTTGGTTCTCTTCTGGTTGCCGGCCAATATAAGACATGCCACGGCCCCCAGCCCATGCACTCCTTTTTCTTCGATTGAGCCTCTCACGGCCCTCGTCTTCGGATACACCTTCCCGTGGTTGCGGAGTAAAGTCAGTTGTACTAGCTCTCCGTGGGAAGATGTTTTGCCGATAGTTCTCAAACGGCGCAAAAGATGAGGCAAAGTGGAAGGAGGGTCGACGGCCAGCTTTCGGCGTAGTGGGTGCCGTTCGATTATTTGAATCCTCTTCCTCTGCTCGAGGGCGTCGTGGTACCTTCTTTCTTTTGGGGCGATCAGTTTGTTCCGCGCCACTCTCCTCCGCATCTGCCTCGATGTCGCTGCCCTCTTCGGGCAATGGTTCGGGAAACCGAAATTCACCCCGTTCAGAGCCTGGGGTCGCCAGCTCTGGAGGGGGTTGCCGAAATTCCGGGACTGCACCTCCACTAGCGGAGCGCGAGTGTGATGTAAAGGACGACTTCAGTTTGGTAATAAATGACCTTCCTCTGGCTGTCTGTTCTCCATCGTCACCGTACAAAGAAGTAGGCCGGGATTGTGGTCGGGACTGGGGCAATTCAGCGTTTTCGGTATCAGTTTCTCGGAATTGAACACTGGGAGCACGAGAAGGGGGAGAAAACCCCGCAGCGGAAGACTGATGTTTAGGACGAGCCGCAGAAGTCGGATTGTCCTCGTTGGACTTGTTGGGCGGTCGAGTGTTTAGGGATAGCCCCTCTTTCGGCGAACCGCGCTGGGTGGAGGAGGAACGTAAGTTCTCCTTGCTTTGGGAAGTAGAATAGGCATCCTTGGCCGGCTGTGGAGTTTGAGGATCCTGGTGATCATCGTTCACATCTGTCGATGGGACCATTTTGATTGACGCCGGCCGTTTCGCTTCGGTTGGAGAGGGAAACGGCGAGGACAGCTTCGGTGCGGTTGAGGTTGAGATGGGATCTGGTTTCTTGGTTTGGCCCAATTCAGAGCTGTGGCCGGCCTCTCTAGAAGAAGAGGCCAACATTGCGTTGGTAATGCTGCTTTGTTGACCGTCAGTTTGGAGCTCCTGGGGTTGTTCCAATCCCCGGTCACGTACAATGCGGGATGAATCGAGACCCTGTCATGAAGAATCGGATCCTTTAACTTTCATGCTCAGGATAGAACCACCAGACTCCAGATTAATTAATGGGAAAGTAAGGCCCACGCGAGTGTTGACATTTAAAGGAGCACTGGTCGTTCAAATTAGTTCGCAACCGCGGTGGAGCTCCGGCCCAGTAACAGAATGTCTCCGACTGGAGAGGACCCGCCAAGCTAGCCAAGAAACGGGCGGTAAGAGACAATGAAAAGGGGGTGAAGACGGCAAAACGACGGACGAAGGTTTTACCTGTGTAATGTTATTTGATGTGGGACAGACCAAATGAGATGAGAGGAAACCAAGAACCAAGAAACACGATGTGTTTCAACTGTTGTTTCCCATTTCCACATTTGCATTTTGCCCTATTAGGACCCATTGTGGCCTCAGGCACAGTCACGTGGAAATCATACATGTGCTCAATTTTCGAATACTTTGCTATGAGATTTTATAGAGAGTTCAGTGTAGATCAATTCGTCTGAATCTGGGAGATGCAGGAACTAGTCAAACTAATTAATGACTGGATTGGCACTAGTAAGTGTACTGTAGTGGAGTCGGCCCTCGGCTCCTTCGTGTATACCCGAGTCGATGAACCGATTGTTCCCCCTCCCATATCTTTGTACTCTTTCAATCGCGGGCCATTGCATAGAAATTTTATTTTGCTTTGTTGTATCCGACCGTGAATCCTGGTTTACATCCCTTCCTTTCCACATCAACTTTCCCCTCTACGACAATGACCGATCCATTGAAGACTCTAGACTCCGGCCGGCCGAGGCCAGCCGCCGTTTCGCAAGAAGTCTACGCTATCGCCGGAATCTCAGTCACAGTCTTTGGACTTGAAGAGCTTCGGTCGCAGGCCACTGAGGTAGCGTGTCTCTGGCTGCTGCATCCTCGTTTGGCAACTCAAGAGCGAATGACTGATATCGCCGCCTCTACCATCACCGACTGGAACACCAAGACCAAAGATACCCCAACAGCTAAAGGTCTCATAGCCGTTTCTTTTGACCAGCGCAATCATGGTGCCAGAATGGTGAACCCACTGGCAAATGAGGCCTGGCGACAAGGCAATCCGCGCCATGCACAAGATATGTTCTCTATCTTCCGTAAGTTTTCTTGAAACACGAACCGTGCATTCTGGGAATGATAATATCTGACCGGCAGGAATAACTCAGAGGGAACCGCGCGGGATACTTCCTTGTTAATGGACTACCTAGCTGCGTTCGTCTTTCCCAATGGAGAGCATAAGATCTCCGAGAACCTGGTTCTGGGCGTATCCCTCGGTGGGCATGCCGCCTGGAGTTGTCTATTGCATGAGCCTCGCATCAGTGCGGGTGTGGTTATCATTGGTTGCCCCGACTATCTCAACCTCATGGTGGATCGTGCACGACTGTCGAAATTGCCCTCTTGGACAAAGAGTAACCCACCAGGGGCAGAGATCCTGGGCTCCGAGGCATTCCCATCTTCGTTCGTGGATATTGTCGAACAGTATGATCCTGCGAGTCTCATGCTCAAACATGTGAAAAGTGCATCTGGACCACTACGTGACGAGACCCTACCTGCGCCAACGGACCAGGAACAGCAGGAGCTTCGGCCATTGCTGACACGGTGTCTGGCGGGTAAGCGTATCTTGAACCTGTCCGGTGGTGTCGATAAGCTCGTCCCGTATCAGCGGGGTGAAGCCTTTTTGAAATGGTTCAAGAGTGCAATTTCGGACAATGGCTGGTTTGAGGAAGGTGCGATCACGTTCGAGGATATTATTGACCAGGCAGCAGGCCATGAGGTCACCCCTAAAATGGTTGATGAGGCCGTTCGGTTCATCAGTGAGACGTTGGCTATCAACGAGAATAGCAAGGAGCGTAGGGGTTCAGTGCGAGAATCTAAGATCTAGACAGTGCCAAAGCCATGATATGGACGACCACTGCAAATAATTACTTGAGCATATGACCTCATTCCCGTTACGATTGTAGGGTTTAACGATTTAAAAACTACCTTGGCGAAGCATGGGTCATTGGAACTATACAATGACACCAAACGGACTTATTGGAGCCATGCCATATGTCTTAATCCTCTGCCGTGTACACATACGAGGGCTATGCTGAACATTCAAGGGTTTGAGCTTTTACTCACCCCAGGACTGCCGCAGGCGCAATCTCATATCAAATACCAGTCGAAGCGAGACACGCGAATTTGAAAAATCCTCCTTGTGGTATTTGTTTAACACAATGTGAAATCGTAAGGGCATTCGGAGGCCATGCTATGCTGCTTGCATACACAAAAACCCTTTTTCTTTTCGAGCACCAGAGCCAACCATTCCGGCTCGTGGCTTTCTTTTTTTTCAAGTTTCGATCGTCCTCAAGGCAGAAAGACTTTGATCCTCCACTGTAAGACCGAATGCAGCTAGGGCTGCGATTGCCCCGATTCACCCGCCTTCTCATAGATAAACATCGAATCAACGCTTATGCGACCAGCTCACAGACACCACCGGCCTCCTTGATCTTCTGCTCGGCGTCACGGCTGAAGTAACGGGCACGGACGACGACGGGGATCTGGGGGAGACGGCCCTTGCCGAGAACCTTAGAGTAACCGAGGGGGAGGAGGTCGATGACGGGGGCGGTGTCGGTCTTCTGGCCGCTCACGTAGGCGTCACGCTGCTCAGCGGGGACGAGGGACCACAGCTGCAAGGAAAATTTTCTTGTCAGCCAAAATTCCGCATTAAGATCTCCAATTCGATCCTCTCAAGTATGACGGCAACCCAGGTTACGATCCATCTTTGCCTTCTTTTCATATCATGCAAATTTTCGCCTCCCTGGGGTGTCTTCAAAAGATTCGAATTCGTTCCGGCTGGTCACGTACCTTGTCGAGGTTGATGGTGGGCTTCCAGAACTGCTGCTTGGTCTTGTGGAAGTAGCGCATACCGACCTTACCGAAGTAACCGGGGTGGTACTTGTCAATGTTGGTACGGTGGTGGTGTTGACCACCGGCCATACCACGACCACCGGGGCTCTTGCGGTGCTTGCCGACACGACCGTAACCGGCGGACACATGGCCACGGCTGTGAAAGAACAGGAGGTTAGTATCTTGCTGACAGAGGCCGACTGATGGTGAACATGTATAGCGATGCAGCAATCTCGAAATTGCGCCGATCATGAATCTCCCAAAAAAAAAAATCACCGAGGAGCAAGGACAGGAGAGCGACTCACTGCTTCCGGGTGTTCGAAAAACGGGTAGGCATCTTGTCGGCGGTGGTGTTCTCGACAAGACCGGTTCGAGATTTAGGCGTTGAAGGGGGGAAGGGACGTGGATACTTCCGGCTCTGATGTTGAAATCCACGCTCGCGCCTGCTAGAGTGTGCGCTAATACTTCGCTTGTCCCGTGATAGGGTCAAACCCTTACCTGGGGCTGAAAAAGTCATGTGATATCACCGCGTCAGAAATCCATCATACCGCCTTCTGCAATTAGTTAAAGAAACGTCTTATATAATCAATGGATTGCCCTGCGAACTAAGTAGACTAACTAGTAGACTAACTAGTTAACTTAGCCAACTGTTAGTTAGAATAGTTACTTCTCAGTATACATAAGAGAATATTACTTTCCAGAATTTGTCATGACTTTGATTTGGTTATTAAACAAGAGGTTATCCTCATTATTCTTGTGAGATTATAGCCCACCCCTTCGCACCTTGTGAGAACGAGAGTCGTGGCTCATGACTTTTCTGCAAAAAACTTTGAAAGTCGCTGTACAGTCATCTGGGCCGGTCGTGTGGACACGGAGGCTACCAGGCTTCCCTGGATCCAACCTGGTAGTTTTTTCTGAATACGTGGCGTGTCATACCGTCGATCAAACATGATGATGGCTGCATAGTCATTTACATGTCTGATAGCCCGTCCAATGCATTGATTGACAGCGCGCATGCAGGAGTTCTCATAAAAGTCTCTACCCGCAGCTGAGGCATTGGCCTTCTTTTCGGATTCTGACCCCGAGCCATGTCTGTAGGCCTTTTCCTCAATATATTTGATCTTGGACTGCCAGATCGCACTACGGATGTTGGGGAAAGGCAAGCCAATAATCAAAACAGCCCGCCCCAGTCGGTCGGAGAAGTTGATACCTTCCGACAGCTTTCCACCTACTACTGACAACAGCAAGGCTCCGGGTCCCGATTCAACAGCTTCGGTGTACTCCTGTAGCAATGCATCGGTAGTTTTCACTGCTTCGCGAGATTCGTAAAGAATCTTCTTCTTTCTTTCGATTAGGCTAAGGGTCGTTTGTCCATTGCCATTCGGAATCGGTTTCTGCCAGACATTCAAGACCTGACTCAGGTAGTCATAACTTGGGAAGAATGCAACGACTCCATCAGGAATGACTTGACATAGTGTGGCTATAGTTCGCCCAAGATCCGTGATCTATAGAAATTGAGTTAGCCAGATTAAAATCACTTCGTGTGAAACTATCGAAACGTAGAGAAATCTGACCATTTTCTCAGATCCACGGGCCTCGTATGTAAAGTCGAAATCCGAACCCAGAATACCTCGCGTGAGTGATTGTGCCACCAAGTTCGTAGGTGGAATGACGTGACCATAGCTGAATGTACCCAGTCGTTCGGGTGCGACGTATGAGAACAAATGGTTTGCATAGTCTGACATCTGTCAAATACGTCAGTGAACGAAGACCTGAGAGTAAGGAGGCTGGAAATCAATCAAAACTTACCGGAGACATTGTTCCACCCGCCAGAATCACTGCTCGGGCTTCGTCGACAATTTCCCGAAAGTGATTTGTAGGGTCAAGAAGCGTATATTTCAATACCACGTCATCGTTACTCTTCTGATAGAAAAGCCTGCCCTCTTCCGAAGGATTCATCAATGGCAGTAGGAAACTCTGTATATGGAAGAGGACGGGCATGGTGGTCTTGCTTTTCTGGCCTGGTTGAGATTTCTCTGAAGACTCAACATATCCATCCACCTTTCGAGCCAGCTTACTCTCTTGTAAATACCGAGACAATTTGTAAGGGTTGATCTGATCCACTCCCTTGCCCGACATGAGGTCCGAAAACCGAAGTGAATCCTCCGGAGGACTGTTAAGCCCCGCAATCCCTCGAAGATGGTCAGCAATAGAACTGACCAGCCGGATTACTTGGGCAAGATAGCTTCTGTTTTTGCCTTTTAATCGGGTTTTAAATTTGCGAGCATATGTGGTCAATTGCGAGATCGCCGTTTGCAATTGGTATAATGACACTGTCACCGAGTGAATGCCAGCGATGGCATCCATGAGGTTATGGGCCTCGTCGATGATAACCACATGATCCTTGACAGACAAGTTGAGAGCTTCACGAGCAGACTTTTGCAATAGCAAAGGGTATGGGAGTGTCACAATCTATAAAGTCATCAGCGGAAAATCCATACCACCGGAAATGCCACTGTAACGAACCTCACTATGTTTAATGACTTCACGAGAAGCATAGTAGGGACAGATACCAATTTGCTTTCCCACTTTGCCGATATCTTCAATGTCTTTCACTGTCGCCAATGCATGGTCCCGAAACTGAAGTTTCAACGCCTCATCGTCCTTGGACGGGAGAAAGGTGCATTTTTTGTCTGCAGCAACGCCGGACTGCTGCAGTTCTAAACATCGCTCGTTGATGGCAGTACTATTCTCCAGTGCTTGAACCTTTGGATTGATACAGAGATTCTTTCGGGATCCCAGCGAAAGATGTTTTATTCGCTCTTCCAGCTTGGACAGATCGTCTTGGTCCTCCGAATCGGGCGCACTGGGTATGCTGGATGGGAATGCGACTCGCCGCAGTTCACCAGCAAACTGACTTAGCTGGGAGTGTGTTCGAGAACAATAAAAGATCTTGACTGTGTTGTCATCTTCTTCATCCTGCCCTTGAGTGGAGAGCTTTCCCTTGAACTGTTCTAATAAAGCTAGGGTGCTGGCAGACAAGCCATCGACCCCTCCCGAGTCACTCGGTTTCTTCTTTTCGTCTGTTTCACTATCATATTCATCGAGAATGAACTGACTCTCGTCATCGGGCTCCCCCAACGACTCTGGCTCCTTTATTCGCTAGACCAAACCAGTTGGAACATGTTCATCCAAGAGAAGGGACTTGTTGCCTACCTGTTTTTTCCGGGGTCGTTCCTGGCTTCCCTGGGCTTGTTTCAGACGCTCTTCCTCTTGTTTGATTTTTGCGAGTCGGGCTTCAAACTCCTGTCTCTTCTCCGTAATGGCCCGTCGCGAGTCGCGTTTGGCGAATTCAACCATCCATTCTGGTTCATCATCGTCACCTATTAGAATGAGATTACCGACGGTACCCCGGTGGGATGGGGTTGAGAAGCATACAGGCTGCCTGATCCAAAGTTTGTTGGAATGCTTTTCGTTTGTGATCCCGCAGCCAAGTTAATGAGCCACAGATCAAGCTCAACGATTTACCCTAGATCAAGATCAGCTTCGGAAGGAAGGCCGATGGTGGCGTATCATCTGTATAATTTGCCGAGTGGAGCACATACGGTACCTGGTGGTTTTTTTTTTTTTTTTAGTCAGATCCGGGATCAAGGGGAGCTCACATACCAGTGGGGGATTCAAAGACAGCAACTTTGCCATCTTCTAGGCAACCATATAGATTATTCATAAACTGCCGTTGAATCTCATATGGAACAAATGGATGATGGAAATCCCGATCCATGATTGATTCTGGAAAGATCAAGGAACAATTGAAGGGATAAAAATAAACCGTTGAAGAAGTGGGGACTCCAGGCACGAGGAAATGAGAGATGTAATCGCTCCATTTCTCCATTTTTCAGGGGCAAAATACGGAAATAGGACGACTAGTTTGCGGGTCAGTCCGTATCAAACATTCCTGGAAACCAAGCGGGTTTTCATGTAATGTCTCTATGCTACACGAGGATGTATACATGTCCTGTGCCCCGGGCTGAGTCCATATTCCTATTTATATATGAGATCATTAGATCTCCCATCTCTCGTACCATCCTTTAATACCAAAAGTATCCGTACCTGCACCTGCGGGGTGTTTCTCATAAAAAGTGGGCTGTGGTTCACTTTCTCCGCTTGGCGACTTGAACAATCGTCTAATTCTTTTTCTTCACTCTGACCTTCCCCTCCTTTCCTCCTCTGAAGAGGCTGATGATCCGAACGAGTGCCCCCCGCACGCCCGGCGCTTTTTCTTTCTAATTACAAGTCCGAATGAATAGACCGCCACAGGGCCGTGGTCAGCCACGGGTGGGTGCGACTTGGTATCCAGGGGGCCAAGATGACTTCTACATGCCAGAGGTCATCTCCCCCTCCCCCCAAAGGTACGTCAAGTCGCAGGTGCTTCACCCTTTCCTTATGTTTCCATATGTAATCTCAAGATGCCTCGGGTACGAGTACTAATTCGTCCCATCAGGGTCATGCCTGAAGTCCCCGAAAACATGCAGGATAATATCGCGCAACTAGAGCACCACGCTCGGGACCCCCGCCGCGTCCAGCAACCACAGCAACAACAATACCAGCAGCCGCCGCCGGGCCAGTACCGCACTCAGTTCCCCGAGCGCACTTCCTCTGCTGTTCAAGGCCAACCGCAACAACAGCCGCAGGTGCATGATCCAGGCGCGTACGCGCAGTCAGCGACCTATGACAGCATGGATCACCCCAACTTCTCGCCCTTCCCCGTTTTGCGGAATCCACCCCCGAACGTCCCACCTACGGACGAGCAGCGGGAGGCCAGCCTAGAGCGCGCCCGGATGGCTGTGTTGTCGACCACAGACCCGGAGATGCAATTGGCATGGGCCCAGGACGCGCTGGCGTATGTGGAAGTGGCTGCGCAAAATGAGGCCCGGTTGTCGGTGACGCAGCCCCCGCGGCCACACACTCCCCAGGGGGAACGCCAGTTAAAGACTGACGCCTTAAATATTGTCACTTTCCTGGCGGAACAGCATCATCCCAAGGCCGAGTTCATCAAAGGTATGTGGCTCGAGTTTGGCAAGTTCGGTTTTCGGGTGGATCGCAAAGGAGCGTTTCGATGTTATTCGAGAGCGGCAGAGAAGGGGTATGCGCGCGCAGAATACCGAATTGGAATGCAGTTTGAGAGCTCGGGAGAGCCCGAGAAGGCGACCAAGCATTACGAGCGGGGCGTTGCGATGGCAGATTCCGCTTCATACTACGTATGTCTTCTGCCAAACCCCTAATCACCCCTAACACAATCGAAGTCCTAACTTCTGTTCTAGCGTCTGGGAATGATGATTCTCCTCGGTCAGCACGGCCAACGCCAGGACTTCCAAAGAGGCCTGGAGTACATCCGCTTGGCGGCGCAATCTTGCGACCAAAATGCTCCACAGGGAGCCTACGTGAGTTGAAATGGACCCGACAGGTTTGATCCTTCTCATGCTAATATGCTCTACAGGTATATGGAATGCTGCTAGCTCGGGAACTTCCTCAAGTGAGCGTGCCTGAAGCCTTCCTTCCTCTGGACCTCAATATCTCTCGTGTCAACATCGAAAAGGCCGCCTATCATGGATTTGCCAAGGCTCAGGTGAAAATGGGTGCTTCATATGAGTTGTGCCAGCTAGGGTGTGATTTCAACCCGGCCCTCTCCCTGCACTACAATGCTCTAGCAGCGCGCCAGGGCGAGCCTGAAGCAGAGATGGCCATTAGTAAATGGTTCCTCTGTGGACATGAAGGCGTATTCGAGAAGAACGATGAGTTGGCATTTACCTATGCGCAGCGGGCGGCCCAAAGTGGTCTTCCCACTGCTGAATTTGCCTTAGGTTACTTCTATGAGGTCGGAATCTTCGTTCCTGTGGACATCAAAGAAGCTCGAAGTTGGTACGCCAAAGCCGCTGCCAGCGGCAACAAAGATGCATCTGGCCGGATCGATAGTATCTCTCGCTCTAAGACTCTTTCACGGAGGGACCATGAGAAGGTTGCTATCTCTCGCATCAAATCAACCCGGCATGCGCACCAGCGTGGTAATTCTTTGGACCCAACCCCAGAAAACATCGAGATGCCCGATCCTTCGCGAATGACTCTCTCCGATTCCCCTTCGGCTGCGGCTCCCTACCCCGACCGTTCCACCCCCGCCCTCGACCGGGTCAGCCAAGTTATCAAATGCCTGATCCTCGGCCCAGCTCCGCGTTCGGGGTCAATCCGAATCTACGGACGAATGGCCCCCAAGGTTACGGTAATTCTTCGGGCCCCCCAGGCCCTCGTAATCCAGCCTATGGCCCTGGACCGATGGGTTATCGCCAGCCTGGTCCTGGGACTCCAGTGAGCGCACCAGCGGGCCCGACAAGCCCCCAGGCCGCGAACATGATTAGTCCTGGTGGAACGCCTCGTATAGACGTCGGTTACTCTGCTCCGATTCCGCCACCAGGTGACCGACGACGCCCTGCACCTACACGCCTTGATGGAATGCCTCCTCCTGATAGGAAGCCCGTGCGAACGCCGGTTAGTGGCCACCCCGGGCCATTGCCATCACCTCGCGGTCCGGCATCTCCTCGGACAATAGGCTCTCCCTCTTCTGGCACATTTCCTCCCCGCATGGAGTCCCGACAGCCATCCCGGGGCTCAGCATCCTCTACTCCTCAGCCACCGTCCAGCGCCTCCTCGGCACAGATGCCCGCTGCACAGCCGCCCAAACCTAGCGCTCCGCCTCCGAGCAAGGGCCCTAAGACTTTTGAAGAAATGGGAGTTCCAAGTGCCAAGAATGATAGTGATTGTGTAAGTTTCCTTCTCCTGGATTCCCAGTACTCAATGCTAACTAAACCGTCAGCTGGTAATGTGATACCCTGAATGCCATGGACATCGTCCATGTATAGTGGAGTGCACGCTCTCCCACATGTCTTCCTTATATTCTTTAATCCTGGGGGATTTATTTTGTTGCAAGAAAAAAAACCATCGCCTTTCAGATGATACTTTTATACGTTTCCGTTTCCCCACACATTTGCATTTACGCACGGGATATCATGGCTGCCTGGGGCCTTTGGACATATGGTTGTTCTGCTATTTTATTTGACATTGTCTTTAGATACGAGGCGTCACCAGTTATGAATATCACATTTTTGAAGTAATTGCTGTCTTGTGTTTCAGTAGCTTCACGTGTCACTGTGTTTACCTCTTCCCTTTCTCTCCCTCTCCCTCTCCCTCTCCCTCTCCCTCCACGCCTCTCCATACCTCGTTCTCACTGTGATCTTTCCACCCCTTAAAATAAATTTTGAATCACTCCCATCGCAGTCATGGCCCCTCGCAAAATCAAAGATGATACCGGGACAGGTACTGAAGGTCCGTTACTCCAATGCCAGGGTTTCAAATCCGTGGCTAACAAAGACAAGACGCCACCATGATTCTTGATTATTTACGTGAGAATTATCTTAGGATTTGTCCAATGCATAATCCCTGATCTTAATTTTGCAGGAGAACAAAAGTTTGATTCCAATGATGTACTGATGCCCAAAGCGAGGATAGCACTGACTTCAACTATGTTCAGTCGTCCATATTCAGTATGAATAGGTCGCAGTGCTTAGATCTCGCAAAGTTTCTTACACAAACCAAACAGGCGATTCAGATATCAGCAAATCTACACAACAAAATTTCCAAATGTGAGGGGGGTTCGTCTCCGCATTTTCCGTTTAGCTAACAGGAAGTACCGGGGACCAAAGCACAGGCTGCCAAGTTACTACGAGAATTGCACCAAGATGGCGACATCGAAGAACGAATTGCCGGTGCGCCTTGCTAAATCGATCTGGTGCATGATGGTGTATATTTACCTAACATGGGGCGGAATTGTCAGGGAAACAAGCTGTCTATCATGTTTTGCAGGATCCATCGCAGAGCGTGATCCTTGAGGTCATTGCCACGCGGATTCGGGAGATCGAGAAGCTCCAGGAGGAGCTGACAACCATCAAAACCATCGAGAAAAAGGCCCGAGCTACCTTGTCAACCTTTGGGGCCAAGCCGCGACTTTCCGATCTTCGACAAGACATCCAACAGCTCGAGATAGAACGAAGTGCGATTCAAGCGCGTCTGATAAGCCATCAGGGTGATGATGAAGTGAGCCTGCCCGCAGAGGAGCGAGAGAAGCTTGAACGGGATTGGAAGATATGGCAACGTCATGCCACCCTTCGTCATCGCATCTGCCGGGAACTATGGGGAAAGTGCACCGAGGTTTTAACTGAGAATATGACATCGAACGAACTTTGGGTGTGTAGAAACCCACAGCCATATAAATCGGATCACCTGTCGTGTGCTAACATGGCTTGCAGGAGTCACTGGGGCTTGAAGGAACCCTCCAATGAGCGTAGGTCGGGTATTGACGCTACAATGCTGATGATCACTTCGTCCCCACTTCAATCACAATGTGATTTGCGGCTCGGTCTGAGCGGGAGCTTCCTGATTTTACCCCAGGTCGTGTTGCTATTTTTCTTTCTTTTCTTGCTTTGTGGACGATCGCCTGTGAGGAAAGGTCTCATAAATTATATCATTATGAATCTCATTCTGATCCAAGGGCCCTTTCAATAGGGAATCTCTAGGAATGGAGGCAACCGGGGGAAGGCAAAAAAGATCAGATGAACAACGCAGATGAACCAACGAGAACTTGTGGAGATGAATTCCTTCAATTAATCGTCATCCGTTCATTTTCCATCTAATTTTACTTTTTCCTTGTATTTTATGTCTCGTTTGCTTTTAATCTAGGATTATTCGTTGTATAGATAGATACGCTGATTTCATAGAGTTGTCTTACCTAAACCACCCGCACCGGGACTCTTTCCCCTCCTCCGATCCGAATAAACCCCTCCTCCACAACTGTCTGGCGATGCTCTCGGCCTCTCGCCCTCCTTCATCTAATCCCAATCGCCTCGATATGAGAGGCCGTGCGCCACTGCAAGTGCCCTCCGGGCTCCAAAATGGTCATTCCCGCAATCCCTCGAGTCTGGACATGGCTCGCAGCCCGCCCAACCCGAGCAATAAGAGTACGATTGCGCCTCCGCTCCTCTAGCTTGCACGGCTCCAGTTTCTCTGTCTCGCAAGTAAGCTAATTCTGGGTCTCCGATCGCCCCGCAGATACCAAACATGTCCCCTGCAAATTCTTCCGTCAAGGTGCCTGTCAGGCAGGCCCCGCTTGTCCATTCCTGCACTCCACTGACTCGGCCATCGATTATGCTCCCTGCAAATATTTCTCCAAGGTAAGAACCAAGTCATGATTCTTGCTCGACATATCAATCCTCATTTCACGAATTCTCCTATGGCCGGGCGCTGACGGACTTTCTCTTCTTTTTTTTGCCACCAGGGAAACTGCAAGTTCGGCGCCAAATGTGCTCTAGCACACATTTTACCGGACGGACGGAGGGTGAATCGACCAACTGGTGGTGGGGGTGGAGGTGGAGGTGCTGGTATGGGAATTGGGGGTAGCCACCTGAACTTGGGTGGCCGGGTTAACCCACAGGCGTATGTGAACCAGGACTCGGCCTTGACGAACTCAGTCCTTTCGCAACAACGTATGAATGGCCACGAAACGCGATATGCCCCTCAGCCAGAGGATTTTCCCACCGTGCACGGGCAGCAAGTACCGCCATATGATTCGATCCCAACGATCGACGCCGGATTGGCCTCCGATGCCGGTTCGAAGTATGGTTCTCCGGTAGAGGATGCGCGCTTCCCCATGTCACCCAACCACCATCATCTAACCGCCCTTGATGCTGCACTTCCTGCATCATTCGATAGCCAAGGTATCTCTCATGTCGCGCGATATGGCCCCGTGGCTGCTTCAATGCCCTCGAAATTTGGCCTGGAACTGTCTCCGCCCGCACAGAGACCTGGGCCCTCAGATGCTTTCAGAAACCTACGTGACATTGGCTTTAGCTCTGAGCGTCGTAAGCCATTCTCTAATATTGGATCTTCACCTCCAGCACCTGAGGATACCGTGGGACCTCGATTTCTACATTCATCACGTCCTGTCAAGCCACGTATGCTATCCGCAAGCGTCCCTCGACCTACTGCGCTCGATGACTGGGATGAAAATTTTCCTATGGAAGAAGACTACCTGCCGATGAATCTACACGATGATGTTCTTACCCCGCAGGAAAAGTTGCGCCGGCTGTCCCGGACGGATCATGATATCAGCGGCCTCGGCATGAGCAGTAGCTTTTCCAAGAATGGCTCGCCTCTCGCGTCAAGCCCGTCCCGGTTTGGAGCATTGTTTGCGAAGCAGCGTCAGAAAAAGGATGATGATGGCGTGGCATCCTCGTTCTCTCACATTGGCTCTCCCCTCCGTGAATCCGCGCTGAACCCTGCTGCTAGCCCCAGTCTAGGCCCCATCGGCAGCCGAGCCTCCCACGATGGCTCGCCATTTGTCTCTAGCCCCGGAAGACAGTCATCCATGTCTATGATCTCCGAGCAGCTCAGTGGAATGTCTCTTCACCCAGGCTCCGCTCGACACTCCTCCATGGCTCCAGGCCGCCTCGACCGCACCATCTCCTCAGGTACCACCAGTAAGATCGAGGAGGAAGAGGAGCAGAATGACCTTGTCTTCTCCATGGAAGAGGAGGAAGGCAACAAGCGTAACAGCTCTTCCTGGAACTCCGACGAGACCAAAGAGAGCTCCAACGACGCCTAATTATACTTTTACTACTCTCACGACGACACGGACCAAACGGCGTCTTAACTTTTTATATTGGACATGTTCATATCAAAAAAGAGGCCATTGGAGTTTTACTTGGGCACACAACAGCATCACCGAGCGTCAAAAAACAATCATGGCCAAAAAGAAACAGGAGAAATCGGCAACTCACAAATTCTCGGAAGTACGATCCTTCTTTAAAAGCCCCCCTCCCCCCTTGGGCTAATATCTGTCCCCTGTCGGCGTGGTTCGGCGACATATAAAGAATTTGGCCGAATCCCATAGATTGACTTGTGAATTTTGCCGTGCTTGTTCATGATTATACTTGACTTTTGGTATTTTTCTTTTCGAGTCTCATATGGGTTAAGTATTTGTTCTACACCTTTGTTTCTGAATCATATTAGAATCGTCGCATGGTTTCTTCGAGACTGGACTCTTTTCCTTGGCCATCTCCTGTATTAATCTCTTTGTCTTCTGTGTGATCTTATGTGGTCTGGGGGATATCGAGGCTATTTGGTCCCGTTGATCTTTTGATACTTTATTCATGAGTCAATGACCTTGATTTCTGGTGTTTTGTCTCGGCCTGCGTTTCCATATTTCACTGGTTCTTTCTCATCCCCTGATCGTGCAATGTACAAATGGGAGATGCGCAAATATGCAATGGACGTAGGCTTCATATATTCTATGATAGAGTCCTAATGATTAAAACAAACATTCATATTGATATTAGATACATTTAAGGATTCCAAGGTTACCTCCCTGACATCCATACATCTTGTAAACGCCCCTTATTCTTGCCCAACCCTAGAAATAAATGACGCCTCCAAAGGGAACGAAATATAATATGAATGCGCAATTTGGACAGCACAGAAAATAAAAGTGAAAAAATTGCTTGTCTGCTTCTCTTCTTCATCCACAGGTAAGGTGCCACGGTATATGGCACGGTCATTGGGGTATTCGACTCATTCCTTCTTGGACTGAGTAAGGATTTGGCTCGTCGTCAGACGAGCCAACTGATCAGCTAGGATTCTACTTTCACGACATTTCAAGTCTGCAGCCCGGACGCTGTCGGCTTGATCATGATAGAATATCTTGTACAGCTCGTCGGTGCCGGTGACGACTTGTTTCACCATGCATTCAATGGCTCTCGGAGCCAGAGCCTCGACCCGAGCTTCAAGGACAGTCTCTTCACTGACACGCTGTCGCTTTTCCTCATCCGATCGTTGCTTCTCTTCTTCCTCCCGCTTGCGCTTCCTTTCGGCGACGTGCTTCTGACGCTCTTCTTTACGAGCAAGATATTTGAGAGAGTGGGCCAACTCCGGCTGAGCTGGTGTAATGATATCCAAGGGGGGAGCGGAGAAAAATAACACGTGGCCCCTCTCATCACAATGAAACTGCTGACGGATATCGGCGGGGATGGCAGCATTGGCCGCATCGCTGAGGTGGAAGACCTCGACTGCACGGGGGGCATTGGGGTTATACACAGGCGCCGCGGCATTGGGACGGTTGGTGGAGTAGGGGGCCGCATACGGCGTTGGCTGTGCTGCCGAATATTGATGCGTTGCCGGTGTTGATTGATAGACGCTAGTTGGGGTTTGCGGCACGAAGTTACTTGGGCGACGTTGGTTGGGGCCTTGGTACATCTGCGGGTTCATTGGAGGCTGGAATGTTGCTTGGGGCATAGGTGCTGGTGACGTTTGGGCCACAGGAGGCGCGGGTATAGGTGTCTGAAGTGGAGCCGCTCCTGCATTGCCCGAGTTCGCCATAGTAGCACCCAAGAGGGGTTGGTTCATGGACTGACGGGGAGTAGCAGATGCCATGGCGGATGGAGGCAGAGTAGGAGGCGGAGATGGGGTTGGCTCCGGCGGTGGGGATTCCTGGTGATAACAGTCAGATCTTGTCACTTAAACAGAAAGAGAAAGCATTATTGAACCTACATTCTCGTCACGAGGGCGACGGTGAACAGCACCCACAACAGGAGGCGCGTTGTCTGCGCCCCAGGTTGGCCGGGGAAGATCATCCGTTTCCTTGGCATCGTCCTTCAATAGATGCTTAATTGGGCTGGGGACCTTCTTGATCTTCCGAGGCACATCAAAAAGATCCATTTCGTAGTCCTTCTCGCGTACCTCATCTGGCAGACAGCTCGCCCATGTCTTGATCTTGTTAAGCTTGTGCTTTTCTTCATTGTAGCGAGCTTCACAAACATAGATCTCCTTGTCAGGCGCCAAGTCCCGTGGGCGTCCCCGGCTGTAGCGAGTGAAGAACATCACAAAGCAACGATCAACAATTTCATCAATGCGATGGTCTCGATATTGGCCAGTTTTCACCACTTCGTTAGGGTAAAAATGCTTCTCGAAGTGGTGAACCGTTTGTTCAGGGCGGTAATACCAGCACGCATTGATCCATTGTTCATTCTCAGAATCTTGCCATGTCCGATAGATCTGCGCCACAATGGGTTTGGTCACATCATTTGGGTTTTGAATGTGAACCCAATCTCCAACCTTCCAAAGCTCGCCTCGATGTAGGATACCATTTGGCAAAGGGAACCGACCATCTTCCATTAAGTATTCGCTATCGGGTTTCTTCTTCTCCTGCTCGGCCAGTTTCCGAGCATCACCCTGCAAATCAGCAGCGTCTCGGTATATTTGGCTTTCCGATTGGTTGTAGGCCTTGGCGTTGTCGAACATTAGGTCGAGATCCCGCATGAAATGGTCCACGGAATTGTACTTCTTGCGCTTCGCTTTGCGCTTGATGATGTCGATGGCGATCGGCTCCTTGATTTCCATGTAGTAATCTGGATAAGCAGCCTTATCTGGAAGACGCTCGAAGTGAACGATCTTCAAGTGGCCACCGGGCCCCTTGAACTTTCGGATTCCTTTCAAAATGGTTTTAATCCGAGTTTCCATTGGAGTATCCACGCGAGGCGGCCGACCTCGCTTTTTGCGGAGATCCGGCTCCTGTTTCTGGGAGTCCTTCATGCCACGTTTGAAGCCAGGTTTCGGTCCAGGTTTCTTTCGGCGGCGCCCCTCATCTTCGGAATCTTCTTCGTCGTCTTCCTCTTCTTCTTCCTCCTCGTCCTCATCGTCGGGCAAGGGATCCGCCTCGGGAATCTCTCCCAGGTCTGGATATTTGGCTTCCTCGGTGGATATTACGCCACTAGCCACGAGCTTCTTAAATTGGTCATGGAAGACCTCCTGTGCGTGAGAATAGAGTTAGCCACTGGCCCACAGTGCATTCAGAGAAAATCTGAGATGAGAGACTATATTTTGAGGTTATTATTCCTACCTTTATCACAAGAGCATCCTCATAGGCTTGCGACTTGGGTCTGTTGTAAGTTTGCGCGTTGTGGGAGATCTAATGGTCGGTAAAGAGGAAATCAGCTTCATGGAATTAGAAGAAGAGCTCAAATCGCGTACCAAAGCGCAATCGCGCACAAAATCCGAGAATTGCTTATATTCGCGCTTGTTGATTCTCTGCTTCAGGATACTTAGAGCTACCGGCTCCTTGATAATATCCTGGTAGTCTGGAACAAGGCGTTTGTTGACACTGCGGTGGAAAAGTCGCGATGGATCGTGACCACTATCAGGGAATCAGCATTTCGACTTGCTTAGGTCCTCTCGTGCGACTAATACACTTACTCCGGCTCGCGAAAATCGTATATCGCCATTGTGACATCCATCATGGCCTTCCACTTATCATCGGTCATAGCGCCATCCTCCTCGATTGAGGTAACAGGCTCCTCCGGCCGAGGCTGTGCTTGCGACTGCTCTCGCTCCACTTTATCCATGGTGCACTACCAGAGTTACCCGTGGAGAATCAAGAAGTGGAATGAAGATAACGGAAGCGAGCTGGTTTCGTCGTAAAGGGAGAGAGTGCTCAGGACGGTTTAAGTTACGCGCTGCTGAGTCATCCATGGTCGATACACCATGAATACGGATGTAATGTTATTATGGATGCCTTGTTATACAGGCTACAACAAGAGCCCCGGGATTTCAACCATCGCAATATACGTCCATAAATGGGCTTGGATCTGGGAAGCCTCCGGCGTCTCAATTCCTAGCACGTGCAATTGAAGCGATTCGGGGAGTCGGATGCGCTGTAAGGGAGAGTAACGGCTATACACGAAGTGGGGTGTGCAGTCGAGATCAAAGCATGCGTAGCTACCTAAACCATAGAAAAAAAAGTTACATCTGGAGACCTGGAATCATTCCATCTCATCATGACAGCTACATCGTCAGTGGGCAGAGTTCATACAAGTATAGGTATAAATTTGTGAAATCGGGTGAGTGATACAGCATATATAGTGGCGTTGCATGAGTTTGAAACCCCCTCCACTCCTTACATAATATTCTGCCATGTTTCCTGCCAGCCAAAACCTCACATGCTTAGCTAAATCAACTCAGAATAACTATAGAACTTGCAAGCTGAACATCACTGAGAACATTCCTAATAACGTACCACATATGACTTAAGAACTGTGTGGTGACCGGTGTTCTATTCTGGGTCAGCGCGCTGTTGATAGGCGGTAAGCTATACATAGTAGGCGGTCTGAAAGGCTGGTTTCAAACCCATGCAACACCACTGTATACTTCACCTTATGTACACTTAAATACTTTACCCCACATCTGGACCCAGCCAGTCGTCATCGTCCCCCTCACTGGATCGGTGCGGGACCTTGATCTCCAAACTTCATCATATTTTGTCTTTACACACCCACCGTCACTTCCTTGTGCTGTTTCATAGTACAATGCGGATGCGTGTACGAGGGCCCGAGGGCCAGTCAATAGTGACTCTCCTGGATGACGCCACTGTCAATGACCTTCGGACGCAAATTGCAAAGAACACTGGCCTGGCTTCCTTCGAGGTGAAATATGGATACCCAAACCTCAAACCCCTGGAACTCGACCAGTTTCAATCCGATCACAAAATTACGGATATCGGGGTCAATCTGAACGGAGAACAGCTGATTGTCGCTCAACGAGAGGGAGCTGCCCGACCTAGTGATCCGCCATCCCTCAATCAGCCGAGCCCTGCTATCCCACGGCTGTCGCAACAATCGTCTTCAATGTCGCAAAGGCCAGTATCAACTGCTGATGATCCCCCTGAGATTGCTTCACCCGAACATGCCGGCACTTTTGTGCTCCGGGTCATGCCCGATGACAACTCGTGTCTCTTCCGAGCAGTAGGCGCGGCGGTGATGGGTGATATGGATACTATGGTCGAGCTGCGGTCGATCATCGCGGGATCTATTCAATCGAATCCCTCAGAATACTCAGCAGCCATCCTGGGCAAGAAACCGGATGAGTATTGTCAGTGGATTCAAAATGATGACTCGTGGGGCGGCGCGATCGAGCTCAAGATTTTAAGCGAGTATTTCAACATCGAAATCTGTTCCATCGATGTAAAAACCTTACATATGTTCCAATTCAATGAAGGCGCCCCGACTCGTTGCATTGTGGTCTACTCGGGTATTCACTACGACGTCCTAGCACTCTCGCCCTCCGACCCACCATATACTCGTGCCAATCCTTTGGCAGACGGCGACACCAAGATCTTTGACGCGATTGACCCAGTCGTATTGGAGAAGGCGAAAGAATTATGTCGGGTTCTGCAAGGCAAGCATTATTATACTGATACCGCTGGGTTTTCCGTCCGTTGCAACACGTGTGGAGGCACCTTCACTGGAGAGAAAGGAGCAACCAAGCATGCCTCAGAGACGGGCCACTATGACTTTGGGGAAGCTGGTTAAGCAGGACATGGACAAACATTTCATACATTTTGATATAGGTTTAGAATATAATGTTTTCGGCAGGGTGTTATGGAGATACATAGCAATATGGGATCAACGCTTGTTATTATGGGGGGCAAAGCATTCACAATCAAGATGTATTGTATACATCAAAACTGCATCATATATCGTATAAGTCTCTTTAATCTCATAGCATCGCGACTTCGTCGGCTTCGTCTTCTCCAGCCTCATCATCTTCGGCTGACTCCCCACTCTCCTCGGGGTTGCCTCCCCACTCCACGTCATGGTGAACTGGGTTGGTAAAAAAGTCGTGTTGCAAAGCTTCCTCGGCACTGAGCCGCTTTGTTGGATCCAGTTCCATCAAGCCCGCAAGGAGACGCGTTGCTTGCTGTTCGCTTTCAGTCAAATCCTCCACACAGCTTGACCACTTCACCAGCTTCTCCCAGCTGTAGCCCTTTTCGCCGATGGTAGGCACGTTGGTTTCGAAGATCTGCCCGTGCATGGCCGCTGCAGTCTTCATTCGCCGGGTGCCAAAGATACTGGACATTTCAATCATGGCATCGATGTCATCTGCAGAATTGAAGAAGGGGAACCGACGGCCGAGTAAGGTTAACAGAATCACGCCGACGGACCACATGTCGATCTTTGTTGTCTGTGACGTACATTTGAATAGTACCTCTGGTGCGCGAAAGCCTCGAGTTCCAGCCCGATTCGCTCGCCTCGATGATCGAGAGTCATTCTTGGGATAACCGGTCGACAGTCCACCGGCTGGTGGATTCTTTGAATAGTAGCTCGAAAGTATCCGACTTCGGCGAACATATGACTGATGGGTGCAGAGACATGCACCAGTGTATTCGGAACCTTGACGCTGTAGAACGATGAATAGTCAGTCTCTAAATCGGCACATCCAGACACAAGAAGCCACAACTAACCTCTGCAAGCCCGAAGTCGACTAGTACACCTTCTTTAAGGTCCGGATTGTAGAGAAAGTTACTGCAAAAGGTCATATCAGTATGCAATCCAGAGTCTGAAAGTCTCACGAGGGGGCATGTACGTTGGTTTGATATCGCGATGGAGAATGTCATGTTCATGAACCGAGTGCAATGCAGTGAGGAGGGACCGTAAGTAATGGCGCATATCTGCCACCATGAATGTGCGATATTGAATGCGAAAGTCGGTATGTGGGAAGTAGGGCAACACAGCCACGACTTGATCTTGGAATCGGAATGCCGTGATCAAAGGGCACACAGATCGACAGCCTCGGAGATCGTGCAGAAGCTCCAGTTCATTTTGAATTCGAATTGGGCTACTGGTAACGTAGATCTTCTTCAGCGCCACATATCGGGCTTTCTTGTGCCTGGCATGCTCTCCTTCAACTCTGCGTCGTTTGGAGGGAGGGCTGGCCCAGGCTTCCTGTTCTTGCGCTTGCCCGAAGATATCCCAGTCGTTATGATAGTGATCGTAAAGTAGATCTTCCGCTTTGTAGACTGTCGAAAAGGTTCCTATGGGATGACCAATGGTTAAATCTAAGTATTTGTGCAGCAGATCCGATCCAACCATACCTTCTCCGATTCGATTGACCAGTCGGAATCGGTCCGAGATGCCAGGAAAGGTATCTTCCAGCTTGGTCATGTCTTCTCGAACAGACTCGTCCACTTCCTCTTCCTCCTCCTCCTCCTCCTCCTCCTCATGGTCACTCGCTCCCTGGGGCGTTTCGCGGAGGCTTGTCCTATCATCACCATCCTCCGACGCGTATTTTTGCGTTGCGGGCTGTAGTCCTCGAAAAGAACTGCTCCGCTGGAGTTCAAAGACTCCGGTGGGGGCAGCTCGGAGAGCCGACATAGCACAAGCTAAGTATGAAAGAGAAGAGATCTCGGAGATAATCCAAGGTCGCCTGACAATACCCTGATCCTGTTCACGGGGAAATGGGGGGAAGGAAGAGAAGGGTTCAAGCGCATTACATGCGTATCGCTTGTTTTTCTCCGAAAACCACGGCAGTACGAGGGTATAATAGGTAATATTACGGGCGGTGAGGGGTCACCGTGGTTCCGCGCGACCAAAAGAGTAAAAGCCAAACACGGATATCGTCAACAAGGGTTTGTTTCCCCTCCTTCCCACTTTCCGGACCGATAACACCAACAATCTTTCCTCGTGGACCACGACAAAGACATGGAGGATAGAATACAGTTCGATATCAATGAGTCACTCAAGTACTACTTGAGTGATCCATCTTCCCTTCCCACCCCCGAGGCAGACCCAGAGCTTCTCGACTGCGAATCTGACCCGGATCAATTGTCGCCGGCACTGATTGACAACGTTTTAAACCCGATCGTGGATGCAGTGGCGGAAAACCCAGAAGCCCTAACAAGATCTTCAATTTTTGATTCTCTACAATATCTATTAAAGTGCGCACCGGTCCCTTCCCAATTACCCCATGGAGGCTTTCGTCCACCAGGAATCGACTCTGAACTTGTGAACCCTTGCAGATATACCACATTCGTCCCCGTGAAATCCCTCAGCAAACTACTCGACCTTATCGTATCCGGACTGTCTGTTGAGGCAGACATTATTCATGGCGACTTAGAATCTGACGAGCAGGATGCCATCCAACACCACAAACAACTCCTGGAGATGTACGGGTTCCTGCTCCAGTGGGCTCTATCTGCGGTAGAGGTCAAGGCGGCAGAGAAACCTGCAGAGTCTGCCCCTGCCCGACGAGGAGGCCCCAAATCCAAGAAGTCCGCCAAGGATGGACACTGGGATTGGACTCCCCAGATCCAAATTTCCATGGAGACCATGTGCAAGGTGATGAAACTCAAATTAGGCCGTATTTTTCTGACCACCTCGGATCGCGACACCTTTATTAATTTGTTCACCCGCACTATCTATTTGATCTTGGAGAGCGAGCAGAGAGTCAAGAGCATGGCCATTCGAATGCATGCCTTCAAGGTGCTGTGCATCGCGGTGAAGCACCATGGCCATGCCTTTGGTATATTTTACGGGTGGATGGACAAATTGATTGCTGGAGCTAATTCGCATAATAGGAGCGCAAACCTCAATCGTTCAAAGCCTGACATACTTTGAGCATCTGTCCGAACCCATGGCCGAATTCCTTCACATCCTTGCGGAACAATACGACTATCCTCAACTCTCGGATGAGATCTTAAAGTAATGTTTCGCACAGAGTACCCACCCAAGGGCCTTGTGCTAATATGAACCAGGGAACTTGGAAATAAGGAGTTCAACTCAAACGACACCCGTGGGCCGAAGTCCGTCTCTGCATTTATTATCAAGCTATCCGACCTTGCCCCGAGATTGATCATTAAGCAAATGACCCTCCTAGCCAAGCAGCTCGATAGCGAGGTGCCTACATTCCTTGCCTCCCTCAATAGACCCCAACTTAGACTAACCCGTTATAAAGGCATACACACTGCGCTGTGCAGTCATCGAAGTCTGCGGCAACCTCATCTCCGATTTGAGCCGACAAGAAGAACCCAGCGAGAATTACAAGACGCAAATCAACGCCTTTTTCGACGTATTGGAAGAGAGATTCCTGGACATCAACCCCTATTGCCGCTGCAGAGCCATTCAGGTCTTCATGCGAATCTGCGATTTAGAGCAGAAATTTCCTAAGAGACGGCAGCGTGCATCTGAGTTGGCTGCGAGAAGCCTGGAAGATAAAAGCAGCAATGTGCGACGGAATGCGATCAAACTGCTGTCTAAGCTGGTCGCTACGCACCCATTCAGTGTGATGCACGGCGGTCAACTCTCGTACAAGGAGTGGACCGAGCGCTTAGATGGGGTAGATGCGGAACTGAATGCTCTGCGGCCCCCAGAGACACCAGGCTTTGATGCGGATGCTACTCAGGGCGTCGATCCTGAATTGTTGGATGAAGCAACCCAGATGCCGGATGACTCGCCTTCGAAAGCGCCCAGGATGACAGAAGAAGAGAAGGAAATCGCCGTGCAAAAAGCAGCGGAACAGGCGGCCACATCCGAGTTGTTGACTCGGTTACAGCTGACCAGGAAATACTACAATGAGGCTTTGCGCTTCATCGAAGTTCTCCATTCGGGATCCACAGTAGTGTCTCAGCTGCTTTCATCTCGCAACAAGAGTGAGGTAATCGAGGCCATGGATTTTTTTGTGGTTCTAGATGCCTACAAGGTCGAGACAGCTCGTAGTGGAATCCGTCGCATGCTCCGTCTAATTTGGACCAAAGGCAACAGTGATGAAGGCAAGGGTGTTCAAACTCATCTTATTGACTGCTACAAGGGGCTCTTCTTTGATGCACCTGACTCTTTCAGCCCCAATGATGCCGCGAACTACATCGCTCGCAATATGATCAGTTTAACCTTCGGCTCGACACCAGCCGAACTCACTTGTCTGGAGCAGTTACTTAGTACCATGATGAAAGCAGGACATGTCTCGGAGACAGTAATCGCCAAGCTCTGGCAGGTTTACAGTGTTCAGAAAAAGGAAATCTCGAAAACCCAGCGCCGGGGTTCCATTATCGTCCTTGGTATGCTCGCGTTGGCCGACCCAGAGGTTGTCGTCAAGGAGATTGAGGCTATGCTACGCATCGGCCTCGGCGGCTTGGGACGATCCGATCTTGTGCTTGCCAAATATACCTGCATTGCTTTACGTCGCATGGTGCCTGGGCGTCAGGCTAAATCCAAGGATATTGGTATCCCCAAACTTGCCAACGACCATTCGGTCTTGACCAAGCTTGCCGCCATGCTCGAAATTGTCTCTAACAGCAAAGAGTGGTATGGTGTTGCGGAACAAGCTATCAGCGCCATCTACACTCTATCTAAGCACCCGGATGTTCTTTGCTCTGACATTCTTCGGAGAAAGACTCGGTTTGTGTTCCAGCCTCATCTTCAACGCCCTTCCTCCTCGCATGTTTCTGTGGATGAGGAGGACCAACGTCCTGGTACCGCATCAACCGATGGGCTAGGCTCAAAATCAAGGCCTTCATCCGCAGCCCTCTCGCAACTCCTGTATGTCGTTGGCCATATTGCGATCAAGCAAATTGTGCACTTGGAGCTGTGTGAGCTTGATTTCAAGCGCCGCAAGGCGGAACAAGAGAAGAATAAGACGGCGGAGGCTGCCGCTCAAAAGCCCGCCGACAATGCCGATGAGGATGAGCTTGACTTGATCGGAGGTACCACCGAGGACGATTTTCAAGACGCCATGGCTCATATTCGTGAGCGTGAGCTACTTTATGGCGAGAACTCCCTTCTTGCAAAGTTTGGTCCATTAGTGGCGGAGATTTGCGCCAATAACAACACCTACCCGGATCGTGATCTACAGGCATCCGCGACCTTGTGTTTGGCGAAGCTCATGTGTGTATCGGCTGAATATTGTGAGAAGAATCTTCCGCTCCTGATCACAATCATGGAACGGTCCGAGGATCCGATCGTGCGCAGTAATGCCGTTATCGCACTGGGTGACATGGCCGTCTGCTTCAATCATCTCATTGACGAGAATACGGACTTCCTATACCGCCGTCTCAATGATGACGAGGCATCCGTCAAGCGTACTTGTCTCATGACCCTCACCTTCCTGATTTTGGCTGGTCAGGTCAAGGTCAAGGGTCAGCTCGGTGAGATGGCTAAATGCTTGGAGGATGATGATAAGAAGATTGCCGATTTGGCCCGCATGTTCTTTACCGAACTGGCCACCAAGGACAATGCTGTTTACAACCACTTTGTGGACATGTTCAGTCTGTTGAGTGCGGAACGGAATTTGGAGGAGGTATCTCTCCGCCGTATTGTCAAGTTCCTCATCGGATTTGTGGAGAAGGTAAGTTTCAATTGTCCAACTCGTTCTACAACTATACTCATACTGTATGCACAGGAGAAACATGCTCGCCAGCTAGCGGACAAGCTTGCCGCCCGACTGCCTCGTTGCGAGACGGAGCGGCAATGGAATGATGTCGCCTACGCGCTGTCTCTGCTCCCACATAAGAATGAAGACATCACCAAGACCGTGACTGCTGGCTTCACCAAGGTCGTCAGTGCCTCAGCTTAGTATAGGCAATCTTGAGTTTTTATTCCATGCCTTGATGTTTTAACGACTGTAACTATCTTGTCTCGATGTTTCTTGTGTTTTGTTTGGAGGGGGGTTTGGGGGTGTTGGTGGCTACCAATCGGTTCGGGCTGGTTCATGGCTGTTTTGCATGTTGCAATGAATCGTTGTAATCTTCATATTCTTCTCTCTAGGCTACATGTCACTTTATATACCATAACCTAGGGACCAAGTGCAGGTGTTGAAAACGATTTTATATTCATTCTGAGCACTCAAGGGAGTGGTTGCTGCTCCCTCGGCAGGAAAATAAGACCTCATTCGGCCGCAAGTGACTATCCACAAGAAAAAAGGGAGGAGAGACAAGGTACAGCCCCTAGGTGAAGGCATATAAAGAGCAAGAATTCTAAAGTATGTGAGACGGCGAAAGGGGGAAACAGAAGGAGATATACGCCAAAGTAGAAAGGGTCGCGCATGCCAGATACGCCACAAGTTCTGCGATCAAAAACAATAGAGAGCCGTGGATCCTTGAGAATTTGGGGAACTGAATAAACAAGAGCTATGCACCGTGTACTGTACTTTCCTCCAAGGCGTATTTTCCATCTCGAATACCCTGCAAAACCTTCTGGCCTTCCTCGGTCAATTCAGGCTTGCCCAGTGGAGTAACTGCACCGGTGAAGAAGCGCGGACTCCATTCGACATCTTGTTCCTTGCGCTCCGCCGCTCGCTGGCGCTGGCGTTCCTCGATGTCCTGCTTGAGTTTGGTCGCCTGAGTGAACTGTTTACCCACAATGGCATCTGTCACTTCGCCCCAGAACTTCAAGGATTCATTGGATAGCTGTTGTTCGTCCGGAGGCAGGTCTTTCGAAGCCGGGTAGAGAGGCTCAATGTCGATGAGCAAAATGGGCTCTTTGGAACCCGCCGGGGTGTAATATATTTTGCCGTGCCAGGACCCGCTGATTCGCGCGATAATATCACTCTCCACTACATCCTTCAACCTTGTGATGTTATCCTTCTCAGGGTTGTAACGGAAAACCACGCCCTCCATCCGGTTTTGCGAGCGGCCAAGCCATCCTTCCTCCAGGTATTGTAAAATCGCTTTCATGCCTGTTTTAGGACAAGTGATGTAGCATGCGTCCGACACCGTAATCGACAGAGCGCCTCGCAGTAAGCCTCCCAAGTGTGCATGAGGATGCGTTAATTGATATTCCTCATTGTCTCTCTTTTCGAGATTGACAAAGATACCGAGATTGTGCTGACCGGGGCTCACTCTAATACTGGTGCCGGTGAACTTGGCGCTGAGCTGGTCAAATCCTCGTGCGGAGACACCCCGCTCAGGGCAGTCGATGTAGAAGGCAGAGACGGGTGGGTGATGAGATGTCTGCTCAGTCAAGTAGCACACCTTGACCTTCTCGTTGCCATCCTTCACGATAGTGCCATTGCCATTTACGTCGACCCCCGGGAGATTGGTTTCCAGAGGGGCAATATCTTGCACATCCCAGCTGCACTATTTGTCATCGTCAATACCCATTTTCTGCCTTCCTAGCCAACCCCGAGAGGATTTGCTCCATTTAACTTACTCGGAAAAATTCTCCCAAGGTCGAGTTGTACGGTTTGCATGGCTTGCCCTTGATGTATTTCTGTTGGATGGTTCAGTACCTTCATTCCGTTTCATGGACAGGCCGCAGGTCAAGAAATACCAGGTCTTTCGTAAACCAGAACTTCAACACCTCCAGCATGCGACCTAATTCATCATCCGACGTGCCAATACTGTCTAGAGTCAGCACAAGAGCGACTGCTATCGAAGGGCCACGGGTGCTGACCTCGCAAAGGTCTCCGGTCGGTCCAGGTAGTTCCAATATTCTGAGTCCCACGTCAGTTCCCCATGTCACACACAGCTTCCCCAACTGTAAACCTACCCAGATTCGGTCGCGGCTCTAGGAGCTGAGCTGGCAACGAAAAACGAACCGAAGCGATGTCTGTCACACCCACGAATCTGGGTGACCGTTGTATTAGTAAAGTTTTCGCTCAGATTGGTTCATTTTCTTTCTGTCCCTTCAAGTTGGACCTCTTGGAGAAACTTGGGGATCAAACATACTTGCGCAAAATGGAGAGAAAGGTCTTCAGCTTGGAAGAATCATCGGGGGCCTTCTCAGGCACGGCGGTGGAAGACATGGTGCGGAGTGGCGGTTTGCAAAAGCTAACGGAATGCGAAGTACAGGGGTTTAGTGGGCAGCGGGCCCTAGGACGGAGATAGATCAAAGAATGAGTAGGAAGTAGCAATGAGCTTAACAAATCAAGTATAGGGAAAAAGAAGGAGAACAAGGAAACCGTGACTGGTAATTCGGGGAAAGGTCCAGTGACGTGGGAAACTGTTATTTTTTGCCTTTTTGCCCCGGGTGGGGCATGATACACTATCAATACACTCGTATTACTAGAGAAAGGGGTTATCTATGTACACAATTAGATATATACAGGACACGATAAGAGAATTTGGAATTGAAATTGAAATATCCGGGAATGGTGAATTCAAGGCATAACTCCGGGAAGTATTAAGGGGTGAAGCTCGTAGCTCTTTTCCGGTTGACACACAACATATGGTAATATTTGAGACATCCAGTGAATGTGATGATTCTAATTGATAGGGTTCCCAAAGCTAAAATCTATATAATACCTCCTAAAGCAGGACACGACACTCCCAAAATTAAAAATAAGAACGTGGGTCATGGTATCATTGTAATCATCCTGTATTCTGTATTGATCACCCGGATCATTTAAGGTGTGGAAGTGTACCAGGTGTGGGCCAATCACTGCGCCACGAGGGTCCGGATCCAGGCCTTCATTTGCTTTTACAATAACTCAGCCAGCATATGCTTGCGGGCAAGGAATCGCAACCACGTCCGTATCGCGGGCCCATAGTCATATCGCCGTCCCGTCGCATGGTCCTCGTCACTTCGTTGGATCTGTTGCTCCTCTCGAATCCGACCTCGTAGTTGGCGTTGTACGTCGCGGAGTCGTCGTAGCTCCGTGGCAAATTCCGAAGACGCGATATTGGAGATCACAGCCGCATCAATGTCTTCGCGACTCAGGCCATAGGAAGGATCGGGACCCAGCACCGTCTCGGTGAGCTCGGTTAACATTGCGTCGGGAAGTACCGGGGTTGCGGGGGATGTCAGTCGGGCATTTAAAATCTCCAAACCTCGAACATTGACGGCAAGCTGCTGGATCAAGTCATGCAGGGGATCCCGAACCACCCCTAGCATAGAAAATTCAATCTGCTCTTCCTCGTATGCCGCCATTCGCTCAACGATATTGGGCCGGGCCAACTCCAACCAGTCATCTTCGGAGCATTCACCTAGGGCAAGTCAATATGAAAGAATATGTCACCAATTGGCAATTTGACAGGATCAGATGCACACGAACCTAGGGATTGTGGTTGCCGTTCTAGTCCATCGAATTTCCATACTTGACCCATGGCCGGCATAAACGCAATAAAGTGGAAAGTAGCATCCGAATTGCCGGTATCTTGACCCTGATATCGTTTTTTAGAAGTTGCCTCTGATTTAAGCTGTAAATCGGCATTTAAAATATCCATCTTGCTATACAGATGGAAGTAATCAGCATCAACAAGCAAATGACGGGAGATCAAAAGCATACCGTGCAAAGGAATTGTGTATTTTCTTAACAAACTCAAAGTTGTTGATGGCATCGCCCCGGAGAGCTGGAGTAAAATTCTTGGTGAATTCCTTGAAACGCTCAAGATTTTCCCCGAGATCGATATTTGGGATATTATTGACAATATTCAGTAGTGCCACACTGGCACAAGCATTGATTGCTGTCTAGACAAGACTCAGCTTAGACCTCTCCCTCTCCCTCTTTTCGCTCAAATATTTCAACTCACCTGGTTTGCAAACCAGAGGCCATCAGGGCAACTAATTTCCTGCCGATCTGTGTCATCTTCTTGCCAGCGGAACAGGAAGATCAATGCATAGATCGGTTTACTATCCCCCGTTTGATTAGTGAAATGGGGGTGGAAAATAAAGTCAAAACCCGGCCAAAATGACTCTTCAGCATAGGATCATACTTAAGAAAGGCCATCATTTCCTCCTCAAGAGACACGACTTCTTGAACTTTGACTCCTTTCACCCCGAACTCTCGGAGCATCACATTGAACAGAGCCTAGACAATTGCGTGAGCTACAAAGATCATGACTGGATCAATAAACATCACTCACAGGCTCTGACTCGATCTCACAGAATCCGTTCCAGCTATCTTTCTGCGGCTGACTAGCTGGCTGGCAGATCTCATCACTGTTGTCCTCCAAAAGATCGATCAGACGTCGTCTCTTGGTAGGTGGAACCATGCTGATGATTCAAGCTGTTTTCAGCTTATCAATAAAGAAAAAAGAAACATGAGATTCTGCTTAGACTTCTGGGTTGCGAGATCTAAGAGAGGTGATGTACAGGCAGAGTAAGAATAATGTACAGAGAGTATGGTATGTCTGATGTGGTGGACCGAGCTTTGTCCGACGCGCTTCCCGCGTCTCTCGGCAACTTCACTGCTTTTTGTTTCTTGTTTTCCTCCAACTTTCTCGTGAAGAAAAAGACAAGATCAATTCACTCCGACAGCGAATTAAATAGCCAATTGTTACAGCTTTGGGGGAACCAGTCTGCAGAGCTTTCTCTTCAGCTTCATCTTTCTATAGTGGCAACCCCCGCCGAAGACCCTGGTGACCACAGCATGCCATGAACGGTACTCCCCTCCTTCCGTCTGCCTTTCCTCAGACGCCCAAGACGATTCCTAGGAGACGAAAGCTTTTTGAAACTCCCCGGTCTCAATCTCGCGATGTGCGAGAAAGAAAATCACCCTCCAAATCCCCGGCGAAGGCACCAAAGGTGCCCGCGCCCGCGCCCCAGAATACCAACACGCCTCTCGTCCCGGTCAGCTTGATCGATGCGCCCTCGCAGCGTCTCTATGTGGTAGCTTTCTACCTGGTCCTCAATGCGTGGCGCATATATGAATCTTGGACCGCGTCCGACGAGCTGGACTCGACTTGGTTGTTTCTGAAATGGGTGTCGGTGGATGGGGTATTTTTTTCGGCCTGCAAGCCCTGCGCATACCATGGCTGGAGTGGGCATTCCCGACCACACTGGCTCTGTTCTTGTTACATGTGGTCGGCAACGTTTTTCTCATGTTTCAAATTCCAGTCCGTTTCCCTGTCCTCCAATTAAACCAGAATCTACTTTTGCTGACAATGTTAGATCCCTCTGGGCGCGTGGCTTGCAGGATTGGTCAAGGTTGCTTATGATCGTGAGCTGTCCATCTCAGAACGCAAGGTCAAACCGGGAGACATCATCCACAATGCCTCGTTGATTTTGGGAAAGCAAATTGTGCATATTCTTCCCGAAGGGTACGTACATATTTCACTCTAGATATGCGGCATCGAACCTGGTTTGAATACTAAGTTGATCTTCTAGTTCTGCCATTCTCAACCCGGAGCGACAGGCGCTATGCCTTGATTCCCAGAGAAACACTGTGACCCTTCCCATCCGCGTGAACCAGACAGATCCCATATTAATTGAAGTGCTGCGCCTCGACCTGAACACGGGTGAAAACGAAACCTTGACTATTCCATTCAAACAGTTGAAACAGCTCAAGAAGCAAGCGGAAAAGAGGCATGCAACCCTTGATCCTGTCCCCTACCGGGATCTTTATCTCCCTGTCAAGAAAACGGGTATCTATCGTCTTCAACGGGTGGTGGATGAATCTCAGCTCGACGTGCGCACTCGCACATCTGATGCCCTGGTGGTGGCATGCCCTCGAGCGCTGATCAAAAACTCGCATACAAATAAATGCAAAGGAGAATTGTCCAACTTGGTACTTGAGGTCGAAGGCACGCCTCCATTGAAGATCAAGTATAGTCGGCAGGTAAATCACCATGACCGTGGCTTTTCCTTCCAAAATATCCAGCCGGATAACCTGCGTTCGCCTCTCCTCAGCCAAAGGCCAGGTGGTGCTCTCTTCAGCATCAATCAACCTGATATCTCATGGGCACAGAGCCAGAAAATCGATGTCCCGTTGAACGAGTCCCTAAACGTCGGTGGAGAATGGCTTTATGCTATTGAAGAAGTTCACGATGCGTGTGGGAATGTTGCCAACTACTCAACTGTGTTTGAGGACGCAGAGCGGCCATCGACCAAGTCGTTAGCCCAATGGCATCAGTTCTCGGTGCATGAAAGCCCACGCATTTCCTTGTCGGGATGCAATGACCAACGTCCGCTGGAAGTTGCCCGTGGAGATAGTGTTGATCTTCCCATCAATTTTCAAGCGGTCGGAACTGGGTACGACGGTGACGGTCCCTTCTCAGTGGTTTACACGTATACCGATGGCTCGGATGCTCAGAAGAGCGCGGATTCGAAAGAGACCACCCTTGTACTGAGATCGGTGGATCAGAAATCGCCCATCAAAGAACCGGGCTGGTATTCGTTGACATCCGTTTCCAGTCAATTTTGCCCGGGTGATATTCTGGAACCCGCGTCTTGCTACCTGCATAACCCACCCGAGCCCGAACTGTCTGTCAGGGCCGAGAAGATCTTTGATCGATGTGCCAATAATGCAGTTGGTTTGCTTGTCGATCTAGACCTGACAGGGTCTCCACCTTTCCGTCTCCGTTATAGCATCGAGAACTCCAAGGGAGCCATCACGAAGACCCAGAAGATTGATGGACCACGAACACAGCTAGACTTTACACCCTCGGAAGCTGGCTTCTACCGCTACCGTTTCCTTGACATCGAGGATTCCGTGTACTCTCCAAGATCCTTGAAGGATAAGGTGGCTCCATTGGAACAAGATGTCAAGCCACCGGCTTCTGCTCACTTTGTTGGATCAAGGGAGGTTCGCAAAGCGTGCTTTGGAGAGTCTGTCTCGGTTGATCTGGCTTTCCTGGGAGAGGCTCCGTGGACCTTGCAATACGAACTCCTTCACAATGGCAAGAGAACCAAGCATATGCTTCAATCGGATTCCGAAACGGCGACCATCACTACGGATAAATTGGTGAGCGGGGGCGAGTACACCCTCGCACTTACTAGTGTCAAAGATAAATCGAATTGCAAGCGGACATTGAAAGAAACGGTGAGGTTTGACGCACGGTCAAAGCCACCTCACGTTTCCTTTGGCCAGATCGACAAGAAGAGGAGTCTATCTGCCATGCAAGGCTCGAAGATCGAGGTTCCGTTAAGACTGAGTGGTGAGCGGCCATGGACAGTGAAATACAAGAATGTGGATGGCAACAAGTCACCTCTTCAAAAGACCTTCTGGGACGAAAACAGCGTTTTGATCGTGGATCAAGAAGGCCTCTATGAGCTTCTTGAGGTATTTGACAGCTCATGCCCAGGCTCTGTGGACCAAGTCGCGAAAGAGTTTGAGGTCTCTTGGATCCCTCGACCCCAGGTCACCGCCGTGGATGGCTCACCTGTCGGCTCAACAGGCAATTATGTGAAGCCAGAAGTCTGCCAAGGCGATGACGACAGTCTTGAACTTCGTCTGTCTGGCAATCCTCCTTTCGCTCTTCAGTATGAGCAACGGCGAAAGACAGACCGTGGCACCTCTTCAGTTCGCACCAAAAATCTGCGAACTGCACTCAACGTGTTATCAACCGAGATGGACACCTCTGAACCTGGTCAATACACCTACAAGTTCACCGATGTGGGTGACAATCTCTACGATCATGACCCAAAGAGCAGTGCTCTAGTTGTGACGCAGAAGGTAAACTCGCTTCCGACTGCCCGCTTTGATTCTCCCGGTCATATCTACGGCTTCTGCAAAGAGGATGCCACTGGCGAGGAGACCATACCAATTACTCTGGAAGGTGTCCCCCCTTCTCGCTGGAAATTACCATCAAGCATCACTCGAATGCCAAACCAGAAATCGTATCCATCCCGAAGATCAACTCGAACCACCATAACCTGCCTATTCCTCGACGTCATCTGGATCTTGGCCAACACGTAGTCAGCATCCACAAGGTGCGTGATTCCCGTGGCTGCCAGAGAGCCACCGAATACGATTCTTCCTCCGTCCGGGTGTCCGTTTCTGATGTGCCCACGATAATTCCTCTTGAATCCAAGGTGGACTATTGCGTGGGCGAACGGTTGTCATTCTCTCTTTCGGGACATGCTCCGTTTGAAGTTTTCTATACTTTTGACGGAGCTCAACGAAAGGCTACGTCGCAGAACACGAACTTCCGCCGAATTGCCGAACGTCCAGGCGAGTTCACCATTACCGCTGTCGGTGACGGGGCTAGTGGGAAGTGCAAGGCACACAAAGACATCACCAAGGTCATCCATGAGATGCCCAGTGTGCGGATAAGCAATGGTCAAGTGTCCGTGGTCGATATCCACGAAGGTGGGGAAGCTGAACTTCACTTCGACTTCTGGGGCACGCCGCCGTTTGAATTCACGTAAGTTGCGAGTCCTGTTTGTGATCTCATTACCATGAACGATACTGATTCTTCTCTACAGATACATCCGAAGCTCTAATGCCCGCAAGGGTAAGAAGTCCGAGGTCCTCGACATCAAGCATGACATATCTTACGAGCATCGCAAGACCGTCAGGACCTCTGACGAAGGCACCTACGAGGTTGTGGCTATCAAAGATAAGTTCTGTTCTTTCTCCTCGCAGGTGCCGACTGGCAAGTCGGGTCGGGGTTCATCATGATTGTAAAATGATATTGATCTTTATGTGGTTTCTTGTGGTATTTGATATTCATGCTGGGTTGTTTGCTTTTTGGAATAGTTTTGCATTGCAGCGGCGCAAGCAGGTAATGTACATTCGCCAAATATGATAAAATCTAATTTTCCGGTAGAACCTTTCTCTTTTGGTTTCCATTCAAGACTATGCTTTCAAGTTGCCCGTGTCGACAGTATCAATAAGTCCTTCGCCCAGCCGAGCAATCTCGTTTAGAATGGCCATTTGATTAATTGAGACGCGGCCTGCGCTCTCCGTCGAGCCAGCCGGGGCTGTCGAGTAGGCCGTTTTCAAGTTCCAATTCCGTGGCTTCAGCGTTTGCGGATTCCATAGACCGGCAATGACGCCACATCGCTCATCTCCATGGAAGAGAAGGACGCTTTGGCCATAGCATGCCTCAACATCGTGCACAAATGACTTCACAACCGCCAGCGCACTGGGCTGGTTGGAGGCCCCATCAACCAGATTCTTATATTTGGAGGCGGAACGATCGCCTGAGAATTTCGGACGCAGATTGATAACAAAGTCGTAAGGAGCAAGCGATGTCTGGAAGAGATCTGTTATATCAAGATCGTGGCTCTCCTTTCGGAGTAAGCTGACTGCTGCTTTCGCCAGGGTGGAGATACGGCCAGCCACGACCTTCGAGGGCATCTCATACTGGGTCCAGGTCACGCCGTCAGTATCGATGTCTGACGCGACAAATAGGGCAACGGTATTCATTGCAGGGTCAATATTGCGCCAGGCAGTAAATCGAGTGCGGATGGTCTCGGTCATCTGCGGGGTCAGATCTCCACTCAGGTCAACGATGAACGGCTCTTGTTGCCAATCCCAGCGGGAGAGAAAGTGGAGAGTACGCAGGAACCCAGTCATGACACTCGAAGGGCAGTCCCAAGGGTCAGGTTGCGTAAAGGCCCGAACCGTCAGTAGCTCAATCAATTCATCGCAGATGCGAGCCGAGAATAGATGAGAATTAAACCAATGTTTGACCAGGCGGACTGTAGGGGACAGCAAGGGAAGGCGAGTGCAGAGACTTCGAAGTGCTTGAGTCAGACGTGGAGCCTGCACAAAGAGCCGTTTATATGTGAAAAGAGCGTACGCAATCTCTTCCCTTTCTCGGGGGTTGATGCCCTTGTCTTTCAGTTGACGTTCAAGAAGTGTTTGCTCGCGATCATGGTGGATCCTGAGCCGAAAGAGGAAACCGGAGGTATGGGCAATATCCAGGTACACATTGTTCAGCACCTTGCTGGATTCGTTTTCCAGGCCCACACGGCATGATGAAGCGGCACCCGATGACTCCAAAGAGTCGCCAATTTTCAGCAAGAAAGCGGCTTTGGTCATCTGGATTGCTGCGAAGTCATCGGGCCAGCGTGAAGAGCTTTCAAATTGAAGAACAATATCTGCCGGTTCCTGAGCTCCACCTGGAGCCTGCACTCGAAGCGCAGTGTAACGAAGCAGTGGGCTAGCCGGTGCTAGGTGCCGAATGGTCAGAGGGACTTCCTCCATGTTTCCAATGGATCTCTCAAGGTCACTGAACGCTTCTTTGATGGATTGGAAAGGAGGGCTGGAATACGCCAAAATACCATCACCTTCGTCAAGGAGCATCTCATCATATTCATCTCCAGTGAAAGAAAAGTCATCCTCAGTGATTTGAAAGTGCCGTTGGAGGATGTAAGTCAAGATCTGAAGCACAATGGACCCCTCGGACGGCTGGTCAGACCAAACCAGACTCTCCAGAATACTGCCATCCTTGAATCGCCGAAGCTCCGACTTATTGCCCCAGAAGTCTCGGAACGAGGCTGCCTCCTCTTTCTCCTCTGCAGCGGGACCGTGATCAACCACCCGACTGACGTTATCCGCATCGAGTAGAAGACCCACGGATAGGCTATGACTCGCTTTCTTAGTCAGGGCTTTTGCTCGAATGGACCAAGACTCGGCACTTTGGCTCGCAAGAGAGATAAGCTTGACACGGTCTCCAAGAGCCTTGGAAAGTGTGGTGTATAAGGTGTTCTGCTCGCGAACAGCACGAAGGGTATCGCCGTTGAATACCTTGGGGAACGAGATGAGGCGATCGAACCGCAACGCCGGTTCGTCAACCTTAACAATGAAGACTCGGTCGAAGTTATCCTCGCGAGATTCATTGAGCATCTTCAGGGTGATTGACGATTCATGTCGAAGCGCTGCGTAAGACCAGATAGTCATCTTGTACAGAAGATTCAACCCTCTCCGGCCATCATACAATACAGGACCCCCATCAGGAACGGGAACGTCGCTTGCGAAAAGAAGCAAGGGTGTGGTCAAATCCCTGCCAGCCAAAAACTGCATAGTAGCTTTGAATATCTGGTAGCTACTATACGACCGCAAGAGAATCGGTTGACCGTTTGGACCGCCGCCCTCGAACAGGAGAGAGACGAGTGCTGCCCATTCAAAGCCTCCAAATCCTCCGTTTTGAAAAGAAGTGTGAAAGCCACGTTGCTGTAGCCAAGTACGCCCGAGGACACAAGCATCGCGGAACGATTCGCATTTCTGGGCGGTTGAATGAACGTATTTGTGATAAAGAGAGACAGCGGCCTCAGAACGCAGGCTAGCATTGTAATATGGAGTGGGTTCACCAGCTTCCGACTGGTCCTTTGAGGCTTGACGAACGTTGCTTCTTATCGGAAGTGTCCGGGTGATTGGGAATAGAGTCGGTTCAATAGCAGTCAGGATCCGAATCTGCGGCTGCGGAGTCGGGTCGCTTTTCGAGGTTGAACGAGGCTCCAGCAGAATCAGAGGACGAAGACTGTCACCGTCCTGGAATCCGAACTTGATGTCGAGGCCAAGAGCATCCATTGGTTTCTGTATTCCAGCGGCGAGGCAAGCAATATAGTATGCCCTCTTGTGAAAATAGCGATAGTTGACGTAGTCCTTCTCCTGGAAGATAGAGCTGGGCATCGTCACAGCCAGATCGACCGGTCGAGAGTCTGCTGTCTTGGCTCCAGTTTTCAAAACGACACTTCCCACCACATTGATATTTGCGGGCTTGGCGTACGCCATGGTGTATTTAGCATCCTTAGCAGGTCGAGGTTCAGGCCACGGAATTACGGTCTCAGAGACTGTGCGCAGTTCCTTCTCGGCTTCGGCCACAGATTTGGATTCCTTGTCGGGTAGATTTTCGATTGTATCCTTCAACTTGTGCAGAGTATCCTGGAGCTTTGAGATTTGCTTTTCGTAGTTCGGTCTTAATCCGGTCAACAACTCGTCCATCTGCAATTTGAAGAAGCTAGACTTGTAGAATCCACTGGCCATGGCCAGCTCTGCAGATCCATCTTCATTGCCTTTACGCCCTGGGTGACTCTTGGTCAAAGGGTCATCCTTGCGCGCAACGGATTGAGTTGTTTTGGAGGTCTCTTCTTTCGAGCTCATCGGAGTCGCATCTGAGGCTTTCGACTGGGGTAGAGAATTAGAATTTGCAGGTGAGGGGCTGAGCCTCCTTCTTTTCACTGCGTGGGCCGACATCTTTGAAGAATGACTCGGCAGAATTGGTCAAAGGGAAAAGAATGGTTGGAAGCTGTAATCCCGAAATTTTTTTATGGGGCGATAACGGGGATAACACTTGCTGACTCAGAGGGCCCAATACGCCATCGCCGAAATCGCATACTTTCTGAAGAATGACTCCATCTTTTTTTTCTACTGTCCCTGTTTCCTTCTTTTCTTTCCCTATTTCTCTCTGTTCTTCTTATCTCCTGTCAACAGGTCTCTTGTCTACTATCAATTGGCAATGCTTCAAGCACTAGGAGGCCCCGTGCCCCCCAACACTGACCATGTATGTATTCCGCAAACCCCGCGGTCTGCCCCTCCATGAGCGGACAGCCTACATATATATGACTTGATACCGTGTAGGTTACTGACACTCTTGGAAGGCCGTTAGTGTCTCTTTACCAACATGGAGAGCCAATATTGGTTATGAAGAGGGAGAAGACTGGGTTATGAGCAAGATGCAATGCGGATACCCTCGATTCTTCGTGCACCCTACCATTCAGAAACTCGTGGTGGAAATTATTCAACGCGTAGGAGATCAGAATACAGAAACGGCAACGCTTTTTGCATCTCTCAAGACCGCGCAGCTTTGCCATTCGTTCATCATATCCAAAGTTTCCGACGAGCACTCGCAAAAGGTCCGAATCGTGAACTTTATTCCCTCTGCGCATGCCGAAGCTGGATCGACTTCCATCACATCCTCCTTGGTCAGTGTGATCTATCCGAAGGAATTTGCACCAATTGCAAAGCAGGTGTGGCAGCATTCCGGCAACGGAATCTCAAGTCGGCGGGGTGAGTTCTGTCTCCGTGCCCTGCAGGATGGGTTGCTTGTGGAAGACAAAGGCTCTGTTACAGCCGAGTCCCTTTCTCAGCGACCTTGTAAGGGCCCTCGAAGATACCAAGGGCGCGGCTCCTTGAGCGGAGTTGCCTGGGGCGCTTCGACCCCCACGGCATCATCGCCCGCTCCCACGACTAATGGCGTGGAGGATGGCCGAGACAATGCTCAATTCATCGAGGAACGCTTTGGTCGTAACCTCAGTGCCTTGTACGCCACGCAGGCTAAGATTGCTGTCCGAAAGCGCATTGCCGGTGTTTTGACTGCTGACGTTGAGCTACCCGAGGCCCTGGAAACAGCTTCGTCGGGTGGTCGTGTCGATGATATCTCCGAGGAGGATGTCCTTCTCTACCCCTCTGGCATGAGCGCTATATTCAACGCTCATCAGACTCTGCTGAGTGCGCGGGGCCCTATGCAAAGTATCTGTTTCGGGTTTCCATACACCGATACCCTTAAGATCTTACAGAAGTGGGGGCCAGGCTGTTTGTTCTACGGACATGGCTCATCCGAAGATTTGGATGATCTCGAAACCCGCCTAAAGAACGGGGAGCGTTTCCTTGGGCTCTTCACCGAGGCTCCGGGCAACCCTCTACTCAAGACCCCAGATCTAGTGCGCATACGAGCCCTGGCCGACCAATACGGGTTCGCGGTCGTGGTCGATGAGACTATTAGCAATTTCCTCAACATCAACGTTCTTCCGTATGCAGACATTGTCGCTAGCAGTCTTACGAAGATTTTCAGTGGCGATAGCAATGTAATGGGAGGAAGTGTCATCCTGAACCCTCACGGAAATTATTACCAAAAGTTGAAGGAAGTTTACGCCCAAGACTATGAAGATATCTACTGGGCAGAGGATGCTGTCTTCTTGGAGCGGAACAGTCGCGACTTTGTGACGAGAATCGACAAAATCAATCGCACGTCGGAGGAAATTACAGCCATGTTGAAAGCATCTCCTCTGGGTAAGAATACATCATTTGTTGTTAAAGTCCGCATTCCATCATTCTGACCCCATTCTTAGTCAAGGAAGTCTACTATCCTAGATACAGCCATACAAGGCCCCTGTATGATAGTCTTCGCAACCCTAACGGTGGCTATGGTGGTCTATTCTCTGTCACCTTCCACTCGAACGCGGAAGCCATTGCATTTTATGACACCTTAGAGGTCTTAAAGGGACCTAGTCTCGGCACCAACTTTACTATCAGGTAAGGATGAGTCTGCTCTGGCTGATTTTGAGCAGAGCTAACAAATCGCCCGAATATAGCTCTCCATACGTCCTCCTAGCTCATTACGGTGAACTAGACTGGGTATGTGATATTCTTCCCCCCCCCCCCATCACAGTCATTTTGAGCTAATCCCTGATTGTGTCTCCAGGCGAGATCTTTCAATGTCGATCCCGACCTCGTCAGAATCAGTGTTGGACTAGAGGACTTGGCCGACTTGCGCTCCAGATTCCAGCGGGCTCTCGAGGCAGTCGAGAAGGTGAAAAATTAGGATTCTAAAAAGGTACTGGGAAACTGATTACTTGAGAATCTTGAATATACCTGGGCAAAAAACTTTCTGTTGTGGTTGATGAGGTATGATTATAAGGAACATAAGCATGAATTGTACAGTCACATACAGTGCATGGTCACATAATTTTTGAGGATCAACCCATCTTCACCTGTAGAATTGGGCATCATTCGATAAATCGCATCATATTATTCACAGGTAATTCTAAGCCCACCCTACAAGACAATGAATTTAGTATTTGGGATGATCTGGGATACGATGTAACATGTGAGGTAGATTGAGTGGCCTGGGGTCGCAAATCAGGAAATACCAGGATCGTCAAAGTCAAATACTACATCTGTGGACAGCGCATATTCGGGGTATATACAATGGTATCAAAAGCGATAAAATGTTAAGACAGTACGTCATCAAGGATATCCAGCTCCATTGAGATGTATAACGAGATCAAGCACCATGACCAGCCCCATTTAGGTCTGATATCAGCAACGAGATCCCCGGAACAAGTCTGTTCCTGGTCAAAGACTCAGGCGCTTTCAAGGTTGGTAAGGATGGTGTTGGGTCTGTGAAAGGAAAGGAGAGGAAAAGTGAGAAAACGAACTGTTCCAGCACATGCAACGCCGATCAAAAATAGAAAATATCAAAGACGAAAAGAATAAAGGAAAAAAAACTTCGGTCACGCAAAGCTAGGACAGATGATCCAGGGGCTCGTCATTTCCTAAAGTCATGGTTGTCTGGTTTATTACACCCAGATCTCCACTTGCCGTTCTTCTTAATGCTTGGAGCATGGTTTCCACATTCAGTTCTCCACCGGAACCGGAAGAAATTGGACTCTGGGCCATTGCAAAAGGACTTCCTGGGGCCCGAGGTCCTTGACTAGGTGACATCTCCAATCCTTTGAAAGAGGCAGCGATACTGGTAGGAGGAGATGTCCCAAGCCCATGTGAAGAGGCAGGAGAGCGCAATGGAGACGGAGAACGGTTCTGCAACCCAGCTGCAAAAGAACTCCCGGTGACTGCGGTACTCTGGGAGAGCTCTCGGCCACACGTAGATTCACTCATCTCCGCTTGTTCGGCATTAACTACATCCGCGAAGGAGATGAAACTCAAACGTCGCACATCATTGGTTTCCAAGGCACCGTAGACCGATGAAACCTCATCAGCATCGGTGGAGTGTAATCCAACCTGATCAACAATACCAGATGATGCCAGAGACTGTTCCGCGGTAGATGAGGCAGTGGCCCCCGCCGCAGGGTGATGGAGACTATGAGTGACAATCTCGACTGAATCCGGATTTAGCTGTTCATCAGTGATGGCAGCTGATGAAGCTTCGAGTACCGGTGGGATGTAGTTCTCCGTACGGATGTGCGAGGGGATTGATGGTGAGGCCTGCGATGGCAACATATCCTCTTGCACGTCCCGTTCGAATATCTGAGAGGCGGGAGAATGAAGACGGTTATGTAATGGCGAGGTTGCCCCGGGGGATGAAGGACGTCTATATGACGAGTACCTTGATCGGTCCGAGACATTTGGCGTTCGCAAAACTTCAGAGCCAATGGGTGATACTGGTGACACAGGACCACTGCTTGAAAATTCGATGCCTGTAGCCAGATCTTCTGGGGAATGATCTCTGCCGATTTCACGCTGTTGGCTCCAAGTCAAATGTGGTGGTCTGGGCCGTATGGTTCCCTCGGCCTTTCCGAGGATGGGAGAGCTCTTATCAATAGGGCTTAGCGATTCATTATCTGGCTGCGAAGGCACCAACTGCGGCGCATGTGACTGAGTATCCAGTGCACTAGATAATGGGGCCTGTTGATTCGACATGATGAATAAGAGGCAGAGTCAGAACTGCTAAAGCGGAATGAAGCTGTTAAGAACAAACCGCGCAAGAGCTTTTAGAACTTGCCGGCCATGACCAGGAATCGTCTGCAGACGTTTCAAGGATCTCAGGGTATGCTAAGGAGGTACACACGGAGGGTGGGAGAGAAATTTGAGAGGAGTCAAGAAAAGGGGGGGTCTGTGGTTTATCATCTCACTTTTCTGCCCAGGAGATGATGACATCCTGTGCCAGGTGATCAACGGGGGATGTTATGACATAAGTACCCGGTACACTCAACTTGGTGGTAGTTCGCAGCATCATTAGAAGTACCCAATACACTCATCAGGCGCCACCCATACTAGTTCTCTGTAACTTGCAGTGAAACTTCCCATTGTGTCGATATATCGTTGTATTCAATTTACCAATTTCGAGTGCACCTACGGAGAAAGGCAACTGTATTTATTGTATTTGTAATACTGGAAACTTGGTTTCTGCCAAGACTAATCAATAATACGAGAGTCACGAGACCCCCGAAAAAAGTTTCGGGAATCGAAACACGTCCCGAGTCGCCAGCTCCATACGGCTTTTAAGATCTCCAAACCCTGCTCCATTGCCATCTACCTCTTCAAAGCGTCCCCAATCAACTTTGTATTCTTCACATTCAAGGTTCTCCGGTGCGCTCCAAGATGGCAGCCTCCATTGTGGCCCCGAAGCGGCCGTTTGTCACCCTGCCATTCCTGTTGCCTTCCTGGACAGATGCTCTCGCTTTAGGGTCCCGGCGCCATCAATCTTCCTACCGCCGCACCAAGCAACGTCTTCGTGTCAAGCCAGATGCCTCATTTGGTCCTCCACACCAAGGCCGGGATCACATCATCTACAATCCACCTTCAAGCGCCCCCTCGGTCTATCATACCCCCAACAAGTTCTTACCTCCCAATGATGCCCGACGAGCGATGCGCCCCGCAACCCCAGCCAGCTTTGATGCCAGCGATCTTCCCAACGTGCACAAAATCAATGATGAGGCCAAATACCACCTGACACCCTCCGACATCGAAGAAATCCGCAAACTCCGGTTGAGCGACCCGATGACATGGAGCCGTCACAAGTTGGCCAAGCGCTTTGAGTGCTCGCCCCTCTTTATTGCTATTGTCTGCGAAGCCAGTCCCGAGAAGAAGCAGATCCAGAAGCAAGTACTAGAAGCGGTGCAGTCACGATGGGGAACGAAGCGTCGGATGGCCAGGGAGGACCGACAGCTCCGCCGGGAGGCCTGGAACCGTGATGAGTGATTGGTCTCAGTCCTCCCTGGTTCTTCCTGAGACCGTCTCTCTTCTATTATATTTTGGCCTATCTTGGGGTATCCTGGGTTGCAATCAGGCCAAAGAAGATGGTGGTGGTGGCGGTGATGTTTGTGGGTGGGTGGTCGCTAACCATGCGCCCTCCGTGTAAAAACGCCTTTGTATTCTACACTAGCATTTGTTTTCATATATCTTCATTTTCATATTCCACCTTCTATCAATCTATAAATTTTGTCTCACCTCTGAAGACTGTCGGACTGGCCTCTTAGGGAAGCAATAGTGGATCACCTGTCAAAATTCCCTGCATAGTGATGGTGGGTAAACAACAGATATGGACGGAGTACATGATATGTATGAACATCAGGTAGTATGTTACATATATCAGAGCAACAAGCCCAAGACAAGTCATATTTATACTAGATGAGTAAGTAACCCATAAGTGTGCACGGTCGCTAGATAAGCCCTTGCGTCCATGGGTCGATAATTAATCACCACAACTGTGATAGGCGGCTATAGCCGGCATATGGCAAAACCCCCCCCAAGGTGCTGCAGGGCTAATTACGTGATTAGAGAACGCCTTCTTCTCTGCAATGCCCCTCTTTCCCCTCCGTCGAATTCCATCGCTTGTCAAGCCTGGACAATTTCTCTCCCGGTTTTCTCATTCTCCGCATTCCTCTCGTCGCTTCTTCTACGGGTACATCAGTGACTCCAAAATGGCACCACAGCTAGAGCCCTTCTTCAAGCAGTATGTTGTTTCTTGTCTTTACCAAAAGCGACATCAAATTCTAATGTGCACGTTCTCAATAGGGTCGACAATTCGGCAGAGAGCTTCATTGATCGTGCGTTACTGGTCACAAGCTTCGTGGCTGTGAAAAGGATTTTTTTCCTCTCTGGTCACAGCTTCTAGTGTTGAGGAATGATATCGCTAACGATCCAGTGCAGGTCTGCGCAAGGCCGTTGCAATCCCCTCAGTCTCGGCTCAAGATGAGAACCGAGAGGATGTATTCCGGGTGAGTTGCTCCTGCTAGCCCCCTTCCCTGGTAATTTGAACTGATGGGTTTGGTATCTAAGATGGCTCAATTCTTGGCTACCGAGCTAGAGGCCTTGGGTGCCGAAGTGCATCAACGGCCGCTCGGTAAGCAGCCTGGCAAGGAACATCTCGATCTCCCACCTGTCGTCATTGCGCGGTACGGCAACGACAAGAACAAGCGCACCATTCTGGTCTACGGCCACTACGACGTGCAGCCAGCGCTGAAGGAAGATGGCTGGGCCACCGAGCCCTTCGAGTTGACCATTGATGACAAGGATCGGATGTACGGACGTGGTTCCACAGACGACAAAGGCCCTGTGCTCGGCTGGCTGAATGTGATCGAAGCTCACCGGAAAGCTGGCGTGGAGCTACCTGTCAACCTGCTCTGCTGCTTCGAAGGTATGGAAGAGTACGGCTCCGAAGGTCTGGATGATTTCATTCAAGCGGAGGCCAAGCAATTCTTCAAGGATACCGATGCGGTCTGCATTTCCGATAACTACTGGCTGGGTACTGAGAAGCCCTGTCTGACATATGGCCTGCGCGGTTGCAACTACTACTCCATCAGCATCTCGGGTCCCGCTCAAGATCTTCACAGTGGTGTCTTTGGCGGCTCTGCTCACGAGCCCATGACCGACCTGGTGAACGTTCTGTCGAAGTTGGTGGATGCCCAAGGCAACATCCTCATTCCTGGACTCATGGATCTGGTGGCGCCCGTGACCGAGGAGGAGAAGTCTCTGTACGGGGACATCAGCTACACTATGGACAACCTCCACGAATCCCTGGGAAGTGAGACAGGCATCCATCCGACCAAGGAGCGCACACTGATGGCCCGCTGGAGGTTCCCTTCCTTGTCTATCCACGGTGTCGAAGGCGCTTATTCCGCCCCGGGAGCGAAGACCGTCATCCCAGCTAAGGTGATAGGCAAATTCTCCATCCGAACCGTGCCCAACATGGAGAGCGCCGACGTCAACAAGCTGGTATTTGACCATATTAAAGCGGAGTTTGCCAAGCTCAACAGCAAGAACAAGCTGGATGTGTGGCTGCAGCATGACGGCAAGTGGTGGGTTGCAAGCCCGAAGCACTGGAACTTCAGCGCCGCCAGCAAGGCCGTCGAGCAGGTCTTTGGAGTTGCACCGGACATGACTCGTGAAGGTGGAAGGTACGTCAGACTAGATTTCTCAGATATCCCCAAGATATACCAAGTGAAACTAACTTTTATCTCACTCGGCAGCATTCCGGTGACCTTGACCTTTGAGCAAGCCACTGGAAAGAATGTGCTACTTCTGCCCATGGGAAGCTCAACCGACGCCGCCCACTCGGTCAATGAGAAGCTAGATCGCCGTAACTATATCGAGGGAACCAAGTTGTTGGGAGCTTACCTGCACTACGTGGCGGAGGAGCCTGTCTCGGCTTGAATGGTTTCGATAGCAAGTAAATAAATGGTAATCCCAAATGATTTACGCAAAGCAGCTCAAGTTGCCTAACCAAGAGTAATTACTCGATTTCTTATTCACTTAATTTGATTTAAATTTGGAATCCATTGTACGAAGCTAAAAGTGCTTGGGTAGCACTTTGGTAATTGAATTCTACTAAGTAACTAGTTAACTAGTTAAGTAGTCAACTTAGTTAAGTTTGAATGTGATCGCTGACTCAGCCCGGAGACGCGAAAGAGCGCGTGACGCGGGTTTCTTTGATGAGGTTGACTTCTTTGACCGTTTGACTCTTTAATGTTCCCTGCGCCGACAACTGTTGCGAGCTTTCTCTATGCCATGTACTAAACTCCGTCGTCCTTAACCATCCTTTCGTCTGCCCCTTACAATGTCCGCCGTTAAACGTACACATGAGTCTTTGGACTCGGATGAAGAACGAAGTGACAGCGGATTGGAAAGTGCTGGATCAGCTTCCCCCCTCAACCAGTGAGCATATTAATGTCAAATTCCATGAGACGGGCTTAAGCTGACAAAGGAACAGGCCAAGCGGCCTCGCACATCGAACACACCATCTGAGCGGACCGATGAGATTAGCAATCCGGAAGCCAGCCCCCGCTCCTCCCCCATGGCCAGGGATGCGATGATGGATGACGACGAACTAGAGCTTCGCCAGACCCAAATCATCCAGGAGAAATACGCCCAAATACACAATGAAGTAAACGTAGCGTCCGACCACGGAATTCTCGAGCGTGTCGACTGCTACAATTTCATGTGCCATGAGCACTTTTCGGTGGAATTGGGACCTCTCATCAATTTCATTTGCGGGAAAAACGGCAGCGGTAAAAGTGCGGTCCTCACGGCACTGACGCTCTGCTTGGGTGGCAAAGCATCTGCAACCAACCGCGGACAGAGCCTCAAGAACTTCGTCAAGGAAGGCAAAGAAAATTCCAATATCATCGTGCGGATCAAGAATCAGGGCGATGGCGCGTACCGGCCAGAAGTTTTTGGAAACTCGATCATTGTTGAGCGCCATTTCAATAAATCCGGAACCAGTGGGTTCAGAATCAAGTCTGAAAGTGGCCGACTCATTTCGACTAAAAAGGCTGAGCTGGATTCGATTACTGACTACTTTTCCCTGCAAATTGACAATCCCATGAATGTCCTATCTCAAGACTCCGCTCGTCAATTCTTGAGTACCTCGAGCCCAGCGGAGAAATACAAATTCTTCGTCAAAGGTGTACAGCTCGAGCAGTTGGATCAGGATTACCGTTTGATAGAGGAGTCTGTCGACCAGACAGAAGAAAAAATACGGACTAAACTCCAAGATAGTGAAGATTTAAAGCGCCGAAGGGATGCTGCGAAGGAAAAGCTGGAACGTTCCGATAGGCACGATTCCCTACGGGAAAACATCAGAAATCTTCGCAATCAGATGGCCTGGGCTCAGGTCGAGGAACAAGAACGAGTGAGTGTGCTCTCAATTTTGTCATTGTCCTTGGTCTTTGTCTAAAAGCAGCAGATTCGCGATTCTTTAGAAGGAGAGCTCGCTAAAGCGGACGAGCTTATCACCAGAGCAGATGCCGCTCTCGGGGACTTTGATGCCAAATTTCAAGCCGTTGAGACTGAATCTGAAACGGCAACAGAGCATGCAAAGGAAGCCGGCAGGATACTCGAGGAGGCACGAGATAAATTAGTAACCGTCCAACAAAAGGCGAGGGAAGAAGGGGACCGGCGAACAGAACTTCAGGTATGTAGCTTGCACGCCTTTCTCCGGAACTTCAATGTGACGATAGCTCTTCTGACTTCTCATAGGTTGAAAAAGGCCAGATCAAGGCACATATTGAACTCGCGGAAAAGAATATCGCTGAGGGAGAACAGACGATCGAAGCCGAAAAGAAACGCCTGGATGAGGCGAGCAATGGAGGTCATGCTCGTAAGCTGGAAGAGTGTAAACAGGCTGCGAACCGTGCAACCAGCGCTCGCCAAGACTACGATGCTCATCGCGAAGGTGAAAGAGGCTTGCGAGAAGAACTCCAGCGGGCTGGTAAGAAGGCAGAATTGGCAAAGGAAGCCTTTGAAGCCAAAGAAAAAGATCACTCCGAAGCTGACGAACGCTTGCGGAATCTCCGCAAAGAAAATGGTCAGAGAAGGACTGGATACCATGAGAAGATGCCGAATCTTGTACGAGCCATCCATCAAGACAAGTCATGGACCATGCCTCCCATTGGTCCTGTCGGTGATCACATCACCTTACTTAAGGCCAAGTGGTCATCCATCCTTGAGAACTCCTTTGGAACTACTCTTAACAGTTTCATTGTGGCAACGAAGCGTGATCAGAATAAACTTTCGGATATCATGCGTCAAGTGGGTTGGTGAGTCTTAACAGCGGCCTCTACACCCTTAGTGTCGTCAGGTTTGTCTAACAAAAGGTGAATACAGTTCATGTCCAATTTTGATTGGAAATGGTGGTGATATAGATACATCTAAATCCGAACCTAACCCCCGATACGACACAGCTTTGAGGGTACTGGAGGTAGGATATAGGTTGAAAATATTCTGTCACGATTTACTAAAATCTTCGCACAGATTGACCACCCGATGGTTCGGCGACAGCTCATTATCAATCATGCCGTAGAGCAAATGTTATTGATTGAAGATCTGGAAGAGGCATCTTCCGCACTCTTCGACGGCGACAAGCCAACTAACGTGAAACGATGCTTCTGTATCGATAAAAGGGATAGACGCAGAGGGTACCATCTCTCGTACAATCGATCAGGCGATCCTAACCAGGCGCCAGTTGCGATGTTTCGTGGTAACCCACGCATGAAGTCTGACGCGGCCTCGCAAATCAGGTAACATTCCTTTGCTCAAGCCTATCATATGACGGTTTCACTAACTTTGTTTCTTCGGCACCAGTGCCCAGGAAGAAGTGGTTCAGGATCTGAAGCGACACTTGAACGATTTAAAGCAAGAATACCAATCTGCTCGTTCCTATTTCCAGACCTGCAAGCAAGCACTTACTGAACATGGACGCATGGAAAATGACTTGAAAGTGAAAATGCAACGAATGGAGGATGAGTCTGAAGCTCTTCGGGATGCCCTCGAAAAGGAGAATGCCCAGGAAGATGGACGCTTAGAATCCCTCCAAGCTGCTCAGCAGGAAGCGGAAGAGGACATGGAACTTAAAAAAGGGTCTCTCGCAGCAGCCGTCGAAGCCATGGAATTCCAGTTGCAAAAACTTAGGGAGGCTCGGAAGGAATTGTCGGCAGAGACGAAGAAAGTGGATGATCTCAAAGACAATGTCCGTGTTGCAGAAAGTGAGCAGTTGATTGTGAGCAACAAGCGACAAGAGATTCTCAGTGAGAAAAACGCTGCCATTGCACGGATTGAAAAGCAGAAAGAGGACAGAGACAAAATTCGAGCGAAGCGAGATGAACTCGTGGAGCGAGTACTCTCCTACATTGAGAAGGCCAGTATGGTTTCCGCGAGAGTTTCGGTTGACCAGGGTGAAAGTGCCGAAAGCCTTGATCAAAAGCTCCACAAGTTGCAGAACGACCTGAAGCGCTTCAATCAACAGTACGTCTTTTCCCGCCTGTTCCTTTTCATTTGCTAATTTATGTCAGACTGGGTGCCTCGCGGGACGAAATCGCCGCGGAAGCTGCAAGGACGGAAGCTTCTTATCTACAAGCAATGAGACAGATAGAGGAGCATACAGCGATAGCTCAGGTACAAGCTGATATCCTGCCATTTCCCAAACAAGATCATATCGCTGACTGGTTTATAGCTATTGAAGAACACTCTTCATGATCGCAAAAAGCGATGGGAGATATTCCGATCCCATATTTCCTCTCGGGCAAAGGCTCAATTTACGTATCTTCTGAGCGAGCGAAGCTTTCGGGGTCGACTACTTACTGACCATAACAAGAAATTGTTGGACCTTCAAGTGCGTAACTGCTTGTTGACTAGCATGACGTTCTATCAGCTAACTCTCTTTTCTCCAGGTTGAACCCGATATCACCAAAGATGATAACACCGGTCGCGGTGCCAAAACCCTCTCCGGTGGTGAGAAATCTTTCTCACAGGTCTGTCTGCTGCTGGCTCTTTGGGAAGCCATGGGATCCCCCATCCGCTGTCTGGATGAATTGTTTGTGACCCTCTCTGGTTTGATGGTTTATCCATTGACTTACTGACCTTCACAGCGACGTTTACATGGACCATATCAACCGTAAAATGTCCATCGACATGCTTGTATGTTCTTTGCTGTTGTTGCTCGTTTCAATGCTGAACCATATACTAACTTTCCGGCCAGATGACGGCTGCCCGGCGTTCGATTGGCCGACAATTCATTCTGATCACTCCTGGAAGCAAAGCCGATATCACAATTGCCCCCGATGTCCGGGTAGTAGAGCTTGCTGAGCCGGAGCGTGGCCAAACCGCCCTATCCTTCCAAGGGAGATGATCGCGATGCTCGTCCGTACAATGCCGGTTTGTTATTATGAATTCTGCGCTTTTTTAATACCCCAAATATTGTTTCTACCGTTTTGCGTCTCATGCGTCTTTGCCTATTGTAGCCATTTTCTAGGTAGTCTTGGTAGAGGAAAGTAGATACCAAAAATCATGAATTCATAGACCATTGTTTGCTTTCCAGGTATAGATGGTAGTCACGTGGCTTGGCGGGACCAGGTCGTTGTCTTTCCCACTGAACTTCCGACTTCTTCAGTCTCCAATCCCTTTCACTTGCTGCACTCCTCATCCCCTCCATACAGTCCTCCGTTGCCATCTGCCCTATTTTTCATTATTTGATCTCATCCCTCATCATCACCCATTGGGCATCCGATCTGACTTTTCTTCAACTCAAAATCCCCCTCTGATCAATCGCGGGACCCCAATCCCCCACACCCTAACTCACCTTTACCACTTTTCTCTGTCGGTTCAACTAGAAAATCCTAGACGAAGAATCTCGGTCGCCCATTGAGATCCTTGCTTTCGCTGATCAACTGTCACACTGATACCCATCGATAACCTGAAGCGACAAGTTTTCACCCACGCCAATCCCCCAAGCTTCTGGCGCATCACGAAAAAAAGTACCGCAACTTACTTCCACTCGTGTCCTGCCATCTGCCGGCTTGTTATCCGATCTTTTGACGACCGGTTTTTCTTTCACTACTCCCTACTCGTCCCTCTTGATACCCATCTATCACCATGGCTGACGCCCTTGCCTCCCAACTTCACAATACCAAGCTCAGGTAAAGAAAAAGCCCTTGCGAAATCGCCTTGCCCTCTTTCTCGCGTCACTCTAACTTTACCGCCAGTGATGGAAACACAGAAGCAAAACTGCAGGATACATTGAAACTTCCTCCTAAGGATGCTCGGCCACAGACAGAGGTTAATTCCATTCTGGCTCCCCTTTCGATAGAGAGCACCACTAATTTGCCCTTCAGGATGTCACTGCCACCAAGGGCCTCGAATTTGAGGATTTTTACATTAAGCGGGAGCTCATGATGGGCATCTTTGAAGCTGGGTTTGAAAAGCCTTCTCCCATTCAAGAAGAAACTATTCCTGTTGCTCTCACTGGCCGAGACATTCTGGCTCGAGCAAAGAACGGCACCGGAAAGACAGCCGCCTTCGTTATTCCCACTCTTGAGCGCATCAACCCTAAGAGCACCAAGACCCAAGCTTTGATCCTAGTCCCAACACGAGAGTTGGCGCTTCAAACCTCGCAAGTTTGTAAGACATTGGGGAAACACCTAGGAATTAATGTCATGGTTACCACTGGTGGAACGGGCCTTATGGATGACATTATTCGACTCAATGACGCTGTTCACATCCTGGTTGGTACGCCTGGCAGAGTTTTGGACCTGGCCAGCAAAGGAGTGGCCGATTTGTCTGAATGCCCGACTTTCGTAATGGACGAGGCAGATAAGCTTCTCTCGCCTGAATTCACGCCGGTCATTGAGCAGCTGATGTCCTTCCATCCCAAAGATCGTCAGGTCATGCTCTTCAGTGCCACCTTCCCGCTCATCGTCAAGGCGTTCAAGGACAAGCACATGCGCAACCCTTACGAAATCAATCTGATGGATGAGCTTACCCTTCGCGGCATTACACAATATTACGCTTTCGTTGAGGAAAAACAAAAGGTGCACTGTCTGAACACTCTGTTTTCCAAGCTTCAGATCAATCAGTCCATCATTTTCTGCAATTCGACGAATCGCGTGGAGCTCTTGGCCAAGAAGATTACCGAGCTGGGCTACTCTTGCTTTTATTCGCATGCTCGCATGCTTCAACAGCATCGTAATCGGGTTTTCCATGATTTCCGCAATGGCGTGTGTCGTAACCTAGTCTGCTCGGATCTCTTGACCCGCGGTATTGATATTCAAGCCGTCAACGTTGTGATCAACTTTGACTTCCCGAAGAATGCGGAGACCTACCTGCACCGTATCGGCCGTTCAGGTCGCTTTGGTCACCTGGGTCTCGCGATCAATCTCATCAACTGGGAGGATCGTTTTAATCTATACAAAATTGAGCAGGAACTAGGCACCGAGATCAAAGCTATTCCTCAAAACATTGACAAGAAGCTCTATGTCTATGACTCGCCGGAGAACATTCCCCGGCCGATTTCAGGTCCCCCTCAGCCCCAAATTGCTGGTCCTCATCCCGGCAATGGCGATCGTCAACCTCGTCGCCAGAACCATCACCATCACCACCCGAATGGTGGGCAGTACTATAACCGTGGTCGGGGCTCCTACCGCGGCGGTGGTCGTGGACAAGGTCCCCGCCGCGGGCCCAATGATGCCAACAGCAAGCCTACTCTTGCGCCTGGACAGGTTGGGGCTAACTCACAAGCCCCTGTCTCCTAAGATCCCGTCACGCCTCAAACGCGGGTCGCTCTCATGTCCCTTTTTCTCCCTCTATCTCTCTATCTCTCTCATGAACATGAGCGACCCCATGCAATGGCCGTAATGTCCATGAATCTGCTGTTTTCTCTTATGCTCGCCTTCGCTTTTTGATCCTTATCCTTCTACTTCCTTTTTCTCGCGTCCCGGACTGATTTTTGTCCTCGGGGCCACTTCTCCCGCCCGTCGCCGTTGCAGACTTGCGTTCCTTCGTCACGACGAAACGGTACTGGTGCGACATCTGTATCATAATTCCTTTGTTCGGTTCTTACGCGTCTACTTGGTTTTGTTGCCACGGGGTTGGACTGGGGGTTGAGTCTGATGCATTTTCCGGTCCCGGTGATGCTCTGCACCCCTGGCTTTTTGCGAAGAAAGTGTACATACGCTCGACCACCATTTATTTTCGACGAGTTTTGCACGATCGGCGTTCTCCATGCTCTTTCGGTCGAGTTGGCGTTCTGGAGTTGATGGAGGTCCGGTTGATATGGATTTGCCCGGTTCGATTCTCATTTTACTACCCTCTCTCGTCAATCTCGCTTGTCGAAGAGCCACATTCCTACTCTACCACACGGCACGCCAACATAACTTCGCGTCTCTCCTCTCAACCCCGCCATCTCTCTCGTCCTCTCTCTGCTTGCCCGTACCCTCAGATCTGGGTCTTTCCACTTTCTCCCCCATTCCTCATCTCATCTCTCTAAACACATTGGCTTCGAAAACTACGGTTTTCACCTTGACATCATTTCCGATCCATATAGCAAATGGACTTGGTTTCCCCCCAAGTGTCAACCCAACGACAAAAAAACTATCGAACAGAAAAGAAAAAAAAAAAAACAAAAACAAACGAAAACACAAAAAAGAATAGAGGAGCATTAGATGCAGGATACTGAGCATCTAGTGAATGATAAAGAGTCCCTCTGAACATATTGTCCCATTTGTAGTACCTATCTAGCTGTACTTGACTTCGTAGATGTTGATGACATAGTAAATTGCGCGGAGTGGGGCTGCGGAACACCGTATGGGTACTACGAAGCCCCGAGGTCCAACCTTCAATCCACTTTACCATCGCAATGGCTACAGCGAGCAAGGATACAAAGGCCAAGGTCTGTCCAGCCTCCATGATCGGCCATTCTGATTGCTAATGTTTTCCATAGCCTAGCGTCCTGCGCTCCATCATTGCGGGCTCCACGGCTGGAGCCGTGGAAATCGGTATGGGATCCCACCCGCATGTGTCATAAAACAAAGCTAATCTTCTTGCAGCAATCACCTACCCAGCTGAGTGTATGGTTGTGGTCTTTCCCTTTCTTCAAAGTGCATCCGGCTAATTGATCCTCAGTCGCAAAGACCCGCACGCAACTCAATCGCCGACTCGCGGCCGGCCAGAAATTGCCATGGCCACCCTTCGGCTCGCAGTGGTACGCGGGGTGCACCACTCTTATCATTGGCAACTCTCTGAAGGCCGGAATTCGTACGTCACAAGATCCCTCGATCGCTCTTCCCGTCTAACTCTTGAGTCAACTGGCAGGGTTTGTTGCATTTGACGCTATTAAGGCGGCCCTTCAGGATGAGAATGGCAAGATCTCGGGGCCGAGAACGGTGGTGGCTGGATTTGGTGCGGGCTTCACCGAGTCCCTTCTGGCGGTCACGCCTTTTGAGAGCATCAAGACCCAGTTGTAGGTGCTTCCCTCTCTTTCTCCGCGCGACTACTTGTAGAACCAATGTCTGACACGTGTGTGATCCTTCAGGATTGACGACCGAAAAGCGGCAAAGCCACGCATGCGTGGCTTCCTTCACGGGAGCCGCATTATCTGGCAAGAAAGAGGCATTCGGGGCTTCTTCCAGGGCTTTGTGCCAACTACAGCGCGGCAAGCAGCCAACTCGGCGACACGATTCACGGCCTATACCACCTTGAAGCAATTCGCAGAGGGCTATGTGGCTCCGGGAGAGAAATTGGGGACTATGAGCACCTTTGCGATTGGCGGCATTGCCGGCATCATCACGGTGTAAGTACAAATTTCCTACGTCTTCAGTTCCCTCCCTTTATTGACAGTTCATGCTAGTTACGTCACTCAACCTCTAGACACCGTCAAGACAAGAATGCAATCCATCGAAGCTAGTAAGAATTACAGGAACAGCTTCGTCTGTGCCACTAGCATTTTCAAAAACGAAGGTTTCTTCACCCTTTGGTCTGGCGCTGTGCCTCGACTGGCTCGACTGATCATGAGCGGTGGAATTGTGTTTACCATGTACGTGTTCCTACCCCGGGTTGAATTTGATATGAATGCGTCTCTAATTTCATCTTCACAGGTATGAAAAGTCCATAGAGATGATGGATATCGTTGATCCTCAGCGAAAGTATATTTAACAAGATAGATCAATCGAAGTGGATTTTTCCATTAATCAGATATGAAATCTCTTGAAACTGTGCTATATACAAATGGTATGGTACAATCATTAGGTCTCTTTACTTTTTCTGCTTGTTCTTGGCCAAATCTTCAGCCACCATTGCCTCGACCTCACGGTCTGCCATCCAAGTCCGCACGTTCTCCATGACCGTTTCCAAGCCATCTCCTCCGTCCAAGACTGCATCCAGATTGTGGATTGTCGTCCCACAACGATGATCTGTGCAACGGCTCTGGCCGAAATTGTATGTTCGGATCTTGTCTCCTCGGCCCATCCGAGCCACTCCACCCAAAACGCCTCGTCGGAGTTCAACCAGCTCCTGCTCTCGAGCCTCTTGACGGGCTTCGGCAATCTTCGCCCGCAAGACCTGCCAGGCTTTCCGGCGATTGGCCTGTTGGGACCGCTCATCTTGCATGGAGACGACGGTACCCGTGGGGAAATGGGTTAGCCGGATCGCAGATTCTGTCTTGTTCACATGCTGTCCACCTGCACCTCCAGCTCGCATTTTCTCTATGCGCACCTCCTGGGGATCAATATAGTAGTCGCTCGTCGGGTCTTCAAAGTTCAAAGCATTATCCATGCTACTTCCAGTTTCTGGGAAGCTCGGCAAGACCATCACGCTAACAGCACTGGTATGGGTACGGCCTTTGGCCTCTGTGGCTGGCACTCTTTGGACGCGATGGACCCCGGATTCCGTTCGTAGAATATCATATGCGCCTTCTGCTTCAACCTCAATGACTGCCTCGGATAGACGATCCTCCGAGGGACCATCCTCCACGTCCTGTTTCAAAATCGTAGGTCGAAGCCCTCGACGGGAACAGAACGAAAGGTACATGCGGAGCATCTCGTACGCGAAAAGACCTGCTTCATCGCCTCCCGCTCCGGGCCTGATCTCGATCAGGCATGGCAGTGCCGCGAATGGGTGTCGAGGAATCAGCGACTTCTTCAATCGATCCGATATCGCGGGTAAAACGCCATTGGTTGACTGCAGATCCTCTGTCGCTAGAGACCGCAATTCCTCATCTGTCTGGCGATCCTCCAGGAGAGATTTTAATTCGGCAATGGACTGTTGGTTTCACGCCCACGGTTAATGGGTGGTAGGGATGTTGGAAGAATAAACCACCTACATCATTGGCATTATCCCATTCCTTCAAGACGGAGGTGACCGGCGCCAGCTCTCCAGCTCGCTTCGCAATTTTGGCATCAAATGACTCCGCCAGTCGATCCGTAAGCTTCGCATGTTCGGAGGCCAGTAATCGGGCTCGAGTGAGCAACACTGGGGACAGACCGGAGTCTGAAGAGCATGTTAGCGGCAGGTCAGAAAAAGCGAGATGGCCTTTGTTCGAGGATACTTACCAGAATGCACCGTTCGTCTGAAGAACTGGTTCAGACCGAATCTTGGCCGTATAAATTGGCTGCATCGTAACATTCTTGGGCGAAAGAAAAGGACTAAAGTTCTTGTTCACGAAGTTGCTGGTTCCCGATTAGTGTAATTTTTGTAAATTACGTGTAAAGGCCACGGCGACCAAGGTCTGGAGAGCATCGCATCATTCCTACACATTCACACTTCAATCCGCTTTCTTTCTCCTTTCTTTCTCACTTATCGGTCATGTCCATTCTTTTCCCTTGAACTTGGAACTCAGGCAATCATGCGCTTTTCATTTGACACCCTCACGGCAGTCCTAGCCTGTCTATCGACTGGCTATGCCTTACAGATCCCCCCGGACACGCCGCTCTCTGAACTGATCACCTCTGCCAAAACACATCTCGCCAAAGGTGAACCCCGTGATGCCTTGGCTTACTTTGATGAAGCTATCTCGCGGGATCCGACCAATTACATTACAATCTTTCAGCGGGGTGCGGCCTATCTATCTATTGGCAAGAACCCACAGGCGTCCGAGGACTTCAATCGCGTGTTGGAGCTGAAGCCCGATTTTGAGAGCGCCCTACTCCAACGATCTCGCCTGAGGGCACGGACGGCTCATTGGAAAGAGGCGCTTCAGGATCTTGAGCGTGCGGGGAAGAAATCGTCGCCCGATTACAAGGAGCTCGAAGAGGCGCGGGATGCGGCAGGACTGGCCCTTACTGCGGAGCAGAAGGGTGACTGGGAGGCCTGTATCACGCAGGCTGGAGTGGCGATTTTGAAAGCCAATACAGACCTCTCTCTTCGACAGACTCGCGCACACTGTCGTTTTGAGCGAGGCGAGGTGGAGGAGGGTGTCAGCGACCTCGCGCATGTCCTGCAGATCTCCCCTGCCTTGGTAGAGCCTCATTTGCAGATGTCTGCCATGCTGTTCTACGCACTTGGAGACAGCGAACGGGGTTTAACTCAGATCCGCAGGTGTCTTCATACTGACCCTGACTCCAAGCCCTGCAATCGTCTTTATCGGCGAGAGAAACAGTTGTCGAAGCTTCTCGGAAAGCTTCATAGTGCGCTGGAGGCGCACAAATGGAGCAACGCGGTTAAGCTCCTGGTCAGTAGTGGTGATGACAGTGGCTTAATCGAAGACGTCAAAGAGGATGTCGCCGAGGCAAGGGAGGCCGGTCATATTCACCAAGCCGCGTCGAATAATCTTTATATATTCCTGGTTGAGAAAACGTGTGAGGCTTATCGTTCGGTTCGTAAATTCCGTTTCGCTTTACTCGGCCAAGTCTGAGGCTAATCTCATTCTTTTCTTATAGATGAATATGGCTAAAAAGGCTGGGCCTTATTGTGCCGAGTCCCTGCAATTGGTCCCTTTCTCTCTTCATGGTTTGCTATACCAAGCACAATCTGCATTGGATGAGGATCGATTTGAGGATGCCGTACGCACGCTCAATACAGCCAAGGAACATCACCCTCACTCCCAGGATATCCAGTCTCTTCTGCAGAAGGCGCATGCGCTTCTGAAACGCTCCAAGCAGAAGGACTATTACAAAGTGTTGGGGGTGAGTCGCGATGCAGACGAGCGCACGATCAAACGGGCTTACCGCCAGTTGACCAAGGTCAACCATCCGGACAAGGCTGCCTCACAAGGTGTATCTAAGGAGGTAGCGGAGAAGAAAATGGCATCCATCAACGAGGCCTACGAGGTCTTGTCTGATTCAGAACTTCGGACTCGGTATGATAACGGGGACGATCCAAATGATCCCGAGTCTCAGCGCGGAAACCCCTTCCAGCAAGGCAGTCCCTTTGGCCAGGGTGGTGGTCAACAGTTCTTCTTCCAACAGGGTGGCCCACAGTTCAAGTTCTCTGGCGGGTTCCCCTTCCGTTAATTCTGTTGGTTGTGGTACCCAATCCCCTACCCATTGTAGCACATATTGCGGTGTTTCTAGGAGTATGTTATGTCGGGTCTTTAGCGGACATGACTTTGGTTCATATGATAGGTTTGCAAGCTGGAAAGTTCTTTTGAAATTTCTTTTCTCGTATGACGGTCATAGGTGCTTTGCGCTAAATTGCCCCTAGGTCTCCACACATTACAGGCTAGTTGATTTCGTAGACGTAGATATCATGATCGAGGTGCGTTAGTCAAAGGCACATAGCTGACCTGGAAGACCTTCTCCTTATGAACCGATCCATCTGCTCGTTTATCGACAACCCAGATGTATTGTCCTCCGCTGACCCCGGGGCTTGCATCCGACTCCACGGGGATAAAGAGTCTGCCCGGGGCTCGTAGTTGCTCTATTAGAACGGGGTGAAGCGTCTCTGCTGCTGCGCCAACATGAATGGCGTCATATGGGGCGTCTTCTTTCCATCCTAAACGTCCATCTGCCGTGATAAATTTGACCTGGCCCGAGTCTTGAAGCTCCCGGCCCTGTTTGGATTTGTTCATGTTTGAGCGGGCCAGCTCCACCAGTTCGGAAATATGGTCGATGCCAATCACCTTGCCCTGCTCCGGTGAGCCAGGTGGGCCGGTCACCAGATTGGCCAAGACGTGGGTGAGGTATCCGGAGCCAGATCCAATATCCAGGACATGGGCTCCGGGTTGGAGATGTTCAATAAGATATTCACATGCGTGACCATGCATGTGCGGTGCGGAGATCGTTGCCCCATGTCCGATGGGCTGAGGCGAATCGGAATAAGGCCGCGATGGAGCATAGTGAGCCCGATCAACCTTCGATATATCAGATATGCTTCTTTTCTTCGTGTCTCTTCTCTCGGGGATGAGTTTTTTTGACCTACGCCTAACATAGCGTCTTTGACGCGTTCATTCTTGATCAAATCGACCTTAAACAAGTTCTCGACCAACTCGGTGTTGGTGGACCCGGAGCAGTACCATGCCATTGTCAAGGTCCTTATTTGTCTGATGGTTTGAATTTTTCTGGATAGTCTGAACATGTGAGGAAGTAAGAAAGCTGGGATGAAGTGAGAGAATCCAGATGGAATCGTGACGCCATGCTCTCCTCATCTCTCCACGTGACGTCGGGAGGTTTATTTGTTTGTTTTATTGTCTTGGAAACCCCATTTGAAGTGGTTAACAGGGATTGGTATAGCTATGCGATACTTCTTCGAGCTCGGTAGTCACATACGTAGTCGCTCATCCAGATATATATCCACTCTTTGGTGCCAAGAAAGTCACTGGTCTATCCCAACTTAAAAAACCAAAAAAGGAAATTAACAGAACAAGCTAGAAGGCGAAAGCCAATAAGCCTAGAAAAACAAGCACATAGAAATAAAATACAAAATACATACAAACCCGAGGAAAATGAAGCTAAGGAAAGTGAACTGAAATAGAATGTCAAACGGGCCAAACGACCATGCGGGGGATCCACTCAGCTCTTTTTCTTCCCCCACAATCCACCCTGATCACTTCCTCTCAGCCATGTTCCTATAGCTATCATGAAGCCGCCATATGACCCATACCCCTGGGCTACCATGCATGCTCTACCAGAAACTCACGTGGATGTGGATTTCATGATTGTGGATTATCTTGCCTGTCTCGCAATTGATAGCACTCTCGTGGCCATCGGGAGACAAACCCAAGGCCGAGCTATAGAGGCTGATGAACTGAACTGGCAGATTGACTCGCTTCAAGGTAAATCGACAACGGGAAGTCCTATGTGCATGCTTCACTGACGGTGCCACAGGATTTCGGACATTGCTAGCATCAACCCACTTGGAGACCCCATTGCCTCAGGACCTGGCCATCAAACTGCAACTACTGACAGTAGCAGACCAGCTTCGGCAGTACATCGCACAGGGAAATCAAAACCTCGTGGAAAACATGCGACTTTCGACTATAGGCATGAGATTCATGGGCCTCTGCTCCACAGCATCTGCAAAGGTGTCGGAAACTCGATGGTTTGACACCGGCGTCCGCTTCATGGTCCAGGCGGTACTGGAAGGTCGGCGCGAAGAGATTCAACCATCCGAGGACCTGCACAAGCTCTGCTCATGGACCCCTAGCGAGCCCGCCCAGATCTCTAAGTGGGAGATCGTCCGACAGAGGTACGCTGGTGAATTATCGGATGCAAGTCAAACCAACAAGGCACAATCAGTAGCGCTCAAGTCTCCCCTCCCGGAATTCATAGCCATCGTCGGGACATTTCTCCGCGATTTAATGACCACCTTGGATGCCCCGATCCTCATCCAAGTAGAGCGAGGTCAGCTCGAGGGCCTAAGCCCGGAAGAAACACAACGTCTGAAGGCCCGAGTTGGTTTGCGCTGAAACCGTCGACGACGACCTCGTCACAGTGTGGTCAGAAACCCCTGGGAATCGGATACCGGCGAGCAATGACCCGACGCAGACTTTGGTCATGCAAGGCGACATGAAAGAAGACTCCAATCTAGTGATCTACCGAACTTCAACATCTATATCATACAGCCGCTCTCGAGGTACCGACCATCCACAGGTCTATGCAAGAGTGCCAAGTCACCATGACCAATGGCCAATCAAATTGCTGGTTCACCAAGCGACAAGAAAAACGGAGATATCTACGGGTCCCTCAAATGCTAGACCGCCTGTAATGAAATGGCAGTTATATTTGAAACGGATAATCTACACAGGGTGCCAAATGGCTGCTCTAAGCACAACAAACAAAAGACAGCCAGCAGGGTAACGACGGCGTCATTTACCCGAGCAGCATGCGCCGCGGGTCCTCGATGTACTCCTTGACCTGGAATGGAATTAGTGGGCGTTTCAAACAGAGGAGGGGCCAAATGACATACCTTGACGAGGAAGGTGACGGCCTCGCGACCATCCAAAAGACGGTGGTCGTAGGTGAGAGCCAGGTACATCATCTATCAACAATTAATGTTAGCTTGCTTCCCAGATGCAGAGCACAAGGGAGGGCTTTTACCGGGCGGATTTCGATCTTGCCGTTCACGACGACGGGCTTGTCCTTGATGGCATGGAGACCCAGCACGGCTAGGAAGATATGTTAGATCATGGCCTAGGGGGAAGAATGCAGAGAAAGACTCACCAGTCTGAGGCAAGTTGATGATGGGGGTACCCATTAGGGAACCGAAGACACCACCCTAGACCAAATTAGTACTTGTTCTTTCAACTCTTCAGAAGATGGGGATAATAAACCTACATTGCTGATGGTGAAGGTACCGCCGGCCATATCCTCAATGGTCAGCTTGTTGTCACGAGCCTAGATAGCCGTCGTCAGTGTTGTGCACAGTATGATCAAACTCTCAAAGAATGCCTACCTTCTTGCCCAGATCGGCGATAGACTGCTCAATGCCAACAAGATCCATGGTCTCAGTGTTGCGGACAACGGGGGTAACCAGACCCTTCTCGGTAGCAACAGCCACACTGATGTCGACGTAATCACGGTAGACAATGGTGTCACCGCCATTAGGGCCCTCAATGGAGGCATTGACGGCAGGAATATCCTTCATGGCTAGGACACAGGCGCGGGAGAAAGCGCTCATGAAACCCAGCTTCACACCGGTCTTCTTGAGAACGTCGTCCTTGTAGAGCTTGCGGAGCTCCATCAGCGAGGACATATCAACCTCGTTGAAGGTGGTGAGAGAAGCGGCAGTGTTCTGAGACTGCTTCAGGCGCTCAGCGATACGGAGACGCATACGGTTCATCTTGACCTGTAGTAATACGAAAAATGGTTAGTCTTGAGCTTGTCACACCCGCCCAATGCCTTAAAAAAAAAAAAAAAAAAAAAACGTACCCGACGCTCCTCACGGTTGCCCAGAGCAGGTTTGGAAGTCTCAGCCTTGGGGGTCTCCTTAGGCTTCTCTGGGGCAGCAGGCTTGGAGGCCTGAGTCTGGGTCTCCTTCTCCTTGGGCTGCGCAGGCTCCGGGGCAGATTCCTTGGGCTTCTCGGCAGCGGGCTCCGAGGCCTTTTCGGGAGCGGCCTCCTTCTTGCCACCGGCAGGGGCGTCGCCCAGCTCCAGCTTGATCAAGTCCTGTCCAACGGTGACGGTATCCTCTTCGCTCACAAGGAACTCCTTGATAGTACCGGATTCCGGAGCATTCACCGAGACATCGATCTATTGCGCGAGACGTGACGTTAGAATGTTGCAAATGAGCGACCAACGCGTCGAGGACTTTATTACCTTGTCGGTCTCAATAGTGGCAATCTCCTCATCACGTTCCACGAAGTCGCCAATCTCTAGAAAATCCAAGTCAATGTCTATGCGATAAAGATTTCGACTAGGGAACGAGTTTCGTACGTTTCGAAAATTGCTTCAGTGTACCCTCTGTGATAGATTCGGCCATCTGGGGAACCTGGACGATCTTGTCGGCTAGTAGCGAGTAAAATTAGCATGGTGTATAAGCCAGCGGAGAGAAGTGTCAGGACTTTGAGAACTCACCATAGGTGCGGATCTGGGAGCCCACGAAGGGAGCAAGGTTGCGCGAGACAATGATCCTGTTGGTTGTTTTACATCAGCCAATTGCGCCCACCTCTTAAGGGAAAGAAGGGTTCCTTTTACCCTGAGGAAGCCTGCAGCAGACCAGCAGCTCTAGGGGTAGCATTGGATCGGGTCAGAGTGGACAAGCTCTGAGCACCGCTAAGCCGGCTGGGACCGCGAGTGACCCGGGTCAAAGTTGTTAAGCGCTGAGCCGAAAGGCGCGCAAGAGGAAGTCGAGCAGCCATTGTGTATAAGGATCGTTAATCAATGACAACAAGATAAAGGAACAAGAACCTTAAGAGGAAAAGGTAAGGAAGGGAAAGGGAGAGGGAGAAAAAAAAGCGCACGCCCTGATGCTGTTACGTAGCCGAAGCCAAAGACTCCCGAATGCCGAGATGCGGAAGATGGCAGCGGAGTAATGTTCTTACGCTATCCAGCCCCGCGTAGAGACCTACTGTGCACTTTTTGCAACGAATGAGCTCCATCAGAATAGTCAACCCACTGCATCATCAAATCCCTCCGATTTCTCTTGACCCGCGGCTTTTGTCCGGGTGATTGGCTGTGCTATCAATCTCTACATACCATTCTACAGAGAAGACGAATCATCAACATAATGTCCGCCTCTGCCGCTTTGTGAGTCTCCCGCGACCGGCGCAATTGACCTGCATTTCCTTCATTGCTAAACAATTGTAGGTCCCTCTATCGGCGGTCCTTGAAGCAGTCCCTGGATTGGGCTGTTGACCGTCGCGTATGGCGTGGACAGGCTGTCTACATTCGTTCGTTGTTCGAGGCCAACAAGGACGTTCGTGACCCTCGCCAGCAACAGGTACGCGCTTCATCAGCCCAGGAACACAACTTGATCTCGGCTCACATGGATTCAGGTTCTGCTACGCGAAACAGAAAAGCTACTGCAAGAATGGAAACACCCGGATCCTTATCGCCCACCGACCGCCCCTGGAGGTATGTCTCTAGATAGATTGGGTTATTGGAGGCTCACGGTACTAACACCGGTCACAGGAAACAAATGGGAGCGAAACCTGCCTGCCCGCATTCTACCTTGTATGTGGATCTGATCCTCTTCTGTCTTTGAAAGTCCCGAACTGGGCATACTGATTTATCGCAGATGCGGCTCCTCCAGCCGCCCACTGATAGAACTTGGACTGGTACTTTTTGACTGTTTTCTGTCTTTGCAAGAACAGCATGTTGTTTAATTGAATCCTGGGCATCTGTAAAACACAATGAACCCCTTTCTATATCAAAGTCCCACGGCATTATAGCTGTACTAAACGGCCACCACGCAAATAAATACCAATACATAGGTCTCAGTAAATTTGAGTGACTATGAAGCTGGAGAATCAATACGAAGATTAAAACAATGCAAATTGAATGGTATCTGATCGACCTAGAATCTTTTCATTGATTCGGGCATCCGCCCTTGGGCTATCGGAGATAAAAGCTGAAAATCCCATTCGAACTAGCTCGAGTTCGTCGGTATCATTCCATGCCCGCAGGCATAATGTACAACCAGGAAACTGAAGAAAGAAAACGCAGAGCCATAACGTGCCCGTCCCATAACCCCATTATCGTGAATGAACCAACCCACGCCGGAAAACAAACAAATCAAACCCGCGAAATAAAAGGAACCATCTACAGCTCCTGGCTACCCTTGGCGGCCTTGGGGGTCTTCTTGGGGAGGAGGTCTGGAAAAAGATGTTAGCTTCCAAAGAATGCTTGTATGACGGGTCCCGCCATGGTCTCTGATGCGCTTGACTTACTCTGGTGGATGTTGGGGAGGACACCACCCTGGGCGATGGTGACGTGACCCAGGAGCTTGTTCAGCTCCTCATCGTTGCGGATAGCAAGCTGCAAGTGACGGGGAATGATACGGGTCTTCTTGTTGTCACGGGCGGCGTTACCAGCCAACTCGAGAATCTCAGCGGCGAGGTACTCGAGAACAGCAGCGAGGTAGACGGGGGCACCGGCACCGACACGCTGAGCGTAGTTGCCCTTGCGGAGCAGACGGTGGACACGACCAACGGGGAAGGCCAGACCAGCCTTGGAAGAACGGCTACAAAGTAATCGAATGTTAGATTGGATCGCACATTTCATTGGAAGTGGGAGGGGTTGTTTGGATTTCGCGCGTCCAGGCGCGTTAGAATGAATGGGAAATCAAAACAATCCCGAAGTATGAACTTACGACTGAGCGTTCTTGCTGCCGCTAGCCTTGCCACCAGACTTTCCGCCAGTCATTTTGATGTAGATTTAAAAGGGTTGGGGTTTGAAAAGGGTGAGGTATAGAAGTGGTTGAAAAATGGTTGATGAAGCGTGAGATGGTAAAGGTTTCCAAGAAGAGGGGGCGTGGAGGAAGCGGAGGGACTTTATAAGGACGCGGTGAGGGTGACGTTGGCACTGTATCAATGAGACTCACCAGATCACGCACTCGCTTAGAAGAATCGACCAATCAGCATAAAGATCACGGCCGTGCGGGCATGCCAGATGTGGATTAGTGTGGTAATATAACCGTGATACGGGGTGATACGCGTGACCCGCGTGATCGGCAGGCCGGGATCCCCACCCGTTTCCTGCTAAAAACGCGTCTGGTCCCATTTTAATCATACAGATCATACAAACCCCATACGGTATTGAAATTCGGCCTCCTTTTCTGCACTCCCAGGATCAACTGCCCGTTGGCGGTCGAGTATAAAGACCGCGTTCCCCTCCGTCACCGCGTTCCTCTTACTTTTCCTTATTCCATATCTGCTCTCTCCCCCATCACTCCATCCACTTTTTCCAACCTTTTCAACTCTTTCAACTTCCACCTTTTCACCCATCATCAAAAATGGCTCCCCCCAAGGCTGCTGAGAAGAAGCCCTCCACTGCCGGCAAGGCTCCCGTTGGTGGCAAGGCCCCCGCTGAGAAGAAGGAGGCTGGCAAGAAGACTGCCGCTGGCACTGGCGAGAAGAAGAAGCGCGGCAAGACGCGCAAGGAGACCTACTCCTCCTACATCTACAAGGGTGAGTTGATCGTTTTGATTTGTGATGCTGAAACGCGTTCATATGCTGATGTTTTTTTTTTTGTTATTTCCAGTCCTCAAGCAGGTTCACCCCGACACCGGTATCTCCACCCGTGCTATGTCGATCCTGAACTCCTTCGTCAACGGTATGCAATCTTTCCTTCAAAACAAATCACATATTTGTTTTATTTATTTTGGGGGGGTTCCATTTTTCTAACTTGCCATTTCCAGACATCTTCGAGCGTGTTGCTACTGAGGCCTCCAAGCTGGCTGCTTACAACAAGAAGTCCACCATCTCCTCCCGAGAGATCCAGACTTCCGTTCGCCTCATCCTCCCCGGTGAGCTGGCCAAGCACGCCGTCTCTGAGGGTACCAAGGCTGTTACCAAGTACTCTTCGTCCGCCAAATAAGCAGGCTTTGGGTTTTTCGTTTCTTGCGGGATTGCTTTTGTTTTTACTGCCTCCTGATACTTCTTGGGCTCTGAGGCGGTCGGTTATGGGTGTTTTGCGGGTTTTCTAATGTGTCATGGGATGGTCTCGATTTTCTTTTCCCCAATGGGCGACTTTTTCTGATGGTTACTGCTCGATGCGCGCGGTGTAACATAACTCGGGTCTGGGGCCGGTTACACGGTTTAACCTCCCCCTTACTAGAACGCGAAATACCAAATGCTTAATCGCATTCAAATATCTTTTTTCTGAACTTCCTCTATACCACTCCACTCACTTGATTTCACAGGTCTTGCATTTCGGCTCTAGCTACTTGAATTTACAGCTTTGTTCACTCCATTTCATCCGAATCGTCCAGGGCCTCCACCTCATCGACTGCTGCCTTCCGACCGGGTCCCTGATATCCCTTATCCAGTTGCGTCTCTCCCGTCAAAATGTGAATAATCGGCTTCCCGGGGCTAGATTGCACCCGTTGCTTCCAGTCGATCCAGTCAGCCTCATCTTTGATCAGAAACCCAATCAGCATGCTTGGATCCATATCCTTGAGGTGGATGCGTCGCAAGCGGCGAGTGTGATAGCTTCCCCGTTCCTCGGCGGTGTATGGCTCGTCAAACTGGTGATGTGGAAGCGTGGGGCGCGTGGTGTGGGGATCAAGGAAGAACAGGTGGGAATCTTGAACCCCCACGAAGTAGTGCGATGCGGAGGGCCGTCCACTAATACCGGTCATGGTTAGCTGAAGTCTGGTGTCAGGCGGTTGGGAACATACCCAGCTACCCCTACGGACTGGGGGTATTTCAAAGCCTCTCGCAGTCCATCCCAGTAGACCGAGGTGACTTGCTCAATTCCGAGTCGGAGGCCGAGGAGAATAAGGGTCGGTTGAAACTGCCCATTCTTACTGCGTGCGAGCTGTATGAGCTGGTCTTCGTAGACGTCGGAGGTATTATTTGTCACGTAAACCTCGAGCTTTGGGTGGTTGCTTTCGGTCGACAAGACCCTGCCAGACTGGGGTCAGAGGGGGCTAGTGGTTCTTGAGGCTGGATACATACTGAATGCACCGGGCAGTTGCGGACGGTCCAAACCATTCCCCGGGATATTTCCCACACGACTCGGCGCCACGCTGAACGAATCGATGTATTGAAAATGGAGCCTCGGGGTGGTCGGCAAATAGCGCTAATAGCTTCGATTCTTCATCCGGCAGATCACCTTTTCGCCAAGCTATATAGACGTATTAGCTGGGTCGGCCTGTGAGTAGTCTGGGTCTATATCCCACCTCTTCCTAATAGCAGAATACAGAGTGTATTTGCCAATAGGCTTTGTCCAGATCGAATCATACAGCCCCACCCTGTATCGGAGGTGAAGCCTTGCGAGTCCATAAGCTGGGTCCTGAGGCGCACACCCAACGTCATCAAGGATGTCGCCTCGGGTGAGGGGTTGCGTGGGATGGGAGCAAAGTTGGAGCGGTATGTCATCCATATTCGTGATTCGAAGTCTATCAAAAAGGCCTCAGGCCATGCGCTCCCGTTCGTATCGCGCGGTACTTCGGCTGACTGGCCAGTGTTGTAATTCTTGGCTATGCGAGTTTCAGCAGAGGTCTTCACAATAGGAGGGAATTTGCTGTTCGCAAGGACCATTTCAGGATCAAAGCATGACATACCTGTGCTGGCGTCGTCGAGTTGCTCTGGGCGTGGGTTATACTGTTGACCTAGACACCAGATCGAGGCCTCTGGCGTGGTGTCATTCTTGGGTTCAGGGTCCCAGAAATATTGTACTATACGCTTGCATTTTTCCAAATCCACCCCTGTCATTTCGGTGTTGTCGAGGCGTTTATCAGGTGTCGTGTAAAGAAGAAGAACAGAGGAGAGATGGTCGCGGGGAGAGAAAGGCTCCACTCATGAATATATATCTTGGACGATCACCCGTGATAACCTTCCATAGATCAAGGAACGAAACCTGATACCAAAAATCAAAACCCACAGAAACTCATTAAATGGATTAGAAAAGCCTTCCAAGGTTATCCCATATTCCTCTTATACCTCATAAGACTAGGGGTCGTGACAGCCATGCCTGACGTCACCGTAGTGACTGTACTGTATCGGGCACAAAGGCATCCATGGATAAATTGTCATTTGAAACTCATCTGAGTTAAGTTTTGCATTACATGATCAGCATGTTTTCTTCGCCTTGAACTAGCATAGGTCAATAATCGATTAGCTGCGGTATGATAGTACTCTTGATAGCTGCTTGATACAATGAGTGGTCCAGAACTCTCCCCACCGCCCTCCCCACCCGATCGCGCCCTTTTCCAACTCTCATCTTCTAGCGGAAAATTTCTCCCCCTCCCACCCCTTCTCCTCTATTTGCCATCCATCAAGCCATATCCCAGTATGGCTCGCCATAGCAAGTCAAAGGCTCGTATGAAACGGGCCCCTGCAACGGCCAGTCAGTATAGATTTACTCCCCTTACGATATCATCGAGGCTTACCATATGAAAGAATCATCGCCACATCGGTTCACTATGCAGCAGGAGGCCCGCAATACTGAGACACATACCCGAAGCTGGTCACATAGCAACCTTCGACACAAAGCAGTTCAGTTCGTGAGCGCGGGACAGTTGCAGCGAACCGAGCAGGACGTTGAGGAAGAAGGAGGCAGTCAGACGGAAATCCAGTTGGAGGTAACAGAGCTGGAAATACAAGGAACGTCAGAAGCAAAGGACGATGCCAGTGACAATCTTTTCTTCCTTGATACTATAGGGGAGGAGGTTGTGCACACGGGTCTTCCAGACCCAACGTTGCACTCGGATCTCTCTGACACCGAAGGCAGTGAAGATGAAGTTGTGTTTACGGGACGTCGGAAGCCCATAGCGATCGAAACAGACGAGGCAGAGCTTCAAGAGTATTTGCAAAGGACTCAGAATGTGCTGCTCCAGGCAGCGGCCAGCTCAGAAGACTTGCAGCCCAATCACCAGGTAATTGTCGCTGAAACATCACCAGCGCCACGGACACAACAGGAACACCACCCGCTATCAGATAGGGAAGCCAACAAGTCGGCAGATAGTATGGCCGATAAAGACCATGGCTACGACCAGGAACACGCTCAAATGTCCACCGAAGGTGAAGGTGGTATCGGAGTGGGTAGACCCCTTTCAGGATCAGAGCTGGACACCGAAGGATCTCAAAGCATCCAGACTGAAACTTCAAATATTCAACTGGAGCAGCGTATTTCCAATGGTCGGCCAGTTGAAGACGCCGAAGACGCCGAAGTCATAGGGTCGATCGATGGTAGGCTCCTCCCCATTGTTAGGATCGATGTGATCCAGAACTATCCGCCCCTCCCCAAATAGCCGATATTGACGCAAAAACTATAGAACTTTCCAAAATGTACCTGGACACCGAACCGGACTCGTCAACCACTTCGGAGGATGACGACGCCGATCTAGATTCACCTGACGAATTTGACGAAGATTCGGATGATATGGACGATGAGGGATTACTCGAAGAATTGGCCGCCAATTTCTCTGCAGAGAAGAAAGGCAGCCGTGGAAAACATACCTTTCTATCGGCGACAGCATTCGCAGACGCGCTCGACGCAGACCCATACTATGGTCTCGATATCATGGATTTCGACCGGCCTAGTCTACAGAAAAGACCAAAGGGCAAGAAATCACACCTACTCGAGGGTATTATACTGTCCGACAGTGATCTAGACAACAGTGACCTAGAGATTCTCCAAGACGTCTGGGAAACGGACCGCAAGAAAAAGAAGGCGAAGAAACAGGAGCGAGAAGAGCTTCGTTCACAAGGCCTGTTAGGCAGGAAGTCCGGCGATCCGGATCTGAAGGTCAAATATGCCAAGGGAATGAACCTGGATGATCTGATCTCTGAGATTCGGACATTTCTCCTGTCCCCTAAGAGCAGGTATGTACACATTCCTGACTGACTCAGTCTCCCAAATCCGCTCAGCCTGTCCAAGTTTTCTAACCACGATAAAACAGCCTTGCACTGCCACCTATGACCAAACACCGTCGAAAAACCATTCATGAGCTGGCAAACAAAGTGAATTTGAAATCGCAATCCCGGGGTAATGGGTTGACTCGCTTTCCCATTATCCTGAAAACATCCCACACCCCCAAGTACACTCGCAAGACGATCCCCCAGTTTGACAATCTTTTGTCAGGAAGAAAGCTGAATCGTCGGCTTTACCAGTCATGGGGCCCGGATGCGTCCAGGCCATCTAAAGCCAAGCGGAGTGGCGGTAGTGGTGCTGTGTCTTATATGGATGGCGATGTGGTTGGAGCGTCAGCGCCCGAGATTGGCGCAGGAAATCGAGGACGGGCCATGTTGGAGAAGATGGGATGGAGCAGTGGCACGGCTCTTGGAGCCTCCAATAACAAGGGAATCCTGCAGCCTGTTACCCAAGTAGTCAAGAACTCAAGGGCGGGTTTAGGCTAGGGAGTTTAGATGTTTCTTTCTTGACGCCCCCTGCGATCAGGTCATAGACGTAAATAGAGATACAATCAATAGAAACTGGTCTTTCCTGCGAAGGGTTGGCTGGACCTCCCCTAAGCCCCCACTCAAAAACTTGCCCAAGGCGCACTTTATCGTTTCTTATTTTTGGAGGTTTTCAGTGGCTGGGCATGGCTCGGATTTTCTTTGATATGAGTGAACAACTTCGTCCTCGAAGGAAAGGTAGTACTGCAGTTGGCGCATAGAACCCCCGTACCCTGTTCTTCATTCTGAGCAGCCTTTTTAGCCCGCTTTTGCTTGGCCTTGCCCATTCGGGGGGCATCAGCTGGTCGGTCATCGATCCCAGAAGAGGATAGCTGCTCAGTCAATGGGGTCACGGAACTATCTTGCAACGAATCAACGTCCGAATGAAGTCTAGTTTGGATGGATTCTCTCGAGGCGTAGTCTTCATCCTCGATGGAGTTTAAGGAAGCCTTCTCAGCGTCTGGATGAGAGGATGACGGGTGATGATCGTCAGTCTCTGAATTAGATGGAAGCGTCGTCAAGGGTTCCATATGCTGGTCACTTCCGGTCTCAAGGATGACAGAGCCTTCCAACTGCTCATCAGGAGAGAGCGTAGCAACGAAAGCATCGCTTTCACTTGGTAATGTAGAATGGGATGCGTTGGTGTAAATGGTGGGTTCCAAATCCAGATCTTCATTCTGCGCTCGCATTTCACGACACAGCTGCTTGACAGCCTTCACATGTTTCTTACTCCGTTCATGAGCCTCGAATTGCTTCTGACTTTTGAAGTTCTTACTGCATGCCACGCATTCAAAGTTCTCAATCTCGCTCTCGGAACTCTCCTCTTCTTCCACCCCGGGCTCCTCAGATCGAGCCCACTCTGGAACAACATGATCGCGCATCTTAGCTTGATTTATTGCTCGAGATCGGGCGGCCTGGGCGGCTGCCGACTGACGAAGAGTCTCTTGACGTTGAGCTTCACTTTGGGCATTCGCCTTGTACCGCGGATCTCGTTTCTTGACAAAGGCCACCAAGGACCGAACCGCATCATTGAACTCGCGTATGCCTTCCTCTCGAAGGTGTCGATTCTCTTTTTCCATTAAGCGTCGCACTCGACGATCAGGTGCCTCGGAGTAACGATATGTATCTTTCCAAGCAAATGATTTACGGGTCGAGAATCCAGTCCAGGCGGCATAGAACGGACGCACGACAGTCTCAAAATTATCATCACGGCCACCAAACGACGGATAATCCACCATATTTTGACCATCCGACTGGCAGGCCAGTCGCTCCTCCAGTGCCAGCTGGGTGAACTGTTCTCGAAGGCCACCAAAAAATCCGGTTGGTAAGTCGGAAAAATCCATTCGCGGGCTGAATTTCGAAAACACCTTGAGGACCTCCTCCGCTGTCGTATATGACTGGGGACCTCCATCAGAGCCTCCCTCAGTCCCTAGGAATGCGTCGCTGTGAGAGTCATACCAAGCACGCTCTTGTGAATCGGCGAGGACCTCATATGCGGATTGAATTTCGGCGAACAGCCTGGTGGCCTCCTCAACATTTCCATAATTTCGATCGGGATGCAGTTCAAGAGCCTTTCTACGGTACGCTTTCTTGATTCTGTGAGGGAGGAAAGAGTCACATTAGTCGAGATGTGGATGTGTGTAGGGGATTTCCTCTTTCTCACTCGTCGTCTGTTGCCGTTTGCGTCACTCCTAACAGTTCATAATAATCTGTTTTTTGGCCCGGTTGACCCTGTGGCTCAGAGGCCTTGGAGCCTGTAGATTGAGATTGACCCATTCAAAGAATTGCAAAGAGGAAGGTGGGGGTGAAGTTCAGTTGAGGGGGAGAAACAAAAGATCAAGTTCTCGGGCTTGGCACCGTTCCTCCGCATTTCCATTTCTCAGATCATGCCCATCCTTAAGGCGAACCAAAGGTTCAACGCTGGCGTTGACTTCGCCCTGTGTACTGATAGTGACATCATCTGATCTGATCTCTCCTGTTCGATTGAAGGCCCACAGACTCTCTTCTTCACCGAGTTCGGAATTTCTTTGATCATCCACAGGGATGGTTCTGTCTCTGAATCACCTCCCAGAAGAAATCCTTCACTCGATCCTATGTGCATCTCCACCCCGATCTGCCGCTGCCTTACAGCAAACTAGCCACCGATTTGGGAACGTGACCAGGGAGCCTTTGTTATGGCGTCACTACTGCGAGACCCATTTCAGCTCCTGGGATAAACGACATGGAATCTCTCGGAAGCTCACTGATCCGGTATCGTCGGTCGACTGGAAAGCACTGTTTGTATTGAGATTCAACATCGACCGTTCCGTCTGTCGACTTCTGGATAGTATTCTTGCGAGCCAGACTGGGCGTATCGAGAAATTCCGCGCGGTTATTGATTTTGGGTTCGATGCTCAGGACACTCTTGTGTATCACAGCAGGGTAGAATCGGGGGAAGATCACTTGGCTAGAAGGTGAGAACCTAGATTCTCCTCTATTTTCCTTCTCTTGTGAGCGGGTAGGGTTGACTGGGGTTTCCAACACAAAAGGTACTACGCACAAGCGCTTTTGACCTGCCTTCATCGAAGTATTGCAGTACCTGAATGGGCCAAGCTTAGGCGTGGTGAGCCCGTTGCGCTCGAGCGTGCTCTGGCTGCTTTTGATCTTTTTATTCCAGAGAGTGGGTTTGGAGACTTAGATCAGGTAGCACTCCTCCCTCACCTACACCTAACTGGCGCTGATAATTTCCAGGTTCGGGATCTATTGGACGGGGTTGTCGCCCAGTTTTCCATCTCTCATTCCGATATCACTGTCCTTCGGCCCCGGGAAAGGGCTCTACTACTTGCGTCCTGGCTCCAGGAGAAGGGTCTCACCGGCATCGAGCCTGGGCGACCATATCATTCTTTGGAGCATAATTTTCTAGGGCTAGCTCTGACAAGCCCTGGTCACAATTCCCTGCCATTGATCTCCGCCGTGATCTATTGTTATGCGGCGCAACAGTTGGGAATGGACGCCCGTCCTTGTGGATTTCCATTTCATGTCCATGTCATTATTTCTCCGCCGCCTGGTCTTGATATGAATGGAAACCCGCTGATTGGCGAAGAGCCAGGTTCCCCCATGTATCTTGATCCGTTCCGAGGGGCACGGGAGACCCCGGTTTCTGATTTACGCGATCAGTTGGTCTTTCTTGGTGCCACGGATGCCGATCAAGCAGAATTCCTGGGTGGATCGCTACCCTCGCAAATCGTCTTGCGCTGCAGCAAAAATATCCTGAATTCCATTCACTCTACATCTCATAGTCCCAACATTCCGGCCACCTCGATGGATGTGGTAGGTGCTAAGTACGCTGCCCTGTGGTCGTCAATACTTCTCTCCGGGGACTCTAGGCCCATGGACCTGAGGCACCAGTTACCCTGGTTAATGGAGTTATTCGCTACCGACTTTCCATCTGATATCTTCTTGGTAGAACAGCACATTGTACCACTTTTTCGTGGACTGTTCGAGCACGAGCATATCTTAGAGAGTCTTCATGTCATGCGAGCGGTGGATGAGATTCCCAAACAGGTTCGACGACGGTCCAGTGCGAAGAAAGATATACGATACAAAGTAGGCCAGGTTTTCCAACACCGTCGTTACCATTACCGGGCCATCATCACTGGGTGGGACTCGGAGTGTGGTGCGGGGGAGCAATGGATGCAACGCATGGGAATTGATCGTTTGCAAGCGGGCCGACATCAAAGCTTCTACCATGTTCTGTGAGTTTACTGTTGCTCGAGAATTCATTTCCCAATTTGCCACTGACTTCGTTAGTGTCGAGGATCGAAGTGTGCGATACGTTGCTGAGGAGAATATCGAGCTCATCCTGCCGCAAATGATAGAGCTACCGCCAAGCCTGACGACCATCGCGGGCAAGCATTTCAAACGATGGGATGAGACTACGCGGTCATTCGTTAGTAACGTGCGTGATGAGTATCCAGATGACTAGCTGCCACCCGGTAGCATTGCAAGAATGGTTACAAGACTAGTTGCAAATGTCCAGTATGACCGACTGAGCGAGCAAGGGTATTATATTGCGATTATTTAGTTCGGTCAAACAGCCCATGTAGTCAGAACTCGTGAATCACACAAAGTACCATGAAAGACACGAGAGCAAAACGAAGCAACTCTTCTTCTTCCATCATCTCAGGGCCATATGTCGCATCGCCAAACTGCAGATGGCCGAAGTGATAGGAACCGACACCACCCTGAGCAGCACTGAGCAGTAAACCAGCACTTCTCCCAGCGGTCTAAGCACATTGGGTCTCCGCCGGGATGCCATGGCGGGTAACGTACCATGCAATTTCCGTTCTCTCCACAGTATTGGGGTTTGACGCAGTCCCGGTTGTTTACGCAACCTTTGGTACATACCCCGTCAATGCAGATAAAGCTCCAAGGACAGTCGGGATCCGCATCACAGAGCCTCTGCGAGTCCTCGTCCGCTCTCTTGTTGAATATGCTGGAGGAATTATAGTACTGGTTGGTGGACTTGCTATTGCCTGCTGGCAGCTGTCTGGATACTTCATATCCATCGTGGGTGTATGGGATGGAAGACATCGTATAAAAGATAAGGAGACCTATGGTGATAGCAATAAGTAGCAAGTAGTGAAAGGGCTGGCCCCACGAGGGACTAAAAGATCGCATGGTGAAAAGGGTGGTAGTATTCTTGTATAGTGAGATGGATTGGAATTTGAGAGTTGAAGTACTTTGCTTGTTCTTTATTAAATAGTACTTAGTATTTTGAGAGCCGAAGACTTTCTCAATTGAAACATTACTTGGCCTAGCTTGGGTTGGAAGATGTATACTTCACCTAATTAGGCCTAGGAAGGCGTTTCGATTCTTTGGTACCCTTTTGATGACTAAGGATTAACCTCAAGAAACGTCCCTAGCGTACCACCCAGAAACATAGTCAATTACGCTAAACTTCATAATCATAGGGCTACGCTAGTGAAATAGTATCGAAAAATTGAAACATTTTACATGTGTTGTTGCTAAGATATAAACAATGAATCTTTACTTACTATGCAATTTGGAGTGGCCGGGCTGGCTGGGTGGCCAGTTCGCTAGGGAGTTAGTAATTACGTTAGTTAATCATCAACTATCGTTGCTTCTAGCTTTTCTTAACCTTTCTGAGACTTATCTTAATAATATATGATTGCAATGGAAAGGTGTGAGGCCAATGACTTTTCCTTCATAATCTTAAAATAACGTTACCATATATAAATTCCATATCAATAGAACCATAAAAATGATAGTCTAATACTTAGTTCATACTCTTAATCACTCATAGTTCAAATTCAAGGTATTATAGAAAGATATTATATAATATATAAGAAATAACATAAGCTCAATCAAATATTATATATTTTATAGAAACTAATCTATTATTAAAGATAATTCTATTTAAAGTATTATGGTTTTAGCTCTATAAGCTTATTATATATAATCATTATAGATATAATAAAGAAAAGCTATTTATCCTATATTAAAATAGTATATAATTACTAATATTATATCTTTAATTAATCCTATAATTAAATCTAAAGTTAATTTAGACTAAGTTCAAAATAATATAAAAAATAGATTAAGCTTACTATTTTAGTATCCTGTTATAAAAGAAAAGATAGTTATCTATTTTCTAAGATAGAAATTATAGGATATCTTAGATATCCTAAAATAGTACTAAATCACTTCTAATTTAGTATCTAGATTAAGAGTAAGCTCTAGACTTACCTAGAGCTAGTCTATAATAGAGAGATATTTAAAGTAAGATATTATAAATTATTCACTTAGCTCTTACTTCCTCTATATTAAGGAAGAAGAAGAATCTCTCTCTTTTAATTCGTTCTTTTCTTAAGAATTAGTATTAAAACTAATATAATCTATATTATCTTAGACTTTGAATTTATACTATATTAGTACTATTTTATATTTCTTTTCGATTTTCTTTATTATCTTGTTACCTAGTCCTTTTACTTCTTATAATTTCTAATTCTTTTATCTTAGACTATCTAAGAAGATAGTAAATATATATTAAACTATATTTAAAGAAAGTATAGAATCTATATGTCTTATTTCTTTTTTTATATCTAGAATTAGTATTATTTTAGATATAGAAGATTAGCTATCTCTTTTTATTAAAGAATAGCTATAAGAAGTATAAGAAATAACTAAGATTATAGAAATTATAATAATTATAAAAATTATAAAAATTATAAAAATTATAAAAATTATAAAAATTATAAAAATTATAAAAATTATAAAAATTATAAAAATTATAAAAATTATAAAAATTATAAAAATTATAAAAATTATAAAAATTATAAAAATTATAAAAAGAGAAAATTAAATTATCTTAGAAAGATAGGGATATTAAGATTAAAGATATTAAAACTTTTAATAATTAATTCTCTATTTAAAAATAATATGAATAGCTAATTAATCTTAATCTTATTTTCTAATTACTCTATTTAAATATTCTTTTAAAAGATTAAAAATCCTTAGTAAACTAATATATATTAATAATACTAATAGAATAAAATAGATAGAATAAAATAGATAGAATATATCTTAGAAAAAACCCTAGAATAATATTAAAATAATACTAATTTATAAGAGTATCTTAAGAGATAGACCCTAATTTTAAGATAGATATATAAAACTAAATTGAAGCTATATATTAATTTTTTTATTTAGTATCTATTTAATTTTAAGATATATTTATATTCTTTAAAAGAATATCTTCTATAAGAAAATAAAGGAAATTAAATACTTACTTTTTTCTCTAAATTATTACTAGAACTAAGACTAAAGATATAAAAATATATAAGACCTCTATTAGAAACTAGAGTAAAAATGGTATTGTCTATTATATTATACTAGAATCTTCTTTCTTTAAAATTAGCTTTAAAATAATATTATTTTACTTCTAAATTAGACTTATCTTATAAAAAGCTTAAAAGCTTTAATAAAGAGCCCTAAAAGTAAGAGAAATCTAAGTAATACTAAGAAATAAAATCTATACTAAATAAAAAGTAATTATTATATCTATATTAGTACTATTTTATATTCCTTTTAGATTCCTTTTATTATCTTCTTATCTAGTCTTTTTATTTCTTATAAAAAGGCGCTATCTATCTATAGAGATTATAAGATTATAAAACTAAAATTAAAGAAATATTAATATTTTATTAGTAGATAAAATAGGATATATTATATATAATAATAAACTTATTATTAGAGTAGTATACTATGAAGATAAAAATAATATTATACAAAGTTAATAATTAAGTATTAGATATAATAAAGATAAGATATAAGTATATAAAATAATATAATCTAGAGAAATAAAGTAATTAATATAATATAATAATTTCTATAAAGACTACTTTCTTAGTGCTTTTAGTTAGTATATAGTATATAAGTAAATATTAGTATTCTAATACGCTAGAAAGAAATACCTCTAAAATATATCTTATAGTATTATATTTAAAAACCTTAATTCTTTAAGAGATCTATATTAAAGTATTTTAAAAGCTCTAAATTAGCCTTACTACTATTTTAACTATTAAAATAAGCTATTTATAGTATTCAAACTATTTACTAATCCTATACTACTTAAGCTACTACTACCTATCTTACTATATAGTACTAGAATTCCTATAATATATAAGTATAGAGTCCTTGATTAATAAACATCCTAAATATTTGATGTATTCTAATAGGATATAACTTATAAGTATTTCTTTTTAGTACATTTAAATACTAGAATCACTTATATAATGTATACTAACTAAAGGTAGTTAGAAAAGGGCGTTTAGTTATAAAGCCCTATAATTTAGACCCTAGGATATATCATATGAAGTATCTATATCTATAAGACATTTATAATAGATTATAAAAGATATAATATAATTATAATCATTACTAACCAATAAGATAGTATATATACTCTTAGTAGATAGCGCTAGATAGTAGCGCTTAGTTAATTTATACTTAGGATCTATATTAAGTAATAAGAGACTAAGTCTACTTCTTCTAAAGTAATAGTTATCTTAAGTATAAGATAAGATTATAAAGCTAGAACTATATTTTCAGTAATAATATATGACTAAATATAAAGAACTAAGTGAATATATAGTAATAACTATCTTTATATATCTAGTTCTTCTTATATTTTAATATATCTTATCTTATTATAGAATATAATATTCCTATTCTATTATAGAATAGATTAGTATCTAATTAATAAGGATTAGGCCTTATATAATCTCATTTCTCTTAATATCTTAATATTAAGATTTAGTATTTTCTATTATAATAAGATAGCTAGGTTTAGCCTACTCTCGATAGTAATATAATATAATAAGTATAAGGCTATAAATAGTATAGATAATAAATATCACTTAAATATTTTTAAGAACTATTAGTCTTAGTATTCTAGAGTAACATATATTAAGTAGATCTATAATATTATCTCTTTTATTTTAGATCTTCATTTTTAAAGATAATTCCTTGATAATTAATTAATTATTACTTCTTTTTAGTAAGTATAGTCTCTTTTTATTGAATATTTACTCTTTTTCTTATTCTTCTATTTACCTTTAACTATACTATTCTTTAGTATTTTTAGTTATAAACTCTATTGATTAATCAAATATAGAGATTTTTAATCCCTTAAGATTACCTAGACTATAAATTAAGTATTCTAGTCTTACTACCAAGAATCCTTAGGTTCTTGTAGCTATATCTAAAGATATTACTCTAATATGAATAATAGTATTATTTAATCCTTTATTTTTTTTCCTTTAGATAATTAGATAAGTATCAACTTTAATATTTTTATAAATCTTATGTTTAGGTGTTTAGGGTCTTATTTTTTCTTTTAATAATACTATTAAACTAGCTAAAAATAGCCCTTCAAAAATAAAAGATCTTAATTATTTATAATTAAGTATATCATTTAATTACTTAATATAAGAGATATACTTTCTCTCTTTTCATATATTTTTAGTCCTTTCTTATAGTTTTTATTATAGTATTCTTTTTATAGATTATAGAATTTAATATCTCTTTATATCTAAAGATATAGGTATTTAATTTTAGTAGCTAGAATCTATAATAATTCTATTGTTCTTTATTATAGGATTAAATATTTGAACATAAACTATAGTAGTCCTTCTATTATAATATATATTATATTATAAGTATGACATGATAAAGAGTTTATATCTAATATTAATTTAGTTCATAAATAAATATTATATATTCAAAGTAAATAAGTTATCTTAGATATAATTTATTAAGATAATCTATAATTAGTGAATATATACTTAAATTAAACTAAGGCTATTTTTGAATATTAGTTCTTTCTATAGTTAGAATTATATATATATACTTAATTAGTCTATTCATGACTATTACTATTATATCATATTCTTTTAAGTTAGATAATTTTATAATAAAGTTCTTTAGAATCTATTCTTATAGCTATTTAAATATCTTAAGGATTTGCATTTCTTTATATAATAGATATCTAATATATTTATTTTATTAAT